CAACCACCACTACAATGGACGCCTTCACTGCTGTTTTCACCACCCTTACCTCTTCTGTCGCCGCCAACGTGGAGGCCCCCCGCAACGAGGAGGCTCCCGGTAGCGGCGGAGGTATCACCTACTCTTGTGTCATCGCCTAGAAAGCGGAAATCAATTCCTAGTGGGTCTTTTCTTTTCGGCCACAGACTTGATCGCCATATGATATACTGACGCCACACTTGTATATGTAGCTAGTATGGCTTCCGATTCTCGATATGGCGACCGGCGACGCACTGTAGCTGCTGGAGAACGGGTATATCAGGAAACTTCCTCTACAGAGACCAGCTCTTCATCATGCATATTTCTACGTCCTTACAATGTACAACGGATACAGTCGTTACTTTCTTCTTCAGTCCGCTCGCTTCCTCTGGTTCCAATCATGACGGGACTCCCGACCCGCACCAAGATATATCAGGACAGTATTTACAACCTAAGTCGACTTTGGTCCTTTGTCCTCTTCTCATCAATCAGGACGCAGCCTTGCACACCGCGCCGAAGAATCTGAGCGCGCCATATTTCCATCACCTCCGCTTTGATCAGCGACGACTGTGACGCGCGAGCGATTATTGCGCCACTGATGAGAAGTAGAAGACCAAGAGTTGTTCATCATTTTATGCTTTTACCTAGCGTATCCTTATCTCTCCAAATTTATACATGCATGTACTTCATCCATCCATCATCAACCACTGGCCACTCCAAATCGCTGAAATCTCCTGTCTACCCAGTCCGATTGTTGCTCTTGAATTTAACCCAGTTTTGCCACATTTCGTCGCGCCGCGAGTGTCGAGCGGTATATACTTTCAAGAAGACACCAACAATGAAAGAGCAGGATAGGGAAGGTGTCAACAGAGGGCTATATCGACCGCCGGGTCCCGTCAACTGCTCTTAGAGCTGGCAGTTATGCCTCGTAATGAATGGCTAAAGGGCTTACTTCTCCTGCAGTACTACTACCTCTCATGGTTCTTAAGTTCCATCTCCACTACTCTCCACTCCGATCATTTAAGGGTATATTTGAATGCTGGTACTTCACGTTATCGGGAGGAAATAATATAGCAGAGTACACTGGTCACAGACGTATCGGAAGCGACGAGTTCTCATATCAGAAAGGTACAGGGGAAAAGATGATCCATGTTGGAAACCACCAGATGGTTGTAGGACTGTAGCTGATTAGCTGCACCGGCGTATAGGAGCGCAGGTGTAGTGCCGCTCTCATAGCCTATCTTATTTATGAGCTTCATAGATACAGTTTACATAGAGAAGATATGTAGGTTACCTGCGCCCGATAGATAAAACATAGCCGGGGTCCTAGCTCCTCGATGCTTGTTTAGCTGACGCTTGAGGAGCTCTGCAGCTGCTGGAAGCTGGCTGGTGAATGGTCGAATGATTGCATGGGCATGTGGGAGGTTGTATGTTGCTCGCAGGAGCAGCAGCTACTGTACCACTGCTACAGCACCACCCACCACCATTGCCGAATGGGAGGGGCTTTGTCAAGTCTGTGAGCATATGTACAGCGGGAGCGGCGGCGGTGGACCCAGACCACCACCACCACCACCATCATCATTCATCACACAAACACTGCGGCATGCCACCAACAAACGGCTGGCTAGGCGCGGGTGGAGGGCTTGTGTCGAGCCAGACACAGAGCGACCCTTATACACCTCCCACTCGACCCCTCAGTCATCAGACGTTGGACAGAATCAAAACCGACAAAACGCGCCCGACCTCCCACCTCGATCAAAGACCCACGTATTACCATTTTCCAGAAAGACATAGCCCAACAACTCAAATCATCACCTCAACCCACCGAAATACACGACGATCAACAGTTCGACAAAGTGTACAAGGAAATCAGCGACATATTTACAAAAACCACCGACAAACACTTCAGCAAACCCACTCCCAAACAGCAACCGGATCGTTTCAGCCACAGAGAACTAGCCCCATTCATACATAAGCTGAGGGTACTAAAAGGGTGCAGAACCTCTTTGATAAAAGGAACATGGAGCCAGAAGATCACTTACCTCAGTCCTAAAGAACGCACTTTCATTCCCAATTTCAGCGAAACACCCTCCCAAGAACTCCTCCGAAGCATCGACCAAGAGCGAACCCTCACAGCACGCCAGTGCAAAAGTAAAGAGAAAGCATTACGCACAAAGTTGGAGAAAGACAAAGCAGCCTTCCGATTACAAGAAGCAATCCGCACTGGCTCCACCAAATACCTCACGCCAAACCAATCCCAACCCATCCCACTGATGGTCCAAAACCCCGATAACCCCAACGAATACATTCACGAACCAAAAGAAGTACTAAACATATGGAAAGAATACACAGCGACCACGCTCCAAATGTCATGGTTAAAGGAGTCATCTGTGTAATTAGTTCATCCAATAGATTAGTTGTGTGTTTGTGGACCGTGCTCTCCGTTGTTACACGTATCAGAGTCTTTTTCATAGTTTTCTTCTTCTTCATATGCGACAATAACGAAAAGGTTTTTGCCCCTTACTACAAAACTCTCTTCAGCACGTCAAGGGCACTCCCCAGGCGTGACACCAAAGACCTGACCCACCAATCCACAACAAACAATGGATGGACACACCCACAGCACGAGCCTTCAAAAGTTCACTCCATAGAGACCCGTTCCAATGGCCCAAGCCCATCTCTATTACAGGATTGCAAGCCCTCCTCAGCCACGGAAACACGAAGCCATCACCAGGCCCAGATAGATGGGAGAAATGGGCACTCGCCCTCTGCACCGTCGACTTCTTACAAATCATTGTAGCACTCATCAACTACTGCACCGAACAAAACTACTTCCCACAACCATTACGAGAGACCTTCCTAATCCCACTATATAAACGAGGCGACCCAACCATCCCCGCAAACTACCGAGGCATCATGCTCTCACCACTTCTACATAACCTATGCGCGGCATGGCTCACCATCAACCTCAATACCTATGTGTGGCGTAAAGGCCTCATCCCCACCAGCCAGATTGCCACCCAGCCAGGAGCGAGGCCAGGAGACCTAACACACCTTCTCGGCATATACGATGGCTTAGCCAAAAGAGAAAAACGATCCATACTAGCACTCAAACGAGACCAAAAGAAGGGATTCGACTTCGTACACAGCTCGGCTTTCCAAGATGTTATCTCCTTCTTCGGCCTACCAGAGACTATAGCAAGTTTCGACAAGGCCAGAAGCAGAGATCTACATATCAACCTACGCATCAACAACACCCTCTCCGAGACTATCCACACATCCGGACAGACTAGGCAAGGCTGCCATTTCAGCCCTTTGAAGTACAACCTCACAATGGCGATGTCTTACTGGTGGGTGATGGACTCCATCTCCCAAGAGGACAGATGGAACCTCCAGCGCCCGATTCCAATCAACCACAAACTTGAACCAATCCCGTCGGTACCACCCATTCTATCGGCAATGGACGACACCATCATCCTAGCCCCAAACATCAATGCCCTACAGAAGATCGTCCAACTGGTCGAGACGTTTCAAGACGCCTATGGCATGCAAACGGAATGGGAAAACATGGACAAGACAGTGCTATTCAGCCTGGGCCCACACCAAGAGGACACCCACGATATCACACTACTAAACGGCCAACACATCACCCTCAAGCCCACAAAAGATAGGATATTCCTACGTACCCACATCAACGATCTAAAATCACATGGAAATAGACTGAAAGACCTCTTGAGAGACATACCCCTCCCGTACCCCTCCACCAGACTACCACTGACCGCCATGTCTCGCATCATCTCAACCTCGCTAGCACCAAAGATCACATCCCGCATCGCCTTGAGCCCAATCCCGGCATTAACAGCACAAGAATTGGATACCATACTGGCCACCAAGCTCTCCGACTACTACCACACAACTTTCAACATATCCTCCGACGTCTGGTCGAGACCGCTGGACGAAGGCGGCATGGGTTTCCCGTCCTTCCAACTAGCCAACGCACAAGAAACCATCGGCGGCCTTCATCGCATGTTGAATCATCCCAAACAGCTTTTTCGACAGACCGCTCAATTTGCCATGAGGATCTGGCAATGTCACAGCAGATTATGCACACCACCGCTCCGAGCCACGCCCAACAAACAGAACAATAGCCACCCAACACAGCATTGGACGATTGCCCAACAATACGGGCAGAAGATGAATCTACACCTGGAAGACTCTCGACAGCTCACAGACGAGGACACCGTAAGACACATCCTAGCACGACACCCCTCCCCGCCAACAGGCTACCAAAAGATCAAGATCAAAGCCAGCAGACTCCCAAATTCGCATGAACTACGTCCACAAATCAACACTCTCATTACCCCACCACCCAAGACCATAACGTCTGATGTCAACAACGAATACCATCACGATCAACAAGCGATCCTCTGGGCAACAGACGGCAGCATGTCAACCCCAACAGCACGACTCGACCAGCCTCGCGAATCCGGATGTGCGGTCGTCGGCCCACTCCTATTCAAAGCCCGCATGCCATCCTCATACAACACGATTAAAGACGCCGAGACTGCCGCACTCATAATAGCCTGCCTACTAGACCAAACATGGCGAAGTCAGACACACATAAGGGAGCTACCTAACAAAACAATCATATACACAGACCACCTGAACAACATCACAATGATTGACAAGGCACGAGAAAACCCATCTTGGAACCCACCCCCGACTCAAGCCAGCAGGAACTACACAAAGATGATGATATACCTGGCAAGAACCAACCCACATATAGACTTTCAGCATCAAAAATCACATACCGAATCGACTACCATAGCCGCAAAGATGAACGACCAAGCAGACGATCTCGCAAAACAAGCGAGGACAGCCCATAATCGTCTACCAGGGATCACAATCAGCGACCCCTACGTCATGACAGCCAACGACATGGGCGGCGCCCTACACAACGACAATACCAAGGTCATCAAACACAAATGGTACCAACACAAGGATCAAACGCTGGCCACAAAGAAACCCCGACTACTAGTACGGCTCAAGGGACCATCCCACTCCCGTAACGGACATCTACCGGACGTTGATGAAAATGACACCTCAGAAGACCGTTTCGATCAAGAAGCCGACCCACCAAGCGAACAGATCATCCCGCTCACAGAGGAGACAGAAGAAGAATCGCAATCCCAACCATCTCCCAACAGCCAGGATGACGAGACCACTTCAAACAGAAATAACACTGAGCACCGTCAACATACATACGTCGCGCCCTGGCTATTCACTAGAAGCACTTCAGGATACACCATGCTCATACAAGCCCAAGCCAGAAATGGTCAGCTCCCGACCCCACAAAGAAGAGAACAACGATTCGGAGAGGAAGTGACCGAGTGCCACCTATGCAGTGACCCCGGACCAATCGACGAACAACACATATTTGTCACTTGCAACGGTACGAGACATATAAGAGAAGAGTCAAAAGCACAACTGAAAGAATACGAGAGGAAGCTCAAGATCAACACGGGAATAGCCGACACCTTATTCGAAAACAACCAATCCTGGATCGACAACAAGTCGAGGTTTTGGATAGGCCACCTGCCCGACTACCATATATACTTGGAAAACAAAGAACACATAGGGGCCTACAAGAGTGCATACACTAAGGCATGCACCACCGCCAGCCGTATATGGGGACACTGGGGGAAGACCAGGCAAGCACATCAAACAACGAGGGACAACGGACACAACAACTGAGCCATGAACAGCACCCCACCTAAAAGAAACCAACACGCAACCTCATACGACACATGACATCACAAACAAAGCCCAGTCAACCGCAATTGAGGCATCGAGCCAAATTATAAATGCCGCATCCCACGGAAGCGGCAGAGGAACGGGACATAATTGTTGTAGCGCAAGGCAATAGAAATATTGCCACGTCACGCAATTATGTTAGGCAAGCACTTGCACGCAAGGCTCGCGCACCCGTCATCCCAAAATCTACTAATCTACAAACGGCCGGCGGCGGCGGCGGGGCGCCGCCCCATGATACATTACGTAAGGATTCTCATCTCCAGCGCGACTGCGCTGCTCCTGCTGCCTGCCTGCTGCCTGCAGCTGCTGCCTGTTGGTTTGCTCTCACGCATGCCGTGGCGGAACCCATACATATACTGCTGACCTAGCCGATCTTGCCGCATATACCTTTTCCGTTGCGTGACCTCATCTAGGCTTGTCATTCCAGTAGGCGGACTCTTACCCTGACACGCGCGTTTGTGAAATGCTGATGGCTGTTCGTCGCGTTCCAGCTCTCCCTATTAACCGTCGACTTTCGTATATCGCCATAGGCGAGATCCGAGATACGCTCAAAAAACTCTGTCACACAGTTCTTTGGATATACACCGAACCTACACAAGTGCCAAGGCCAGCACCATGGCAGTCCCTTACACTCAAGGGACTCTGGTCTGGATGCCTGACGGCACCGGCGGCTGGCGAACCGGTACAGTTACCTCCTCGACCATCTCATCAAGTGATCCACCCGTGGCCTATATAACCATATCCTCTGACTCGGACCCCGACGTCACGACTACTATACAAACGCCTCTTTCTGCTTTACAAAACGCCAACGCCGATCGCACACAAGCGGATTTTCAGCAGTCCTCCGACCTCCCACCTCTGAGGAATCCACCAGCTTTGGAGATGGTAGAGGATTTAGCAGCTCTGAGTAATCTCAACGAGCCTTCTGGTAGGTGTCCCAATTACTCGGCAGTCTATGATTGTCTCGGTTACAAGGATGAGACTGAGATGGATTTACGCTGACTGATCTGTAGTCCTTCACGCGATCGCTACCCGATACCTACAACACATGCCATACACGTATTCGGGTATAGTTCTTGTAAGAAGACCCACAGTACAAACGAATAATCGCTGAATCTCTGCTCGTGGCATCAGCTTTCCGTCAACCCTTTCACGCCTTTAAACATATGTACGTCATTGATACTGTTCTTTTCCCCTTTGAACATGTCTGGATCATTGAGATCTTATTAGATGACGGGACTTTCATCAACCTCTACTTGGGACAGAAAAAGGAAGAGCAAGATCCTCACGTGTTTGCCATTGCTGAAGAGGCTCTGAACGACATGAGAAGAGGAACCGGCGAGGGCGGAGTCGATCTCTCTGGCGCTGGAGATCAAACCGTCATTGTCAGCGGTGAAAGGTATGTTCGCCTACGGAGCGCATCTGTGACCGATGCCAGTGTAGGACCATAGAGTATGTCGAGCTGGCGCTGACAGTCACCATGCAGTGGGGCGGGAAAGACCGTGGCGGCAAAATACATCATGCGCTACTTTGCATCAGCCCATATGGGCACAAATGATCCACTGCTGCCTCGTAAAAGCGGTCACGGTGAGGAAGGCATGAGCGAGATTGAAAAGCAGATTCTCGCCAGTAATCCTATCATGGAGGCCTTCGGCAATGCAAAAACCACTAGAAATGACAATAGCTCAAGATTTGGGAAATACATCCAGGTATGGCGTGCAGTGCTTCGTGTTGAAAGTGCATTATCACTGACATGCGTCGTAGGTCCTATTCAGCCACGATCACCAGATCGTAGGTGCCCGTGTCCGGACGTATCTCTTGGAGCGTTCGCGCTTGACCTATCAGCCGCCATCTGAACGAAATTACCACGTCTTCTATCAGCTCATCGCGGGAGCTCCAGCGAAAGAACGTAAAGATCTTTCTCTACCCGATTCACCTTTCAAATTCGCGTACCTGTCAGGTGGAGGTACTTCATCATACCTCATTCACGGGGTCGACGATGCTCAAGAGTTCGATACGACTCAGCGTGCATTGTCAATGGTAGGGATATCAATGGAGCGCCAATGGCACATATTCAAGCTTCTCGCTGCCTTGTTGCATCTCGGCGACGTTAAAATCTCGCAATCCAGATCCGACGCCCATGTCGTGGATGATGATTCAGCTCTCATCCTCACGTCAGATCTAATGGGACTCCCTCTACCAGACTTCAAGAGGTGGATTGTGAAGAAACAGCTTATCACAAGGAACGAAAAGATCATCACAAACTTGACATGCAACCAAGCCATCGTGGTTAGAGACTCTGTTGCGAAGTTCATCTATAGCTGCCTCTTTCAGGTGAGTAATACCTTACCCTCCGTTGGAAGTTCATACTGTAAGGTTCTTGTCTGACCTCACCATAAACAGTGGCTTGTCAGCGTTGTGAATGCGAGTCTCGCTGGCGATGTTACCAACGACATCGGACCCACAAAGAAATTCATTGGTGTGCTGGACATTGTGAGCGCATATCCCTTGGTACGCACCATGAGTGCTAACACTACCGACAGTACGGATTCGAGCATTTTGCCAAGGTAGGGTGCCATTGGATGTCTCAACTATAGTTCCACTGAACGAGAAATGTGCAGAATTCCTTCGAGCAATTTTGCATCAATTGGGCCAACGAAAAGCTGCAACAGCAGTTCAATGCGCATGTCTTCAAGGTACGAGAAATTCGACCATGATAATGGGCGGTTCTGACTGCGGACGATTTTAGTTGGAGCAGGAGGAATACGTCCGAGAAGAAATTGACTGGACATTTATCGATTTTACCGACAATCAAGCTTGTATTGACGTGATTGAGGGGCGGATGGGTATACTTGCGCTACTCGACGAAGAGTCGCGTCTACCGTCCGGGTCTGACCAGTCTTTCGCAAACAAAATTCATCACGAGTTCGCCAAAACGGAACATCAGAAGGTTTTAAAAAAGCCCCGCTTCAACAGCAATGCTTTCACTGTCGCCCATTACGCCCACGATGTCACATACGATACTGAAGGCTTCGTTGAAAAAAACCGAGACACGGTCCCAGATGAGCATCTTCACCTCTTGCAGAGCTCCACAAACGAGTTTGTGAGGGAAATGGTGTTCACAGCCACGGAGGCAGCAGTTGGCGGTCAGCAGGCAAAGACTGTTGAAAGCTCGACAGCTAAACGGGGCACGCCTCGCAAACCCACGCTCGGTTCCATGTTCAAAGCGTCTCTGGTAGATTTGATGGCTACCATCAATGACACCAATGTACACTACATCAGGTGCATCAAACCCAACGAGAAGAAAGCTGCCTGGGAATTCGACTCCGCTCAGGTTTTGAGTCAGCTTAGGGCATGCGGAGTGCTAGAAACCATCCGAATCAGTTGTGCGGGCTTTCCATCTCGATGGACTTACACTCAATTTGCTGACAGGTCAGTCCAATGAGGGGTCGCGTATGTTCTTTGCTCACAACGATGTTTCAGGTATCACATCATGCTACACACCAACCAGTGGCATAGCAAAATGGACGTCAAAGAGCTCTGCCGACTGATTCTCGAGAAAACTCTTGAAAACGAGGACGATTACCAGTTGGGACTATCGAAGATATTCTTCCGTTCTGGCATCCTTGCTTTCTTGGAATCTCGCCGAGCAGCCACACAGTTTCAGCTGGCGGCCACTCTACAAAAACATATTCGCCGATACCTTGCGCGCAGACAATATGCGAATTGGCGGAAAAGTGCGGTGTCAATTCAAGCGTGGTGGAGAGGCACTGCTACTCGTAGAGGACTCGAAATTCAAAAGCAGGAGACAGCTGCTCTACTTCTCCAAACGATCGTCAGATGTGCCTTGGCTACCAATCGATTGAAGCATGCTCGTAAAGCCGTGATAGATCTGCAATCTGGTGAGTGTCCGCCCTTGCCCACAAATTCATCGACGGATCGCTGACTCCTTCAGCTCTGCGGCGATTCTCGGCGAAGCGGAAAAGGGAACAAATGCAGGCTGAGAAATCTGCGGTTTTTGTCCAACGACTATGTCGCGGAGCGTACGTATCTTTTATCAGGAGTAGCAGACGAGTTTTGCTGATTTACGGACTCATTCCACTCAGGCTCGTGGCAGGACGGTATCGACAGACTCTCTGTGGTGTGATTCTTCTACAATCGCTTTGGCGTCGACGACTTGCCATACGCGAACTTGCGTCTCTGAAACGAGAGGCAAAGTCGGCCAAAAAATTCAAGGAGATCTCTTACCAATTGGAAAACAAAGTTGTCGAGTTAACGCAAACTCTACAAAAGCGAAACGCAGAGCACAAGGAAATTTGTGCTCGCTTGAAAGGATTGGAAGATGATCACAAAACTGTCACGCACAAAAACGAGTCACTATCTGCCCGAAATCACGCTCTCGAAGAGCAGATGGCTTCGTTGACCGTCCCCAAGGAACAATTCGACGATCTTGCGAAAGAAAAGAAGGATCTTGAAGTTCGATTGGATGAGCTAGTGCTGCGCTCAGGCGCATTGGATACACAGCTGCAAGAAGCCACTAGGCAGCTCGAGAGTACATCCAAGCGCTCTCCAGTTCAGCTGGGTAGCAAAACTGAAGACGCAAATACAATTTCGCAGTTGCGCGCCGAACTCAAGCATGTTCGCGAGCAATTGTCACGAAACGATACTTTCAATGCCTTGACTGGGCGAGCGCATCCTAACACCTCCACCTCTCCTAGGTCGTTCAATCTGCGACAGCTGGACAATGTTTCCTCTGCGCCTTCCTTGCATGGTATATCGGATCATCGCCGACGCAACAGACGCCACTCAATGGTCAGCAAATTACACGCCGCTACAGATGGTGACGCAGAGGACAAGCCTCTGGTAAACACCCGTGCCTTATCAGCCGCCTATACTCCCGATGTCATACAGCGATCGAGAGATTCTCAAGGATTACCTGTGCTCTTTACTCCTGGCAACGTCCACCAGCATATTGTCAGGCTTCTCGAGGACCTACCATCTCTTGATAACGAGGTGCTACAAGGTCTCATTTATCAGCTCAAGATCCCCAGTCCAAGTCTGCACACGCCATTGACTGCCAAAGAGATTCTTTTCCCTGCTCATCTGATCAGCCTTATCACCAACGAAATGTGGAAATTGGCTATGGTTACCGAATCTGAGACGTTTCTGGCCAATGTGATGCAAGCAATCCAAGAACATGTGCTAGTACGTTTTTCTGCCTTGATTATTGGCATATGAAACTAATCATGTATGCTCAGGCATTCAAGGGTGAAGATGCTATATGCCCCGGTGTCTTTTGGCTTTCCAATGTACAGGAAATCCTCTCATTTGTCTGTATCGCCGAAGATGACGCATCCAAGGGCATTGCACCTGAAGGATCGGCTTTGAACGACGACAAACTGAATTGGGACGATTACACTCGCCTTATAGGTGTGGTGAAACATGATTTAGACTCTCTAGAGTACAACATCTATCACACCCTCATGCTAGAGAGCAAAAAAAAACTTTCAAAGATGGTGATACCCGCAGTCATCGAGTCGCAATCCCTCCCCGGCTTCGTCACTTCCGATGGATCGGGCCGTATGCTCTCTCGAATGCTTGGGGGCATCAGCGGCGTTGGAGCACCACAGCCGGTCTCTTCGATGGACGACATTCTCAACCTTCTCAACAGGGTTTGGAAATGCTTGAAGAGCTATTTCATGGAAGAGAGCGTCATGCACCAAGTGGTGACTGAGCTACTGAAGCTCATCGGCCAAATATCCTTCAATGACCTTGTCATGCGGAGGAATTTCTCGTCCTGGAAAAGAGGTGAGACTATTGTCAAAACCACAAGCTATTGCGGGCGCTAACTTCGATACACCCAAGCCATGCAAATCCAGTACAACATTACCAGGATTGAGGGCGAGTACTGTTGCGGATGGTGTATTCACCTGCTAATGCAGCTTTGTAGAGTGGTGCAAGTCACATGACATGCCTGAAGGTCTTCTGCAGTTGGAGCATCTTATGCAAGCAACAAAACTTCTACAGCTCAAGAAGGTGAGACAACTATCATTTGACCAACCGCTGATAACATCAAACAGGCAACTTTGGGAGACATTGACATCCTCTTCGACGTCTGCTGGATCCTCTCACCCACACAGGTCCAGAAACTCATAAGCCAGTACCATACGGCAGATTATGAAGTTCCACTGAACTCGGAAATCTTGCGAGCCGTAGCCGCCAGGGTCAAGCCTGAGGATAAGAGCGACCAACTTCTATTAGCGCCCGAAGCAGATGAGGTTGGCCCGTATCAGCTTCCCCCTCCTAGGGACATTGTTGGGCTTGAGACGTGTGAGTGTATAAGAAGCTTCATACTAGCGTCATCTGATCAAAGCCCTCCAGATGTCCCAGCCTTCTTGAATGTCCCTAACATTCGACAATTGGCCACTTTCGTAGCGTAGGCGTCTAACTTTGACGATCGGGCAACGCACATAAGACCTAGGACTTATATACACTGGAAGAAATTATCACGGCTGGTACGCAAAATATGCAAGTCTACTGTAAAGTGTTTCAACCCTGGTCTCCGTGTATCTCTGCCAGCTATAACTTGGTGGGACATAAAGCGGTGCATCAAGCTTCTGGTATTTCTAGCGTACATCTACAGCTGTGCCGTTGCTGCCATGAGAAATTGACGAAGAAGACTGAGTGGATGCACTAATCCTTACATTGATGAGACTCGAATAGTGATTTTACTTTGCACTCATGCTACAGTACTAGAAGCATACCCTCGGCACGGCTACAATGCATCAATTCTCACTGCAGAGTTTGATGCATCAGATGAGTCAACTCCAGTCAATACACCTCCACTCACGGGATGCGGTAGATGGTAATTTCCTGCTGCTTGAAGTATCGTCGGTTCTCCTCGTCAATGAGGACCAGATTGAGGTAATATCTCGTCGAGAACTTCTTGTTCACGTCACGGAAGGTGGGGGTCATTTCGAATCCGCCCAAAAAGAGTCGAATGGGTATCGTCTCTCCTCTGACGGGGGCGCCGTCCATGATCTCGAACTTCGTGATAGTCTCCGATTCATTATACTGGCTAGGGGGGGAGCCAGTGGTCTCTCGTCGGATAATGGATAGTTCCATATGTTTGATCTTGATGCGGACTAGTAGGAAGTAAATCTTGCCGACTATGACATCTTTGAGATGGTACCTGATATGTGTCAGAAAAAATGATGCTGAGGCGAATGTGTTATCGACTTACTTGGCTTTGTTGTACTCGAATTCGATATGTAAACAATCCTCTATCCCCACCTCCATCTTGATCCCAGCAGTAGTCTCTGGAGGCATTCGATACGAGTGTACCCACAGCTCCCTTTCCCTAACAACCTTGTTGAGAGTGACTCGAAGATAATATCTATCTTGATGATTAGTCAAACTACGGCACGTCTGTTCGATGTAGCGCTTACCTGAGTCTCACATTGATGCCAACATATGATTCGTATGGCTTCTCTACGTTCTTGAACGAGAAGTCATAAGTCTGGGCTTGACGAGCTTCGCCAGCTCCTATGAGCTCCTGTGAGAGAGAGACGAAATCGTAGTGATTCTTCCTGTCATAGAACAATTCTAAAGTATAATCAGTACTCAGTATCCACGGAGCGACCTTGCTGGGATACTGACCGATGGTACCCACTAGCTCCACGCGAATTCCCTCGTGCGAGAATTTTTTGCCATCCTTCACACGGACAGTCACATGTCCTTCGATGGTCTCTCCATCATAGTACACCGGGCAGGGCTCTGGCTTTCCTCCTTCGGACTTGACCTCCACTTGACGTCTTTCTTGTTCTCCTGGCAGGATGATTTCCACCTCGATAGGAGCGGCCGGAAATTTGAAGAACGACATCGTGAAGAAAGAAGTGTCGGGGAAAGAAGTCTTAACCAGTATTACTACATTAGCGTTCATCAGGTGAGATGGAATTCAAATACCTGCTGCTTAGACCTTTCAAGGCGTTATGATATACGGAGATCGTGGTGTGCGGCGACGGAGTATTGAGATTTCTGCTCCCAGAGATGACAATGCGCAGACAAGAAGAGGGGATGTGAAAGCAGTGTGCGGTAGACTAACGGTGGAATGTCTTTATTATGGACTGTCAGGCTTCGTTATCTGTCCTCGCCTGCTCGCGACCCGGCGCGCCTCTGTAGCTTTATTAACCACATAAGTACCCATTAATAGCAACTTAACAATTACTTACTACTTACCGTGTATGTAGCCGGCGCCATCATGCTGCGTGGCTCGCTCTTTCTTTCAGATCATGATCCTGCCGCCTGTTGTGCTTCCTCGTCCTCTTGAACAGTATATCAACATTTTCCAGTGTATCTCTCTTTAGGACTAATCGCAATCATTTGCATCCATCTCTGGGTCATCATTTTGGTCAGTCCGACACGTGCTTTGTAGCATTCGCTGATGACAAGCGTGAGTTTGCAGTTGCCTTCTCTTGGATACCTCGGCATTGACAGAGTATGCCCTCCGACAATTTCTCATCCCTCACTCCATCTCGCCCCGCGCCCCCTCCCCCGGGGCCATCGGGTGTGGCAGGGCATCATCCGAAGCCTGCCAAGGGCCCCCAACCCAGCATCTCTTCTACTTCCTATTCGCCATCCTTCTCAGCCATGGCCCCTACTGTATCCCAGTCAACGAGTTCAATCGCGATCGGGGTGCCCAATACCACTTTCACCAGTACGGTCCGCTCGGGCCCGGTCAATGTCAAAGAAGATGGTCTCAGGGCTTTCATGTGGAGTAAAAGGTGGCTAGTGTTGGGCAACACTGATCTCCGTATCTACAAGAATCAGGTGAGAATCTACTTACCAGCCCAAACGTTTCTGACACTTTCATTTTATGAGTAGAGCTCTTTGTCACCCCTCCTCAGCATACCCTTGAAGGACGTTCAGGACATTCAACGCGTCGACCTCAAACCTTTTTGTGTCGAGATTGAGACAAATGACAGGCTTCTTTATCTCGCTATGCGCTCCGATGATGATGTCTATAATTGGATGGATGACATCTACAACCGGTCCCCCAAGCTTGGTGTCTCTTTACCCATGAACTTTGTCCATCAAGTACATGTAGGGTTCGATCCGAGATCTGGAGGTTTCACGGTAAGCTTGCATCTCGCTTTCATGCCATAACAGTCTGACAATTTACAGGGACTTCCACCTCAATGGTCAAAGCTTCTCACCTCATCTGCTATCACAAAGGAGGAGGCGGCGAGGAACCCGGAAGCGGTACTGGACGTTCTGCAGTTCTATACGCAACAACAAGCATCCCAACAACCCCACGAACTACCGACGCCGTCAGCATACAGTGGCCATCCCTCTGTCGTTCCTGTCGTTCCTTCACCTGATGCCGATGATCACAACAAAACTTACGGTAGTGAACGAGTGCAAGTCAGACATCAGGCAGTGAACTCTTCACTTGGAACTCAGCCCGTTACGACTACAAGCTCTCATACTGCGTATCAATCGAAGCATCCTACAGAACAAGTGAGTTTTTCATGCTTCATATCATCATGATATTCTGATGGTGTAGAGCAAGACCGTTTCCACGTCTACGCTTCAATTCCGAAAGACCAATCAGCCGAGTGTCGGCCTCACTTCCGACTCCGAGCCGAAAGCTCTGGCGCCAAATCTGACCACGCCTGATCGTCCCGAAAAGAGAATTAGCACCATGTCTGAAGCTCAAATAATGGTGAAGCTTCGCTCCGTGGTCAGTCAAGGAGATCCTGGGCAACTCTATGCTAAGATCAAGAAGGTGGGACAAGGGTAAGTCTCTGCCGATGTTTGTTATTGCTATCGCTGATCAGGGCTGGGTATCCAGCGCCTCTGGTATGGTCTTCGTTGCAAAAGTTCTTTCCAACGGTTCCAAAGTGGCCATCAAGCAGATGGACTTGTCGCAGCAACCTCGCAAAGAACTCATAGTCAATGAGATCATTGTGATGAAAGAATCTCAACATCCCAATGTTGTCAACTTCCTAGACTCTTTCCTTGTAAGGGGCACCGAGCTATGGGTCGTCATGGAGTTTATGGAGGGCGGAGCTCTAACGGATGTGATTGAGAACAACAAGTTGACCGAGGACCAAATAGCAGCCATCTGCTTGGAGGTATGTTCAACAATGATGTATCGTCATAAGATCTGGCTGACTATTCTCATTCAGACTTGCCGCGGTTTGCAACATCTTCACTCGCGTGCTATCATCCATCGTGATATCAAATCGGACAATTTGCTTTTGAACAGCCTTGGCCAAGTCAAAATCAGTGAGACAACAGTTCGTGGCCCTCTTGAAAGAGCAGCTCTGATAGTGACATAGCGGATTTTGGATTCTGCGCTAAGCTTACCGATCAAAAGTCCAAGCGTGCGACCATGGTTGGCACACCTTACTGGATGGCACCCGAAGTCGTGAAACAGAAAGAGTATGGCGCCAAAGTGGACATCTGGTCGCTAGGGATCATGGCGATCGAAATGGTTGAGAATGAGCCCCCCTACCTTGACGAGGAACCCTTGAAAGCCCTTTATCTTATTGCTACTAATGGCACGCCAACTTTGAAGACGCCAGAGAAGTTGAGCCAGGATTTGAAGCATTTTCTCAGTGTGTGTCTTTGTGTGGATGTTGCTTTCCGCGCAACCTCGAACGAGCTTCTGAGGGTCAGTTGCTAAGCTCATGAAAACAAGCGAATACACACTGACTTTCAATCTTATCCCCAGCACGCATTTTTGACCCTTGCCTGTCCAGCGAGGGATTTGGCGCCTTTACTCGGTTTCAAAGAGACTCTCTCTGTGAGTTTTACTGTGCGTTCTAGGCAATCACACGCTGATCAGTGCACTCTGTCAGGGATCAAGGTAGTTGCTTTCTTTTACAACGGTGGCAAAAAGGTCTGCCTGTGTACTTATACTTATATGGAACGCTCTATTGTGCGACACCGACTTGTTCTGGTTCCTGGCAGAAAGAATGGCAGAAAGAACATCAATGTTTGCGAAGTGACTGGGATAGAAGCCCGACGCAAATACCGGATGATAATGCCTGTGACCAACTTCTATTCATTCAACATGGCTGATGATAATCATACACTCTGGTGAAATTGGAATGGAAAGCAGGCACAACAGAGGCATTCGGACATCCATCTCTACGCAGGCCTTCTGGAAGAGGTCCGGTTCCAACCATCTATGTAGCCCTGCGCCTGGCCGACGTTCTCTGTTCTGGCTGTGACCGTTGCCTTAGGATCCTATTGGCATTGCGAGATCAAACCACGCACATCGATATTGATATGCCGTCGACAACAAAGAAACTATAAGCCAACTTCTTCAGAGCAACCATGAAACATTCCCTATCTCGGTTGTTAAAAAAGACTAGGGACGGCCAGGGTGGTGACAAAACAGTCGGTAGGACTGGGGAGTATGTACGTAAGTAGATGCATTGACAATAATCTGCTGCTTTGTGTATTGTATATGGATTGCTCAACTACGCTTTACCGCATGTGCATATCAGTAGACACGGAAGATGGCCAGAATAAGAATATCACCCTTCCATAAACCACAACACTAGGCCTTATGCTACTGGTATGCTTGACAGTGACTGTCTAAGTTGCCGGAGGACAGTCTGATCCTGATTTCTCCCTTGACCCGGGATCCCCACTTGTGTCCACTGAGACTGAACGCATGCTGTGGACTAGATAATCTACTTCGGGTGTCCCGTTACGGGATTCGGGAAGGGTTGTCACTCTTGGGACAGGCGAGAGCAAGGTGCTGGGGCTGATAAACTCGGCTGGAACATCGCTTCCGGTAAGATGAACGGAAGGCTGTCGCAAAGGGGCAGTCGATGGACCAGTGTGGAGAGATTCGACGTGTATCGAGACGGGTGCAGGGGTGACGGGATCCGCATCAAATGGGGAGAAGGCTGGCAGATGGGTTGTCGCATGCAGGCCTTTAGCACCCGCAGGAGTCGGAAGGATACCAGTCGATGTTGCAAAAGAGCTCAAGGGCCTCGATGCGAGCCCGGACAACGCTCTAGAGGTACCCTGTTGACTTTGACTACGTAATCCAGAAGGTCCCGATACGCCGAGGGGCATGCCCGCGCTGGCATGCAGTCGCGGATCATACCCAGCCCACATCTGCTGCTGATTTACGCTCGCCCCCTTGCCCAGCTCCAATTGGGCATACAACCGCTGAGGACTTAGAGGTGCTGAGACTGTCCCTGTCGTTGTCAAGCCACCACCATCTGCGTAGGCGGACGTAGACCGACGGGTTGAGGGACTGCCCCGATGAGAGCCTCCTGCAGTATCGAGGCCGCGAGCGACTGTATCTCGTCCTCTGGAGCCACGCGCGTCAACATCCTCATTGAGAGTCTGTACCCCGCCCAGACTAGTGCCTTGACTATGTAGCCAGAGGTCTTGCGCCGAATATTCAGACAAGTCTTCGCCACTTCTGAGGCCGCGCGATTCGTGCACCCCAGCTCCTAATCGGTCATAGGATGTTTGAGATTGGGATCGCCATTGGCCCTGGGCATGGGAATTGCTGAAGTTGCCGCGGTTGGCTGACAGTGCGCGAGGGGCTGGAGAAGAAGATCTTGGTGCGCGTTGGAGCTCATCTTCGCGCTCTCGACACAGTTCTGCGAGAGCAAGTACAGCTCGATCGGGACGTTGTGTAAGAATCTTGTCCAATCATCAGCCAACGATCCGAGCTCTAGCGAGTTTAGGAACTCACCCTTGTGGCGCGCATGAATTCTCCTCGTATCTATTGAAAACTTCAGCGTGCCCTAATCCCATGATGAAACGTTTACCCACGGTGTAAAGTCCATCTTTAGTCACAGTCCTGGCGACATTGTACGAGATCTCGAAGGGGTCCTATTCCTATCAGCGACTCGTTACATGGACTCGATAATAGTCGCTCACCTCAATACAAAGTCTGTTTCTGTCTCGCGCCATCTCGTTCAGACCGCCTACATCGATGTCGTTCACCCAGCCCTTGCTTTCTTTTGTCAACTGGCCTGCTCGCAATGATAAGACGGAATTGTTGAATTGGAAATCATGTGAGAAGTAGCGAAAAAAGTCCACCAGTCTGACTGGATCAGCACTCGTGAGGTAATTTCTGGCTCGACAGATGACTCACAGCTCCCCGACGCTCTCGAAATTAACACTCGACCATTCACGCCTGAGGGTCTCGACATCGTCGAAAAAATACACATTTCTACCCTCGAGCATGACCTCGTCCTCTTCAAGGGGTCGCATGGGCATGATTCGTTGCAAATTGGGCAGGACTGGTGGTTGTTTGACATGCACGAGGAAATACAAAACCATGAGAGTGAACCCGTCTAGTGCGCACATATCAGTTGGCGAAATCGGAGGCAGACAGGCTCTACTCACATGAAGACAAGGTGCCACGGTAAGGAGAATTGATCCTTCGTCGTTTTGACCAGACTTTGACTGAGGCAACATGAACTAATCAGCAAACGACCTCGATGCGATTGAAAGTTAAGCTCACGAAACAGAACGAGAGTCCTAACTCTAGCGGGATCGATGGTAGCGTACGTAAGGAGTAGCCTTGTGTTTTCTATCGCTAAACGATTCTCGATGCCAATATCACAGGCAATACCTGTAATTACAGAAAAATGAGCAACCGAGACACATGCCGAGGGATGAGCTTTACTCACCAAAAGGAAGTGCGGAAGATGGAGCGAGTTCGAGTTTTAATATGGGGATACGAGCTCGAGGCAAAGGCTTGACGTTGAAATTTGTCTCCTAGAGGCAAGTCAGCTAAACACAGTGGGTCTTGACCGTTTGCCTGTGCCACACGCATGACTGACCCGTTCGAGAAGTACTGCCATGCTTTCAACGAAATTTCCGGGATCCAGCTTGGCACCGGAGTCATCGATTAAGACGACCAAATCCATATCTGCGGCCATGGTCAGGAATCGCCTGAAAGTCTTTTGATGCTTACCGGAATTACGCAAACCGAAAGAATTACAGCTGCTTCCAAAACTAAGCAGTCTCGCTGATGGTTCGAGAGTTTTGATGAGTTTCTCTATCAAACACCGTACTCTGCGGAAGCGAGAATCAGCATAAGAACGGCTCTGGCAGATGATGCCAACATGAAGCGTCACCGGCAGTGCTATTTGGGCAATATGATCTAGCACGATACCGGCGACGAAGCACGAGAAGCACGAAAAAGTCGGAAAACACATGATTTCGTCGAAGACCATACGTACTCCTCTTTGACACTGAGCTCTTCACTTGGGGGTAGAAGAGGAAGCACGAATGAGAACAGGGATGTCGAGAGATCGTTAAGGAAGCGCCGATGCAGAACGCCGGGATGCATCTTGAACGTTTTGGCCTCTGATAGAGCTATCGGAAGTTGGGTCAGCACTCAATCCAAACCATTTCCGAAGTACGGCCCATGTCTCATCGGTTGAATCACCGTCTGAAGGTTCTACAGAGGGGTTTGGAGAGATAACCTGCTTGCCTCGCGAATTGGGCAACGGCTATGTGTAGAAGGACTCCACTCACAGACTAGGACAGGCAAAACACTTTTGTCGGGACCCGAGCGGATGTAGAGGATGGAAGAAGTCAAAGACCGCAGTTTTGCAGATGCTTCGGGACTTCCTTTCTTCTGAGAGAAAATCCTTGACAGAGAAGGTTGGCCGACGGAGACAAGAAGAGGAATAGAAATTCCAACAGGACTCAGCAGAGCTGCTGCTGCTGACGGCGCAGAACCAATTGGGTCTAGTACGTAATATACATGAGTTTATGTAATATTTAACATAGTGGGCGCGACGACTCCGACGACGCCGCGAGCATGATCAGACAAGAGCAGAGTGAAATGCTCAGATCTAAGAAGACCGCTAAGACCTTCGTGCAGTGACAGACTGCCCAACACAACAAGGCAACAGCAAGAAGCTTTTTGAACAGCCAGGGGTGCTGAGCAAACTGCTCGTACTGTAGATGGCGGCTTCGATTCCACAAGCGACACGTCTGCAAACAAAACTCGAGTTGACTTTTCCTATAACGTCCCTCCCTCGAGGCAAGAAATCGACTTCGAAAAGAGCTTGATCTAATCGATCTGCATCCATGTCTGTGAGTGGTCTCAAACACTTTGCAGCACCAACTTCCCTTCCTTAAATCTTGTCGTGTTCGAAGACTATTATGAGTATGTCCTGGCGCACGCGAATTTGTCACCAGACATCACCGATCACTCGAGAGATCTCTTTCTATCAAAATGTTTTTAGTACGATCTAACTAACATGATAAGCATCAGCCCCAGACGGTGGCAACTATGGCGAACGGGTCCACCAGATATCATTCTGAAGAGACCAGGGGAGGAGATGCAGCTACGGCTGTCTGGCTCAATGACCTCGAGAAGGCGATGCAAGAGGCCAGGCGGCTCTACGGAGACGTTGCATGGAGATCCACAGGGACGACAGGCATTGACTTGTGGGCTCACAAAGGTAATTCTTTCGCTTTCTCGATTGACTCGCGCGCCGTGCTAACGAGTGTCTTCCTCAGCCATCATTTACGCCCGAGACCCTAGTGAGAGAAGCACATTGTGATCAAGTCGTCTTACGGTCAGAGCTGACATGTTATCTAGAGATCCTCAAAAGCAACCATAGAACACATGTCAACTCCGATTCTCTTGAAGTAGACCCAAGGCCGTCATCTCCTGCATCGACAGTCCCGGGCAAACCCGTAGACTACTTTACAAGCCGCTCGAGCTTGACAGAACGCCCAGAATTGAGGACTCTATACACTGCGTATGACATTCAGGCCCTACGAACCCAACTGAGGTGCGACATACCCTGATATGAGAGCTTTGACATCTACTAAAAATGCTTGCAGCTGGGTATACACGGCTAGAAATAACGATATTTCGCTCGAATCAATGTCAGATGTCCCAGTTGGCCACGACCGAAAAGGAACTCTAGGGTATGATGGCCATGATGGGCAAGAGCGCCTGCGACAGGATCTACTCTATATGTGGCGTAGTAAGCTTTATGCCGACGTACGAATCACGGTGATTGGGACAGACGACGGCTCACCCCATCACGACGGATCAGCTCAACCTTTGATGGGCGAGTTCTATGCCTGCCACCGGTTTATTCTTTCATGTCGATCCCCTTACTTTGCGACGCTTTTGCGGTACTTGCAACCAGATGAGCATGGCATCAACGACATATTCCTGCCATGTCAGGTGACTGCCTCTTCCATCCAAACCTGTCTCCGGTATATCTACACAGGGTCTCTCGATATCACGGTCAGCGAAATCGGCCTCACACAGGCACTGCAGCTCTTTGATTGCGCCAAGCTCCTCGAATTACCACATCTGCTTCATCATATTGAAAGTCACATCATTGGTCATCTGTGCCATGGAATGCTTTGGACAAGGTGCCATTGCGAGACATGCCAGGTGAGGACTCGCCAAGTGTGGCTGCATGTGTTCGGAAGTGCTCGTGACAGGATGGAAGGCAAAGCCAGAGCCTATCTTGTTGATGGCTGGGAGGCGTCTTGGGACGCGACCGTGGCCGAGGCTCCCCCGGACAGACGATCAAGTCTAGTGGAGGCATTACTTGGTCGTATCACAGTCGAAACTGCAAGCCACTACTGTCGACGGTCCTCCAACATGATTCAGTTGGTCGCTGATGGCCTTTCTCGGAACGACGACAGGATCATGGCGGGAGCTGAGCCCGCACGCTGTGATTTCCTCCGCGATGTGGCTCTTTCAGTGTGGGAACGGGCTGCTGTTCTTCTCGTCGATCAGCGTGAGGGGGCGCGTCTTACGACGACGCAATCACCCCGGCGAGTGTCTGCAGCTGCAACAGAAGACCGCGGAGACGCCCCCGAAACTATCAAAGTACAAAATGTCCCAGGGGTCAGTTCCTTCCTACATTCGCGAGGCGATGACTGAATGCAATGGCCTTCCTCCCAGCATAACATACCTGTCAGGAAAGAGCGTCTGCCCGATCCCGGGTCTTACCGACATGAGCAATCCACACTAGACAAGTACGCAACCTGGGATCATCCAAGAGGCACGCATCTCCTTGACTCCTTCAGAAGGCAGCTGACATTCTTGAACCGGCAGACATACTGGGTCAGTGTAGCTTAGGCGCAGCTGGTAAACCCCAACATAACATCAAGAACTTAAACAGACCGTCCTCGAGATACAAAAAGAGGCGCGAAACAAAGCAAGCATCTCCGGTGAGTCAGCCTACCATCTCAAGTTTGAGCTGCTCTCAACTGTCTCCATAGATCGCCGATCGTACCCTAACTCGCCAGCTCGCTGGTCCTCTGAACCTTCATCCCGAAAGCCTCTTGTCGCTGGCCGAGGTGAATAAGAAGGCTATCTCTCCGATCAACGACAACCATGGCGTTCTGCCCGAGCAAGCGGGGCAACAACAACCAATGATTGATTTCATGGCTCAAACTTCGACGGTCGACCCCCAAACAGGCATCACGCTCAATGTGGGTATACCTTGCATTGTCGTCCATCATGGTGGGCCCCGAATCAAAGCGTGTATACAGTACATTGGGAACGTGGAGGGTGTAAGTCTCAATAGGCCAAGGGTGTGTATGATTAAGTCTGACTATGCACCAGTTAGTGGGCCCTCGAGTAGGAGTGATTTCAAAAGACTTCATCGGCACTAGTGTTCCAGCATTATCGACGGGCACGTATCTCGGACGCCACTATTTCGATGTGCCTCCAGATGATGGCAAAGACTTCGCATCAGGCCGCACTTGTGCGGAGTTGGACCTGCAAGATTCTCCGGAGCGAATCAATCACAAGGCGCCCGCGACTGCCCGCTATTGCAGAGCATTCTTCGTTCGACCTTGCGATATCTTGGTCGTCCTCGGAGGCGCCCTGTAGCCCGACGTCACTCATACTAAATTAAATCACTATATGACTATCATATCACGCATGACTATCCGATGTGATGCTTTCAGTGACTTTTGACTTGTCTTCTTGTGTGATGGTCAGAGTTGGAATGGTACCATTGCAGGCTCTGCGCTGATGGGGTTCCATAGGGTTACTTGCCAATCAACAATCGAGGTAAAATTTGGGAGAAACTCTTACTCTTACTTTGCTAGCCGAGATTGTTGCGATCAGGGAAATCGTTGTCGCAGCTTGTCGAAACTGCATCTGGTACTGTTAAATAGTTCCCGTGTTGGCACAGACAGGGTCATTGGGTATACAGTGCATCAGGAGGTCTAGCTGTAAATCACAATGCCTGTGCCGCTATGATAGATGCAGTAGTAGTGGTACCAACCGAGCGCAGGTCGGCCGATTTGAGCATCTATGACCTCTACACCATCTGCCCTCTTTCCTCCGGACCTTCAGTTTGCCTGCTGGGTCCACATCACACTCTGTTCAAGCTTTATCTGGTCTCTCCAAGGTAGTTCGGCGCTCATCAATCTCTTGAGCTCGATGGCCACAGAGCGAGGCGGGCCTTTCCACTGTTGACTCATAAGCACCAATTTGTCCAATTACGCAGCCTCAAATCGATTAGTCCCAACTACATCCAGCTTACACTTCTGCAATCGGACATCGGTTCACCGGAAGATAAGAGATTGTAAGCCGGCTGGAGGAACAGAGCTAGCGCACCGGATGCCAGAGGTTAACAAATCCACAGCTGTTTCCTGGACCAACGATGTTCAGCCAACGGGTACGACAGAGGCAGAAGATAGAAGGTGCGTTGACCAATCCATATGCTCGATTTCGAGCATCACTATTCCAATCCTCGGTCAAAAAAACAAAACAAAAGCAATGGGATACATGTCGGTCAAGGATCGACCACCATTCAGAACTCCATCAATTGCCCGCTGAATCGACCACTACAGGTAAACCGACCCAAACCCATGCCTGATATCTGAGAGATTGTAGAGAGGGTGCGGAAGATTAGAGGTTGAGCTTCGTGCGTCGCCAGTGTCGTCGCTTGGCGTTGTACTACGGGTGAAGAGTCAGCTTGAGTGACAGAAGAGAGCATCGCCCGCAGAACCCCGTGGGAAATTTTAGAGAGATAACGAACCTGGATCTTGTCTGATGATGACAGTCAGCGAATGAATTCATGGCTTGCAAGCAGACTTACTGTCAGTCTTGAGACGGAACCATTGAGGAAGTGGTCGGTTCTGACGAGCCTTCTTCGCAAGCTTCTGCTTGACAATGAACGTTTTTTGAGAAGGCTATACAGGAAGCGAGTTAGCGTGTCCAAATGCATTTTGAGGTCGACTGTCCGACCACGGCAGGAATGGTTGAACGGAAGACGAGGTGATTTGGGGCTGAGAAGACAACCGGAGAGGAGACTGGTGGAGAAAAGACCTACCATGGTAGTCCTGGGGGGAAACTTGTCGTTTACTCGATTGTGATCGCCCACAGTTCTTTTACCACATCTTTGTGGAATGCCGCTAAACTCCGGACGGCTTTAAGTTGTGGCACTGTGGCACATACATCGCGGCGACGACGCCAGCAATATTACATAACACAATCTTCGCGGCGGCCGGCGCGGCGCATATCATGGTTCATGGCCTGGCGAACAGGCGAAGCAACCACCATGTATGAGAATGACTACCAGTCATATCACAGCAGCTACTGTCTCTTCGTTTTTTTTTTTCTCAAACATCGCTGATACCTCCAAGGTGTCAGACTCTCAACTGATGGCAAACTTATCGTAGCAGTCTAAATGACATGATATCGCGGTACAGCCGAGGCGCACTTTGTGCGTACAAGGTCATATCGATCCTGGCAGGCCTTTACGAGCTATCACAGACGATTGTATGCTCACTTTACAAACAGCCAGCTGAGTCTTCTATGGCACGCCAAAGGGTAAAATTTCATTTTCATTTTTTTCTTGGCTCGATCTTTCTTTTTCCGTGCTTTCTGGTGACCCCTTCAATATGGCAATACCGTAGGCATGTACGATCGGTCTATCCCTCACCCATGGGCTGCTCCCTCTTAGCTGGCGAAGCCATGCATATCCTCAGCACCGCATAGCGCACCACTTGCCTCGTCCACCACCTGCCACCGACCAACAGCCCAACGGTGTAAAGGGTAGGATAGGTGAGGCGTAACCTAAGGGCGGTTACGTGGTGGATCTGACTAGGGGCGCCAGATGTCGACCTTGAATAGGCTGGAGGGATGAAGGATGGATATAGGTGAGGAGGTTATTACGAGAATACATCGATGGGGAAAAGGATACGGAGACGCGGCACGATATATATATGGGAACCTCATCTCGCAATCCAGCCTACGCATCCCTGAGACCATAGCAGCAACCCTAGTCACCGAACCCTGCATCCAAAGTACACGTCACAACATCTGTACCAATCCCTTAGAGTAAGATGTATTGATTATAATGCGCTTCGTTAGTCTATGTAGCGTGCTAGGCGCCTGCACGCCCCATGGACTCCTTTTAGCTTTGCTCGTCTCCGTCTTCGTCTCCGTCTTCGCTCCCGTTACTCGTTCTCGTTCTACTCCTCTCTTCTAGTAAGGCTGTCCGACGTACGTCGACACGCCCATATTCGCTACCCTGACCTTCTTCCACCCGTCTGCTCTTCCTTATTGTCTTTAGCCTTTTCGTACGCTTCGCTGGTCGACTTGTACCCTTATTCGCTTCGTGCCGTAGACGTATCACGTAGTCGCTCCGTCTATCGTCTCGTCACTTATTCATGTATATAAGAAAGGCTGGGTGTTGGGACAGAGACCTCAAACCACATTCTTTGACTCTCTTCTCTCCCCTCCTCCTCTTCTTTAACCTGTACCACTCCTTCCAAGACCTCATCCAAGCGCATCCGTGTCTTCCTCTTCACGTACTTGGACTCAACCCTCAACTACACTTGGTGATAACTTCAGCTGTCCCCCCAGAGCAGGCCTGATCACCACAGTCTACTCCCGACAATCCCGACGACCAAATGAAATGAGTCGTCGAAAGTCTCAAGCCCGGGCCGTCAAGCAATGATGGAAGAAGTCGCGGACGTCTGCAAGGAGGTAGAGTACTCATGCACTATTATAAATCTGCATAGCAGAAAGAACTACTGAAACCCGTTCCTCTTGACTCGCGTGTCATACGTCGCCATATAAAAAATCGGAAGCCATACTAGCTACATATACAAGTGTGGCGTCAGTATATCATATGGCGATCAAGTCTGTGGCCGAAAAGAAAAAGACCCACTAGGAATTTCCGCTTTCTAGGCGATGACACAAGAGTAGGTGATACCTCCGCCGCTACCGTAAGCCTCCTCGTTGCGGGGGGCCTCCACGTTGGCGGCGACAGAAGAGGTAAGGGTGGTGAAAACAGCAGTGAAGGCGTCCATTGTAGTGGTGGTTGTGGTGTTGGGTGTTGGATTGGAAGGTGTGGGGGTGGTGTAAGATTCACATCTGGGAGGCCTGCTTATATAGTGCCAGACAGTACTCTATGTTACCATCCGCCAATCGACGAGGTGAGCCTGTTTCAAACGGGTCGCTGCCGAAGAACAATAAGAGTGCCGCGCGGGGCTGCCGAAGAGGAGCAATAATAAGAATGCCGCACGGGTTGCCGAAGAACAATAAGAATGCTGCGCAGGGCTGCCGAAGTCCTGATCTTGACGATGGCAATGGCTTATGCGTCTGTTTCACATCGAAGATCCTGAAGATCCTGAAGAACAATGGGAACAGATACGACTTTTTGAAAAGGTCTAAAGCTTGGTCGGCAATGATCCTGCCGGAGGGACGTCTTACATGTCCTCCTTAACTTCTTATTACGCCTGGCCACAGATGCTTATACGTGCGAAGGCTGGACGACGTTGACAGCATGTATACACAGAATAAACTTGCTGACCAGTGTGGTGGACATCTCGTCGAAGAATTGAACAACATATATACGCTCTACGCAATACACTTCTGCCGGAACGGCTTTGCCGTCTGTAGACCAGACTGTAGTCTGGAAAACAAAATAGTCCGTCTCTGATTGCCCTCTGGCCCCCTGGGTGATGTGACCTCAATGGGTCACTGCACCATATCAGAAGTCAGAGACCCCCAAAAGAAAGCGGGGAGCATCTGTAGCTTTGCCGAAGAACAATGGGCAAGCTCATTGGCGGAATGGCGGAATGGCGATACACGATGATGCCGAAGAACAATAAGAAAGCCAGCCAATTTTGCCGGCCGAGCGCCAATACCTATACGGTGACTGCGCCATATGTACAAGCGTAATCACGACCTGAATACCGAGCTACGTATGTATTCCAGTATTTGCGTTCATTTCGCCACTTCAAATCAGGACTTCGGCAGCCCTGCACGGCATTCTTATTGTTCTTCGGCAACCCGTGCGGCATTCTTATTGTTCCTCTTCGGCAGCCCCGTGCGGCACTCTTATTGTTCTTCGGCAGCGACCCGTTTGAAACAGGCTCACCTCGTCGATTGGCGGATGGTAACATAGAGTACTGTCTGGCACTATATAAGCAGGCCTCCCAGATGTGAATCTTACACCACCCCCACACCTTCCAATCCAACACCCAACACCACAACCACCACTACAATGGACGCCTTCACTGCTGTTTTCACCACCCTTACCTCTTCTGTCGCCGCCAACGTGGAGGCCCCCCGCAACGAGGAGGCTTACGGTAGCGGCGGAGGTATCACCTACTCTTGTGTCATCGCCTAGAAAGCGGAAATTCCTAGTGGGTCTTTTCTTTTCGGCCACAGACTTGATCGCCATATACTGAAGCCACACTTCTATATGTAGCTGGTATGGCTTCCGATTCTCGATATGGCGACGTATGACGGGCTAGTCAGAAGAACGGGTTTCAGTAGTTATTTGCTATGCAAATTTATAATAGTGCACCAGTCTACCTTCTTGCAGACGTCCGCGACTTTTATCAATGCTTGACGGGCTTGTAAACTTATTCATTTTGCCATAGACTGAGCGCAGTAATGGCCAACATATATTACATGCACAACGGTCAAATCACCAACAGATGCTGATATGCAGAAGCCAACTCGTGCCCCGACGGCCGGGGTTGACCGAGTCACAATCAAGTATGTAATCGCGCGAAGGTGATCAACGTACGACCGCACGATCACTGCCTACCAGTAGACTCTCAAACAAACCAACCGCAGAAGCCTCGTTCCTAAGCTGTATCATGTAGACCACCCCAGTCCTTTTCCCTCTGTTTGAGATTTCCACTGCCACACCTGTCTTGGCCACCCTTTCTACCCCGTCTGTCAATACTATGGTGGAGACGAGCATCTGCTTCGATGCGGAATCAGATTCCACAACCAGCTGCTTGACATTGCCTTTCGCCTGGGAATACAGCCTGAGTTTACCCGGGCCAAGAGACTTCCATTGCTGGTGCGACTGCTTGATGAACACCTTGCACTTCATCTGAGCTGACACGGTAGCAGGTCCCGCCAACGTGCTTGGTTCTTCTTCCTCCGGCGAAGGGGGTGGGGTATCATCATCTGCGGAAGACTCAACCCAGGTAGAGGAATCGCGGCCAGGAAAGTTGTTTTGGAACACTGCAGATGGGGGTTCCACAAGGCGCTTCGGCCCAGAAGGGTGCCGTACAGCATGCTGTTGGGGTAATAGCGCGTTACTCTGATCGAGATGGGCGCCCGTAGCGACTAGACCTGAAATGGCTGAATGGGATGCAGGTGCCCTTTGATCTGAAAGTTGAGGAGTAGCCGCACGGCTCGAAGGAGAGCGGACAGAAATAACTCTGAGCACCGCCAACATACATACGTCGCGCCCTGGCTATTCACTAGAAGCACGTCAGGATACACCATGCTCATACAAGCCCAAGCCAGAAATGGTCAGCTCCCGACCCCACAAAGAAGAGAACAACGATTTGGAGAGGCAGTGACCGAGTGCCACCTATGCAGCGACCCCGGACCAATCGACGAACAGCACATATTTGTCACTTGCAACGGCACGAGGCATATAAGAGAAGAATCAAAGGCACAACTGAAAGAATATGAGAGGAAGCTCAAGATCAACATGGGAATAGCCGACACCTTATTCGAAAACAACCAATCCTGGATCGACAACATGGGGGCTAAAGTGTTAGCCGGAGTTATCGGGAGGAGGATGGTTGTGGCGAGCACTGTGTGGTCTGTTGGCGTGCCTGCCCTTGTGTGGCCTGTTCCGTTTAGAATTGCTTGCGTTTCGGCTTGTGGTCACTCTCTTCTTCCTCTCATCTTCTCCTTATTCTTCTTCACTATTCTTGCTCGTCACCTGGCCCTTTTTCTACCCTACAGCCGAGGTTTTGGATATGTCGCGCCTAACATAAGCATTTTATTATTAAGGATTTCAGAATTCACCGTCACGTCTTTCAGCTCATTGCTCGCTCATGCATACAATTGGGAAGCTGTGACTTGGCAGTATTATTGTAGAAGAGGAACGGCTGCGTCCAACGCCACCCTCTACATCCTTCTGCATGTTCTGTGGGCTGCTGTAAAGCCGCTGGCGTCCAGCTTGCAAACGACCAAATCACAGAATTCATATGCAGGCACGGCGTCTGCACCAAAAATCGCCGTTCCTGACTGACATAGTGAGCCTATATAGGCAACGGTTGGATGCAGAACGAAACGGTAAGCACAGGTGTGCACCAACTGCTGCTAACTACATGCTGTGCGAGTTTGAAGGCTGTATCATCTGATCTGCATGAGTTGTGGCCAAACGGGTGCGACGGAATCAAATATTGAATTCTGAAATCCTTAATGCTTGTGTTGGGGGGCGACCACATAGGGGTCTACAAGAGTGCATACACTAAAGCATGCACCACCGCCAGCCGCATATGGGGACACTGGGGGAAGACTAGGCAAGTACATTAAACAAGGACAACGGACACAACGACTGAGCCATGAACAGCACACCACCGAAAGAAACCAACAAGCAACCTCAAACGACACTTGACATCACTGCACTGCTGCGTACACCGCACACCACCGCCTTTACTTAAGATATACTTGCACGCAAGGCTCGCGCACCCGCAACGCACCCGTCATCCCAAAATCTACTAATCTACTAATCTTCTTCATATGCAAACTAGATAGCCTAACCTTCCAATAAGTGAGCCAGGGACATCGAAAGATACTTCCCTGTGAAGCCGCTGAACAGTACATTGTGATTATTTGCCATGAAGTAAATGATTATGTATTGTACCAGCTGCCACTTTGGGCCGTGTCTATCTTGTTAGCGGTCCTGGAGAGATGATGGCTTGGGAGGCGCAGAAAAACATCGACCTTCGTCCGCCCTCTGTTGGTTATCAATGGACAACTCTTGTTCGCCAGGGCTTCCTTGATGTTTCCAAGGTCTACCGTTACTGTGTCAGCAGAGTGTCGACGCTGAAGATAGTGCCCGATGATCTTATACGTACACTGATAGGCTAGTCCCGCGCAAGTATCCCTCACTGACACTCTCCGTATGTGCTGTCACACTCTCAAGACTCATCTCTGAGCCTTGTTGTCGGCAGTGAATTTTGCTGTGCTGAAGAAGATTGTCGTTACGGCTGAACGTTCGCCGACAGATAAGGCAAGAGTAAGGCCGTTCGTCAGTGTGGCTACCGATATGGCGCCGCAAGTGCTCCGAGCGTTTAAAGGGGCGACGACATGTAGCATAAGGACAAACGTGTCCGAAACTTGATGACGGCCCGGAGGCCTGAAGTGGAAATATCTGATCAGACGGAGGGGGCTTCTCGTGGTGGTAAGGATCAAATATCCTGCTGCCTACGGCTGTTCAGAAAGGGTCAAAAGTCCGCCCGCAATCTTCATGGCCTCGTATCACTCACGCGAATGTGTTGCCCGAGCACTCAATGCTTCATGTGAAGGCGCCGGCTCCGTCTCGTAAGTCTGAACAGGGGATGTCCGTTGGCCCAGCAGCCTTGAATTTGGATCAACACTGACATTCGGTTCCATAGGGATGACATGACCGATACCATGGCGGCGGCTAGTGTTCATCGTATCTCTGGAAGGTGAGGTAATGATAGATTGCTGGCCTAAGGGCGCAAAGTATACTTGCGCATCATGTTGCACGTCGACGTGACATAGATCAAGAGCTCGGGGGTCTGCGTGTGTATCGAGTGCGTCGGTAGCAGACTGAAGCGTCGGTACCAAGCGAGACTTCTAAGCGAATCACCCGGGTCAGCCGATGGCATGATCCCTGACAAATCCGCATACCGTATACACTGGATTACGCTCCAAGATATATCTGCTGAATTGCTCGTAAAGACTTCGATGTGGATCATATCTGAAGACAGAGTCAGCGATCTGATATCACTCTTATGATAGTTGAGATGGATTACCTGAAACTGCTGGCGGGCTCGCCAACAACAACAGATGTCGGCTCTTGACCGGCCTTCTCGCGCTTCAGATCCCTTTCCAAAGCGTCCAAAAATAGTCGATCATGAGGTACTGAAAACCTACTTTGTGATCAGCTTTCAACTCGACTACCCATCGATACTTTCGTCTCCACTCCGTCTTTCGCGAGAATCACTTTTCGCAATTTCTGCTTAAGATATAGCCAGGCTTACCAGTAGAATACCTTGATAATGATATGCGTATTGTGAGTTGGATAGGCTGGCTCTTGCAAATGACCTGTAAGGAAGACATACCTTTTGCTGTGGATCGTTAGTACGACAGTCATTGTGGACAAAGAGAGTAGAAGAGCGTACTTTCTTTTGCGTTCTGATACAGCCTTTACGGAAGAGAAAATCCAGCAGAGGAGACCTTTGTATTTCCATCAGCCTTTCTGGTTTTCAGACCTATTGCTCGTGCACCAACTTCGGCCCTTCCAGCGTTGCGTCCACGCCAGCTTTAAGATTTCTTAAGTCTGAGAAGACGCCTTCTTCCCACTTGCGCGTGCGGCGAACTGGACGGGAAAATGCCTCAAAGCGGAAGGCCAGAGCTCGTACTGTGAACGTAGTATGATATCAGCTACTACTTTATCAATTGGGTTTGAGTCCATACCTATATCAGTCCCAGAGATATGATATAGACCATTCCATAGCACACAAGAGACATTCTCTCCGTTTGGCAGTGGAAATTGAACCATGCTAGCGCGTTGCTATCGGCACCAAGCTCTGAGTCAACGGAAGCGCTCGTGATCGCTGACCACTCACCTGAGCTTGCGGACCCGACCATTGTGTGGGAGCCGTAGTGAGGAACTAGGGATGTACGAACCGTTAGCTATATGGTTGAATTAGAAGGAAGTCGCATACGTATTGGAGTTGGTCCATAGTCTGTATGCGAGCCCTTTCAGCATCATTCGGGGGCCTGGGAGAGTGAAGCCGAGGAATGGGAAGTAGACAAAACTCATCAGCAATGACCGATGTCCTTTGACGTTTTGATGAGTGTTTATTTGCATTGAACATAGTATGTACGTACTTCGTTGTTCCCTGTTTGTTGTGGGAAGCTGCTGGCCCAGTAGAAGGCTGGCCCTTCGACGAGGCAGATCTACCTCCGGGTGCTCGTGGCATCTGTCGAGCAGACCCAATCAGTGACTAAGGCGGTCGGAGATGGGGCTGCACTGGTGGTGAGGGTGATCGACCACAGATTGTAAATGGAATGGTATTGGTGAGGCGGTGTAATATCAAGAGCAGGTCTTGGTTTTGCTTGCCGGTATGTCCGTATAATTGAGTCGGGTGCGCAATGCGTAGGTTGAGCAGAGTAGTAAGCGTTATATCCAGCTATTCTGTGGCTGACGGCTTCAGAAATGCCAAATGGAGCTTGGTCACAGGCCACAGCAGCCCGCATGCCGCATGCAGCATGACAGCAGCAGGAGGAGGAGGCCGCCGCACGAAGGAGAACAATTACGTAAGGGACCACTGTACACATTTGTGCATTTATTGAACTATTGAATGCATATATTATGTAGGATGGTACACATACTCGCACTGTACTCGTGCAGTAGTACTACTAACACACAGTAGAAAGAATTCACGATAGTGGATGAGTAGGCAGTAGGTCTAGTACACTGTATGTACACAGGCGTAGCTGGTGCTCCCGTCCGGCGCGTCCGGGCTGTTGTTGGTTGGATGATCTAGGCACGACGTCAGGGTTCACCCTGTGTTCCTGGAACTGTGTATCGATTTCTTATTGTTCTTTTTCTTTTGTTCTCAGCAACAGCAATCAGCTTTAGCTAGCTTATTAGCACTATGCGCTGCATCCACGCACATATAACATCGAATTCGTTCACGCAGAGCGCCTTCTATTTTGGTCAGACCTTCCACTGATCTCTCGCTTGCTCCTCGCCCGTTCTGCCGATCCCTGCCCAACTCGTATCACTGCCAGCGAACTCGCCATCATCTTTGGCGCTCTTATCACCTGTCTTACTCTTCCGTGCGTTTCATTCATCGAGGTCTGCGATATCGCCGCTGACAATCCAGCCTCAGAACCCCAGTCCCCACACATACTTCAGCATGCGCCATCCCGACTATCCCGTCTGGAACTTCCTGGCTCTTGTCTTAGTGTTGTTGCCAGCGCCTTGGCACTGGCGAGCTAAGAACATTGCTACGATGGCGCTGGTGCTGTGGCTAGCCATCTGCAACCTGGTGGGGTTCGTCAACACCCTTGTCTGGGCCAATGATTACATAGACCGAAGCCCAATATGGTGCGATATCAGTGAGTCCAGCTCGTGTTATAAAATCACTGTGATGACTGACGAATACGCATCTCTCAAGGTAGCCGGGTGTCGCTTCTTGCCGCTTACGCTGTTCCCCTGTGTTCTCTGTCACTGATGCGGAGGCTTGAGTCTGTGGCCTCCACTCGCCGCTCTGTCATCACAGTTGGATCCCGCACCAAACGAATATGGGAAGAGGTCATATTGTGCGTCGTCTGCCCAGTCATTCTCGCGGTCCTGCAGTACGTTGTCCAAGGCCATCGGTACGATATAATCGAAAGCATCGGGTGTAACAATCCTACTTTCATGTCTGCACCTGGACTTATCATACGCTACGTCATCCCCATCGTTCTGTCGGTGAGCTCTCTGGTCTTTGCCGGTGGGTCTCTTCTTCTCCTAGGACTTGTCATTTACAAGCAAGCACATACGCTGACAGATTACTGTCTTCAGCTTTGGCCGTCCGGTGGTTCTTGATTCGCCGTCTACAATTTCGCGCGATATTGGCTGCTTCAGATTCCAATCTGTCCATCAGTCGTTATATCCGACTCATCGCTCTGGCCGTGACCGACAGTACCGTGGTTCTTGTGGCTGTGGTCTACTCGTCTGTCAGTGCCCTGACTGATGACTCATCCCCCATGGAGCCCTATACCAGCTGGTCTTCTGTCCATTCGGATTTCGGACAGGTGTCACAGTTTCCCGAAGAATTGTTCGCCTCATCATGGGTGACAGTGGTTCTCATTGTTTACGCCCCTATCTTGTACTCGATCCTTTTCTTCACGTTCTTTGGGTTTGGTGAAGAGGCCATCGTAGAATATCTGGCCTTTGGTGAGCGGGTGGTGCTGTGGATGGAGAAGATCGGATTGAAGCAAAAAAGGTCAGTTCATTTGGTCACCAGCAATGATATAGCAGCTGAACAAGATATTAGTTTTGAGCCGGCTTTCGGCACTCGACCCCTCAATCTTGGCTCGAAGGTTGTACCCGCAGTGACTGCTAGTCATGCTGAAGGGGTAGTGAGGGATGATGTTAGCGAGAAATGTTTCCAGGGTTTAGAATCCAGGTCAGATCTTGCACCGCTTTCGCATGGCAGCGTTGGCGTTGGTGGCATCACCGTCAAAGTCGAGCGATCGGTTGTATAGGGCCGACCTTACGCAACACATGTGAATAATATGGTTGTCTTTCTCTCGTCCTATGTTCATGCAGTGCAATGTTCAGCAACAACGCCCGACCCAGATTGTCTTCACAAGGAGCTCTGACTTTGTTGATGGAACATGATCAGCCGCACAGCACGTGTGGGAAGATGAAGGTGCTATCAGTTGTAGATTTGCATTGAAGTAGCGACAGGCTGGTTACTCGGTATACCGATTTTAAGGCGATATGTGCAGGTGGTATAGCGCAGGGTACGTATAGACACGACACAAAGATATGTTTTATCGAGTACGCGGAGCCGATCAGAACTGGAAAAGAAGTACTGGTAGCGTCAGGTGCGCAGGTGAGCTCCGGTCGTATTAGCGACAAATCAACTCACACCAAGGATTGAGAACGATTGGGTATAGAAAGTGGCAACAAGCCTGAGCCATGAGTGGAAGAATGCAAGTGAAATTTGTTCTTCGAAACGTCAGCGAACAGTTGCTTGGTCGATATGAGGTAAGACCCACATTCGATACCCAATGGGTACGATGGGAGAAGCCATGAAGGCAACTCCGAGGATTATGGCCCATGAAATGAGCCAGATGTCCCAGAACCGTTTCCACATCGCAGGCCATTCTTTGAAGAAATGAGAGAGCTCGACCTCCTTAACCGTTGAAGCCCATTGCATGTTGTACCCCGTGAGATGTGCACATCTACAGGACGTTATCAAGTATTCTTGTGATGGGACAGGACATGCACGATGATAAGACTTACAAGGCAGTGGTCAAGTGCCATGACATTCCGCAAAAGAAGAAGAAGAAGAAGAAGATCCATTTGAAATTCTGGACCAAAGCGTTTCCGATGGAATTTGTATTCAAGCGGTATTGAAAGATGGCGGATGAGACGTTGGAAAGACCGCAAAAGATTACGATACAAGTAAGGAACACTTGCCATGATTCGAGGTAGAACAGATCGAGGGAGTCGTCAAAGAGGCCAACGAGAACCCAGTTCAGAGTCGACAAGATCATTGCGCAAGCAATGGCGTAGTATCTACATCACTCGACTCAGCCAGTCCGTCCATAATTCAATGGTGGAAGTATTGGGAGACTCACGACGAAATATAAGCAAGGACTGAGATCTTGGAATGCAATGGTATGCTTTCAGCCCATACGAAAGAGTGGAACAGAGGCGTGATGGGACCCTTGGTGAACCAAAGCCTGAAAGGTTGGAAGAGAAGCTCAGAGCACCCGTAGGCGTATTTTTGCCAGCGATTGAGCTTGACCAGAGCATAAGCAGGAGGCGACATATAAGAGACGGTAGCTCACCTCGTCATCTGCGGTCAACGACACACCCTCCTGAAAGCCTCCATCGGAATAGCTCGCCCAGCGCAAGCTCCAGCCTCGCAATTGAAGACGGAGAGCCTGGTCAAAGTCTTCTGAGACATGACTTTCGGACCAACACTTTCGCAGCCCGTCGTCCGGGTCGATGAAACTGGCGTCCTGAATGGCAGCCCAACGTAGGAAGGCGTTGTGGCCCACGAATGGCGCTACTTCTCCGTTGGCAGCACAAAATGATATGGCTGTGTTGATCCGTGTTGTAAAGGAGGTGATTCCGTTTTCGAAGAAATGCCCAACAACTTGCATGACAGCTGACTCATGCTGGATGATTGCAATATTGGGCGAGTTTTTGAATTCGCTGAGGGTCTCTTGAGCTTATATAACGTCAAAGTCATAAGCACTTACGATGCAGCGTCCAGAAAACAGTCTTCTGGGACCCTGGTGTCTGAGTCAATGATGAGGATTAATTCACCGACGCGGATATTGCCTGCAGCCCAGGCGATTCCGTCCGACTCCTCGAGAACTTTTGACAGTGCTTCTCCAAAGATTTCGCGCTCGTCATCGTCTGTCCAGCCCCATTCGGGATCATCCGACTTGTCCTCGCTTAGAGGTCGCAATTCGTCCATGATCTCCTCAACACGAAGGGACAAACGGATGCCAAAATTCATGTTGGATGCCTGTGCAAGCTGGTTAGGGTATGTGTGACAGTGATGGGAGCTCCTCACCTTCTTGAAACGACCCTTACGAATGAAGCCGTCCTTGCCATGTTTTGGCCGAGCCGTCCAACCGATATTGTTACGATCGTAGTAAGCCTTTCTGATCTCCTGTTCCTGTTCCTCCCATAACTGCATACCGTCATCGAAAACAAATATGTTGACTGATCCGCCCTGACGTTCGTATCTGGTGGTCCATATTAGCATGATGTTTGGTTGTGCAAGTGTCAAAGAAACTTACGTGGTGATGGCCTTCTTGAGTGACTCGACGGTTGGAATTATGACACCTTCCAAGCCCTCCTTGTATACCGGCATCTGGATAGTGATGTGGGGTAGTCGGCCAGATATGCGCGAGGGGCCTTTCCCGGAATAGAACGCTGAATTCTGCTGACACTGGGCGACTGGCCCAAACATTTGCCAAAGGTTCCCCATCACGCAGATAGAGAAGAACTGTGCGGGTGATGTCAGTGCATCACCTGCGTTGGGGCCTGATTTACTCACGATGGACAGAAGGTAACCAAAAGGAGATGATGCTATGAGAGCTATTCGAGTGTAGGATCCATCCAGTAACAACTCCTTGATCAGATTGCCTTTCAATCAAGAAGACCGTCAGCATTGCCCACGTGAAGTGCAACGATTGCAAGAAAAGACTCACGTATGCCAGAACCAATGAAAGCAAATGTCAGGATCATGGCCAAGCCAGATATCAGGGGGGCATACAGCATCATTGGCCTTTTGTCTCTCATTTCCCACTCATCTCCCGGGGCTCCGACCTGATCTTCGAGGTCTCCCGCCAACGCCCTTTCCTTCTCGGCGTCTCGGTCGAGCCATCCTTCTTCATCCTCTCGCTCGTCGGAAGACTCGTCTTCCTCAGCGCCAAGGAGTTGGAATTCTTGATGTCTTCCTAACCACACATACGCAATCATTCGCTGCTCCAGAGCTTCTGCAGACGGTATCAGTGTTTCGACTTCGTCGGCCCAAACGACCAAACAGGCTTCAGATCGGACAAAGGCTGCGAACTGATGTTTTCGAGCGCCTGCTAGTTGGGAAAGATCGTCCAGGATTTGTATTCGAGTGTTGACATCGAGTGTAATTTCAATAGCCGAATCGTCACTATGCCAGTGAATCATGCGTCTACCATACCACTTTGCACTCACCATCTCGCCATGATGGCTTGCACAACTTTACTTGTGATCTTCATGACAACCTCCGGGTTCAAGGTTGATATCGCTGAGTCCCATTCCTTAAGGCGACGGCTGGTTTCACGGGCCTTTTTGGTGCTTGCTTTGGGCTGTGGGAACGTCCTGAACACCTTCTTCTTGACCCTGACAGGTGTCAGCTTTGTGTACCTCAAAAACATACACCCTCACCTGATCGACACTATGCCATCAGATAAGCTGGTTCTAAACCAGCCTTCCCTATCGCCCACGTTCCATAGATGTCGTACCATCATGTCGTATCTGTCTCTCGGGAGATCATCCTCGCCATCGTCACTACTGGAGTAGTAGCCGCTGCTTGAGGCAGCCAGACTTTTCCTCTGTGATTCTCCGGACGAGCCGTCAAAGGAGTCAGTCGCCGATGATGCTCCACGACTCGAGAGAGAGGTGGCATCAGACAGCTCCCATGATGCTCGTGATGACTTCTCGTCTTCAAATTCCGCCAAGGAGTGTTGTTGCGACGACTCTGTAGGACGGCGAGGGATATGTGATGCCGGGATGCCCTGGCCGTTTGGAAGAGTCGGGAGAAAGCTGGACGCAGCAGAGGAAAATCGGCGAAAGAACGCCATGATACGGCCACTGAAAGCTGGAAATCGTCAGTCACAAGATGGTACAGTTTTGACGTGCAGAGCTCACGGAATATGCGTTATCAAGAGCCCCCAGCTTGGCAAGATGCACACACGTAAATTTGGGGCACGTGATGTTATATGTGATATGGATGGTGAAGTGGCCGAGTACACTACTCGTACCGAGAAGCGTATGGTAAGCGTATGGTAGGGGAGCTGTCGTTCCAAAGAATGGCTTTGATGAGGTGTTGGGTATGGCCTGTTGAGCCAAGTGCTGCAGCGGAAGGGTTGGCTGCTGCTTGGCTAGTGGTTGTGAAAGAGATTTAGGGCTCTCCCAAGACGGTGCACTTGAAATGGAATGGAGTGAGACTTTGGTATGTACTTGAGATGTTGAGACTGACTTTCGTTGTTGGAGCTTGGTTGGAGCTTGTTGGTGATTATTACTTCGGATTTGGTAATTCAGGTATTATTAATCCTTGTTCCTGTCCTGGTCCCTGTTTCCCAAGCCGGAGCCCGAATCCCGGATTCTACTCAGCGATCAGCGGTGAGCGGCATGTATAATAGTGGCTGATTCCCCGCCCATGCTGTACCGCTCCCTGGGGGGTGCACAGCCTGCATACCCAGCCCACCCCGGACCCCAGATACTCCAGCCCCCAGCCCACAGACCACAGACTGCAGTACGTGCCGATAGGCAGCTGTCGATCGGTCGATCCCAAATAGCTCCGTGATCCCTGTGGGCCCTGTGCCCTGCCCTGTAATATGTAAGGCATGTGGCTTGTGATCTGTAATCTGTTATCTGTCCAGTTCGGCCATCTCGACCGCTTGAGCAGCTGAAAGTTCCCAGCTCTGTGCCACAATCCGCCAGAGATATCGAGGCATATGATGTGATTTTGTGAATAGGTGCCATGGCCATGATCAGGAATTCTACAAATGCAGCCATATTATTTACTCGAGATTCAAATAATTCACCGCGCCCGCGACTCCACGAGCGAATTAAAGTATTGTAGTAAGGCCCCGCCCCCTTCTTTGGCAACAACTCTCCATTCAACTCCGACTGCGAAATACATCACGACTGTCTGGCCTCACGACTTCTGGCACTCCTACTGCCCAGAGCTCAGAGTTCTGTCGAAGAAGGCTAGGGAAAGCATCAGGCATTCGTTTTATCCTGTTTACACGCACACTCCGTTACTGGCCAAAAACAACCTGTAAGTCGTGCTTTAGAGTACCGGTCTGCTACCTTTTTACATAGTGACCGCTAACTTTGTGTGGCAGACCACGTTATCTGCTCAAGCTATGGCACTTTCAAGCACTGCATCTCACCGAAGGCGCTCTCTCTTCCCCGGTCCGGCTGCCATCGGGCTTGTACAGCCACCCTCGGGTTCCCCCATCGATCCTACAACCAACATACCTACAATTCACGGTCAAGAACAGACAACTACGACAGGGAGAAGACTGTCCCAGAACATCGTCCCTGCATGGTCAAGAAGACTATCTGTCGGCGAGAGCAGTGAATCTTTTCCACGCCGCGCGATACAGCAAAATGCCCTCGAATCCAGCGCTCGTGACGCATTCTACGATGTGCGGTTGACGATCGATGAGTCAAGTGAAGAAGACGATCCAGGGCTTGTTGCCTATGAGGTCTATGATCCCGTTGGACTGGCGCAGATTTCACAAGGCAAAAGCAGGTCAAGCTCCTCTTCTGTCATATCGCCCGCTGTAGAGATACCGGTCTCTGCTTCTAACCACCAACGACGGTCTGCACAAGGGCAGGAACGCCGCCGACGTCCGCGGAAGGGAATGAAAAAGTTCGACGGTGACTTGAATTCCTTCAATCGCTTTGCTCAAAATGGACTCGCATCGACAGATATTGTTTCGCCGTCTTTGTTCGACTCATCTGTATTGCAGACCCAGCCAGGCTTCATTGATCAACGCGGGAGTGAGTCTGTCGCCGTCCTGGTCGGCGATGGCTTTGATGCCCTCGATGTCATGGGAGATCACATCTTTCGAATTGGTGCTCAGCGCAAGAAGTGGTTCAGAGCCCCCAAGATGGGGTCAAAATATGACTCAATAGCGACTGGTGTCACTATCAGAGCTCAGACCGGCCTATATAGAACATTCCCAGTGAGACACGAAGCTCTAGCCCCATTCGAAGCCGCCATGACACGTCTGAATCCAGAGGTACGTTTCGTCTCGCATCGTGACAATGTGATATGACCACTCACATCGGCTTTACAGATAGGCATCAAAATCAGATCAGATATAGTAAGCTGTATAATGGCTACATATATGTGAGTCAATCATTTACATTCGCAACCCACGTTCTCATCAGATTACATAGCGTCCCTTTTCCTTCCATGTCCGAGCTCGTTATCGATGAGAATACACGCATTCAAATTTTGGACTCTATCGAATTGCTGGCTCGAGCTAGGAAGCATCAATATGCCGCGTTCATTCGATCGGAAAGAGTCCTCTGTGTCTGGGCAGATGACGTCGATATGATCGTCGCTGCTGCCGAAACATTGGAAGAGTCGCTCGTACACTTTGTGTGGCGCGGCGAAGCAGAGAATGCCAAACACAACCAAATCCTTCTTCTAGACGTGGAGAAACGGAAGGGCTCTCCACCACAATGGGATGGAGTCAGGGAATCGGAAAAACCCAAGCTGGTCGGCCCTGTCATTTCAGCGCTTGAAGATATCACTCTAGCTTATCACAACGAAACCGGAGATGAAGACCCGAGCGTTCAACAAATGAAAGATTATTGGCGCGAGCGGCCAGTTATGCTCATTGCACCTCTATCTGATGCCCTCAGTTTGATCTTGGTCATGACCTTGATTGGTTTAGGTCTTCGTGAGTCGTATTTGCTCCACCTTTATGGTTGAGCCTATGATCGTGAAGCTGATTTCAGCAGGTACTCTTGTCAAGGAATATACGTTGGACGGCAAAGCGACCAGATTCTCATTGATCATCTTTACTCCGCCACTATTCTGCATTGCGTCATATGCCTGCATGTGTGTGATCGGGTCCATAGTGAGTCATGCTTTTGGTGTCACCGCTGTGCTAATATCCGTACGCCAGTTCCAAATTCTTGGCCCCATTCGTCAAGTCACTCAAAAATCTAGATATTTCAGTGGTATCGCGCCCAAGCGTACCATGGGCGATTTACCCCATATCACAGTACAGTTGCCCGTGTACAAGGTAAGCCCAACCTACCCTTTAGGATAATGCTCATATCATATCATTCAGGAGTCTCTAGAGGAAGTCATCATGCCAACCATTGAGTCTCTCAAGAAAGCCATCACCACCTATGAGCGACAAGGTGGTTCCGTGGGGGTCTTGGTCTGTGACGATGGCTTGCAGCTTCTCTCTCAAGCTGAAGCTGACCGCCGTCGTCGATTCTATTTCAACAACAGCATAGCATTCGTTGCGAGACCCGGCCATGGAGTGGATGGATTCGTGCGAAAGGGGCGTTTCAAAAAGGCAGGAAATATGAACTTCGCGGCCGCTCTCTCTCTCAGAGTTGAAGAGATCATGGATGACATTCGCCCAGTCAACTCTGTGGACCATCCTTGGAATGACATCGACGAAAACAAGATATACGAGCATGCGTTGGAGATGGCTCTTGCAGAGAAAGAGGGAAAGGCTTGGGCTGAAGGCAATATACGATTTGGCGAAATCATTCTCATCATTGACTCCGACACGAGAGTCCCTGAAGATTGTTTTGCCGACGCCGTCACTGAGATGAAAGAAAGCCCGGAAGTCGCAATCATTCAACACATGTCTGGTGTGATGCAAGTTGCCAACCATTTTTTTGAAAATGGAGTTGCACATTTCACACGAGGCATTCAGCACGCTATCTCTTATTGCTGTGCCAGTGGAGAGGGTGAGTGACATTCAGTCGATAAGGATGCTAGCGTTAGCACTAATGACAAGTCATCACCTCCAGTGGCTCCCTTTGTCGGACACAATGCGTGAGCTTGCCATTCCGAAGAATGAATGGGCCTGAAACTGACACACAAAAGTTTTCTTCGCTGGTCTGCACTGCAAGAATGTATGTCGATTGACCCAGACGACGGCGTCAGCAAGATATGGTCGGAGGATCATGTGTCGGAAGACTTTCAGATTGCCGTGACGCTCCAAATGCGGGTCAGTGCGCCGTGTATCGCCCGCCAGCTTTGGCCACTATTGACTCCTGCAAGGGCTACACAGTACGATGGGCGACTTATAGTGGAGGCGAATTTGAAGAAGGAGTCTCATTAACATGCGATGACGAGCTGAATAGGTGGCAGAAATACGCATTTGGGTGCTCGTGAGTACGGTGATTTACCCAAGATGTGGGATACTTACACCTGTATCTGCAGTGAATTGCTCTTCCATCCTATTCGTCATTGGTTGTATAAAGGTCCAATTACACCCCTTTTCAAACAATTCGTATGGTCAAACATCGCTGTACATTCAAAATTCACCATTTGCGGCTACATCTTTTCCTACTATGCCATCGCCTGCGCATGGTTCTTGTCAGTCGCAAATTACTTCATCGCTGGCTTCGATCGTAAGTTTTGCGATAGATGTTGGTCAGAAGATATATGTGTTGACGACAATTACAGTCCCCGTCGATGGTTACTGTAAGTTCAAAGCGAGAACAATCTGTCTCCGGCAACCGTAACACTGGCACGTAGATCTTCCGTCATGGGAAGTAAATCTGGTTTGCATCATTCTTTTTGTGGGATTGTGTAACGTAGCTTTCATTGTCCTGCGATATCGCCTGAAGATTCCAGATTGTTCCAAGCTCGCTTTCGACCAAATCAAATGGGTCCGTGAGTGGCATCTCTGAACACCCATCCTTCATCATGTATGCTCACAATCAAGGCAGCCTTTTTTTCAATCTTCTTCACAGGCATGTCGATGCCCATGTCGGCCGCTTTGTTCAGCCATTTAGTCGGGTATAACATGACGCGAGTTTTTGCCATTGCAGACCATCACTGGCGATACAAAGCTGATGTCTGAGTCAGATGGTCCACAACCATCAAAACGGTGGAGAAAAGTAATTTCTTCTTGCAACTTCCTATCATATGGCGACGATTCTGGCCCCAACTGGTTTTTTTCTCCGCATGTGCTGTAGGTCGACTTATCAGTCAAATTGATGCTGCTGACTTTGGTGTAGGCCATGATGGTTGTCACATCATCTCCCCTGATGCCCTCCGGATTCCGAGTACATAACATCGAGGTTTATGTCCCTATGGGCATTCTCACAGCGTCGCATCTACTTTATCCATTCGCCCTGAATCCCTGGTTCCTGAGTTTCTCAGTGGGTTCCTACTTTACATTGCAAAACACGCTGATGTTAACATACCACATTCTCCAGTTCTGACCTAGACATCAAAACAGTCCAAACGAACAGACCCAGATTCAACGTACAAGTACGAGTACAGCTCTCTTTTAGACGCCACCAAGGTTATACGGTGATTTCGACATTGGTCAATATGCAGGTCTCTGATTCAATACACTGAATTCTCTCATCTAAACCCAATGCATGGTTCATACTTTCTTTGATGAAACAAATGCCACTCATGCATGGATAAACAAAAGCCCAATCCCCGCTAGCATCACACAGAACGAAGGCGAAACGTATCCTTCATATAGGGGTTTTCAGCATATTAGACCACTGCAACAGATCAGCTGAGTCACTCCACGCATAGATATGTGGTCATGAGACGTACCTTCGGAAATTGCCGTTTATATAGACTCATGCAAATGGTATCCATTTGCTGAATGGGCCCATCAAAGTGAGCTTTGTAATACCCATGAGTTCCCAGAGACTCTTTGATATGCCCAGTTCTGCCATATTTAGTATGAAGCTCGACTGATTTGTAATACTCCACATCTTCCTGGTTGAAGAACATATATCGTATGGTTGCCGTTTTCTTGTGAACCTTGACCGGATGTCCGGTGAGGATCACGCGCTTGGCGATGACACGCGTGGGATCAGACGACATGAAAGTCCCTGTGGCAACAAGGTTCGGTACTAACAATGGGTCAGTCATACACGAGAGAATGCAAAAGCTAGACGTACCGTCGGTCGACCCATCATCTTTGAGTAACAGGCATCCGCTCTGTCCAAACCAGATAGGACCGAATATGCTCATGACCGTGGCTATACCAGGCTTCATGAACTTCTCCGATTTGTGGACATTGTTGACGCCCTTGCTTCCGCTATGCTGTGAGAACAATGGATTGACCAGATATCTTCTTGGTCCCAGACAAAGTTGAAAATCATCCTAGAACAATGTAAGTACAACAATGAAAACAGATATAGCCATTGAAGCCTCACTTTTGCTTGAACCGGATCGGTGTACTCGGTATTTCTTTGGACTACGAAATGGAGCACAGACTGTTTATGCTCATGTCGCAAAAGGCCGTGAACGACCAGAGGCAAAGTAGACTCGATTATAGTTCGAGGAACATCTTTGATGGTCAACAGCACTCGAGTGCCAGTCTGAAAGTTGATCAGGTAACAGCTCGTTTTTGTGCAAAGGCGCACATACCTCGACCCCGTCATGGGCGCATTCATCTAAGGCTTGCTTTCTTGTTGCACTATAGTCCTCAAATTGGAATATCCTTCCATAATCCAGGGGCAGGTCCTCGTACGGATCCCAGGGACTGGTTCTAAAGCTCTTGAGGCCTCTGTAACGCTGGAACCGAGAGCGCGCGGTAATGTGGCGAGGAGTGTCTACCTCATCCGGAAATGAAGAATAGTCTTGGTCGGCATCGGCTTTGCGTTGGATGAACAGGTTGTACCTGGGAGAGGTTGTCAGTTTGAAGGCAACAGCGGCGAACTTGGTTGATGAGGTGATGGAGCAGGTAACGGTACTCACTCCTGTTCTTCTTGTTCCGGGTCAAGATCTCGATGTGGCTCACGCTTGTCCTCTGATGCTTCCAAGTCCTCCATTTCTTCTTCGGATCCTTCTGCCATGCCCTCTCCGTCGTCGACGATCCAAGCAGCTTGATAGGAACTAGTGCCTTTTGGTACCCTCTTCACGGCGATGGGCGCACTAGAAGGTGCATTCATGTCGTAATCGGCAGAGCCAGCCATTTCTTCCTCGGTAGGCCAAGTTTGTTCATTGCCCGAGATATCCGGGGTATTGGTGCTGACTAGATCATCGGCATCCGCAGAAGGTGAAGAAAGAACATTTTGAGAGATAGTAAAGCGATCATCATGCGAGGCGCGGCTCGGTAATGGGGCATCATGGATCTACTTCGTGAGCGCGGATTATAACAGGTCTATAGATGGGCTTACAGATAGGAGTTGATAGTCACCGTGTCCCGGGATATGAACGAGGCGGTCAGCGCTCAAAGTCCCCCCCCCTCTAACGGTTCCAAAGACTGAAAGTTGCCCCACACTTTCGCCATCCTCCGAGATATCATCATTGGGCACCCACCCGATCGCTTGTGCGGATTCAGCAATTAGATAAGGACGCCCATCGACTCGAGTAGCTCCTTTGGGTGCGGATTCGCAGAGTGCTCGGGCAAGAAGAGCCGATTCTTCCGAGGTATCGGAGCTGTGAATCTTTGCGACCGTTGGAAAGAAATATTGAGAAAAGGACAGAAGAGACTTATGGATGAGCTGTTTAGCATCGCGGGTGATGGGGTTGCTTGCAGGCGCCTTGACATAGTGAGTTTGCAATTGGTTCATTGCACAGCAAAACTCACCTGGACACACGAAATGACTTCTCGAGTACCAATCTGGCCCTGAAGACATCGCAGAACAGTTTCGCCTTCCACTTGCACCTCGTCGACACTGCTCAACAAAAGTACCACATAGTCGCTGACAAGCGCGGAATCCAATGTAGGGTAGAGAGACAATGGAGGCAGAAGATTGACTTGCAGTGTCGTCTTGAAACGGGGCGCTCGCACGACGAAAGTGCCCTGTTCTGGGATACGGGTGCGTGTGTGCTGGACTTCGTCCTCAGAGAGACCCAGACATGGCAACAGCTTTTCCAGAAAACACTTGGGAGACAAAGATGGAAGAAAAGGCACAACAGTTACGACACGGGGAGCATGGCCTGTGATAGTATGAGCTGCATGGAATTAATGAGCATTTCTTGTCAATTGCTTACCGCCGTTGCTTGCAGTGGAGAAAAATTTGAGGTCCTGTGCAGTCGCTTTGTGCTTGGAAGATCGCTTTTGAGCATTGCTGTTGAGCCTCGCCTGTTTCGAGGATGTGGTGGCATGTTTGCTCGAATTGAGTGGGTGGGCAGAACTGGCGGGTTTACCTGCTGATCGTAAGCAATCATAGGAGAACAGTGAGGCAGAGCTTCTCACCTTTCGATGCCGCTTTGATGGAGCCTTTTGAGGCATGTTTTGACTTGAAGCCTTTGTTGGCTTGCTTGAGAGTTGGTCTGTGTCGATGGTCTGACATGTTCCCTGGGTGGACACCGCACAAAACCAACAAGCGAATGACTGTTGCAGCAGTGTCCTCTGGACGTAAAAATTATTTGACTCCGTTTGTGCCTTACTTTTGATGTAAACAAGTCTTCGGACGCGGCGCGTACAGTGGTGGGAACATTCCTTTTATCTGCCACCATCGGCCTATCCCATCTTACTGCATACGCTATGGACTACAGGAACCGAGGAGTGTCTTCAGACCAATACGCTGTGCCCGCTTCTGCCGCGAAGAAACTCAGCCGGCTCGGTCCTGCTCGGCAGTCAATGGCTCCTGGTCAGACACGCATCTCTGTGACTGGATCAAGCGCCATGAAGTGAGTAGCGTTGCTTACAATCAGCCCTATTTACTGACAAACACTTTCTAGCAAGCAAATCGATTCGAGAGACCTTCTTCACAGCGGCGCAAAGGGTGATGGGGGCGTCTATGGTCGGACCCCGCAAGCAAGCAGAGGGATGCCAGGCAGGTAAGTTCCCCTGTCGTCGTCGCCCTTCCAATTAGCGTTGGTGCTCAATTGATCCTCCAGAAGGAGTTCTGTGTTTGCTTCCAGTACTCAAGGGCGAGCTTCTCTTGCTCCCGGTGTTTATTCGTCCACCAGTCGGGACAATCGCCCAGTCAGAGACAAGACCTTTCAGGCGCATTGCGCGCGCAACGTCAGCGACTACCTTGTGTCTGCTCATTACCCGGCACCTATCACTGCCAAGACATTGACATCTCCCACAGCAAAAGAGTTTCAGTCGATCTTGAAGTTTCTAATCAACAACTCTCTTGATCCCGGTGCTCCTTGGAGCAAAAAGTTTGAGGACGATACTTTGACTGTATTGAAGGATCTCAAGTACCCTGGATTGGAGACTGTCAGTAAAACTGCCTTGACTGCTCCGGGTGCTCCTCAGTCATGGCCTGTGATGCTCGCGATGTTGAACTGGCTAGCCGATCTATGCAAGGTGGGTCTTTTTTTTTTTGGTCAGGCAGCGCGACTTTGTTATCAATCCTTTACTAACATCACCAGGCTCTGGATCGATGGGACGACCCGGACTGTATGACTGATTTTCTCAAGCTTCCAGCCTCTGAATTACCCCTGGACTTTCCTGGCATAGAAGATCGCCTACTATGGGATTTTTCCGCCACCACCTACGCCCAGTGGTTCGACGGAGAAGCAGAAGAGTTTCAGGAGGCTGAACAGAAACTCGAGGAGGCGTACAGTAAGTCTACATCACATCTATCTTGAGCGTCAGTCACTGATCATATTTGTAGAGCGACTCGCCGCGGCTTCTGTCGGAGAATGCCAGAGGCTTCAAACTCAGATACAAAGATATGACGTTGAGATGCAGCAACTTCAGACACAAGAGGTATGTTTAGAGACGAATGTCAGTATCACAGCTACCGACTGACAAGCACATAGCCACCTCTTAAGCGTCTGGAAGACGAGTATGTCCAATTGATGGGTGACAAGACCAAATTCATCTCATTCTTGGATCTACATCGTCAAAAAGTAGACAAGGTGCATCAACGCGTATTGAAAGTGAAGGAAATTGCAGAGAGCCAAGGTAAGTTGCTACGTCTAAGAGCCAAAGCAGAGAAGCGCAATAAGGAGACAGAGTCAAATGCTCACGTCTGAGACCAGAGCATGAACTCGACAATCGCCGCATGGAACTGGCCAAAATTGAACAAGCCGTCAACGCCCAGAACCTCAGCCCCGACGAGGTCAGCCGTATGAATCATGAACGCGATACCCTGTCGCGTAATCTCGACGAATTGCGCAACAAGATAGCCGAGGCGAGCCAAGTTGCCTACGACCAAGAGATGATGGTGACAAGATCGATGGATCGGTTTGAAGCATTACTTGCCGACTACAACGCTCTTGCGCATCAGCTTGGGCTTATGAGTGCGCCTGCTGAGAGTCCATCCACCTTCACTGGCGCTGCCGACTTTGTCATTGACCTGGACTTGGGCGCCGAGGAACTGGAAGAGATCAAGGCGGCTGGTCTGAATATGCGATCTTCTCTCTGGCAATCACTGCAGACGTGCCGAGAGATGTATCGGCAAGTGGCTCTGGAAGTGGGAAACAGCGCAATTGTCTTGGAAGACGAATACGACAAATTAGGCCAGGGTGTGGAAAGGCAGAAAGAAGAAGTTGGAAATCTGGAAGTCAGGCTCAAGATTGTGCACCAACAAGCAGACGATGCGCATGTCGTGAGTGACGCAATCTAAATTGAACTTGGTGCTCACTATCTGTCTAGCAACTGAACACGGAAAGTGCCGATACCAACAAAGTAATTGCTCAATTGGAAACCGAAGTCACGAACATGTTGGCGGCTAGCCAACAGGGCGTTCTGTCCACCTCTTCGCAGCTTGATAGTACAAGAATAGCGTAAGGCCCGCTGCTTTGAGCACACGTATCCTCGGATTAGGCTAACATCTGATTCAGCTACAAAGAGCTTCGCCACAAAACAGCTCTCCTCCAAGATACTGTGGTCGCTTTGATAGGAGAGCACATAGACGTGATCATCAAAGCTAAGGAGCATGCTGCCAACAGCTTGAAGAGCATCAGGGCGCTGGCGGAGACTCAATGAGAGAGCGGACTCCCCATAAGAGGGCTATGTAATGGCTACGGTCTGATTTATATTATACTCTGTACTTGTACCGGACTTTTGACTCGTGGTGCTGCCTGAATGTTATATATTGGTCTCGCGCCTGCGGACGGACTGCGAATGTGATGCGTCTCGGCACGCGTATCCAGCCTGTGACATGTTCTTTAGCTCAGCGGTGATTCGAATCTCTCTGCATGCCACATGCATGCGAACTAGTAGTCATCTTGCGCTGCCACTTGCCAGTCGCTCTCCAATCTCCACGGACTCAGGTCGCTGTGGCCAGTGCCACTGCGGTTTTCACTAACGCCGTATAATTCCGGATGCGCGGGCGTTGTGATTCTTTTTGTTCTTGCAATCTCGCTGTAGACGCCCAAACGACCGCCATGTCCGCTCAAGACCTCGTAGATTTCTCCGACGAGGAACAGCTTGAAATACAGCAAGAACTGCAAGCCGCCTTCAATGAGATCGAAGAACAGTGCGCCGACTGTCCTCTTTGTCGTTCTCACGCGCTAACGCATCGAATGTTCTTAGGTACGCTGTCAGCACCCAGAAGGGCTTCGAGACCGTCCTCGTCGTCGACGGCATCCCCGTTGTAGACGACTCGAAAAGGGAACGTCTCATGGATCGACTGATCAGTAGTTTCAAGAAAGCAGGCGCTGAGATTGGTGCCGACAATGTGAATATGCCGTGGGACAAGGTTGCCGGCACTAATAAAGGGTACGTTCCTCAGCACTCTGACACGTCATCCTTGCTGATTAGTGGTCGCTGCTCAGGTTCTTGTTTATTACCTATCCCGATGCGCACGAAGCCGCTATTGCCTTCAGCGCTCTCGACGGATTGTCCTTCGGAAAGCACATCCTTAGCGTCAATCATTTCAGTGACATTGAGAAATTCGCCCACTTGCCGGTTGGGGAAGGAGAGCTTCCTACTGGATGGAGGGAAAGAGAATACATTGAAAAGGTGTGTCCCTCATATATCATCTCGTAAATATATCTGACAGATGATGACAGGAGCATCTTCGAAGCTGGCTCGGTGATGGCCAGGGTCGTGATCAGTACCTCACTTTCCAGAACAATGATGTGAGCGTCCTGTGGAATGGCAGGAATGGAATCGCAGAGAGTGTCAAAGGACAGGATGGCAAACCTGTGAAGAACAGCGTATGTGATTGCGACACTTGCTCGGAAATACACTGATTCATGGACAGAAATGGGGAGAACTTTACCTACAGTGGTCGCCGCTCGGCACCCACCTGGCATCTCTCCACCGTGTCGGTGTTGCTTTGTGGTCGGGTCCTAAATTGGATGGTATCATCGGCGTCAATGTCTTGCGTTTTACGCATCCCAATGTTCGCCTGATCCAATTCTCTCCTTGCGAAAACTATCTTGTCACGTGGTCTGAAGACCCCCTACCCAATTACGAAAACCATACCAATGCTGCCCTTCGAGAGACGTTTGGCCCGGACGACGAAGGCCACCAGTATGTCATCTGGGACATCAAAACTTGTCGAGTGCTTCGAACATTCCCCGGCGACAAGTCCGATGATGGTTCTTCTCGAGTGACCTGGCCTGCCTTCAAATGGTCTCCTGACGATGCTTATGTTGCTAAATGCAACACGAACACTGGCATATCTGTCTATGAACTGCCCGGCATGGGTCTCTTGGACAAGAAGAGCGTCAAGATCGATGGCGTCCAAGACTTCGAATGGTGCCCTATGAGTACCAAGGATCTTCAGGCAAAGAAGGAAGGGAAAGGGAAAGACTGTGTTTTGGCCTATTGGACTCCCGAAGCCCAGAATCAACCCGCGCGGGTCAACCTCATGGCGCTCCCCAGCCGGGCCATTTTGAGGTCGAAAAATCTTTTCAATGTTTCCGACGTGAGTTTGTCACATTCTCTTCCATTCGACTTGTTTTCTCATCTCGACATCAGTGCAAGCTTTATTGGCAGGGACAAGGCGATTATCTTTGTGTCAAAGTTGATCGACATGCTCGTAAAGCGAAGTCCAAGAAGGCGACATTCTGCAACTTGGAAATATTCCGCATGCGTGAAAAGGATTATCCCGTAGAAGTGCTGGAGTTCAAAGGTACTTGTCTCGTTCGTGTTCCGTGTGGGAAGGCTGATGTCCCTCTCCAGAATACGTCCCCCAATTTGCATGGGAACCAGCCGGTCATCGATTTGCCATTGTTCTCAACCCCGACATCAACAATCAGACAGCTCCAGCCAAGTACAGCATTGACTTCTATCAACTCGACCAGAAGAAAGGCGACTTTGTGCTTATCAAACATCTTGACAACAAGATAGCCAACACTTTGGTCTGGTCTCCCAAGGGGCGTCATATTGCGTTGGCCACTATAGGCTCCCCGAGCAAATTCGACATCGAGTTCTGGGATCTCGACTTTAGCATCGATGAGCGGCGTGAAGCAATCGAGCCAGGGGCGAATGTGACCATGCTCGGCACAGGCGATCATTTCGGTGTCACTGATATTGCTTGGGATCCCAGCGGTAGATACATCTCCACGTCCGCTTCGACCTGGAGGCAATCTGTAAGTCCTATCATACTCTGTTGTCAAGACGGCAATCTCGTTGTTCAGTTGTTCAAGGACTGACCGTCCCTTCAGCCTGAGCCCGGTTTCTGTATTTGGGATTTCAAGGGTCAGCAGCTTGTGCACGAGACTCGTGATCAGTTCAAGCAATTCCTCTGGCGGCCTCGCCCTTCCTCACTCTTGCAGAAGGAACAGATCAAGAAGGTTCGCAAAGAGCTCAGAGAGTATTCACGACAGTTCGACGAAGAGGACGCTGCCGAGGAGAATCGAGGGAGTGCTGAGAAACTGGCTCAACGCAGAAGAGACATTGCCGAGTGGGATGCTTGGCGTCTCATAAACAACGAGACTCTCGAGAATGAACGTCAAGACAGGGGCCGAGTCAGGTCTAAGGTGAACGTGGACCATGACAAGGAGGCAAAGGTTGAAGAATGGGTGGAGGAGTTGATTGATGAGACGGAGGAGGTCATCTGAGGGTCATTACCGTCAGGCTGAAATTAATGCATGTGATATCAAGGCATCAACACTCTCTGTCCAGGACTACTGTGGACTCGTGTTTGAGCCACCTGCAGACTGATATATCGCATGGGTTGTGCATGCATGCATCTACGAGCGGTGGTGCCGTATGTGTAAATACAGTCTGACTTCCCACTCCAGTCGAAGGGGAAGCATATTCAAGCCAGGAAGGTATTTTATAGTAGTCAACTTGTGACATGTGCATGTAACATGGACCGGATGCGAATATTTTACATGAGATGCAAGTCTATACCAACGTACAAGTGAGTGAGTGACTGACCGATATGGCGCTGATCTACCTTACTGTCAAGCGCAATCGGCAACTCTAAGCTTGTCTTTGCACCAGCACAGGTGACATGCTTGTTGTCTCCCATGCACTTCGTGCCAGAAAGGACTAGCAGAGATGCCGCAATTGACACATGTGTACAGGCATGTAGTTTCGTCTCGAGACCTGTGTGTAGAAGCGGCGATCGCAGCATCCAAACGATTTGCCTTACGCAATAAAGGGAAAGCGGACTGTGGTGGAATGCCTTTGTACGTAGACACATACGTCTGAAGAGCGATCTAGTTTTGTTCTATGTCAACGACTATCGCCAATTGTCGCAGTCCGCAAATCACGCACCTCGTTCGTGTCAACATCAAACTCAAAAGCGTCGTAGATATCCCGCTCCTGGAGATCGTGATTCTTACACCATATGCCCGGCGCCATGATGCCTTCCGAATCCTTGAATTTGGCGATTGTGGCCGCGCTGCTGGACCGCCCCAACTTCGCCTTCGTTGACTTATCAGTGACTGGATCAAAATCATGATAACACAGTAGGCTCGGGGCAAGCCCCTCCACCCTGGCGTCGTCGGAGCGAGGGGCTTGTGACGAGCCTAATAACACAGTGTATTTGAGAGAGATCCCAGTCGCGACTCACCAAAGTGAACTCGAAGCCTAGTTTGCGCCCGGCAAGCCACGCGCAAGATGGATGACAAGGAGACCCACAATCATTGCAAGTCGATACAAAACCATCGTTCGCCCCGCAATATTCACATTTCAGCTCTTGCTCATGTGTCATGCTCATGATCCCTTCCACTCTACTCATTGTTGCAGTATTAGTGAATCTGACTGGACGCGCCCAAATTGAGCATAGTAAATGTGTCCACCTTCGACCTTCGGTTGGCTTGTATGCCGAAAGCCAGTCGAAAGCGCCCGATTGTTTGTGCTTGATTTTGAAAGGCGCCGGGTCGACGGGACATAAGACGCAGCGTACATTCTGTTTGTGATCAGAGGAAGTCTCGTTCGCATGCTTCCGCCTCGGACATACCAAACAATATTCCTCCGCTTGCAAGTTCGAACATAGCTCACACTGCCACTCTTCGGTCACTGTTTCTGGATCGATCCCGTAACAGCCTATCTACAAGTGTCAGCGAGATTCAACTCATACTGAACGAAGACATGCCAGAATGGACCACTATGCCGCAGTTCTTGCAATGGTAGAGCGGACGCTTCGGATCGCCTCGGCGGCAACACGAACATAGTTGCTGTGGTGGCCGTGACGTGGAGACGATACCACGTTGTGCCACGTCAATGTCTCGGTTCTGGACGACCCCGTCAATGCTGATCGAGGCTATTGCGCCTCTCCCACCGACACCACCAACGTCACCCACCTTGACTCGTTTGAGACTGTTGTCCTTTCGCTCAATTTTCTTACTATCCTCCGATCGCGAGTATGTTATCACTCCATACTTTCGGTAATTCGAGCTGGAAATATAGTCAGAAACGCCAAGTGGATTGCGGTATGGGCTTACCCGCAGACATTACACATGGCTTCTCCCGGAACAGTTCGAGGGCATTTCCACCAGATTTCGCCAAGCCTTGTTGAACATGTGGCACAAGTAAAATGGTGTTCCCCTTCGGTGGCTTTGCCATAGACGGAGGCACTGTCATTTTCCTTGCGATCATCTCCAGCGGATCTGATCTTGCCTAAGGAAGGAGGGCCAAGGGTCTTGGGCTGGCGGGAGTGAGGCGTGACTAGCGGGTGATGCTGACGAACAGCCTCGTTTTCGACTCTAAGCTGATTGTTTTTCCAGATATAGAAGTAGCGCAAAATCTCGGAAGGGGAGCGCCGAAGAATTTGACCGCAGCTATGAGTGTCCAGTCCACCAATCCTCTCGAGCTCATTTTCGAACAAAGAGCGTTCTTCCGAAGTGAACTGGTAGAATCATCCGAACCAATTCTTAGTCAGCCAAGCACAGGGGAACTCAGTGGATCAAGGGCGCACAGTGATGAGATCGAAATCCTGGGGCTTTCGGGTACGCATAAATTCCAATGCTGGTTGGAAACCCAAAGTCGTGAAAGATGAGATAGCCAGATTGAGCCGTTTGACATCCCATGGCGGAACAGCTAGATCAAGCTTTCGTATCTCGTCCATGAAGCTATCCACTGATGCCTATCAGCGAATTCACATAGATCATCAGCCGCACGTACAGTCACCGCTGGGCCTGGATACCAGTTCTATGGTTGCCCCGTACTTTTTATGGTCATCATGACCTCTCTCAACCGAAAAAGCCCCCTGTCGCAGGGAGTTCCCGACTGTTTCGATTTGCAGGACATTAGAATCGCCCCTTGACTGTTCTTCCCATGACAGCACGGTGGCTTGATATTTTGAGCCTACCCTGGTGGCCGCCCTGGGGAATATGGGGTCTTCGGAGTCTGCCTTGCATCAGTCACATACTAGACGTCATGATGGAGGAGAGTGAACCTACCAAGAACGTCCTCTGTACGCGTATACACGCTGGTCAACCTGGCTTCAGCTTTGACAGTGTATATCTCGGGACGAAAACATCTCATTTACCCGAAGTAGCGCCATTGCCAGCCTCTGAAAGTTACAGGTGGTCTATTCTCCAAATTCACTTTACGGTGCTTCGCCTTGACGGGTTTTGCCTTGGCTGTTCCAGAGCTGCTTTGGAGACCGAAACGGAACTTTTGATTTTCTACGTCGATCCCCCTTTGGAAAGAGCATGGGGGACATACCCAAGAATATCCTTTGGCAGGCTTAGCGTGCAAAGGTGGATGTAGGCACTTCATGTGATAGTGTTCTTTGCAGGTACTACATATATTGTGATCAGCGATACGAGTAGAAGATCTCAAAGTATTTGACCCACTCGCATTTGACGGACTCCTGGTATGACGCCCACCCCTGGCAGCGGCAGCAACTTCGATAATCATCTGTTAGATCCGCGACCAACTCTCTCTCAGTCACGATGTATTCATATCGACTTCGAAGGACGATTTTGACGTCGTGGGGAACTTTGATGGGCGGCATGTGGTCAGCGCGAGAATTGCTGGTGAATTTGAGATGTAGACACACTGTTGTTCACCGTCTCCGTCGGGATGACCTCAAATTCGCGTTTGATGTACGGGTCGAAGAATTTGGCAAAGTAGAAATGATCAGGCAACCTTTTCCACTCGAGCAAATCACCGACTCGGTCTTTGTGCTTGACGTAGCACTTGCCACGAACACTGGAAACAGGTTGCACATCCGTATGTATTGCGGCCAAAAGCAGTCGATGGTCTGCAACGTTTCGAGTCGAAATCTGAAGACTGTCAGCGGGACGCATGTAGGATGAAAATGTACATACGTCTGCCGGCCTGTAGTAGAGAGAAAGCCGAACCAAACCGTCGGACGAACCCGTCGCACGTGTGCCCTTTTTCGAGTGCGATGAAGGCAGAAACTCAATGATGCGGGCAATGTTGTACGGTGTTCCTATGATCAATGGTCAGTTGAGCTATCGATAGTACTTGTCGATTGCATATGAAGTCTTGAGCTTACCATCTCGGTCGGACCAAGGTAACGACACATATACGTGGTCTGATATTGAATGTTAACTACGAGGCAAAGTCGATTCAAGCGTGACGCACCGTTGGCAACAACAACCTCCCCGTTCGCTAGTCTGACCGACGTAGATTGCATTGCAACGAGCGCAGAAAAAGCTCAAGAGTGTTCGACACTGTATATGTTGTGAGTCACGATCCGATCCGGTCAGGTAGAGCTGCTTTCTGGCGTTCTGCCCTTTCGAGATACGTACGGCAAGCAGGTGAGGCGGTTGAACTTGAGACGAGAGCGATGGGCAGATGCGAGGGCAAGTGATGCTGCGGCCTGGAAGGAGCAGTGCAAGGTGGTGTCCAGATGAACTGTAGAAGCCAGCTGCAGCAGCTGCAGCGCCACCAGTGAAATGCCGGGAATACGTAATCACGCGGCTGGGAGAAAGCCGGCCGAATGGCACTCTCGTTCAACTCTCGTTACCTTAGCCCACCGCCACCATTACCATGCTCCACAGACTCACCCCTCTCTTCCCCGCCGCCAGGAGTCTCACCACCCGTATCGCCCCTCCCACCCGCAGGCTCGCCTCCTCCTTGGTCCTCCTCGAGCAGAAGGCGGGCAAGCTCAACGAGGCATCTCTCACTGCTGTCACTGCTGCCAAATCCCTTGGTAGTGAGGTGCGTCGTATATTCTCAGGAAAGAGGCCAACTGACTCACCCATCTTCTACGCGGTCCCCAGACGCAAGCTATCCTCTTCGGATCAAAGTCCGACTTGGAGAAAGCTTTGGAGGAAGCCAAGAAGTGAGCTGCAGACCCATCCTCTATCACTGCCGGTGCACGACTCATTTCCACCTTTCAGGATTGACAACATTTCTACTGTCTACACCGCATCCTCGGATTCATTCGCGCATTTATTGGCCGAGGGTCTGTCCAGTCTCTCTACGCAATGGGTTTTCAGGACTGATCCGCCCACAGCCGTGGCACCTTTCATTGCATCTGTGATCAAGGACAAGGGTGTGACACATGTCTTTGCTGCCCACACCGCTGTGGGCAAAAACGTGTTTCCGAGACTCGCTGGCCTTCTTGACTCGTCCTTGGTGAGTCCCAGTGAGACCGATATCCACAGAGTTGACATTGGCAGATTGCCGATATCACCGCCCTAGAGGCGTCTGGTAGCCAGTTCACCCGGCCTATCTACGCAGGAAATGCCATTTTGACGATTGAATCGTCAGACAAGGACGCGGTGAAAGTGATCACGGTCCGTCCCACAGCATTTGAAAGGGCATCGACTGAGAGCGGGTCATCAACTGTGGAGGAATTGAACGAGTCCAATACAGCGACATGTTGGTCACTTCTTCCTTTCATGGCCGGACGCGTGCTAAACATAACTTCAGCCAGCACCAAATTCCTGTCGGAAGAGTTGACTGTATCTGCGCGACCTGATCTTGCATCCGCTAGCAGGGTTGTATCTGGAGGGCGAGCATTGAAGTCCAAGGATAGCTTTGATCAAGTGCTGGACCCCCTTGCGGATGCCTTCGGAGCAGGTCGGTGTTCTAGGACGCTGTAGCATCCAATCCCATGCTAATCCTGAATAGCTGTTGGTGCCTCACGAGCCGCCGTCGATGCTGGGTATGCGGATAACTCCCTACAGGTCGGCCAGACAGGAAAGGCAAGCTTTCCATATGATACACCCGTCCTGAACTTTGAGACTGATTCACCGCACGCAGGTCGTTGCTCCAGAACTCTACGTTGCTGTTGGGATTTCGGGAGCCATTCAGCATCTTGCTGGTATGAAGGAATCCAAAATGATAGTCGCCATCAACAAGGACCCAGATGCTCCCATCTTTCAGGTTGCCGACGCTGGCTTGGTGGCCGATCTCTTCGAGGCGGTGCCGCAATTGGTTGAAGAGGTTGCGAAAACTCAGGATTAATTCCGTGGCCCAAGTTTTTTGCCCACATGCATACTATGTCAGCGAATTATCGTCATCAAAATCTTCATCTTTCCTTGCTCGCAGAGCTGCTTCCGTGCGAAGGCTCCATATGTAGATGTGCCGTTAGGATCAATAGTTCATCATTCTTGCGGAGACGCTAATACTCGAGTGCAGCTCAGTGCCACGAGACACGCTCTATATATACTGGCGCTGGAGGGCAAAAGAATCTGCATGATTTTTCTATATGAGTTGTGGATGCTGAGTATCGATGCAAACAGAAGTAGAGTACGAGTATAATGTACAACACGAATTGTATGATGTGTTCATCTCATGAAAAGAAATAGGCAGATTCTTTGACCTTTTGTACTTGGAAGATACCTCTGGGAGGACATGGAGGTAAGACATCTTTGAATCTGACCCATGCTTGGCCGCCCATCTTCATCGTGGGAATCTCTTGGCCAGAGACCGCCAGGCCAGCGATTTCATCCAGCTTTCCGGCGGATAATCCCATAGATTCCGCGGCCTTGGCCTCTGTGACCTCATTACTGGAAGTGATCAGATCAACTTCCGCTTCTGCGATGTCATTGCGAAAAGCAGACTCGGCAGACAAGCCAACATCTGTGGCGTCCGACATTTCCGAGGGGGGAAGCATCTCGGACATTGCCCGCTGGCGCTTTGCTGCAGCGACTCTACGCTTGGTCGAAGACGTTGAGATGTTCTGCGCGGATTGGACCGGAATGCAGTAGTCGCCGTATCGGCTGAGAAATTCTTGTCTTAATTTGCCCACCAGATCCTGGGAATGTAGCTCGACAAATGTGCCTCTGATGAGCTCTGACATCGGCTCGACAGTGGCGGCATGCGTCCAATATGAGTCGTGTACACTGGCAAAGGCAATATTGTTTTGCTGTTTTCCGTTTCAGTGAGTGAATACCTTGCGCCTGAGGTAACAAAAACGTACCTTGCATTTTAAAGCAGTGAGAAGCATGTGGGTGGCGTCCAAAGAATGAATGAAGTTGGGGGGGAATGCAGTGGCTTGCTTTTGAGGACTGACCTCCGCTGGAGCGTTGGGATCTGATATATAAACAGACTGAAGAGCAGTCATAATCTGCTTCTTCTGTGCTTTCCGGTAGGGTTGAACCACAGGAAGTCCGAGAGGTGTAGTCCAGATGACTGCGCTCATGAACTCTTTAGAGGCCCGAGAGACAACTTTGCCAGAGCGAGACGTCGTCGTTAGCTGCGATGCAGCATCACTGGCCCGTTCATAGGGAATGGAACGGGAGATCAAACGCGCTGCGGTCGCTAGCCAGTCCATGATTGATTTGGCACCTGAAAACAAATCACCTATACAGTTCAATACCTGATGATCATTAATAGGCAATGCTAAAGATGACGTGTAGTGCTCACCGTTTTTGCGATATAGCTAGAGACAGCGAAAATGTCGTCTTGCGAGACATCGCCTCTGGCTTGTAGCTGCTTGGCAATCTGGTCTCGCGCTCCGACGAAAGTGACACCGTACACTGTCGTCATGACAGTTTGCTTGACAACTTTTCTTCCCAACGCTTCGTCGATCAAGCAAGCGACAGCATGTCCAGATTTTTTGTCTTCTTCAATCACTCTGTTGACGATGTCGACTACACCTGTGTAGATATCTGCAGGTCGATCACCTGCCTCTAAATTCACAGCTTTGGCTCCCTGAACGTCGCCGCCGAGGGCGGCGTAGTGCTGCATGCCGTTACAAGTCCCATCTTGATGAACAGGCAAAGATGATTCGAAAGCCTCTGGATGCGGGGAACGAAGAGCAGATGTCAGCTCAAAGCAGGTTGCTAAACATTGCCATGGGTCCTCAGCATTGAGCCACCAGCGATTGCCCTAGACTGAATAAGCATGTGCCGTGAAACTGCGCCGTATGACTTACACCAAGGGGATTGTCGGCGCTATCAAAGATATCCGCATGATGCGCCTGGGCAAATTGGGCTCGTTCCTCAAAGCTGGCTTTGTCGTAGCCGTATACATTGGCGAGATGTATTTGTAACCATCTCAGACCTGTGGTCCCCAATGGCTTTCTGGTACCAAAAGTGAGAAGACCACGGCATAAGTCGTCCCCTACGGGACTCAAGTGGGGCGGTATAGGATAGGCGCGGCCTCTGAAATCCATATTATGGGGCAAAAAGAACTCGTCTTTGAGATATGATCGAGCTATTTCGATGTTGTAATTGAATTTACACCTTTCTGCGTGATCCTTGCGCTGTTGCGCAAGGACCATTTTCATTTTTTCCACGTATTTTGTGCGGACTTGAGGATCCTGATTGGAAGGATCGAGTGGTTCCGGAAAATCGTAGTTGACCCGGTCCTCAGACGCGGGAATATCCGCAATAGCCTCCCCTTGATTCCAGGATGCGAGTACCACATCAAAGACCTGCCGATTGATCCTCCAAGAGGTTGAGGAAAGGACATCCAGGCCGTGGAATATAGGCTCAAGATGCCCTTCCTCCGACGCCGCTTGCAACCACTTTTGTTGCTCTAAGGACTCTTTGTACCGCATCACTGGCACTGAGAGACATGCTTTAGAAGGGGTCCCAATCTTGGCTACTTGACTCACCCGAATGTAGAAGATAGCCTCCTTCATTGTGAGATGTCCACCGTCGAGGCTCGACGAGCATGGGCAAATGTTTCGGGTGGATCACGACACCAATGTCATCCCGGGCCAATCGGGCAGCGACCTCAGGATTGAGTTTGATCACACCAAGTTTCTTTCCCCGCACATATTCGTATGAATGGGTGAAAGCAGACTGTTCTTCTTTGCTGACAAACCAAACAATGCAGTCAGTGAACTGTAAAGGTCAAAAGAAGCAACTTACAGTATGGTACCGGTATGTCTATCTTTTGCTTCTCTTTCAACTTTCGCTACCTTGAGAAGAGCATCAACAAGCTCTGACCCGACCCCTAGCTGGACCATCCTGGACCAAGAAGGCGTCCAAACTTCTTGCAAACTCCCCCCTTCGGCCTGTTCACTAATCTTCGGTTGTTTGACTTGCTCCCCTATCTTCTTCCACACAGACCCGATCAATTGACGACTGGGCTTCTGGGTCTGTGGATCAATCGACTTCAACCAATGGTGAGAGTCGACACCCGCCACATTCTTTATTGTCTCAGCTCTAAATTCAGTCTCGACTGCCTTGCCGACGGCCACCATGCCTCGCAAGACCTTCATACCATCGACTATACCACCTGACCCTGACATCCTCATGATTTCGAGAATAGTTATCAAGGCCAATTTGTCGGCAGGGAGTAACGAGAGGTACATAAAAAGGACCTGTGGCTTCATGCGAGCGGTGGCCGAATATTTTAGCGTCGCAGGTTCGATCTGTGATGGGGGTAGAGAAGCGACTTGGGCTTGCATTGCAGTGATGCGTGATTCAAGCTCTGCCGTAAGCTGTCCCAGCCAAGTATACATCCAGGACTGCAATTTCGATCGCTGAAGAGTCGAGTCATCGCCACCGGATCGAAAACGCTTGGCGTTTTCTTCCAGCTCAGATCTCGCAGCCTGGTACGATGCTGCTTCAAGCTCCCGTTGGCGATTGACAGGAATAGATGTAGATTCTATTGCTGATAGAGCTTGTCGAAGATTGGCGATAGCGAAGCGAGCTTCGCGCCTTTCGGACTGCTGACGCTGCGGTGCAGTGGACTTTCCAGACCCCTTGTATGTCGGTTAGTGCAGACAGAAGACGGCACTCAATAGACTTACTTCTAGAACAGGAGCGACATCGGCAATCACCTCTGATGCCACTGCCTCCCTGCGCTGTTTCTCTTCTCCCTGTATGATCAGGACCTCTTCCTTCAACGCTGGAAGTCCAGCGCGATCGGCTGTCTCGATCAGCGCTTGACATGCGAGTGGCAGAACTGAAGCTTCCAATCCATCCAGCAATGAAATTGCAGAGAGTGCGGGGCTTCGAAGATATGGCACCATGGGGTCGATTGGGGACTGAGAGCTGTGATTTCATCAACATCACAAAACAAATCGCCCGAGTCTCGAAAGCCGCGACATACCTGAGAAGACCATTGAACCACCCTTGATAGACCTTGATGCCTTGGTGTTCCAGCACAGGCACCTTGCCTTTAGACCCAAATGAAACTCCCCATTGCTCTACCAGCTTCTCTGCCCGCTTCCTCCACCTTTCTGCACCTGCTGACGAGCCCTGCTGACCGGCAAGACTAGCCACTCCCTCGATGACCACTGACCATACTTTTGCTTCAGGCGCCCTGGACTGGCCAGTCACAGGATCTCGCAAGAGCTGTGTGAATATCTGGTACGCTCTCGGAACATGCTCAGGGCGTCTGAGGCAGATCGATATCATGGATATGGAGTCCAATACACTTGTAGACGGGTACAGGGCAGAGTGCGCAGAGCTGGGGGGCGACACGATGTCATTTGGAAGAGGAGAGGGGAGGTTGAGGGGCAAATGGGGAGGTGGCGGTGGGGGAGCAGCGTGGTGGTGGTGGTAGGTGGGCGAGGGGTCGTGCAGGAGCTGGGCGGCAGTGGAGGATGGGCGGGAGACGGGGCGGGAGCAGCGCTGTATGCAGCGGGGTGGGAGGGGCAGGCGGCGGAGGGCGCGGAGGGGCAGCATCTAGGGCATAGGTACAGTACGAGTACACTACACGACCTGCCGCTGGCGAAAAAATCAGAACAAAGGGCACCGTCACGTGACCCTGCTGCCCGTACAACGCATCATACATCCATACAAGGACGCTCTCTACGCTCTACTGCCCTGCCCGTATCAATGGCCGCCCACGACGCATCGTCCCTCCGCGATCTCAAGAACCACATCATCGGCAACACCCAGAACAAGATCGCGCTCGCCCAAGACTCCCGCCAGCTCGATCGTCTTCTCGCCGTCTTACACCCCGCCAGCGAACCTGCACTCCTCAAAGAAGCTGCCGCCGTGGTTGCTTCTGTCGCGAATGGTATCTATGCCCATTTTTCCCACGTGCTTTGGGCTGAGATAGCACATCAGCCCCATCCACAACCATTCCTCTGGCGCTCCTCAATGTCCCAGCTCGCATGCTGCTACTGACGCGCGAGATCATCACCCAGCCACGCCACCTGCATACCTTTCGAGAAGCACTTCCGCACATATCCAGATCACTGCGGAACACAATCGTTTCCGTAGCAGACGCTCTGTGGGGCGATCTATGGGGGGCCGGCCCAGAAGGCGAGATCGTTAGCACTGGTCTGGAAACGGATAACGCCCTTCAATCCGTAGACGACCACAGATATAGTGATATTCTCAGCAGCTGTCTGCAGCATATTTTAGAGGTGGGTCCTCAGCATGGCAAAGGGCCGTTTCTGACCATACGAACCAGCCGGCCCACGCGCACACCCTTCTATCGCTCCTCCGTCACCACGATCCACAAGTCTCGCTGCCCGTTTACCATATACTGACTCGACTTTCGGCCTTCCCGTCGCATCGTCAACGTATATTGTCTTGGACGACGTCCCTCTGCGATAGCCCTTTCCCAGCGCTTGGTACCACCCCTTCGGTACCAGACAACGATTACCCATTCAGGTCACTCGTGGCAGGACATGTAATATCTACCATTGAGAGACATCAGAAATACGGGTCCTCTCAATCCACGGATTTGAAGGTGAAAGAAGCGTCTTTGGAACTGTTGGCTGCTTTGGTACAAGGGGAAACCAAGCTTGCAACCCTCATCCGCGGTCATCCCGGTTTCGCGTCAGCCCTGCACACAGATCGCAATCATGTGATGGAACCGACGAGTAATCTCTTCATACAGCATTTGATTGCCCTGGTACATTCTAGCCGGAGAAGCATGCGCCTGGCAGCTTTGTCTTGGTCAGTTCCCAGGTGTTCATGACTACGAGACGTTGCTGAATATCCTCGATTGTAGCCTCATATCACTCATCAGGTCGGGACCGGATGGGAATGTAGGATCGCCGGAAGCCCATGCAGTGACTCAACATCTTCTGGCGGACATTGCAAAATTGCTACTTTCAGACAATCTGGAAGAGAGAATCAAGTTAAACTTCCTTCTCGGTACGTGGCTCGGTGCGCCAGGCCTAGTTATGTTGATTGTTGGATAGCCATGCTGGTAGCAGATGACCCTTTAGCGCAAGCATCTGCTTTCGAGGCCAATCTTCCCCCCCTCATTCTACAGCGCCTCTGTGAAGTCCCATCCAAGCTATCGGATATGCCACGGAACCTCTACTTTCGCTCGCTGGAATCATCTCTACTCGCGCTATGTGCTCTTTCCACCGCTCATGACCCTGCGCGAGTAATGATTTCCGAATACCGGCCATGCGAACGTTCACAAGAGAGGCAATATATGTTACCCCAGCTTAAATATTGGCTGCGGAGTCATAGCTACGGTGTCAGAGCAGCTGCGTGTCAATTGACTCGCGCGCTGAGCAGAACTGTGGCTTTGCTACGAACAGATATGGTGGACGAAGAATTAGGACCAGACATAATCGCAGTGTTGAGGCGAGAGCTCATCATGGGGAAGAGTCAGCGAAAGAACCTCATGGGGGAGGCTGCTTGGATCGTGGAAGTGTCTGCCACTGCAGTACTGTGCAATATGGTAACGGACTTTTCACCGTTTCGTTCGGTATGTAGGCATGTTTCTATAATCTGTGTCACTGACCGCACACAGGTATTAGTGCAAGATGGGACCCTCCAACTGCTTGTGGGGCTCACAAAATCAGAACATCAACCTCTGGCACTCAACGCGCTTTGGGCCATCAAAAACCTCATGTTTCACTCTGACCTCATGGCCAAAAGGGATGTCATATCACACTTCGGGCATGATTGGCTTCTAGATCTTTGTTCCGAAAAGTCGCCAGACTCGATCAGAGTACAAGGTCTCGAGATCATGCAGAACATCCTGGCTGAAGAGTGCCCTTCTACTGTAAGCCGGCTCGCCAATGATCTGGGCGGAGTCGGCGGCTTGCAGACACTACTTGACCTTCTGGAGGCATGTATAACAGGCAAGCCAGCTTTCGATGGCCAAACTACCACATCAGTTGTCAGTCCAATCAGTGATGGCAGTGTCGCCATGTGTATTGACGATACTCTTAGAGTCTCCGTGTGCTGTCCAATTTAGCTCTAGGCGATGCGACAACCAGGACCGAGCTACTCGACCGTGCTGCCGTCCTTCAGTGCCTCTCGATGATAGTCGTACGTTCGACCAATCTCCATACCCAATATACTCACCGTTTCATAGACAGAATCCCCTGACGTGAAATCACAAGTCTCCGCCATCACAACATTTCAGCATTTGATAGAGTCCTCTACCAGGCCACATACGCCTCGAGATGCCGTAGTCGTTGCCTTGCAGTCCTATCAGCTTGTGTTGCGCATGCGAGCATCGGCTGAGAATTCCAAGAAAGTGGACGTTGTAGACAAGGCGACGGCTGTACTCAATCTTCTGGGAAGAGAACGATGAAGGGCAGCGACGGAATGGGCAAACACATGCAATATTCATCATATATACCTGGTCTCCCGATTTATCGCTCTCTAGTCTTAGAACCAATCCATTGACTTTCTCAGAAATTGATGGTCTTGTCGTACGAGCCCAGTGCGGCCTCCTTGAAAGCTAGCAACAAAGTCAGCACACCAATTCCATAATCAGGACATGACTCACCTTCAGAGAGAGTTGGGTGGGCATGACAGGTTCGGGCGATGTCCTCGGCAGATGCTTTGTATTCAACAGCCAATGTCGCGGACGCTATCATTTCACCAGCGTTAGGGCCGATGATGTGCACGCCCAAAACTTGGTCGGTCTCTTTCTCAACGATCTGTAACATATCAGCGTTGAATGACTTTTGGTCGTATGAACTCACAAACTTGACGAACCCGCTACAAGACGGATAGTCAGCGTTGTTCAAAGGACTTCTGATCGCATGACTTACTCAGAGTCCTGGTTTGTTTTGGCCCTAGAGTTAGCAGAGAACGGGAACTTTCCGATCTTGTATTGTACGCCAGCAGCCTTGAGTTCCTCCTCGTTTTTGCCCACCCAGGCGACTTCAGGGTGAGTGTAGACCACAGAAGGGATGGCATCGTAGTTGACATGTCCGTGCCCGCTTTTGATGATCTCAACAGCAGCAATGCCTTTGATTGTCAGTCAACGTCATGCGGCCCATGTTCTTACCTTCTTCTTCGGCCTTGTGAGCAAGCATAGGGCCAAACGTGACGTCACCAATACATTTCACACCTTTGGCACTTGTGTTGAATTCATCGTCAATGATGATTCGTCCCTTGTTGTCGGTTTCCACACCAATGGCTTCGAGATTGAGACCCTTGGTGACAGGTCGGCGACCAATGGCGACAAGAACGACATCAGCTTCGATGGTTTCCTCTTTGCCGCCTTTGGCAGCATCCACATGAAGCTTGACAATGTCGCCCTCGCGAGAACCCGATACCACTTTAGTGTTCAACTTGAACTTGAAACCTTGCTTTTGGAGGATTTTCTGGAATTGCTTGCTGCAGGAGCAATCAGCTAAGCATATTCCCTGCAATGACATGGGTTTTACTCACCCGACTTCTCCGTCCATACCGGCACCGATGGCCCCCATGTATTCTACGACCGTGACTTCAGCACCCAAACGGGACCAGACAGAGCCGAGTTCGAGGCCAATGACACCGCCTCCGATGACCACCATCTATGGAGTCTCAGTTGACCATCGTTGCCGATGAAAAATGAATTTACCTTCTTAGGGACCTCTTTCAAATCCAAAGCGCCTGTAGAACTGACTATTCGTTCTTCGTCGATCTCGAGTCCCGGGAAGGGAGTCACTTCACTGCCAGTGGCGATAACAACATTTTTCGCATTGACTTGAGTTTCGCCACCTTCCGAAAGCTTGACATTGATGACGCCAGCAGATTCGAAAGATCCTTCACCCTTGATGTAGTCGATGCCGTTCTTTTTGAAAAGGTATGTCTCGATTCCTCCGGTGAGAGCTTTAACAGAAGCATCCTTGGCAGCAAGCATCTGGGTCAGATTGAGTTTGACATCGGTAACGTCGATACCCCGCTTCTTCAGATCATGCTGGGTCTGGTGATAGATATGAGAGTTGTTGAGCCTGTCAGGTCGGGTAAGCAGGTGTAAGAGTATATTGAAGATCGCGTACATGGCTTTGGACGGGATGCAGCCGACATTCAAACAAGTTCCACCAAGAGCTCCTCGTTTTTCAATACAAGCAGTCTGTTGTCAAGATCAGACATGCTCTGTGAGAGAATGTATCCACATGGGGAATGGATTACCTTGAGACCCAGCTGGGAAGCCTTGATGGCCGCGACGTAACCGCCTGGACCACCTCCGATGACGACAAGGTCATAGGGATCGGTGGCCGAAGCGAAACCACGGGTAGCCTGCACAAATGCAAGCTTAGGAAGGGTCGAAGTGCGAGACAAGGTGGAGATGGGGGCAGGCAGAGAACGAAGAGACTTTTGGGGCTATCCTGAAAGTCAGCGTGGACAGCGAAGAGTGGCGGATATGAGTACTGACGAGAAGTTGCCTGAATAACATTTTGCCAGGGATGTGTCGTGTGCGACTGATTCAAGTAGTGGCGCGCAGGATGAAGAACAAGATGAAAGATCAGTACGTAGAATGTCTTGCTTCCGTCGCTGCCAAATCATTTGCACAGACGGAAGTAAATCCGCGCGGCACGGACGACGGGCGGCGACGGCCCCCAGCCCCCCACCCCCACGCAGCGACTTCTTGTCCGATAAATCCAGGTTGCGCCGGTCAACTGTAACTACTCATTCACTCGTACTCTGATATTGATGATTGATATCGCCACGAGAAAGAGACCGGCCCGTCCTATTCAACTTCTTTCAATGATAAATGCCTATGGTCGACCTCGATCTATCCATAATCCAACGAACCGGAACGAAGAGGAATAAGATGTGGATATGGCGGAGATGATGTATACTGTCATCTGGCGGAAGAAAGAGAGGGGTGGCAGCTTGAGGATCTTGAGCGTGTATTCGGCCTTCATGGTTTGCAACGAGGGATCAAGAAGAACAAGATGCAAAAGAATAACGCTCTTACGAGTATATAGAGTGGCTGACGGCGGCTGACTGGGCTTTAGGTCCAACACTTTTAGATGGGCTTTGGTTTGGAAGATGAAAAAGTAATAGACTTGTTCATTTCGAGTTTCTTATTGGTTGATTTGGGAGAAAATCTGTAGTTGTTTATATAGATTAGATATCGGTTCTGTTCCAGGTGATACATAATCCAATAGGCAATAATAGATGAATACCCAGAACGAGAAGGGGACCGCCTGGCACTAGCGGTGTGAGAGCTGAGATGGGAAAAATGATGTAAGCAGATCGAGAGACTTCGTTATTTCATGAGCGAAAAAGAGCTCTGAGCAGTTGTCATTTTCATGGATGGCAGATAGAGGAATTACATGTATTATGTGGACTACTGCACAGTACGTGTACATTCAGAGGAATAAGGATACGGTCGATCGTAGAACAGCAGTACAAAAGAAGGAACAACGCCTCGATCTTCCTAGGGGGTGTCCATTGGCTCGCGGAGCGTTGCTGGTGGCGCATCGTCCACGGCGCCTCGATGTCTCTTCGGCGTGTAAGGTTATGTTTGGATCGTCTTGAAAGAAGAGGAATGAACTTGCCGTACTCTCGATTCTGGCCAAAGGCTGGGAAGCTCACAGTGGATGATGTGACAGCAATTGGGAGGGGACAGACCGGTATGGCATATGATTGAGCTCAAGACAGTGGAGGTCTTGGGGACGGTGTCGATGTCACCAATCATGTGGGCTGCAATGATATACAGGCCCTTGTGCAGAGGTTAAGCAGTTGTACAGTTTGAAACAGTGTTTTGTGAGAAGAAAAGCCTATGTGGCGATATAAGTTGCATCGCCGAATGCCACAGATCGCCGCGGTGACATGGAATGAGTATGAAAACAACAAGGACAAGTGTGACTGACGCTTTCACCTGGTCGACGGCGTCAGGTATCTTGGTGCGGGTCGGGAGTCCCGTCATGATTGGAACCAGAGGAAACGAGTGGACTTGAGAAGAAAGTAACGACTGTATCCGTTATATAATGACCCAGTAAGGACTTAGAGATATGCATGATGAAGAGCTGGTCTCTGTAGAGGAAGTTTCCTGATATACCCTTTCTCTAGCAGCTACAGTGCGTCGCCGGTTGCCATATCGAGAATCGCAAGCCATACTAGCTACATATACAAGTGTGGCGTCAGTATATGGCGATCAAGTCTGTGGCCGAAAAGAAAAAGACCCGCTAGGAATTTCCGCTTTCTAGGCGATGACACAAGAGTAGGTGATACCTCCGCCGCTACCGTAAGCCTCCTCGTTGCGGGGGGCCTCCACGTTGGCGGCGACAGAAGAGGTAAGTGTCGAAGACTGGTATACAGTCTTTAGCACTTCAACACCTGGTAAGATGAAGAAGCAGATCTGTACACCAGCTATGGAAAAAGTACGGCCAACAATTTCGTCTAGGATAGTTCCGTCACCTTACGTAACCTCGCTCGTCACTCTGCGTACTACTGCTGAACGAACTCCAACTTCAACAGTAAGGGTGGTGAAAACAGCAGTGAAGGCGTTCATTGTAGTGGTGGTTGTGGTGTTGGGTGCTGGATTGGAAGGTGTGGGGGTGGTGTAAGATTCACATCTGGGAGGCCTGCTTATATAGTGCCAGATGTAAGGGATTGGTACAGACTGGTCAGTAGGAGGAGATGTAGTGACGTGTACGTTGGAACGCAGAGTCTGGTATTATGGGTTGCCGCTATGTTCTCAGGGACGAGTTAGACGCGGAGGCGAGAGGAGGCTCCCCGTACATACATCCTGCCGCGTCTCATATCCTTTTCCTGAGAACATAGCGGCAACCCATAATACGTACCAGACTCTGCGTTCCAACGTACACGTCACTACATCTCCTCCTACTGACCAGTCTGTACCAATCCCTTACACCAGACAGTAGTACTCTATGTTACCATCCGCCAATCGACGAGGTGAGCCTGCTTCATATGGGTCGCTGCCGAAGAACAATAAGAGTGCCGCGCGGGGGACCTCGTGATCGAGCTCCTTCTTCTCACAAGCAAACACTTGGACGTGCCTACAGCCCACACAATGACTGTTACCTCCCGCTGGAAATGAATCACCAGTAAGAAATATTGACGCACTCGCAAGACTCTCAACATCCATACAAGATACACATCACCTTTTCTCGATCGTTATTGAAATATTCTTCCGTACCATACTCAACTCAGGCGTCAACACAACTGTAAGTTGTACAGTATGTACTTTGGGCCTCATTGGTTGGCAAATGCAATGACCATAGGTGCAATTTCATGAAGGTCGCCGCACGCTCCTAGTCCGTCAGCTCCTTGTACCCTCAAGCAGGGTACGTAATTAGGGACTATTTTGTCCGAGTCCCAGTCAATCAATTGTCTGTGGCAGCATCCACGCTGAGTCATGAAGGTTGGTATGCGACATCCTACTATATGAATGGTATGTCACTGTAGCACCATGCAGAAAGCATTGACGGGTCGTGCAGCAAAATCCGCCGTTGGCGTTGCGATACTCGAGTCCATATGTTCCTACTATTCCCGTGCCCACGTCTAGGGTGAGCCCTTGACATCAACATATAGCACCAGTAGGTTGCATGTATTGCGTTCATCTGATGATCAGACTGCCTTCATTGGACGTCCGAGCATTGTCAGAACGGTTGATGTAAACAAAGCCATGTCTAGGATCATCAGCGCATACTGGAACGGAAGTTAAGAGGGAACATTGTGTCAAGTAAAGGTGGTGGCATTCTGATGTATTACTGTGTGCGGAACACCACAATAGTATCAATTAGAGTGCCAAGGCAGAGGTGAATTGTGATTGCTCTACTTCATTTCACTCATGCCTGCCGGAGAAGAATGGGAGGACCCTAGCCACAGGCATGCCTACTGTAGGTCTTCGTAACCTTTGACGATGTGTCTAGGTCTGCTAGGGGCTACAATCTCCGTCAGTAATCTTCTTGTAAAATTGATACAACACCGAAGAGCCCCAAAATGGACCGCCGAGGCGCACGGGGTTTGGTACATACTAGGGAAGGAGGTAGGGATGGGAGCGGGGGATTGGTAGCCAAAAGATCGCCGAATGGGTGGAACAGTAAGGACTGCAACGGGGCCTGAGGGCGCAGTGTGTCAGTGAACTCCACGGCGATCGCATCGAGTACAGTTTCATGAAAGAAAGGCGACCTGCTCACCAGCGAATCCCAGAAGTAGAGACCAGAAGATGACTGGGCTTTCGTGGGCCAGGCGTTGCTGAGAGGTATTAGCTGGAAGGGGATGGGAGAGTGGCGTGTAGCCCTGCTTACGGTGTATCTGTAGATGGCTGCCATGTTTGTTGGTGGGGTCGAGTCGTCGCAAGGTTGCTTTTCGTCCAAGTTGTGTCCGGCGCAATTGGCAGCATGGAATTGGCGCAAGATACCGATGGTCATATTAACCTGTAAGTACCGTTAAACTCGAGTGTGATTGTATTTAACATCAACCTGTTACGTAACACAAAAACTTCGAATGGCTGCCGCTGCTGTTGTTGCTCGAGATGTGGGATGCATGGACCGTTACCGTTATACATTCCACTTCCAAGCACCATGGGCAAGGGCAAGAACCATGACCGCAAAGCGAATCCCGGATTCGGCAAGACAAAGGGCAAGAGCTCGTCGGGATCATCCTCAGAGTTCACCATGAAGAAGGTCAAGGGTGCGCACTCCGCCCTCAATCCTACAAAGCTCGCCGCTGATATCGTCACTGTGCAGGGGAAAATTTCTATAGGGATGCCAAGTCAGCCTCCAAGGTTAAGATGCTCAATGGTGGCAAACCAGTCAGAGACAAGGACGGAGTGATCACCGAGGCGGCTGCATTTCAGAAGGGCGAGAAGGATGTGCTACCTGGCAGGGTCAAGCCGGACAGAAGGTGGTTTGGTACGTGGCGCTCTACATATCTGAGATTCCTCATTGGCTCACTATGGATGAAGGAAACACAAGAGTCATCTCCCAGGACGCTTTGGATCACTTCAGGACGGCATTGAAAGAACAGAAAGCCGACCCCTACTCTGTTCTTCTCAAGAGGAACAAATTGCCCATGGGCTTGCTACAAGATGAGAGCTCGGACGCTGCCAAGGTGTGTCTTGAAAATTTCCGTTCCCTCGCCCATGCTGACTTCATGCGAGCGTCCACACATTGTTGAGACTGAGCCATTCGGCAATACATTTGGTCCCAAAGCTCAGAGGAAGAAGCCTAGATTGGACATTGGCAGCTTTGCTGAACTCGGTGAGAGTTCTGCCGCTGCCGAAGCCTCTGCTATTGCTGAAGCCCGTGAGCTATTCCTTTGTCGCTTTCTGGTATTCACCACTGACGGCTGTTCAGGAGGCAATGCCACTGCCGACCCCGCCGACATCTATCACCCCACAACGTCTACTGCTCGAGAACCCATCTACGCCAAGGGTACATCCCGTCGTATCTGGGGTGAGCTCTATAAGGTTCTTGATTCTTCGGACGTCGTTATTCACGTCCTCGACGCAAGAGATCCGCTGGGGACCAGGTGCAAACCTGTCGTAGAATATCTGAAAAAGGAGAAGGCCCACAAGCACCTTGTTTATGTTCTGAACAAGGTCGATTTGGTACCTACATGGGTTACTGTAAGTGGCTTTCGAACTGCCAGCACACTCCAAAGCTACAATCTCATTGTCGAGCTGACCCAATCGTGATAGGCCAAGTGGGTGAAACATCTCTCACAATCCGCCCCGACCATTGCCTTCCACGCTTCCATCAACAATTCGTTTGGCAAAGGCTCCCTTATCCAGTTACTTCGACAATTTTCTGTCCTCCATTCGGACAAGAAACAGATCTCCGTGGGCTTCATCGGTTATCCGAACACGGGAAAGTCCTCCATCATCAATACATTGAAGAAGAAGAAGGTCTGCACTGTCGCTCCCATCCCAGGTGAGACCAAAATCTGGCAGTACATCACTCTGATGCGTCGCATCTATCTGATCGACTGTCCTGGTATCGTTCCTGTCTCCGCCAAGGACTCGGATACGGACACTGTCCTCAAGGGTGTCGTGCGCGTTGAGAACCTCGCCACGCCTGCTGAACATATCCCAGCATTGCTTGAGCGGGTCCGTCCCGAGTACCTCGAGCGCACTTATGGCCTGGAACCTGTCGAAGGTGGATGGCATGGGGAGGAAGGTTCCACTCTGATTCTGACAGCAATCGCCAGGAAGAGTGGTAAGCTGTTGAAGGGTGGTGAGCCCGACCAGGAAGCGGCGGCCAAGATGGTTCTCAACGATTGGATCAGAGGGAAAATTCCCTTCTTTGTGACTCCGCCCACCAAGGAGGCTGAGGCTGCTCCTGCCGCGGGCACTGATGTCGCTGCTGCTACCGAGGCACCCCAGAAGGCCACAGAAGAGGAAGAGGAAGCTGAACGAGCGATGCTCGTGGAGCAGCAACGCCATCTAAGCAAAATTCTGGGTCAAAAGCGAGTCAAGGGGGTGGAGCAACCCCTGAAGAAGATCGTCACAATGTCGAAATTCTTAGGTGAGGACGCTAGGAAGTATTCAGAGATATTTGAGGAGGACGAGGAAGAGGCTGGGGACGAGATGGCGATGGGTGACGACGACAGCGACGCGGCTGAACAAGTTGAGGATGATGATGAAGAGGAGGAGGGCAGTGAAGAAGAAGTTGACGATGGCGAAGTCGGCTGGGACGATGTCTTTTCAGATGCTGAAGGGCCAGAGGCAGGGACGACTGGGGAAGATGGCGAGGCGGTATCCGGAGACTCGATCGCACAGATCAACAAGCGAAAGGGTGAGCTGCAGTTGACATCGCCCAAGAGCTCGCTGACAGTAAAGTAGCCGCTGCCTCTGATTCGGGCTCCGAGACAGACGCTGCCCCCAAGAAACGTATGACGACCAACAAGCGCAAGGCCGCCAACTTCTACACTACTGCGAACGTCAAGAACAGAAATCGAGACAGAAAAGTTCCCAAGACAGTTGGAGGCGGCAAGAAGCGTGGGCGTGGGGATGAAGAGCCGACTGGGAAGAAGGCCAAGAAGAGAAGATGAGGGGCATGTGCTCTCTTTGATACCCATTTTTGCCACACCCGTATCGCGTTTCCCGGTCTCTGAGCTCTCGTGGCTGTTGCATGAAGTCTGTTTAGTCCACTACTCATCATCATGTTACGTACTGGGGTATATGCCAGGCACCACCGACGCGATCTCTTGCATTAGTTATTTGTGCTGTCCGAGTCTCCTGTCCACCTCGCGTCACCATGTCTGCTGCTCTTCGCCGCCTCCCCGGCCCCTCCAGAGCATTCGCCTCCCAAGCCCCAACCCACATCCCCGTCATCCGGACCCTGCCACAACTGCGGCGATGGCGCAGAGCTGCCAGGGAGAGGGGCCTCGACGTCGGAGTGGTCCCAACCATGGGCGCCCTGCATGAGGGGCATATCGACTTGGGTGCGCTCATTGACACAGATACGGGTCAAGCTGATCACCCATGTCAGTCCGAACGTCATTGTCACAAAACCCCCTGACTGTCATTACCGTCTTTGTCAACCCTATGCAGGTAGGCATTCTTTTGGAAACCATAGTCCATGCGCTGATGCCTGCTTGGAACTAGTTTGCCCCGACAGAAGACTTTTCGGCGTATCCTCGCCAATTGGAACGCGATCTCTCCACCCTAAACTCTCTTCTCCCTTCGCCCGGCACACTGTCTTCCGTTCTGCGCGGACTCGGTATCAGCGAGAACGATGCTTATCGTCCATCAAGCACGGCCACCAGGACAGCGAACGCCAACACTGTCCCTCTGTCATCGGCGAACGAATCAGAACGCGAGAGGAACAGGGACAACGAGTCGCCTCTGGTGGTATTCGCTCCCTCACCGGATGTGATGTATCCTTTGAAGGGAGAACTGCAAGATTTGGATGCCCACAAGGGTGTCGAAGTCGATGTGAGTGGGTGGGGCGAGCTGATGGAGGGAGCTTCGAGGCGTACGTCCACTTTCCAGATGGGAGAATATCGCTAACGTCCTTTGCAGCCCAATTCTTCAAGGGTGTCGCCACTGTATGCACCAAGCTCTTCAACGCTGTGGAGGTGGGTCGTGGTACGCAGGGATGACTGGCAACTGCTAACGAGTCTGTAGCCTGACCACGCATACTTTGGACAGAAGGATATCCAACAAGCGCTCTTGCTCAAAATCTGTATGCTGCCACCTCTTCCGTACAGACCCCAACTGACATTTCTTGCAGTGGTGAACGATCTTCTTCTATCCCACCCCACTCCCGAGAATCTCCACATCCTGCCCACCACCCGCTCCCCATCCGGTCTCGCCCTTTCTTCCCGGAACGCGTACCTTTCTCCATCCGAGCTATCCGCGGCCCCCATCCTATTCTCCGCCCTATCCGAGGGGCAGGCTTCTTACGAAGAAGCGCAAAGGGCAAAGAACAATGAGTTGACGGGGGAAGACATTATCTCTGCTGCCACTGGTATACTCCTGGCAGAGCAGAGCAGGCTGTTGCAGGCCTCTTCGGTGTCCAAGGAGGCTGGTGTGGAGACGAGGCTAGATTATGTAGAGTTGTTTGATAGGACTACTTTTGAGCCCGTGAGGGGCCCGGTCGGAGATAAAGAGATGGTGCTCGCCGGGGCGCTCTGGGTGGGAAAGACGAGGTTGATTGATAATGTTCTTCTGGGCTGGAAATGCTCGTGAGGCTAGGTTTGGACAATTGAATACTTGTAACGATATGGCATTAGTCTGCATGACGTGTGCTGCTATATATAAAGAGATCTATAGGAGAAGGATACTATATACTATAACATATGCTATGATAGGGCATCCGCCGCCCATGACGTGTACACGGGCGTCGTCCCGATATGTAGATATCTATACACTGCCCTCATTGGCGTCTCCCCGCCTTTCTCTTCCCGGTCCTCGCAAGGCCTCCGAAATCTTCTCTCGCCACCAACCACAGCCCGGTAACACACACCATGTCCTTCAGATTCTCCTCGGTCAACGCTACGCTCTCCTTGACCTTTTTCACTGCCGTCCCCAGTTCGCCGTCCGCGGCTCCATCGCCGCTCGAGGCCGGCTGGCGCTTGACATCGGTCAGGCTGACAGCGTCTAGCGAGACGGGGATCTTGAGCACGCCAATGACTTTTGGGTGGTGCGGGGCGCGGACAAGCGTCCCGAGCAGTTGGCGCTGGCCCGTTCCCTTGACCCAGACCCAGCACGACCACGGCCCCTCGCTATCTTCTGGGTCTTCTGACGTAGCGTCTTCATCTGCCGTTGTATCGCCCCCACCCCCATTGATGGAGCTGGTGTCTTCAAACGAGATGGACGGTTGCCTGGATGCTTCCGAGGAGGCGGCGCTAGCGGCGTGGGAGACTCTGCGTAGCGGGTCTGGACGCGAATCAAAGGCGGGCGAGTGTGGCCGTGAAGAGAATGGGGAGGGAGGATTTGAGGCGCCGGATAGCTCGTTTGGCGTCACTGAGGATGGTGAGAATGATCTCGGGCGGTCGCTGTTGATAAAACTTGGCGTGGCACTGGCCCTCGAGTCGGTGGAAATGCCACGAGCTCGCCCCAAGGCGCTGAGACCTCGAGACTTTGTAAAGTCCCCTTCGTCCTCTCTGTCATTGGGAGACCCCTTGATCCACTCGAACTGGACTTCGTGCTCATCTGCCAGGTCCAAAGCACCGACCATCTCGAGCCCTGCAGAGGCAGCTGCCACGAGATGGGCCGACCATCCTTCGCTGTTCCTCCTCGCCCAACGCCTTACAGTCCACGTATAGCCAATAGGCCTAGAGCCAGAAGGCCGAAAGTTGGAAGGCCCCAAGGTGGGCGACGTTGGTGGTTTATCGGGCAACTCGGGTCGGAGAAAGTTGCGGTCGCATGGTGAGCGGGCGGCGCCGGCCTGCGGGCGAACGATGACGCTGGGAGACGTGCCGAATGTGGGGTTGGCGAGCGTGGTGCTCGGTACCAGATGGCTGTCTGAATAGCCGGCGTATGTTTGGTTGTTGGTTTTGGAGGCCGGGTGGGGCATAGTTTCGCTTGCTGATGCGCCGACATCTGCAGACTGGACCGAGGCGGATCGACGCATCGCTGTGCTCGACGCCCCTTCGTCATCACCAGCATTCTTCTTCTTTCGGAAGATTTTCCCAAAGAGCTTTTTGGCTCCATTCTCCCCGCCGGGCCCGCCTTCCTTGACACGGAGGCTATCAAACTTGAAGCCCTTCATATCGAGGCTTGCCCGTATGCCGCTTTTACTCGCACCGTCGTCGGATAGAAGATTGGCAGAGTTGTAAGATGCAACGGAGAGGGGTCTGCGGCGTGGTACTTCTGAGCGTTCGGCGTCGGAGGTGGTGTGTGATGTTACAGGACAGAGAGTAGGGTCTGAAGAGGATGAAAATATCTCGGCGGGCTCGACGATGCCGACCCCGACGACATCTACGCCGCGTTTCAAGAACTGCAGTTGTTAGCGCAATGATGGACGATATGGACAAGGACACACCTTTGCGACCTTGACATCGGTGGCGGCATCTGTGACTACGGTCGGGTGCACTACGCTGTGGACTGCGAGATTAAACATTGGCTCGATTCTCCTGCCCGAGCCGCCGCTGGTGGTACTGCTTGTCGCGGTCGACATGCTCGACTTTACAGACTGGGACCTCTTGAGCGAGACGCCGCCTGCTTCCGAGCTCGGGCTGATAGCAGAGGCCGGGGAGGAGGGAGGGCCGAACTGGGATGACGTAGGGGTGGTGGGCACTGGAGAGTTGTCAGACAGGTCGCCGTCGCGCTCCTTTCCTGGGGTGGATGGGACGGCTGAGGAGTAGTCGAAGGAGGTGGAGACGCCCCTGGGACGGTTTCGTTTGACGACGAGTTGTATCTGGAGGTTGAGGGGATTTTTGGCTGCGGCAGGCGGTGGCTTGACGATAATGTATGTCTGCGCGGGGTCGACATTAGTCGGATGCGTTGACTATCGGACGATCTGGCTTACATCAAGGGGCTGCTTTCGGCCTCTACGGTCTGCAAAGGCGTCTTGGAAGCCACCCGAGGCGGCCTTGGTGCTCTGTGTGCGCCTCCGCCTGCCGCGGGAGATGGCGGTGACCTCTGGCTCTGCAATCATGACGCTGGTGGCGGTGACCTCTGGCTCTGCAATCATGACACTGGTGCCCGAGCTCTTGCGCCTGCCGTCTGGGCCTAGGCTGCTTCTGCTGGGCGCGCTGCCCGAGGAGGATCGGGAGGGGGCGGGGGGTCCTTGGGGGGGTGTGTCTGTGTGCTGCTCCGGGGTGAAGAGGGAGTAGGGGTTGATGGTGGTGGTGAGGTCGCGGAGGTCGCCGAGGGTGGGGAGGAAGGGGGGCATCGCAGGGGGAGGAGAGGAGGAGAGATGAGATGGATGAGAGATGGATGAGATACAGATGAGAGATGAAAAGCTGACTGGACGCGCCAGACCTCCTCGGGCATCGTCCCATGTCAACATCCATCCCAGCGGCATCCCCCGCCGAGCCACAGCTCGAAACTAGCCAGATCATGCATCGGCGACCGCCGCTACTACTTTACTGCACCAGCCTCTCCCACGTCCGCCCCGCCATCGACCGCCCCTCGCTGCGCAGCCGCCCCTCCTCGAGCCCCGCCTTCGACACCGACACTGCCACCCCCCTGTCCCGCCTCGCCCTCTCTGCCGTCGCCCCCTGCCGCCCCCACGCCCCCGCATACCCCGGCAGCAGAACCGGCGACTGCAGGATCGACAGTCGCGTGAGCGACCCAAACTGGCTTAGTTGCTGCAGACTCTTTAGCTGGCCGAGTATCGTCTGTGGCGATGGCGAGGGGCTGCTGGACAGTGGCACGAAGGCATAGACAAGAGGCAGCGCCAGGAGGTACAGCGCGCGCAGCGTGTGGATCGTCGTGGCCAGCTAGTTTGTATCAGCATGAACCTATTGTGATGAGATGGCGTACATGGGCACAGTCGCCGTCGGCCACAGCTAGATCCCAGCCCCACTTGACTCCCACCTCGCCCACAAAGCCGCCCACCAGTGCCCACGCTACCGTCGCACGCCATTCCTTCCGCCTCGCATCGCTGCTGCAGAGCCACGAGACGGCCCCCACAAACAGCCCCGTGATGATGTACGGGCGCAGCATCCCAGGGAGCGCAAACAAAAAGTAGTCGGCAGGCTGCGTGCACCATAGACACTCTGACAGCGGCTGATGCCCCAGGCGGGCGTACAGCATCCGGTTATCGAGCAACTTCAACCGCGTCAGCAGCAATTCCAGGAGCGGTGATAGCGTCTCTTCATCGACGCCTTCCGGGACCACGCTCGCCCGGAGCCCCTTGTTCGAGGCGAGGATAGGGAGCCCATGGTGCACAAAGATGTCGTACGGCGGAAAGACGAGGCTCTTCAGGTAGAGAATTGTGTGCGCAGCGAGGAGGAATTTGGCGGTGTCGGATAGAGGCGGAGAGATGGCAGCAGGTTGGGTGGGTCGTTGGGTGACCAGCCTGACGAGCTTGGGGAGGACGAGGAGGAGGGCGAGGGCGAGAGGGGACTGCCATGCTTGGACGAAGGAGAGGATGGACATGGCGGCGTGCTTCTTGCCTGGGTGTGAGGAAGAAGTCGAAGGAGACGATTTGAGCGAGTCGCCGGCCGCCGCGCTATCTCCCGGACTCCCGGTATCTTTCCCAGCGCATTCGGTATCCATCTATAATAATAATACACTCTTCAGCAGCACAATGCCCTCCATCATCCCCACCATAGATCTCGCCCACGACTCTCCCGCCCGCCAAGCAGAGCTCATCAAGCTCGCCCTGGGCAACGTCGGCTTTTTCAGAGTCGTCAATGCCGGGCCCGCCCGCCAGGATGTCGAAAAGATGTTTGAATATGTCAGTATTCTCTATGGGTGTACGGCATCTGGAGGGTAGCTGACAGCGCCCAGTCAGAGTCCTTCTTCAGCCTCCCCATGGCCACCAAAGAGGCATACCTCGCCGGACGTTCAGGTTCCGGCTACACCAAGCTCATGTCCCAAGCTCTGGGCGAGGGTAAACGTGATCACAAAGAGCAAGTATCCTCACGCCGTGATCTTCACCTGCAGCTGACCTCATACAAGAACATTCTCATACGGCAAATACTGCGCCGACACTACACAACAAATGCCCCCGCCTTTCCAAGACTCTACGCCTGGAGGCCAGGAAGCGCACCAGACAATCAAACGATTCTACAAAGATTGCCACCAAGTCAGCGAGCTCTTGTTGGAGCTCTTTGCGCTCGCTCTCCAAGTGAGCCCCCTTGTCATGCCTGGGCCTTGCCACTGACAAGTGTACAGCTCGAGAGAACGCATTTCAAGCAGTCCCACTCATTTGGACTCAACACCGCAATGTCGCTGATTCACTATCCCGCCTTGAATGAAGCAGAAGCCAAGGCGCTGAGCACGATAGATATCCGGGCAGGAGGTGAGTCTTTCTAAACGCAACACGGCAGGATACCGACCCGACTCGAGAACACAAGGACTGGGGAAGTATGACACTCTTGTTCCAACAACCCCGCGGCCAACCAGGTCTCCAAGTCCACCTCCCGTCTTCCCTCATCCGCCCTGACGACCCTCAAGCTTCTCCGGAATCATACGAATGGTACCCCGCGCCCATCCCCGAAGCACACCAAGACGAGCACGCCGGCTTCCTGGTCAATGTCGGGCTCGGGATGGAGCTCTGGAGCAAGGGGGCGTACAAGGCTACCATGCACCGCGTCATATTCCCCGGAGAAGAGGCAGGGTCCGAAAGCGTGCAAGATAGGCATACGATCGGGTTTTTCGTTCAGCCAGACGATCATGTGGTACGTCTCTTTTCATCCAACAAGAATCTCACAAACCCCGTCGTAGGCTTTCCAACCTATTTTACCAGGCGGCAAGGTCGACACATCCACCAAAGCCATCACCTCGGGCGAGCTCTTCGACATGAAATTGCAGGAGAGTATGGAAAGGTTTCAGAAACATTTTGCATTTTCTGGTGGTGATGAAAAGGTCAAGAAGGATGTCCAGGTTGAGAACGCCGTGGTTGTCTGAGTGTAATGATTGTATAGTGTCGGGTATCTATGCAAATATGTACATGTTTTGCAATGCCTTATGGTCGCGCCAACTATGTAGATACATTACAGTCTAGTTTCTCCAGCTATAATACCCTGCGTCAGTATACCACCCTTGATAGATACAATCACACTCACATCTTGACAGTCTTGTCTCTTCCACCGCTGACCACCTTGTCGGCGACAAAGTCTACACAATAGACTTCATCCGTGTGACCGGGAAGATCGATACGGATCTTGTACGTCTTGAGGTTCCACAACTATACACCCGTCAGCACCCGAGTACCACGAAAAAGAGTGATCGCACCTTTAATGTCGTGTCCTTGCTCGCACTGACCAACATTCTCGAATCGGCAGACCAAGCGACCCGGTAGACGGCAGCCACGTGCCCTCTCAGACTCGCCACAAACTTTCCCGTCCTACCCTCCCAGAGCTTGACCGCATTGTCGAAACCCGCGCTCGCAATCATCCTCCCGTCCGGGCTGAAAGCCACATGGTTGACCTGCTTCTGGTGTCCCGTCAGCCTCGCCACCGGCTTTTTCGGTGTCGCCGTCGACGCGAAGGAAGAGGAGGCCTGGTCAGGCCACAAGTAGAGGGTATGGTCGTCAGAGCCAGTGATGAGCGTCTCGGGGTGGGTAGACGTGACGTCCTTGTAGCGCTCGAGGGCCCGGGCGCGAGCTTCGTCGTCGCTCTGAGGTTTCTTGGAAGTGTGGTCGAATGGACCGGTACGCAGCACGAAATCAGTCGAAAGAGCCATGGTGTTGACCCAGTGCGCGTGCTCGTTCAGCGTACGGATAAGTTTACCCTGTAGAACATTAGCGCCTGCAGCGATGAGAGAAAAGAGACTCACGTCGACACCACTCCAAACCTTGACCGTCCTATCACTGCTTCCAGTATAAATCACATTCTCCCCACCCCATCTCACGCAGTTGACACTAGCCGCGTGACCGGTCAACACAAATTCAAGTTTCCTGGTGCCAGTGTTCCAGATTCGGACGGTGCCGTCTTTCGAGGCAGAAGCAAGCCTGGGCCCAGCGGCTTTAGGAGAGACGAGGTGGAGGGGTTCGAAGGCGAGGGCGGTGATCCACTTGGTATGGCCGAGCAGGGGAGCACCATATGCCTGTCCTGTTGCGGCTTCCCAAAGGCGTACCTGCGATTCCATTGAGCATGGTCTTGCTAATCATAAAAAAATATTCACCTGGCCATCGTGTCCACCAGTAGCCACAATCTTCTCTCTCGAGTCCCATTCGACGACAAGGACCCAGCCCTTGTGCCCCGACAAGGTCCATTTCGGCGTCTCAGTCTCCATATCCCAGATGCGGCCTGTGGCATCGCCTGACCCAGTAGCAGCATACCTGCCGGTAGGCGAGTGGGCACAGCACAAGATTGGTGAAGCATGCCCTGCGAAAAATGAGCTTTTGGATCGCATGGAAAGTGATAACGTACCGGTCAAAGTAGCTGTACACCGTCCGACACTTCTTACACGAAACACAGCCTGCGGCTCGCACCAGAGCTCGAAGATGTCTTCAGAGGAGAACGTGCTTCCTTTACTCTCAAGCGCATCGGCGAGGATAGAGTTGTTGATCTGTACACGGGCCGACGTCGGTGCAGTCGAGGTCGAAGGTACTTTGGGCACGAGATGGAAAGCGTACGGTAGAGGGTCTTCATCCTATAGCAGTCATGAGTACAGATCTACAAGACTCAATGTATGCGTACCTCGCCTCGAAGCTTGTTGACGAGCATCTGCAAGGCATCCCGGGCAGTATCAGCAGGAAGGTTGATGGCAGGACCGAGAGATGAGCCATCTTCAGCAGACTTGAATTGGACGACGACCGAGGGAATGTCCTTCTGGACAACCTCGATCTTGGGGTCCTTGCTCTGGGCGTAGGCGGAGCGCTGGCGTTTGGGGGGGGGGAATTGGGTGGCCATGGCGGGAGTAAGCGGTAAGAGACAGACTGACAACATTTCTGAATTTTCTGGTGGACGGCGCGGTGGAGGCCGTTTACGTAAACACTCTCAGGCTGCAACAACAATTCAAGACAGGGTATCTCTGCAAGCATTCCACCGCCCAAACAATGCCCATGCAGCTAGTGCGCCCAGGATCATGTATGTGCCAGCGCACACCGAGTGTCTCTACTGACATGGTGCAGCATGGACCCCATACATCACTCTCAAGACGACCAGGAGCACCAGGGCGGTCAGCAGACCGACATGCAGCGCGAGCTTGCAAACCAAGTCGCAGCCCAGGCCATCGAGGCCGCTGTAGCTGCTCAGTCCGAAGCAGGCGCAGAGGCCGATGCTGGTGTAGGGATGGCGCAAGAACTCGCAGGTGGCAGGGAAGACGAGGCGAGCGACATACACATGCGGGATACTTCGCATCCTCCCCAACACCATCCTCGCCAACCTACATTTCCGCGCTCCCGACATTCGTTCGCGACCTTGTCAAACTCCGAGTCACCCGTGGCGGGGCCTTCGGCGATCGGTAGGCACCCTGTGAGAGGGGATCATGCCGCCACAAGCGCTGCTCAAGGATCTCATTCGGTCCTCTCTGCGAACGACCAGATAGCTATTTTACGGGAGAGTTATGCTCGTAATCCAAATCCGGGCAAACAAGAACTTGAGCGGCTGGCAGCACGAACGGAGAGGCCGTGGAACAAGATTAGGGAATATTTCAGGCAGCGGAGAAACAAGCTGAGAGGTCTAGAAGCACTCGAGACGATGATTGAACCTGGGAGGGCACAAGGATGGTACGTTTTTTATCCCTTGGGGCTATGATCAGTGCTGACCAATATCTAGGCTGCTCATAACATATCGCTCTGCGTCGCCCACGTCGTATGTTCCCCAGCTCAATCTGTACAGTGCATACAAGCACCGTTTCGATCCCTACTCCATCACAACTCCTCTGCTAGGCGGACAGGACCTCATCCAATTGGCTTGTGCCACGTTTCCTGGCTGTGAAATGGCCAGAGACGAAGGAGAATACGTCCTGAAAGGGTTGGCCAAAAAGGTCAAGGAAGGTGACCATCGAGATGATGGTTCTCATGACCCTGATGGGGTTGACAAGACCGGTCACAAATATGCGGAAGGTGTCGATCCCGAAGATTGGGAAAAAGGCATGGAAGGACTGGTAGAACCTTTACGGGCAGGAAGCTGGCTCCTCAGCTCGTTCCAATCCCACGCCAGCGGCACAGGAAGCCCCATCACGCAGACAGACCTCTACACTTCGTACGCCGCGCGCTTTTCCTCCCTCTTGAGCTCCGCACCCAATCTTCAGCCTGGAGAGGAGAGATGCAAGGACGAAGCGAGATCTATCAACCAGGCAGAATCGTTGATGGCCTTCCAGGAAGCTGGCCTCGGGGATACGAGGGGCGAGGATGGAGAGTCGGTACCGGTGGAGGACGATGACATCCCGTCGCTCGACGAAGACCAACACCTCGATGCCCCTCCGATGGATACCACTCATTTCACTGCCTCCGCCTCATCTCCCGACTCGGCCCTACCTGGTATACCAAAAGAGAACCGTCTCCTTACTCCTCTCGAGCTGATCAACCTCACTCGCATGACATTCCCGACTTGCGAGCCCCTCGTTGATGAAAACGGGCGGTTCATAGTCAAAGGGCTGGAGCGGAGAGAAGGCTACGAGCCGGGCAAGAAAAGGAGAGAAGGAGAGATGTATCCTTTTGCGTTGATGAGAGAGACTGAAGGGGAGACGAGGGTTGGAGAGGAATTTGTTCGAGCTATCAAAAGAAAGTTGGCCAGTCTACAAGACGGGCCCGATCTTGCGCTTGGTGCAAAGATAGAGGAGGGGAGAGCCAAGAAGAGAAGAGAGGAACCATTGACAGAAGAGGACAGGGAGATGCTGGAAGGACTGAAGCGGTTCAAGTCGAGCAGACTGGGGCAAGAAGTTCACGATGCTTGTATATCGCAATAGTCGTACATGTCGATCAATAACAATACCCGGTCCCATCTAGCCAAAAATCAAGTGTCACAGTACAGTGCCATCTCCATATTACCACTATGTCCGCCGCGGCCCATAGCCACTGCTCTTGACATGCGTATAGTTGCCTACAGTGCCCGATGCTGTCGTCGAAGGAACACCCCGCCGTGAACCAGGCGCAGAGTCGCTAGCACTACTTGGTCGAGGGAGACTTGATGGTCGAGGTATGCCTGTGCCTTGCCTGGATGTCAGACTTGCATCCCTTGCAGAGGCGTGAGAGAAAGATTTACCTCTAGCAGCACCACCGCGCCCCGCGCCCATCCCGATCCTTCCTCTGCCTCTAGATACGCCCCTTCTGGCCGCCAGCACCTCCGCCTTTCCCTTCTCCTGTTCGCGCTGTTCGGCTCTCCGTTGTCGATCCTCTTCTTCCTGGCGCAGAGCCTCGATACGAGCTGCTTCTTCTTGCTGTGCGCGATATTCAGCAAGGGCGGCAGCGGCTTGTTCTGCCGCGATAGCTGATTGATCCTGCGCAAGGGTAAGTGCACGTTCGAGCGTCTCGAAAAAGGACGCACATCGGAAGCCCCTGTCCATCGAGGGTTTGACAAGAGCCGTTTCGTATGCTCTGACTGGCCGAGGATGGCCGTATATTCGTCCAGAAGAGCGGAAGTCTGCTGGACCCTTTCTGCCAGCCGCTTTCAGGCCGTCAGCACCAGTCCATGATCAGAAAGCTAGCTCGCACCTCATTGTGCCCCTTGACCCCATCCAACGCGCCAATGAAGCCGTCAAAGACTTCATTAAACTTGCGCAGCTCATACAAGCTCTCTCTCAGACACTTGTCTCTGTCCGAGTCGGTGCTGGCCCCACCTGTGCGTGACTGGGCTTGAGACTGCACTCTCTCCGCGTCCCGCTCTTGAACCGCATCAGGTTTCCCCTGGATGCTTTCGCCTTCTTGCCCCTCTTCTTGGGATTGCTGACGCTGATCTTGTGTATCCTCATGGGAAGGTTTTGTCAAGGATTGATCATAGTCCTGAGGAGGAGCAAAGAGCGAGAATCTTGGCTTTCCTGCCCCACCCCACGCGCTAGGCTTGTCCTCGCTATTGCTCTTGTCGGGAAGATTGAATTCGGCTCCCGACTCCTTCTTTCCACCCTCGGTCCGATCGTTGTTATTCCTCTGTTTGCCAAGATCGGCAGAATGTAATTGTCTGGGTGGGGGAAGAGGACTGAAACCGTCCTCTCCTAGGGAGATGTCGGCGAGAGATAGAGAGGCGTCTTCGGAAGGATCGTACTTTGGGTGTGAGAGTGTCGGGAGGAGTGGAGAGTCCATACTGGGGAGAATTTAGAGAGGCTTGGTCGGTAGCCAGATGTAAAAGCAGCGCTAGATGGGTAAAGACAAGAGATGGAGGACACGGGAAATGTGAATTCTTGTTTTCCCCTCGCTGTTGCTGTCGCGGCGCGTCGCGTACCCAATGTCCGGACGGTGGCGGACGCGCCGGACACTGTACGCCTGCCACCCAAACTCTTTGGGCTGGCGATTTATTCGATGGCTGAGCGGTAACCACTCCTTCATCAGACCAATAATGCCATTATCATACATTATTATACTTGACAACTCCAACAAATTTGATACAATGAAACATCATCTTCCCAGAACCTGCTGTAACATGCCGACAACTCCCTCATCTCTCCATGGAGAAGCGCCTTCTTCAGCCTCAACAGACCCATTTAACGCCTGATGGCCTTGTGTCCAGCCTTCGATTGAATCACCTCCCTCATCCCCCTCCTCGATCGCTCGCCCTCGTACATTGCTGGGCGAGAGCACGGTCTGTTGATGGAGGTTCGAGCTCCTGGTCCAGGCGCGCTCATATGCCTGACTCTTTGCTCTAAGTTGTGCCTCATTCATATCGCCCATCACTGAGCCATCGATACCCAAGCCTCTGCCTCCGGCGTAGAACGATCCTCCTGGCCCCGCGCCCATGGGTGCTACAGCTCCCGGCGAGAGATGACGGTTGCGAATATGAGCGAGCTTGTCGAGAAACACAGAGGAATTTGGGTCTGAAGGCTGCCAGTCGGGATGGGTAGCCCTGAAATGAAGGAAGGATTTTTCCATCTTAATTTCATTGCTACTGCGGTCGCGGGTTCTGTTCCCCAGTCCCCTGTTGCTAAGCCTTGGAGACAATGGAGCGGAAGGTATGGTGTTTTGCGCTTGATGCCCCATTCGATCGGCTCCCCTTTCTGGCCTGTGCAGGTCTTCTGCTTCCAGATCGACGTTCCCTTGCCGTGAGAAATCAAACACAGCAAAGGAGCAGACGTAGCCCACGCCGTCTACGTGGACAGTGAATTCGCGGAAAAAGTCGATAATCTCGGAAGCACATGGCGGTAAAGAGAAGAATAGGATGAAGGGGGTGAGGATGACCGAGAGAAGTTCGTCAAAGAATATCGTGATTTTGAGAGCAAATAGTTTGCCGAATTCTTGATGGACCTACAAAAGTCTCATTAGATAGTTGCACTATAGCGACAATTTGGGAGACTCGCCTTTTCGCTGTGCAACCGTCCTCTCCACTCTTCCGGCAAGTAGTGGGTCCACTTGACGACCTCCTTCAAGCTCGCCTCGGGGTCAAAGACCATATTCTCTTCCGGGACCATTGACCTGGCAACGGCCAGCACTGAACCGAAAACACCGAGGAAGAATAGTACGGTGCGACGCGGAGTGATTTCAAAGTGCAAGAACAGGTCGGGGTTCAGCAGGGTCGCAGCAAGAAGGACAGCCGCGAAGGAGCCCGCGACGAAAGCCACAAACCTGTCTGTCGTCAGTTTAATGGATGACATGCGGTATCGATTCCTCACCTCATCACAAGAGCGGTCTTCTCCTTGGGAAATTGATCGACATATTCCTTGGCAGTGACATAGCTTCGGTCCAGGCGTCTTTCAAACAGATGGGGCAGTTCGTTGAATTCTCTGAATTTCCACTGAGCATAAGGGGTGTATTGGCGACTGCCAATGGAAGATGGGTTCTTGTGGTATTCCTGCGTTGGATGGTGAGCGACCATCTCGTGAGGGTCATATCCACACTCACCTCAAAGTAGCGGAAGAAGGAATACATCAATAGATAGACGATGATGAAAGGAGCAAAAAGCCCATTCAGTATCCCCATAAACACAAGTCTTCGTCTCAACCTACACAAAAGTGTCAAGACATAAAAAGCTGAGAAATAACGACTCACCCTTGTACAAGATCCTGTCGTCTCTTTTCCCTCACAAAATCTTTCCGAACTTGACCTCGCCAGTCAAACAGATATCCTAGTAGACAGAACCTGAGGTTCCACTCTAGCGCTTTCGTCAAATGATTGGCGCCAAAGCTGAGATACTTCCTTCTGGGCGCATTCAGATATTCAGGGAGGGTGGGGTCGGCAGAGGTGGTGAGGAGAGTCGATGGAAACATGTTGTCCAGAGCGTGAGGTACAGGTATCCGGACTTTGAGATCCAAAAGATCCTTGTTGAACAGGGCTATGAGGTAATTCTCTTGTCGAAGAATGCGACTGAGATGAATCAGCAAGTGCGATGGCCCAAGCAGCTACGTTGATAACTTACTTGGCAACATCATGCGCATCAAGCTTTTTGACAGCTCCCGTAGTGTTGTCGCCTATCATGTCTGCGAGTGCAGATGCTTGCCCGTTGGATATAGATGTGATCGGGTTGTGTTTCCTGATCTCACCCACGAGTCGCACGATCTCAGGCCATGGTAAAGTCTGTATGTCGGCCTGTGAGACATTAGCGGATTTGATATGTCATCGGAGAGCTTGGTACTCACGTCTGGTATACGAAGGAGATGCGTGTAAAAGCGATACATCTCTAGTAAGCGGGGCAGGGATAGGGCAAAGCTGACAGCCTGGAAGATGAAGAATGCTGAGAGTATGACGATGAACAACATATGGGTGAAAGACCCCCTGCAGCGACATGTCAGCCCAAAGTACCCTTGGCTGGCAGTGGCACTCACCTCCTTAGACACTGTCCCACAAGGACGTCGTCAAGTCGATTGACCGTGTCATCACCGGACGCAAGCTTGGAGTAGTCGATGCAAGAAATCAAAAAAGTAGAGAAGGCAATAACAAAGAATGTCGTCCTGTGGCCAGGTCAGTGAGGTCTTTCGTGTAGAACAACACGCTTACAAGAGATTGAGCACTCTTGACAAGGCAATGCAGTATATTCCCTTGCCTTTGTAGTACTCGTACACCTACGCCATGAATTTCGTCAGCTGCCTGAAGAGCCCGATTGCAGCCACGCACCTCTTGCAAGAAGCCGTCCAAGTCATCAACGTTGACCCACTTCCAGAGCGCCTTCTCGTACTCATCCAAGCCGCTCTTGGGGGTCTTTCTTCTATTCCCATCCTCCAGATCTTCTGTGCCGACTGAGTGGTATCTTCGACCGCCCTTGTTCCTGACCCTCTCTTTCCCCTTCCCTTTACTTTTCGATGTCAATGGAGGAGGGATATTAGGGTCAAGATAACCATTGACTCTCTGTGATGGAGATCCTGGCCATGAAGGGCGTTGAGGCGACGATGGCTGGGGGAGGGTAACTTCTCGGAAGAGGGGCCGTTGGGTCTCCCGTCCTGAAGCTGGGAGTCCTATATGCGGCACCCCCATAGATGATGCTTTTACATCCGACCCAGATGCACAGATAGACAATGGCTCAGCGCCTTCTCCGATGCTGGTACTCCTGGAGCTGCCGGAAGCCTCTACAAAAGGCCCTGTGCTTCTCGGTCTTGCCAGGTGTTGTTTAGAAGACGATGAAGGTAGTGGGTGATCTCGACTATCAGAGTAGGCCTCAGATAGCGGCATAGGCCCCCCTTTCCTCGTATCCGTCACTTCTGTGGCCCTTGACAAGTCCCTGTGATCCCGAGCCCGTTGAACACCCTGATCGCCAAAGATCAGTGATTGCGGCGGGTTGCCACCGTCGTCGTCATCCGAGCCATCGTCGAGGATATGAGTCGGACTGCGTCTGCTTAGTGATCCCCTCGTTGTGGACCCAGATCCTTGACCTTCCAGCTCGAGTATATGCGAGGAAGGGCGTGACTGTGATTCTTGGGCGTCTTCCAAGTCGCTGGTGGCATGGGGAGGGTCTCCCTGCAGCTCTCTGAGGAGCATGGTGGACGGGCTTTCTGGGTCGTGTGCTGACATGCTGTGCTGGTGGGGGATGGGGAGAGGCGAGGAGATGAATGCAAGGAAGACACCAAGAAGACACTGACGTACTTGAAGCAGCCGACGGTCGGAACACAACAATCGGACCTCGCCGACGCAGGCCTATTCGACACAGGCGCGCTCTCAATTCGTCTCTTGTCGTCTCGTCTTGCTTCCTTGCTTCCTTGTACATTTCCCTCTCCATCGCATATCCTGCTCGGCTCTCACCAACATTCTACCCGGTACTCCACGCATTATGCCTGAAGCAACCTCATCTATCCCCGCCACTTCGCGTCGGCAGCAGGTACCAGCGTCTCATACCTCCTCTTTCCTACGCTGATCCAATGCATCACAGGTCCCAGAAGAAGACGCCACAAAACTTCAGTTTGGAGGTCAGTGGGACTGTTTTATTTCGGATGCAGAAGAAGGCTGAAACAGACATCTTCGATTGCAGAATTTGCGGACGGAGAAGCTCTAACTTTGACCGAGGTGGCTACCTTGCTCGTATATGCTCGCTCAGTGGCTGGAGTACCTCCGGTACCCGACAACAAGTACGCAGGTCTAAGCTGCATGAGGCTAACTGCTGACATGAGTTGTAGGGTGTACCAGTCAACATCTGAATATGTGAACGAGTTTTCCAGCACATCCATGGAAGTTTCCGACGCTATGCGGAAGTACGTTCGCCCGCCAAACTCATCGATAGGTATATGTGCTGATGTCAATCTCTGTAGTGCTCTTACCGCCAATATAGGGTTCCTGAACAAATTCGAGATTGCCCAAATCATGTCATTGAGACCCGAAAAGGTTGAGGTCGCTGTTGCTCTCATACCCAGGTATGTCCTTACGCGTTCCGCTTCATCTCACCTCAGCTAATTTATTTGACATAGTTTGGAGCGATATGCTCAAGGTGACGAGAGTGAAGACCAGCTGCAGAGCTTGTTGGATGAGGTGAGGGGCATTGTGCGATATGGCGTACAGCCTTAGATTGGATGGAACATGTAATCAGACGACCATGATTAAATGTTGTAATATTATAATGCATCTTACAAGTGGATTAAACAGTGTAGAGTGGGTCATGAAGCCATCTAAAACATTCTAGAATCTTGGTAGTCCAATGACACCGCCGTTCTTACACCACTCGCCCAGTCCCGCGGTCACCTTCACTTGGCAGCCTAGTCTGCTCTCTCCCTCCTTGTATCCTATAGCATATCCCATCATATCCATCTCGGTCTCTGAAGGATCAGGAACTGGAGCTGCTGGGATCGCAGTGATATACAGATGGCAGGTAGCACATTCTGCAAATGGTCAGACACGCACTGCGGCGATTTGCAAAGTGCACTCACCCAGATTACCGCCGCATACCCCTTCTAGCGAAGGCAGATCGTTTTCCTTTCCGACTTCCAGTAGATTTTCGCCAACCTTCCCTTGCACTAATCTCTCCTCACCCTCAAAAGTCCTGAATCTGAGCTGGACAGTCTCCCTCTGATCTTGAACTTTTTCCGCGTTGGGGTCGACCATACTCCAAAGCTTGGCCTGCTGATCTCCAGTGAGGCCATATCTGCCTCTCCAATGTGACCACAAATGTGTACCGTTTCCCTTGTCTGGCGACAGAGCATTGGCAGTAAGAGTCAAGAGTTGAGACAGTACTTGAGGGGCGTCTTTTGCTGTCAAATTGGAGAGCATGTCCATAGTGGGCAGAAGAATGGCGTTGGCAGCGTATCTGTGGTCGGGTCAGCTGTGAAAAGTCTGTAGAGAGGTGTACATACTTGTGGCCTCCCACATGTGCAACCTCTCCGATCTTGACCTCGTTCTCCAACCCCTTCTTTCTCACCTCCTCTCTAAGGGCTTCCAACAACGGCATGCCCTTATCATGGCATCTGCAGTCCCTCGCGCCATGAGTGCATATCAGGATCTCTTTGGGCCGTCTCTTGGCAGAAGTCGCCAGCAGTGGCCAGCCCTCCGCCGCGATGGAAGGCGTATAGGCCAGCTCTTTCTCGAGATCTGCCGATGAAAGAGTAGCCATAGAAAATCTACCCCAAACGCGTATGCGCCCATCTGCCCAGTGAAGTCTGGCTTGGTATTTTTCCTCACCCATACCTAGCATACCGCTTTCGGGAACAGGTAGTGACTGATCATACACTACGTTCACTCCGATTCCCTTGGATTTCAAGTGTGCCGAGGCCGTGGCCAGTAAGGGAGAGGCCATTTCCAAGTGGGACGGCCATGTCGATGGCGGGTATGGCACTAATAAAAGTAGCAGGGCGCGAGTCGGAGAGAGGGATCTAGGAAGAGGGAGTGGTGGTTCGAGTGCAGAGGGCGGTGTCGGGTCTGCTGTCGGTATAGGTATGGGATCTCTCCAGACCCGAGAGGTAGACTGTAGTGAGCGCCGAGCTAGGCAGAGGACAGGTCTTTCTGTCGGTACCCGTGAGAGCATGGATCTCAAGAGAGCCGTGCCAGGAGACGAAGAAGGGCGCATGGAGCAGGTGGGTGGTCGGATGCTATACAAGAGCACCTATTGGCCTTCCTCTGTCAGGTCAGTCAAGAAAAACACCCGACCGTCCGTCGGCCACGGCGGTCGCCGACATGATGCAGCTTCTACAAGTGCATGCCAGAGATAAAAGAAGTATATATACGTCTATGCAATGTCCTTCATACTACCCCTTGTTCGTGGTGTTGCCCGCACCCTTTTGATTTTCATCCGTGTAAGCCGCCCAGTTCTCGTCCTTCAACCTCTTCTTCTCGGCCTGCTCTGCTGCGTACACGGTACCGTCCATCTCGGCCTCGAGTTCCAGGGTCTCAGACTCTGTAGGAGCATCATAAGATGCTTGCCTGCAAACATCATTAGCGAGACCTAAGATGGCACTGCTCAAACAAGTAACTCACCCGCCACCAGATATTATACCTCCCCGCTCCTGTTCGATCTGCAGATACTGATCTATAGTCATTGTCGGAAGCCTCCATCCCTGCCTGAACACCTCTCCCTTCAGCTTCTGCCGATCGGTCTCTCTACTTGCGCTCGGCAGAATGGTGAATGGCTTGAGCACTTTACCTCCGGGAGCGATCAGGTTGGCAGGATCATTCTGCCCTGGAAGAGCATCTAGACGCCATGTCGTGTCTTCCTCGCCCCTTCCACTTTGTCTAGGGTCTCGAGGAGGCTCAGAGGGAATCTCTTCAAGGTGGGCAGAGGACAGGATATCCAACTCCATTTTGATGGACGACAACGCAGAATAAGTCGCGACAGAGAGCAATCTCAAGACGTCCAAAATTAGGTGTCTATCCTGTTCATGCTCTGGTCCTTGGTCCGGAAGACTGAAGGCGCTGGTGCCTGATGACTGGCGAGGAGGTGCGGGTAAAAGTGCTAGGATGAAGGAGATGTGCGAGGAGCCACCAGATCGCTTGACTTTGGCCTGTCTGAATCAGTATATTCCATGACGGTGACAAGACCACCTACAGATATTCTCTCTTTCATATCTTTCTCTTTCCTATATTGCTGGATTTTGGCATCCCTTCGGCTCGCAGGGTCGCTTGGTGTTCGTCCGTCTAAATTGAACCCGGCCTTCTCCTCAGGAGTGATGATACCATATGAGGTCAGGACTTCCACGAATTGTTGGCATGCATCCTTCGGTTGACGTTAGTCCAATTCACAAGGCAGACTGGATGACATACCTCGGACCTCTTTAGCGATTCCACTCTCTCTTTACGCTCTCCTGTGCGCTTTTCTTCACAACCGCCAACAACCCACCCAATGGTCATAAAGACCAGCGCCCCTTCGCTGAGCTCCTCCCATCCTTCATTATCAGAGTAGACACCAAGAAGGTTCAACGACCTCTGGATTATGTGAAGCTTCTCCAGAGCGTCCGCCAAAGTAGACTGGGTGGATGCTGCAGACAAGGAGACGGCGTCGGAAAAGATCGGGTCGAGGGTAGTCAAAGTTTGCGCGTATAGCTGCGGAAGAGGAAGGTCGGACATTGTGGGACGGTAATGACTTTCTTGGTTTTGCGTGAATGTTTGACGTGGATGACACAGACGTAACGAACGGACATTGAAAGTTGTCCGGACGCAATGTCCGGAACCATCCCAGATATGAACGTCGCGACGTTGGATGACATTGCGACGAAGAGGCAAGAGCGGGGAGCCTCGCAACCGTATGCCCTGGTTGCTGGACACATGTATGGTCGGCTATTATTGGCACCATTGGGAGGTAGGTACCGACTGTGTCATACAACCACTGACTTACTTCGGTGGCAGACCTTACATGTTATATGTGCCTGGTCCTGATATATATTCTGCTGTAAGCAGGAAAGCTGAATTGAGGGGTATGACATGTATGTCCGCCTCAGATATCAGCGTTCCCTCCGAGAAGGACCATCCATTGCCTAGCTGATCGCCGACTGAATAGACTCTCAGCCACTCGCAGAGGACTTGACAAGAGCGATGGCAAACAATTATTAGAGCGAAACGGAGCGAGAGAAGGGTGCAGCGTACTCTCTCGCAAACTCCCATCGATGAGGACGCTTCATGTGGCATACATGAACCAAACACGGAAACATTTGACACTCTTGGTACATGGACTGCGCGTTTATGAGGCGCTTGCAAAGCGCTTAGCTTTTTTCGGGTTCATCGGCCGATGCCTCTGGTGGGCAAAACTGGCTGACAATTCGATGGAGTCGAAATTGTCCGACCACGGAGGAGCGAGCGAAAACCTTGAATGGGATGGAGAGCCACTTTGACCTCTGAACTATTCGACTTCTGAACTATAATCAAAAACATCGCCCCAAAAGCGTACAAGATGAGCGCAGAAAAAGAAGCAGACTCGTCGTCGTCTGCGCCCTCCACCATCGACGACCACCGCCAAAGACTCCAGGATGAGATTGCTGCCATGACCGAGGAGGAATACTTGGCGGCAGACAAGAAACTTGTCGCTAAATGTGACCGGACTCTGGTCCCATTCATGTGGTACGTGGCCATCTGCTATATTCCCCATGTGGTGCTCGACGAGGGCTTGCCTGCGGCATACTCCCAACGCGAGTCCACCTGGGGGTAGCGGACGCGTTCAAAGCTGAACTGATCATTCTTGCGCACAGTCTTCTCTTCACAATGTCCTTCCTTGACCGAATCAACATCGGTGAGCATACCATCCACTGCTGAATGCCACGGGTTCGACTCGGCGTTCCGTGGGAGATACGCATACCACAAAAGAAGCTTGTTCACCTTGTCGCTTGCGTAGGCACGGCCAGACTCGCCGGTCTCAACACAGATCTGGGGCTCACTTCTCTCCAGTATAATACTGCATCTATGAGTACGTGCTAGGCCAGGTAGGCGATGCGGAAGCTTACAGGTGGTCCTAGTCTTCTTTGTCAGCTATGTGGCGTTTGAAGTCCCATCGAATCTTGTGCTCAAGCGCTTTCGCCCATCAAGATGGATTCCGTTGATCATGATTGTTTGGTCATTCTTCCAGATTTTCAGTGAGTGTCTGGGGAGACTGTCCGAGACATGGCTGACAATCTGATAGTGGGCTTTGTGACGAATTGTAAATGCGTACAATACAAGTTGGAGCAGATGCTGACTCTAGTGTAGATCACCAGCTCCTGGCTATGAGATTTTGCCTTGGTGTCGCCGAAAGTGGACTTTTCCCTGGTATCTCCTTCTTCCTCGCAGGCTGGTACAAGCGCCGGGAAATAGCGAAACGTATATCCCTGTTTTTTGCGGGGGCCGTTCTGGCAGGCGCATTCGGTGGCATCTTTGGATACGCTCTATCCCGTATGGACGGCATTGGCGGAAAAGCGGGCTGGTCCTGGATCTTTATCATCGAAGGTCTCATGTCCTTTGTTGTGGGCATCGCCGCGATCTTTATGGTGCACGACTGGCCCGACAGGGCGAGATTCTTGACACCTCTCGAGAGGGAGATGGTGTTTTTGAGGTTGAAGGATGACGTGGGTATCATGCAGGAGGGACAATTCAGCTGGAAGGTCATCAGGAGGGCCATCACGGACTGGAAGACGATTTGCTTCATGTTCATGTACATTGGGTGTGCTGAGCCCATCTACAGTCAATCGTAAGTGGCTCACGCCAGTCTTGGCCGCTGACTGACGAATACCGCCAGTCTGTTCTCTCCCACTATCATATCTTCCCTCGGCACCTACACGACACCCCAGTCTCTCCTTCTTTCCACTCCTCGTGAGCTTTTCCTTGTGACTGCAGCATCGTAGTGCTAATCGCCCACAGCCTATGTTCTGACATTCATTACCACCATGGTCACCGCCTATTTCAGTGATCGCACCGGATTGAGAGGCTTCTTCCTGATGTTTTGGAGTGGTATCGCCGCGATCGGCTACCTCCTATTCCTGACTATCCCACACACTCATCCCGGAGCACTATACTTTGCCGTCTTCTTGAGTACTTGTGCTATCGGGCCCTGCATCGCGGGTGTCATTTCTTGGTGAGTGCATTCACAAAGCGACCGGGAGGTAACTGATGAGCAAAGGTCTGCGGGGACTTTCGGCAACCACTATAAACGAGCCACGTCAATGGGCTTTATATTCTCTCTCGGAAACTCTGGCGGCATCATCTCCTCCCAAGTATACCGCTCCCAAGACACTCCGCGCTACCTTGTCGGTCACGGTGTGACTTTTGGCTTTACTGTGATCTGTTTCATCTCCTCTGTCATCATGTACTTTGGGCTCAGGAGGGAGAACAGGAGGCGAGAAAAGTTGTATGGGCCCCCACCGGCACCGGGAAACCACCACGAGTGGGACAGTGAGGAGGGGAAGACGAAGTGGGGGCTGGAGGGATTGAGTAGGGAGGAGGTCGTCGATCTGGGAGATGACCATCCTGCTCATAGGTTCATCTTGTAACTCAACTTTGGGTTTTTTTGTCATCATGGGGATGTGTCTTTCAAAGGCATCATAGCTCTATATCAAACTAGATTTTGTAGATCATAGAGTTCTAATAATAATGCATTGATCGTATGCTATACAACTGCCTCTACATCGTTCCTGGGTATCATAGCTGAGGTAGAAGACTGCTCTTTAAAGTTTACTGCATCTCGACGTCCTGCCCTTGGCCAGTCGTGTCCAAATGAGGCCCGCTCCCATTCGTCATGTCTCCATCCAATCTGGCCACGTCGTGGGCCTGAAAAGACTGGTCACCATTGTCGATACCAGACATGGCGACGGGGCTGGTGGCAACAGGACTGGAGTCGATCTTGATCTTTAACGGGCCTGGCCCCGCCGCGTTCTGGCTGACTACCCCATCCTCTTCCGCGGTATCACTCGGGCCAGCCTCAGGCGCCGGCGCAGCCACCCCGTTTTGATCCCTCTTCCTTTCTTCCTCCATACCCGTCGCCTGGCGCCTCGGCACGCTCTCTCCCTCTTGGCCCCACACCACCTTTTTCCCCATCGGCAATGCTCGCCTGCCAAACTTGTCTGCTCCTCTGGGACCAGGGTTCCAAGTCCGGCGAAGATATGCCTCTGGATGCTGCTCCTGTTTGCCCAGGGTCTTGGCAAGCACCATGTCATCGGGCCCGCGCACGGCACTACCGTAGAGTACAGCCTCATCGTTACGCATCTGCGCAACGGGCGGGCGGAGAGATGTGAGCCTATCGCGCAGAGCTGGCGGGAGATAAGGAGAAGACATGTTTTGCACCAGCGACGACAGCAGACCGTCCGACGACGGGTTGACAGGAATGAGTTTCGGGGGAAGGAGGTCTGAATGGGATGGCACGATGGGTGATGCGCGAATAGGCGCGAGATGGGTGGAGAGGGTATCTTTGGGGGTGAACTCGTCCACGGGGGCAATGGACCGCCTGAGAATCTCGGCAGCCTGTCGACGCAGATCGTTCTGGCGCAGAGAGATAGAAGGGTCGGCGGCTATCGCTCCGTACGTGGTCACCAAGCTCGGGAGAGAGGTGGTGGGCTGTGGAAGGGTAGGCGGGTCGGCAGGAGGTGGCGGCGGGACGAATGGGTATGCTTGGGAAAGCTGGGAAGAGGCGTACGGGATGGGCCGTCGATATCTGTCTGCGATGGATTTCGGGGCAGACTCGAGCTGGACTGGAGGTGGCGGGGCTGTGATATCTTGCGTGGACGGTACCGGCGCGTCTCCGTCTGGCAACGGGGGCAGCCAAGAGAGGTCTGGGGACCTGGAGCGCAAGAACAACTCGCGCTCTCCCGGTTCCGACTTGACACCATCGTCGCTCTCCATTGCCTCGTCTTGGTCACTCTCGTCGGGCATTTCCTCTGCTGCAACGAGCCGCATTTCACCCATCCCCTCGTCGATCAAGAGGCCATCCCGCAGATGATCTGCACGTCTGTCAGTCATGAGGCAACGCGCCATACAGCTGCTGCATACCTTCCAGACCGCTCAGCCCGTCGCTCTCCAGCACGACCTGCCTCTGCCCCTGTGCCCACTCTGACAGTTCGCCGACGTGTATGCCTAGATCCTCGAGTGCCTCTGCGACGTCGAGGGCCGAAGCCTTGCCCCTTCCTGCGAGGTTGGCCCGCTCCACGCACGCTGCTGCGACGGTGCGGAGGTAGCGGGCCATGAGGGCGGAGAGGGTGGTGCTCGCGGCCCTGGAGGTGGAGGCGAATCCGGCGGCTGCGAGGGCGTGGAGGGCTGCGAGGTGGAGGACGGCATCGGGGGCGGGGTGCATGGTGGTGGGTGAAAGATAGAGGAGATGGGCGCGAAATGGCGACCGCCGCCACACTCGATAACGCCATAACCCCGGCCGCAAAAATCACCATTTCTTACTCCAGTCAAGTTTTCCCCGTCGTCACTCCTGCACCCCATACACCCACCGCATAAAATAATTCAGTGAGTACCACCCAGGCAGCCCCCCGACGCCCCCGCCCAAGAATGGAGACCCGGCGTGCCCTGCGGCGGCAGCCAGAGCTCCATCCGACCCCACGCTGACATGTGGCGCTCGCGCAGAAATGGCTGAGGAGGAACACCACGAGACTTTCGAGGCTACCGGCGCCGATGCCGCCAAGACCTTCCCGTGAGTACGCCAGCTGGGGTGTCGCCAGAACGGCCGCAGAGCCAGAGTGACATCCCAGCAATGTCTGATTGGATACCGTCGTCTGACCCCGAGTTCAGCATGCAGTGCTCCGCTCTCAGGAAGAACGGTCACGTCGTCATCAAGGGCAGGCCTTGCAAGATCATTGACATGTCTACCTCCAAGACTGGTAAGCACGGTCACGCCAAGGTCCACCTTGTCGCTACCGACGTGAGTCCATGCCCCCGCCAATCATCGTGGTGGCAGCGCGCTGATGCAGGCATCGTACAGATCTTCACCGGCAAGAAGCTCGAAGACATCTCCCCCTCTACCCACAACATGGATGTCCCCAACGTCACCCGACGAGAGTACCAGCTCCTCGACATCCAGGATGTGAGTCTTGTCAGAAAGGGACAATGCAAGGATGCTGATGTGTCGACAGGAATTCCTCAACTTGATGGATGCCGACGGAAACTCCAAGGACGACGTCAAGGTCCCCGACACCGAGATCGGTCAGCAGATCGCCGCCGACTTTGAGGCCGGCAAGGACCTCATGGTCACCATCATCGCCGCCATGGGTACGTCGCGCTTTTTGGATTCGCGATTGTATCACTGACGATGCTTGTAGACGAGGAGCTTGCCATCTCTTACAAGGAGGCTCCCGCCAGCTAAGCGTGTCCCCTCATCACCTTCAATCCTCAACCTCATATAAAACCTCTTGTCGTATACAGGCATGATGTACGATTGCAAACCATGACCTGAATCGCGCATCGCAGCTGGTTCGTCCGCTAGATGTTTGTCGGACTCCAACGACATTACAACGATATGGAAGTTTTTGCATTCTCAGTGTCTGCTGCTGCATGATTACATTTCTCGATTGATTTTGATTACCTGTTTCGGTGCTGGCGACTGGTCGTTCTGTCTGTCACTATGTCTTTGCCAATGCGCTATGAGGAGCCGAAGTGAGTGCTGGGAGACAAAAGGTTGCCTTGCCTATAAGAAACGAGACTTGATACGTATGTCCGCGGCTGCCACGAGGTGAGATTCATGGGACGCCTTTGCAGTACACTTGACACTTCTCACACCCCTAGCCAGATGCTCTCCGCCCCCAGCGCCCTTGAAGCCTGCTCGGCGGCAGCAACCAGAGAGTAAGATAGTCCAGAGCCGTGCTCTGATGGATGCACGTAGAGGCGCTGGAACTCTATGGGACGGGAGAGTGTGAGGCAGGGCTCGAAGGAATCTGGAACGAGATGGACGACGGCCTTGATCTCTTCTTCCTTCCCTTCTGATGGAAGAGCCCCCACGAGAAACGTGTTCTTTTCGTTCTGAATCTCCTCTTTTATCTTGCTCTCTGACAGCCTGGATGCCAGGTAATCCTCCAAGTCTTGCGCGGTGACAGAGTAGGCAAAGAACTTTGCCGAGGTCTCCCCGATAAGCGTGGACACTGACGCGGCATCCGTATACAGTATAGGGTAGACCAGAGGGGGGGGAGGATGGGAGAGGAGAGGGGGGCATGGTGGCGGGGAAGAGGGGCGAATCGCAAGAGGACGACGACTCGTGTTATATCTTTCAACCTTTGGCCCGATGCACTTAGTAGTCTTATCTCGGCACTTGGCAATCTTTGAACGCACTACGTCTGCTATCATCGTGTTGCTAACATGCATAGTAGGTGGCATCGTGCTGGCCGTCATCTACCAATTCAGACAGTACACATGGACTATTTTCGTGAGAAGGGTACGCGGAGTAGCATGTACCTCTGCCGGGACTTGACCAGCCCCAGCCCTCTATGTGCACAGTACAGCTTTTGATGGTCAATCACTGGGCTTGTGAGAGACTAATACGACCTGGGATGGACGTGGCTATAATGCGGAGAGCCGGGAGTCCCCAGCCTCAATACTCTTCTCCAAAGCCCTCTGCACCCTCGCACGCAAGGTTATTACTCGGTGGTCATCCCTGCCGAAACATAATCAGTTGACTGGCGACATGTTACAGTCATACATACAACACGTTTGAGGTCATTGAACACTCCCAACTCACGCTCAAATACGCTGCGATATCACGGAGACCTCTCTGGCGCACTCGAGCCACCGCCTCCTGCGTCCAGCCCTAATAAGCCCATCTCAAAGAGCACATCCCTGTCACTCCAGTTCTGCCCCAGTACCCTGATCGGGTGCGCTCCGACGAAATCAACGTGGGCCGTGAGTGAATCGAAAGTGTCAAAATGGTTGGGGTCGGGGAACGGTGTGAGGGCAGAGGAGGAATATTGCCAAGCCGTGGTAGACAGATGATGGTTGATGACAGCCTTGAGATCGCTGTTGGATGTCTTGGACACTAAAGGGTATCAGTCTTTTGCTTTCACTGTACGGATGACTTACTTTTACCAGCGCCCCTCGTGATGACAGGCCCCCACTTGAGCTCCCCTGCCTCGACCTCGCCTCTCTCCAGCACTCCCGCCAGCTCATCCAGTCTTTTTGCAAACGTCTCTGGATCTCCCTCAGGGTCATACTGCTCAGAAGACCCATCAGAGCCTGCTTCGTCATCCCCGGCCTCTTCTTCATCAAACGTTTCGTCCCCTGCTGCGGCTATCCCAGTCATCGCGGTCGAGGGCTCTTCTTCGTCCTCATCCTCTTCATCTTGGCCGGTGGAGCCGTGGTTGCGCGCCCAAGAGCGGTCAATGCCCGGTTGCAGACCACTGGTGTTGGGGTAGTACGCCATAGACGAGTCGCCTTCGACTATCGGAGAAGATAGAACAGGTGGATACCGTCCCGATATAAAGACACCTGGGCCCGGAGGGGTGAGGTGTTGGGCATATCGCGATCCGTGTCCCGCAGGAGCAGGCGGAGTGCTGTACAGGGGACGGGGATTGTTTGAGGGGCCGGATACCGAGAAGAGAGAGTCGTCTTCGTCGAATGTTTCGTCGAAATTCCTGTCCATTGCTGGTGGATGTAAGGGTGGTATGAAGAGGCGCTAGGGCTGCAGATTGCCCGTGCTGTCCACGAAGTGAATGTCGAATTGCAGTGCATAAACAACCGCGAGGCGCCAGGAGTGACCAAGGAGTGACGGACGCGATGACTGAATTTGACTCCGCGCCCGGCATACTGCTGGTTATGTACTGTCCGTGAAGTTGCATTACTTGCATATTAGTAACTTGATACTACACTCGCACTATCTCAGCATAGGTCCAGCTCCAGCAACTTCATATTGCCCGAGAGCCAAGATGGACCGAGTTCAAATAACCTGTCTCAATTCTAAAGCAGCCATATAGACATTAGCAGCGATGGAATCGTGAGATGCAAAGCAACTAATTGTACAAAATCGGCTATACATCTACTCATTAGTTTCTCGGGGATGTTTTTCACTATTTAGATACAAAATCGGACGACCACTCATCATCCCAGGTTGACGTGGTCATTACTGGAGGCTGATGGCCATCGGATCATTGATGTCTTCCGCCTCCATACTCGCACATAGCCCCTGAGCTGCTTCCAACGAAGCCCTCACATCGTCTGACACCTTCATCAATATCAAGTCGCATGTAAAGAATAAAGGACATACCAGCCATAGCCTTGATTCCTGACCACATGATCCCATAATAATCGAGCCCTGCCAACAACGTCTTGACGTGTTCTAGCAACCCTTGGACTTGGGCGTTCTGCTCGTCGGAGAATTCAGATTCGGCTTGAGCAGCGAGAGCGAGGAGGAGGAAGGCGTATGCACCCGTGACCAGACCGCAGGCGCAGTAGGGCATCCATTTCGGGCTGGATACGAATGTTAGAAGGTTGGGAGGAGAATGGGGCAAAGTACGCACGATTGGCCGTTCCAGAGCGCCTTCATCGTTTCGCGATGATATGTCTCGAGACGGACGATAGTCTGGGCGGCGGTAGCACACTGGACAAGACTGGTACCGGGAGGGAATATATCCAGCTGGGGCGGCCGAGGAGATTCATGCTGCAAGAGAGTCAGCACCATCAAAGGTTGATCAAAGTTGGACACACCTGCTGAAGCGGAGAAGGGAGCACGGAAGACGCCACACTCGCTCCCGATACGCTCCTCTCTCCAGTCCCCACCAGCGGCGGAGGCGACGGACCAAAGCTCGGCGTCTGGTCCAATGGCATGAAAAGCGTCGTTTGCGCCAGGCTACCAGCCGACCACGGCGGGGAATGGTAAGGCGATATGTGGGCATGCGACACTTCGGGGTCGTACACTGACCCAGATGTGAAACCCGTCTGCATCTGGTCTTGGTCAGAGTATGAGGTGTCCATCGCGCCGGGCCAGGTACCGGGCATGGCAGCAGGCTTTTCTTGCGTGGCTGCAGGAGTGTCGTTGAAGGATGGCAAGCCACACACCTGTCGACTAAAGATGGAGACTTCGGGGAAAGCTTGGTGTCGGTGAATGTGGATGAGAATGACGGCCAAAGCGAGTCTAGCGGACAGCTGCAAGTTTCTGAGGGCTTCTTCCTCTTCACCCGACCGGCACTCGACCATCTCGGTGAGCTCGGCTTGCTGGAGGCCGTTTCGAAGCTCCGCCTCCGACTTGACCAGTTTTTGCTTGAGCGCTTCACTGTTTTCGGGGGAGACTCCGGTCGGTGAGAGCTCGGGCATGTACAAGGAGCAGATGACGGTGAAAATCTTGGCGCATTTACGCAGGATCCCATTGTAGATGGCCCAAGAAAAGACTTGCGAGTCCACGATTGGAAAGTGCACATAGTACTCTTCGTCTAGGTTTAGCAGCGGGATATTCCCAGTGACGACAGACGCGATGATCTGCGAGTTGTACAAGCCCCACCACGTCCTCCTCGCACGATCCTTTTCCCAGCTAAAGTCGTCTGGGGCGACGTAGCCATAAGACTCCCGGTCCGTCTCGTGGAGTCTCAGTACAAAAGCCATGTCGATAGCTTGCTTGTGCCTCGCCCGGCTGCGTTCGACACTCCCAGAGCTACTCCATTCCCAGACACCAAGCATGATGAGCGCCTGGACGCATTCGATATGCTGCTGCCCAGAGGCCGCCATCGCATCGATGAGTTGCAGGCACTGCTGAGAGTAGGCCGCAGACGCGCCCTCTCGCAGCTGCTTGGAGATGGGAGACGAGGGATCGGGGTCGTTGGGATGGGGAACAAGTGCGAGGATTGTCTGGGCCGCAAGGAGGAAGGGAGATTGGGGCAGGAGAGCGGATTCGAGCTGGGAAAGATATTTTCGCGGGGGCATCACGGGGATATAGGGATGTATTTCCTGGTAGTGTTTCTCGAGACTAGATGGCGGCCTCAGTGTGCTGGATGGCACGAGGGCTACGGGAGACTCACATGAGACGTGGTGTACCATAGTGCAGTACGCGGTCCTGGGAGGCCTCGGTGTCTGGGATGACGACATGCTTAAAGTCGTGTAGGGCGGGGGCAAAGACGAGGTTGTCGAGGCGCTGCAGGTAGTCGTTGAGGGGTTTGGGAGCTGAGTCGTGTTAATAAGGTTTGGCCGAGACAGTCGCAAGAGAAGAGGCGTACGTTGTTTCCTCCGCGGTCGAGCACCACCACGGCGCGACTTGACGTACTGGCACTCGGTGTGCTTGTTGGTGCACTGGTGGGGGTCAGCGGGAGGGGCCGGCGGGACGGCAGGCGGGACTGACCTGGGTGCAGATGGGGAGTTTTCCGTCGCACTTTTGTTTTTTCTGCCTGCAGCTGAGACAGGCTGCCTTGACGGGGCCCTCTTTGCTGGGGTCTGTGTCTGCCTTGGGCATTGCGGCGGGATACAGTATGTATAGTATAGTATAGCGATGCTGACGAGGGAAATGTCAGAGGAGATACGGCGGCGGCGGGGAGCGCCGTGCGGGGCCCCACGCGATGGGATAAGCGGGTGGCTCCGTGGCTGCATCTCTGTGTTGTTTGTGCACGCCATGGATCTCTACCATGCCTCAGACGGCGGCCTCTTCCGCACACCCACCCCTCTCCAAGACTACCCCAAGTGAGCAGAACCCAAAACCCAAGCCCCCCGGCCCCGCTGACCAGCCCAGCATCGATGCCCTCTACCAGCACGTCGCCGCCGCAACCGCCATCCCGGACCACCATATTCTCCTCTTTCTCGAGGACGGCAGGGAGCTCCAGGGGAGTGTCCTGCACCAGCTACAGAATGAGCCGGTCACTCGTGCCGAAAGGGTGAGCTCCGCGGTGGCTTGGTCCCCTTGAACGGCCGCTGACGTACACCCAGTTGCCGCTCAAAGTATATCTGTACAACAGAGACACATTCTGGTCAGACCCCGAGGCGTGGGCCGCACAGTTTCAGGAAGAGCTGCAGCTTCCTCCACATATAGACTGTAAGGCTGGCTCCTCTCTTTCTATGCAGCAACTGACCAAGCGCAGTGTCGAGTCTGCAGGGTATACAGCACCCCTTTCTGATCGCCCACGACCACTTGTCCCACCTCCAATCTCTATTCGACGCCCAGTCATCTGCATTATACATTGCGTATACCAACCTGTCGCAACACCTCCAACCAGTGGTCAATGAATTCCAGTCATTCGCCTCCCGCGTGGAGACAAGCTTCAAGTCGGAAGAGGAACTCATCAAGAGCTCCAAGCTGGACATGGCATTACTACCCAAACTAGCCATCAATCCTGTCATGTTGAAGAAGCGGGAGGGAGAGGAGTGGAAAGAGCGGACCATGGGCGATTATGTCAATGGCAAAAAGATGGAACAAGTGCGGGAGAGCTGTCGCGTGTTGCATGGTGAGTCACACTGGTCATAGCACCCATACTGACTGCTCGATATCAGTGGAGAGTGTCGAAAGGTTTAATTCAATAGCAGACAACTTGGACGAACTTGTCGAGCAGTCAGAGAGAGAGAGCGAGGCGTACGACACAAGAGCCGCTCAAGTGCGGAATGAGTTTTCCGATGGACTAGCCCGGCTTGAAGTAGCCCTGGGGCAGTTGGCGCAACTCATCGATAGCGGGGCCAGCGATGTTGAGGAAGGCAAGTCTCTCACGGTATTCCTAGACTACGCTGACCTAGCACAGACTTTGTCGAGCTCGACCAAGCGATGCGTGAAGACCTCACCGCCCTGACTTCTCTCAAGAACGAATTCACCCTCGACGTCCACGTCCATCTCCGCCAAGTCGCTTCCTTGCAATCCCAAACCCACGACATGCTCTCGCCCATTCGTAAACTTGACGCCGACCTGTCCACCCAAAAAGAGAAATCCGCTTTCCCGCATCTGCAAAGACTACATCAAATCCCATTTGCCTATGCGACGGCTGTGGCAGAAATGATCAAGAGGCGGGATTTCGGGCAAATGTTGGGTGACTGGACGAAACGTCTGAAAGGCACCCTGGAGACGTTTGTCCAGGTGGAGCACAAAAGAAGGCAGATGGTGCAGGGCGAATGGCTCTCGCAGCTGCCTTTCAGTATACCCGGGCTCGGTGAGAATCAACCGCCCAGGGTGGATATCACTGTCATCACTGGCTCCGAAGGCATTTCCAACGTGACACTTGGCTATGAAGAGATCGAAAGTGAGTCTACAAAAGAGACAGGCCAAGAGCTAACGAGATCAGAGCTGGTAGCGTGGTTGGAAAGTATACAAGATGACCCCGATGTGCGTGCAGTCATGCAGGAAGGTGATGAAGAACGCCTCAAGGATATGCAAATCGGTATCGAGTCGCTTGTCAGTAGGCTTGACACTGCGGGGATGGAACTGGATCGGGCCGTAGAACGAGGTGGTACGTGTGCTTGTTTCCCACTTGATATATGCTGATGTAAGGCAGTGCTACATCCGAAATCTCTACCGCAGTCCCGATCCACCAGTACCTCCCGCACCACTCTCCATCTCTCCTCCCAACTTCGCGCTACCACCAAAGAACGCGACGATACCATCCAGCTTCTCGACACCCAAAATTCACTCGTCGAGTCTCTACAAACACGGCAGGCCGAGCTTCAGGATGAGCTTGTCCGGCTGCGGAGCGACTTGGAGGAAGAAGGCCTTGCAAGACAAGCTTTGAGCCAAGAACTGGAAGAGAGAGAGAAGGAGAAGGAGGATAGGTCAAAGGAAGATGAGGACCTAATCAAGGGACTGCAAGCCGAGATGGCGCAGGAGAAGGATCGAGCCACCGATCTCGGCGTGCGCTTGCAAGAAGCTCTTCTCGACGTCGACGGGCTCCGCAATGGGGAACGTACCCTACAGGCACAGCTCCACGAGCTTCAAGAAGAGCGAAGCAACGCTCTGCAAGACCAACAGGCAGCTCAGGCTGTTATCGCAAACCTCGAGTCTGAGGTAGCTGGTCTCAGAGCTGAGCTCGGAACGACTGTCAATCAATTGGAGCAGGCTCGGGAATATAGAGAAACGGCACTCAAGCATCAGATGGCCGAGGCTGAGCGCCTTTTGAGAGACCAAATCGCCGAGGCCGATGGAGATAGAGCTGTGCTCGACCAGCAAACATTGACGCTCACAAAAGAACTGGAAGATCTCAAAGTGGACACCCAGAGACAGATGTCTGCTGCTGAAAACAACTCTATCCGGCAGATTGACGGTCTGAAAGCAGAACTCTCTCTTACCAAAGCGCAACTAAAAGACAATCAGCAAAGAGAGCTGGCTCTGAAAGACGAGCTTGCCGTGGCCAAAGATTCTTTGACCGCCTCAGTACAAGACAAGAGCAAACTCGGTGATCAGACGAGGGAAGCTGTGGCACTTGCAGGGAGGTATTACGAAGCTTGTCAAAGGCTCTTTGATGCTATCAATTCTTCAACGACCATATCTGGCACTGCAGCCCAAGGCCGATCGAGGTCTCCGACTTTCCATCAGTCGGGGTCTTTGCCAGCTGCAAAGTCTCACTTTGAGACCTCCTATGAGACCAAGACGGTGCCCGGGTCTGATCAGCTCGAAGCATCCTCCACCTCTGCCGCATCTTTCGCCACATCCCCAGCTTCTTCATTTGACATCCAAGCTTTCGCCGATGCCGTCACCAAGACAATAGGAATGGCGAAAAAGTGGTCAAAGAGCTGTAGACAGTATAGGGATCAAGCGAAGAACAAGATCAGCTTTACCAACTTTTCCAAGGGCGATTTGGCGCTGTTCCTACCTACTAGAAATACGGCTACCAAGTCCTGGGCTGCTTTCAACAGTGAGTATCTATCTTACAGAGTGGGGCAAGTCATTGACCTTGCTGCAGTCTCAGCCCCTCACAACTTCCTCAAGCTGAATGCGGCGCTGCTAGAGCAAATCAGAACTCGAGAATGGATCATTGCGAGGATCATCAAGATCGAGGAGGCAGTGGCTACTGGCGGCGAGGTTAGTTATTCCCAAGATGCAGGTGCCCATATTGACCATTCTTCAGTCCCTGAACACCAATCCTTTCGGTCTGGCTGATGGTCTCCGCTACTATACCCATACCGTAGAAGAGTATAATCCTCACGCCGCTCGCCCATCTCGGCGAACACCTTCGGCAAGCTTTGGCGGTAGTCAGATCATGACTTCTCCCCAACGCATGTTGAGTGAGGGTGCATCCACCGTTGGTCTAGGCGTCATGACACCCTTGAAGGTGCAGTCTGGTATCACCGCTGGTATGCCGGGCGTGGGCCGCGGGAGGACGCAGAGTGGATACTTTCCGCCCATGAAGAGTCTGGATGAACAGGCGCTTGGCTCGGGATCCGAAGAGCTTGGAGAGAAGGAAGCTGCAGACAAGGCCGGTTTGTCGTTCTCCACTTCAAGCCTACGTGGCTCGACAAGCCCTTCCCCTGCCAAACGCGGCTCTCCTTTGCCCTTTGGCCGACCTCTATCGCCCCTAGCAGATGGTTCCCTTTCGCCTAAAGCTGGTCCCATTACCGTACCTGCATCTGCCACCCGCTTCACAACCTCAGCCCATTCTCCTGCACAGTCCAACTTTCCCAGCCGAGCTTCTCGAACAAGTCTCACGACGTTCATCACCGCCCGGGCTACGTCCCCGCCTTCTCAAGCGGAGTCTCAGCAACATTTGTCGGGACTCAACCTGGGAAATGACAGAGTATCGGGGAGGCCGGCGAGCGTGACGAGTACGGCGAGCTCGTATCCAAAAGGATTGGGAATAGGGATCCCGGGTGGAAAGACGGCACCTTCAATGGCGGTTACCACTTCGCACGAAGGCGAGGATGCTGCTTCATCGAGAAGCCCAGGTCGATCAAAGAGCCCTTCTGTGCTGCCTGAAGCTTCCACTTCGCCCGGCCATAAATCTAGACGAAATCGTCCCTCGAGTGCCCAATCGAAGCGGGCTAGCTTTAGCTTGCTGGGCACAGCGCCTGACATAGGCACAGGACCGTCAGGAGGGCCGGTGGGGGCGGAGAGCGGAAATGGAAAGCCTTCGGATGGGAGAAAGGGGAGTGTGAGCGCCATAGAGATGCTTCGAAGGATCGACAAGGGCTCAGGCGCAATCTGAGCGACTATAACATGTTCTGTGTGACAATTATTTTGTATCTGCAATTGATGTTGTGTGATTCACTGTATAATACCATGATCCGTTATCTATGTAATACAAGGCGATGCACATATGCTTTTGCTTACATGTGGTTCAATTGAACCCTTTTTGGTATCTTGTCGCTGGGCGACCTAGTCTGTGTACAGAGCAGTCTCGTAATCATCCCCATGTCTCTGATCGGCTGTTCATCCCTCCCAGCCTACGGCAACCTCGTTTCCTTCATCATCCTCACAGAAGAACGAGACGCCCCGCAGCTCCTCTTCCTCCACATGGTTGGGGTCCATGATCACTTGGAACCCATCTTCTTGGTTGGCTATCCACTCTTCAATACTCTGCCCTTCCACCTCGTCATTCTCCCACTTTTCGCTGTCCTGAACCTGATCTCTGGTGGGCCCGGGAATTATCAGCTCCAGAGGCTCTTCAGCAGCGGTTGGGTCGTGCATTGAGGAGAAAAAGTCGGGCTGGACTGGGTTGGCCTCGTAGACCTCTCTGAACTTGTCGAGGGTGTTGCCCGTCATAAGAGCCAAGAAGATCTGGAGTGTATACTAAAGGTTCGTGTCAGTATCCGATGAGACAAAACGAGCAGGGAAGACTCACGAAAGCGTCGTTACCAGCGTTGCCGCAGAATTGCGGCTTTCTATGCTCATCATCGCCAAACAACAACATGGCCACGTGTTGCAAAGACTTTTCCGTCCTGCCCAGACCTTTGATGTCGTCAATGGGCGTGATCGACTCGTCAATAGAGGTCGAGTTGATGACGGGAGTGTAACCGGCAGGTGGGCGGGTGGGAGTTGCTCTTTCAATACCTCCGAAAAGAGCGGCAGTGTTCTGTAAAGGTAATCAGCTCCATCGCTTGCGTCATCGAGACCGCGCTTGCAATCATGAAAGGAACTCCACACTTGGTGGCATCCATGTAAGGCGGAAGGTTTCCAGTGTCGGGCCTTAGGTCACCGAAATCGCCTCTCTCGGTCGAAAAGCTGGGTCCGATGTCTTTGAAATCAAAGTCTACCCCTTTGGGGGCATGGACTAGAACATCTGGACCAGATCAATATACGGTACCCACAGCAAAGAGGGAAAAGAGCTCACAGATGGATCCTTTACCACCTTTGGTGTTGACTTCAACGAGTTTATTTCGGATGGTTGATTTGAGCTTGGCTTTCGGAACTTGAAGAGACTCTCCAAAAAGATAGTTTTCTCGGTAGTCGGGATAGGTGGTATTCTTCTTGTCCAGACGGTGATCTTCGACACTAGACATTCATCAGCATTGGGTGGCCTGTCATGCGGAGAAACTAACATGTAATGACCTTGGTCCCTGATTTCCTCAAAGACGGGCTTTGCATTGCCTTCCTTTTGAGAGCCGGGCTGAATGACCTCCTGCCAGTACATGGCAGACCATCCGACCTCCAGGACGACCTTTGAATCTTGGTCCCATCTCGTCACCGCCAACGCCAAAAAGCTGCTTCTCCCAACTTCTTTCGGCTGTTCATTCTCCGGGGTCACCTCGGCCTCAACCTCCGCGAGCGCGTTGCGCAAGCCGCCTTCAGCGGCAATGATGAGCGCTTGCGATGCCACGAAATGATATCGCTCGGCGAGCTGATCATCCGTCAGAGTCTTCTGCGGTTCATCGTCTTCTCCCTCGTCACCTGAATCAAGAGAAGCGTCTCGTGACGCGCCGTCGTCGCTGTCATCGTCGCTCTTGGTGTTGGACCCAAACCCGAAATCTTGAAGGACTTTCGTCGCAGCTTTTTCGGCTGCCTTGATCCAAGCAGGGTTTTGCGAATCGTCTTCCTTCGGCTTGACGTCGGCCGCCTTTGCTTCTGACTTTTCTTCGGCCCTTGCTTCTTCTGGCGCGGATGGGGGAGCTTTTGGGGTAGCGTCTCCTGCCGGAGTCCCCTGCTTCGCCAGCTTGTCACGCTCCATTTTCTCCCTTCTAGCCTGTTTCTCTTGCTCCTTCTGGACAGCCCGCTGTTCCTTCTTCTTGATCTCTTCTTCCTCGGTAGTGGGAGGGACGTCCAGTGCCAGAATGGGGTCAAAACGCTTGGGGTCAAAGTCTGGCAAGGGGAGCTCGTTGCGCTCGTGACGCTCGGCGATTTTGGAGTCTTTGTCGAGCTGCTTGTTGATCTTGGTCAGATGGAAGAAAGAAGGGATAGTAATCTCCTCCTGTGCTGGGTGTCAGTCATTTTCATAGCGGCATAGGGCAAGTGACGTACGACCTTGATGAACCACTCGGCAGGCAACACCATATCCGGAATCGGGACCCAATCGTCCTGACCCAGCTCGTAAGACGGCTCTTCCAGCTCTTCCAGCTCTTGCATTGCCTTCTCACTCCCATCTTGCTCCAGCTCTGCCCGTTTCGAGTAGTACTCGACCCAAGATGGGTTGCTAAGGCGCAAAGCGTGGATGCAGTACTGAATGTACTCGACCTGTTTCAAGGTGAAAAGAAGACGAGGGCGATTTGTCTTGTCGTATCCTAGGTACAGGGTCAAGCCATACTGCCCTGGGTGGAGAGGGTGGCCCTTGTCGAAGAGGGCAGTATTGGATAGGAATGAGTTGACAGCTCCGGCCTACACACGGGAATGGCGTAAGCACACATCTTGTCGTCATGTTTTCGACCTGGCAATCCCACACCAGCTCCAGCACTGGAAAGCCGACTCACATGCCAGGGGTTGAGGCTGTTGGGCCACTGCCACATGACATCCATCTGGCGCATATAGGCATGCTTCGCGAGGACGAGCCCGGCGTTGTGTGTGATGCTGAGGTCGGGGTCGACGCAAGGAACTTGCTCGTCGTCCTGTGCCATTATGCGTGATGGGCGTGGGGGGAGATGAGAAGAGAAAGAAGAATGTATGGATCTATCAAGTACTTTATAGGCCAGGGGTGTTCATGCATGCAATGTTGTCGACCTCCACCGGGCGATGATACGTAAGCGGAATTGATCCCGCTGATAAGAGGATAATATCGTTTCGTCATCGCGTTCTTGACTGCATCCACGCTCAGTTGACGCACAGCATACCCCATGTCAGCGGACTCGGTCCCCAGTAAGCATGCCCCAGCAAGCATGCCCCGCTGACCACCCCTCCCAGTCAAGACTCTGCTTCTCACAGTCTTCAACGTCAGTCGCCTCCCATCCCCGGAGTATCACTGACTTGGTGCCCTCGTCAGTCTATCGTCGAAGTATTCCTTCTATGTGTCGCAGGTTATATACTGGCGCGCTCAGGCGTGACCGATAAAGCCACCCAACGAAAGCTGAACGTCATCAATGTATCGCTCTTTACGCCTGCTCTGCTCTTCTCAAAGGTGTGTCAATCAAGTCACAAAGGCCCGGTCGCGCCCGGTGCTTGTGAGACGTCGCCAAGACGTCGTTGAGACCTTGTTACTGATGCATTGGTCAGGTGGCGTACTCTCTCACGCCTTCCAAACTCAAGGAGCTGTGGATCATCCCTCTCGGGTGCGTTACATCCTCCAGCTCTCACCATGCCAACCGCTGACTCTTTGCAGATTCGTCATAGTCACTGGTGTATCGGCTGGAGTAGCTTGGTCTCTTGCGAAAACTTTCAAACTCTCCAAATCGCAGAGGTACGACCAGATCTCTGCACGCTCTTGGCGATCTTGCGGGGCCCCCGTCATGAATCATGCTGACAGTGGTCTATAGAGCCTTTGCGGTCTGCGCTTCCATGTTCCAGAACAGCAACTCTCTTCCCATAGCACTCATCCAATCTCTTGTAGTCGAAGTCCCCGGTCTCAAATGGGACGAGGATGACAACAAGAATCAGATGCTCGGCCGGGCGCTCACCTATCTCGTGCTCTACTCGACTCTCGGTATGATGCTCAGATGGTCTTGGGGAGTCAAGCTCTTGTCTGGTGCAGACGACGAAACACAGGTAGAACCTGGAGAGACTGGTCTCACCGGGAATGGAGACTTGGTCCAAAGCCCCGGGCAAATGGGTAATAGCAGGGAAGAAGAGAGTGATCTGTTCTTTTCTCCCCACGATGGTGAGACCCCGACGCGACACGAATCATCCATGGGGGTCACTCCGACCACTGTCCGTCATCCCACTTCCCCCACACTCCCCTTCACCGCTCCAGGCTCTGCCCACTCGATGCACCCGAGCCCCGTCAGGCGCGCCTCGGCCACAGGCACGGAAAGATCGCACTCTGTCTTGAGCGCCACCAGAGGACTGAGGGCACCTACGCGGACTGACAGTGGAAGGGAGTTCTGGGGCCTTCCTGAAGCTCCTAGAGAAAGGGCGTTTGATTTGATCAATGAAGTCGATAGCAGCGATGAAGAAGATGAGGAATGGGTTCGTACCTCTTGAACATCCCTTCACACCGCGGCACGCTGACCAAATCACAGGGCAGCGACTCTCAGCCAAGTCTCCGTCTTCGCCGTCAGCCTCCCCAGACCGCTTTCCAAAAGTTCAAGGCCAAAGGCGAGGTCGTCGCCCAAAAAGTCAACGCCTTCATGACCGTCCCAATGTACGCTGCCTTGCTGTCAATCTTCATCGCCATGGTACAGCCTCTGCAGGCCAAGATGGCCGAGTTCACGCCTCTGGAGCAAGCTATCAAGGGCGCCGGACAATGTTCAAGTGAGTGCTTGCTGAGTGATCCCCCAGAGATGAGCCAACGAGATGTGCAGTTCCTGTGACTCTAGTCGTCCTCGGCGCCTTCTTCTACACTCCTCCCGCGACCCCCACCATTCCCATCTCCCTTCCACCCGACGAACACGATCCTCCTGCCAAACGTGGCAACTTTTTCGAACGCAAGTTCCGCGCTATCGCCGGGTACTCTCCCATCGGGAATGGGAACGCCGAGCCAAAGCCCAAGGCCTACCCAGGCGAGAATCGAGCGGTGTTTGTGGCGGTGGTCAGTAGGATGGTCATTACGCCACTGGCGATGATGCCATTCCTGGCGGTCATGGCCAAGTATGACTTGTTTGAGGCGGCCGAGGATCCGGTTTTCGTGCTGAGTGCCGTGTTGTTGGTTTCTTCAGTGAGTTCTCTGAGGATCGACCAGACGCATAAACTGACATGGTCGCAGCCTCCCGCGTTGACGCTCGCCCAGATTACGCAGGCAGCATCTGGGGATGCATTTGAGCGACTTATCTCGAAAACTATCAGCTGGTCCTATGCCGTTCTGACTCCCCCGTACGTGTCTGAGGATCCATCCCTTTCCATTACTGATCGCTTTGAAGGTTGACTCTTGTCTATGTCGTCATTGGTTTGATTTTTGGTAGGATGTGATGGCGAGTCGAGAGCGGTAGAATCATGAAAAGAATGACTGTACAATACAGCTCTATGAGCCATGTAAGACATAAGCTGAGCGAAACGTCTCATGAGCTTTCGGCAAGCCGAGTTCTCGTAATAATCGTATCATGACCTGACTGCGGGTGGTGCTTGTTCGCTGCTGGACGACGTTATGTGCATAGCAGCGTGAGCCAATGCCAATGTCATAGCCTCTACCTGGGCAGTGATGCAGAGACGGGAGCTGGGAGCGGCCACATGAACGGGGGTGCAGGCCGCCACTGCCTGCGCAGGAGACTGGGAGGACAGGGAGGATCCAGGAACGCGGCATTAGCTCTCTCTTGACGCCACGCCGTCTCTTGTTGTCTTTTTCCTTTCTTTGTACATTATTCCTCCGTCCACCGTCTCACGCAATGCCCCCCAAGAGACCCCCGCCCCTCCCCAAGAGCCTCTTCCTCGGCACAGGTCCCCTGGCTCCAGGTACGTCCGCGCCGCCATCCCCATCCCATCCCCATCTTGACGACTTGCAACCCAGGCTCTGCAACTCTGCCCCCTTCTCCCACAACCATTCACCCCAGCTTTATCATCGACTCTCACTCATTCGTGACCTCCCACGAACCCACTCCAGACCCCATCTACCACGGCCTCAAGGCCGAGTATCCCAGGCCGCCCGTCAAGCATGCGGTGCAGGTCAAGATGAATGTCAGTGCTGAACCTGCGCAATCTGTCCTGTGAGTATAGCTTCATTGTCTAGAGCAGTGCTTGCCCTAGTGCATACGGGGGAGGTATTCAAGTTGTAGTGGCTGACGGACCCGTGCGCTTCCTTCACCCATGTCACGCCATTGACGCAACACCACGTTGGCACTCAAAATCTCGCCTGCACTCGCAATGTATAGTGGCGTCAAGCCGTTCTCGATCCACCCCACCATTCTCAACCTCGCCCTTGCCACCCCACCCTCTGTCACCAACATTGCCAAAGGCGCGGTGGACATCATTGTTCCGTCCACCGTTCCTTTGACGGAGAAGGACTGGGATCTGCTTGACGAGGCCGTCGATGCGCTCGATGGCTGTTGGGGCCACAAGGAAGAAGGGAAAGAGCCTCGTGGAAGAATCGTCATCTGTATGTCATTTCAGAATCTCCCACGGCCTCCTCTGATTTGAGACATAGCGGGCCTTCTCCTCCCTCCTCTCACCACACCATCTTCTTTCTTGATCCACTCGGAGGCCTATAACCTCCACCTTTCCCGGCTCGCCTCATTGTCTCTCCACTCGAACGTGTACTTGAAGGCTCTTCCTCCTGTCGTCGATGCTGCCTTGTTGAAGAAGGACGGTAGTCCCGCTTGGTGGACAAACAGACCTGAGCTAGAGAGTGTCATGAGGATGTATAGTGAGTCGCATGGCGAACGAGACCCTTGCTCAATTACTGACTCTAATAAGTTGCTCATGCAATCGAAACCTTTGGCACTCATCGAATTATCTTTGGTTCCTCCTCCGCTCTTCCCCTGTACGACCTCGAGCGTGTCAGCCATACCGTCACTGAGCTCGAGCAGCCCATCAGCAATGGCGAATGGTACTCAGTGCTGAGAAAATGTGTGACGGAATTGGGAGAAGGTCTCGAGGAGACGACCGGGATATTCGGGGAGAATGCCAAAGCGGTCTATGACTTTTCGGCCTAGGTTACGCGTCTTTGACGCTGATGGCAGGCGGCCAAGGCATATGCGTCTTTGCGAAGACCATAGAAGAGCTGGGAGCTGGGAGAGAGATAGCTTCACATTACACACAACTGATATCTGTCCACATTTGACTATGACGACCGGACGATCTGTTACGAAAAGTTCTGTTTATAACGCCCTAAAATAATTATGTTTGCTCTTTGCAGATTTCGATATGTATACCCTGAGCCAGAGTGTGTCTAGAACAGTCCTCGTTCCATGTGATCATTTCAAAGGCGGAGCAGTTGAGCTCAGAGCTGGATACGGTTGCCAAGTTGAGTGTGGGGACCCTGACGTCGGCACAGGATGCACAGTGGAGAGCATGTTGACGACCGCTAGGAGACACGATGGCTGTTGGCATAGAGACCTTGTCAGTTATTCAGCATCACAGTATGCCAGGCTCGAAGGGTCTTCCTGTATGAATTAGCCTTGCTTTCTCAGCATCTTTCTTCGCATAGCTGCTTCACCTTTCTCATCACGAACCATCGCTCGCTTCATCATGGACTCTCAACAGCTCCCCTCCTACAGCCCACCGTTGACGAAGCCGTCGCCATCACCTTGCCCTAAAGCTGTCCGCTCGACTCGACATATTTCGAGCGATCTTCTAAGCTCAATTACGCTGGAACGTATACTGAAAGAAGAAACCAAGTCTCCTGTTACGAAAAAGGACTTGCTGCGATGGCTAGAGTGCCGAGTACGGAAGGCGATCTCAAGCGGCGACCAAGAGGAGGCAAGAGAGGCGGAATTCGGTTGGCGGGTCGTAGAGTTTCTGTCAGAAGTCGAGATGTGAGACGCAGTCCCACAGAAGGCATGATCTGTGCTAACAAGCCATACAGGTACAAGGAATCGTTCAACGCTCTTCCTGCCGAGAAGGCTTCTCTGGCGCTACCTCCGTTCCAAGTCATCTCTCAGATTGCCCTCACTAACTCGGAGATCATGCTGCCCCCTCCCACTCGCAGGCAGCAAGGAGCGGCTTCCCTTGGTCAGGATCACGAGTTCAATACGTTCAAGTCACCCAACGTAGGGCACGAGAGGGACAAGTCGTCGATCGAGTCGTTTGAGACTTGGTCGTCTGATTCGAGCATCCCCCGCAAGCGTCTTGAAAGGTCTCCCTCGGATGCTACTACCATCGAGGATACGCCCAGCTTGGAACCTGTGACGCTTGAATCGAACCGACCAGAGCTCACTTCCCCGAGGAGAGTTCTCCCTAAAGCCCACAATCCGCGTTCCCCTTCTGCCGCTTCGGCCTCTTCCACTCTTGGTATCAGCGGCTTGAGCATGGCTACGAGCTATGCAACCGGGAGTGGTCGAAGCACAGCCGGCGGGCTTGCGAGGCAGGCCTTTACTGCCGGAGGACTCAGTAATCCGAGCAGCTACCAGAGAGAGATGGACTGGGACAGGAGAGACACCATGGCGCCGCAAGCGCAAGACCCGCTTGCTCCTCCGCCTCCTTTCGAGTCTACGGGCTTGGGCTCTTTCAGGAATGGGCTCAGCCCGCGAAGACCTACCGAGAACATGCTCTCGAGACCGCTTTCGCCCATACCCTCTCCTTTCTTGAGCCCGAGGCCGTTGTCGCCTTGCCCCTCGATAGTCTCGATGGAGTTGCCTGCAGGCCTTGACCCTGGTGTACAGCCCTTGCGCCAACGACTAGCCAACCTCACGGAGCTCTACCTTCTGCCATACTCGTCTCGCTCAGTCGTGCCCCTCATCCCACCTCGCTTACTGGCGACCTTTGTCTCCGAGTCGTCCTTGACTACCCATCCAGAGACGATAGGCCCGACGGTGACGGTGCTTTACGAAATGTTTTCTGTGAACCCCCGCCTACTCCCTGCTTTCCTGTATGCCAGCGCACAGAACCTGCATAGAAATACGGCAATGGGCAGGCTCCTGGTAGGCTTAGCTTGCTGCGTGGTCGTCATAGCAATAGGCATCTGTCTCATACTTGACCCGAGCCCCTTCAGCCCGCATGGTCCCGTAAACAGAGTATGGAGGTTGGCAGTAATACCTCTCCTTCTAGGCGGAGTCGGTTATGGTATGGGGGCAAGAGCTTCACTCTGCTTTGTAAGCTTTTATGCGCTTCACTTCACACTAAGACTGACGACGAACCCTTGTAGTGGCTGGCGTTCTTTGGTGTCACCGAAGAGACATACTCGCCTTCACACCCTCCCCTGCCCCCTTCCCAAGCGCTCAACTTACTATCATCTGCTTTCATCTGCCATCTTCCTTGCGCGTTTGTCAGAAAGACGCAGCGTAAGATTGAGCCTGTTGCCGAGAGAATAACCAGCAGAAAGCTCAAGAAGAGAAGTGTATCCACGCTCGAGGATGGCAACCCGTTTGATCCAGGTGACGCCGCCGTGGCAGGGTTTGGCTTGGACATGGTGTCCATGTCCCGCTCACGTTCAGGTAGCAACCCGACTCCTGCTACGCATCTTCTTGCCTCGTCGGGGTCGACCGGCTTTGAACAATACAGCATTTGGGTCCTCCTATGGCGTCTGACGGGGACGGCCTGGGGAGTCAAAAAGGTCGAGGACCCTTCTCTTCGAAAGTACCAGAGAAGGGAGGCGTGGAAGATTGCAGGGCAGTTGGTGCTGGCTCTGGTATTCATTGGGGCAGCCTTCTTCTTTGTCCCGTATATACCATTGTCTCATAAGTGAGAGTGGATCCTCCACATCCCTTCCTACTGGTCTATGCCTCTATGCTGATGACCGTGTGGGCGTCTCGCCGGTCCATGAGGTTTAGCACCTCCAAATATGTTGTCATATCTTTTGCTTGTACATGTCCCGTCATCCCTGGCTGTGCAGATACAATAGATAGGTGTATGCAAAGATATACAGAGATATGAAATCGGAAGGTTACATTCGCAAGAGACAATGTACCCCCAACTAGCTGCTTTTTGATAAGGCAAAGTAAAGATGTACGTAAAGACTAGCTCAAACACCAGGATGAAAGGGAAATGTTCGGCTTGGGAAATGACAGCTCTTGCCCTAATGGGCAAAAGCCTCACACAAAAGAACAGTATGGGGATCTCAACGCCTCCCCGGACAAAAAACCAAAAGATAAACATGAAAGTGGAAAAGAGGTGTCCATGAAAAAGAGGGGTATGTAGAAGCAGGGGTTATTTTGCGCCACGGGGGCAGTCAATTCTCGAGTGCACAGGGTACACATTTACTGGGCGGTTCCGTACTCCCTAAACTCGAGAGAGTTGCCCTGTAAAGTAGGCTGGGAGATCAGAGCCTTGTTCACAGGCTTGCCCGCAGCGCTCCTCCTCTTGGCTGCCGCTGAAGACCCAGGCAAGCTACCGCTGTTACCAATGTACGAGCGAGTCACCATGTCCTCGAACGGATTTTGGGACAGCCTGGAGCGCATAGGTGACTGGGTCTGAGGTTGGTACTCATGAGAGCCATGAGGATCCTGGAACCATGAGCCTCTGAAGACTGACTGGCCGTAGTGGCTAGGAGACTCGGCCGAGAGGTGGGACCCATCGTAAGAACCATCTCCGAATGGGTTGCTGTGGTCGTCCTCTGACCCGTACTGGCGCTGCTGCTCACGCATCGGGCGATCGTTGTCCATAGGAGACGCATAGAAAGAAGAGGGGCGGTCGTCAATATCTGACGCGGCAATGGAAGGCGCGCGAGAGACACGACGATCACCTCCCCAAGCAGTCGCGGTGGCAGTAGCCCCCGTGGCAGCGGCGCCACCATGATAGACTTGGGACATGGTACGGTGATCGCCAAACATAGACACGTGCTCGGACATCCGTTTATGGACAGCCTTGTCATTGTTCCTCTTGACGCGCTTGTATACCCAGTAAACCAACGCCAGCCAGAGAGCACCGCCAACGCCGACACAGACACCAATGATGATGTTCCTCTTCCGCTTGCTGCTTGACGAATCGTTAGAAGACGACGATGTCGTCGGAGCGGTGTCAGAAGAGGCCGCAAGCGGAAAGGCGGTGTTGATCTGGGCTGCCAACATACCTTCAATACCGCTTTGGTTGTACAGAGGCGAAGAAGCTGTAGTGATATAGGCATTGAGGGTATCGAAATACTCGGTGGGGATATAGGCGATGTATTGGGTCAAGAGAGAGGTCTCTTCGCCGTCCCATGAGGCGGGCTGGTATACTTGAAGACCGTAGGTAGACACCTCCGAAGCTGTAGACAATCAGTCAGTCAAGTTGCGTGCCAAGCCCATTTCACTCACAGTCAATTTCAAGAGCATTACTGATCAATGTAGGGAACGTGTTGAACAATTGACTCGTAGCGTCTGAAGAGTCCACCTGTACAGCATATCAGCACCCAGCCCACGGTGTCAGAAACAAATACTTACGACAAACCACCAAGGGTATTGCGAAGAGGCCAGCAGGATGGCAATAAGAGTGTCGTCTTTGATAGGATCACTGTCACTGCCGGTACCGGCATCGGCGTTGTTGGCCACTGAGCTGGCGGGCACAATCAACGTTGGCATACTGCTTGGGATGGTGGCCACTGAAGCGGAAGCCGACGAAGTACCAGACGCTTTGCTTGAGCTCTTTGTGTAACCGGTCTCGGAAGAGGTTGTGGTAGGCGCGGAATAAGAAGAAGAAGCTTCTGCGGATGTCTGAGAAGAGGCGACAATGAGCCAGGTCTGGGTGGGAGTGTAGCCTTGATCGGTAGACGAAGTGGCCGAAGTGTGATTGTACGCCGAAGTCGATGATTGGGACCACTCATTGGAGGAGCTACTCGAGGGGTCATAGGTAACGACTTGCGATCCCGTAGTGGCTGGTGCGGAGCTGATGGCGGTCATGTTGATCATCCCTGACCCATCAGATGACGAGGCGGTGGCATTCAAAGACGAGCTCGTGCCCCTCGATGTGGACGTGCCCTCACCATAGGCTTCACTTTCTGATGTCGAAGCAGTAGTCTGAGCGGACGAGGACGCGCGATAAGTACTGCTAACATTGGCGGACCCCGTAGCAGTGTCGCTGCTGCTGACATTAGATGTCTCGGAGGGCGTCTCGCTGGCGCTGACACTTGTGTTTGCGGTCGGCCCTTCGTTTCCGGCAACGGGCGTAGACGAGCTGGCGTTGGCACTGGTAGTGAAGCTGGGCGACGAGCTTTCGGACGCAGATACAGTAGCAGAGTCTGATGAGGAAGTATTAGAACTCCAAGACTCAATCGCCGAGCTGGAGGCGCTCGTGGGCACAGACGTGGGTCCGGCAGAGGAGGTGGCGTCAGAAGAGGCACTCTGACTTTGCGATACACCCAATATGGAAGACCAAAGGTCGCCAGCAGAAGAAGTCGTGCTAACAGAGCTGGTCCCTGTGAGGGAATCGGTCACGTACAAGGCTGATGGCGATCCCGAGTTGGACGGTGCTTCAGAGCTCGACACGGTTTCTGAAGCCGTGACCGAGTTGGTCCAGAGCTCGGAGGATGCCTCAGCTTCGGAAGTAGTGCCCGCAGAGCTTGCAGAGGAAATCTGGGCTGAAGTCGAAGAGCTTGTTGCGCTTGCTGTCACGGGATCGGAACTGGAGACACCAAAGATAGAGCTCAGTAGATCCCCCGGAGTGGAGCTAGCAGAAGGTTCGAGTGAAGAGGAAGCCTCAGTAGAAACAGAGGGCTCATCGGATGTGGCAGATTGGCTGGAGGCTTCGGTAGATGCAGTCGTTGCCCCGTCATATGCGCTGGGCTCGGAAAAGGTGGAAGCAGCCGTCTCAGTAGGGCTAGGAGCGGCTTCGGTGGTGGATGTAGAGGGTTCGACCGTCGAGGACGACTCTGTCGATGAGCTGAAACCAAGTAAAGAACCAAGAGCGTCTCCGAGACCGCTGGAAGATGTAGCTGAAAGTATGTTTAGTGGAATTCCAACATCGAGGTCCATACTGGCTTACCTGTGGCAGAAGAGCTTGTAGCTTCTCCAGTGGAAATAGTACTCGTAGAGTCCACAGTACCTGGAAAAGAAGGAGGCAAAATATCAGCGCTGGTTTCACTTGGAACGATCGCCGTCTCTGAGTACGAAAATGTATTTGAAATCAAAACAGATGAAGACAAGAAGGTGGAAGATGGAACAAATTGTTGATATTGAGTGAGAGAATCAGAAAGAACTCCTTCTACAGGCACACTTGAGCTAGAGCTGGCAATTTCGCTCGTCATAGACAGCGTATCCGCAAAAGCTGATGAAAATGTGGCAGTATCAGGAGGAAAGGCACTTGCACCTGATCCACCTGCTGTCCCTGAGGGCAGTGACGCGTCACTGGAGGCAGGTCCCACAGAAGTGAACGAGCTCGGATTGATGAAAGATGAGCCCGCCGTGTCCGACAGTCCCGTCGCAGGTTCGGACTGAACAGGCGACAAAACACTCGATATCAAACTTGACGCCGGCACACCTGAAAGGTCTGTGCTGACGCTGAGATAGCCTGGGCTCTCCGACCCTGATATGGTCGAGGAAGACATTGTGGCGGGTGACAAAGTATTCTGCGTAGTGGGAAGTACGGCAGAGGCAGAACTCTGGGCATCACTGATGAAGCTCTCGGTGGGGAGAGCAGCATCAGAGGCAGACCAGGCAGAACTGGATGGGACACTGGAAATGGCCGAGTTTGACCACGTATTGACTTCGCTTGCCATAGTCTGACTTTGGGGTCCCGTAGCATTCAGCCCTTCTCCATTTTCGGTAATAGGAGCTGATAGAGTAGACGTCAATTCCCCAATGGTGAGCGGCAAGGTGGACGATGCGTCAAGGGTGGCGTAATTGGACTCTTGAATGCCAATAGACGAGGTGATCTGCCCGTCGGAATCTGTGGGTTGGACAGAGGCAGAACTTCGGGTACTGCTGACAAAGCTCGCGGTGGGGAGAGTGGCATCAGAGACAGACCAGATTGAACTGGATGAGACACTGGGAATAGCCGAGTTTGACTCTGTAACGATGGCACCTGTCATGGTCTGACTTTGAAGTCCAGTAGCACTCAACCCTTGTCCAATCTCGGTATTTATATCCGATGGAGTGGATGTCGATCCCCCAGATGTGACCTGCACGCTGGATAATACGTCAAGACTTGCGGAACTGGACTCTACAAGAGTACCAGTGGGCGAAATGAGTTGCCCGTCAGAGCCCGTGACAGTCATCCAGCTTCCGATGGAAATCGAGTTCGCCAAAGCGGAGTCCCCCGACGCAGAGTTGAACAAGGATGTCAAGCCCGTGAGAGAGGTGCCCGTGGCACTGAGACTGTCGAGGGTAGACAGAGCAGCGCTCCCTGAAATTCCTTCAGCGGAAGCTGACTCGGCAGACAGGAGAGAGCTTGTCGAGCTCTGCCCCAAAGTTCTAGAGAGCGCTGTAGTAGACCCAGGCGGCGCAGAGGTCGATGCCAGAGAATCCGAATACAAGTCTTGCAGATTCGTTGACGTGGCAGCAAGATCATTGTATGTGCTCGATGTCAAAGACTCGCTCAGGGTCGCGTCCCCAGCGACGGGGCTTGTCAACGATGCGTCGGGAAGACCGGAGCTTGTTTCATCGAGCAGGGACGAAGGAGTGACAGACTCGGACAGAGTCCGGGTTTCGCTGAGCGAGGGGTCCACTGACGTAGTCGGCAAACCCGTGTCAGTCGAGACACCGTACGACGAAGTAGTCACCGATGATGGGACGCCATTCACACTCGACTGTGCCGATACATCTGTTGCGATGGACGACATTGACCAAGTGTCACTAGTGCTGGTGGAGTCAAGCTCTGATGCGGCCACCTCAGTCGAGGCAGTATCTTGGGAAGCCAGAGTCGATTGTAGAGAAATGCTGGTAGAGACTGACTCTCCAGGTAGAGTCGAAGCAAGGGTTGAGTCTTCGGAACTACTCGTCGGCAAAGTTGCGTCACTCCAAGCTGTACCTAGACAACAGTGGTCAGATATGTGACGAAATGACCTTGGATACGAGCAAACTTACTCTGAGCCGACACACTGGCGGTATCCCCTTGCACCGATGCCCCCCACGAGCTCGCCGTAATTGAGCTTGAGCCAGCAAGCGGATCAGTGGATATAGCGGAAGTCGACAACGTGTCGCTTTCAGGGTCACTGATTGAATTGCTGAGCGACGTCGAGTCGCTCGGAGCTTGATCGGTCCAAACAGCCGATGGTGAGACCCATGCAGAGCTGGTAGGGCCTACCAAGGGCGATATTTCGGAAGACTCTGCGGCAGACCAGATGCTGCTTGAGGCTGAGTCTTCACCGACTGAAGTTAGAAGTGTGGATGTAGGCGATGCCGCAGGATCAACGCTCGTATCATCGATTGACGTCGGCGTCAGAGCAGAATCGGCAGCAGTACTCGACAAAGACTCGCCGCTCCAGGCCGTATCTGCAAGCAATCATTAGAACCCGACCACGTATATCAGCGCAAGGCACATACTCTGATTCTGCGACGTGGCCGGTGTCTCCCCCAAAGTAGTGGCCTCCGATATAGCGCTTGTGGCGGGCGCCATTGTATCGATAGTATCCCAAGCTGCACGCAAAAGGCGAACGTCAGAGCTCTTCAATGTGGCCTAGCAAAGGGACTTACTCTCTTGAGAAGTTGCAAGATTCGCCGCCTCCGGGGTAGTGCTCGTCGCTGGGTCTGCTATCGAAGCAGTCCCGGCATCCCAAGCGCTCGGATCTGGTTCGCCGGCAGAAGTTACTGCCGCCACATTCGTAGACACTGCCGTATCGGGTAGGGCTTCGCTGGTGGCTGCTTGACTTGTTTCCAAAGCAGCACTTGTTGCTTGTCCCTCGGCAGTAGCACTGGGTGGCTGTTCCTCGACAGCAGCACTTGTTGCCTGTCCCTCCACGGCTGCGCTCGTGCCATCCGCTGCTGCAGTCCCATCCTGTCTCTTTCCTAATCTTCGCCTCCCATTCGTCATCTCACCCTCAATCAGCCCCGACCTGTCATTCACTGTCGCGCCACGCGCAAACACACGGGGGAAATGCCAGCCCTCGAAACAAAAACCCAAGAAGCCCAAAGAAAAACGATCGTAAACTTGAAATAAAGGAGAAAAAGACTTGAAACTTGAAAATAAACTTGAGACGGATGAAGACTTACTTGAGCTTGAACTTGAGGTTGAGCTTGTAGATGGTGCGGACGAGGTTGTGCTCGTAGATGGCGCGGCGGAAGACTGGGAACTGGAGCTAGCGCTGGCCGAGGACGACGCGAGGGACGACGTGGAAGACGCCTGAGTGCTGGAACCAAGAGTGGACGTGGATGGAGTCACCGAGCTGCTGCTGCTCACTGCTGCCGAAGAAGATGCCGCCGTGGAGCTTGCAGAAGAGGAGATAGAGGTGGTGACAGCAGAAGATGAGGACGAGGAAGATTGGGCAGATGAAGAAGAGGATGTCGAGTTGATTTCACTGGAGGTGACGGTAGACGTCGCGCCCCCAAAGAGATCATCCAACAGTCCCCTCTCCGACACCTTGGAAGTGGCAGACGTGATTCCTTCACAGTACATTAGCTCCTATCCTCATCTGGCCTCTCGTGCACTCACCGTCGACATCCAGGCTCAAGCCGAGCTGCCTCTTTCTACCCTCGCTCCACTGCCTCCTCTCCTGCACATGGGTCCTCCTCTCCAACCTGCCAGGGCCGGGGTGCTCGACTGCTCCCGCGCCCTGTACTACCGCCAGAAGCCCTAATAGGATGAAAAGAGGGACCAGCGCCAATGCAGCGCGCTGTTGTGGTCGTCGGTTTCGCATTGGCCAACGAGCCGCTGACTCTTGTGGGAAGGGTATAAGTGTGTTTGGGTGATCTCTTCCCTGAAGTGGCGAGGTCTGATTGCTGAGTAGACAATGAAGGAGCGTGATCAGATGCGTGTCGCCAGAGTAGACATGGGGGTAGAGACGGAGGGGTAATGCGCGGTGGGAGGGGCGCGTAGATGTGGTACTAGAATGGACTGTGATTGATTTTCAGAGATGTCGGCCAGCGGTACTCTGTCGTTGCTACGGTTGCAAGGGGTTGTAGGGAGGGGATAAAAAGAGGTGCGGGGGAGGAGAAAGGATGTTGTAACGAGTGTGGTGGCTGTTGGACGCGGGGTTAGCTGGCGAGAGGGAGTGGGTGGATGGGATGAGAGGAGGACGAGGGAGAGATGCAAATGCCCTCACACATCTCCCAGAGGGCCAGGAACGGGGGCTGGCTGGCCCGGGCAGTGCGGGCACTCCTTGTCCTCCACGCGTGGTCGCACTCACCTTATGCACGGGTCGGGCTGCGTGTGTGGTGCTGGGGCGGAGTGCGCTGGGGGCGAGATGTATACGGGTGGGCGGAGAGCGAATATGGAGAGACGAGCAAGACGAACAATGCTCGAACGCGTCCAAGAGGCCAAGGCGCAGCGACTTGTTTTGCCCTGTTGTGATTTCGTAAAACTTTGCCGTCTGCGGGGACGCGTGGCGGTCACCAGTAAACAACCGGCAGCGACGTGTCTGAGAGTGCACCAGGGATGGAGTAGAGTGCACGAAGCAAGCCAGAGCTCTGTATCGTCTCTTGCATGCATGCGATGGGTCTCTGTCGCGCAGTTCGCTCGGATCTTGGTTGACGCGGTCAACGCGAGCCGCGGCCCTGAAGTGTGGAGACCATCCGACGTGAAAAGCGCGCCTGGAGTCTGGCTGCGTATGCATGAGCTCGTACGCCACTGACCGTACTCGTAATGTACCATTTATGAACTGCCAAATCGTGACACGTTGGCATGTATAGAGCTAGGGGTAAAGCCATGCAAAGTACAATGATATGGCAGGCGTTCAACGAGATTCCGTATTTTTCCTCCGCCCGATTAACGCTCCGTGTCGGTCTTCAAAGACCTTCGTGATGCCGAGCGATTATCGTGAGCAGGCTGACAGGAGCACCTTCATTCACTACACGTGTGCTTAGCTGTCGGAATAAAGTACCTAGTGGATCTCGGATACTTCCTCAGCAACGGCAGGATCTCATCAGCGTCAACTACCGTTTCGGGCCTTGCGGGACTTCGCTCAATGATGGGGGCTGCAGTTTATGAAGGATCTCTACATACCTCAAAGCTGAATATCATCACGGAGCACCTAAACAGCGGTCAAGTGAACCAAGTTAGTCACCCAACGCTGCGAGAGTGGCACAGAGGCTGATAACGGAAGCAAAATTAACACGTCAGACCCAGTCGCGCCACGTCCATCTCTACTACAGCAGTACAGCCCTTCTCTCTATACCCAGACCTCATCCAACATCCACAATGGTCGTACTCGCTGCATCTGTCTGCACAAGAAGTGGCAAACGTAAGCCGTCCCGTACGCTCCCCGTGCCAGACTGACCATTCTCGAGCTCTACTCTCCCGTCAATTCAGACCTATCCCCCGCGGTCGTATCGACTCTCTCCTCGCATCTTTCCCTAAACTCATCCCTGCCAACTCGCAACATACTACGGTCGAGACCAACGATGTTAGATTCGTATACCAGCCTTTCGAGGAGCTCTATGTCTTGCTCATCACGAATAAGGGGAGCAATATCCTCCAGGTAAGTCTGATCCATTACGATCGTGCCGTGGTGCAATTCAACTCTGGCCAAGTCGCTTACTGTGTACGGATAGGACATTGGCACTCTATCTCTGATCGTTCGCCTGATCTCCTCCCTCACACCAGCAATGACCGAACCTGCTATCCTCCACCATTCCTTCGATCTTCTCTGTGCCTTTGACGAAGTCGTCTCCCTCGGCTACAAGGAGAACGTCTCTCTCCTCCAAGTCCGCAACGTCCTCGAAGGAGAGTCGCACGAAGAAAAGATCCAAGAGATCATTGCGCGCAACAAGGAGGCCGAGGCGAAAGAAGAGCTCAAGAGACGCGCAAAGCAGCTCGAGATGCAGAGGCGGGAGCAGCAGAGGCGCGCTCAAGGCGGCGGTAGTGCAGGAGGGTTTGGGAATGGTGCTGGAAATGGGTACTCGTCCGTCCCTAGGTACGAACAGCCGGCTGCTGCGCAAGAATATAGGGCACCATCGCCTGCGGTGAATGCGCCTTCCAAGCCGGCGTTCAAGGGGAGTGGAATGAAACTCGGAAAGAAGGGAAAGCAGACAGATCTGATGAACGCTCTGGGTGGGGAGGGCCAGGGCGATTATGAATGAGTGAGATGCCGAGTGGTGGGAGAGGAGACGGTCGTGAGGCGTGTTCAAGTGAGTCGACCATTGTGCTTGTAAGGTGTATCTGACATGTTTTCCAGACCAAAACGCAAAAGGTGGTTGAGAGTCGTTGAGCTGTCCTAGAAGATTGTCATAGGCATATACGCTCAGATGGCTGGCCATGGCTTTTGGAGACCAAATGGAACCTTGTGGTATTGTATGCATACGAATATTTTTTCTGCCAGAGCCGTGCCGTCCAGCGCATTTCTTTATTCTTGATCCGTCTGCATCAAAGACTTTGTATCGTGGACAAGACCTCAAGAATGATAGAGGTCATAAGGCGCCCGATTTGCTTCCGTTCAGTTAGTCACCTCGTGAAAGTTGTCAACTTTGATTCCTCGACTTTTGCATTCATCAATCCAGCGCTCAACAATGTCGGACCCCAAATCTTTTGAATATGTCATCGGTGAGCCACCAACACTTCCCAGCGTAAGTTGTAGTCGCTGACTCCCATGGCCAGAACACATGGAGGAAGACGACTCCAAGACACATGCCCTCCCGCCTTGGGTGACCCTTGAATACGCCCACATGTTGAGCTGTGTTGGGCCCCAGTCCACCGTTCACTTCACCTCCCTATCTTCGACTTCCATCCCTCCTCTCCAGCAATCCCTCGCATCCTCCTCCGTATCCCAAAAAGCCAAGCCAACCACCCAACCCATTCTCGACCTCCTCCCGTCCCTTGCGCCGCCTATCGACAAGAGCCGAGTATGTCTGTTGGACCCGAGGGCGGAGAAGGTAATCAGCCCGGAGGATGGAGACTTGTTTGATGTGTTCCTGTATGGTGGTATCTTGGGCGATGATCCACCCAGGGACAGGACCGGGGAGTTGAGGAAACTCGGTTTCGAAGGCAGGCATCTGGGAGAGAAGCAGATGACTACAGACACCGCGGTGAAGGTGACCAAGATTGTTGTGGAGGACAAGGGTCAGTAGAATCCCAGGTCTACTAGAGGATCCAGCTGATGTTTGATAAAGTGCCATTGGACGAGATTCCATTCACCGATTTCCCTACTATTCAGTTCACCAAAGTCGAATCTATCGAGATGCCCTTCCGTGAGTCCCAATCGTGATTCGAGTATACAATGCTAAAACGTGGTCACAGGATACGTCAAGGACGAGCAGGGGCAGCCTATTTTGCCTCCCGGTATGAAGGAACACCTCAAGGCGGACTTGGACCGTACCATCGATGACTTTTAGATTGATATGCAGTCGTAATGTCCAGTCTCAGCAAGTATGCGGCTTATACATCTTTGCAAGATTTCCCGCAGCTTGACCTATTGACGACCCTTTCGGCTTGCCACAGACGAATCATTCATTCAAGTATACGTCAGGCGGTCTTCTCACTAAGATACCATCAGTTATCCAGTTCCATTCATTGAATACGAAACTGACGCGATAAATTTGTTCCAGTCTTCTTTGCCCCACGAGGAGCTGACATTGTTGTCTATGAGGCCATCCCACAGGACGGTGGGCTTTTCTACGTCTTAGCCGACAGAATCACATCCAAAGTCTGAAACATACCGTGACGTTGATTCCGTTCTGCCTGCCCAGCTTGTTCACATACTTCAACCCCTCGGTTCCCTCCGTACCCCCGTTCTCACTCTCCTTGATCTCGAGCGCATCCCTCAACTCTCCAAACAGTTTAGACTTGGGACCCTTGGCAGCATCGGGGTCGTTTGCAGAGATGACTTCTTCCACTGCAAATTCCACGAGCTGGTCTCGTGCATGAGCAGGAGTGGTGCCAGAGGCGGGACGATTGAAGAATTCCTTTTGCTTATCAAACACGGCGAGAAGATAAGGCCAGAACAGGTTAGGATACTTGTTGGCAACCACAATGATGGCTTCAATCACCAGAGCAGAGTAGTAGTGGCTGTGGGACACGTACGTCAGCAAGCCGCTGTAGCTCCCGCCTGCCTTGTGCGGCTCCAGGAGATTCTTCGACGTACAATGGCTGCGGGTATAGCCTGATGACCACAGATAGTTTGCCCTCGTACTTTCCACCCTTGGTGATCTGGGGCACGACATTCTCGTCAAGAGACCTGGCGATCTTTGCCGAGAAGGGGCAGAGGGGGTCGAGGTAGACTTCGAAGGAGGGGCCGGAGCCGATCCTAGAGTAGGCAGAGTACTTGGGGACAGACATGGGATGGGTGTACAAATGGGAATGCATCGTCCAAGCACAGGCTGGGAATATATATACGGCCGTGTGGGATATGGCTGACGTATGGGATCGTGATTGACCTCCACCGCGCCGCACTACGAGCCAATGGCGGGACAACCAATCCCACCAGCATCTCCATCTCCACCATGCTCGCCCATATCCCCCCAGAAATCCTCTCCCACATTGCATTCCACCTCGCCCTCGCCAGCCCCGACACCCTCCTCGCCACCCCCAACGTCCCGCTCCTCCAGACATGCCGCGCCGTGGCCGACACACTCGCCCCGAGCCGCAACTACAGGCTGTATGCCAGGATATACCGTGCATGCTTCGATACAGACGCGGCAGAGCGCCGCATGGGCAGCGGATACGATGCAGGGCCAGCGGGCGCCCGGTACAAGAAGCTGACTGTGGATGGGGGCAAGAAAATACAGGCGCAAGGAATGGTCGCAGAGCTTCAGAAGCGACTCGGGTCTCTAGCGAGGTTGCGAAGGATGGTGCAGCAAGGAGATGTACGGGATGTAGTGGACAGTGACCTCTGGGTGCTCTACTTTATGCTCATTGAAAACGGTCAGTCTCCGTTTCGCAGACAACGACACATGCTGATAGCCCATCAGATGGCAAGAATATAGACCTTCTTTTCGGGCCTACCGCCCTTGTAGACCTCGAACGGTTTCTGGAGCTATACCATGAGCAGCACCTTCTTGAGGCTGCCGTGGCCCCCGGATATCCAGAAGAGACAGTCGGCAGAAGCCTCGCCATGTGGATGATCTGGTTTGTCGCCGGCTCTGGGCCATCGGACGAGACGGAAGAGCAAAGGGAAGAGCGCCAGTTCGTCTTGCGTCCCTATGTCTTTGCAGCTCCACGCTACGATGCGTACTTTGCACCCTGGACTCTGCCATCGCTTCCCATCTCACCTGAATCCGCGGCACTTTTGTCTGAAGACCTTGGGGGATCAAATCCATATGTCGCCGACCTTGTCCCTCGCTCAAGGCTCGAGGTCATACAGGCATACGGGAGAGACGTCAGGATATGTGCACCTCATATCAGCCATGCAGCCATCGCGAGATTCTTCTATAGAAGACTTGGCGAAGAAATCGAGGAGAGCAAGACCAACGTGGTCGTCGCGCCGTTCATGTCGCTTCTAGGAGAGGCCAGTAGAACGGCATCGACGAGTACCACCCCTGCTGGTCCCACCCCCGCTGGCCCTACTCCGACAGGGCCTTCACCTGCTTCCACTGCGCCCCAGACACCTCTTCTTGCTCCCTTTGGAGCACCCTCCACTCGCATGCCCCTCCTCACCTCTTCCGCCGCCCACGATGCCGAGTTCTACCGCCTCTCGCTCTGCTACGACCCCACCCGTACCCCGGGTATGCCTCGCCCTGCATGGAGGGGAACATTTGAAGGGTGCTGGGAAGGGACATTCAGCTTCTTTGACTTTGAAGCTTTCAAAGAGATGTTGAGTGGGCAGGCGAGGGCGCTGTATGAAGGGCCGTATGGCGAGCAGGCGCAGGTGTGGAAAATCAAGGAGACATGGGTCAGGAGGGAAGGGTGGGTCAGGAAAGAGGCGGTAGACAAGGGGAAGGGGAAGGCGAAGGCGAAGGGAGAGGAAAGGGAGGTAGAAGAACCGCAATCGCCCAATACTGCCGTGTCCGGCCCTATGCTCAATGCTGGCTTTCCTTCTGATCAGGTGTCACCTACCTTTCCGTCGCTTGCTCCTTTTGCCGCTGAACAAGTGACGGTCCAGGAGACCATTCAGCAGCAACTGGAGGCGATGAATGGATATGAGCAGGTACCGGAGCACGAGCTGGACGAGATGATGGGGGCAGACGACGGCGGTGAGGAAGCGGATCTGGAACTGCTTTTGACTGGAGTCGGACATAGTGCATGGGGAAACTTTATCCTGAAGGGCAGAGTCAGGGCTTGGGACGGTATGGCGTCGCTGGTCAAGGAGTATGCTGTGAGTAACGCTCGAGTGTGTAATGGTTGTCACTGACACGCTTCCAGCCCGACTCTCGGGGTAAATGGATATACAGAGGCTATGTAATGGCTGGCAGCATTTTTGTTGGTCGGTGGAGAGACACCTACACGCCAGAGTCGTATGTTGGGTATGAAGGGACCTTCATACTGAACCGGAGGTAGAGGTGCTTCAGGTTTGCAAGGCGGGGCGTTGCAACATAGTCACTGTTTGTTTTTGGGGGGACTGCTTGACATTCATGGTTGTACTGTATCAATATGTAAAGCACATGATCGTACTTCTCGCACTTCGGGATCATACATCAAGTTCTCATGGCTGTTCACAACTGACTGCATGTCGACCTGCTTCTTTGCTACAATTTGGGTAGGCGTCTTGTGCTATGCATATGTGTCTAAGCTATCGTGAATATGATTGTGAACAAAAGATGTTGGAACAGGTGAAATGAGAGAGGTCAAAGAAGGCTACAGAAGTCATGAAAGCCTGCTAGTCACCAAGAATGTATTACAGTTGCTAGTAGTCTATGATATTGATTGTTGTGGACAATGAATGATGCCAAGCTGCACATATTTTCGTTATGTGGTGGTCGCAAAAGATGTTATCGGGAAAGATGTCGGCGGTTTTGTCGTGAGATAGTTTCAAGTGGAAAAGGTGATCCAGCCAGTCGGCGGCTGGCTGGGCGCAGGATGAACCTCAATGATGGGCGGCGGCACCCCTTTTCGCCCTTCGGTCACCAAGTCCCCTTCCCCAGCCGATATGGGGCTCATTACCATCCCACTTCCATCACTCATCCCACCCGTTTCATCAGACTCAAAGCTGGTCCAACTCGTGCTCGAGTCATGCCTCTCTGGCTTCTTCGCCGGTGGCGCAGGTGCCCTCCTGCGCCTCGGCGGGGTCGCACCAGGATCAGCGCTAGAATAGCCTGAAGCGGCGCTAGAGGGGCGTTCGCGGCCAGAGACGGAGAGAGACGAAGACACGTCGTTCAATGAGGATTGGCGGATTGGATCGCGGGAGGTGTAAATGGAGGTACTTGCAGTGGGCTTGGTGGGATGAACAGATAAAGGTGGGTACGAAGACTGTGTAGCCGCTCTAGTCGATGATCGACCATCCGGCAGAGCAGTGGATATAGCATGGAGCGAGATGATCGACGCTGCGCTGTCTTGGCGAGTAGCAGTGCGTACGTTTTCAGCGCTAAATAGAAATTAACGTCCACAGCTATGACAAAACGCAAGTAACATACCTGTAGCTTCTTTCCAATTTTCTCGGCTCCTCCAAACATCTCTCGACCAACCTGCGTGTAGTAGGATCAATCTCCTTCAAATGGGCATTTGCGATCAAACTTTTCAATACGAGTTTGATCTGAGGACGTTTGTAGAGATCCGATCTCAATTGAGTGTGATTTAGTAGTGGGTAGAGAACTCGGAGATAAGTGTGTCGTAGCTGACGATAGTGAGCGACAAACAGAGTATGAGGGAACCGGGTTAGACGTACAGCTTCACATTCTTCGGGCAAGTCAACGAGTTCACGGATGAACACATCCAATAGGACGCGAAGATCGTTCGTAAAAAAGTATTCTCTCGTGCCAGGCGTTGTGAACAATAGATATATCATTTTCAGGATGAGCAATTGCATACACAAGTCATCGGGAGTGTTCTCTGAGTGGTCTGATTAGCGGATGCGAAGCTGCGGTATTGCGCTCACTCACCAGCTCTATTGAGCATGAAGATCATGTTCTCTCCAAAAGTCTTGCTGCTGCCCAATCTCCGCATGAGCACGACCAACACCCTGTTGTTCTTCTTTGCGTCTTCAGACTGATCTGGGGCGTACCCCCGCCCGGCTGCAAGCCCACTCTGCGCTCTATGGTGCTTCCGAGTGGCACCTCCAAGGACTGAAGTTTCTGCCATGGCTGTCGGCGAGGTCGACAATGACGCCGACAAGAGATCTTTTGCGTCCGCTCCAGCCGGGCGTTGCACCCCATGATTCGAGGGCAAAGAAGCCACCATGAATTGCTCGTTCAGCGCGACAATCAATCTTATCACAGCATAATTCAAATGCTCGTCCTGCTGGTCCCTTGTAGTCTCGACAAGGTCGAACAAGTGGTCAATGAATTGATCGTCACAGGTTGACAATTCCAAGGGGGTGAGCTTCTGTACGCGGGCGACCTCGTACATGAGGTAGGTTGCGGGAAGCCGGAGGCGGATTTCAATTGGAGGAAGGCCAAGGATAAAGCTCTGGAGACCAGGGCGGTCAGTGCGGTGTACAGTGGAGGGTGTGCCACTTACCTCGTCGATGTCCAGCCCGACCACCTCGCCCAAGGTAGGTAGCAGCTTTTTCCATCGTCGATGGGATCGGAATAGGCTTGGATGCCTTTGGCCATAGAAAAGAATAAGATAGTACAGGATGTACAAGTCGTGTGGATTCGTGTTCTATGGGGGACTGTCAAACGCGAAATGTCTGACGACCAACCAACTCACTTCTTGCGCATCAGACATCATGATACCTACCATCCTTTCGGTATAGTAGACAAACAGCTCAGACTCCAGAAGAATAGCCAAGGCATGGTGTATTTCAACAACACCGGGTAGATACTTGTCTATACCACCATCGTCAACTTCGTCTCCATAGTCGGTACGGAATGCATTGTCGCACGGCCACGTGCAACAGTTCCATTGTCACTCACCGTGATACGCTGCGCAGAAGTTGATAAACATTCGCAATGTATTGTCCAGTTGTTCCAGGGAGGGCGAGTCTGGGATTGTGACTATCTGATCGATCTCTGTCGTGTACAATAATCAGCCAAAGATCTCTGCTTGGCGCCCTCCTGACGGGCCTATCGCCTGCCGCCCCCATCTTTCCGACCAAACAAGGCCACTCACCGTGCCAGAAAGCCTCCCTATCATGTACCCTGACATGGACGTTCATACTGCCCTCTGCCTGCAGCCCCTCATCGGTAACACTAGCATTGTGCCCCAAAGCTGGCTCGACCCTAGAAGACTGGACGGGAAGCTCTGCGGACCTGCGAGGGCGATGGTGGTGGTGGTGGTGGCGATGACGCTCCCTGGACCGCTGCCTGTGGGGTTGCTCTTGGTGGAGCATGGCATCGAGCTATGTCGTGGACAATTCGCAAACAATTCGCATCTATCACATTCAAGCAGCGCTCGTCGTCGGGATGCCGCCGCAACCCAGAGATCGCAATGATGACGTAAACTGACTAATTACTGATGTTAATAATGTCCAGTAAGTTAAATTCTATGTCCTCTTTCATATTTCGAACGGCCTTTCGACCCACACTAAAGATAATATAAACAATGGCTTCTTCCAGAGCAGAAATCCTCAATGACGGAGGTGAGTCTCCCTCATACTATATGGCTTGCAACTAAACACTTTACAGGGCTGAGGCAAGACGCTAGACGCCCCTATGAACTCCGCTCAACTTCCTTCCAACTTTCACCACACACTTCTTCAGATGGCTCAGCCACGGCTCAACAAGGCCTCACCACCGTAGTAGTATCAGTATTTGGGCCGAGAGAACCAAAAAATAGGGGTTTGGCGAGCCACGATCGGGCCGTGGTCAGTGTCGAGGTGGGTACCGTACCATGGGCTGCTGGCGGAGGTGCCAGACGGACAAGAGGGGACAAGTGAGTGCGACGGGCCAGCAAATGAGTATGCTAATCAGGTACCAGGCGACTTTTGGAGATCGGGGCGGCGATAAGACAAACATTTGAGCCTGTCATCTTGACACATCTGTATCCGCGCAGTGAAATCTCGATACATGTTCAAGTCCTAGCTGCCGATGGAGGTATGTGCTTGGGAGCAGTGTATATACCAACTTGCTCTTTTTTTAATCTATCGTTACCGACGCTCACACATCGTTAGGCATCCTGCCCACAGCCATCAATGCCACCACCCTCGCCCTCATCGATGCGGGTATATCTCTGCTCGACTACGTGACCTCTATCTCCATCGGCCTTCACCTTCTCCAACCCCTCCTGGACCTCTCACAACCCGAAGAGTCTGACCTTCCTGCCCTTGTTATTGCTTCCCTACCGTCATCGGGCAAGATTACTCTGGCGCAGATGGAAACGAGATTACATGTGGATAGGTTTGAGGAGATGGTGACACTGGGGGTGGAGGCGTGTGGCGTTCTCAAAGAGGAGATGGAAGCGGTTGTCAAGAAGAGGACAGAGAAGGTCGTGGAGAGAATGGACGTTAGGGTCGTTGGAGAAGCGACTGGAGGAATCGCCATAGATGACTAAGAGCCGTCCATCGTCCGTCTCCTACTCTTTGGTAGATTGGTACGGTACAATCATCATTATCATTTAGCTCCTATGTAGGTCATAGATAGTAAATAGTACTTGTACTGCTTCCGTGCAATCATCGACAGTAAGCCTGTCGCGTTGAAGTCAGGCCACCTACGTTGCAGCTCTCAAGTCCCTACATGCATTCTGCGAGCGTGCAGTATGGTACAGTAAAAACCCGTTAGTCATCCAAAGAACCCTTGCAGAAGTCATTGTGATTTGTAGCTGGCAGAATTGAATGCCATATAGGACGCGCCAACTGCCTGCCACTTTTGTTTTTACTCCATTTATTCCTGGCTGGGCCCGGCGTCTACGGCGTCGGCCGCCAATCGGCCGCCGTGCTGTCCTTCTGGCTCTCTTCTTCATCTCTCAGTCGTTTGTACTCTTCCAACCTGCCATCCACCCAGCTGAGGTGTACCCGACCACTTTGCCGAACCAGATCGTCAGCCGATACAAGATACAGCACACCAAACTGCACCATGAGCGATCACGGTGAGAATTCAAACAAGAAACGCAAGATCCAGGCATGTCTATCCCTTCCCGGCAGGACCCCACCACTGACATCCTAATGACATTAGAGAGCGTGCGACTCGTGCAGAAAGAAGAAGGTCAAATGTGACGGGCCACAGAACAGGGTGACCAATACCAGTACGTCCCCTGCATCGTTCAATACCGCGGAAAGCTGATCATTAATAGAATGTAGCAATTGTCATGAGGCCAATGCAGAGTGCACATATCAGGAAGAGTCGGCTCGTCGAGGACCTCCCAAAGGGCATGTTCAAGGACTGCTCTCGACGTATAGTGCTGACAATTACGCAGATATGTGGAGACTCTGGAACACCGATGCAAGCGCCTAGAAAGGATCATTGAGCAGGTACGCAGGCATTCTCGAGCATGCTCGAGCATGGATATATGGCACTTACACTCTTGCAGCTCGACCCGGAGCTTGATTCGGATGCGTACGCGGGGCCAGTCATCAACCGCGACTCTTTTGACCTGAATGCCTACCGCCGCGAACTTTCCGGTCGAAACATACCCTCTTTCCCTTCCCACAAACCACTCGATGCGTCCAAGCCGGGCCATTACCGTACCACCGAGACATCTTTCAATAATGCCGACACTCCCGAATCTTTCTTGAGGAGGTTCTATGCTGAGCTCTCCCCGGCCACGTCCCTGAACCACGTTGTGGACGAGAAAGACCATCACAATCAAATCAGTGTTGCAGGAAGTATGAAGTGGATGGGTATCCGGGACGAACACTGGCGATACCATGGGAGATCTTCGCATATTGACCTTGTTGCAACCCTTTCGGGGCTCCAACGAAATACTGCAGGGCGACACAAAGAATTTGTGGCGGAAGTGATCAAAACCAAGAGGCCAGAATTTTGGGAGGTGCCGGAATGGGAGGTTGTTGTTGCACAAGAAGGTGTGCAGAGTGTTGATCTCGGTCCTTGGCCTGATGAGGGGCTGAGTCAATCAATTATCAACGCCTATTTCCGCCACATCAATATACATCTGCCTCTGCTCGACAAGAAGGACTTTCAGAATCAGTACGACACTGGCAAGTGGCGAGTCAACAAGGGATTTGCCAAACTATGTCTCCTTGTCTTTGCATGCGGCTCTCGCTTCGTTGACGATGCGCGTGTACTATGGCCTGTGGAACACAACAAGCCCGTGGGCCTCCCGCACCACAGCTCCCAGTACACACAACGCCAATCTGCTGGTTGGGGCTATTTCCTCTCTTTCTTGAGGACAGGCAAAAGCATCGCCGAAGGCCCCAGCCTTTCAGAGATACAATGTCAAGTCTTGACGTGTCAATTCTTGTTTGGTGCTGCTCTTCCACACTATGTGTGGACGCTGGCTGGCTCAGGCCTTCGCTCGACGCAAGAGCTTGGCATCCATATGCGAGCTACGCTCCACCAAGCTGACCCCGTGCAACGCGAGATGTTCACGAGGGCGTTCTGGTGTCTCTACCACCTCGATCGGCTCAATAGCTCGATCATCGGGAGAACCGTCGCCATCCAGGACTCTGATTTCGACCTTTACTATCCTTCCGATGTGAGCGGGTCCACATCTGGTGAATCATCCGAAGTGTCCGTTTTCGTCCAGTTGATCAAGCTCGATCACGTCCTCGGAGCTGCGTTGCAGACTATATACGCTCAGAGAGCCAGCTTACGCAGCAAAGCAATGCTTCAGGTCTCTGTTGACCAGCTCAACAATGCTCTCAACGCGTGGTCTACCCATCTCCCCGAAACACTGCGGTGGAGCCCGACCATACCAGACTATGTCTTGTTCCAGCAGGTGTCTACATTATCCTTGCAGTACTTTTACTGCCGCATCTCAGCCAACCGTCCTTTGATGGAGCCCAGTGCCTACGCCAAAGCCGACCCGTCCTCTGCATTCGCACTCAGTCTCGATGCGTCCCGCCGGATATTGGACATTGTCAACTCGTGTCTGGCTCGTAGTCGACAGGAGCCATTCCAAGCAGGTCCCGTCCTTGATATAAGCACTGCTCTGCCTATATGGCAAGCTGCTATCATCGTGCTCATCGACGTCTACTCGAGCAGCAGGCAGACTACAAAACAACGTGATGCGAGCTTGCAGCTAGTGAGGGTTGCTTTTGATGCCAATCAAGAGCTCGAGGGCCAATGGAAGATGGCGGGCAAGTTCAATGACATGTTATCTGTCCTGGGCGACACCGAAGTCCTTCCGAGTCTCGAAGGCGGGGAAAGCGCTCAAAATCAGCTTTCGAACTCGAGAGATCATCCTGCAGGGCGGCAAGCTCCTTTCCAATCTTTCGCCAATAATGCCGCATCGACGTCATCCACCCGTTCTACACTGGCCAACGATGCCGTCCCCATTCCTTACGCCCATTCCCGTAATCCGTCTCACACCCCGCCCCCGCGGGGAGGACAGTTCTCAGGCTTCTTACCGCAGCAATTCCCAATTGATCCCGTGCTGGCTTCGCAGGATGAGCAGCATGCCGCTCTGGAACACGAGCCGTTGGGTTGGTTGTTGGCGATGAGCAATCCGGGCGCACAGGGGAATGGCGAAATCGCCGGAGTCAACGGAGCTTTTGGCGATGGGGATGTATGGGCGCAGCTGTTTGACGGAGGCTCTTTCTTCTGTGAGTGCTAGGAAAGAAGAAGATCACGAGACATGGCTGACTAACGGCGTGGTAGAGACGGCAACTGCATTCCATCTCTGGAATATGCTTTCTTGTTTCTAAGTCTTTGTATGAAAATTAATCACGGGCCGGCTTGCCAGCTTTAAGCTTTCTCCTCATCGGGTATCGTGGACACCTGCAACGTCAAAATTCCTGTAGCGAGACTCGAGCCTGGCTAGTGCGATACAACCAGGGGATTCGGGCGCTCATCAAACATGATTGTGCGATTGAGCAAGAGGAAAGCATTCGAAGTGGCAGATGCAAAGACTCTCACTCCTGCCAATTCTTACTCCGGCGAGCCTTGTGTCGTTCAGCCCTCATACAGCGCATCTCTTGGCCGCCCAAAAAACTCGAGCGCGTTCAGTATTCTTGTCATCTGAGTTGCAAGCCTCTACGATTTCGAGTCCTTGACAGATACAATACATCGACCGACGGAGTGCTAAGCTCGTGCTGAACTGATACTACTACTGGCTCAATGGCTGCACTGCTGTGTACATATGTAGATCATGACTCATAGCGAACTCACTCAAACGGTCAAACCCTTTGATCCAGATTTGATCCCGTCGCGGATGGCCGTTGGTCGGAATTGTGATGTCATTCCACCACTTGAACACTTTCTGCAGAGCGGTCTTCTTGTCTAAAGTATACACGCCATTGAGATACCATGGCAGAGACATCATCCTACTTGACGTGGACCAACGTCCTCATCGGTCTCCTCTTCATCATCTTCGACTCTGTCCTCTCCCTATTCCTCGGCCTCGGCATCTCCTCTTCCCTCCTCGTGGCTGCGCTGCGATGTATAGTCCAGCTGACTATCATGAGTACGGTACTGGGGAAAGTGTTTGCTAGTAATAATGTGTGGGGAGTATTTGGGATTGCGGGTGAGTTATGGCTATGTCGAAGCGTGGGCGCGCTGACTTGTATAGTATTGCTGAACCTCATGGCGGCTACCGAGGCGACTTACAACAAGTCGAAGAGGAGGTTTACCAACATGGTGTGTTGCTTTCCTCCGTACCCAGTCACTCTCCGATCTGACTCTGATTATGTTCACAGTTTCCACTCATCTTGGCCGCAATGTTGTGTGGTACCATCCCGGTCTCCGTTCTGGGCACTCAATATGCTATGGCACAGCACCCTTTCTGGCAGCCCGACCAGTATAGTATGACCGTAGTCTCACTACGCATTACTCATCTTCTGACATGTGTTTCCTAGTCCCTATAATCGGCATGATTCTCGGCAACGCCATCTCTTCTCTTGGTATTGCTCTCAACACTACCCACAAAGAGTTTTCAGAAAACAAGGACAAAGTGGAGAGCTTTCTGGCTCTCGGCGCCAGTCGCTTTGAGGCTTGTAAGCCGATAGCTGTGAGCGCGCTGAAGCTGGCGCTTTTACCTACTGTCAATCAGCTCAGGTAAGTCCAAAGAGAGCGGTTGTGCAAGTCGTTAAAAGCTTGTTGCAGTGTGATTGGGTTGATCAGTATTCCGGGTATGATGACTGGTGCTATTGTGGGAGGCAAGTCGGTGGAGCAAGCTGCCCGGCTGCAGAGTGAGTACTTGGGTTTTCAGCCATGAGCAATGCTGACCGACTGCTTTGCAGTGATCATCATGTTTAGTACGCCCAGCACTCTCATCCAAGTACATGGCCGAAGCTAACGTTGCCACAGTGATTTCTGCTTCCTCAGCACTCTGCACTCTCATTGCTCTCTTCTTTTCCCTCTCGACCTTGGTCGACGGCTGCGTCCGTATCCGATCCGACCGTCTCACCTCTGAGGCCCCTTTGCTCTATCGTTGGAGGAACGAAGCAGGGGCCAAGATGTGGAAGGTGGTGGCGAGAGTGGGAGGAGCAGTGACGGGGAAGAAGAGGGAGAGTGGGACAGAAGAGGAGAGGAGGGGCTTGTTGGATGGACAGCAGGGATGAGGAAGCTTTGGGATGGGGGAATAGAGCATAGAATTGCATATGTATTGGATCGAAATCATCGACGCGTTTGCGCTTGGTTGAGTTCCGGCCGGGGTACTGGGCAGCGTACCGGCACATCATGACTGCGGATGTTTGGACACGGTATTGGCCGCACCTGAAGGTGAGCAGGAGAGTTCATAACGACAGACTACACCATTCTGGAGGGATCAGCCGGGATTCTCCTTGAGCGGTGACAGGAGTCTTACTGTCATCTCATATTGCCACTGCTTCACACCCCCGGGGACCAAGTCTGTGAGAGACAAGACCGCCCCGCCGTCATGCGTAATAGTGGTTCAGTGCAGCCAGCTAGAGACGACTGGAAATTACTAGTCATTTTTTTTGGCCTGTGCTGGTCCAGCATTATCATATGGATCTGTCCAAAATTAGCAAGAGACGAGCAGGTAGCATCCACACTCACCTGTCAAGCCCTTTGGGCTCTCCCAAGATGGATTGTTGTAGACAATTACAGCACCGTAGGACCAGTACATGAGAATGAACGCCACGAGCATCCAGCAGGGTACTATAAGGGCCCATTGCCTGTGAAGCATTAGGAGATCTTGACACTTTTCGTGTACATGCGCCCTACCGATCAGGGAGCCAGTCAGTCCAGCCCCATGTGGGGGGTACAAAGGCCCAGAACAGGTACACTGCAAACCCCAGGTAGCTTGCCAAGATGGCGATACTGGCGTACACCTCGGTAGGGTTTGGCAGAGATTCTTCCACGAGGGGTGTTTGAGAGTCGTCCGGGGCGGGAGGGATGGATGGCCAAGGAGAGATGGGGTTGAGGGGAGAGAGGGGCTCGATTGGCGCCATGGAGAAGTGTTGCGCTGGAGATTGTTAGTTAAAGTACTCAGTAGAGTAGTTGTCGGCGGGCCGAAGGGGAGTCGCGGGGGGCTTCTGGGTGCGCGTGTCAGGGTCGCAGGCACTGGTCTGAAACGCGTCAGTTGTTGTTCTGTTGCGTCGTCGTTCTATTCCTATTCCTATCTCTTTCTCTTTCTCTTTCTCTCTTTCTTCTCTTCTTCTTCTCCTCCTCTCTTCTCCCCTCTTCTCCTCTCCTCTCCTTCTCCCCAACCCTGTATAAACACCCACCGCCCCTTCCACAGGACGTCCCACACTCATTCACCTCCCGACGCGCACGGACACCTCGCACCGTCCTTCAGCACAGTCGCCCACCTATCTCTCGAGAACACGTCTTCATCCCTCATCACTCGCCTCTCCACACTTCCTTCATCCCCTCCCCTCCCCCGCAACTCAACCCACCTCTTCGCCATGGCAGACTCCGCCCTCGCCCACATCCTCCGTCGATCCCGCCTCAGGGCGCTCACAGCCAAGGCCGGCCATGCCCTCCATCTCGACTCGAGGCATGCCCACCCCGCCCCCGAGACTCTCGAAAAGAAGGAGGTCATCCAGGCCCTTGACGAGAGGTTCTACGCGAGTTTGAATGAATACAGCCCCGAGCAGCTGAGTAGCATGGCCGCGGCCGGTAGCACAGTTGCTGCCGGTACTGTGAGTACAGATCGTCGATACCAGAATGCGAGAAAAAGCTGACAGACAACCAGTCGACAGCCAAAACCTCCACGACTCAGCGGCAGGCCGCACAGGCCGCTACGGCCAAGACGACAGTATCGCGAGTTTCGTCTGCTGCAGCTGCCGCCAGCACTGTGCATGCATCAACCAGCACCAGATCCGTCGCCCAAAGCTCTGTAGCCCACACTTCCTCCGCGGCGTCGTCCAGTATTGCTTCCAGTGCCGTGAGGAGTGTCGCGGCCAGTTCCGTAAGTGTTTGGCTCTTCCTTCACTGTACCACAAACTGATAAATTTCCAGTCTTCCTCGGCAAGCTCTTCAGTGGCTCCATCCACGAGCTCGACATCCACCAGCTCAATCGCCCGTTCCACCAGTAGGGCAGCGTCGTCAACCTCCACCACTCATTCTACCAGCAGCACTTCGACCACCCATTTCACGTCCAAAGCAGCTTCCACCACTGCCCGAGAGATCACCTCTCACGCGGCTGTTCAATCATCCTCATCCTCCGCTGGTTCTTCACCCATAACGCTTTCCTCCATTTCTGCAACCGCTGCTGCGCTTTCTTCGAATTCAGACAGCTCTTCCAGGTGAGATAAGCTCAAGTCACATGACCCGGGCTCTGAACTGACGCGTCATGCGCCACAGCTTATCTACCGGGGCGGTCGTCGGCATTGTCTTCGCCGTGGTATGCGGGGTGGTCGTGGTCGGCTCGTTCTTCGGGTGGCTTTACGTACGTGCCTTCTTCTCCCGCATCATCGCCCCAGCAAACTTTAACTGAGACCGTGTATGACCTCTAGCGTAAATACACGGCCCGATCTTACAACAGCAGCTCTCCCTGGTCCAAGATTGACGACGATATCACTCCCTACAACTCTGAGAAACCCGGATTCGACGACGTCTATGGTGGCTCTACCGTACCAGTGATCGCCTCCAGCCGTGACCTCTCTCGCGCTCGATCCGACATGGTTCCATACACAATGTACGACAACTCGCCGCTCAGCAACCATGCCGGCGTTGGGGCTGGGGCGCTGGCATATGGTGGCCAAGGGGACATTTCGCCTCCCCCTACCGCCTTGTCTTATGGGATAGACTCGCAGGGCAGGCCTTATAATCCGCATGCTGGAAGGACGCCAATGCTTCACACGCTCGAGGACCGGTATGGCCACCAGGCTGAGCCGTACTCCCCCTATAGCCACCAGCCCTACTCTTCCGCCTCGGACAATTCTCGTCAACTCGTTGGTCCGGGTTCCTACGGGCCTACGTCCCCTGTCAACCGGTACGGAGCTCCTGGAGGTCACGTCGAGATGCCCTTGCCTTCCCCCGTCCCTCTTGGTGGCCCCGCACACGCAAGTGATGCCGATCTGAGAGACTTGGATGAGTTTGCGGACGACCCGCAGATGGCCGGACTGGCGTATACCTACGGTGACAGCCCCACGGCCAGCACCTTTGTTGCTCATACCCAGGCCCCAATCAAACACGACCTTCCTGCTGAGACCTACCGCGCGTCAGATCACACGTCCACGGCTCCTGCTGCTCCCGACTTTCCTGCCCCCGCCGTCTCTACTCTCGACCCCACTGTCCCTGCTGCTTCTTCATCTGGCGAAAAGTCGCGACTCGCACCCCTTCCTTTGCCTGCCTTCGAGCCGCTTTCTCCATTGATGTCTCACTTCGACACGAACAATAAGGGCCAAAGCCGACAGCTGGCCATGTACGAAGACGAGCAGGAGAGGGAGCAAAGGAGAATGTACCAAGAAGTGGCCAAGAGTGCTGGGATCGATGAGCCTGTGACGCCATTCGTCTCCTACACCAATGCCTCGCCTTCCCCCGAGCCCATGCCTGTCCCCAATGCGCAAGCACTCAACCAGTCGACCGCTTCTACCACTTCGTCATTCTCCACCGGCATGCCCAGGCTCCCCGAGATTGGTTTGAGCGCTCCTAGGCCATACGAACACGGCCAGCCCCTGTCACCTTTGACTGAAGTGCCCACGCCCATGAGCTCCAGCTCTATCGGCGTGCCGCTCCCTAATCCATTTGACAATCCCGCTTTCACCTCGCCCAAGTCTGCTCCCTCGGCTCCTGCCCCGCCTTACTCACCGTACGAGTACGAGCAAGAGCCCGGGACGCCGACCTCTACGACTGCGACATCGAACACGCCGGTACCCGGGCAAACAATAAACAGGTCTTTCCCGCCGCCTGATATGCCTGGAAGTGTGTTGGGCTCGCCTGCTGCTGGGAGGAGGTGGAGTGGGAGCGAGGATGTTTATGGGGGAATTTAGAGATGGCACGATCGATCAATATTATGGCTAGGTACGTTGGACTGAGGACCTGTTCTGACGCACGCTCATTGCCGAATAGTTTGCTATACCCTTATGACCGGAAGACTTTTGGATGGTATCACGATATATTGCAGACGTGCTGGACACGTCTTTTTCATCTCTTCTTCTCTTTATGAAGATGTGGATGGACTTTCTGAATTTCTCGGGCGTTCGCATTTTGTTTTTTTTTGCTCATAGTCGGCAATGCACATTGATGATGATATATGAAACGGAAGACTGTTGATGAATGCATCGATTGCCTGATATGGTACAGACTACAGTGAATTCTCACCCCCAAACAGATGGAAACTTCTACTATAACTAGCACTAGCCACAAACTTGCCATCGCCGCTAATATCGGCACTCATCACCTTGCCCGAGTCTGTCGACAAGTTTCTCACGAGGTTCCACTCGTCTGCCGACCATAGACGGACAGTATTGTCAAACCCTGCTGTGAGAAGGAATGTGCCCGAACGTGAGGGGTTGACATCTTCCCCGGTCGCCTCTGGTCGGTCATGGGACGCATCCACGTCCATTCCATCTGCTGGCCCTTCCACCACATCTTTCCCGCCCTTTTCGACGCCCTCCCCGTCCGGTCCCATGCCCAGCAACTTTTTCTCCCCGCTATCTCGGAAGAATCGTACGTCCGACACACTGGACTTGTGGGCGGGGATAATGTATTGCGTTTTGAGCGCACGAAGGTCCCAGATACGGACGGTATCGTCGCCTGAACCTGTTGCTATTTGGTATCTGCGCAGAAACGTCAGCTCTAGAAGAGGAGAGAAAAAAAGGACGTGCCCGTTGGGAGCAAAGTCCATGGCAAGCAATTCTTTGACGTGTCCATCGAGAATCATGATGGTTCGGCCTGTACGCAGATCCCACACTCTTCCTATCGCATCGAAACCACTGCACCTCGGTCAGATCATCACAAAAGTCAAAACGGGAGACCTACCCGGACGCAATCAACGCTCCATCATCTTGGAAACCCAAGGCATACACCTCCTTACTGTGTCCTTCCTGGATCATCAACTCTTTTTGTTTTTGTGCGTCCCATAAGCGCCATGTGCCGTCGAAACCTGCCGAAGCGAGGTATTCACCCGAGGGGTGGAATGCCATCCGCCCGACTCGGGAAGTGTGCCCCTTGAGCGTCCCGATCGACTTTTCCCCGTTCATGCTCCACAACTTGACATCCCCCTCTCCTCCACCCGTCGCAAAAGCAAGACTGTCATCCGTCCATCCATTCTCCACCCCGGCAAAAGGATACCACGCGGCTCCTCCCAGCTTTTCCTCGTGCCCCCGTTTGGTAGAGACGGGATTGAGGTTGGGCATGTCCCATATTTTGGTGGCGCCTGTCCAGGATGTGGTCAGGAGGTATTGAGAGTTGGGGGAGAAGCGGATGGTGGAGAGGGGGCGATCGTCACCGTGTTGCGAGCCGAGATTGTTGAAGGTCTAGCGGAGCAAGTCAGTAGTGGGAATAGCAGGGGCGAGAATGGCCTACTTGGAGATCTTTAAAGATTGCTTTACGATGGTTGACCAATTTGCCAAGTGGCAAGCTGTATTCCTGACGCTGCCGAGTGACACGGTCTTTTGCCCTCAGAATAGAGTACTTTGCCATCCTGCGCCGGGCTTGGAGAAGGTCATTGGACCCCTCGTAGAACTCTTCCTGCAAAAGGTCAGCGAGGTATGGTGCGCAAAGGGTTTCACTCACTTCTTCGCCCTCGGAATCACTACTCTCATCGTCGCTATCCACGATCATGCCGCCTTCGCCCTTTGCCTGTTCCATCTGCTCTTGTACATATTTCAGACGATCTCTTCTGTCCCCCGGCTGCGTTCGCCGTCAGCCGTGGTTCTTTTGGACGAGCAAAGAACATACCCCTTCACCAAACAGCGTTATAGGTTCGCCGTACGCCCTGAGCCTCTCCCTGACCTTCTTGTCGTCTGTTGGAACGGCCAGCTTTCTGAGACGCTTCTTGCGTTCGAGCTCTTCAATGATGGCGGCATTCTGTGCCCGCTCCCGTTCGTCGTCTGCGCCGCCGAGCTGGTACCCGTTGTCCACGGCTAGGGAGGGTCAGCGCGTGCCATTAGCACCCCTCGAAACGTACCGAGGTCGTCAAAGTCCATGATGTATGGTGGACAGAGAGATTGGCGGATTGTTGGAACGAGTGCATGTTATTTACGGGGGTAATTACAGGAGCTAATTAGGTGTTTATGGCAGTCGTTCATGTCTCCACTGTCTCCACTGGATATCCTCGAGCGATGAAGTATCTCGACGTCCCCCTCCTCACCCAGCTCTCCCACTCCCTCTCCGCCCCAGCCCCCACAGACACCCCCGTCAATGTCCGCTTCGAGGCATACAGCGTAAAGCCCGTCGGCAGGGAGAAGCGCGCATTCAAGGAGCGGGAGGAGGCCTACATCTCAGAGCAGGAGGGCATGGAAGAGTGAGTCCCCGCCCCAATGCATCGCTGACAGGCAGAATGAGCTTCTCCCCAGAGATGCGCGAGGCCGGACTCGCGTCGTGCTTTGGCAGACTGGACGAGAAGGAGTCCCGGTAAGCAGTTCAAGCCCCGCCGCGGCCGCTCGCTGATAAGCCATGGCCAGCAAGGTGCACTTTCTCCTCGTCTCCACCCTCAACTCTGCCTTCCCCGACCACGACTTTTCATCCCTCAGGCCAGACCACTTTACCCGCGAACCAAATAGTGCACAGGTCCTCGCCTATCTCAGTGGGAGCCTCCTCGGCTCACTCGGTAACGGCACCGCTCCGTACGTTCGTCGAGCAATGATAGACAAGCCTGCTCACCCGTTTCAAAGCATATTCCTACCCATGGCGCTGAACGCACGCTCTCCCCAATCATCTCCGTCCCTTCAGCCCCATTCTCTGAGTCACTCACCAAGCCCGTACTCGTCATTCTCACCTTCGTCATTCCCCAACTCGGCCTCTAATGCCTCCTCCCTCCCCTCCTTGTCGAATCTCAACCAAGTCAATCTCTACCGCGTCCTCAACCAAGTGATCCCTCTGGACGACTGCGATGTCTATTCGTTTTTCCCCGAACCCGAGTATGACCCGCACATGGATCCTCTCGAGGAGGCAGACCTGATGGAGGAGGATGAGGGAATGGATGCTGATGGCGACGCCCAATATGATGAAGGAGAGCCTGCTTGGGGCACTGGGATGGACCTGGATGTGGAGATGGAGATGGACGACGATCAGAGACCAAAGACCGGCTCGACGAGTCGGAATAATGGGGAGACTTGGGGAGACAAAAGGCGACCTGGCGGGCTGCTTTGGAGTGCCAATTACTTTTTCTACAGCAAGTAAGATCTTCAAGCTGTCACTGGAGGCTTTGGCTGACCACAATTCGTAGGAGACAGAAACGAATTCTGTTCTTGACTTCATGGTGCCGACATCTCCCGTCCGGGTCGTCTGGTTTGTCCGGCAATCAAGCCGACACCGACATTATCCTTGACGGCTCCACCCCTGCCCTCCCCCTGCCCATAACGGCCTCCATATCCCCTTCGTCCCTCGAGACGCGCGGCCTTCCAACACCCCTGAAGGCCAGGCGAGGCAGCACGAGCGCAGCCCGCAAAGCGCGACACCCGCCACCTATCAGAAAATCACTTCCTGGCGCACTCAACATTCATCCCTCCACCTCCTCATCTGCCAGCGAGCATAGCACCATCCCCATCCGGGGCATTTCTCGCCCCCCAGCTTCTCCTTCAAATGCCACTCACGTGCCTTCTACCCCACGTGCAGAGAGACTCGTCTCGAGTGCGCCGAACGTGACCAGCTTGGGATTCACTGCCACGCCCAGTTCATTGCTCAGCGCTGCCCGGGACAGTGGGAAAGAAGGAGGCCAAAGTCCAATGGCGAGGATGAAGGTTGGCGGGTTCAAGCCGCGACAGACACCAGCGAGGATGGTGATCAACGCACGTGCGACCCAGCAGCCTACTGCCGAAGAAGACTCATCTTCTGCACCCAGTGGTAGCGGCAGTGGGGGCGAGAATGCCAATGGCGAGGAAGGTGGTGCGGAAAAGCGAAGAGACAGGAGCGAGAGTACGACTCCAGGCCCGGCGAGCGCGTTGACAGCGGGCCTGAGAGCTGCTGGGGCAAAGGGGACGGCGGACAAGGGTAAGAGGGTCAAGGTCTGAGACCGGTCTACAATGAGATGGTTGTAATTGTCCTTTTATGATGCTATTGCTTGTAGATATGTTGCGGAGTTGTGCTCATTTCTCGTCTTGTTGGTATGACTCTTTCTAGTGTACATTAGTAGGACTCGGGAGTGGCCAAAGCGCTGGCCCCTGAGCGCTGGGGCAGGGCGTGGTGTGTCTTCTTTCTTTCGAGAAATGTCTTGCCCCCAACACAATTTAGAGATGGAAATAATTTGTCCTCGACCATGACATAAAGTGCAAAAATCACCTTGAGGTTCGAGTCACAATTCCGACTCGATGTCGTTCACTTCCCGGCCGACCTACCCGGCAGAAGCACATTCCATTGCAGCAGTATCATTCGTGCAAAGATATTTCATGACCATAGAAAACAAACACTAAAAGAGATGGGAAACATGACTGTTTTACACTACACTTCTAGGCTCCACCTTCCTTGACGCGGTGGAAAAAGTTGTTGACTTTGGTAAAGTCGATCAACTGTCCATCAGACTCGACCGCTGCCAGCAGCCCATCCAGCATCTGTCATTTGTCAGTCCGCATATCCCAACGAGAAATAGAGCAGGCTACTCACTCCATCAACTTTATCCACCGGCACCCTCGCACACACTGCCACAAGCTTTCGATATTTGATCTCCTTCTCCACACCTTCGCCTTCCATCGATTGTATCTTGTCCTCCAATATTCCGGCAATCCGATCTTCCCACAGAGCCATGCGTCGGAGCTTGACGAGTCCCTCGGGGTCGTTGTGCTCCGGCAAAGGTGCGTCTTGCGGCGTATCGGTAGACGTCGGAGAGTGAGGTGAAGGTATAGGATGGAGAGAAGGCGAGATCACGCCGGGGACGTGGCGGAAGGCCAACGGCGGTAACTGCGCGCTCCTCTTTTCCATAATCGTCTGAGACCTGCCTGTAAAGTCACTTGGACCGAGAATGTCACCCATGAGCACCCCGTCAAGGATACGCTTGACACTCTCAGCACGCTGCTCATAGAGGTGCATCGTGCCGAGCTGTTCTTGTGCGTGGTGAAGGCGGACACGCTTGTCAGCCAGGGCACGAGTGGCGTGGCGGACAGAATTCTCAGTGGCATTGAGCTTTGTTTGTTTGGCCAGCATTTCCGAGGTAAAGGTGGAAGAAATGCGCTCGAATACAGCGGCGATGTCTGCTTTGGGTAAGCTCCTTGTATATGAATGTGAATGAATGACCTACTCTTTTGAACATCACGGCTCTTTCGTTCAGGCTTGCTAGCCTCGCTTCTCAAATTACTTACCACTGCCTCCCCGTTTGTGACCTTGAGGCCCTCAATCTCCAATCCGAAATGCTCTGGTCTCAAACCAAGCTTGTTGGCCCGTGACTTGTCCGCCCCGCCGTCGAGCAGCAAGTTGACCATGGCCCGATTACCAACCCTAGCAGCGACGTTCAGGGCTGTGTCACCATGAACGTCTTGTACGTCCACGAGAGTCTTGAGCGGGATTGGCGCAAGCTCGGTGGATTCGGATTCTTGAGGGCGATCCGCGATGCTATGAGGCTTGTTTCGCTGTTCTCGCGCAACCCATTCCAGAACATTGGCCATGTATGACCTGGCAGCCGGAATCCGGCCTTTGACGCCGGCAACGAGGGCGATATGGTGAAGCACCGTCCTGTATGCGTGGTCAAGCGTGCGGATGGAGGATGACAAGAGCGAAAGAAGCTGGGCGAAAGTGCCAGCCTCGGCGTGGTTCGACGTCAACACACTGCGCACGAGAGGCGTCTCGCCGGCATAATTGCCCCGTTGGGTATCCGCTCCGAGCTCGATGAGTTGCTGGATGATCTCCATCTTTGCCAGCGCACACGCCCAATGTAGTGCAGAGTGTCCTTGGTCATCGATGACCATGTCCACATCAAATCCTGGAATTTGGTCAGGCGCCAAACCAAAGACAGACCTGAGGTTGACGGAGCCTTCGACGTTGAAGATTTGGACGAGCTTGGCCTTGATGCGGCCGTTGGCCGTGGTGGCTTTCGGTCGGATGGGCTTGTGAGGAAGAAGCATAGAAGAAGGCAGAGGAGGAGGGTCACGCGCATCGTCAGAAGCGGTGGAATCAACCTCGGCATCGCCTTCTTCCTCGGCCTCAGCAGCAGCAGCGGTTTCGACGTAGCTCCCTTCGGCATAAGATCTAAGACGCTTGGCGGGGTGGCCATCCTTAGCATAGGCATTGCTCTGGTACGTTGCGTGTGGCTGACCATACTGGTCAATGTACACTTCAGACGCATTGTAGGGGAAACCCATTCGTGCAATGTCAGCAGCTGGCGCAAGACCATTATCGCTCGGGTTGTGCACCATCGGCACAGGACCTTCACGGGCCGGAGAATATAACCCAGGCTGACCGACCGCGTGCGGTGGCGGCATAGAGTAGTAAGGCTTCGGCTGAGACGGATAAGCCAAAGCTGAGGGGTGAGGCGGCAAAGACATCATCTGCTCATGGGGATGAGCAAAATGAGGAGGTAGGCCCGGACCGGGCCCTGGCAAAGGCGTAGCATGGGTAGGGTAAGGAGAGATGACCCGCTGGTTGGGATGAATCGGCGCTTTCTGGGCAGCTGTTCGGTCAGGAGTCCCTGTTCGGAGAACGGGGAGCGCGGCAATGGCACTTTGAGAAGGGACAAAGTCGAATATGGGAGAGAGGTAGCTTGCGACGCCGTATTGTTCGGCAAGCTCCTTTCCACGATCAAGGGGAATCCACGTCCCTTGGTACTTTCCGTCTGGTCATTGTCAGTGGATGCGATGATGAAGCTGACGACACTCACAGCCACCTTGCACTTTCTCGTGGATACCGGTCAAGACTTCCTTGTCCAGGACCTTGGTCCTCGCGGATTTGTTGATGCCCGCAACTTTCAATATCTGTGTGGCATTGACCCATCTGCATCACGGTCAGATGAGTCGAGGGAGGGAATGAATGAGATTACGCACGAATCGGATGTCCGCCTCATCACAGAGATACCTCGAATCATGGCCTCAAATACGGGAATCTAAGCGGATCGTAAGCAACGATAATGAGATCCGAATAGGCCACATACACTCGAGTAAACGCTAGCATAGACTTTCGCCTGATTGCTACCGGCTCCTGCTTCGGAATGATGCCCAGGACCGGCACCCATAACACTCCCGAAAACGTTCTCATCGGCATTCCCCTGCTGTTGAACCTTCTGGGGAGTCTGTGCAGACTGGGGCCCATTAGGAGGCGCTCCAAGACGAGGTGCAGCCCCTTGTTGAGACTGAGCCTGCCCAGGCGTGCCTTGGCCTTGGTACTGCCCATACATGTTGGGCTGCGGCATTGGTTGTCTCAGATGCACTGGGAGGGTCTGCAGGGGTGCGGGAGTCTGCTGCTCTGCCATAGCGGGAGAGAGGGCAGGTAAGAGTGATGGATGGGAAGGAGTGACGGGGGGCTGGAGGTTGTTGCTGGATGAAAGAGATCAGCGGGAAGGGACGCGCGATGAAAAAACGCGTGGGAGCCGCGTCGATGGGGTGTGTAACTGACCTGGGTGGCTCCATCTTGAGGGGCAGGGGTGCTTGCTGTGTGTGGGAGGATGGGTGCCCGTGTATCCTCTCTGGGGATGGGGACAGTGGGATGTGGAAAGGAAAGAAAGAAAGAGATTGGAGATGGACGACGCGCTCTCGCTTTCGACGCGGGTCGCGTTCGTCCCATGTCCCATTTGATCCCGCTTATGTAACCCTAATTACTGCTGCTGTTGACATTTTTACCTCCACCACAAAAATCTCTCGCCATCTCCTATACCACCCCGAGCAGCCATGGCCAAGTCCAGCAAGAGAAAAGAACAGCCCGAGGGAGACGCCCCCGATGTCCAGGTAGACAAGAACAAGCGCCACAGAAAAGACAAACGTACGTATATACCTCGCCACCCCTGTGCATTGCTCATCCGTCACTCCATAGCATGGGACACTGATGACATTGATCACTGGGCCATTCCCGAATTCAAAGCCCCCACCGCCTCCTCCGACCACAAACCCTTCCTCGAAGAATCTTCATTCGCCCTCCTCTTTCCCAAGTACCGCGAACCCTATCTCCGATCAGTATGGTCTTCCATCACCTCCGCTTTAGACAGCTATGGTCTTGCTTGTGAACTCGACTTGGTCAAAGGTCAGATGACCGTCAAGACCACCAGAAAGACTTGGGACCCTTATGTGATCTTCAAGGCGCGAGACCTGCTCAAGCTGCTGGCAAGAGGCGTCAGTGCGCCGCAGAGTTTGAAGGTTCTACAAGATGGGATTGCATGTGATATTATCAAGATTGGGGGGCTGGTCAGAAACAAGGAGAGATTTGTGAAGAGACGGCAGCGTATTGTGGGACCCAACGGATCAACTTTGAAGGTAATTGAATTCAATGGACTGTCGGAACTGGGCTGATCATCTGCAGGCTATCGAGCTTTTGACAGAATGCTACGTCCTCGTGCAAGGCAACACCGTCTCTGTCATGGGCTCATACAAGGGTCTCAAAGAGGTTCGCCGTATCATCATCGATTGCATGAACAACGTCCACCCGATCTACCGGATCAAAGAGTTGATGATCAGGAGAGAATTGGCCAAAGACCCCAAGTTGGCTGAGGAGAACTGGGAGAGATTCTTGCCCAGTACGTCATTCATCCTGATCCTGAAGGCAAGAGGCCAGTGCTGACGAAGCGTAGAGTTCCAGAAGAAGCACTTGAAGACGTCTGAAAAGACTGCCAAGAAGAATGCTGCCCTCGACCGTCCTGTGGACAACGCCAACTCCAACTTTACTCCCCTCGGCGCTGCTCCTACCTCCTCTGCCCCTACCCCCGCCCCTGCGGCCAAAGAGAAGCCCAAGAAAAAGACCTACACCCCCTTCCCCCCTCCCCAACGACCTTCCAAACTCGATCTTCAACTCGCTTCGGGAGAATATTTCCTCAAACCGAAAGAGAAGGAGCAGATCGAGAAGAGAAAGAAGTTGGAGAAGCAACAGGAGGTATCGGAGGAGAAGCGAGTACAGAGAGAGGAGGCGTTTATTGCGCCCGAGGAGAAGAAGGAAGATGCTGTGGAAGAAAGGAGACAGAAAAGGAGAATGGCGGCTGCAGAGTTCATGTAGATTTCCTCGGTTGTTTATTTATTGTTTACTAGGCATATGCATCCAGAAAATGTATGGGTGCGCATGCATATCGATACAACATATAATACAGTGAACAATCTGTTAAACGAAGTATGATGGTGCGCCCTAGATCTCGTCAGCGGCCGCTGCATACACAGAGAAGAGAAAGAATACTCACGACTCTCCGCATGGCAGGATTCTTCATGTCCGTCACATTCTCCCTAGCCGCACCATACACTCGGAAACTCGTCTTGCCCTCATCATCCACCACCATTATACTTGCGTCATTTCCACATCTATAGCAATAATTGGGAGCAGACCACACGGTAACAAGTGCGTCGTTGAACATGTGCTTGTACCCTTCCTGGACCAACTGATGCGCTCGCGCTATTAGAGTGAGCCCATTGACATGATTGAACTGCTCGACATTAGTCTATCGTCAACACGCGAAGAAAGAAGAACAAACCTCATCCGTAACCTTGCCCCCAAACAACCATCCTGCCCCTCTCGGGCTCACGCTCCAACTATCAACCTCGTCTGGATCCGACCACATCAGATCACAGAACGCGCCCTGGTGAGGCACCTCCTGGGCTCTCGAGAGTGTTCGGATCTGGTCGAGCGTCCGGATATCAGGGGACAATCCGCCGTGAACACATAATATCGAAGAGTCGATGATCTGGAGAACGAGTGAGAATATTCGGGGGCAGTGTCTGGAGTGACGTACGGCAGCGAGGTTCAAGTGGTCAAAAACGGTACAGCAAGCTTTCCATACTGAGGGATTGCCGTATTTTTGCATACATTCGTCTTGAGTGGTCTGAGCGAATGTACACCAGAAACTCCAAAAGGTGAAAGCTCACCATAGAACCCATAGACTTGCGTTATTTGACGAGACTCGTGATTTCCTCGTAATAATGTGATCTTGTCGGGATATCTCGCCTTGTACGCCAGTAATAACGAAAGAGTCTCAAGACTGTAGTATCCTCTATCCACAAAGTCTCCCTGTGTGCTATGTCAGCACCGTCCGTGCTACCATTGCCAGCTTACCATAAAGATATAAGCCGTTTCCGGGACTTCTCCGCCCTGCCTGAAAATCTCCAGAACATCCCAAAATTGCCCATGAATATCCCCGCAGACAGTCACTGGAGATTGCACAAGACGGACATTGGATTCTTCCATCAAGAGGTCGCGAACTCGGTGGCAGAGAAGCTTCATCTGGCGTTCGGGGAGGTGATTACATTTGCGAAGCTGCGAGGTAGTGTCAGCGCATAAGCTGTGGGAGAAAAGATACTGACGTGGGCTATCCACTGGTCTGGATCTGAAGACAACATTGCTGAGGGGGGCGTGGCGACGGGCATGGCGATAGGGCTACAGTGTGCAAGCAGAGTGCATTAGATGATCACGAAATGCAAGAGAAGATAAGGGCATTAATAAACAGTAATGAAGTAATTACTTATAGTAATTTCGCCCATTTTCGGCGTCGACAAAGAACGAAGCATGGCTGAAGTGACTCGACAATTGTTTGCCTTTCCACATACAACACCATGATCGACCTTATCCACTGTACGTCCCCCCTATCTCTTCAGAACAAGTTCTCACTGGTATCCCTCTCTCTCACTTGCTCACTCTATCACTCGTCTCGCCAAAACAGTCCAAACCGACAAGGGTGGTAACCCCGACGTTGTGCGAGAGTCTCAGAAGAAGCGAGGCGCCCCTGTCGAGATCGTTGACGAGGTCATTGCCCTTTTCGCCGAACACAAGGCCGGTGCGTCTTTCCCGAGCTACCTGCATCGTATCTCACACTTTTTGGTCATAGCACAATTCTCCCTCGAAGGTGTCAAGCGTGATCTCAACGTCTTGCAGAAAGAGATCGGTCAGATCAAGAAGAACAAGGGAGATGCCTCTGCCCAACTCGCCAAGAAGGCTGAGATTGACAAGGAAATTCTCGACATCACAGCGCGAGTGCAGGACCTCATCAAGCAGAGAGACCAGAAGGCCGGGCAGATTGGAAACATTGTGGACCCTCAAAATCATGTGTCAATGACCGAGGTATGTTGCAGTTGACTGTCAAGGGATGCTGCTGAGACAATATTACAGGACGACAACCCCGTTCTCAAGCTCTGGCACCCCGAGCCCAACCACAAGGGCAACTCTGAGATGCTTACCGAGGCCGACAAGTCCACCGATATCCTCTCCCACCATGAAGTTCTCGCCCGTCTCGAAGCCTACGACACTGACCGTGGTGTCAAGGTCAACGGTCACCGTGGTTTCTTCCTCACCAACGATGGTGTCGACCTTAACCAGGCTTTGATCAACTACGGCCTCGACTTTTTGAGAAAGAAGCAGTACAAGAAGGTGCAACCGCCGTTCATGATCAAGAAGGAGATCATGGGTGCTACCGCGCAGTTGGAAGACTTTGACGAGGCCTTGTACAAGGTACAGGGTGGTGACAAGGACATGTACTTGATCGCTACCAGCGAACAACCCATCTCTGCCATGCACATGGACGAGAACCTCGACCCCAAGAACTTGCCCTTCCGGTATGTTTTGTATGTGGCTACAGCAGCACGACTGACACATGACCTAGATACGCCGGTTATTCTACGTGTTTCCGAAAAGAGGCCGGTTCTCACGGCAAGGACACTTGGGGTATCTTCCGTGTCCATCAATTCGAAAAGGTTGAGCAATTCATCGTGTGTGTCCCCGAAGAGTCTCCCGCCCACCTGGACAACATGGTTGCCAACTCCCGCGACTTTTACGAGAGCCTGGGTATTCCTTACAGGGTTGTCAACATCGTCTCTGGCGGCCTGAATAACGCTGCCGCTATCAAGTACGACTTGGAAGCTTGGTTCCCTTATCAGGGAGAGTACAAGGAGTTGGTGTCTTGCTCCAACTGTACCGACTACCGTACGTCAACTCATTAAGGCGTCGTTTCCCGATGACTAACAGGATACTGTAGAGTCCCGATCCCTCAATGTCCGCCTCGGTTTCAAGGAGAAGGACAAGAAGACTGGTTTCGTGCACATGCTCAACGGCACTCTCTGTGCCACCGAGCGAGCCCTCTGCTGTTTGGTTGAGAACTACCAGACTCCCGATGTACGTCGCCACTACTCCGATATCAACATGACTAATGATATGCGCAGGGTCTTCGTATACCCAAGGTTCTCCAGCCTTACATGCAAGGCCGAGACTTCATTCCCTACACTGCCGAGTTGCCCAAGACTTCTACCAGCAACAAGGCCAAGAAGTAGAGTCATGGCGACAATGGCGGCCTGTACGCGAGGGGGATGGAGGGGCTGTACACATAGACTTCACTCGAGTATGGATCCCGTGCAGTTGTTCATCGTACAGATTCAGTGGTCTCATAGATACGGCGGATCATAATACATTATATCTCGAGAGCATCGAGAATAGCTCATCTACTCTACTGTCGTCAACGACTCGTCTCAGGTCGTAAAAATGTCTATACTGTAAAGATCAAAAAATCAAATAGGGGCCCCAACAATAGCCTTCAGGCTGACTATATCCTCAACAAGCCTTTTCCAGTAAACGGCGATGGCTTCTTCGTGCTCGCCTCTCCCTCTCCCAGGTTGACCAAAGTCTTCGCCGCGTGAGCGTGCCCATTAGTCGGGCGAGCCTGTACAGGGCGTTGAGAAGCGACAGAGTGGGGGTACGTCTGCGCCAGAGTATAGCTCTGATGGGACCATCAGCATGTGACTTTGGCTGTGTGCGTGTAAAACTCACCCTCGCTTCATGAATGGCTCCCACCAACTTGAACGCCTCATTACTCTCACATGCAAAGACATGACCCCACTCCTCTCTCTTCTCAAAGTTGCCTGCCGCTTCGGATCGTTTCAACATGAACGCGTGGGACTGGTTGTTGTAGGAAGAGAGGAATGAGCAGACGTCGAAGAAGAGAGTGTTGAGATGGACTTCATCCTTGCCCTGGTTGTCGAGTCAGTATGAGACTAATCTGCCAGAAAGCAACAAACCTTATCATTCTTTGCCAGGAAGACGTGGCCTCCGCGAGTCTCCAACCATCTTCTCGACCATTTCCCTTTCTTTGACTCGTGCATCACCCAGCCGCCAAACATGGGCGGCGTAGTAGGAACAGTCTGTCGGGTCCATTAGCATGACACACATGGGCAGTAGACACAACATACCCGAGCCCAAGTCAAAACACCACGAGTAGACTGCTTGATCTCAAACCTGTTTCCTTTGCCTTGCTCCCACCCATTCATGATGGACTGTATCGTCTCATACTCTCGCACATGTCTCTCTATTGAACGAAAGTCGTCAGCCTTTGCTCTCGCAGCTAGGAAAGCATCAAACGTACCACAGTTCATTTCAGCAAAGACTTCACAAACCACCCATGATAAGCCACCCTCCGCATCGGAGAGCTCTCTCGCTTGGTAAGCAGCAGAGAGCACATCCTTTGCGGTTGTCCTCGCATGCACCTCTTTAGAAATTCGCTTGACAATTCCGCCTTGAGACGGGACGATATCGATCGGGATTGACTTTGTCTGAGCTCGAGGGATGGCAAGAGGGGCACTGGGTTGGGCAGCCATGAGCTGGGGCTGTGAGGGCTTCTTGCGAATCTCAAGGGGGCTGGTCCCGGAGGCTGCAGAATCGCGAGGAATAGCAGGAGGCGGGCGCGTAGGACGCGAAGAGATGATCTTCTCCCCCTGAACCTCCGTGGACGCCTGCATACGCGCCTGAGCAGCCATCGAGTCACATTTCTGCCTCATCACAAACACATCTTCCAGCTTCTTGGCAAGCACGTCGGCAGGAACCCCGCCTTCACCGTCCCAATCGGTGTCGCCGCCTGGGTTGCGTCCCCGAACTTTGATCTTTGAGAGCGACACCGACTTGCCACGGGGCCGCGAGGACGTGGATGGTGCTGGTGGGGCGGGCTGCTGACGAGGATGTGACAGGGTGGATGCACGCTGAACTTGCACCAGGGCAGCTTCAGGGCGGACTTTTGCAAGTGGGATATCATCCTCTTCCCTCTCCATACCTCGCGCGCTTTTGTCGAGCATGTCGTGCTTGAGAGAGCCGACACTGGTTGCCAGTGTCTCTGTGCTGGTCCGGGGATTCATGGTCGACATGGAGATCTCGAGAGCGGCGGGGTAGAACGAGCTGCTCCTGGACGAGTCGGCGGCTGCACGGAGGGAGGAGCTCTCTGGGTCTGCGGTGTGAAGGACCTCTTCGTGTTCGCCGTGTTCTCGGTGGGACTTGGACTTTGGGGTTGACTGGAACTGGATTCCGAGGCTGGACGCGCCGCCGACAACAATGGAACTCTTGCCAGATCCCGAGGCACCGTGCGCCAGGGCCGTTCCGCCAGACTCCTCCGCGCTCTGGCCCTCAGGGAACAGTCCAAGAATGGGACCCCATCCGGCGCTGCTCAGGCTCATCAGCGACGAAGAGGCACCCAGCTCGCCGCCCGACGCAGTCGTCTCATTCCAAGGGGGCACCCGAGCAGACTCGACGTCAGAGAGCCGCTCCTTGCCCTCGCCAGCGCCCACCTCCGCTACAGGGCCGTCTCCATTCTTCAGCTCTTGTATAAAGTCATCCTCCTTCTCCTCATCGACCTTGTCCTTGTTCTCGCCCTTGGGCCAGATACCCAGCTGCTCATACAAGTCAAAGAAACTCGAACTTGTCGGCGGGCTCTTCAGAGACATGCTCGTTGATCGACTCCGGGGTAACAGCACCGGCGTAGACCCACTTCTCGCCATGATACGCCCGCCCGGACTGAGCCCGAGTGGACTACCGCTGCTGGGGGAGACAGGAGACGAGCCTGTAGATAGAGGGGTGGTCGTGATCGGGGTCAACAGACCGGCCGGGAGAGCAGGCGATAATGAAGGCGAATGTGTGACGTTGGATGGTGCCGGAGGAAGAGGCACATCTGGGGGTGTCGCATCTGATGGGCTCTTTGATATCGGGCGACTCAAATATGCAGGGTTAGGGGGCAGCAGCTCGGGAGAGTCTAAAGGAGCGGAAAAGTCGAGTGGAGCCATGGGCGGTATGGAGGGAGCTGTGGGAGATATGACCGATGCAGTGTCCTCCTTGTCGCACGGCTTCTCTACCACGACTGGTGAAGGTGCCAGCCCCCGTATTCCAGAAGCCTTGTCCGCCTTTTTCAATGGCGCGCCATCGTTCTCTGCCCTTTCTCTACCGAATGACCGCATGTTTGCCAGGGAGCGGGCTTTGGTCAATTTTGGCTTGCTCTCCTTGTTCTCCTTGTTTTCTTTCTCTCTTCCCTCTCGCGACGGGAGGCTGAGCATATTTCTCAGATCCCTGATTGAGGGCGAGTTCGGTCGCAGCCTGCGCTGAGGGGATGGTGGTCTGAGATCTTCATGGACTGGATCCGCCGCAATATCCAAAGCACTCTCGAATGGATCGGGAGGCAGAGATGGGTGGCTAAAGATAAAGTCATGCTCTGGCATGAGCGGCGTGGTTGCTGATGCAGGTGAATGCGAAGGAGACAAAAATGACAATATGTTGTTGCTCCTCTTCGCCTCACCTAACGGCGGGCGTGGAGAGGTGGCGCTAGACGGTGGGGTTTGAGACGCGAATTTCCCGCTGACTTTAGAGTATGTCGGGAGAGGGGGGAGAGGTCGGTCCTTCGCGCCACCATCCGCTGGTGCTGATGGGCGAAGAGCAGCATGTGATTTGGATTTGAATAGTTTTCGCATGCCCTTTTTCCATGAAGAGCTGCTCTCGGCTTTGGCATTGACGATGTTTTCTTTCGTCTCCCTGAGAGGATATGTCTGGGAGTTGACAGCTGGAGAGGCTGGCAGGGGAGGGCCAAAATCATGCTTTGGGGATGGAAGGTTAACTGGCGACCGCAACGATTGCTTGGGTGGCTTGGGATACAAGTGATGGTATTGCTCTGGTGGGCTCGCCGGTGAAGGGAAGGATGCCTGTGGGGTGTACGGCGATGGCGTGGTCATCATCACGACGGGCGAGGCAGTGATATATGTTGAGGGGGTAGTAGGAAGTGGAGGAGGCGCTTCGAACTGCCATTTCGATTAGGACATCACGCATATGAGGTACGGAGACTGGCTTACCGATTCATCAACATTGTCGTCCACATGTACTCCCAGATCAGACTTCTTTACACCATTGACCGCAGCACTTCCGGAACCCCCCATTCCCCGCAGGAATCTCATACTCTTCTGCTTGACGAGCTTTCCAGCGCCAGAGTCTTCAAGGCCACTCTTTGCTTTCACCTCATCCCTCTCGTCACCCGCATTTGAGATGACCGTCCCACGCCATCCATGTGAAGGCACCGAGCTGTACACCGAAGCTCCCCCCATACTCCCCTCCCTTCGTCCTGGAATGCCCGGAATGGCAATGCTCCCCATCCTCGAGCTCTGAGCTGACAAGTACACGCTAGGGGATGTTGACCTTGCCCTTTCGCTCATGGAGGGAAAGTTGTACTCTTCCGGCTCGTCCCATAGACCGTCCCTCGAGTACAACCCTGCGGTAGGAGTTCCAGGAGGGTGAAACTCGTATTCTTCGGGCTGGGGAGGAGCTGGCATAGATAGAGGGGAGGGGAGAGGTTGGCCGTGGGGTGATCGAAGGGAGGGGGCATGGGAGTACGGGCTGGAGGGTGCTTGGATCGATAGCGTTGGACGACGGGCGCGAGACATGTTGGGTGTTGAGTTGGGGAGTGGGTGTATGTAGAGTAAAGACTACGGTGCGTAGGAACGCAAGTTTCCTCTAAGGGCGACGGGCAGGGTAGTGTGCCGTTGGTTGTGGTACGTACTATGCGGGAAGGATGTAGAGGCGGGTTGAGACGCTAACTATGTAAGATATGAAAAAGAGGACATGGAAAGCAAAGGCGCAAAGAAAAGCAAACACGCCAGCGCGCACGGGAATGGTGGACGGAATCAACAAACAAACCGACATCATTGGGTTTAAGGCCAGGCACGGATTCCGAGGCGCTAAATATTCCTGGAATCTCGCGCCAAAGCAGTGGGAGATGAAATTCGACCCCGCAGATGTGGCACCTTGTCCTCGAGGGCGAGGCTGACAATCGTCATGTGAATCCTGTGTGAATCCAGCGGGAACATGCCGGCAGCTGGAGGGATCGCTGCTGACAAAGCACCTGGCGTGACCCCTCAGTATAACAAATTCGGCCAGCAGCATGCACTCTGCCAGCATTCCGCAAGGCTGTTCCGCTATCTCTGCATCCTGATCTCCACTCCCAATTCACCCCCAGCAATGGCAGACATCAAAGAAGCCAAAAGCCAAGCCGCCACCACTGAAGAGCATAGTAAAGTCCAGATAGTTCCCGGCCTGGAGGACGAGACAGTGATTGACGGGATCGATCCTGTCTATGCCGCAAAAGCTAGGGTACTCAATCATGCGGTAGATATCTCATGGTTTACTACATTACGCGCTGAAGCTACTCGCAGATTCAGGAGATTGGCATGGGGCGCTATCAATGGCAACTCTTTGTGGTGATTGGCTTTGGCTGGGCACAGGATAACTTGTGGCCCGTCGTCACTTCTGTAACTAGATTCACGTGCTGTCCTCACCTGTGTTAAACGTGTCATAGCTTATCCTTACCCCTATCACTAACGAGTTTCATCCTTCGCGTCCTCCTCTCCTTACGCTTGCGCAAAACATTGGACTGCTCGGCGGGGCTGCATTCTGGGGTTTTGGGAGCGATATCTTTGGCAGGCGCTGGGGCTTCAACATGACGCTGGGCATCACAGCCGTCTTTGGAATGATAGCCGCCTCCTCTCCCAACTTTGCTGCCATCGGGATTTTTGATGCACTGTGGAGCTTTGGGGTCGGTAAGTATCATCTACGTCTCACAGGGAGATATGAGCTGATACCACCGCAGGCGGAAACCTCCCTATCGACAGCGCAATCTATCTCGAATTTCTGCCCCATGTCCGTCATCTACCATCTGCTTATCGAGTGCTGACGAGCACATGCCACAGAGCCACGCCTACACGCTTACAATCTTAAGCATCTTCTGGGCGTTCGCACAGCTTTTGGCTGCACTTGTCGCATGGCCATTGTTGGGCAATCTCACGTGCCAGGAGGACACCGTTTGTACTCGTCATGACAACATGGGTTGGCGATATTTCGTCATCACCATGGGTGGTATCGCTCTACTCATGTTTTTCTGTCGTTTCGTACTGTTCACGGTCTACGAATCGCCCAAATACCTCATGGGAAAGGGCAAGGATGAAGAGGTGAGCATACAAGCCATACTGGTGCAGTACTGATGTGTCTTACAGGCCGTGAGAGTTGTCCACGAGGTCGCAAGGAGGAACAAGACGACTTCGATTCTGTCTGTTGATGATCTGAGAGCTTGCGAGAGATTTGGTGACCAGGAAGTGCGACAACAGACGGACGCGACCGCCGCCATCAAAAGAAAGCTTCAGGCTGTGAGCGGCAAGCACATCAGGGCCTTGTTTGCGACAAAGAAACTCGCATACAGTACGTCCTTGATCATGCTGGTGTGGGCTTTCATCGGCTTGGCTTTTCCCCTCTATGTAAGCTTCGTCTCGTCATTGTGGGCGAGGGGCAGCTGACAATAGTTTCTCAGAACGCCTTCATTCCCTTTACACTAGCTAAGAAGGGTGCCGAGCTCGGAGATGGTTCCACTTACATCACATACCGCAACGCCTGTATTATCGCCGTCCTCGGCGTTCCAGGATCAATCCTCGGAGGGATTTTGGTCGAGATCAAATTCTTTGGGCGCAAAGGTACATTATCGATGGCCACCATTCTCACCGGTGTCTTTATTATCGGAAGCACGACGGCCAAATCGTCTTCAGCTCTGCTCGCTTGGGACTGTCTCTACTCTTTCTTTTCGAATGTCATGTACGCGGTGCTGTACGCGTATACCCCCGAGATCTTCCCAACGAGGGATAGGGGGACCGGTAATGCTTTGACGGCCATCTCCAACAGGATCTTCGGCATCATGGGTGAGCACATGATCCTGCCTGCTTGTCGATGACTGACAGTCTTCCTAGCGCCCATTATTGCTATGTTTGCCAACTTGGAGACATCTGCGCCGGTGTACACAAGCGGCGCACTGTTCATAGCTGCGGGCTTGGTGGTTGTCATACTCCCATACGAGTCTCGAGGGAAAGCATCTTTGTGATCAGCACGTCCAGCAGGGGTATATGGTGACTTTTGGGTGAATTATAATCGATCAAGCATGTACTTGTGAAAGATTCCGTATTGTCTGATGCGAAGAGTTTGCATGAAGGATTCCCCGAAATGAGTTTATACTGTACAAGGGCAACCGTCGCCCATACATCGTCTTCTCCCACCAAACCCGCGTTGATAGCCATACGCATGCCATATACAAACAAAATATACATTTTAATGCCTGAAAGCCAAGTCAGCGCCATACATCTGCAGGAATAACGCCAACCACTTACGCGCTCCACTCGATCTTGCTGATATCAATACCCTCCTGTACCATCTCCCAAAGAGGACTCATGTCCCTCAACCTGTTGACAACGCTTACAATCCTTTCGATGACCATGTCAATCTCCTCCTCGGTGGTGAAACGTCCGATGCCGAATCGAAGTGAGGAGTGGGCCATGTCTTCGGCCGCACCGAGAGCTCGGAGGACATATGAGGGTTCAAGAGAGGCGGAGGTACAGGCTGATCCAGATGAAAGGGCGATATCCTAGAGTAATATTAGTATCGGCAAACCAGGGTGGTCGGTTGAGACTTACTTTAAGAGCCATCAAGAGCGATTCGCCCTCGACATATGAGAAACTGAGGTTGACACAACCCGGGTATCCACTAGGATCACCGTTGCGTACAATCATATCCACTTGACTGGTGATGCCGTTGATCAATCTGTCTGACAACTCCTTGATCCTCTCGTGGTCCGCTGCCATCTCCTTCTTGGCGATCCGACAAGCTTCACCGAGACCGACCACTATAGGGGCAGGTACGGTACCGGATCGGAGACCACGCTCTTGACCACCACCGTGTATAAGAGGCTCGAGTCTGACACGAGGTCGCCGTCTGACATACGCGGCGCCGACACCCTTGGGTCCGTAGATCTTGTGACCAGAGATAGACATGGCGTCGATACCCATAGCCTCAACGTCGATGTTGATCTTTCCGACGGCCTGGGCGGCATCGGTGTGAAACATGGCCTTAGGGATTCCCTTCTCTTTGGCGTACGCCTTGATAGTGGCAGAAATTTCGGCGAGAGGCTGAATCACACCAATCTCGTTGTTGACAGCCATGATAGAGACGAGGGATGTGTCTGGTCGCAAAGCTGATTTGAGCTCCTGAAGAGATACAAGACCGTTGGGAAGAACAGGGAGATAGGTGACTTCAAAGCCTTGCGTAGAGAGCCATCGGCAAGAGTCGAGGACACACTTGTGCTCGGTTTGGGTGGTAATGATATGCCTTCTCTTGGCTTGGTGGAACTTGGCAATGCCTTTGATGATCATATTATTGCTTTCGGTCGCACCACTTGTAAAGACAATGTCCTTCTCGTGAGCGCCGACCAAAGAGGCGACGTGCTGTCTAGCCTCATCGACAGCCTTCTCGGCCTCCCAGCCATAAGCGTGGGTACGAGAGTGCGGGTTACCAAATTGCTCGGTGAATAGAGGGAGCATTTTGTCAAGGACTCGGGGGTCCATGGGAGTGGTGGCCTGCATGTCGAGATAGATGGGACGACCTTCTGATTTCGCATTGCCACCGGTCTTGGTGGACACGGGGTTGAGCTTGAAACCGAACATTTCTAACAGAATTGTCAGTCACTGCGTGATTTCGCCACAGAAGTGCTTACCTTCGCCAGACTCGGGGTGGGCAGAGGCGAGGTGCTCGCCACTCTCGGCCTCGGCGGGGTCCTCCTTGACGTGTTCAACAGTGACATTCGAGACAGTGGCGTTGACGGGGTGGGTCGGGGTGACGAGGGAGCGTCGGGGTGCCCTGGAGGCGGCGGCGTGGAGTGGCCTGGGTGCGCGGAGGGCTGCTGACCTGAGGAGGGGTCTGATGAGGCTCATTTTTGTAGATGGATGCAGGGAGAAGAGAGCGATGGCGCGGCAACTTGCTGATTGCTCAGCGCCGAAAGCCGAGGTGAAAATAATCTGCTTCCGTCCCCAGCCTGTCCGGATCCCACGGCGGACATAAGCGATGTTGATATGCGCGGCAGTATCTGGGCAGTATTGCATGTGAAAAAACAAGTATGAACGAGCCAGGACATTATTACGCTACTATAGAGCAAGAGGAACCAAATAAGTAATCTTTGACCACCCGATACAAGGCAATAAAGGAAGGACAGCCAAGCTACGTACTACGTACTCGGCTATCGAGAACGATCGCTCAACATTTGCAGTCGATCAACTGTCGGACACCAGGGTAGCCATCTGCAGGATTTCCCCACCAAGATGGGAAGGCTACAGTAGAGTTCGAGGCACCAAACACTGCGAAAGACAAGATAAACAAGACGAATAGACTCGCCCCGTCCCAGGCCGCAGTGACAAGATACGAGTAGTCTCTGAAGATTCTGGGCTTGTAATTTCGTAGGTAGAATCGGGTGAAGAATCCGGCTGCGAGATGAGATAGGACGACACAGCTTTGTGTCTGGTTGAATCCCAGGTAGCCTGAGTAGATGAAGAATTGGGGAAGGTTGAGGTCGCTGAGAGAGAACTTGCCGATGTGAGGCACGTACTGGATGATGTCAGCAGTATGCGGATAATATTCAGGATGGACTCACTCGTGCAAACACACGATGAAGTATCACTGCAGCAAACCTGATAGGGAGGCCCAAGAGCACAATGAAGTATTCTCCGCTTCTACCATACAAGTACTTGGCCAAAGCCCAGACGGATGCTTGAGTCGATTGACTTTGGAAGTATTGTCCTGGATGCAACAATCAGTAATCACTTGGCCGGGTTTCGTCTCGTACTCACCTGACCAGACAGAAGAGCCATTGGTGTCCTGAAGGAGCTCCCTGTGCGAGTTGACAATGTTGATCATGACGACACAGTCGATGAATGCGCCGAAAACAGTGCCGTACACCTGGGTGGTGAACATATCCTAGGAGGAATTTTGACTTGATCCAGGTCAATAGCTACTCTTGGTGGGCTCAAGCAGATGGCCTACGATACTCTCCCATCTTGAGATCCGAGGCCAGGTTGAGACTCTGCGAGATGACGCTATGGGACCACGCGCTAAAAAGTTTACCACAGGTCTTCCGGGTTGGCAGACTGCACACAGCCCGTCAGAGAAGCTACGCAATGGTATCATCGTGAAGACTCATCTCCCGCAATGGTCTTCATCAACTGGTTGGTCGCTATACCGTTACCGAATCGAGAGTAGAGGATCGTACTCTGCGCTCTGTCAGGTACCGTGCGACGGTATATATCTGAGAGAACTCACGAAGGGTGCGATGAAGGCTCCGAGGGCCAAAGCCACAATGTAGGCCCACCACGTCAAAGTAATGCCTTCCTTGACGACGACGACAAGACCCAGGACGAAGGCTATCACAAGGAGGCCGACGTACCAGTACCAGCTGGCCTTTTTGTATTTTTTCATGGCTGCGTGGTGTCGGTCGGCGTATACGCCTTTCCTGCCGTCCTTCAAGGATCGCCAGATGTCGGGCCCGTACCAGAAGATGCAATGGGCGACAAGCGCGCCAATCTGTGAGGATGATAAGCAGATAACCAGTGGTGCAAGTGACAGGGTCGTAAGGAGAGAGTAGAGGCGCGGCGGCGATGTGAGGGTACTTACAGAGAGACTGTTTACCACCATAGCCCAGACGTAAGTCCCCGAGAGCTTCGGCAGGCCGTAACGTTCCAATGCGCTCTCATCCAAGATGCCATTGACAAAAACTTTCGCAGTAGGATATGTCCCACCGCTGGCAGTGTGGAGCGTGGTAGACAGGAATGGTAATGATTTGACCGACCAGGCGTTGCCGTAATAGACGGCGAGGAAGGCGATCCAGCAAAAGACGATACCAGAAGCATAGTTGGCCTGGGGCGATATGTGAGCTAGAACTCTCAACGACAGGACCTGTCACCTACCTGAAGGATGAGAGGCATCGAGGTCGCGGAAGAGGTGATCTGAAAGCATGTCAGCTCATGTCACAGGATAAGGTATACCACTTTGGAAGCACGAGAGACGAATCATCAACGGTTGGTGGTCCGCCTTCCTCGATGCTCTAGTATGACTGCACTCACATATTGCCAGTCAAATGAAAAGGTCAGAATAATAAGTCCCTCGTTACTCAACAAGTCGCCAAAGATATTGATTTGTGAGGATATCAGCCTTGGAGCCCGTAGCTTTCATGGAAGCGAGGCAGGGCACGGAAACGCTGTGACAATGGTCAGTCATAACAGCTCAAGCGAGGAGCGAAGAGGAGTACATACCTGTTGAGCCATGGGATGATGTAAGCTGGAAATGGCTGATACGCGAGCATGCCACCAGAGGCATACCAGAAATACCGCATCGGTTTGCTGTCTTTGACCGAATACCAATGCAACGATTGCAAGGTGCGTACAATAGGGATCTTGGTCCAATACACGCTCTCAGGGTGGTACACAGTGATTGGGCGAAGAAGTCCAGTGAGACCGTAGCCAAAGAGCCCGATGCGTACTGAGAATGACGGTAGTGGCGCTGAGCGGAATGTCGTAGAAGAGGTTGGTTGTGGCGAAAACTGTCACACTCTCGGCACCGTTGGAAGCTGAGGTAGCTGTGATGGCGGCGATGGCATGCTCTTTGAGTGAGAAGGGACCAGGGTTGATGAATTTGGCCGCTCGTATCCAAAGCGGAAGCCGGCCCTCGTTACCCCTCTCTCTCCACTTTATCTCTTGCAAGTCGCCTCTGGGGAGAAAGAGGGCCCATGCCCCACCCACAAAGTAGAGAAGAAGTACCATGAAGCTCCGACTCTTTGATAATGTCAGCTTTGATCATGAGATAAGCGAGTTATGAGTGCCCACGATAGTGACAACCGTAGGCTTGAACTATAGATGAATCCCAGTCAGACACGGAACAGTGGAGAGTGGATGGAGGAACTCACATGGTAAATCTGGTTCATGGAAGCCTAGAAAGCAGCCATGAGAGTACCCAATACCAAGCTTCGGAAGGTCAGAACCTGGTCGCCATCGTATCTGATAGGCAAGAGGTAGTTTGCCGCATCCAAGCCGGCAACGATCTCCTTCTCCTCCTTCTCAGATACTTCAGATCCGTTGTTGATGCTATTATGGTGATCGAGCTTTTCGTCCGAGGGAGTCTTGTCGAAGGGTATAGTCTTTCCGTCAGAGGGCGTGCCGGCCACCAGCTCGTGGCCAGCGTGAGGAAGAACGGCGACCTGGTCCATAGTCGAGGAAGCGATGTTTTGGTCGTGCTTCTCGTGCGGAGGAGCTGTACATACTCCAAGTTTCACTAGCCATGCTTATACAGGATCAACTTTGTGGCTACTGAGAGCCGCAACCTTGTAGCTAGTGAAAAAAAAGTCGGTCTGAATGAGGTGATGGATGGCAACTCATCTAATTCTGGCACGCGATTGTTCCCGCTGAGCGGGGCGAGATATGCGCCGTCGACGCCCATATGAGGGTACCTCGGAAGAGCAGGTGGGCCGCGGATCCCGCAGAGAAGAGTCGAGGATAAGCAATGCAGGCGGGAATATGGTAAAACCAATGCTCCATCGAGGGTAAATGCCAGAGCGAGCAGCGTGTACCATGCGGCCAGTCAATGGCGCCATTGGAATTGGCCTCGCTTCCATCCCTGCCGTGGTGAGCAGCTCGGCAGACCGTGGTCCTGCGCCTGCCGGGTCGCATCTACCAGTAGGGACATACAGGGTATGTACAGGTCTGGTTGTCGATGATAAGGGCGGGAATAAGCCTACAGATTGTGTGCTATATCGAGGTCAACTCGAGACATTTGTAGTAATCAGGATGCAGAGTTCAGCTCTTTACCGTTATCTCTGAGGCCTACTTTACCGTTCAGTTCCCCACCCCTTCAAGCGCCGAGTGACCCATGTGTGCCACGACCACCCCTGGAAGAAGAAGAGACCATCCGAATCAAACGTCAAATCATGCCACCTCCTCGCTTCGTGCCTGCCGCAGATTGCCGATGCGGGCTGCCGATACGACGACCATCCTCTTAATATCTCTACATACGAGTCAACACATTTTACGTATACACATAGCTCACAATAGTCATCGTATAAACGTAAGCATCATAAATGCGATATAGAATCGTCTTTCAAGGAAACAATATCTCTCAATGTCCGCTCGGCATCGCCCGCCTCCATGTGGTAACGAAATGTATCACTGGAGACTCCTCAAATCCCGCACTTCATCGCCCTTCCTCTCCAGCACACCAATCGCCTGCTTCAGCTTCTTTGCTATTATGTGTCTTTTGCGCGGGTCCGAAGCCGGGTCAAGAGACTTGTATCTGGTCGCCAAATCCACATAGATCCTGGACAAACGTCAGCAAGGCAACGTATGGGTCTCAGCCACGGTCTTACGCACGATTTGTAATGCACATAATCTTCCTCGGCCTGCCCCAGGATCCTTTGCAAAGTCACCCTCGCAGACTCCCGAATCTCGCCTGTGGGCTCTTTGTTCACTCGGTGTGGCCCTGCACCCGACGGCTGTCGGGACGAAGGCGCAGAAGGCGCTCGGGTGAGGGTAGGAGTCGGCGAGTATGTCATGTCCTCGCTTCGCACAAATGTCCTCTCGGCCTTCGACGGTCCAGGGCGCTGGACAGTAGCAGGAGCTAGCGTTTCGTGGATAGACGCTGCTGCACGCAGACCCTGCCTGAGCTTGGATGGTCCAGGTGCGGCCTCTTGTTGAGCAGGTTGCTCATCTTGCACGATTTGCCGAACGAGTTTCTCCATCTTCTGTCGCTCCATCCTCACCGACCGTTCGGACCGGGAGTGTTGGCACGTAGCAAGACCCTTCTCGACTATAGAGTTGAGGGAGCTGACCTGCTGAGAGAGACGGTTGATCTCAGAACGGATATTGGCAAGTGTGGAGGAAGACGGAGAGAATGAAGGGTGCGGCGGGGCGGATTGAAACTTGTGTATGACTGCTCTGTGAGCGTCGAGCTCGAGAGTCAGACGGGAAAGATGGGCCTGTGTAGACCCTACAAGCTGTTCCAGTGCTTTTGGTCATCAGCACGATCCCAGGTATGCGACGAAGGACATACCGGTCTTTTCATCCGCGACTTCTTTGACACCTCGATCCCCATTTTTTTGAGCTTCTGCCAGCTCCTCCTTTGCATTTGATAGCTCGTCCTGGAGCTCTCGCATTCTGCGCTGCGAAGTTGTATTTTCGACCTCCAGGTTCTTCAGGCGCTCATTGAGCTGTTCCAGGTTCCCGGGAATGTCGACTTTGACACGTCAGTAGCAGTCGAGAGTATCTAGTACGTCACTCACCTAGTGCAACTCCACCAACGCTCTCGTCACGATTCAGATATCCGTACTCGCCAGCCCTCGCCGGTGTCTTCAGCAGATCGGTCAAGCCAGTCACATCGCCCATAGTCCGTCCGCCTCTGACTGGGGCACTGACAGATCTCACTGACGATCCTTCCGCCCGTGGAGTCTTGATATTCGACTTTTCGGACGCTTTGCTTTTGGATTTCGTGGGCTTCGACTGGCTGGCAGAGGAATGTACGCCTGCGGCTTTGGGTGTTCGGGCGAACCGAGTATCCCTAAGGCTGGTATCTTGCCATTGACCAGCTTGCGGCTTGTGGTCTTGATAGACCGGGCTCGAAGGCGGGCTGGGCAGGGGATTGCTGCGGGTGAGCGTAAAGGAGAGATTGAGAGGGTTGAACACTGGTGTGGGGGATTGATTGGTATAGAAGGGGGATGTCGGGCGCTCCGGCATTCTCTGCAGGGCGTCAATGTCTTCCCTAGAGTCCATTACCGAAAACCTTACTTCGTTGCCCATGACTTTACCGAGCTCATTCACCAACCTGCCGAGGCTTCTTTCGGGGTCAAATTCGCCGGTACGGCTCGTATCTCCACCGTTTTCGAACACTCCGGCACCGAGTGTCATCGCGCTCGCATGATGTCCAGCGGTTGATATCGGACTCGCACCAATAAACATTGAGGCTTCTCCGCGATATGTCGAAAGACCATCTCCGTTCATCCCGTCTCCCCGACGGACACCATTATTGTGTTGGTCATGATTGTCATAGGTGACTGCGTCATCTGCTCCTCTAGGATACTCGAGAGACTCGTCCGGATCGTCGTAAGATACGGTAGATGTAGGGATGGAGGAGAAGGAGAGGGAGTACAGGTCGTTGGCGAGTGTGGATTCGAGTTTTTGGCGGGCGAGGTCTGAGTGGGAAGGAATAATCGGGGGGGGCATAGTGGGAGGAGGGGTGAGGAGGGCGGTATCTACAAGACGCTGCGGTGTGGAACAGTGGAAGACAAAAACAACAGCTGTTGTTTACGCGTGAAACAACAAGACAGCCGCGCGGCGATCGCCGACCGAGTGGATATCCAGCCACCGTGGACAATGGACATGCATGCACAGGGGGAGGGGCGCTAGAAAGGGAACATGTGCAGTCAGGGCTGGCATGCGCAGAGGTATGCATGTCGTCGGACAGGAAAAACCATTTATGAATCATGGGCTCCTTTTACGTACAAGCATTCGGAGACGTCCACCAGTAGAGTGGCGTATCTTTTGTCATCCCTCTCAACTCTCCTCTTCTTTGCTCATCTCCTTGAAATGGAACAACAAAATGTCGACAACTCACAGCGCATACTCAACTCCCTTGAAGACCTACGAGACTCCCTGGACGACACAATGGCCCAGCTGAATGAGGCGGTTACCAGGTTGAGAAACCAGGCCAGGGAGGTAGCAGCGCAGAGGGGAGGCGGTACTGGAACGCCCGGGGTGAGAGAAGGGGCACGGGTGGATGACCAGGGATCTAGAACAGGCAATGTGAGTCCACCCTGTGCGATTTGGACCTGACTAACCTCTCCAGGTCACGATACAGCTCACAGAGCCCCCGCCTTTCGTTTTGCCGTCCCACATCCAATCCTTCATATCTCAACATTCTCTCCCTCCTCTAACTCCAGGCCCTCAGCCCTCGTCTGACCCAGAAGCGTGGGAGGTTCGAGCACAGACTGTAGAGAATAGGATACAGCGATTGTCACAGGCAGCCAGGGTGTTGCGCGATCGTGCCCAAGCCCAAGGTGAACGTCGGCAGAGAATGATCGACAGGCCTTTGAGATCAGACAGGCCACCTCAGAGCAATGACAGCTTGGCACCATGGCGACGGGCAACAGACGCGGCAGATGCACAAGTGCAGAGGCTGTTGGAACCATCCGACCATTTTCTTCGAAGAAGGGACCGAGAAACGATGGTCGACGGTATCCGAGACATGGAAGGGCTTAACAGCAATATAGGAAGTGAGCTGGAAGGCATTGCTGGACAGATTCACGGGCTTCTACTGGGCAATGCTAGTGGCGCTGGCAGCGAAACTGCCACCGGAAGATGTCAGAGGCGAGCTTCGAGGTCACATATCAGACGACACGAAAACCAGCAGCCATTGAGGTCGAGTCGCAGTCGGGGGTGTGCTCCTACGAATACTCGACAAGTTTCTAGGCAGCCGCCACCCCAAGTGATCTGTACACCTCACACTGCTGTCGCCGAACCTGCTCCTGATATCACCCCTGAGCTTACCCCCGCCTCTCAGCCTACACCTGTACCTGCCATGGGCAACACTGCAGCGTTCCTCGGCCATCCCGCCCCCGCCCAAGCTCGTCCTTCCTCTCGTACCCCACATTTCAATCTACCTTCCCTACGTGAAGCCCTTGGCCTGGAAGAGCATTCTCCATGGGCCTTTGGGAGCGAACCCGATCCAGAGGATGACGAAGGTACCGTCCGCGGCACGCCCCCTCCAGGCGGACGAGTCAGGATCGAACAGCTGGAAGAAAGTATACATCGGATCGAGAACTCAGCGGAGACGAGTGGAGGGACGTACAGGTCTTTGGTCAATGGCACTCTGCGCCCGAGTAGTCGTCCCGATGGGGCAGCCATCGAAGAGAGTGGATCAAGTCTTTCACCGCAGTCGAACGGCAGGGAGGGTGCTGGATCTGGGACCCTTCGAGGAGTTGCGGCTCGTCTGCGAGAGTCTGCCGACCGCCAAACTGCTATCTCGCGTACGCCTGGGCTCGACGCCGCGAGGGCGCAGACAGCGTCTTTGCAGCCTTTTCCCGGTGCCAACCCTCCTAACGAGAGGATGGAAGTCGCGGTGGAACTCGGGCCAGTGGTGTTCATTGGCGATGGCGACAGGGAAGGGGATTGGTCGGACGACTCGTTGGATGACCTTTTCGAGGGTTTGGATCCGACTGCAGCGTTTGGCGATATCGGTGATGTTTTGGCAGCAGGCAGCCCGGGTGGTGAAAGTGGTCACAACGGTGGAAGATCAGAGAGGACAGCGCAGCAAGAGGGCATGACTTTCCGAGGCAGGCGTGTCGCAGACCGCATTGCGGCCTCTTCTGCTCCTTCTCCAGCTCCCAGTACTCCCTTCTCTGATCCTATCGTGCGCCATTTACCGCGGTGGGACTATCCCGCAGACGACTATCCGTGGTTCCGGCCCCGGCGCCCCCGCAGCTTTCGTTCGGGAGACACTCTTTCTTCGGACGTACGACCAATTGCGAGAGAAGCTTTGGGGCCAAATTTTTTGGGTGGTCCTGTGGGAAGATGGAGACTGGCGCCTCTGCAAAATACGAGGGAAGAGGATAGTGCGACGACGGGGTTGACTGAAGGTCCTTCCCCTGTCACTCCTTCTCGTGGTACCACTCTGGGTCCTGCTAGCTCTGCGGGGACTTCTTCGGCCCCAAACAGTACCCGTCACGAAGAGATGATGGCGCGCATTCGCCACGCCCGTGAAGCTCTGCGAAATATCAGGGGACTGAGGGAAGACATGGGAACTCAGAGGAGAGGACCGCCCGTGCCCATGCCGGAAGTGATGCACCGGGAGTCGGCGGTGAGACAGGTGAGAGAAGAGGCGGTGGCACCACATGCGAGGAGTGAGGGAATTCAGCCCGTACGAGGCGAAATCACCAGCGAACCTGACGGTGAAGCTTCAGCAGAGGTTTCTACGGCTCAGCAAGGTGTGTACGACTTGATTTTGACTTGACATGGCTGACGGGTGTGCGTAGGGTCATCAAGCACCCAGGCAGGGTCGAGCAGGTCTGCCTATATGGTTTGCGACAGGGAGGATTCGGATTTTGGGATCCAACAATGGCCTACCTTTGACCGATTGTAGAACATAACGTGTAGAATATCGATTGTAAGGTATTGCCCCGCCATGGCGATCTATGTCAATCAGGACTTACATGCACCAGATAGCACATTCTAATTTATATTATAAAAAGGTAGGAGAGCTGATCTAGTCTTCAGCCTCGATCATGGAGTAAACGGGGGCATCCAATTTCTCGTGACCCTTGAGGAAGGGCAAGCCGACGATGAAGAGGTACTCGAGAGTCTCACCACCAGACTTCTTGATAAGCTCGCCGGCAGCAGCGGCGGACCCACCAGTAGCGATAAGGTCGCTTCAAAGATCATCAGTTATGCATTCACCAGCCGCTCATGATTTAAGACTCACTCGATAACGATGACCTTTTGTCCAGGCTGGATGGCACCAGCCTGCATCTCAAACTCGTCGGTTCCGTACTCCTTCTCGTACTTGACGACCTCAACCTGACCGGGGAGCTTCCCACCCTTCCTCACAGCGACGAAAGCAGCCTGGAGGCGCATGGCAATGATGGGGCCGAGGAGGAAGCCACGGGCATCAAGACCGACGATGACATCGGGCTTGGTCTTGTGGGTGGTGAAGATGTGGTGGAGGAGGTGGGTGATGAGGTTTTCAAAGGCAACGGGGTCCCTGAGGATGGGGAAGATGTCGAGGAAGGTGATGCCCTTCTTGGGGAAGTCGGGGTGAACACCGAGGAGGGATTTGAGGTGGGCGACGTCGGACATGGTAGAGATGGGGTGTAAACAAATATTTTATGGAAAACCAGAATTTTGTAGCGAGATCTGATAAGCTGCGGCAGTGAGCGGCGAGGTCCGCCCCGGTACGCGCGGTGCACCGAGCTCGTTGTGGTTCTCTCCCGTTCTTTTCCATCTTTTCCATCTTTTCCATCTTTTCATTCACCCACAATGCCCCTCAACTACTCCAAATGGGACATGCTCGAGGTAAGCCATGCACAGACCGGGCATCGCTGACAACCAGCTCTCCGACGACTCGGACGTCGAGGAACACCCCAATGTCGACAAGAAGAGTATGATCCGGTGCGTTCTTCCACGGGAAACCGAACTACGCTCATGGGCAACACAGCTGGAAACAACGCGATATCCACGAGAAGCGTGAGCAGCGAAAGCTCCAGATCGCAAAACTCAACTCTGAGCTTTCGCTCAACGGTATCCTCCGTCCCCGCATCGAAGCCATCATCACGGGCCTCTCTGCCAACGGTTTTGACCACTACCGCGCCGTGCAGCATCGTATCAAAGAGGCTCCCTCTGATGAAAAGCCTCAGACCGGTGCTCCCAACCAGCCGACGTACGATATGATGCTCGGTCAGCTGTTGGAAGATGTGTTCAAGGAGGGTACTTGGCTCCTGGACGGGGCCAAGTGGGATGGAAAGATCAAAAAGATCCTCATCAATGGCACTGCCGCCGATTTCAACACCCCTTTGCCAGAGTGGGCTACGGGTGAAATCCCTCAGGGCAAGAAAGAGGCTCTCAAGGAAGTGCTCGAGGAGAGACTCAAGTGGAACGTTGACGAGCTCGTGAGGCGTGACGCCGAGGTGAAGAAGGAGATTGAGAAAGAAGAGGCCGAGATGAGGAAGAAGATTACTTCCGATGATATCCACGAGGGTTGGGACAAGTCGACGGTCAATCCCGCCAAACAGGGCGTATGGGATGAGAAGCCCAAGCCCAAGCGGGCGCCGGCACAAAAAAAGGAAGAGACGATCGAGGTGCTCAATCCCAAGGCCAGTGTAGGTGACACCATTTCTGCGCGAACAGCCGGCTCACATCCCGCAGTCGTCTGCTCTCACCCCTCCTGCTCCTCGCGACGAAGACTCGGACGACGAAGAAGAGTTTGGCCCCCTGTCTGCGTCCGGTCGGGCTTTTGCCAACATCCCCATCGGCGCTTTCGAGAAATCTTACAATTTCATCCAAAATGACTCGTCTGTCCTCGCCGCCTCAACGCACGACTCGCTCCTTGCCGAAGCTTTCGATGCGGAGAGAAGGGGCGATAACCAGCTCGCGATGCGATGCGTGCACCAGAGTTTGTTGATTAGCTACTGTAGGCAGTTGGGCAAGGACGGAGTCGGATTGTTCTTCCAAAAGTGAGTCTATTCTCACAGGATAATCCATGCTGACGGTACGCAGAATGATTACTCGAAACCCCCAGTCCATCAAGATGTTCCAAGAAGACTTCACCCGCACTTACGGCCGCATCCATCTCCGCACCAAAGAGATCCTCGCAGAAGAAGCGAAAACCCCCTCCGCATCTGCCGAGCGCGAGACGATCCAGCTCGTAGCTACCGACCCGTCCATGGATATCACTTTCAACATCCCCGACGGGCCTCCTCCTGCCGAGCTCCAAATTGAGGGCGAGGGCGCGGAAGATCTGGATTTGGATGATGTGAGGGCGTGGTTGGAGAGAAAGTGGGAGATCTTTGAGGGCTTCCCAGAGGACTTTAGGAAGGCGCTCCAGACAGAAAATCTTGAAAAGGTCAACAAAGTGCTTGGTGACATGAGCTTGAATGAGGCAGAGGAGATTGTCGGGTTGCTGCAAGAGGGAGGCATGTTGAGTTTCAGGTGAGTGGGTGTGTCCACATTCGGACATTGACTGACTAGAAATGCAGTGAGAAGGGCGTTCGTGACATGACCACTCAGTAACTCTTGGATGTTATGCAGTGTATACATTCTGACCTATGCTCGCTTTGTCCCTGTATCCACCAACCCTTCACCCGCAAATTCATCAAAATCCAGCAGCTCTTCTTCTTCCTCATCCAGCCCCATGCCCAACATGTTCAACATTGCGGCCACTTCCGCTCCTGCCCGCTCTCGTCTCTCGTCTTCATTGTTCAGAGAAGAGAGTTCAGAGCGGACTTGCTGGAGATGAAGGAGTAAGGGTGTCGGATCGAGGGCAAGAGTTTCTGCCCGAGGTTGGGCAGATTGGAAAGAGTCAAAATCGTCTTCGAACCCCTCATCCTCGAAAAAGTCTGTGGGATGGCCGTGTTCAACTTTCTGCCAATCTTCCTCTGGCTTCAGCTCGGGCAAAGGTCCCGATAAAGAAGGTTCAAATCGCTTGTCGTCATTTTCCAGCCAATCCCCTTCCTCGGGCTTCTCTTGCTCCGCGTTCTCCTCTTGACTAGTTTGATCTCTCCTTAGCAGCTTGGGCTCAAACTCATCATCGTCCTTTCCCAACCAATCCTCCAGCCTCTCATACTCTTTGCCACCATCCCCACCGTCCGGGAACAGGTCCATATCATTCAAAGACATGTACGGCCCGTCCAGTCCCACCAGAGCTGCTGATGGGAAGCCAGAATCAGATTCGGAAGAGGAGAAAAGGTGGGCATAGCGGTCAAGAGCATCGATAGATCCAAACTCTGCCGAAGCAAGTTGGGCTCGCAATTCGGAGAGGTCAGGGAAGACTGTCTCTTCTCTTTTCTCGTGATCGCCTGCCTTGTCTTCGTGTGAATTGTGTCGTGGCAGTGGGGAAGCGTTCTCGTCGAAAGTCACATCGAAAGCCGCATGGTCCAACGACCCCTGACCTTCTCCGCTTCCAATAGACGATGTAGGAGAACCAGGTAGTTGAGAAGAGGCGTGTAGAGGTTTGCGTGCCATGCCTGGCCACATGTGTGTCTGTAATGTTTGACGGATGATATACAAAGGCGGCATAGCTGGAAAGATCAATACAGAATCCAAATGTGTCTGCCGAAAGAACCTACGTCGTTCGTCATCCTCGTCCGTGAGAGGGTGCACTTCGTCGATGAATTCCATGCCTAGCTCGTCAAAGAGCTCCTCCACCCGTGCTTCTTCCGCTCCATCATCCTCGTGGCTCTTGTTGGGGTCCTTGGAATCTCCTTTTTGGTTCACAGCAGCTTCTGATGAGGCGTCGGGCAGTATGCAAACGGCCAAAGCGATATCACGCGGAGTAGCCATGAGCCTCACCAGCTGCGGCGGCAGTGACGCTGGCACCTATACCTTTCATCAGCATCAATACCTCTGTATTCTAGTCAATTGCTCACCTGGTCAAATATATATACCACGACATCAGCCCCCTCCCACTGCTTCATCCCTGCCGCACCATCTCCTTCTTCGGAAGAGCCCAAGAGTTCCTTGTCGATAGGGAATGCCCGGAACTCCACTTGGGCAGTATAATAACGATTGTTGATCTCCCAATTAACTGACTCGATGCTGGTATCTACTGAAGAGAGATCACGCTCCGTGAGACCTGTTGCCGGTCGAAGGTCAGTCAGTTATCCGCGCGAAAAGGAGAGAGGCGGCACCCACGAGAGAGGAAATGCGTGGGGTCCAACGACGGGGGGTGGAGAAGAAGGATTGTGTTGCTGGTATCGCTGGACATGGTGGCTATGCAATGCTACGAAATTGAATTGAATCAGACTGAGAGATCTATAGTGATGTCCAGAGATTGCGTCCGGACACGGTCGCGTCACAACAAATCCCCGCTCTTCACCTCTTCCATTTCACTTTCATTCCATCCACGGCATAGATATCACTGGAACATCAGACATGCCCTCAACATCATCCTCTATCCCCCCTGACCCTTCATCAACGCACCTCCCGCCCTCGTCTGTCCCGCCATACCTGCGCCATCTGATCGTCCAGATACTGTTGAGAAAGGGGTTTGACGGAGCTGAAGCCGGCGCCCTGGGAGAAATCGAACGATTGCTTGAAAGGCGTGCGTCACACCTCTCTAGACTCGAATCTATAGCTGATGTGGACCTAGACGTGGAGACATTACTAGAGACGGCGAGGGATTATGCGAATCTCTCTGGTCGGAGAGAGGTACATGCTGGAGATGTTGTCACGGCGCAAGAGTCAAGAGGGTGGGGTGTCAAGGGTCTCAAGAAAGAGACTAAACGGCGTCGAACCGGTGCGTACTTTCATAGTTGTCAGAGATCATGTGCTCACTAGATTCTAGCGCTAGGGATAAAGACCACCCCCTCCCCTCCACCGTCTCCTTCATCTTTGGATCCCATTCTTTCAGATATACTGCGGCAAGAGATATTGGATGAACAAGACCTCAAGCCGCATCTGTCTGGGGACGGGGAAAGCACAGAGGATGGCGAGAGGAGACTGGATTATGCTCCTGGTTGGATACCATCTTTACCGCATACATGGACCTTTGAACCGCTGGTAGGCCCTCTATCCCCCGATTTCCTCCATGCAAATGCTGATGGTCCTTGAAAGGAAACGGAAGAGGAGCAACAAGCCAAAAAGCCCGCTGCAAACCCACCAGAAGTCACCGGCTCTCTTCTTGACTTCATCAAACTCACAGCCGCCGAGCGTGGCGATATCCCACCAGAGCTTGGTCTGGTAGATTACAGAAGAGAACGCGAAGGGGCTGGTGGGAAGAGGGGCGCTGGACTCGAGAAGAGAAAATGGGGCTTGAAGGGTGCTGGGGGGTAGAATGTTTACAATTCAATGAATGGATGTATGTTGTACAGTACGAGTACTCTATGATTATACATCGTGCTCTCTTGTTCCTATGGCTTTCCCAGAGTTGAAGGCGGTCATTGCTCTCTGGGTCAAGCATGCTAATCACTATCATCACTTCCCGCAAACTCATCCTCCACGATTTTTCTCCTCTTCTGAGTCGGCTGGAGTCTGTTGGCATTCTTGGGCGCTTTGGGCTTGACCGGAGATTGTTGAGACGCTGAAGGCTCGTCAGTTTTCTGCCCAGAATATCCGGAATATGGAGGAGCAAGACGTACATTTCCCCGGACCACCCTGGCTCGCCTTTGCTTGTTGCGAGCTGAACGCATTGATCTGGGCTTGCGCCTGCGCCAGTTGCTCCTGCATTTCCTGCAAGGAGACTGTCAGCCTCACCGCGTCATAGCGAGTTGGGAAAGATGCGCACTCGAATTTGTGGATCGATGTCGGGCGCAGGGCGAGCGGGTTCCGGCGTCTTGGGTTTCGGCGGAGGAGCTGTAACATTATGGTTAGCGGTCAGCCCACTCGATCTTGTGGGAGCTGTAAGACTGACTCTTGTCTCTGGTATTCCGCTCGTCTGTAGACGGGTTTTGCAGATTTGCACCACCACCAGTCCACCCCTCAGACTCTGGGTCTAGCAGCTGCGCCCATAACTATCAGCCAGTGTCCTGCTCGTTATACTACCAGAACCTCACCTTGTATATCACTCTCATCAGATCCGGAATGTATTTGCCAGTTTCGTCTTCTTCCAGACATGACAGCCATTTCTTGGGTTCTATCATTTGCAGCTATCACGCCCGATCAGCTCTCAATCATACACCCCGATTAACGGAAACGCTCACGTAGAGCTCCTCCATTGCGTTGGGATCATCGATGGCTTTCAGCTTGACAGACATCATCCCGCTCTGGATCGATTTCACCAGCTGGGCTTCGTTCATTGTCGTCTGCAAGACTCACTGTCAGCTCGCCTTCCTTGTCCCATATCTAGGAGTACGACCTACATCTGATATTCTCTGATCGACCTTCCACACTTTCACTCCTCTCCCGTCATTGGGTATCCAAAAGAGACACATCCGCCACTCGTCAGGATCATCCCTATTTGGCAGGGAAGAGGTGAGGAGGAACTTGGTCGTGGGGACTAGTTGATGAGCGTGAATGATTTGGGAGATGTTATGGAGAGACATTATAGCCCCTTTTTATTCTTCCTTCTGAGGTGCTGTTGTTGGAAAAGAGGATTGGACTGACTGGACTGCCTCCACCACGCGTCAAACCGTTGAAGCTAAGGAGGGATTGATGGTAATGATCTTGTTACGTCAGCAGTTTTATCTCCTCGCCTCGCCGTTCCGATAATCCGACCTTGAGTCGTTGTTGTCACACAATTGCCCCATCTAAAGCCCTGCCACTCGTCTCCTGTTCGCCACCGGGATCATAAAAAGACTCATAATCCATATCTTTTGAAAATGTCCCAAACGACCACACCAGACGAAGCGACCCTGAACGCCATCCGCCAGAGACTCATGGAGACTGGCGATTGGGAGCGGTACGTTCAACTCTCTACTGGTCCCTACAATGGATAGGGGAAGAGGATAACGAGGCTGATTATGATGGATGTAGGATACAAAAGCTCCTCCGAGCGCACTTGGAAGAGAGTGGATGGGTGGATGATCTCAAGGATCTTGCCAAAGGTAACGTCCCTCTCCATTCACCCTCGAGGAATCTTGCTTACACTTATGGAAAGAACGCGCGAGGGCTCAAGAGACGCCAAACCTTGAAGCGCTCGTCAAAGAGATTAGCGAGAATGCTGCCGGTAAGTCGCTTCTGGCGTCGGAAAGGTGCGCTGACGATGAGGTGGGTTTAGGTATGGTCAACGAATCTGTGAGGAGGGATGTGACGGTGGAGATTGAGAGTGTGTTGGATCGTGAAGTAGATCAGGCTTAGATGTGCTGTTGGGGGTTTGGCGAGGGGCTTGTGTATAAAGACTTCCCGGGCAGGACTGGGAATTTGTCATGTTGTAATGAATATAGCTGTCATGATATGTTCGCTCGTGTGCATCACGGCGTGAAACAATGGTACCATAAAGAAAATTCATGTCGAACCGATATCAAATGGAGCCCTCTATCGCTACATGTCCCTTCAAAGCAGATTAGACGGCGTTGGCCTTGGCGACGCTCTGCCTGTTCGCCTCGGCCTTTGCTCTCGCCTCCCTCTCGATAATAGGTATGAGCTCGGCCGAAGGGGTGCTGGTACCAGACGAGCCAAGACGGGTGACGGAGCCGTCGTTGGATCGAACACTGACTGATCCGTCCTACTCGCCCTGTCAGCGATTATCTATGAAAAGAGAAAAGACGCACTTCGTTACCAAAGTAGGCAGCTCGGGCCATACCACAGAAAAGACCGACTTCGACGACACCAGTCAACATTTTAATCCTGTGCAAGAGCTACCCCAATGTCAGTGTTTTCCCATACACTCTATGGGCACACGCACGCTTTCAGGCTCGGACATTTCCTCTGACGAGAAGGGGGCATCGATGATAAAGTTGCCATTGTCACTGACGACCGGTCCGGCCTTCATCTTGCCCATCCTGAGCGTCAAGCCGGGCTCGCCGTTTGCCAGCACATGGGGCGAGCCCATGTTGGCCAAATTCGTAAGGACCTTGGCGTAGGCAAAAGGGACGACTTCTATAGGGATACCCTTGGTCCACTCGGTTCCGAGGGTTTCCGAGTTTTTACGGTAGTCGGCGACAATGACCCAGGTGTCGGCGGCTTCGGCGAGCACTTTTTCACGGAGCTGGCAAGCACCTCCACCCTTGATAGAGTTGAGCTCGTTGTCGACCCTGGTCTGGTGTCAGCTCTGTTTTAAATTTTGCACAGCACGTACTCGTCGGCACCGTCAATGGTCACATCGATCCTGGCGTACTGGTCAACATCACCAAGGGTCAAGCCAGCCTTGACAATGAGCTCTTTGGACTGGAAGCCAGTGGGCAAAAAGACACGGTCCTTGTTGACCTCAAAGCCCTGGGCGAGGATGCGGTCGACGACGTAGGGAACTGTAGAGCCTGATCCGACACCGATGACCTGTTTCTCGTCAGCGCGTGATTGCGTGGTCAGGGACGACTCGCCTTGTGCTCTGGAAGGACATGGCGATCGACGGCAGCATAGGCTGCGAGACGCTTGGCGGCCTCGACAGCAGGCAGAATGGGGAGGGGGTTGGAGGTGGGCAGTTGCTTGCCGTCAGTGACGGGCTGGGCGGGGGGGATGAACTGGACACACCATGAGCTGCTGTCAGTGGGAAAAGAGAGGGCGTACCGAGTTGGCGGCGACGTGTCCGATAGGAGGGTTGGGGATGCGCTCTATCTTTTCGCGCAGGAGGTCAGCAGGGAGGGGCATGGTGGCGAGGGGGCGGCGGAGGGGGGCGATGCGGGCGAGGGGGCGAAGGAAAGACAGTGTGCGTGGTTGGCAGATGACGTTGGAAAAAGACGACCGAAAGACCGGGACCAGCCACGGGAGCATTTGCGCGGCTGATTTATTTCACAGTGCTGGGGCGTGCATGCATTGTCGTTGGGGCAGAGCAGAGAGCGGCCCAGGCTGGCTGGGGTGGACAGTGATACGGCTGGTGCATGGCGAGCAACAACACCAGCGACACAAGTACGGAAGAACGAGGGCCTGGGCCGTGGCGCATCCGACGGGATATATCGCTGCACGCACAACAGTTGTACTGCATGGCTCGAGCAGCTGTATGCATGCAGAGGACACACTGGACGGGAGGGGAGGGAGGGAGGCGGTGGGGCGGTGCGAGAAAGGGTGTGTACAGAATATAGCTCAGGTGCGCAGGCCCATGTTGAGAAACTCTCTCTTTCATCTCTTCTACAAAACAGGCATGCCCTCATGCGTCCCTCCTCCCGCCCACGCCACACCAAGTCCGCCTCCATCACCCTCCCCCTCCCCGCCGCCCCCATGGCCCCCTCACCCCACTCTTCTCTCCGTTCGTCCCTCCGCCCTCGCCCCTCCTCGCCCTCCCGCCTCCCATCCACCGACTCGCTATCCTACTTTCCGCCCTTTGAAGCCATGGGCAGCGTCTGCTCGGACCAGGCTGCAGGCGCTGACGGCGAGGGCTCGTCCACTGGCACCTCGCACCGTGAGAAAAAGCGCGAGGCCTGGCAAGGACACGCCCGTGGTGAGGCCCAGGGAAGCAGCTTGGGCAGTATCAAAGACATGGTCAGCGCTGGCATATCCTGGAGTCTCTCTGGCTTTGCCTGTACCGCACCGCCCACACCCGCAGACATTGCCGTGACAGAAGAGAAACGCCCTCGACACACGCACTCGTCTTCGACCTCTAAAATCCCATCCAAACCCCAGCCCGTCGCGCCCCGTCTCCCACACGCCAACTCGTGCGCTGCTGTCGAAGCCCTGGCCCGCCGCATCAATCCCGCCAAGCGCCGTGTCCTAGAGCCCCTCACATTGGATGAGAGTGAGCATCACCTGTCTGTCAGTACGCGGTCGCTAGGGGGCTGGGCGGGGCCTCGCGGTGAAGAAAGTGTACGGGATATCCATAAAAGGCGGATGAAGGGTGAGGTAGAGGCTGTAGGTCTCGCGAGGAGTGAGAGTCAAGGAGATGTTGCTTTTGCTCGCAAGCCTAGTGTGAGTACCTCTCTTCTTGCTCTCGGTGCAATGCTGACTATTGCAGACTCTGTGTCGATCCAAGTCGCTACACAATCCCACGACTAGACGTCCTCCGCGACTTCGCCTGCAAAACCAGCCAAAAGTTTCCATTCCCGTCCAATCCCAGCAACCTACACTACAAGTACCTCTGCCCACGCCCTACCACTGGCGATTCCCTCTCCCGTCCCCGCCAGTCACGTCCCTCTCCCCAGACATTCCTCACGAGGCATTCGAGATGGCTGTCGACAATCCTTGCTCGCCTCGCTCGCCCAGAGGCCCCAGGTCGAGCTTGCCCGCCTTTAGCGTGAGCGCAAGAGGCGAGCTAGAGCAGGTCGAATACGACCTCTCGCCAAGCGTCTCTCCCACCATCACATCATCATCTCAGCCTTCCACCCCACCTCCTCCCAAGCGTGATCTCGGGTACGCCCTCATCACGCACTCGTCCACCCGACCCGACCCGTGGTCCCACCTCGCCCTCGGCGGCGGGCCAGTCATCACAGGCGGAGCAGGCAAGGTGAGGCGGATGAGGAGCAAGAGTTCTGGCTGGAGTGAAAAGTCGGGGGATACGATCAGGCCTGGGGTCGTCAAGATCCGAGGACGTGCGGTCGGGCTCTGGGCGGAGGACGACGAAGGGGATGGGGAGGCTACGCCAAAGGGCAAGGTGCATTGAGCATGCCCCTTACGATCCATTTTTCACGAACGCGTCATGACGGACACTTTCCACCTTTTTCCTCTTCATCACGAGGGCCACCAGTCGCTCTTTCGCCGGCATATATGTGCATAGTCTTGTTCTTCCTTGTCAATATGGAGAACCCACCAAACCCAAAAAAGCATTTCAATTTGTACAGAATAGTCGAATTGTCATTCCATATCATCACTATCTTACACTCCACGCTGTCTAATAGTCATACCCTTGTAGTCTATCGCTGAGAATTGGGTGGAGAGGAGGAGTCTACATAGGCATAAGCATATCACATTACCTCATGGACGGTAGCATTGCTGCAGCATTGAACCGTTGAATGAGACGGGGCCTCGGCGTTATTATGATGTGGCGGTGATTTTTGAAGATGACCATCTCCTCATACACCTGGAGCTGTTTACACAAAAAGTGCTCTCTGCATACAACTCAAAATGTAAGCACCCACCGCAGGTGTACACCCAAGCTGACAGCCCCAGGTCTATCCTTGGTATCAACTTTGGTCAATCATACGCCTCCATTGCCGTCATCGACAAGGAGGGCCACCCCACATGTATCGCCAACGAGGAGGGTGAGAGGCAGATCGCCTGTGCCATCTCCTACGCCGGCGAGCAGGTCGTGCGTACAGCCACATAGTATATACACAGCCAACTAACACAAAGCAGTACATCGGTAACGGGGCCAAGCCTCACCTCGTCAAGAATGGCAAGAACACCATCATGGGCTTCCGAAACCTCCTCGGCCACTCTTACGACGAAGTCGACCACACCGCCATCCTCACTGCTCCCCTGATCTCCACCTCCACCACCCCTGCCTACACTGTCGACGTCCTTATCCCTCCCCCCGCCAAGGGCAACAAGTCTGGCGCTACTTCTGGTGCTGCCACCCCTGCCGCCGAGCCCGTCGCTTCCCAAAAGACCCTCTCCGTCCCCGAGGTCACCACCTTGTTCCTCTCTACCCTCTTCACCTCTGCGACCGATTTCCTCGGTACCAAGCCCACCGCCGCCGTCATTTCTGCGCCCTCATGGTTTACCGCCGAGCAGAAGGACGCTCTGAGAAAAGCTGCCAAGGCTGCTGGCATCAACGTGCTCCAGGTCTTGGACGAGGCCGCCGCCGTCCTTGTCGGCTACAGGACTGGTCTGAGTGAGGAGAGGAAGGAGAGGGGTCTTTTGGGTAACCCCGAGGAGGGCAACGCCGGTGAGGAGGAGGCTAGGGACAAGCGAGTCGTCGTGCTCGACATGGGAGAGACTTCTTTGAACGTCACTGTCGCCCAGGTGTCTGAGGGAGAGTACACCGTCTTGGCCAAGGGCCAGGACGACAAGGTCGGTGGTAGGGAATTCGACAACTTGGTAAGTCTCGCTCCTAGCCAATACATGTCCCAGGCTGACCCCTATCTAGCTCTTGAAGCACTTTGCCAAAGAGTTTACCAAGAAGACCAAGATCGCCCTCGACCTCCCCTGTGGCGAGTCTGCCCCTGACGCCGACAAGCGAGCCGAGGCCAAGCTCCGTCTTGCTGTCGAGCACACTAAGCGATCATTGTCTGCTTCCAGCGGTGCCGCCACCTGTGCCGTCGAGTCCCTCAAGGACGGTTACGACATCTCTTCTTCCATCAACCGACTCCGATTCGACGGTCTCGCTGCCCCCGTGTACCGAAAGATTAGCGCTGTCGTCTCCAACATTGTCAAGGAGGCCGACCTTGACCTTGCTCAGATTGATGAGGTCCTCCTGGCCGGTGCTTCCACCCTCTTCCCCGGATTACAATCCAACCTTTCCTACTCTTTCCCTGCCACCACCCCCGTCACCGCTACTATCGACCCTGCCGAGGTGATTGCTGTCGGCTGTGCCCTCGAGGCTTTGCACCTTTCCACCCTTTCAGACGGTCTCAAGATTGAGGACGTGCTCGCTACCGCCGCTGAGGGCAAGGTCGACACCACTTCTGCCCCTATCGGTATCGTTCTTCCCGGACAAGAAGCCAACACCCTCGCTGCCGTCGTCGTCGAGTCTGGTGCCCCTCTTCCCGTCAGGAGACGAGTCGCCATCCCTGCCCCCGCCGGCAAGGTCGCCCTTGAGCTCTGGGAAGGTAAGCACGAGGTCAACGTCGACCTCATCCAGCCTCCTCCCCGAGAGAAGGACGAGGACGACGAGGATGATGAGGATGACGAAGAAGATGAGCCCGAGGAGGTCAAGACTGCCATCACTGTCAAGACCAAGGCTCTTGGTGCTGTCGAGGTTGAGCTGAAAAAGGAAAACAACCTTGTGCTCGAAGTTATCGTCCAGCGAGGTGGTGGCCTCGAGGTCAGGGCTTGGGAAGAGGGGCGTGAGGAGGAGGCCGACAAGTTTGAGGCTTAGATGTGTTTAGAGTGATATATTGTATACATGCATCTGCATACGACGCCCTGATCTGGATCATGGATTCGTGCATCATTTCATGGCCCCTAACATGGCTCATTATCTGAGTTTCTTGTCTTCAAAGTAGACCTTTTCAAGCAATCAGCAAACGACTCTGAACCGAGACTGGAGACTTACCTTGAGATGTCTCATTTGCCATCCAGCAGCCGCAATCAGCACCACGATCTGCAAGAGACTCCACCAGACAGCCCTCGTGTTGGTTGATTCACTCGCATCTCTAAAGTCTGCCTCCACTTCTCGCAGGTAGCGTTGTTCACGCTGAATGTCGGCGACCTTGACGTTGAGCTCGCGAATCTTGGAGGAGAGGGTGGTAACGTGGGATTTGTCGTCGCTGTAGATTTGGTCATTCAATATAGCTAGACAGTAGGTATAACCCACGATTGGTCGATCTTGGCAGAGCCGACGTTGAGATCAAGGTACATCTTGATGTGTTGGTTGGAGAGCCATCCACCAGTGATGTTGGAGTGTAAGCAGATGTTGTGGTCTCCTGCGGGACACGGATATGTCAGCACGATATACGCCCTATCCGACTCGGGATACGCACCAGGCTCGTGGGAGGTAAAAGTAAATCGTCCGTCAGGAGGACCGCGGGTGTTGACCACATTGTGGCCAGACGACAATTCCTGTATCAGACAGTCAGTCGCCATTTCCCTATTTGCAGAGTACGCGACACGCACGTCGACAGTCACATGGATGCCCATAGCCTCTTCCGGCTTCCACTGGTTCTGCTGCTCATCCCATAAAAACGCCTTGTAGTGGCCTATAGTAGATCAGTGCCCTTCCTTGCCAGTGAGATGTTTGCAAGGGAGAACGGCGTACCTTCTACAATTGTTTCACTCGGTAATTCTTCCAAGAAACACCGCTTTTCATCAGATTCAAAGTAGAAATGCAGGGCCTATAGGGGATTGTCAGCTTTCACATTTCCTCCTCGACAGGCCGCTATCTTTTACAACTCCTTTACAAGTATCGCGGCCCAGGGCAGACTTACATTGACGGCGGAGAGGAGAGGAAGCGCGAGGAACACCTGGGCGAGCTTCATATTGACTCTGGTGCTGCGTGGTTTGGGGGATGGAGTGGAGCGGGCACGATGCTAGCTTCTGGCGAGAGCTCTTTCGCCGAGGGGGTCAGGAAGAGGCGTACAGTACTAGAAAAGAAAAAACGGACTGCATTCGTCGTGTCTGCAAGCGTTGTCTCCCAGAAGCGTATCGATGACGTGGAACTCGCCGCATGTTGGTTGAAGACTCTGAAACAGTTGCTGAAGAGTCGCAGCGAGGGCTGACGCAAACAGTGCATAGTCCATGTTCATAGAAAGGATACCATCCTCAACTAAGCCACCCATGAGAGGCCCGATCTCGATTATCAACCTATAGAATGAACAACCCACTAAAAAGAAGCCCTGTTATTGTCCGTTTGTCAAGTACTAATCTAGTCACTCGCGCCTATCCCCATCCTGGTTGAGCAAAGGCGAATCAACATCGCCTCCATCTCCTGACACCCTCCTATTCTCCCTTCTATGGATCATCCTTGCATCCAGATCCCTTTCCCTACCCACGGGATCAACGATGGCCACAAGCCCATGATGCACCCCCAAGTCCTCCGCCTCATTCTCTGCGACCCCCGCCTCGTCGTATGGCAGCCAGATGAGTGGTACCGGCTGGAGCATCTCAGGAGGGTATACAAGGCCCTTTGTCTCGGTTGTCTCTTGATACAGCCCTGAGGAAACAATGGTCCCTGGCCCGAGGTCTGGGGTGGAGTAGGCGGCAAGCTCGGTTTGAAACATGTCATCGACCTTGTCCGTCTTGAGGGGAACAGGACAATCTGGAGGCAGTCTGGTATATCCCGGAAGTAACGCGGCTACTCGCCGGAAAAGAGAAAGCTCAGACTGCCTAGATGGTACCCTAGTCAGATGAGAGTCTGTCGTTGAACCTCGCTGGAAGGCTTTCACTCTGTCGAGTGCTTGCCGTGTATCGGGCTTGAGATTGTTATAGCTGGGTGAGGGTACCCGGCAGGATGTAAGGGTTTCAGCCAATAAGAAGGCGATTACCCCAACAGCTAGAGAGACTGCCGCGAGGGCCCACTCATTCCTCGACAGCATGATCAGACCATAGAGAACGGGCCCAAGTGCCAATACCCATCCGAGCCTTCTGACTGTCCAGAGCCCCGCAAGTGTCCCCAAATGGCCACCAGAAGAGTCAATAAACACGTGCGATACCATGTATCTGTTCGCGATGAATGACAGGTAGAGAGTCAAGAGTATCGGGATGGCCAGTAAGGGGAAGAGGAAAAGAAGGGTGGAGGCGTAAAAGACGGCTAGGAGACAGGGAGCCATGGCGTATGAGAGGACATAAGACGGAGGTTGTCTGACTGAGAATCCGTCATTGATATATCTACCTAGGGGTGATGAAGACTTACGCCTGAACAGTTTCCTGGGAGTGACGGATTTTCCCTTACGTAGACGATAGCTGAGTAATCGCTTTCCTTGCAACAGATACAGCCCGGGAGCGATGAAAGCGATATTCAACAGGAGCACAAAGATGAACCAAGCTGCTCCACATGTCAGTCAATGACACCCCGGGGTATGATTCACGCTGCACTCACAGGACCATGAAGCACCATCCCCGACCCCTCGAGCTTTCTGTACTCCCAGGACAAAGTTCTGGGTTGCATATTCCAGAGCAATCGTCAGGATCACCCAGATTAGCATCACCCAGAGCTGCAAGGCTGTCAATGAAATGGACTCTACAGCTGAAAAGGACTTGCTAGTAGCCAGAACGTCGCTTTGTAGGCCAGAAGCTTCCGTCTCGAGTGTGTCACGCTGTGCACGCGCTCTGTAAGTTCTGTTCCATGTCAGCGCCGCAACCGCCAACAAAGCTGATGAGGCTTACTCTCAACAAACCATATAGATGTACCCATAGCCAGCGAAAGAATGATAACAGGCACAAAACCTTCTACAAAGCCCGATCCAAAGTCATCACTCCTGGCGAGAGGTTTGAATAGCCCTAGATAGTAAGAGAAGCCAGGAGCTGTGCCCACAGCGAGGCCCAGACATGGAACACCTAGGATTTGTTAGCCATTCATTGCCTAGACAGTTGTACAGTGCTCACATATGGCCATCAACAGAAACCCCAGTAGACACACTTCTGCCCAGAACGTCATCTCACTTTTCCTCCCCGTTTGACCCAGTTGATCCCACAAGATATCTTCTCTGCTCCGACCTTCAATCGCGTGCGCTCCATGAAGCCATTTTACTCCTCTCCCGACTACGATCCACCCAAGAATAGCGCTCGAGACTTGACCTTCTTGCCCCTTTGTGCTCTGTGAAATATCTGCAAACTTGCCAGCTTGCAACCTTTGGACCTCGGTGTTGAGCTCTTTGAATTTGGATCGGAGTTCGCGCACTTCCATATACGTCTTGGCAATCGTTGAAGGTGCACCCGAATGTCTGTGCGAGGATGCCTGGGGACCAGAGGATCCCGGGCGTGGAACAAATTCCTCATGTGATCTCGGCTGTGGCCCGAGCAACGCAGGATCAGAATACGAGTTTGAGATGTCGGCATCGTTTGGACTGATTGCACCAATGTCGGCAGGTGTGGTCATGGGCGCAAAGTGCCCCGATGCGGACCTTGTAGGTATCCTCCCAAAATCTCCACTTTCCGCAGAGCCGAGCATATCGTCGCTCTCGCCGAGTCCCGGCCCAGCACTTTCAGACGACGTTGGAGGTGATGGGTCAGGGACGTAGTTGCCGTGCTCGTCGACCTTGATGCGTTGACCGACTTGGAAGCGACCGCCCATGAGGATGGAATCACGGTTGAGCTCGTGAAATTTGGTACCTGTCGGAGCTGTAGTCACAGTGGTAGGGAGGTCAAATTCAAGACGTTCGCCGGAGGGAGGATTGTCGACAGAGCCGATTTTGTAAGAGTCTGAAGCCTGTGGTCAGCGACTACACCTCAACACGAGAGCGAAGCAAACCTTTCGGCCCCAGAAAGTCTGCTCCCTTACTAGACGGTGACATCTGGTCGGCCACACGAGTACTCTGGCTATGGATACTTTTTGGTGACCATACGGGTTCCAGTCCACGTCCTCCAGAAGTCGACGACGGAGCTGAGAGTTTAAAGGAATGGATGTACCTTGTCTCGAGTTGCTCAAGTTCGAGGAGCACTTGTTCTCTATTAGCGACAACTTTCTTGAGCTCTGTCGTATCGCTGAACTGGTGTCAGCGGTGTAGGAAGAGAGCAAACGATACGCACGGGATTGCAAACAGTCCGAAAACTTCGACTTCAGACTCCTGATCTCTATTGTCTCGGAAAGAGATCTTCCACCATTCCTTGAACCACCTCCTGAGCCCCTCCTCGGATAGTCCTGCCCAGCCATGGGCTCGCTGAACATCTATCCAGACCATATCCACCCCATGGCATGTTTCGTCTTCAAACACTCTTTTGGCTCGCATCAACGCAGCGTAAGCTCGCGTCACCACAAACAGTCCTCCACCGACAGACAAGACGGTCAAAAGGACGAGGATGACGATCAGTCGCGTTCGTGCCGAGCTGATAGCTGGGGCTATGGTCGAAGGTAGATTTCGTTTCTTGCCTATAGAGACCAGCATGGCCAGAAAGGTGTCTGCGGCGGGAGAATCTGGACTTGGGTCGAGAGCGTTCAAAAGCCTTACTAGCGACATGTCAGTCAGCGCACCTAATCGACCTCCTAGGGAGTTGGGGGGCGAAGTGTCTCTCAAGCACGGCACGCCGGCCATAATGATCGGGAGAATCACCGCAAGCGCCACGACTGACGCGATGGCTGAAAGTTTCAGCCCTGCCAGCAAAACCTGTAGGGCATTGTCACCTTCGGATGGCGACGCGCCTGCTTTGTCGATGGAAGGAAGGTGAAGGAATGGTAGGAGAAAGGCAAAGAATGACCACGTTGCAGAGGGTCGCAAACTAGAGCGGTCATTCAACAACGTAACACTGGCTGGAAGTTCGGTACTTACTCTGGACGTGAGTACCACGATTTTGGTGAGAAGATTGTGGGAACACGACTCCGCAGAAAGATCCACGCCAACCACAACAGCCCTCCCACGATTACCCCAGACCCCAAACCTGCCACAGCACCCCATCCTTGCCAATCCCACTCTCCTGCACACGTGTTGAGCGTCCCCGCCACTTGTTCTGATGGCTCCACAGAGGGTATGGTAGCGGTAGACACTGTCGTGGCAGAAGTGGCCACAGCTGTGGGAGTACTCGAATCCATGGAAGATGAGTCGCTGGATCCCGTTTCGACTGATAAAGTCGAAGTAATCACCGACCGGTACGTCGTCGTCTCCACCTCTCCGTCCGAGGTGAATGTTGACCGTATACTGGTGGTCACTCGTGTCGTCTGTGGTTCTTCCGTCTGGCTCCCACTAGCCGATACTGCGCTACTGCCAGTGATACCTTCCGTGCTCAGTGAGCTCAGCACCCTTGAACATTCCCCTACCGACCCGTAGACACTCTCCGGAGGCTGCACGGGCCCTGTAGAGGCTGCACTATCGTAGGAGGCGCGATCAGAGGTGAAAAACGGCTCCGTATACCATTGCTCCTCCCACGAAAGGGTATGACCGCCACAGAGATAGTAGTGGCGCCTGTTGTGGGCGTGGAAGCTGGGCGAGGGAGGACGGGTCGCCGTCGTGGCTGCCATGGTCCGTGAGAGGTGGAGTGGGAAGAAGTCTATGGCTGTGGTTTTTTTACGAGGGACGCATTAGCCGGACGCACTAGTAGGCTGTGGGTTGTCAAGAGGACCGGGATAGCTCACGTACCTAGTAAATGGAGTGGGCCGAGGGTGGCGTCGTGGCCAGCACCTGGCGACTGGAATGATAGATACAGGGGGGGAGAGGAGATACATGGGAGAAATTAATGACAGATAAAACTCCTCTCAAGAGGAAACATCGCAACACGCGCACAGACCATGCCATCGCGCACAGGCCACGCGCCGTACATCTATCCCATTCCATCGTCAATCCTGTACAGAGCACCGGTACCCCAGCCTGGATACCATCTAGACCAGGCCCCATCGTTGGAATCAGAAGGCTGTCGCGGTGAGAAAAGATACCGGGTTTTCAGAGTCTGATCAGAGTAAGGCACCCTGGAACAGATGTGAGATGTGGCATCAGCGAGGCGGATGAGACCCTCAATGGGATAGCCTCGATAGTTGTGAAGCGGTTCGGCGTCAATGTGCCAGTACAAGCAAACGCAGAATCTGAGCCAGGGAAGGGATCGCTTGGACGCTTTTACTCGTTCTGAGCCGCGCCCATGATATACAGGGGTTCTTCTCACACTCGAGGGAAGACTTACTTCTCAGCCTTGAGACTCATATTGATGCATAACGCAAGACCATAACCTCGAGATAAATTGTTCTACAAGTACAATCTGCGAGAAGTATTAGCGGTATAGAGGCGGAGTACACGAAAACAACGTACGAAGGGTTGAACACCACAGTGTTGGGTCTCTCCAAAAGATCCATACTCTCCCCAAACTTCTTCTCCAGCTCGGTGTTACCGATGGCGTGGGCGGCCGCGCCCATCTGACGGATGAGCTCCTGTAGACGCCTGAAACATCTGATGATAGAGCCTTCAAAGATATCGGTCATCTAAACCCGCGTCAGCTCGCTCTGGATCGCAGAAAGTAGATGGAAAGAGCGTACAGCACAGATCTCGGAAAACTTGGCTCCCTTACACCATTGCAGGACTACATCCATCATCTCCACCTTAAAGCTTTGCACATACTCGTCCTCCACCAGCGCAATACCAGACTCGGTCGATACCTTGGCTATTCTCTTGGCCGTCTCCTGAAGAGTTCTGAGGGGCGTGGCAAGCTCTTCCTTTAATCGCACCTTCGCTTCCGACTTCTCTTGGAAAACGAAGCAACTCAGCAACGCCGCGCATTGTTCTGGAGTCAATGTGCCGAAGGTGCCGCCAAACATCATCTCGGTCAACATCAACTCATCTCCCGTGGAGATCTCACACGCTACACGACCCTTCATCTCAACCACATCATCCGCCGTAGTGAAGCCCAGTCGTCTCAGTACACGCTTGCGCGACTTGAGCTCTTCAAGCTGGAGAATGTCATGCACCGAGTTGATACGGCGCTTGAGCGATTTGACAGTGTTGATGGATTGTTGTTTTCTGTCGTAGAGGTCGTAGAGACGGGGAAGTTCAGAAGAGGTCGTGACGGGGAGTGATTGAAGCTTGTTCTCAAGGATGGAGATCTTCTTGACCAAGTCTTTGAAAGACTTGTCTTCAATACCCATACTCTTGATGGGATCCAACAGAGGAGGTCCATCGGGCATTCGCTTCTTGATCTCGCCGACAGCTCGGAACGCGGCGTTCTTGTCTTGCTGAGAGCGCAAGTCTTTGGGAAGATTGATCCTGTACTGACTTATCGCTTGAAGGGTCGACAACGAGCAGGCGATGATGGCCACATCGCCCTTGTCTCCCTCAGCAGGGGGCGAGAGCTCTGACGCAGACCGGTCCTTGGGGACAGACGAGCCAGAAGCAATCCTCGTCAGAACGTCGACCACATACTGCTTCTGTGGGGGGTCCTGATCCGTCCAGATGGGTGGTCGACCCCTGGGGTTGACTACCTTGTTGAAAGCGATCACGACGCCCCAGCCAAAGTCCTTTTCGCCTTCACGCACTTCAACGAGACGCCCTGGCTGGAGGAAGCGAAGGCAGTAGGCCGGGTGGGTGATGACGGCTTGGAAGTCTTGACCTCGCTCCTTGAGCTGCTGGCGGAGTTCATAATATTCCTCGATTTCGTCTTCGCGTTCAACGGCGATGGCGTCACGTTCGACTTCAGCCTCTTTCAACTCTACGCCTTATCAGCAATGGGCATATACAAAGACGCTCCACTCACGTTTCTCTAACACTGGCACGCTCATTGAGTTTTGGAATTGGAAGAAACACCTCTCCAACATGAACTCTGGGCTGACACCCTCGACCCTCATCAAGTTGATGATCATGTTGTATCCTAAATGGAACGCCGAGTCAAGCCTATCCGCTTGACCCTTGACCATGCCCTTGGCGGCCTCTGGCTCGATCTTCTCGTCGCACATCATGATGACGATACCTCGGGCATCAAGACCTCGTCGACCGGCACGACCAGACATCTGGATGTATTCACCGCCAGAAAGATTTCGGAAGTCTTTGCCGTCAAACTTGCGGACACTTGTAAACACGACAGTCTTGGCGGGCATGTTGAGACCGATAGAGAATGTTTCCGTGGCGAAGAGGGCTTTGATAAGACCTTCTTGGAAGAGAATCTCGATGACTTCCTTCAAAATGGGCAAAAGACCACCGTGGTGAATTCCAATACCTCTCTTGAGAAGCGGCAAGATGCCCTCGATCTGCGATAATTTCTTGTCATCCTCCGACAGCGACCCAATCGCATTCTCGAACACCTGCGCCACCGTGGAAGCTTCATCCGGCGTGTTGAAGTCGAACTTTTGCATCTGCATAGCGAGGTCTTCACATTCGCGCTTGGAGAAGGCAAAGATGATGACGGGGTTGAGGTTGCGGCGCATGATAAGGGTGACAATTTTGTAAATGTCGGACGTTTCTCCCTTCATGGCTCCACCCTTCTTTGTTTTACCCTTCTTGTTTCTCCCACTGTTGGGGTCCGCAGGATCTTCTCCCTGCCCCTGGGCGAGGGAGGCCATCGCCTTCTGGAAGTTGTCATCCCTGAAGTTGCTTTTTTCGTCCACCACGAGGTAGATCCCTTCGGAGCCAGCTGGGAACAGGTAGTGCTGTAAGGGGGTTGGACGGAAGTCGGTATAGACAACGTGGCACGGTTGTTCGTGCGTTTGTGTGATCCACTCGGCAAATTCCATAGAGTTGGGGATGGTGGCGGAGAGGAAGACGTAACGGACCGAGTGGGGCAGGAGAATGATGGTCTCTTCCCAGACGACACCTCGCTCTGCGAAGAGTAAGCGTAGTTCCTAATAGTGGAGTAGACATACCCTTGTCTCGCATGTAATGCACTTCATCAAACACAACCCAAGCAACTTCCCTCATTACCTCTGAGCCTCGATACAGCATAGACCTCAGAATTTCCGTCGTCATGACCAGACACGAAGCCTCAGGCTTGATGGTCACATCACCAGTCATCAGGCCAACATCTCCAAATGTCTCTGAAAACTCTCTAAACTTTTGGTTCGACAGAGCCTTGATAGGACTTGTGTAGACGATTCGCTTGCCTTCGCGCAGGCAAGTGGCGATGGCGTATTCGGCGACAACGGTCTTACCAGCCGATGTATGCGCAGACACCAGAACCGACTCGTTTCGTTCGATACAAGAAGTAGAGACATATTGGAAAGGATCAAGTTCGAACTTGTAGGTTCGGGCAGGAGGGTCGAGACGTTTATGTTGGTTGATGGGAACGTAGGGGAAATCGGGAGGGACGGCAACTTGGTGACGGACCTATCACTATTGTCAGATTCAGTCACTCTACTTGCAGAAGAACGTGCGTACTTGATGCACAAGTTTCAACGGCTCCTTGTCACCACTGCTATCCAGTGAATCCTTTGCCGCGGCGATCTCTCTCTCAGCCTGCACTTCATACTCATCGGCCACTTTTGGGACAATTTGCTCCTCCTCTAGTGCCTCCATCGGGCCCTTGTCCTCGTTTTGCTCATTCTCGAGCGCGGCCATGGGATCATCATCGTCGTTGATCTCCACAAGTTTGGCACTTTTGGAGGGTCGGGGAGATGGTGTGGGGGTGGTCTTGCTCCTCTTCTTCTTCTCGGGATTGAGGTTTTGTTTCGAAGACTTGCTCTTGGTAGCCTTCTTTGTCGAGTCTGGCATGGTGTCGTGGTGTACGAAAATATACCTCCAGAGTTCAGGTATCAGCAAAATGTTTAACGCGGCTCGCGGGGCCAACCGGCTTACATAAGCACAGGAGAAATTGATCAAAAGTGATGGAATCAAATTACGCCGCCCACTTGGACTCATGCGCCGACTTTTCTAGCATCACGGTGCTTCCTGTGACTTTTCCTATAACCTATACTCTCCCGCTCCCCGCCCCTGCATCACCCAACATGGCCATCTTCGGTCTCTTCGGATCGTCCACCCCAGAACAACAGGAGCCCTCTGCTTCTGCCGACCTCTTCAGCAGCACCAACTTCAGATCAAACGTCATCCCCTCAGAGCAGCCCCAGCAATCCTCTTCCTTCCTCCCCGATCCCCCTTCTCAGCCAAATGCTACCCCTCCTCCTCCAGCCTCCCAGCAACACGCTCCTACGGCTTTAGAAGCTCTCGGCTCAGCGTTTGATCCCGCCAGACTGCACCCTTTGGCGGGTATCTCGGAAAACCTCGATTTCTTGCAATTGGATGAGGAGAAGTTGAATGAATTGGAAGGCTCAGCGAGTGTGCTGCCCAGTAGGGGATGGACAGATGATCTCTGTGTGGGAACGGGAACGACTTACGTCTCTGGTGTGTTTCACATTTTTTTGCCGACTACGGAAATATCAAAATGCTGACTCGTGCGGCAGGGCTGGCTGCTGGTGGTCTTTGGGGTTTCAAAGATGGTCTCTCCAGACCGCTGGGTAACAATCCCTCGTTCAAGCTTCGGCTGAACAGTATCCTGAACGGTTGTACGAGGCGAGGTAGTTTCATGGGTAATTCGCTTGGTGTCCTTGGTGAGTCTCGTACACAAACGTGACCCCCCTCATGCTGATCAATGATACAGCCATCTTTTACAATCTCACAAACTCTTCCTTGGACGCCGTCCGGGGCAAGCACGACGTCTTTAATGCCGTTGCCGCCGCTTCCGTCAGTGGTGCCATATTCAAGTCCACTGGTACGTTCTCTCCATTCGTTATTCACACTTTTCTAACACCTCGGCAGCTGGTCTGCGACCCGCCATGGTCGGTGCTGGTATCGGTGGTATCGCCGCCAGCGCTTGGTCTGGCTTCAAGTCTTTTGTCTAATTTTCCACCACCAATAATCATCGACTAAAAAGTAGTCTTACATCCTAGACACTACCTTGCCTCCTTCCGCCTGGGGCTCTTTCCACAGAGATCTAGGCCGTCTACTGCATCGGGATTTACGAGCTTTCATGCACACCCCTCTTCTGACATGTGCAAGTGATGTACATGGAGCTAAGATAAGGCAACATGTTTAACAGGCTACAGGTGTCCACAGCTTCTTTATGGGAATCGACCTAGCACTACCTCATCAGTATTTGGCCAAGCGGCGATGAACTTGCTTACAATTCGGTAGGAAACATCATGCCAGTACCGCCGCAGACCCCCTCATATCGACACCCTGCCCCAAATTCTTCTCCATCATCTCTACTCTTCCGCTCGCCTTTGACTGCTTCGCGAATCCTGGAAAGTGGTGGTCTCTGGAAGTCTTCGGCATTGCAGTAGCGGAGTCATCGTCAGCAGGTTGGGTAACCTTGGTAGTGACCAGGAAAGGATATGGCCGGGCGGTTGGCGATGAACTGGGAGCTGACATGGTCCTGAGGGAAGCTTGTACGTCAACGGTAGCCTCTCCTGGACCGCTTTCTCTTTCCGACTTGATGTCCCTTCCCACCTCCGACCCAGTGTATCGACTGTCCTCACTATCCCTTGGCAACAAACACAGCGGTCCCAGATCCCCGCCATCCGCCATATCGATCCTCGACGCAAACGGGTCATCCGGCAAGTCTCTGTGGGGCGAGGGAAGGTATACTGTTCCGGCACCGGTCTGAGTTGCTCCCACTTCTTCTGCAGTCCCGTGTGGATTGTGGCTTCCCTGGAGATACTTGGGCTTGTAGGTTTCGAAGAAGCCGCTGAGGCGTTGGGTGAAGGTGCTCCTCGGTCGGCCGGTGGTGGATTGCTCGGGGGTGCGGGCGAGGCGGGGCATATTGCTGGGCATGACGGTGCCGCCTGAGGCTCGTGTTGGAGGCATATCAGAGTGCGATCGAAAGAAGGACGTCAAGGACGGGTTGGGATTGGCAGATTGTGATGCTGACGCGGAACGTATGAACGGCGGACGTCTACCGCTGAGAGATACCCTGGAAGAGGCAGTCGGGACAGTCGGGGGAGTGATGACAGATGATGCCGTATCTGGTGCGGGCTCTGGATGGGGTATGTCATCCAGACCAGAGATTGGTGTGGCGGGGATGATCTTTACCCGGGGAAGCTGGGAGCATCTAGTCAGTGGACTGGTTCTAGAGTGGGCTGAGTAGGGTGTGGACGCACCCCGGGAAGGGTCGGCGGGGACTGGGAAGGCGATGGGGCAGCAGAGCGTACATCCCTGCCAAACGCGGGTTTCGAGTCTTCGCCATCCAGGGTGGTACAGTTCCAGCATGATAGACGCATGTCGGTGGCAAAAGTAAAGGTGAGTGTTGTGCGAGGCAGGAGGCTGTATATATACTATCCTGGTGAGATGGGAAGCCAAAGGAGGCGTGACTAGCCCCGCTCGGACCTCCTCATAAATACATCTTTGGCAAGCGGGCATCTCCGGCGCATGCTGCCACTCCCTTCAGGCGCCCACTGGAAGCCGCCGCATGGATCTATGCCTGTAGTGGCCATGTATACAGGAGCGTAGAAGATAGCCTACACTTGCTTGCTACGACCACACATTGACGGAGAATAGCGCGTCGCGTCGCGTGCGTTCTTGAACACAAGTGTCAGACCCGCTCGACAACTCGCGGGCAAGTTTTTAGACTAATTGCTACTCTAAGTACGTACCGCCGATAGCAGCAGGAAAGTACATGAAGTGAGTCTGGCGGAAACATCAACAGTAAAGGCAACAGAGGTTGGCAGACGGGCTAGAAAGATGCATATAGTACAACAGACAAAGGCAGAGGCGACTACTTTCTGGTTTTCTTGGTGGGGACGGAGGAAGATTTGACTGGATGCTCATGAGAGAAGGCAATGTTGGGGCGTCGGTGGACAACGGTGGGGCGCTGCGGGGAAGAGGAGGGAGCGGAAGAAGAGAAGTTGCCGACGGAATGCATCGACTGCAGGTTGATGCAGTAGACACCATCCACCCTCTTCTCCAGAGGGCCAGATACGAAGACGTGCTGGCCGTCCTTGTAAGGCCAGTACGGCCATCTTGCCGTATCTGGTACCTCAACACGCCAGACGAAAGCAGCCCAGTCGCCCTTCTTGCCCTGTGTTCAGGTTAGACTTGGCATTGTAGATGGCAGGGACGCGTACCATATAAGTCGTGCCGGTGACCTCGAAGGAGCGACTGCTCTCGTCCGCGTTGCCGACTATTCCCAGGCACTGAATATACCAGACGATTGGGGGCAGGAGGGTCTCGTACATAGGATCTTCGAAAAGGTCAGAAAGTTACGGGTTTCTGGGTGTAGAGACACGTACCGGTCGGCGGGAGAGTATTGATGTGCGCCTCTGAGGCAGAGTGCACAAAAAGGGTAGAAGCAGCGTTGCCGTCATGGGCAACATCGCCAGAGAAGTAGAAAAGGTCTTCAAGCTCGTGGTTGGAGTCAGGGGCGACCCAGGAGATGATGGTTAGGGGGTTCTCTCCCTCGATAGTGTCGACAATCGAGTGGAAAAGCTTCACACCGGGGCGGTCGGAGTCGTCGATGTTACGGATAAATGCCGTACCTTGGCCCTGGGACCAGGTGTTGGGGACAGCAGCGACCATTACTGAAGGATGTTGGTGGAAGTATTGGAGATGGGGGTAGATGTGACTTTGCCATGTGAACAGCAGGAAGAGAAGACGGCTTCATGAGAGGTAGAGTTTTTGGCGGTGGCTAGACGTTCGCCTGCCCAGTGAAGAGCACCGCATTCCTCGCATACGTAGTCGCAGGGACCGACAGAGTACTGGAGGACATCGCCCTCCGAATGAGATCGAAGGGCAAGAGGAGTTTTGGGGGGGGCTGTTTTCGGAGGACGTCCGCGTTTGTCGACCTTCGGGGGTGCGCTGTATGCCTTGGTAGTTAAAAGGGGTTCTGATGGGGCAGATAGAGGATTGGTGATTGGGGGTGTTTTGGGAGGACGTCCGCGTTTGTTGACCTTCGTTTGTGGTGCGCCGTAGGGCTTCGTAGTCAATAGGGGTTTTAATGGGGCAGATTTCGGCATTTTTGAGGGAAGAGCCAGGTGCGAGCGAGTGATAGAGCAAGATGATAGTCACGATGGGAGAAAGTTGGGAGAAAATTGAAAGGAAATAGAGGGCCAGAGGCGGGTGGTGACCCCAGCGGCGTCGAGTGGTTGTCGGGAAGAGTCGGAAGTTGGACGTTATTAGGCACGCGTGAACGTGGTGGGGAAGTGAAAGGGACAATTATATGATGAGCTGCATGTAGATAACGGTGAGCGAGTAACAATTCCGAGAAAGTGAGAGTGTGAGAGCAAGAAACGGCAAAAGAAGAGAATTGACGCGCGGGTGAAAGGGATCATTCAATGATGAGTTCTGCAGCTAGATACTGTGCATGTAGATGACGATCTGTTGAGAAGAGAGCGCGAAAAGAGCGACGATGAAAGCGAGAAACGCCAGCAGAAGAGGAATGACGCTCGGGGGACCGAGGCAGCACTGAAGAACGTCGCGACGAGGGCCGTAGGGCTGATAGATGGCTGATGGAACGGCGGCTGTTTCGCGCACGGTATGGCTAGCAGCTGAGGAGCGGCTTCCAGGCGCAGAGTCTTGCGATTTGGAGAAAGTGAGAGTGTGAGAGCGCGAAAAGAGCGAGGATGAAAGCGAGGGATGCGAAAAAAGAAGAGGAAGGACACGCGGCGGCGATGAGCGACGGGTGGACCCTTAAACCTTATTTCAAACCTTAACCGAGTTCGACATGAGTGGACCATGCATGCATGGGTCGAAAACGGTATGGGGAGGAAGAGCTATTTTTTTTAGGGGGGGTCGGTGCGAGAGGTGCAGCGAGGCAAGGGTTAGGGCGTCTTGAGACAGACGTTTCAAGAAGCTTGCGCAGGATGACCAGCAGTCCATCGACTGCATTCGTGATCTGGCTCGACACAAGCCCTTCCCGACCCTGGGGCCTGGGGGTGGGGGGTGGGAAGGAAGGGCTTGTGTCGAGCCAGCATTCGTGATGCCGCCACAATTTGCAGCTCAAGTGCCATCATCCGCCTGTTCGCCATCATCCATCCTTACCGAGTGCCATCCTGCTGCCCCCGGCCATCTCTGGAGCAAAACTTGGAACTGGATCGCCGAGGACGCTGTGTTTCGCCTCAGAACGTGCGAGCATATCGAACAGCCTACAGATGTACAATGTCAAAGCTATGCACTCGCCCAGCTTGACTACATCCTGCGAGGTATGCACTCAACCCTCAAAGCCGTGGGTCTGCCCGAACCTGTCATCGACTTTGATATCGAGAAGCATCAGAACCGGCTTCTCACAGACGAGCTCTCCTACGACCAAGACCAGTGCAACGATCTGTGGGAAAGAAACAGCGCCCTCGAGAAGGACGGTGATACCACCGAAAGGCTTGTCGCAATTGCGTATGTCTCGCAAAGACCCGTCGACGGCTTCGAAGCAGTTGCGATGCTGTGCCCCGGCTTCGTCCCAGACTATCATGTCGACGCGGCGAAGGAGACCGGCTAGCGGGCTCTGCTTCGTGAATGAGCATGTGCTGTTCTCATCGATGTCGATAGGAATTGCCAGTCTAGAATGAGCGGTCCTGCCGCCTTGAAGAAGAAGCGCCGCTATGCCCGAGGACGCATCTGCTAGGATGACGTTGCCCGAGGGACGGAGATGGGCGAGGATGGAGTTCTCGAGGAACGTCTTGTCAGCGCCACCTGGTCCATCGAGGAAGAAGCAGGTACCGAGGCGGTCAGTGACGGCAGCGATGATCTCGTCAGCGATAGCCTTCTGCTTGTCGGTAAAGAGGGCGCTGTTTCTTTCCCACAGATCGTTGCACTGGTCTTGGTCGTAGGAGAGTCTGTGAGAAGCCGGTTCTGATGCTTCTCGATTTCGAAGTCGATGACAGGTTCGGGCAGACCCACGGCTTTGAGGGTTGAGTGCATACCTCGCAGGATGTAGTCAAGCTGGGCGAGTGCATAGCTTTGACATTGTACATCTGTAGACTGTTCGATATGCTCGCACGTTCTGAGGCGAAACACAGCGTCCTCGGTGATCCAGTTCCAAGTTTTGCTCCAGAGATGGCCGGGGGCAGCAGGATGGCACTCGGTAAGGATGATGGCGAACAGGCGGATGATGGCACTTGAGCTGCAAATCGTGGCAGCATCACGAATGCAGTCGATGAACTGCTGGTCATCCTCGAGAAGCCCGAGCGCTGCGCAAGCTTCTTGGAACGTCTCTCTCAAGACGCCGTCGATGGTGCGCAAGTCTTCGAAGGACTTGGGGCATCGGACATGGTGGAGGAGGAGGCGGAGGTAGAAGATTTCGCCAGCTGAAGGAGGGATAGCGTAGATCCTTCCAATGGTCCCGTTGAAATTCTCTCGTTCCTTCCAGGTCTTGCTCTGCGCAACCCATCTGAGATGCTTTGGAGCATCAGGATAGATCGCATTCTTGAGCTTGTCGGGCCAAGTCTGACAGGCCACGAAGAACTGCGTGAGAGTCGTCCGAAGAGCCCGCGCGTTCTCTAGCAGGCTGTGGAGATTGGTAGAGTCTTTGAAGAAGACAGACTGCTCGCCTGGTAGGTGGACTGCCAGCACTTCGACGGCTGGACTTCGGGCTCTCATCGGGATGGAAAGGATACGCCACGCAGCTGATGATAAGAGGTTAAATATGTTTGACAGTATGGGGAGGGGGGCATACCTTCTATCGGAGAGATGTACCTCGAATCCTCGTATTCCTCCACTTCGTTCCTCGGCTCCGAGATGTTGCACATTGTCCTGTCTTCGCCCTTGTAGATGTACTTGTATATGTACTTGACGGCGGAGATGGATGAACACACTTCTACGTTGATGTGGCAGTCGTACTTTAGGAGCAGTAGGGATTGTACGTGACAACATCCTGACTGCTTTACGAGTAGTCGCCATGGGAAGTGTGCTGTTGGAATGTGTAGCCGTCTTGTCTACGACGATAGACAGGATATGTGTCGAGAGTAAAAACGGTTTCATCTTCATGAGGCTTAGGGAAGTGAGCTTTGCAGAAGGGCGTGTTGCGGGCACTGTCCTTCCTCATGCAGGCGGCAGAAGGGTCGAAAGCTCCGCAAGGCCTATGGAGCATGTGTTTGGTGACATGCGCGAAAAGAGTAGGTTCCGTGGCTGGATTTGGGATCTCTGCAGACACCATACGGTCAACGTCCTCGGGCGTTTTCGGCTTTGAGGAATGGTCGAGGATAAAGAGGCAATGGGCATGGGGGAGACCTCTCTTCTGGAACTCGATTGTGTACATGTACGCGATGACCTGTGGGGAGGATGAGCAAGGCATCATGACGAGCTGAAGATATCCTACCTTTCCGAAAATACCTTCGACCGTCATATCATGTAAGAAATCCTCGAGCTTCAGCTTGAAGACGCGGGCGACGATGTCCGGGCGATCGGATGGCGTCTGACCGTGTTGCAGTCGTTGAGTGATCTCTGGCCATTGCCCGTTACAGGTCATGGTGATGAATAGATCGGGGTGCCCGAGCTTCTCAACGATGCGCATCGAGTTCAGGTATTCGTACCTCATAGCTCTAGGCCCCGTAGCAAAAGAATGCGAGAGGTAGACCTGTTTTCCCACGTCGGCGGCGGTGAGATCATCGTGCATAGCGTCCGCAAGACCACGCATTCGATCGGTTCGGAAAAGTGCTTGATTCTGCTCCTGAAACCGTAGCCTGGCCGATTCCGTCTGTGCCCAAACATCGTCAAGGTACTCCTGAAAGAGCAAGCCAGCATGGTGAAGTGTGTTGAAGACGCCTTCGCGTTCAAAGAGGCTGTACGCGTAGAACTCAGACTGCGTGACGTGGCTGGAGCCGTTCTTTCCAGAAGGTGCGTGCTCGTTGCGGAGGGAGGCTACAGTATTCATCAGCTCGTATCCATAGGGGCAGCGTCAACGACATACATTGATGGACAGGAGGTAGAAGCGGATCGGTGGAGAAAGGATTGGGACCATACGCGACTGTCTCGTTTCGTGCCATCTCCGATACCAGCGCCTGTGGAGAAGAATAATGCAAGGGGTCGCTAGGGGTACTGAGTGGAATTCGAGGGTGCCAGCCCTGCTCGCCATACGGGAAAAGAAGTGGGAAGTGCAGCGGAACGAAGTGTTCCGACAGCTCGGGGATGCGATGAAGGGAGCTGGTCGCGCGAGACTGCCATACGAGCTCGCGGCCATTGTGCTCTTTATCATTAGCGATGTCGTAGATGAGCGCCACTTCGTTTGACGTAGGAGTGTTGTATGTCCGGGGGTCGTGACCCTCTTGCGACATGTGGAGATGAAGATGTGCATTGTTTCCGTTGTGCGTATCCATTCGTTCCTTGCAAGTGATGATGGACTGGACGTAAGGGTTGGATCCGTGAAGGGTAGACTCGATTTCGCGTAGCAGGGAGGGATCACAGAGGTTGTGGTAGGGCTCGACACAAGCCCCTCGTCCGCGCAAGCCAGCGTTTCGGCACGTTGATCGGCAGACATGTCGGCGATATAGATCTGGGCGAACTGGACGTTACCACCGGGTGGCGGAAGGAGAGAGCCGATCAGGTGGCTAGACCCTGCCTGAGATGGAGAAGGTATAGATACCCTTGGCACCATAGACGGATCTGTCCTGCTTCTTGAAGTCCATAGAAGCCATTGCCATCGCACCGTTGTAGCTCCTGTCGTTTTTGCGAAACGCTTTCGCAGCTGTGAGTCAAGAAAGCAATGTCAGCTCAATTGTACGCAAACATACGTCGGAACTTACCAGCAGTATTGGCGGTCCAGAGTGTCTTCAACAGAGGAGGAGGGTCTAGCACCCTCGGTAAGATCGCTTTGCCCTTTGAACAGCAGGAAGAGAAGACGGCTTCATGAGAGGTAGAGTTTCTGGCGGCGGCTGGACGTTCGCCTGCCCAGTGAAGAGCACCGCATTCCTCGCATACGAAGTTTCAGGGACCGACAGAGTACGGGAGGACATCGCCCTCCAAATGAGATCGAAGGGCAAGAGGAGTTTTGAGGGGGGCTGTTTTCGGAGGACGTCCGTCTTTGTCGACCTTTGTTTTTGGTGCGCGGTAGGGCTTGGTAGTGTAAAGGGGTTTTGATGGCGCACATAGAGGCATCGCACCGTTGTAGCTCCTGACGTTCCCAGCTGTGAGTCAGAGAGAAATGTCAGTTCAATTGTACGCAAACATACGTTGGAACTTACCAGCAGTATTGGCTGTCGGGACATCGCCCTCCGGATGAGACCGAAGGGCTGGAGGAGTGTTGGTGGGCTGTGTTTCTGGAAGACGTCCGGCTTTGTCGGCCTTCGTTTGGGATGCGCCATAGGACTTGCCAGTAAGAAGGGATTGTGATGGGGCAGATAGAGCGGTGTTGGTGGGGGGTGTCTTTGGAGGACGTCCGCGTTTCTTGACCTTCGTTTGTGGTGCGCTGTAGGGCTTGGTAGTCATAAGGGGTTTTAATGGGACAGATTTCGGCATTATAGTAACGATGGGAGGAAGTTGAGAGGAAATTGAAAGGGAAATTGAGAGTCAGAGGCGAGCGAAAGGCGGGTGGTGACCCTAGCGGCGTCGAGTAATTGTCGGAAAGAGTCGGAAGTTGGAAATGGATGGGTGCAGGGTGAACCTGGTGGGGGGAGTGAAAGTGATCAATCTATGATGAGCTGCTCTGCAGCTGGATACAGTGCATGTAGACAACGGTGAGCGAGGAATCATTCCGAGAAAGTGAGAGAGTGAGAGCGCGAAAAGAGCGACGATGGAAGCGAGAAACGCCAAAAGAAGAGGAATGATGCGCGGCGGATGATGACCTCTGCAGCTGGATACTGTGCATGTATATGACAATCTCTCGCGAAGAGAGAGCGAAAAGAGCAACGATGAAAGCAAGAAACGGCAAAAGAAGAGGAATGACGCTCGGGGGACCGAGGGAGTACTGGCGAACGTAGCAGTAGCAAGGAGGGCCGTAGGGCCGGAAGATGGTTGATGAAACGGCGGATGTTTCGCTCACGGTAGGGCTTGCAGCTGAGGAGTGGCTTCCAAGCGCAAGGTCTTGCGATTTGAAGAAGGTGAGAGTGCGAGAGCGCGAAAAGAACGAGGATGAAAGCGAGAAACGGAAAAAGAAGAGGCATGCGCGCGGCGGCGATGAGCGACCGGTGGACCCTTGAACCTTATTTAAAACCTTAACCGAGTTCGACATGAGTGGACCATGCATGCATGGGTCGAAAACGGTACGGGGAGGAAGGCTAGGTTTTTTTAGGGGGGGCTGGTGCGAGAGGTGGAGGGAGGCAAGGGTTATATATAGGGCGAGCGCTGGAAGGAAACGGAAGCAAACGCGCTCAACAATCTGTTCAATGGTTCCAAAAAACACATCGCTTGTTGAGCGAAGGACAAGTCTATACAAGTCGAGTCCTAGGTACCAGGTCGGACACAAGTTTCATGTGGACTGATTGCCCCGTCCCCATCACTTTCACTCGCCACTCAGTAGCCTTGAGAGCAGCTTGACAGCGACACACAACCTCGTTCGGCGTGCCTACTCCTGGGTAAGCTGGTACCTGAGAGAACAATAGACGAAACTTGGCCCATCATCCATTCATTCACTCGTCGCTCCCTTCCCATCAAATGTGACTTCCCTCGTCTCTCAGCTGGAATCCATGCTGACAGGACACATGTCTGGGCTGACGACCATGTGAAGGACGTCGAGAGGTATAAGAGATGTGCGTGGTCGATGGTAGTAAGAGCACCAACAACCACCAACACATAGCCTCAGAGCAATACTCAGTGCACCCAAACCAAACCAAACCCAAAACATACCCTTCACCATGTCTGCCCACCCCTTCCTCACCAGCCAAGCTGCGTACCTCCCCCAGGCTAGCGCTGCGGTGTACTCCCACAGCCGTCATGGTTCTACCACTTCCCTTGACTCCATGTCATCGGGCACCACCACATCTACCACCCACACATACCACTCTTATTCCTCGCAATCCCCCATCGACCGCGACTGCCTTCTTTGGATGCAGCGCGAGTCCACGGGGTGCCACGTGTTTGGCTCTGTTGCGAACAGAGGCCGAGGACTGAGCCTTGAGCAGAGAGCAGAGAGCAGGAAGAGGGAAGAGGAGCAAAGGCTCATGCAAGAAGAGGAAAAGGCTTTCAAGAAAAGCGAGAAGAGAAGGGGGAGATGGTTCTAGGAGGAGCAGGAAGATTGGCTGGCCCTGTAATCAGGTTGTATTGTAGAGCAGCGTATAATGCTTTTATATTGAAATCATGTTGAATGTACTTGTACTGGTCCTACTTATTTGCTGTCCTTCCAGATTCAATTTGCGTAGTTGTTGCTGAATCAGTTCAAACAAATCAGTCCAAACAGAATTGTTGAATGAAAGAGAACATAGGGCGCATAGGCGCGCAAAGTCAGTCCGCGCCTTTCAGGGAGCGTTGAGCGTGTCGTCACTGCAACTCGCTATCAAGCATCCATCTCTCGCTCATACTCGGCAACCAATCTCCCAGCAGCCCCCCGCCTTCGCCATGTCCCGCCAGGCCCCCCTCGTTATTGATAATGGTACCGGCTACACCAAGATGGGGTAAGTCACGTCGCCCAATGAGGATCCCCAATGTCGTTCCGTGCACAGCTCACCGTGTATGCTCTTGTCTTTAGTTTCGCCGGTAACTCGGAGCCTTCGTTCGTTTTCCCTACAGTCATAGCCACTCACCAATCAGCTGGTGGTGGTGGGTCATCTTCAGGGGGAGGTGGCCGTGCCCCTCCGCCCGTGGCTGGCAAGCCATCGCATCTCGCGAGTAAGAGGGGCATCGAGGACTTGGACTTTTTCATCGGCGATGAGGCTGTTGCCAACTCCAAGTGGGTAGACGTGTATCTATCCCAGCAAAGCTCATGTGCTATAGGACTTACTCTCTCCACTACCCGATTCGACACGGTATGATTGAGAACTGGGATCACATGGAACGATTATGGGAGCAGTCTATCTTCAAGTACCTTCGTGCCGAGCCCGAGGACCATTACGTCTGCTTGGTATGCTGCTACCAGTATCTTCTCATGATTCTTGCTCACAATTTTGTAGACCGAGCCCCCTCTCAATCCTCCCGAGAACCGTGAAAACACTGCTGAAATCATGTTTGAATCTTTCAACGTGCAGGGATTGTAAGTCGCTCGCTATCCACGCGCGACATGTACTGATCCCTATGCAGGTACATTGCTGTCCAGGCTGTTCTTGCCCTTGCGGCGTCCTGGACTTCGTCCAAGGTCACTGAGCGAACACTTACAGGTGTCGTCATTGACTCTGGAGACGGTGTCACCCACACGATCCCTGTCGTGAGTAGGACTTTCTGATACCTAGGAACCCCGCTCATGAAGCTCCAGGCCGAAGGCTATGTCATTGGTTCCTCTATCAAACACATTCCCATCGCCGGTCGCGACATCACATACTTTGTCCAGAACCTCCTCCGAGACCGTGGCGAATCTGCCGTTATTCCCCCTGAAGACCAACTCCGAGTCGCCGAGAAGATCAAGGAAGACTATACCTATGTCTGCCAAGACATCGTCAAAGAGTTCAAAAAGTACGACGGGGACCCCTACAAGTACTTTGCGCGATTCGCCGGGGAGCACAGTGTGACAGGGCGCAAGTACGATGTGGATGTTGGTTACGAGCGATTCCTTGCCCCCGAAATCTTCTTCAATCCCGAAATTTACTCGTCCGACTTTTTGACGCCTCTGCCAGAGGTGGTCGATCAAGTTGTGCAGACGTCGCCGATGGATGTAAGGAGAGGACTGTACAAGAACATTGTGTTGTCGGGTGGCTCGACAATGTTTAAGGATTTCGGCAAGAGATTGCAGAGAGATGTCAAGGCGATTGTTGATGGCAGAATTGCGGGAAGCGAACAGGCATCTGGTAGCCATCTCAAGGTGAGTTTGGGCTCAGAGATATGATGAGACCGAGCTTATGCGGTGGCAGTCAACCGGTGTCGACGTCAACGTTATCTCCCACAAGAGACAGAGGTATGCGGTGTGGTACGGCGGTAGTTTGATGGCTTCTACTGTGAGTATTTCAACACTTTCCCGGAGGATGTATCTGATGGTCAACAGCCCGAGTTCTTCAACGTCAGTCATAGTCGAGAAGACTACCAAGAGTACGGTCCATCTCTTGTCCGCAGGTTCTCCGTCTTTGGCAGTGCCTCATAGGCCTCCCGGTGAAATTGGGGAGGTGAAGGGGCAATGAATAGGGGCAATAAAAGCGATGGAGAGGGACGTTATGATACCCCTTGTGTTTGCGTTGTTATACAGTATATGCAGTTTGGAAATGGCTCTCATATGCCTCAACACGCCGAGTGTGGCAGCCGCTTGAGTGATACGGGTTTCGGCAAGTCATTCGGGAGGTCCGAATGCCAAAGCGACTTCCCGAGCGGTCCCAGACACATCACGTACAAAAATCTTTGAATCTTGAGCTTCTCTGTCCGTTCTCCTCCCGACCTGAGCTCGGACTGCTACATTGTGATCTTCACCTGTGCTGTAGTCAGAAGACCATTGCAGCACGGGAAAGCATCGAAGCTAACACTTCTCTCTGCTGTTGCTCGCATGCAGTCGCTGTCGGATTTCGGATGAATTGCGGGGACAAGCTATACGTGATTCTCACGAGAACGCGATAGAAGCTAAGAAGACACGGATAAGTCTTTTTATTATTAGCTCTTCGCTTGGCCCCTCGCCCACATAACTTGTTAGTCATGACTCATGGGCCATGGCTGAGGGCCAAAGATGATCGACTTGGATCTGATTGTTGATCTTGCACTCAACACAAACGACGGTCGTAGTACGATATGATGGCCATGCTGTTCTACTGGATCTACTGGTAACGGAAAGCTCATCTAGCCTGCACTGATAGCATGCTAGTAGTATCATACTACCGGTCTTTGAGATATGTACATACTCTACATAGACCCTGATATGATTCGTCGGGTTATGGGCTGGTACATACTTGTTTACGAAACGCATGCGCATGCGTATGATTATGCACATATGCCATCCATGGCCCCGTGTACGGCGTACGTGCTGTACATACTCGTGGTATCGCACGCAACGACAACTCGTAGTACGTAGTTAAAGTACCATCATCCTGTACTGATCCTTCATATCTCTGCCTTATTATGATGACGCCTTCTTTTTTATCCACTGCATTGACGAACCGATTCCTCGACGTCTTTGTTGCCTCTTCTAAAATTTAACGTACATCACAAGAAGTTGCCCGTTGGGATATCTCCAATCTCAGAGAGATCGTGCTCTATTATTATCATGTCTCTGGAGTCTTTGGTCTTTGTACAGTATCATCGTGTCAGCTCCGTCTTTGCGCCTATCTTCGATTCATGGGCAAGTCTTCTGAAATTCAGAATGCCGTCTGCACTCTGCAATTCAACCTAATACATCTCTTGCATTGTCAGACAGGCCCAGTCCTGCTCGCGTGTGCGGCGCTCGGGATGGGTTTCGTTGATGAGGATAGAGAATGCAGGCAGCAGGCAGCAGGGCGCAGAGGGCTGGTTGAAGATGATTTGCTATATAGACTTGAAATGGCTTTAAGGCCGCAAGAGGCCCGAAACCGGGGACCCAGGAGTCCAGGATTGAGGCCGCCGGGGAGGATAGGCGCCGTGTCTTAGCGATTTAACTACAATCAGCAGCCTCAGCCTCAGCCCCAGCGATACCCTAGGCCTAATCAGAGACATGTCATTTATTATTATACGAGCATGTTGCTCAGCGAGCACGGTATGATTTCAATTACAAATACCCTTGACCCTTGTATACCAACGCGTGTTGATTCGTTGACCATGACCCTCGAAGCAGGTCTCAGCCACCGTTAGGGGGTGCAGAGCATCAGTCCAATACCTCTCCGACATGTGTATGCGGGATTTGCGGGTTGCCTCTGAGCTTTGAGCTTCGCGACGCCTCGAATTGCGAGAGGGCAGAGGTGTTATAACTTTGATACTATGTAGCTTTGTGCTTTGCACCTGCGGTACTGCATCCACGTATTGACTGTGCAATTGGGCAGCAGGAGGGTTGGATTCGACTGGGCCGGCTGAGCTGTCAACCTTGGCGCATGCGCGGATGCATGCTTGCCATGCTTGCACCTCTTGCAGCTTGCATGTCGTGCCTGGTCGTGATCGCGGATCGCGGACCCAGGCCGATCGTCCCTAATATCCTTTCATTTTGGACCTTCTTCTTTCAGCTTCTTCCCGCATAGTTCGGGATGTTAGGGCTCGGGAACCTTGAAAGATGTTTATCTTTCTTCTTATTTCGCCTCTTTCCGGCCTCTTTTGGGCTTTCGCACTTCGTCAAAGACCAAAGTCATCGATCAAGAAGATCAGGTTGAGGGACTGGCGTGAGCCGCGACCAGCGCCTCGGCTCTGAAGCATTTTTTGACATGAAACAAACGAACGACCTGCCAGCCTTACTTGGTCCATGCCCTCCATACTTGTGCTCCGCGCTCCTGCATGGATTCTCGAACGAATTCTCAGGATCATCGCCCTCCCGGCGTACAGTGCCGTGTGTGCCGTGTGCCGTGTACATGTGCCCCGGGGTGTAGTGAAAAGAGGCTAGGGATATGCCGGCAAGGCCGGTGATAGGATTCGAATGCTTGGTTTTGAGTTCCCGGTTATGGGCCCCTTTCCCCTTATCCCCTTAAGCCCTTGACGCCTTTTTACGCATGACGTTCGCACTGCTTCTTATTTCCGACGTTTGGTACAGCATGCATGTATGCATGCTGCTCATGCAGTGCGGCCGCAACGGCCGCAAGCGCAAGAGTGCGGAAATATACCTACGTTCGAGAGACTTCGAGAACGGAGTTTGAGCGCGTTGTGATGATGGTCGTCGGGGATGTGCCGAGAAAAGGGGGGTCACGGAGAGGAACGAAATACAGCGGTCTTCGCTGAGAAAGCACTGAGAATAGGAGAGCCGAGATGGACAAGGGGAAGGGACGGAAGAGGTCCCGCCATGCAATAGCAATACATATATTGCAGTCTGTAAGATATTTTGCTGGTTCCAGGTGACAGCAGCAAGACACAGATGACTATTGCGATCATTGCGATCATTTGCGAAGGAATCGGGAACCGACATTCTGGTAGGTAGGGCAATACACTCTAACCCCAATTAACCTTGTCCGCTACCAGACCCCGAAGCGCTTTTTTCCTGCGGGCCACCAGAAAGACAAGGTTGGGGCATTTTCTCTTTTTTTTTGGCATCCATCCTTACTTATATGACTGCCACTAGGTTTCGTCGTATGCATCAAGCTCGTACATGCCGGCTACACAGGCGCACGCCCTAGGGCCAAAAGCTGCAGGAAGCGGAATGCGTCGCGCTTCTGGCTTCTGGGAGTACGGCATTTGAAGCTCTCCAGGTTTCGGGGCCGCTTCTGTCATCACCCATCGGAGTGTAACACAAATGAATGACACGCGCCCTTACGCCTTTTTGCGATCGGTGTCCCTCATTGTTCATGGTTCAATTTTTTTTCTTCTGTGTCAGATCTTATACATATCGTACGCACATAACGTTCCCGGGATACGGCAGGAAGCGCAGCGTGTCATCGTGTGCTCATCAAAAGATCTTACGATCTTACCCAGGGTCTTGCGTCTATGGCTTTTCATCATAGCCCGGCGTTCGGCAGCAGCATCTGGCCCATAGCGGCAATATCAATATGAAACAATGGATCTTTTTGTTATTTCTTTTTCTCTCCTTCTCTACTCTCTTAACACCATTGCCATCGACTTGGACCGCCACATACCACACCAGCGCACCTTGTTCTACCGTCAACTACGCATTTGCCGCCTCTTCGCTGCCTATCCACATCATTCCGCAAACCTACCGGCTTAGCAAGAGTCTAATCGAAGCCAGACAAGTCACCACACCTGGCTTGTGTCTCACGACTGTCACAGATTCAAGAGAAGAAAAAGGTGAGTTCAGTCTTCCGTCCATTTCTTCCTTGTTCTTTGGTGGCGGGGTTCGACGTTGTTTCCTCTACAAGGGACGGTGCCTCCTGATTTGATCTCTGATCTGTGTCTACCTGGAGCTCCATCTTTACAGGAGGTCGAAGGCGTATCTGGAACCAGGGGCAGGCTGGTCGGAAGACCGATGAGCAGTCTTTGGCCTTTGCGCCTCACGTCTTGCCCCTGCATGCCCATGCTCGCATTCTGTACCGTGCGTGCTGCCAGAGGCCAGAGGAGGGCTACTACATTGCTGCCATGTCATCGTTTTATGGCATGTCTGGCGTCGCAAGGCCGTGGCCCGTGCTTCGAATCTGAGCTTGGGGTGTCCCGAGTCGTGCCGTAAGGTTGATTAAAAAGGGGTTTCGGACAACGCCTCTTGCACGTCATGCGGCCTGCCTGGGGTGGCGTTGTGTCTTTATTGCAGCCTTCTTCCCTCGAGCACACCGGGCGCCTATAGCCTATCCTGTTGGCTGTACTCTCTACATCTGTGGCGTTTTCCCGCTCTCTGTCTGCGGGCAGTTTGTCGGGTGGCCTGGGTCGTCTACTGGGCCATCTCGTACACTGCACAGCTCCGACATCTACGCACCGCTAGCGTCTCAATTATTTTTGCGAGCCGACTTCCGAACTGGTCTCACGTACTTTTTCCTTGGGCGGTGTGTTTGTCGTACTCGTCGTCGGCTGTGAATATTTGCCCCGTTCGACATGCAGCATGGGCTGTGGATCTTCTGTCTTCTGTCTTCTGTCTGCTGTCTGCTGTCTGCTCTTGTCCGACTGCCGACTGATTGCGAGACTGACGCCACAGAAGGATCTCCTAATTGATTGTCGCAAGTGTTTCCCGTCTCTGCGATACGGCCACATCAGTGGACATCCCTGTGAGCTGCGATCGAGTGATGGCAAGGGCCCCTTGCTGATCTGGGTGCAGCGGATCACTCCATACATACTCTCCCTGCCCCGCTTGGACGCCGCCACCGCGCAAAGGAGAGAGTATAAGTGCCCTCCCCGTGTCTTCTTGCCCCCTACGTAGCATCGCCCCACCCGTCCTTTCAGAGTACAGTACGTTCGCGCCCCCTCCTTCGTCCCCGCACTCACCCCGTATAGCACCATGGACGACAATCGCCAGCCCCACCCTCCTCTCCAGCGCCCCTCATCCTCCCACTCCTCCCGCCCCGTCGGCGCCGCACAGGACCCTCCCGAAGCACAGATGGCAAATGCTTCGAGACGCCGCCAGTGCGCCAACCCCTGCTCCAGCCCGCCCATGGCCCCCAACCCGCTCCCGGACTGGTCCACCAGCGAGGACGTCGCGTCCGAGACCAACTTCTACGCCAAGCGGCCCGAGCGCGACGACTCGCTGTGGAAGCCCAACTGGCAGGGGGCCTCGTCCACGCCGATGGAACCCTCTGTGAGCAACGAGGGCAGCGTGGGTCTCAACATCCGCACCCCCATCGCCTCACCCAAAGAACAGTATTCATTTGCGAGACCCAGCCCTGCGGCCTCGCCTGAAGAAAAGTGCCCGAACCCACACTCTTCTCTCCTGACGTCGACGCCGCTCAACCGCACATGCTTGTCAGCCAATCACTCCCCGTGCACCTCTCCCACCCCCCCTCCTGCCCAAATGGCGTCTTCTGGCGTAAAGAAGCGTACAAGATCCAACTCGCTGCCATGCCCCAACCCTCCCAAGCGGCCCAAGACGATTGCCTACCCTCCACCGACCCGCCCCCCGTCGCCTCGCAGCCTCAGACACCCCATGCGTCCCCAGCACCCCTTCCGAGGTGCCCCAGCGCGAGAGGCCATGTTTCACTGTGTCGTCGCAGGGCGCAGCCCGGCCATCAACACAAAGAGCTTGAAGACGCTAGACGCAGTCGAGATTCTGAAGAATAAGCAACTGCGACATGATCTCCTGTTTGATACTCTTGCCTTTCGCCCCGTCAACGCCGGGCCACAAGGCGAGGGCAAGGTTGGGCGTTATGCGGGCGTGGTATCTACATCTGCGGTCCCTGTCGTCGATCCTAGCACATCAAACGTCGTCACCGAGCTGTATTGGCAGAGTGTCGATGCAGAGCTCAAATGGGGCTGTCGATGCACCAGGTGGTCGCTTCCCGAAGGCACTTCCAGCCTCAAGGGCGATGCTCTCAGAAACCTGGTCAGAGTGCACAAGTGTCTCTGTGGTCAGTGGCGGCCAGAATTGTCGGAGCGACAATGGTGGGCAAAAACCAAGGCGTGGCCTTCCAGACTTCCCGAGCTCATCAAAAGTAAGTCTTCTTCTCGAGCATCGTGTGTCAAGCTGACAGGTTGTAGCATTACGAGAAATTCTCATGTCTCTTATGGGATCTACCACCCCCTGTGCTGACCACTTTGCGCATTCCTTCTCTCGTGAAGCTCTCGAAGCCCACGAGCAGACTTGCCCCACCGTCACCCACTCGCTTGTTCCTCACCTGCAATCAGCTCTTGATCCCGAGTTCTTGACCATGCAGGTCCGCAGAGGCTCATTCAATATCGAGCTCTTCAAGGTGCTTGGGAATGCCATGAGGGTGCACTGCGCCCCAGTGAGAGATGGCTTGATCGATCGGATGGTGGAGACTGCCATGGCCGGTAAGATCACCGAGGGGCTCAAGATGTGCTTTGACTGTGCAGAGGTCATGAAACTTGTATGTCTCATGTTTATGCCATCCTGCGAACACTGACGTATGTGCAGGACATTGCCAATCACCAAGTTCACTCTCTTCGCCCCTACCTCTGGCAAAATGCCGGTGCCCACGAGTACGCCGCCTTTGAGGAAACCCTCCTCGCATCTCGCAGCACTTTTGCCACTTCCAAGACCCGCCGTTGGATCAACCAGGCATCTCTCCGCATGCTCAAAGCTGCCTCCCCTGCCGAGCGTACGCACTTGATTGGCAAGTGTGCTTGCGGGAACGCGAACGAGCTTGCTGCTAGATCGGTGCTGGACGGCTTCCTCGAGCTTGTCTTTGAGCAAAAGTGTGGCGAGGGCAGATGGCCACCACTCACTGCGAGGACCACTTCCACCGAGGCTCCCTTGTGGGAGGATGGGTCTGGAAATATGGCTTCTTTGCCCGAGGTTCTGCAGATGGACGGAAGAAGGATCCGTGATTTCCAGTGAGTGATCTTGTTGTAATGACGGCGCAGCAGCTGACTCTTTCAGTGCGAGCGTCGTCGAACTTGCGGCTACCCATCTGGTCCTCATGGCTATACGAGAGCTCTATAGAGCACATACCCAAAGTCCAAACAAGGAAATCTCATCTGACACCTACAATTTCTTCCTCTCCGACATTCTCGAGTCCTTTGACCGCGTGTCCGCGACCACTCCTGGGCCTGTGGGCCAGGATGAGCGGGACGCCATCTACGACGAATTGTCCTTTGCGCTCGCTCTTCGTGTCGTCCTGCCCGATGAGATGAAGCGCATCTCGGAGGCCGAAGAGCTCAAAGACATGCTCACTCCCGACAAACTTGCCCATATCCATCCCGTCAAGGACCAGCTGTACATGTTTCTCCGAAACAACATCAGCAGAGAGTCCCAGAGGCTCCAAGACCACATGCCTGTCATGCGCAAGGTCCTGTACAAGGTCCTCACGGACGTATTCATGAGCTACCGATTCAACCCCAAGAGCCTCTTCTTTGACGTTGCGGCGGACAAGTGCAAATCGACCGACAAGGTCGCTGCCTCCTCGACAGGGCAAGATCACCAATCAAAGACAGGTTCTCCCCCGCCCATGTGGATCTTTTCCTCTGATCTGCGATTCAAAGCCAATCGCGCTTCGCGCGCCGTTACCGCACGTCACGACGAGTGCTTGGAAACGTGCAAAGAGGAAGAGCTGTTGCTCATCGCAAACCTTGGGCTCGAGGGCGTGGTCGGGCCAATCAAGGATATTACCGAGAGGATGGTGAGGCTGCTGGGTTTCAACCTGTCAGTCTTCAAGGAGGTGTATCTGCGAAAGGGGTTCATGGCTGGCTCGGGAAAATGTGACCCTGTCAATGAGCGTGGGCTTTGATCTCTCTTCTTGTTTCTATCTATCTGTCGATCTGTTACCCTGTCTCACATCTGTATCATCTAGTACTAGCTTAGCGCTCTATAGACTCTCTAACGACTGTTTCTTTTCATTCTTGTTTGGGCTTTTTCACCTGGTGTTCACCAGGGTTTATGTAGACTTTCTGTATACTAGCGCATACACGCAACACGCAACGAACCTTTATGAATACAAGCATTGCTCCTATCATCCGTATCAAGAATCATCGGTAGCAGTGCCTGCATATTCACCCAGAATACAAGACCTCTCAAACGATCAACGACCCCCGCAACCACTCGGCCCCTACGATCGTCATGCCCACCGCAAAGACCAAAAGACAACCATCCTTGTAAGTCTGGTTCAGAAGATTGAGGTAGCGCGAGCCGGTGAGGAGAGGGCGGGCGATCCCTTGAGGAAGGACGGGAAGAAAGTTCTGAAGGAGGGCGTGAGGAGCAGGAGGTGACTGTCGGATGGTTAGCAGACGCATGGGAAGAGGTAAGAGGGCGTACTCTGAAGATCATAAGCCGCGAGCTTTGGAGGATGAGTTCGACGGTGACAAAGGCGAGGAAAAGAGGCTGGGCGTTCAGTTGGCGGCGATCTCGTGTGTACAGGGAGTCACTTACGAGCACCTCGACCTCTCCCAGTCCCTTCACCCGCCTACCGGAGAAGCCACTCCATCTCTCTGACCATGTGGTGGCCTCCTCTTGATAAGCAGAGGCGGATCGCAAAGCCGGCTCCCACCAGAGCACTGCGAAAAGCGCGAGGAAAAGAGTCGCGACGAGGTGCACGAGGGGAAAGTACCTGGCGACTTTGCTTTTTCCTTGCGACTGTTGCTGCATGCCAGGGAACGGGAAGGGCGAAGAGCCATCAGCGCCTCCAAAGATGTTGGGCGGGACGCCACCAGCACCACCAAACGCCCCGAGACCGGCAGGATCATCCATGTCTCCCAGAAGGTTCTGGCCGGCGGGACCGCCAGCGAGGGAAGGATCACCCATCATCTGAGACAAGAGTTTTGACATGTCGGGCATCTCTCCCCCAGCAGCGCCATTGCCGGGGGCGCCAAACATGGACATCATGGCTTCCATTTGGCGCGCCATGGCTTCCTGTTCAGAGGACATTTGAGGTTGGGGCGAGGCAGAGGCAGTCGGCCGGGGCGCTTTAGGTTCGGCAGGAGGGGGAGCCCAGGAGGGCTGGACAGGTTCCGCCTGGGGTGGCGATGGCTGGGATGCCGGCTTGACTAGAACAAGGTCAGCTTGATATCTCACAACAAATGGTCGACGTGCAGTCATTGCTATAGAGGCTGTGGGCTTCATCGCCCCGGGCTGTCTGCGCGAGTTTGTTGAGGCCAGTGTTACCTCGAGCGAGGATCTTTGCTCTTCGTGCGGCGGCTTTTTTCGCTGCGTCCGACTGTTGAGGTTCCGCCATAGTGCTGGATGGAGAGCAGAGATGGAATCGTCAACAGGAAAGCGCATCGTGCTCGCGGCATCTACCTTGCCGCGGGACTGCCACAGTTCAATGCATGGCCCATCGCAGAGCTGCCGCCTCCCACCGCCATGCATACACCCTCCTCCCGCCCCAGCCTGCTGCATGCATGCATGGGAATGCCCTGATCTCTGAGTTCTGACCACTGTACGCCCACTGACCCGCAGTCGGCGGTCGCCGCCGGGGCTCCCAAGGCTGATCGATTCAATCCTGCTCCTTTTTTTTGCGACTTGAGCCGACATCTTTTCGAGCATTTTCACGAAAACCCTGCCAATCCACCCCACCATGTCCGCCACCCCCTCCCCCGACCGCAACAGGCCCCTCGACGACCGCAAGGTCACCGGCGTACGTGACCCGAGACCCCGCCAGCCGCTGCCGAGAAAGCCACTCACCATCTCATAGTACGACCCCCTCATCCCCCCCGCCCTGCTCAGACACGACCTGCCAGTTCCTGCCGTCGCCTCCAAGACCATCTCCGCCTCCCGAAGAGTGACTTCCGCCATCGTTCAGGGTACCGACCCACTTTCAAGACTGGTCGTCATCGTTGGCCCCTGCAGTATCCACGACATTGACCAGGCCAAGGAGTACGCTGCCAAGCTGAGGAAGGGTGTGCAGGAGGGCAAGTGGCCGGGTCTGGAGGTCATCATGAGGGCATACTTGTGAGCGGATCGGCATTTCGGTCGCAAAATGAGTCTGATGACGTGCAAAGCGAAAAGCCAAGAACAACTGTCGGCTGGAAGGGTCTCATCAACGACCCCGATATCGATGGATCTTTCAAGATCAACAAGGGTTTGAGGATGGCCAGGCAGCTTTTGGGTGACATTAACGAGATGGGCATGCCCGTTGGTTGCGAACTTCTCGACACCATCTCGTATGTCTTTCCATCCCCTCATGACCTCATTCCTAATTATTATACAGTCCCCAATTCATTGCCGACCTCATCTCCTGGGGAGCTATTGGTGCCCGAACTACCGAGTCCCAACTTCATCGAGAACTCGCCTCTGGTGCTTCTTTCCCCATCGGTTTCAAGAACGGTACCGACGGCTCTGTCGGCGTCGCTATTGACGCCATGCAATCCGCTTCTCACCCTCACTGCTTCATGGGCATCAACTCTCAGGGTATGGCCAGCATCGTCAAGACTTCTGGTAACAAAGACTGCCACGTCATCCTGAGAGGCGGTACCCACGGTCCCAACTTTGCGTTCGTACCTTGTCTTTCTGTTGAGATTGTCGCCTGACCAGAAGATAGCGCCGAGCACGTTCAAAAAGCCCTGTCCACCATGCGCACCAAAAACCCCGACGCCTTTGCTTCCATCATGGTCGACTGCTCTCACGGCAACTCTTCGAAGAACCACCTCAACCAGCCCAAGGTTGCTGCCGACGTTGCTGCTCAGATTGCCGCGGGTGAGGTTGGAATCACCGGTATCATGTTTGAGAGTAACTTGAAGGGCGGTAAGCAGAGCAGTGACTTGGGCAGGGGGAACCTCGAGTACGGTGTCTCCATTACCGATGGTGAGTGCAATCGTCATATCAACACGGCAGAGCTGATGTAAAGTGCAGCATGTGTTGACTGGGAGATGACTGTCGACATGCTCGACAACCTGAACCAAGCTTCCCTCACCCGACGAGCCCTACTCGAATCTCGAGCTGGTGCTAGTGGTGACGCCCCTGCCGTCAAGAGACTGAGGGCTGACGAGTAATTGTGGTGTTTTATATGTTGTCTGAATCTCCATCATGACTCTCATCAAAAGTATAGATATCTGCAGAGATTTTATCATATCTGCGCGGATTATGCATCTCGTTTCACGCATCATGAGTCTACACTTCGTTCTACTTGGACGATATGTGACCAGGTGGGACCTCCCCGTCCTTTAATGTGTCAGCTTGTCAAGTCGGCCATCACAGCAAGGGCTTACATTGACATCTGTCCTGTCCTTGAACCACCTCTCGTCCTGGGCGATACTGATGGTGTTTCCACTCATCTGACGGCTCTTCATCCTGCCATCCTCTGCAAAGACCTGCCCCAGGATCAATGATCAAGCAAGAGTTCGTGTGAACGTTACTCACCCAATGCTCAAGGCCATAAGTTCGGTACCATTGACTCGAGACATCTTTGGTTTCCGAATACTCGTACCAGAATTCCACGGCGCTTGGGGGTATAAGCCAAGGTCCTCTGGTCGGCAACCGGCTCACATCCTGTCCTTGTCAAAAGCAAACAGCTCCTTTCTCAGTCTATAATTGTGCTCCTTCTGCCACTTTCTGGTCAAGAAGTCTTCGATCGACTTGGTCCCTGAGAAGAAATCGTCACGATTACGCCATACAGAGTCGGGCGTATAGGCAGGCGAGATCAGGTGAGGCGTCTTGGTGTCTATAGCAGCTTAGTCACCGTCTTGACATTCAGACATTGCTTACTCCACTTGTCCTGGGCAGCTTTCACCTTTCTGCCCCACATCATTCAGTACAAGGGCTGAGGCAAAGTGGAGATGGTGGGCGTACTTTTGGGCAGTCTCGGCGGTGAAGGGTGGCAAGGGCGGTACGGTAGCCATGGTTCTGGTACTGACGGCGATGGGCGAAAAAGCAGAGCGAGGAGGGGTCCCGAGGAACCGAGAAGTCGAAACCAAGGGTCGGGATAGCATCGTGACTAGAGCTGGTACGAGGTGTTACTAGGGTTGTATTGATAGTTGGCAAAGTAAATGTGAAGGTAGAGTATCGGTAAGCCTGAACGAAGGCGCGAACGAATGTTGTTGGGTGACATCTGTAGAACGGGAGGCCGAACGAAACAAACCACCCTGTGCATGGAATATATGCCCTCGACAGTGATTGAAGCCCAGTAGAACAGTCTGTACATGCCCCTACTCACATACCTGCTACATGCAGATGGGACTCGAGCATAGGATGATGGTGGCATGGCATGTAAGCCCCCCGAGACCCGGGGATGGCATGAGATCATCATCCTTCTCATCCACCACCGCATCTCCACTCCCTCTATTCCTCGAACACCGCTCCTCCTCCCTCCCCGCCCATCTCTGGCCGCCCCCAGCTGTATCCACCCACCGCCGTTGGGGACACCCCGCCCCAACGCCCCTTGTACACCATGCAGTATCTCTCCAAGGCCTACAACTACTGTGCGTACTACAATCTATCCTATACAATCCATGCTGACTGTGCACAGACTCTGGCATCAACCCCGCCACCCTCTCTGGCGCTATTGATGTCATCGTAGTCCGCCATGTCGCCGCCGACGGCACAGTGACCCTCTCCTCCTCACCGTTCCACGTCCGCTTCGGCAAACTGCAGGTGCTTCGCGCGGCCGAGAAGCGCGTGACGATACGGATGCCAAACAATCTCCCAGCGCCGCATATTGCGCCGTTCGACATGAAAGTCGGCGAGAGTGGAGAAGCATTCTTCGTGGTCGAGACCGATGAGCAGGTGCCGGAAGACCTGTTGACCAGTCCCATTGTGGCCCCTACGGAGGTCAGTGGCTAGATCATATTCTGAAACGAAAGCTGACACTCGTGCTAGACTGAATTACCACCCACGCCACCCTTATCAGACGATCAAGCAGCAGATGAGCATGGGGGATCTGTCACGCACGAACCCTTTGGGAGTACAGAGAAGCAGGTGCCACACGAAGAGCCCTTGGGTGATGTCGATTTTCTCGACCTCAATGCAACCCCAGACACACCCAGCAAGGCCACACATTCGGCTACGGCAAGTCCTCTGCGGCGGGATAACCCTCTCAGACACAACATACTCGGCACAGCGTCCAACATCCTTCCCCAATCCATGCGATCTGCTCCCTCCACACCCACAAAACCACAGGCTCCCGCTCGACAGCCGTCTATTGACGATAATGCCCCCAACGACGAGGCCAAGGCGAAAGAGGAGGACCGCCCTGTGGTGTCCAATACCGACAAGGAACCTAATCCCATCGAAGCGCACGCGGGAGACCGCCCAGAGCTTCCAGCAAGAGACAAGAAACTTAGCTCGTACAATGCTGCGTATTCAGCGTCCTCAGCAGAAAAGGCGTTGCCCAAGGTACCGGCTGGCCAGGGCGAAGGCCCAGAAGTGCTTTACGGCAAGGACGTCGTCTTGGACATGGACGGATACCATAGTGCCAAAGACGCCGAAACGCAGCAGGGAGAGCATGACGCCACAGTAGAGACGTTCATTCAAGATCTGATTTCGAGTGTACAGTCGACTGTCGAAAGTCGTCCGAAACCTCGAAAGTCATTGTCTCTACAGACAGAGGCGGAAAGGCCTTTTGATGACCAAGATGTCTCTCCAGCACTTTCCCCTCGCCAAAGCTCTCCCGATCTAGACCTAAGCACAACGTTGTCGGGCTTGTCTATGGACGGCAAAAAGACACACTTCTCCAACGTTGCCTCTCACAACAGGTTGGAGAGGGGTCAATCTGAGCCTCCCCAGACATTCCACACTGATGACCTGAGTAAATCGCCCGATACTCAAGCGAAAGACGTGGTGGAAAGAGAATGGGACTGGTCACGCCCTCAACCCGATACTCCAGATAACGGTGGGGAGCAGCATAATGTGACCGGCAGCTTGAAGAATGTCGAGGAGAATCCTTTCCTTTTTGTACTCGAAGTTGGCAAACACACGCATTCTTTCGAGCTGTCGCTGTGCGAGGGCTTTGGCAAAGATGCTACAGAGGCTGAACAAGAGGCAATGTTTGTCAAGAACCGCATTACCTTTCAGCGTTTCATTGAAGACTCGCGCATCATCGACAACCCTGCCATCGTTGTCGGCTATAACGACCTCTACTTTACTTGGTCTTCTGGCTACCGCCTCCTCTACGGCTTGGCTGTGTATCGCCGTACACTTGCGCCTCCTAATGCTTCGCCCTCGAGTCCCACCTTGCCTGCAATGTCTTTGGTTGATGCAGGTGGGGATATAGGGAGCGGCTCGACGACGGCAGCAAACGGGACTGGGTGGTCCAAGTGGTGGAGACGGGGGCAGAGTAATGGAAGCGAGTCAAGTGTCAGGCAGGGGCAAAGCGAGACCGCTCCAGCGACTACAACGCCCGTGCCCGGCACTCCCAAGCCCGAGTCCGATGCGCCAGTGCAAGAGGCAGATGGCACCAGACATTTTGCCAAGACACTTCGTTTGTCTTCGGATCAGCTTGTGAGTTGCAGCTTGTCGTGTCAGTCTTTTGCTGAAATCAAGAAAGGAACAATTGCATCTCAAACCTGGGCCCAATACGATCTCTTTCTCTGTTAGCTCTTCTTACTCTGGGCTGGCTGTTTGCACGTCCAGGATCTTCCTGTGGGAAGAAACAGATCAGATTGTCATTTCGGACATTGACGGCACCATCACCAAGTGTGTACCTCGTCGACTTGTCTGGCATTGCTAACCAAATCAGATCGGATGCTCTAGGCCACGTCTTTGCTGCCATAGGTCGTGACTGGACCCACCTGGGTATTGCCAAGCTCTACACCGATATCTGTAACAACGGCTACAAGATTCTCTACCTCACATCGCGAGCGATTGGTCAAGCGGACACTACGCGAGAGTATCTGAAGAGCATTGCACAGGGGCAATATCGAATGCCTGAAGGTCCAGTCTTGATGAGTCCCGATAGGCTAATGGCGAGTCTGCATCGGTAAGTGATTGAACGGTGCATGCAGAAATGTCTGCTAATTTCGAGCAGGGAGGTCATCATGCGGAAACCAGAGCTTTTCAAAATGGCCTGTCTTCGAGACATTCAGCGTCTCTTTGGCGAGCAAGCCAAAGAAGCCTTCTACGCTGGATTCGGTAATCGTATCACCGATGCCATGAGTTATCGAAGTGTGGGGATTGAAGCGAGTAAGATATATACAATCGACTCTACGGGCGTGGTCAAGACTGAGCTGCTACAATCTGCGGGGCACAAGGGAAGTTACATCCAACTTGTAAGTACCCTGATCTACAACAGTTGTCAAGCTCATGTGGCGAAGAACGATCTCGTGAACGAAGTTTTCCCAACCGCGTCAAGCAAGGTCAAGCCCGAGTATACGGATTTCAACTACTGGCGCGACCCTGTTCCCGATATTCCCCTACCCGACCTTACACCCCCATCGCCTGCTCTGTCAGCGCGCAGTGACACTTCAGGGCGGTACAGTGTGATTGGAAAAATCACAGGCATGGCCCGACGTTCTTCGCGTGCAACGCATCCCAATGGGTCCGCGTCTACATCGCAGGTGGATCCTTCCAGTCGCCCGTCCAGTCCTCTGATGGCGCCCAGCTTGACGAGCATGGATATGAGCGAGGGTGACGAAGAAGACGACGAAAGGAGTCTGAGCTCGATGCCCGGGTCATTTGAGGATGACAAGGGGGAATTACTAGATGAAGTGTTTTTTGCGAGCGGTAGCCAGCAATCAAGACCGGGTCATCGAGAAGAAGAAGATGGTAGAGAGGAGAGCGACGGAGAAGATGATGAGGACGGTGGAGAAGGAGGCCAGGATGATTCGTACGACGACGACGCCATCTTTGACGATGATATCTTGGCCGCCGGAGAGATGCAGAATGTGCCCTTTTGAGGGCATGTACCACAAGAGTCATATTGGAGTATTTATAACTGTAGATCATAATGGCCTTGAATATGCTGTCTGTATCAACCAGCAATGCATACGTTAGTCTTTCCAGGCGGACATGATCAAACAAACAGCAATTCACAAATGACAAACGACAAACGACAAACGACAAACGACAAACGACAAACGACAAACGACAAACGACAAACGACAAACGACAAAAAGAAAGTCTTCCTGACGGGGAATCGAACCCCGATCTCCCGCGATCACGATTACTCAATGACAAGCGAGCATACTAAACCGTTATACGATCAAGAATTCGTTATGAAAGAGCTGACATGAACCTTTATATCCCTCCTGGTAGTTTACCGCTCGACAATGGATTTCCCCGTACGAGTACGAGTAATGTACTTGGTATGCCAACTTCTGTAGCATCGCAGCGGTAAACTTGTACATGCATAATGTCTGATTGTACGTGATTCGGATGCAAACATATACAGATAGGGAGGGCAAACATCTATCCCAGAAGCCATCGTCGATGCTATAAGGATGCGTAATTAGCGGTGGGCGAGTTCGCCAATTCAACCGACGAATACTCATTTATAGTTTATATTTTTGTCCTCGAATGCGATAATTTCACCCCTTCGTTGCCCCCTTGCCCGTCTTCCCCCTACCTGCCCCCGCGTTGATCGCCACCTGCCTGCCCCATCCTACCGCCTACCCCAACTGCAGAGCTGACACATGAAGTCGCGGCTCTTGGCGTGGGTAGTCATATGGCGCTCGAGCACAGGAAGTGGCAGGCTCCTTTGCACACTCCACAGATGCACTTTGGGTTCTCGTTGTGCATCCGGTTGACGTGTTCCTTCATGTACACGGCCAACTTGAACGTCTTCTCGCAATCCTCACACGCATGCGGCCTTTCTTCGCTATGGCTCACCAAGTGGGTCTTGGATCGGTAAGCTCGTCAGCACAGTGATTCGCTCGACAGTCCCGAGAGGCTCACCGAAGCCCTTGTACAGCCGCTATACGTAACCAGCTTGGTCTGAGGCGTCTAAGCTGTCGTCAGCGACTGATGTGATGGCGGAAGAGATACTCACGTGGGGACGGGGAAGTTAGTCGTTGGAGGAGGACGACATATCTGCGGTCGAGCAGGTTCTCGTGGTGGTTGGTAGAAGTGGTCTGGAAAGAGAAGGTGTAGATGAAAAAGAGGGAGAATCCGAGAACTGGCCCGCTATATATACGTGTGATGGAAGAGGCTTTGAGCACGCTCAGTCAGCTCGGAGAACTTTCTCCAGCGCCACCTTCTAGAGGACGCGCGACTTTCATCCTATCGCTATGTCTTTTGCGGCGAGCGCCAGCGTATATACATGGCCTGGATGGCCAGGTGCTGATGAACACCCTCAAAAAGATTGTTCAGCTATGGACGGAATGGAGCCAGGCATCGGTTTTGGGTCAGATCCGGGATGAAACGCGTCGCGTATCAGAATTCGACGCGCCCGAGACTTTGTGGCGCCTGTTCACGTTCAGTAACTTACAGACTGCTCGAGCGACTATGTAGACACCTCTGCGATCGTAGCCGCCGCTCGGATCCAGGCTCGAGTCATACATTGTTGCGTGCAAGTAGATTCAGCTTTGACATCTCGACAGACACATTGCTATTATTATAAAGTAAACTGCACAAGCATCACCTTCCTCGAAGCGTGGCACCTGGAGTGATCGGTTGTTCCTCCTCGCCATCGTCATACTGGCCGGCCGTAGGGTCAATCGTCAACGTCTTTTTGCCCAATTCTGCGGCAGCATCCTCGTATTGGTTATCTTCTTCCTCGTCCTCGCTCTTTACGCTATGAGCGCCAACAAGAGGGGAAGCCTTTCCTTCGGCAACAGCGTGTAAGCCGTGAATGGAAGAGTTGAGAGACTTTTCGAGTTTCTTCTCACCCGACTTTTTGACACGAAGGTGAATGGCGCGTCGGAGAGCATCAATGTAAGTCTCGTACTTAAAAATCTCGGTGTGGATATAGTGTGATTTGGCACGCCAATTGTCCTTGGCTTTAGCCAGATTCTTCGAACCAAACGAGTACTACCAGTTTATGTCAGCGAGAGATTCAAGCGTTGACGACAGTCACTGACCAAGCAAATCATCGGCTCTTCCACAGCTTTGTGCCTTTCAAGCTCCTTCTCCTGGAGCTTCACGTAGGCCACCAGTGCTTCGAGTTGCGCCTCCTCCTCCAGAGGGCTCGGAACGCTAGCAGCAGGAGGTGGCTTCCAATCGTTGATATAGATCTTGTCATTCCCACCGCCGCCGCTAGAACTGCCCAAGCGACGCCCATATGTCCCACCGAGTCGACTCATGTTACTCCTATGGCTCATGATGCTCATCTGATCATCTTGATCGTCCAGCCCAACCTTGTTCCACCCATACTCCATGTTGGAAACACCTCCTTGCAGGGGCTGTCGACTCTTTCGCGCAGCCCAGTAGTTGCAAGTAGCTACCCATTCGGCCACCAGATCTTCAGTACCAGCTTGGAAGAAGCTGACCTCACCAGAAGGCTCGGTGAGGGAAAAGCAGTAAGGTCGAGAGGAAGAGTAGCCGGGTTTGGGAAGGGTGGCCGAGGTGGTGTGCATGAGAGGGATCTTGCCGTTGGCGTTGGCGTTTTCCTGACAAGCCTTAGCGCTTGATGTAACAGAGATGGGAACAACTCACGAGCCAATTACCACCTCCGACTGAGCCGCCCATAGACATCGATCCGCCACCTTTGCCATCACCGAAAGTGAACATAAAGACGTCCCCTTTGCTGGCGACCACAAAGTACTGCTTCCAGTCTCCGCTCTTCTTGACTCTCTTCGTCACGCCTTCCGAATGCACCTTGCGTTGCAAGATGCCCTCTTTTGCCCAGGGCGCGCCCAAAAGAGCCAACTCGTCGTCGTCCATCTCCTCTATCGTCCCCACACTGGCATGCGAATGTACAGAGTGCGTGTCGTCACCGTCATGTTCGCGAATCACCGTGTGTGAAAGGTTGGACGCAAAGCCGAGAGCTGGTGAAAACGCTGACCCAGGAGAATTGATTTCGTTGGTAGAATTGGCGTAACTTGGCGCGGGAGATAGTCTACCTTCAGAGCTATACCACTGTGACGAGTACGGGCTGTTGCTCGCTAGCAAGCCTTGTACGCTACGGATGCTGCCTCGTTTGAGGACATTGACTCTGTCGGAGGGACTCCTGACGCGCCCAGCCCTGTCGTAAGGGCCATTGCTGGCGATGGATACCATCGACTGGCGCTTGTTACCCGTCGTATTCCTGTCATTGCCCCAAGCTGATGCCGTTGGTAGAAGAATTCTATCGGCGCGGACACTAGAGTATATATCCTTGAGCGCTGCCTCGGTTTCGATTTCCCAAGTCTTGCCATAATTGAATGACCCGGAGCTGACGGTGGTTGAACTGCTTCGGAGCTTGCTCTCTGAGGGGCTGACAGCGCTACCGACTACAGACAGAGAGCTATCGGCGCGGTGATGGGGCGGTGGCGACGTCACCACAGGGGCGGAAGCGCTTCTTTGGGTGGCACCAGAAGCCGGGACCTTTGCACGTACGCTGCCCACGTAATTAGTGGATGTACTCGAGCTCAGACTTGGCGGCTGGTTGTCCCCATCATCTCTGATCAAATCAGGCGTCGAAGACCTGTCCTCGCCGGTACCGCTGCTCAACTGAATCGCCCGCATTGCGTTCCTCACGAATTCGCTCTTGGACATGTGCTTTTGGAGTTCTGCAATGTGTAGATCGGTGTTGAGCATAAGCATTGCAGCGGCAACGGTGTGGACGACATCGGGGGAGCCAAAAGTGGTGTTTGGGTTACACTCGAAAAAGCGGCCAGAGAAGGCTTCGATAATGCGGTCAATCTCTTGAGACTCGGCTTTGAGGTAGAGCTTTTGACAGAGATCGCTAGAACAAGGTTAGAGTAGACTTCACTGTGAGATAGCAAACGCACCGGAAAGCTTCAACAAGATTCTGACCCTTCATGTCAAAGTACTGCATGTAATACTTGAGCGCGACGGTATTCACGGGGTGCCTGCGATGGTCAGTCCTCGAAATCTTCATGATTGCCAAACTCACGGTCCCCCCAAGAACTCTGCAACCTTGTCTCCCGCCACATTGGTTGTGTCCTCATCCAAGAGCTCACATGCCAGCCTCCTGCCCTTCTCCTCCAATTCTTCACCATCTTCGGTGGTATCGGTGGTATCGGTGTTCACCGTATCCGCTCGACTGGGCATCCTTGGTGGCGATGCCATCATCTCCACGTCGCCGTCGTCATGCCTGCTCGCAACCGAGCCGGAGCCAGTGTGGCTTTGAAGACGCGAGAGCTCAGTGTCTGATGACTCTGGCAGATTCGGGGCTCCAGGAGATTGTCTGCCCCAGGCCGACGGGCCGGTGGGGGGAGGCGACTTTGGAGAATCCCTGGAAGGCGTTTCAGAGGCATCGTTGGCTTGAGAGGCCGCCTTGACAGTGCTCGGAAGATCCAGCCTTTTGTCTTCACCAAAGATGGGTGAGATCGGAGGTGCCGCTGATGGTTGTACATTGAGCAGAGGCCCTTCGGAACCTTCCATCTGAGTCTCGAGCCGAATCTTGGACCCAGACGAAGCTCGCAAACGGGAGAATTGGTTCGGTTGGGCCTTGCTAGCGGTTGCGAGATACGATGGGATGTGTGAAGTTGACGCTCGCTGAGGGGACGAGGATTCCTGCTTGGCCAGATTGGTTGTCGGCAGGGAAGCCGATCTCTGAGGTCCTGTCGGGGGAGGCGACTCCTGTGACGGAGTCCGACTCAAATCGGCAGGGAACTTGCCTCGGCCATTCTCCTTTTTTCTCATACTTGACGGCGGCAGCCCCAACTCTCTGGCAGGCTCCGACTGACCGATATCCGCCAGCATGCCTGCCATGTCCGCAGAGAACGAGGACACTGCCGCCGTGGCTGGCGACGATACAGGCTTCCGTGATGAACCGGCACGGACGGGCGTAATCACCTCCTCCTCCTCCGCATTCGCAGGCTGTCGTACGTGTAGCGAGCTCCCAATCTTTTTCTCGAGTTGGGGCGCCGTACCATCTTGGTCTGTGACTCGTACAGCCGGCAAAGGCTTGTCGATGCTCAATGCGCTTGCGCCTGACTCTCTCCTCCCTGTGGGTGTAGTAGATACTCTCCCGGCAACCATCCCAGTATTGATAGGTCTCGGGGGAGGAGGCGGACTCTTTTGAGGCAATACTGGACTGCCGAGCGTGAACCGGTCTGCAGTACTTCCGTCGGTGGGACCGAATACGTCGGGATGTGAGATAGGAGGAGAATTGAAAACGCGTTGCTTCTGTTGCGCATAGGCGGAGGGAACTGCAGGGACCGGTGGTACCGACTGACTTGGCATCTCATGGATGTCTATTCGGGAAGAAGAGGCAGACGCCGAATTACTTGGTAGACGAGACTATAAGGCGTCAGAGGGCTCTGTGAGAGCTGGTACGTACATCCTTGCTGGATCCAAACATTTTGCCAAACATGCCCTTGGCCTTGTTTCTCATGCTCTGTTGCAAGTCAGCACGGGCCTCTTTGACGATGCTGCAGCCCTTACTTTGAAGCCCTCGTCCGAAGTATTCGACCTATTCCTATTCAAAGTACCTTGCCCCTCTGCTATCGTGGCCATCTGGTTGCCTCCCATCATTGACCCATACACGTCCATGTTTTCCTTTTTCGTACCTTCGGCCGTTCCAGTCCCTGCAGCTCGAGGGGGGGAGCTCACTCCTCGCGGGCTTTGGTATAGTGTCTTGGAGCTCGTCGAAGGAGTCATCTGAGACATTGGCGATGCGGTAGATGTAGGGCCGGCAGAGGGAGGGGGGTCGTGATCTGGTTTGTCCTTTGTAGACCGACGAACGATAGAAGCAAGATCCGGCTGCGAACTCGTGCCAGCGGAGCGAAACATGTTGCGGCGCTTTGGGGGTGGCTTCTTCAGTTTTTGCTTTGGTTCGATACCAAGTTCAGCTATGGAGGGCGTCAGTGTAGCCTTGGTACGGAAGGTTGGGGGTATGACTCACCGTCAATGCCGAGACTTTTGCTAACCTTGCGCGCATGGCGGCCTGGCGTATGGCCCGTGCCAGTCGAGGCCGCACTCGAGGTAGTCATCACCGACCCTGCTCGCATGTGCCCCCTCGTGGGGGTGGGAGGGATGACGCCGGGTGTAGTGAACGTCCCTCTTACCGGGCTTCCCATCCCCACACTGCCCACACCAAGCCCGACCCTTTCATCCTGTGACTTTCGTCCGAGTTCTTTGAAATCGTCCTCATAACTCCTCTGCTTTCCCGCTTCAGTTGAATATACTGGACTATCCATAGTATCTGCGTCGAGCCCTGGCGTAGCCTCGGAAGCGCCAGAAGCAGACTCTGTCTCGGGCTCTTCCCCTATAGCGGCCGGTCCAGCAGAGAGGAAGAGAGTAGCACCAGTGTCACGAAGGGCAGCTTCAAAGTCTGCTTCGGATTTTTTGAGAGAGCGATTAGATGAGGTGGAGAGGCGGTGGTTTGGATTAGGAGAGGAAGGATTTGACCGGGCCATTGGGGGCATGGGGGAGAGTGATCGGAGGGACGGCATTTCGGACAGTCACAGGGGTGGTCGGTTGTTGCCAAGGAGAAGTGAGGCCGGGTGACGCTCCGAGGGGCGCTCAGGTCAAGTACTGAACGATAGGCAGAGGACGGCGTGGGATGTATAGGGATTATTGATTTGAGGGACAAATGCAAGAGATGATAAGCGGGTTATTGATGCGAACTAAGTGGAGGACCTCTCGCGGCGTCTTCCCTTTCCCTTCTATGATTCTATCTCCCGACTCCTCTCTCCCCTCTCCCCTCCCCCCCCTGACCCCAGTCTCGGACGTGTACCCCTCAGCTGGAACAAGCCCCCTCGCAGCAACCCGCCACATTTTCAAGCATCCCCCAACGCCCAGTAACCACCTCTCAATATGGTACGCTCTCGCACTAGGCCATCACATCATAATCAGCCCCTATATGCTCACACCGCCACAGCCTCCCAGCTCGAGCGTACTGAACCAGCAGTTCCGAGCCATCACAGGTGCCTCGTATGTCTTCTCTATCGTGCCACTCGAGAATACACGCGGCGCCGAGATCCTGGCGCATGGTATTGCAGATGGCTGACAGCACGCGAACAGGGCGGCAGAGGCGACGAGGTACATCAAGAAGTACAAGTCTGTTGAGAATGTCAGTCAAACTTTGGACCCCTCTGTAATCTTGAAGCTGATATGTGTTTCAAGGCCGTGGACGCTTATTATAACGACAACGACGATGAGCCTTTTGCTGTTGCGGACCCTGCTCAAGAGAAGAAGCTCGGGGCTATCTGGGAAAAGTACAAGGGTGCGCATTGTGCCATTGTGCATGATGTTCATGCTGACGGTGCGCAGATGAGAGCAACCCCAAGCTGATCACGATTGAGGGTACTCTGCAACTGTGCGAGGAACTTGGTATCGACCCCGAGAATGTACGTTTGCCGACCCAGCTCGAATCTGTGTGCTGACATCAAGGGCATAGGACTCTGTGCTTTTCTGCCTCGCGGCTGACCTAGGATCCAAGGTCACCGGTGAATGGGAAAAGGCTCCCTTCGTGGCCGGTATCCAAAGCTACCCCGGCACGTAAGCCACCTCCCATGCTCACTTGTCCCGGATCATTTACTCATATTGAACTTGCAGCATCGACACCATCCCCAAGCTCAAAAATTACCTCCCCACCCTCCGTACAAAGCTCAATACCGATCCCGTCTACTTCAAAAAGATCTACACCCATGCTTTCACGCTCGGCAAGGGGTCCAACGAGATGACTCGTTCCCTTGCTCTTGAAACTGGTACGCCTATGGAGACTCCTAGCCCATGGTATGCTCACCCGTCGACAGCTATCCCCTTCTGGAGTCTCTTCTTCCCCCCCGCCTTCAACTCGACCCCCTCCGCCCTCTCTCATGTCCCTGACAACTCTCCACCCCAATTCACTCAACCCGAACTTGATCTCTGGATAGAGTTTGTCACCCAGAAGAACAGAGCCATCTCGAAAGATACCTGGTCTCTTTTGGTCGACTTTGCAAGACAGATAGACAAGGAATTCAAGGAGTATGATGAAATGGCGGCGTGGCCGTCGATGATTGACGAGTTTGTAGAGTATGCGAGGGAGAAGAAGGGAACTCGGGTGTGATGCCCGCTATCGAGCCAAGTATGACATGTACACATATCATATCGAGGGCACATCATGACATTACATCGTTGACAAGATCTACAGCAAAAATAGCAAGTATCTATACAAAAGCACATCATAAACAGGGCCCATTAAATACTATCCGCCAGATATATACGAGAGGCAGCGACAAGATATATATAAAGATTCTCTAAAGGTATTCAACCAAGATTCCAAGCTATCTCAACACTGGACAATCCTCTGAGCAGCTTGTCCGAGCGCATCGAGGGCATCCCTCGCACCGTCCTCACTCTCTCCATACTCGCTCTCCTCATCCAACCTCTCCACTACCGTGTCACCCAATCTATCAATCTCCGGCGACCTCTTTGCCTGGTTCTGCATCAAGTCTCCAAGTGAGGCGCTCGACACATTGTAACTTGGCATCATCCCTTTGCAAGCCACATGTCTCACGTGCGCCACCTCTCCCAGCTCCCAGCTCTTGAGCGACTGGTGGCTCGTCCTGGACGTGCGGTCTGAGCGCAGACTGGTGCGAGAGTCGCGAGAGTAGCGGGAGAATGTACTTTGGAGGGAATCGCGATTGGGATAGCCGTGCGAGTCGGAAGAGGTTGAGTTGCGATGCGGGGCAGAAAGATGTTTGGGAAGTGGGAGAGGAGAGTAGGAAGGGGGCGGGGACAGGGGCAAGCCTGGGACAGCAGGTTCTGGCGAAGGAGAAATGGGAGACTTGCCAAACGTGCTAGCATCTACATCCAGAGGGCTTACCCCGATCTGTGGTAGAGATGGGCTGCGGTCGATCGACAACCTTGGCAAGTCTCTTCCGGGAGGCGGCGGAGCAAGACCAAAAGTCTGACGTTTATCCTTGGGTCTCTTCTTCTTTGCTGAACCAGACTGATTGGCAAATCCAGACTCGAAATCATGCTCCTCATCGTCCGAGGAATAGTCAACGTCATACCCCGTATCGACTTGTTCGACGTCGTCTGCCCCATGAGCACGAAGCCCTGGAATTCCATCCGAGGTGGAAGGGGTGATCAGGTCGAGTTCGACAGACGAACGCGACTTGAAAGGAGACGAGTAATGCACACCGAATGACTCGGACGATGTTCGAGGTATGGCCACGGCTCTCTCCCCACTCTCTTCACGAATCACCACTACCTCCTTGAGCTGCGGTCCTTGTAGATAGACCTCTCTAGAAGAGACGGAAGCATTTGTATGATGCCCACCGCTGCCACTCCCACTCGAACTCATCGCACTTGCGCTCCCAAAGAAACCGGAATCACCTCGTCGATGGGCATTGTCGGGCCTTTTGGGAGGTGGTGGGGAACGAGGGAATGAAGTGGTCGTCGACACGGATGCAGGCTCGAATTCGCGTGCTGTACCAGAGGCTGAAGATGGGGGAGTATGCTCCTCTTTCGGGAGGGGTTTCCTTGCAATCTTCTTTGAGAGGCTCTCCGGGGTGCAAGGTCTGCTCTGCTTGGGTGCCAGGCTCAGTTTCGACCTCCTGTTCAATGCCTTTCCGACGCCAGAAGAGTCTGCGCTTTGGACCGCCTTCTCTGCCGTAGTACTCTCTTCGTATTTCTTCGGCTCTTCCCACGCGAACCCCATACCCAAGATACTCTTTGTCCATTCCCCGTCTCTGGCCGACTCGACATCTCCGATCGGAAGGTCTTTGAATCCTCGCAGTTGGGCAGAGAGGCGCTTAGTTTGACGTGGAATCGGGGCAGCGAGGAGGTTCGGGTCGGAGCCAGAGCGGGATCGACTCGAAGGTGAAGTCGTGTGAGGCGCGGTTGTGGGGAGGCGGTGTTGGTGGTGCGAGTACTCTGATTCGGAGATTTCAGATTCGGTAGCGGAAACGGGGTATGAGTCTGATGAAATCCGACGTGAGATTCGTTTTGGATTTGTAGTGGGATGACCTCCAAAGACATCTCCCGCCGCCAAGCGTCCACCATGGGCAGTGGGCATGGCCGGACGATCCACCTCAAAGGAAAACTTGCGCAACATTCCCGTAGCAGAGCTCGCCCTCGAGCTTTGGCTATCGCTCGTCCCATACGCATACGGCTCGTTCGAGGGGCCAACCGGAGCAGAGTGCGGGGCACGGAGAAAATCGTCACCTGCGACGTGATGGTTGGGAGTAGTATGCTGGCGTTTACGGGCGACGCTGATCAAAAACAGGTCGGATTCCGAGAGACCCTGAGCTTTGAGAGAGGATAGCCAAGCCGGTGGGAGGTCTTGCAGGTCTGGCGAGACGTGAAGATCGTGCTGCAGATCGTTAGCTTTATAGAGTACAGCGGGTATGGATAAAGGTCGTGTAAGATCCACCAACGCGCGATAGAGAGATTACTCACTTCAACATTGAACGGTCGACCAATGCCACTATCGCCTTCATTCCTATCCATGCTCTCCCATCCGGTACCCTCAAACACTACCTGTTCCTGCATCGACGGCATCTTGCCCCTTTTCCTCCATGTACCCGTGTTGTTCACTCCCTTCCTTGGTGTAGATGCGGCGCTACCAGGTGCAGATCCTGGCGCAGAGAATGAGCCGTGGCTAGACGTCCCTTCTGCGGTGTTGCGGCGCATCACGCTGCCTACTCTGCCTATACCCTTACCGATGCCCATCAAGAGCTGACTGGATGATCGTTTCTTAGCCAAGGGTACGGGGCCACTGTTGCCACTGTTGCCACTGCCCGAGCTCGGCGTCGGTGGAGCTGAGCGGTCGGGGGGCGCGCATCTGCCTGGGGTTGAAGTCTGCTCTGATCGAAGGGAAGGAGAAGCCTGGGGTTGAAACACGACCCGTCTCTTTGAAACAGGCGTTTCGGGGCCTTCAGAGTAAAAGACAGAGGTCTGCGAAGACGTCACAGACATAGATGGCGAGCCCGGGACAGTCAAGGTAGTTGTGCTGTAGTTTTGTGTGCCGCTGGTCAATGTAGAAGACGATTGGTTGGTGTAGGGATAGCGAGAGGCTGAACGAGTTGACGAAGTGGTGATCGGAGAGATGGATTCGGCGTTGGATGATGCTTGTTGTCTATGGAAATGCTGTGAGCGTGTGGCCGTGTGGATGGCTTGGTGAAGGGCACAGAGGGTGAATGTCCCCTTTGGCACAACGCACAGGGGGCCGCATGGGGGCTCTCAATAGCACTTACCTGGCAGACCGTCTGTGGTTCTCATCGCCGCTGCCCGTCGTGCCCGTGCCGGCGTAGGGACCCCTGCCATGGAGGTCGAGTCCGAGCGCATCGAGGGGGACGGCTGGGAGCTTCTTGTTGCTGTCAGCCGTGGTGGGTCTCCGGGGGGGCATGGGGGAACGGAATAGGGAGAACGTTGGATGATGGAAAAGGAAGAGAGGGATGTAATTGTTCTACGTGCCACTAGCCACCCAGACAGCGTCCGTGCACCCAGCCACCGCTGCCGTCCCTGCTGCCACCCCCCGAGGGCACGCTGCAGCCAGCGACCAGGGGGCATGGGAGGCCGTCCACGGCCATTTGGGGCGGGTTCGGAGCTGGTTTGTGGTCGCCGGGTGGGGCTACCTCAGGCTTGCCCATCTCCTAGCGCGTGAAAGAGGGCATAAGCGGGGCGGAAGCAAATGAGATCGAGATGTCAACAAAATCAGGAGACGCGTGAATCTGAAATCTCATAATCGCACCAAATATCCCCCTCGATGGCCGCTCTGCCCCCCGCCGAGGCCTCAAAGCGGTCACAAGCTGTCGGCATGCTCAGGAATCAGATGCGCCGGGAAGCAGAGTCTGGCAACAGCAGACAGTGCCAGAAATGCTTTCGGTGTTGGCCGTGGGCGACCTTTAGGCCACTCAAGTCTGGAGACCTCGCAAGTCATTCACTCGGCCCAAAACCATGATCTGACATACTACTTAGCCCGTGTTCTGCCTGGCATGCTCCAGACAAGACATGTACAGCAAGCACTGTAAAGAGGTCCATGGCGAGATGGTGCGTCCTCAAGCGTCTCCGAGTACGATATTGACCGATGTTTAGCTCCAATTCATTGCCCTACGCCGTGGAAAGAAGGCATCATCGGACGGTCGCACGTCTCTCGAAAAACCTGCCCAGAAATCTCGGCCAAAGGTCGTTACTGCCGGAGGATCCAAGCCTCAGCTCGCTCATCACCATCGCAAAGAGCGGTTGCAGATGGAGATGGCGGCCAAGCAACGAGCTGCTGAACAGAATCGCATCCACCCCGCCACCCCTATCACACCGTCAAGCGAACGGTCCCCTGCGATGCCTTTGAACCCGAATCAGCCCCATTCGAATGACCGACCAGGCAATACAATTCACTTGCCCCGTCTGCCCTATCAACCAGACCCCATTCGTAATGTCGGCCACCCCGCTCTTATCAGTCAACCCTCCGGTCACTCCCCGAGACATCCCATGGCATCAGGACACAATATGACAGTGCCCCTACCAGTCTCCGACGTTGCCCCCTTGCCGGTGGCACTCAGCCGGCTGGCACCCTATGATCTAAATGCACTGTCGCAGAAGCCAGAACATGTCAGACTCATGAGAGAACCTTACCGGTCTTCCGTCTGGTACGCTCGCTATCTTTCTCACTCGCGACTGCTTCAACTGATCTTTATATAGGTTGCAAATCATGTGTCGGCCCACAACAGCCCCGCATGCTATATCGTTCAATCTCCTCACGCGGGCGTATCTGCATTTTCTATCTTTCTCCGCTAGAGAGACCGCATCCACCCCCGGCACACCCATACAGTCCTCCCACCCTTCCCGACCTTTCCACCCTTCCTCTGCTTCTCAAAGCCATCATACCCCGATGCATCCCCGGCCACCGCTTGCTCTGCCATCCCGCCACCTTCCACCTCTAAGCCCCACAGACCTCGTCAAAATCTTTCGCAACCTCTGGCCTCAAGTTCGCTTTTCTGGCGGCGTGCCGGGAAACGAAGAGCTGTTCTGTTTGGGGATGGAGTTTAGGGCCGGGAATGCTGGGACGGGGTCCAACGCTGGCGGCGCGAGTAGTAGGCCTTGAGAGAACGAGTCAATAAGTCTGGGTCTGGGTATCGTACCTGGAGTGGGTCTCTCTTCCGGGACGTAGAACAATGCCGGTCAGCGCGTGTGGGACAGGACATCCCCGGTGAAGGAGGGATCTGAGGTGCCAATGCAGTCAAAGCAGATATCGGCACAACTCTGCCTGATGCCTCCCCGATCGATTCTGAGTATCTGCCACTCCCTGAAGCGTCACCTAAACAGCTTTCCTGGGAGACCGGGCCTCTGCTGCTATCGCCTGAACAGATCCTCCCAAACCGCCAGAACGCTCAAGGCAGTATCAGGTGTGTATTGTTCCTTCTATTCAAAGCAACTGCTAACCTTGTCACAGATCCTTCTGGTAATTGAACAAGAAGTAGGAGAGAATACCACTACCCCCTGGCAGTACACAGTCTACATCAAGGGACGAGCTTTCTACAGACAGCATCATGATTCTCCATAAATTGTTGTAATCATAATACTGTATGTCTTATGTACTTTTTGCGTCTTCTCGACCAAGACTCAATCCCCACGCTCTATAACGGATTACATGAGACTGCTACCGGACAACCACTCGGACGCAAAATGTGAAAAATGCCATGTATCGGATATGTATGGAAGCGAATACTATTTGAAACAGATACACAAACATTGGAAAGCCCTCTGAGGGTATGCGTGGAATTCGAGCTGTAAAAACTATAAGAACTAGAATATTCTACTGACTATTACTGTTGACACACGTACACAAATTTATATATCAGGTGTTTCCCTTGGAAAGGGTTTTACTATCGATGTACAAAGAAAAATGATGCAGTCCGTCCGCTCTGATGTAGGGAAAGGGATATGAGAATGCTTTTGAATGGGGCCAACTCATAAGCCATCAAAGGCCATGGCCACATTGCCCCAAGCACCCAACACGACCACCTCATCACCGTCCACCCCCTCCTCATCCTGCACCTCGTCGACAGTCTTGTAGCGTACTGTCGTCTTGCCATCGCCCCGCTTCTCACTCCGCCGGCTGTTCCCAGCGACAGTATCTCCCCCTGTGCTTTGCTCGCTCGAGCCTTGATTGATCGAAACTAGATCAGCCCAGTAGGCCGCCCCCGTGATGGTATTGGTACTGTTCTGAAGTACCGTAGCGTTCATCCCAGCGCGAGCAAAAGACGAGTTGCTCTGCACAGTGATCTGACCCAGCGACACCGCCCTATGCCGCCCCTGCCATGTGGGGTCGTAACCTGGCACAGGTGATGGGTCGGGTATGCGGATTTCTCCCCAGATAGTCTTGGCCGCGAACGGTCCGACAAAGTTTGGATGAAGATGCAGACTGATATCGCCGTGCAAAGTCGAGACCATAGAGGACAAAGTAACCGTTGTGGGCTGGTGCAGATATCGCACATGCAGTGAGCCGTCAACGGTACGGAACCCGGTATTGACTCTGTGTCTACTGGAGGCAGAAGCAGACTTTCGGCGGACGATGGCAAAATCAGGATCGGAATCGGTGCTGTCAGGCGTTGTAGAGTTGTCAGAGGCCGCAGATGGGTCGTGAAGGATGATGTCCGCAAGGATGTTTCCACTATGAGCGTGGTCAGGACTTTCTTTGCGCCACTCGGGAGCACTCACGAGAACACATTCACAAAGATACCCTCAGAAACATTCCACTGTCCCCTGACATCTCCCTTCGCTTCAATGTTTCCCGCCTGCAATGCCACATATCCTGCACTCACGCCGCCTGAATCATTCGACAGATTCAGCTCGCCAAACTGCGCAATCCCCTCGAGGTCCCCCAAGCTGAGGTGCATGTAATCCAAGCCAAACGACAGGGAAGGGAAGTAGGTGAAGGGTGCGTCTTGATTATAGATGGAGGCTGGCACGCGGATGACGATGTGGGTGGTAGGGACGTAGGTCGGGTTGAGAAGGCCGCGGCTCGTAATCTTGTTATCTGTCTGAAGTGGGCTCTGTAAAGAGGTCAGATTGGATGACTAGGCGACAAGCAAAACTCACATAGATGCCTACGCCCACGCCACCTTCACCTCGATTCATTTCGCAGACCTTCATCATCGAGTCCAAAGTCTGCGCCCCAGCATATTTCACTATGACATCCACAGTGATGCTTTCCTCAGGCGCACTGTTCTTGAGATCATCACTGCCATCTGAGCCAACGAACGTTATTGTTCCAGTCGATCCCAGACCACGCGCATTGATGAACAGGTCGGAAGGAGCAGACGCATTCGCCTGCAGAGGAAAGTTGAATGTTGACATATAGACACTGGTGGCGGAGAATGGCGTAAATAGAGACGAATAGGGGGAGGAAAAGTTGAAGGGTGTGAATCGATTACAATTTGTCAAGTTGCCATCAGTGGGCGAAGGCCCGTCCTGTAGAATGTCAATACTGCCTACGTGACAAGGCTGATGTACTCACTCTCGCTTCGGTGTATGTCAAATTGAACGGATCATTCCACCCACAGATAGCTACATGTCGCGCTGTTCCGTCTTTGTCTTCCCACGAAGGCGCCGAGACACCGTGTTTCGACACACCGCCATGCTTCATGCCGACCAACAAACCGATGACAAGCGCGACGGTGATCAGAACCAATACGACCGCGCCCTGTACCCATCTTCTCCACCATCTTCTGAAAGTGGGCGAAGCCGCAAGGGGGACATTCTTTTCTTTCGACGCCGAGGATTCCCAAAGCTTGGAAGTACTCGCGACTGGAAGCGTTGTTCTCGTTGTGCTCACGATAGAGGGACTCCGTGATATATGTGATCCACCGTGTAGCAGCACAGCACCGTGATGTGTGTGGAACGAGGGCAGAGAAGAGGAGGATGCTCTCGTAGCGGTCGGCGTGAGGCTACCAGTTGAATCTGTTGGTGAACGTCGGCCGGGGTACGAATGCGTCGGTTCGGGCGGTATGACTACACCCAGGCCAGGCTGCCGTCCTCGGTCTCTCGTCTCTAGCTGCGGCTGTTGGGCCACACTCTCATCTGAAAAGACATCGCCTTCGCGTGAGGACGACCCAGCCAGGGCAGTGGCTGTGCCAAGGTCATTGTGGACTGATAGACGCGACAAGCGCTGGCCTTCGTATGGCGGCAATGACTCGGCATCCCACGCGGACCCCTCAAAGTACGAGTGCTCTGAGGGGGCGCCATAGATGGAGGGGGTGGCGGATTCTCGAAAGATGTTTGGGTCCTTCTCAGGGTCGGGAGGGATGATCATGGCGGAGAGGTTTGAGAGGTTTGTTGTGGTTTATAGGACGAGTAGGAAAGAATAGGGAGGGCGCTCTGCGCGTTAGTGGGTATGTGGGCCAGCGAGGGGCTATCTCATGTCTCGCTCGCTGTAGTGGGCGGGGATGTGAACAAGATGTGAAGGGAGGAGGAAGATTGGGGGTATTCGGAACAGCGGATGGTGGTTGATGGGGAGGGAGGGATGACGAGATGGGATGACGAGATGGATGTTCGGCGAGCACAGACCACAACACCGAAAGCGTCCTCTACCCCATCTGCTGCGATCCTCCCCCGCCCGCCTATCCTGCAGAACCGAGAGGCACGCGAAAAGAGGTGGGCGGCGGTGCCCGCTGCTGGTATCGCAACCTGCAACTCGGGGCGCTGAAGACGCAGATGCAATAATTCCATAGCTACACACCTCCATGATACATACAATATTGGGACTATGCAATAATAAAAGATCCGCTAAAACACCAAGATTTCTATGCCCGTAGCCCTCGTAGCCCTCGAACACCCCCAATCCCTGACCCCGTCGACGTCTTGCTCCCCTTCGCCTCGTTCTCCTTTCCCTTCGCGCTACTTCCTCCCAGAGACACCTTCGAGCCCGTCTCGTTCTCTTGTAAGAGCACCATGAACTTTTTCTGGCTTCCCGTTGCAGACTTTGACTTGGGGAGAGCAGATTTGTTTGGTACAGCCTGGGGTGCCGCTATGATCTCGTTCGAGAGTCGCTTCTCGACCAGAGTCAAGGGCTTCAGGCCCCTCTTCTCCACAGTCTTGCTGTTTTGAGCAGGCTCCACAGTAGATTCAGACTTTTGTTCCTTCATCTCCTTTTCAGCGTCCCTTTCCGCATTCCTCTCGTTCAACTGCTTTACTAGCCGAAGTTCCTGCTTTGAGGGCTTGTAGTCTAGCGCCTTTGGCAGGGGGGTAGGATTGCTAGCCTCCAACTCTGACACCGTCGAGCTGGACCGCAATGTCTCGCTGGAGCTTTTCGGCAAGAGGTGCTGGACAGGCGGGTGAGGCTCAATGATGGAGAAGCGCTGATTGTTGACGGGCCCGAAAGTAGAGGTAGAGGTAGACTTTGCCAAAGGAGGAGGATGGGGGTGGGAGCGGACAGACGGGGCAGCCCCATGGGCCGAGTGACGATATGGTGAAGGAATGTCGGGCACAGGAGGTGCTTCGACGGCAAAGCTCGTCGAGTACCCTGTTCCGGAAGCAGATGTAGTTGTCGTTCCACTGGTGGTTGTCGAGATTGACCTGACGCTCGCCCGGCTTGATCGACCATCCTCGCCACCATATGAAGAAAGCGGGGGAGAAATGACAAAATCAGCTCGGGTGGGAGTGTCCATGGCCATCATGGCTTCCATCTCCTCCACCGCGTCCTCGGCGTCGGTGTTTAAAGTACTGGCCAAAGACCTTTGGCTTGGAGACATATGGGAGGCCTTTTGCGGCAGATTGGCCTCTGCTGCCAGACTTTGGGAGGAGATTGAGGCGCCCAGCTCAAGAGCCAAGTGCATATCTGCCACGTACGATTTGGAAAAGGTCATCGGGCTTTCCTTTGGCAGACGCTCCTCGACCCTTTCGACTGTGCTGCCCTGCTGCGTCAGAGTGGCGGGGATAGGTGGAAGATCAAAGCCAGAGGATACAGGACGAGCGAGCTCATCGAAAGACTTTCTCATCTCCTCTGTAAAGTCTTCCTTATTGAATTTCGGCAGACCGAAAGAAGTCTTCTCCTTTAATTCTTGCTCTCTCACAGTCTGATTCGACTTGGCGCTGGCATCACGTCGCACCCTCGAAGTTGATTGCCCATGCGACTGGGCAGTGTAGTACTCGGGCGACTTGGAGAGGTCCATAGAAGAAGAAAAGCTTCGGGTATGGGTATGTTTGCCAATGTGACGAGACTGGTGAGGAGTAGACTGGTCTTTGAGAGACATGGAGCGGAAGGAAGGAGCACCGATGAAGCTTTCGTTGTCGTTCTCCACATACGAGCGGCGGTCGGCACGGGGAGTGTCGCAGTCGCCGGCTTCGTCAGAGTCGTGGACGATTGCCGCTGAACCAGGAGCAGGCTCGACTCTAATATCATTTCCGATCTTGATGGCTGGCACAAGTCTGATGATCCATCAGTAAATATTTGTATCGGTCACTCAAAGCACTCACTTGGGCAAGACGCCAGCCGTCAACCAGTCCAGCTCGTACTCATCACCCTTCCCAGGCACCCTTCTTTGATCGGAAACTCTACGCTGGTTGTAGATCAACGTCGGTCCATTCGACATTCTCCCTCGCTTGGCTTCATGTATCTGAGTCAGCATGCTTTCGTACTCGCCATTGGAGCTGCAGCTGTGGCCGCGGCTGAGTCTGGAGGCTCGCTTGTCTGGCGAGGGACCAGTGACAGACACGGCGACACCCGACTTGGCAGATATGAATGAAGCATCGTCTGAAGCATCATCATACCGTCCAGTCGTTTCTGCTCGCTGACTTGTCGCTTCATGTTGCACGCCAGTCCAGCCGCCTTCAAACAAGCTGCTCGCCCGCTTGGCAAGCATAGACACCACTCCACCTCGATGACTCCTGATATCGTCTTTGTGGGCCCGCGTCTTGGGCTGAGTTTCGAGGACACGCATAGCAGGAACGGGCTTGAGCATTTCAGCGGCTCGAGCAAAGATGCCGCCGCCTTGCACAGCGTGCCCCTCCTCGAACCAAACATCGGCGCTCTTTCTTGCGATAGTCTTTCTCATGACCTCTTCAGCCTCCATGTCTCGCAGATCGAGATTGCCATAGACTGTGTGTCGCCTTTCAGGACTTTTGCCCTCGAATGTCACTCCGCGCGAGCCGCCGCCATCAGTGGACAAAAACGTCGTGAGGGACGGTTTCTGCTGCACCAGCTTGCCCATGTGTTTGCCGTTGATGTCCGCGGTAGAATACCGTTTGGGCTGGGGAGGCGTGAGCCTGGGTGAAATGGACACGGGGAGCGAGAGCTGGGACTCGGAAGTCAAGGCGAGGGACTTGTACCCCGAGGTAGCAGCTGTCGAGGTCGATCCCTTCTTGCCCCTGTTCGAGCCTTGCTTGGGATGTCGGTATCGCAGGATGTAGGAGAGGAGGACGAGGACAGGCGATGGGAGGATGATGGAGATGAGATAGAGGAGCGTTGCCATGCCAGAGGGCCCTTGAAGCAGCAACGCAAGTGCGAGCGCCTGGTAACGCCGAAAAAAAGGTTCCGTGAAGAAGAAAATAAAACGCGTCATTAGCATTCCATGCGTCTTGATGTTTGGTTCCAACTCACCCAGCAGCAGATAGATCCAGCGACAGCTACCATCCCGACCCCGCGTCCACCACGGCTCCAGCTCTGCAGCGCCTCGGGGCCAGACTCGACTGCAACCCAGTCCCGCTCATCGCCGCCCATCAACAGCTCCATACTGTCCTTGCCGGCCCCAGAGCTCATATCCCAAAGAGTGCTGCTTCGTGCAAACGTCGGAGTGGGAGGCAGAGGCATGTTGGTGGGCATGGGAGGGGGAGGAGGTGCGCGAAGGTCGATAGGCTTGACGCGCGACTGGCGCCTAACGGGAGTCTTTGCCTCCACAAGAGTAGTGCCGCTGGCGGTGGGACCGCTACAGCTCTCAAGAGTCCAGGTGGATGAACCTTTTGGGAATACTCGCTCAACAGGCACGCCTGTAACGGCATTGTCTATCGAACCAACGGCTCGAGTAGCAACAAGACTCGCACGACTCTCGCCGGCCATCTGAGAAGGCGAAAGCGGGTAGCTGCTCAATGATTCGAATGCCCTGGGAAGGGGGCGGAAGGGGTCTGGCGAGTAGGCGGCAATGACTGAGCCATCAGGGGAGCGGAGCGGGGACCCGATTGAAGAGAGAGTGTGAGTGTAGACAGTCGAGTCGGACGCCTTGACTGCGACACCCTGCGTCTGGCCAGGTCTTGGAAGGTTCGTGTCAAAAGCGGGGGAGAGGGGAGACCTAGGTCGAGTAACCGCAGGTTCTGGCGAAGGGAAAGACCATTCGGATATGGTCCGACTGTTGGTGTCCTGGGACAACCAAGAGTCTTCGATGGACTTGTCCTGAGAATTCGGGCTCAGGGCGATATTGGGGGAGAGGTGCTGGAAGGAAGAGGGCGACATGGCCGTCTGAGGCATAGTTGGGGGTGTCCTGAGAGACATGCCAGAAGCTTTGCTCTTGGGCGTCTTGTATGATGATTCCGAGGCGGATGTGTTGGCTGATGGAGATGTGTTCTGGGGGTCACCGTTGGACCCGGGCGAAAACTCGAAGGAAGAGATCATGGTCTCTGTACGAGCTGATACAGAGTTAGTCAAGCTCCTGCGGCCGTGGAATGGATACCCACAAGGTGACGAGACCCAACTATCCCCAACTCTAAGCTCCGCTTCATCCATCTCTTCCACTTCTCCGGCTTCTCGTTCGTCATCTTCACTGATACCCTCGGGTAGATAACCCGTCTCCTTTTCATACAAGCTCATCCGACTCTCTCCCCTCAGCCTGATCATGCCCTCTCTGGGCCTGTACGCCATCTGCCACATGCCGACAAAGCTGCACCCGCCAAGGACAGCCACGGAAGCAGTCGACATGGCGAGGATGACATATCTCGCCGAGTCACCAAGCACGCCTGCAAGGATAGTAGCGACACCAGTAGTGGCAGCCGAGATAGGAAAGATTCGTGGGTAAAGTGTATCGTGCGTGATACCTCCCGACTTGAAGACAGCGTGGCGGAAGGAGGACAATCTCGAGCTGTGGTGTCGGTTGTGCATCGGTTGGGAAACCATGACGAATAGTGCCAACCAAGCCGACGTAACAGGTAGGAGTGTGATACTGACAGCCACCCCTGCCCAGATGCCGGTTGTCCCCTCTATTCCGATCTCGAGCACGACCCATCCGGCGACGAGGCTGACGAACCCTTCGCCGGCCAGAAGCAGCATGAGCTTGCCCCTGACACCCAGACGGGCACCGACATCCCCCCAAGCAAGCTTGGAGGCTGTACTTGGGCTATTTGGTCGAGGGGGAAGGTTGAAGAATTCTCTGGGGAGGTTACGAGCTCGGCGAGGATGGGGAATGATGTCGGAGAGCTTTTGGAGGGACGGAGTGAGGTTGCTAGAAAGCGACAGGAGAGGGGTAAGGTGGTAGAGGAGAAGAGTAAGGAGTAGGAGGGCGGAGGGAATAGGGACCACGGTGGACAGTTTCTCGGGGAGCATACTGCTTTGTTTGGCGGTGTTGTAACAGTGGCAGAACGATGACGAGACGGATAAAAGAGTGCGTGAGGGTCGTCTAGATCGTCAAGTCGTTCAGGTTTCGTGAAATAGATGTCTCGTGTATGAATATCTGTCGTTAGTAGACAGGCGACAAGAGAAAAGCTGAGAATGGAGATGTTTGCATGGAGGCGATGTTTGTGGCTGCAGTGTGTGGAGAGCAGGAACGTAGAATCTGTCGTTCAACATTGAGTGCCGGTGTATGCCTCGTTGGTCGACAAGTTCGGGTGCACGATGATGGACTCAGGGCTTGCATGGGGCATGGGTAGATCTTTTCACTTGGGAGATGCAAGGACTGGTCGGCATGGCCAAGGAGTGACCGAGATCACTTCTCATATGCTCAAATCTGGAGGTGCGTGCTGTTGGTCTGAGGGATCTGAAGGGTAATCGGCCATATATTGCTGTGCAGATATAAGACTATCTATAATATCCATCACATTCGACATGAAGTGTCCAATAACAAGTAAATATGACTACAGATAAAGATGAAGGTAAAAAGACGAAAAAGGGCGATTGTTCCCTGATGACTTTCCTTTGGGGTGGTAGCTGGTACAACGCGAACGGAACGAAAATAACGATGAAAAAAGCCCAAAAAAAAAGAAAAAATGATAGTGATGTGTCGTACAACTTCGAGACACAAGACAGGAGACAAGACACTATTCTTTCTCAGACAGCTTCTTTCAACGCCCTTCTGGCCAACATTGCCTCATCCAGCCTTCTCGCCTCGTCCCCCGCTTCTTCCGGGCTCATACAGTCACTCCCACTCCCGCTCTCATCACTCAACCTTCTCCCCTCGCTCCCCATGGAGCTACTGTGGTCGAGATGCTCGCTCTCGTCAAACTCGCGTCGCCGACGGGCCCACTCGGCCTCGCTCAGCTCGGCATCGGCAGAGGTGGGGAAGGAAGTCGGAATGTGTTCGGCAGGGTCGGCAGAATAGTGAAGAGAAAGAAGGGACGTGAGGTTGCGGGCAAAGTCTACAAGTTGAAACACCAACCTGTGTGAATGTCAGCGTGGTTTCGTAACACAAAGAGGAACGCTTACGAATGGTTGGGACCAATCCAGCTGGACTTGTTCTTGACAAAGTCGTAGGCGTCTTGCATAGACCGAATGTGGCCGAGGTATTCGGGCATGGTGCCCGCAGCCGCCAGGGCCATGACATAGGCGATGGTCAGTGTAGCCGATCTCGACACACCACATTGGCAACTATCCACGTGTCAGCTTGACCCATTTGTAGGATATAGATACTCGCTGTATAAGCACCGGCGTCCCGCTCTTTCTTCCCTCCTCCATCCAACGGATCGCCTGCCAGAACTTCCACATATCTTGCACCTCGGGCCCCTGTGGCCTCCTCACATCCCCCAAAGTCGCCTTCTCTGGCAGATCCGCCAGTCCTAGCTCGCCATGCGACCACCTCACATGACAATACTCCACCTCCGGCCTCGCCGCATGACCTTCAGAGATAGAGGGGTACGTCTTGAGCTTCATGGTGCCCTTCTTCTCTGAACCAGTACCGGACCAGCCGGGGACGGCGCGGACGGAAAGGTCAAAGGGGTCGTCAATCTCTTGAGCGACATTGACGATCCGCACCTTGCTCTTGCCAACAGCCCAGACGTCAAATCGCCATGCAGACTCTTCCGCGCCGAGCCACACGCCGGGAACGACCTCGATAGGGCCGTCCTCGTAAGGCTCAGCCTGGCGGACGGGATACGGCTTGGAGAAGGAGAAGGACGCGGGAAGGGGAGGAGAGGTGGAAGGGGTGGTGTTGGTGGACGCCGAGAACGACGTCGTGGAAGATGAATCAGAGGCAGGCTTTTGCGGGCTCGAAGAAGGCAGAGCATAGCCGAGCTGGTTGAGACCAGACGTAGTCAGGCTGCTGCCCTCTGTCTCTTCAATGGTAGGTACGCCCATACCCATACCGAGAGGGGTGGCAGACCAGCTTCCTCCTTTGTTCTCTGGCCTCGTCGTAAAGATTTCTTCCGCCGTCTGACTCCTCGCTCGGCCCTTGCTACGGGGCATATGCATGGTGGCGTAGGGGTGCATGCCGACCGCAGGCGTGGGCGGCACCGCGTCTCCGCTGGGAGGTTGGGTGATGAGGCTCAGCAGAGACGGGCGGCGAAGACCTCGTGTCGTTGAGCGGCCCGTAGACATGGCGAGAGCTGGTGTACGGGGTGGTCCTGGGGTGAAGGGTGTAGGGAATGACGAGTCGCTGGGACCTGTAGCGGTGGGGGTGGAAGATGTGGATGAAGAGGAGGATGAGGGAAGAGAAAGGGAGAGTTTCTTGGGGTTGGATCTGCGCATGGCGAGTGCAGGGAGTGGCGGGAACAATGGTGTCGACTGAGGCAGGCCTGACTGAGCAGTAGGGAAGGGCTTGCCGATGGTTCTGGCCTGATAGCTGGGCACGTTACCGAACGACTCTTCTTCGTCGCCCGTCTTTATGTGCACGTTGTCCCCATCTTCTCGCATCTCGATATCCTCCATCTTGCCGTGTTCAACACTGGTACCAGTGATAGTGATCAATCCCAAGGGACCTTTGTGGTTTCCCTTGTCCTCGTTACCCAGCGAGCGGATGCGCTTGGTGGGCCTTTGACAATCAATTCTAGACCCGCCAGCTTCTAGAGCATGGGCCGGGGCGACTGGGGATGAAGCGGATGTTGGGGTCGAAGGACGTTTCCGGGGACTATGTGAGAGTCCGAGAGCAGGAGAAGGCGGTGCCGCTGGGGATGGGAGGAAGGATGTGCCACTGAGCGGGAGCGATGGGGTGGCAGGCGGGTTGAATGTGAAGGACGGTGTACGCGGGGAGAGGTGGAATCGTCTCTTGTTGACAGACAGACGCAGGGGGATGGGGGTGTGGAGCATTAGAACTAGAGTTGCACGTCGACCAGCGACGGTATGCGTATGGTTCAAGTGGGAGTGGGTAGAGGGGATATGGCCAAGGGCAGAGGGGAAGAGGACGGCAGTCAGCGAGAGATGTTAAGTGCGGAGAGAGAACAATAGGGAGCACAGCAACGGAGAACAATACGCTCGAGAACAATAGGGTTTCGACGTAACAGACGGCAGTTGTGATGGGAAGCACTCACCATTGTGATGGCAACCGTCCTTGTGCGAGCGACGGGAGATGCGCGTCTGGCTGTTGCTGTACTGGCGGGGGGTGGATGATATCGACAACAGAGGAATTGTCTGGGTCGTTGTCGTGGAGGGGAGTGTTTTTCTCAGAGAGGGGGACGATCTAGGGCCAGGGGTAATAGAGTGTGTGGTCAGTCGGGGAGGGGCCGTGAAACATACCAACAAGGAGACAATGCGAGAGAAAAGGAAAGGGCCCTGCATCTCAGGGAACAGCCTGACGACCGCGATCATGCAACCTGTGCACTCCGTCTGCGGGCACCCAGCCTGCTATGCCATGCTATACCATGCTCTACCTAGTATACATGCTATGCCATGCTATGCACTGCCCCGCCGCTGGAGAGAGCGCGATGCATGCCGCCAGCCGCCAGCCGCATTCTTCGGGGCCTCTTTTGCCTGGTCCCTGAGCCCATCAACGACCTGCACTGCATCTGGCGGCCACCGCCGTCCTGCGTCCTGTTTGGTTACCTCCGTTCCTTTTTGGACACTCGACCTTTGTATACCCGGGCAAATATCTGATCACTTTCCACATCCACCTCAACCTCAACCTGCAACCCCAAATATACACACGCAACATGTCTGACCTATTTGAAGACCCCCTCAAGCCCGAGAACAACCACAACATGTCCCTAACCCCATTCCACATCTTCACTCTCGCCCTTTCCTCCCTCTCCCTCATGCTCAACAACCTGCCCTCTTCTTCCCCATTCGCCCCACTCGCAGGTCCATGCACTCGCTTGACAGTCTTGCTTGTGCTCCTACTCTTAGCTTACCATGCTCTACTTTGGATGATCAAACAACACGAAGCTGACGTCAAGCGCACACATGCAAAAGAAGAAAGAATGCAACACGACCCGTTAAAGAAGAGCGACATCAAAAAGAAGAAGAATGACTGGGAACATCAGTACGGCCACCCTTCACACTATCTCACCACACGGGATGGTAAACCGAGGCTCTTTCCATTCCCGCTCGGGCTGGCTGGCTCTTCGTCGGCATCAAAAGAGCTCTGGTGGGAAGCTGGCAACACACCCCACGTGGGGCACTACAATCAGCGCGAGACGCCCGCTGCCCGTGAACAGATGAGGAAAGAAATGGAAGTCAAGGAGGCAAAGAGGCAGAAAGATGCGAAAAAGAGGACGAAGGCGATGGAAGAGGAGAGGACCAAGTGGCAGAAGCGGTTGACGCATCTCAAGGTTATCATGACCATTGTCTGTGTCGGGCTTGGTGAGTGATGGCTTCGCAGCGGGATAAGCTAATGGGAGCAGTGAGCAAGAAATTGGCGATAGGGTGTTTGGCAGCGTGGATCTACTACGTCGTAGCAGCTCATCTAGCGGCCATGCTCGCGGTCAAGAAAGAGGACGAAGAGAAACCTGCCAAAGAAAAGAAAAAGATTCCTACTGTACGTCCATGCCTCTTTGCCTTTCGCTCGAGCTCATCTTCACAGGGTCCTGGGATGGCGCTCACATACCTTTATGAACCCGACGGCGACTGGGTCAAACCAGCAGGCAACATTCCAACCAAGGCGCCTACCAATCGTCTCATGACTTCGTTCGAAAGCCGCTACGCCATGTAACAAGTGACAGGAGGGTAGACTTTACAGATGTCATGCATGTTGTATTCCAGGATATTCTTTGACAATAGGTTGTTAGATGCAGGCTAGTACAAATTATTCTTTCGCAGTGTTCTTCTATGCGTTTTGCCCCGACGCAAAACACTCTATCCCGCTTAATCGTCTCTGATCTGACCCAGATAGTCCTTTTTGATAGTGCCAATTGCAAACTGACAGCTGTCAGGGGCGGCCAAAGAATAGAAAGACAAGACATACCATATCATTCGCCTCTACTCTGCACCCAACGATCTGTATTCGCACCTTTGTCCCCTTTTGGATGACTTCGTCATTCGAGCGGTAGCAAGGTGGTGAAACCGATGGGTCGAATTTCATATCCGCGTGTGTCAACTGTATACTTTAGGTCAGCCTCGGATACAGTTATGCTTTTTCAGAAGATGGGGGAAAAGGATAAAGAGGCTCAGAGAAAAATCGATCAATTACTACAAGATCTTCCCGCATAAATCAACATTCCCGCAGGATCTGTTGTCCCTATGCTTAAATTCATCATAGATGGAGGGAGGGTGGAAGGAGAGAGAATGAAGATATGGAAACAAGACTTACGTGACAGGAGACGAAGACTTGTAACGGCCCGACCATGGCAAAGAAGCCCATCTGGTTTCTCGTCAGCGCCATGCCATGTCCCCCGAGAGAAAACATACCTTGTTGACATTGACCACCTTGGCATCGACCGCTTCACCCTTGAAAGGCTTCATGACGATCGCAGTGTACCCTGTCCTAAACTTGGCTTGGCCTGTCGAAGGCATGATCTTGCCCTCTCCAATGTCTGTTATCTGGACGACGGAGATGATGTACCTGTTTCGCCTTGTCAGCCGGGCAAAGTACACGAGACACAAAAAAGAAAAACTTACCCGTGTTTACCGCTGCAAGTCCCCTCGACATCCTCATAGAGCTTTTGCCGCAGATAATCCTCAAGTTGCGCACCAAAGTAGGATGGATGGAGCAAGATCGTGTGGGTGAGTTCTCGCTAATTTCAGACGAGTTGAGGAGCGGAAAAAAAGAAACATGAAAAACACGAGAAGTACAGGGTCAACAGTGTCAGCGCGAATAGCATTGCTTTCGCGCAGGGGTAGTACCAACCAGGAAGAACATCCTGAGCTGATGAGTCTCTCTCTTGCTTGCTCGAGGGGCTAGGGACTAGGAGAAGAAGGGAAGCCTGGTATGGCGGGGTGGAGGATGGTCAGCTGGGTGGGAATCAGCCCTGCATGAAGTCGGGGAAAGGGCGGGGAGAAGAGGGGGTGGATGGATGGATGGAGTGGAAAGAAAAGAATGGAATGCGAGGGATGTTGGCGGGCAGCAGTTTGTGGTGGTGGGAGTGATAAGGAAATGCCACGTGTAGTGCTACGTCGCCTGGACGGGATCAAAAGCTGGGGGTGCTGCGACGAAATGGAGGATGGACAGCATCATCACCACGGCCACGGACGGGGGGGCAGCGGGCAGGGAGGGAGCAGGGAGGGCTGGGCAGGGCAGGGCAGGGGCGGGCATGCAGCAAGGGGGGAGCCTTGGACGCTCGGGGGCAGCACTCTACTCTACTCGACAGTACATACCACCGATGCATCCACGCGATCTGACTGACCGGCTAAGGTGTCCGAGCCTCCACGCGTCACAGCTATTATTTCGCTTTCTTCCTACATGCTCCCTTCGAGTATCTCTTTATAGTACTTTTCTTCCCACCGACACTTGTAACCCCACCCCCAGCCCGCTTACTGTAGTTCTCCTTGGGCCACAGAAAGGAACGCCGTGCTGCTAGTCCTCCCTCCTGGAAACCACCTTTGACGCTTGACGACCGCTCAGTATCTCTTCCCTACCACCTCATCTCCCCTGCCTGCTCACTCACCGACCCACAGGCATTCGCATCTCCCTTTCTCTTCCTCCCATGTCTCCCTCTGTACCCGCCCCCGCGACTCTGGCCCAGCCTCCTTCCCAAAATACAGCAAGCCCCCGCTCCAGCCTGTCACCGGAAAAGGTCGGATTCAAGCAGAGAGAAAGAAAGACACCCCCACCTCCGGCTCCCAGTGCTGCTTATGCTAGGCGGTGAGTCGTGGTTCCGTTTCCCTCGCATTGGACGTGTCTGTGACGTGGCAGAGTTCTTGTACCTGGCTGCACTGCAGCTTGCGTCGTCTTGAGAGGGGAGTCCGGCTGCCTGGCAAGTTCAGTTGCAGGATCGTGTGTATCCTGCCTGGGATTCGGGGGTCAGTGGTATACATTGGGGGGCTCTAAGCGTTCCTCTTGTCCGTGGACCTCCTTTTAGGCTGGCTCCTTGGGCGGGAGGAGATGCCGAGCTACGCATACACTGGGAACCTCTCCAGCAGCCTCGAATCATCTCATACAGACGGCGACTTGTCAGTCACCCGTGGAGCTCCGTAGTTGCCCGCACGTTCAAAGTCTTGTGGCCCCCGTTTGATGCCAGTGCTGATGTGGAGGTTCCATAGCGCTCGCGAAATCATAGGCGACGAAATGGGTGTTCCCACATATAAACCAGTCGTCGACGTCGACGACGCTCCTGATGCTCCCGGCTTCAGTGTCCCAGCAGGCTACCGACGAGCCCGAGCTGGGTAAGGTCCACCCTCCATCAAAGGGACGCACGCTGACTGCGGATCTCTCTGTAGCACCATGCCTTCCAACCTCCACGAAGCTGCCGCCCGATACACCGCTCCCCCAGATGATGACCAGCCCACGAGCGCCACAACCGTGACGTCTGCGACGCCCACGAACGCCAATTATACCCGTACCTCGGCTCTGTCCCCTGCGTATCCCCAAAACTCCAACGGCCGACCCACGTTGCGTCACACAGCTTCGTCGGCTGCCAACTTGGAAAACTCTGAGGTTCCAGCGCCCAACCGTATCCGGTCTGGGTCGTTGACTCTGCCTTCTGCTGGTCTCGGGGATGCCTTTGGACATGGCGCATTTAGCAACGCCTGGTTGTCAAACCCCGGCTTGACTACTGCCGCATCTACCCCTGCTCGAAGTCCCCTGGGTCACCGAACTCATCCCCACGAGGAGGACTTTTCGTCCTACACCTCAGCCTCCGAGTCGGCGGCCAGCCTGGCTACAGACGACCTCAACTTTTCGACCCTCGACTACCTCGGCCTTGCAGACGTGCCCGACCATCTTCCTCCTGCCAGCATGTCGGAGCTCCGAAGGCAGGCGCAGCATGCGATTGCTTCCAACGGACCTGCCAGTCGGCACCGAGCGAGCACAGTGTCCAACTTTGCTCGTCCTTACCGTCCCAGCGTGACCTCCATGGGCCATTCTACCAACAACTCGTACGATGGCAACAGCGAAGAAGAGGCGCTCGCGAGGGAGATTGAGAATCTCGGTATTTACGACACGAGCTTCATGTCCAATACCCAACTCGCCAACCTCTATGCTCCTTCCAGCTTGTACAAGGATTCGAATCGCCAGCGGGCGAGTACGATCGGTGCGCTCGAGAACCCTCAGCGTCGGGGCCTTAGCAGATCATCGAGCTACCTGCAGAGCATTCCCCAGTCACCCGTCCAGTCCGAGCTCTTTGCTCTGGGGGCGTATGGCTATGGCAGGTCGAGGGACAACAGCCGTGCTGGACGTCTCTCCATTTCTTCCCATACCAGCCGAGCTGGTACTCCTGATGACAAGGGTTTGTCTACGCCCCAAGTGCCCACTAGGAGCTTGTGGATCGGCAATTTGGATGTCAATGCTACGAGCAACGCATTGTTGCAAGTCTTTGCGCCCTATGGGGCCATCGAGAGCGTCCGAATGCTCCCCGAGAAGGTAAGTCTGAGACGTTTGCGGGAGCTTTGCTGACCAATACAGACCTGTGCGTTTGTCAACTTTATGGACAAGGTCGACGCTATCCGCGCTCGAGACGACGTTCTCAACCGTCTCGGCGGCCACGTCTCTGCTCTCTCCGAGACTGCTCCAGTGCGAATCGGCTTTGGCAAGATTGACTCTGCCCCCAACGGCCCTTCATTGAGCACTGTTGCGCCCACCCCTCCTGGTCTCGTCTTTACCACCGATACTCCTTCGGATACCGCCCCTACCCCTGCACCTGCGGTGTCTGCTGTGGCACCATCTGTCGCCGACGCTCCTTCCGTCACCGTCCCGCCTCCAGCGATGACTGGCGCCACCTTGAACGCGCCCGACGACCAGCTTAGCACGATGCCCACCCGGGCGCTTTGGATCGGTAGCATCCCCAGCACCACCTCTGCTTCTACCCTCTTGCAGATATTCTCGCCTTTCGGGCCCGTAGAGTCATCTCGTGTGCTGCAGAACAAGTGCTGCGGTTTCGTCAACTTTGAGCGCTTGGACTCTGCTGTCTCGGCGCGTAACGCGTTGAACACCAGGGATATCCTCGGCTCCGATGTGGGTCCTATCAGGATTGGGTTTGCGCGAGTGCCTACCCGCTCGCCTGCTGTTGGCCCCAACGGCCAACCCCTGCCCGCCTCCCCAGAAGGCAGCAATCCTCTTGGAGATGCCCTCAACTCTGTTAAAGGCGCCACCTCTGTCTCTACCGAGCAGCAAATGTCTGCCGAAGGCGGCGGCCTCGAGAATTACCGCAGCCCTCTTGTACTTGACCTGGTCAAGCAAGGTGTGCACGAGCAGGTTCTTGAAAAGGGTCTGGCTGGTGCGAACGGAGAAGTGTCAGACCAGCAGATGATCATGCAGGTGCTGAGCTTGAAGACGGAGGAGGATGGGGATGTCAAGGCGGCGGCCGATGCAAGACCTCCTGCCACATACTATACCGCCATTCCCCCTCCCGCCGACCGCTCTAGCAGGCGTTTCGACACTGGTAAACTCAAAGAGATCCGCAAGAAGCTCGACGCCGGGCAGTGTAGGCAGGATGAAATCGACGACATCACCAAGGATCTCATGGAAGATTGTGCCGAGGTATGTGCCGTTGCTTAATGATGGACTTTACTGACTTGGATGTCAGCTCGCCGCCGACTTTATCGGCAACACCATCATCCAGAAACTCTTTGAACGTACTTCGTTCGCCCTCCGCATTGCCATGTTGGAGCGTATCGCCCCTCACCTGGCCACCATCGGCATTCACAAGAATGGTACTTGGGCCGCCCAAAAGATCATCGAGTGCAGCACTACCGGTGAAGAGCGTGCCATCATTGTCAACCACTTGCGGCCATTCGCTCCTCCGCTCATGTGCGACTCGTTGGGCAACTATGTCTGTGCGGGTACACTGAGGTTTGGAGATCCATATAATGGGTATGTCTTTGATGCGATGATCGACAGGATGTGGGACATTGCGCAAAACAGGTTTGGGGCTAGGTGCATGAGGACCTGTTTGGAGAGCAACAGCACCAGCTTATACCAAAAGGTAAGGCGAATCCTGTTGGTCGCTGAACAAGGCTAATCTGCTACAGAAACGTATCTCTTCGGGCATCATTCTCAACTCGATCCCGTTGGCTACCAATCCCAACGGTGCTCTGCTGTTGACCTGGCTCGTCGATTCGTCCAACCTCCCGGGTCGATATGGATTGCTCGCCAACAGGTTCATCCCTCACATCGCCCACCTCTGTACTCACAAGCTTGCCTCTTTGACTGTCTTGCGAAGTAAGTGTCGCCTCTGCCATGGTCTTATTACAGTGCTGACCACCTCACAGTAATCACACAGACGACCGAGCCTGCTGCTAGCAGCAACCTCGTGCGATCCATCTTCACCTCCACCAACGATCAGACCCTCATTGAGATCTTGACTGATGCCAACAACGGTAACCAAGTCATTGGCAAGATCATTGCTGTCAACACCATTGAGGAGGAGCAAAAGAAGGAGATGATCGAAGCCGTTCGTCGAGTCTTGCCCAACATCAAAGCGTCAAGCACGCCCCCTTATAGAATGTTGCTCGAGGCTGTCGGCCTTCCCGTTCCTGCGGGCTACATGAGTGGCTCTCCCTTCGGCCGCTCTGGTACTCCTAATTGGCAAGGCAACAACCGCGGCCAACAGCAGCAACAGCCCCAGGCGTACGGCCAAAACTTTTACTACAACCAGCCCATGGGCGCTACAGGCTATGTCAGTGGAATGGGCGGCAACTTGTCCCCGCTGTTGATCCCTCAAAACATGCCTCTAGGTCAAATGAGGGGTAGCCCGGGGATGGGCAAGAGCCCGAGAACCCCGGTAGCTAGGCAAGGCGGCAGGATGAGTCCTGCCTCCATGATGAGCCCTGCTTCGGACCCTTTCAACCCGGTAAGTGTCTTCCTACGGTGATTTGCGACGATGCTGACAGCATCGAACAGTTTGCGTCGCCCAGCGTCGACATGCCGTTTAGTACTCAAGGTATGCGCATGGGGTCGACGCTAAGCCAGCCTCCTGTGACATTCGAGCAGCAAGGTTCGGTCGGTGCCGGTCTTGGATTTGGTGGCCAAGGTGGTGGCGGCTTGATGTTCTATGGACAGAACGCAGTGAGTTCTACGGCGTGACTCGCGATCAGAGCTGACAATTCATAGCCTCGGCAGATGTATGGCCAAGCTGGTGGCTATCAATAACCGCCCCCCTCATCTCTCATCAAACAAGATCACTCGCATAATGTCCTTCACGTTTACGCGCGCTTCATTGTTCTCCTCCCCCACGACTAGCATAGCATCGTTCTCGCATACCACGTATACACCTTGTAACAAGCTCAACGTCCCCCCTCCCTTTTCTGTCTCTTTTCTTCCATTACGAGAAATCGCCAGGTGCGAGACGAATTTGCCCACTAGATGAGCCGATCACAATTAAACCATATAAAAACCCAACAACCGTTGAAGAAAATTCCTGTCCATGATTCTATAGAGTGTGCCTCAAAGGGCTGCGTTTTGGAGAGGGGAGGAGGCTGTAGGCGGTTTGAGTAGAAGAAGAAAACATCAACCCAAATATATACCATTCCCTTTCTCTTTCTCTTGTCTACATATAAGAAAAATTCAAGTATACTTTCCTTCTTTCCCTTCACATGTCATGCACAAAGCAAATGATCGTTCATAATATTCTACAGTGATCTGCCTATAAACAGATAACCAAAGCGTGTGACTACTTCTGACCCATGAGCCTCTCGAGCATGCTGCCGCCCGGTGCAGCTCCCGACTGCTGAGGGGTAGCTTCGGCCTTGTCTCCAGCTACAGATTGTAAGCGCCATGTCTGCATCCAATTGATCTGGCACTTACAAGCGGCACCAAACAGATCGATAGAGTCAATCCTCGTGGTCTCTTCATCCTCTTGGTTGTCCTTGACCAATATGTGCAAGCTCCTCACATTCTGAAACCTCACAAACCTCAACTCAATCTTGTCCCCCTTGACCTGGTCCGCCGTCAATTCTATCTCTTGTGCGGGCGTCAAACTGTCCGCCTCGTCGAAGCCAATGTTTGGCTGGTTGATGAAGAGCTTGATGGTCTTGGGCGCCTGGGAGGGAGAGATGCCGGAAAAGATGGAAATGTGCTTCAGCTTGATGGGGTCTTGGAAGGGGATGGAGATGAGGAGCTCGGGGTCGACATCTGACTCTAAGAACGAAGTGCCACGGGGTCCTCTGTCCGGGCCAAGGATGGAGGACAGGGGGTGGGTCTTGGACTCGTTTAGACAGTTGAGGCCTTTAGAGATGACGTGTCGGAGGAGAGACTCGGTGACCTCGCCGGTGGTTGTGGACGAGGCAGAACCTGCTGGAGGAGGAACGCCGGCGTGTCTGGCGATGATCTGTTGGAGCTGAGGAGGCGAAGCGCCTCGAAGCTGTTGACGGGAAGATTAGCAGGGGTTATGAGGGGGATCCGAAGGCGGTTATTAGAAAGATTACCTGTTCGACCTCTCGACCGGCTTTGAGAAACTTGAAAGTGGGCATGGCGGTGATCCTGAACCTCGAGGCGAGGTCCCTCTGCTGATCAACATCGATCTTCTATACAGCGTGTTAGAGTCCCCTGTATGTCCACAGGTTGCTTCGGGTACGTACCACAAACTTGACATGCTGGTACTGCACAGAAGATCAGCCAGAGCGGTCATGAGACAGGAGGCGACATACAACACCGGAGAGCTGCTTGAGCACAGGGGCGATGGCATGACAGGGCCCGCACCATGCCTACAGAATACGCTCAGCATGGAGATACAGTGGCTTGTATTGGGGCTCACGGCATGAAAGTCTGCGCATGTGTCAGCATGAGCGAGATGGCACCGGGGCGGCTGGCTCACCGACGACGAGGAGCTGGGTCGGGGGCAGCGAGCTGACGATGGAGTCGAACTCTGCAGGCTGTCAGCGGGGGGGCAGCATGGGCGGGGTGCATACGCTGTGCAGACTGGATCTCCTGGACGGGCATGGATGAACAATGGACGAACAAGGGATAGCAAGGGATGAGGTGAGCAAGAAGGACAAGGGACGTGGACGGGATCAAAAGTATCGTCCCGCATCTCTTCGTCCATCTTCTTGCCATCTTCCCTTCTTCTCTGTCCATCCCGTTTCTTTCCATTTCTCTTCCTTCTCCTTCTTCCGGGCCCCAGTTCTTTCCTCTTCTTCTATTGTCTTATAACTGCACCATGGCCACACAGTACCAGCAGTACGGCATCACCCCCGGCCAGTCCGCCGAGGCCCCCAAGCGTCCCCATCTCTACGTCGGAAACCTCTCCCCCCGCGTCACCGACTACATGCTCACAGAGATCTTTGCCGTCGCCGGCTCCGTCGCCAGTGCAAAGATCATTCAGGACAGAAACTTCCAGCACGGTGGCTTCAACTATGGTTTCGTCGAGTACGCCGACATGCGTTCCGCCGAACAGGCGCTCACCACCTTGAACGGACGCAAGATCTTTGACTCTGAGATCAGGGTCAACTGGGCGTACCAGGGCAACCAGAACAAGGAGGACACACAGCACCACTTCCATGTGTTTGTGGGCGACTTGAGCCCCGAAGTCAACGACGATGTCTTGTCCAAGGCCTTTGGTGCGTTCGGCAGCATGAGCGAGGCGCGTGTTATGTGGGACATGAACTCGGGAAAGAGCAGGGGTTATGGCTTCCTTTCATTCCGGTACGTTTTTGTTCCCGCGCCTTTCCGAGATCTCCCCGCTGACATTCCTGGTCTCCGCAGTGATAAAGCCGACGCCGAGCAGGCTATTGCGAGCATGAACGGCGAATGGCTCGGTTCTCGTGCCATCAGGGTCAACTGGGCCAACCAAAAGACCCAGACCGGTGGCGCGCGAACTGGCACTCCCGGCTCTACGCCCATGGGCATGCCTCCTATGGGCATGGGTCAGGGTATGCCTCCCCCTGCTGCTGCCCCCATGCCTACCGCACCGGTGTACGCTGCTCCCCCCTCCGCCCCCCTTTCGTACGAATCTGTCGCCTCCCAAACCCCCGAGTTCAACTCTACCGTTTACGTCGGCAATTTGATCCCCTACACCACCCAGCAGGACCTGATCCCTGTTTTCCAGGGCTATGGCTATATCGTCGAGATCAGGATGCAGGCTGACAGGGGTTTCGCCTTTGTCAAGCTCGATACCCACCAGAATGCTGCCATGGCCATCACTCACTTGCAGAACCAGCTCGTGCACGGCAGGCCCATCAAGTGCTCCTGGGGCAAGGACAAGGGGTCTATGGAGCCTACCGCTGTCCCTGCTGCTGGCTACCCTCCCATTGTGCGTTGATTTACTTTGGTTTGACGTGTGCTGACATGCCCGAAGCAACCTCAGATGAGCTACCCTGGCTACAACAACTACTACGGCGGCTACAACTACCAGCAAGCTGGTGTCCCTGGTCAGCCTGGACAGGCCGGCATGGCCGCTCCCCCTCAAGGTGGGGCACCCGTGCCCCAGGTCCCTGGTGCTGCTGGCCAAGCCGATGGGCAAATTTCCCAGCAAGGCGCTTGGGATCCCGCTGCTGCCGCTGCCTACTACCAGGCTGGCGGATGGGGCGGTTACTACGGTGCGTTGGAATGATCTTGCGGTTTTTCGACTGTACTGACCATCGATGCAGCTCAACAGCAGGACGGCTCTCAGCAAGCTGGACACCAGTAAACCTGTATACACCTTATATCATCCTTCCATCCTCGTAATCTAACTCCCCTGTAATTCTTTTTCTCTCCCTTTTCCTTTTACTCTCTCTGAGGTGAATCTTTTTGGGCTTTATTCTCTCTCTATCTCTTTCCTCTCATCCGTTCCTTCTCCCTTTTCTTTCAAATGCATATGGCAAAGTTCACAAGGGGAGCAATTCAAGGAGGGTTTGGAATACAATCATCTGCGTATACATAGGTCTAGATCACAAGGTCAATCACATATATAGACCAAAGTCTTGTTTGAGATCTCATAACATGATAGCATGGATGGACTATGTTCAGTTTGATGACTCGAAAGTTGACTTGCTCTTGCTTCGAGATGCACCCTGCAGCATCATGCTAGTTGCTCTTGTCCTGTGTTGAATCGCTACCAGGTGATAACGCCGCTGAGATCAGCAAGTCAAATCTCTTCGCAATGCAACCTCTCAAACTTGTCATCTCCTGGTCTCTTTGTAAGACACCCCAGATTCAGTATACAAGACTGTACGCTGCATGATTTCGCGCGTGGCGAAAGAGGAAAAGAATTGTGTGGAGAAAGAATGCTAATTGTTGTTTTACTGCTGCTTCCGACGGATGCTCTCACACTACAATGACACGCCCTCTCCTCCCATGAGGCTCACCAGGACTTATGACTGCTGGTGGTGCCCAGGCTGATGTCCATGAGGATGCTGCTGCCCTTGAATAGGCGAGAACAGTCCCTGCCCATAGCCTGCGCTGCCGCCAGGAGCCATACCGCCCATGCCTCCTATTCCGCCTCCAAGCACACCAGCACCAGGTCCAGCAACGAACGGAGAACCTATCCCTCCAAACGAAGGTTGCCTCTGGCCGTTACCCAGTACACCCCCGCCAATAGTCGGAGACAGTGATAAGCCTGGTGGAGGCGCTGACCGATCGCCGATAGCAGCGATGCCAGGAGCACCCCAGCTGCCAGTCGCAGCAGCATGCGCGTGGTTATGTGATGGCTCAGCACCCACACCAGGAGCAGAACCCCAAATACTAGGCGATGAAGACCATCGACCGACGCCCGGAGCACTCGGCATGTCCCAGGTGGCTGTGGGTCTGCGTTGTTGTGGTTGGACAATTTCGTCATCGGCTCCAAGAGCAGCTGAGCCAAACACTTGATCTGGGAGTGGCGGCGAGCGAGATCGAAGAGCACTAGACCCTGATGGACCAGCGACGGTTGACGGAGGGGCACCAGGGGCTGCTGATGGGCCAGGAGGAGCTCGCATGTCCGAGAAGGCCGGTCTGCCGATGGGCGCAAGAGGAGCGATAGGTGTAGGAGAAGCCCTGTACTCTTCGGCGTGCAAAGAGGAGGTACTGATCATAGACCCGATTTCGCCAGCATTGGACATGCTTCGAGATGGAGGCACACCAATGGATGACGACGGAGCAAACGCATCCTCGACTGCTGGCATTCTACCCGCCTGCTTGACTGGCGGGAACCCGACACCTAAAGGCGCGGTACGCATACTCTGGTCGAATGAGGAACCGGGTTCAGTGCTAGGAAAGCCGCGAGTTCCGGAGTTCGGCGAAAGGGCGGAACCATTCGTGCGAGGAGGAGAAAAGGTCGCAGAGGATTGAGCTGGATAGCCTTGGCGAAGACCAGGGGGACCGCCATAGCTTGGCAGAGCACCCATGCGAGGGAATGCACCACTGGGAAGGCCCACCGGAGGAAGAGGTTGGGGGTAATAAGGAGGACTTTTCTGCGTTGATCGAGCAGGAGTTGTACTCGAGGAGGCTGAGATGGCGGATGACGAGGGTTTGACAGGAGATGGCTGCGAGATAGGAGGAGTGGGCTGTGGCGTAGGACCCTTGATAGGAGACCTGGCACCGTAAGACACAGGGGCAGCTTGGCTTGCCCTGGCGGCAGCGGCGGCACGCTCAGCAGCAGCCTTTTCGCTCGCGGCTTTCTCTTTGGTAGCCCGCTCTCGCTCCTTTCTAGCCGCTTCCTCCTTCCTGGCCTTTTCTGCTCTTTCAGCTTCGAGCTTGGCTTTGCGCTCCTTGTCGGCCTTGTCTTTGGCCTCTCGCGCTGAGCGTTCTCGTTCGGCTTTTTCGGCAGCAGCCTTCTCCTTCGTCTCTTTATCGGCCTTTTCCTTTGCAGACTTGGCTTCCCGATCTTTTCTGTCCTTCTCCTTGAGCTCCTTTTCTCGAGCTTCGCGTTCCTTTTTGGCCTTTTCCTCCCGTTCCTGCTTCTTCCTGGCAGCCTCCTCTTCGCGTTGCTTTTCCTCTTGCTGACGTCGCTTGCGCTCGAGGGCCTGTTTGGCGGCTTCCTCCTGAGCAGCGCGCTTGACAGCCTCGCGGCGAATACGCTCCTCTTCCTGTTTACGGACGCGTTCGCGGTTGGCTTCTTCTTTCGCGAGTTTTGCTAAGCGTTTCTCTTCGTCGAGTTGGGCTTCCCGGGCCAAGCGCTCTTCGTCCGCTCTCTGCTTTTGAGCCCTGTGGAGCCGTTAGACACATTCCTCCGAACGTGATGTGTACATACTTTTTCTTGTCCTTCTTCTTTTGCGCCTCTTTTTGCTTCTTCTCCTCCTTGGCCTTCTTGGAGTCTTCCTCTTCTTCGAGTTCGCGCAGGAGTTGCTCTTCTCTCTGTTTGGCCACACGCTCGCGATATGCTTGCAAGACGCGCTGTTCAAACATTCGAGCCGCAAAGATCTGGAACATTCTCTTGCCTTCTTCCGCCCGCTGGCCTTCAGTCATTGGCTCGGCCCTATGACCAGATTAGCCTGGTCCCTCGATGCGACGTCCCAAACTCACTCGTCTTCCTCTTCATCCGTCTCTTCCTGCATGTCTCTCAGATTTTGCTCCTCTCGTACTGATCTTCTGATCGCAAGCTGCTCCATCATCTCGAGGAACTTGGTACCATCATTCTTGAGCATGTCATCCGCAATGGTGAGTATACCTCCTGGGCACAAGTCGGTAGCACAAGCGTATCAGGGGTAGAGATGGCAGTAGGAAAAGATAGGATGAGAAAAAAAAAACCAGTCGCAACTTAGCGTAAGCCCCCTTCTGACAAAATCTGAAATTCAGCTTACCTTTGATGGTCGCCAGGCTGTTGCCGAAGGATAAAAAGTCGTTTTCATTCTCTTCCCGCGGTGCTTTGACTGACGGTGGACGGCGTGGAGTTGGACGATGTGATACGGGTGGGGGAGCGGGTGGTTCCTCATCATCGTCTCCCACATCTGCCTCATCCGTGCCGATATCGTCATCATCCAGCTCATCTTCATCCGCATACTCGTCGTCCTCGTCATATTCCTCGCTTTCCTCATCTTCCAGCTCCTCGTGGTCATGATCGTGGTCGTGATCATGTTCATCGTGGTGATGGCCAGAATCGGGGGCTCGATGGTCGTACTGGGTGACTGTCCCGCTCGCGTCGACCTCGACACTGCCTGGGAAAGGACCAGCACCACTTGGAGGGGCGCGAAGACCATTTGAAGCTGTCCGCTGTTCGGCAGCATATGAGCGAAGTTCATCATAGTACTGCTCGTACAGCTGATCCAGCTCCATTTCAATGTTGATCTTTTTTCTTCCGCAGACTGCACATCCACAAGAGTGTCGATGTTGCTCCTTCATCTTTCTCAGAACCGCATCTTTTTCTATCCTCAACAGATCCCGCCGCTCGGCTTCCGTTAATCCCAACCAGAATTGACGAATATTTTCGCGATCTTCTGCCGAGGATTGTGTCCAGATTTTAGCAGGCGGTTGGGCCGCGGGAGCCTTGCCCTTTGCGACAGCTGACGAGGGAGTCTTGGACGCAGGCGGGTGGGTATGAGGGTGGTTGTGATTGTGATTATGAGGGGGCGCAGCCGTGGCAGGGGCCTTTCCAGCCGCACGGGCCGATCTCGCGGGAGGGTTGGCAGGCGGCGCGCTGGACATGGGCTGTTTGCCTGCAGCGCGTGAGCTCGGAGGCGGTGTCGGAGCCACGGAAGAAGCGTGGTGTGCTGGATGTGGGTTTGCGTTGTGAGGCGGCGGTGGGGGATTCAGGGCGGGCGGTTGTGGAGGTTGCGGTGTCGGACGTGGAGGTGCTTTTGGCAGCGCCGTCTGTGGTGGGGGAGGCGGCAGCTCTGCTGGAACATCTAGCTGCTGGATACCGGCCTTCTTCTTCTTCTTTTTGTTCTTTTTCTTGGGCGCATCGCCATTCAGAGCAGGAACATCCACATCGTCCTCGATTTCTTCGTCCTCGTCGATTTCCTCCTCCACGGAGCGAGAATCGGGGTGGCGGTGGAATCCGAGCTCCTCGCCCAGGCTTTGCTGAGGCAGAGATAGAGAAGGTGGTCTCGCGCTTCCATTCATTTGCCCCAGCCCCATTCCCTGGCTCGCCGCTTGCACGATCTGCTGCGCCATCTGGTACATTGTCTTTTGTGTAGACGTATTTCCCGGATTGTTGGCGCTAATCGTGCCCGCACAGGGAACAGCATCTCGTATAAACTGCCGGAGATGCGGGGGCAACGACGACCAGTAGGCATCGTCCGAGCCGTACTCTGGATCGGACATCATCCGTTTGTACAGCTCGTTGGCGGTGTAGATGAGGTCGTCGTTTGTGAGGTTGAGGGGTGCGGACAAACCGGCGAGCTGGGTGGTGATCTGGGTGCTGTAGTCGATGGGGAGGGGCTTCTTTTTGTTGGCCGACTTGGCGTTGTGTGGTGGCTTGGAGGACATGGGGTGACTGTTGTGAGCAGGGGTGAGCAGGGGCGAGCAGGGGCGGGGGGTGCTGGTGTGCGTACCTCTGCGAGTCTTCCTGCTGCCGTGGATGATTGGATGGATGATGTCAACCAGTGCCGTCCACCTCCAAGCCACCTCTGGGTAAGAAAACGCCGGGGCCTAATCCCGCCCGTGGCATGCCTCCACATCCCAGTCCTGTTTCTTCCAGTCTCCTCACACCATGCGGGCATCCCTCAGGTCGCTCGCTCTCGGCCCCTATGCATCCCGCACCCCGCACCCTGCCCCTGCCCCCCCCGGTATGCACTCTCTGCCTAATCCGCCCACCGCTCATCCTCCCCAGGTCTGCTCGCAGGGAAACACATAGCCATCAAGGAAAACATCTCCTACTCGCAAGCACCCACCTCCTGCTCGTCCCAGCTCCTGCAAGGATACATTCCTCCCTACAATGCTGCCTGCGTTGACCACTTGATCAACGCCGGCGCGCATATCGTGGGCACCACAAAGATGGACGAATTTGGCATGGGGCAGGTTGTATGACATGCGCTCAAAGACATGCTGACCCCATCTAGCTCACAAACTACAAACATACCACCATCGTACTCACCAGTACATAACCCTTGTGCTCCTTCCCCCGATGAGCCACCACGATCAGCTGGGGGCAGTTCGGGAGGGTCTGCTGCTGCTGTCGCTGAAGGATCCTGCTGGGCGTGAGCTTGATGCCATGATCTTTTACACAGTGCTGACGTTGAATAGAGCCCTTGGTACTGACACGGGAGGGTCTGTCAGACTACCCGCCAGCTATTGTGGTGTTGTCGGCCTGAAGCCTTCATATGGCCTTGTCAGCAGGTAAGTCATTATTCATGACTGCGACTCCAGCTAACCATTCTCAGGCGAGGTGTCGTGGCATATGGAGATTCTCTCGATTGTGTCGGAGTCCTGGCAAAAGACATTGATATCGTCGAAAAAGTCTTCAGTAAGCTCAACCTCATTCCCGAGACGACTCCTGATCACCCGCAGATATCATTTCCCATCCTGATGACCGCGACATGACCTGCGCTCCCTCATCCGTTCGCTCTACATCTCTACCCCTCGACCTCTCTTCCACCTCTCTCAAAAACCTACGCATCGGTATACCTGCACAGACTCTTCTCCCTCATCCCTACACGTCCATCCCGCCATCACTGCTCACCCATCTCCAATCCCTCGGCGCATCGCTACGCCCCGTGTCGCTACCGTCTGTCAGGAAGGCGCTTCCGGCGTACTATGTGCTGGCTAGTGCTGAAGCGAGCTCAAATTTGGGCAGGTATGGCGGAGGATGGTATGGGTCCGAGGCAGAGAAAGAGGCAGGGAGGATAGAGGGTGAAAGCGGGCAGGAGAGGCGGGTCAGAGTAAGGAGTGACGGGTTTGGAAAGGAAGTGAAAAAAAGAATACTGGCAGGGACACATGCCCTCAGTGCAGAGTAAGTTGCAGTGCTTGAAATGGACTTTTGCTGACTTGACGCAGCGAGTTCAACAACACATACCTCAAGGCCCTTTACCTCCGCCGCCTCCTTCGACAAGAATATCAACGTACTTTCCGAATCGCACATCCTCTGGCCGCGCCCTACACCCCCAACTCTGACGGTGTCGATCTCATCCTCCATCCCACTGCTATCCGCACAGCACCTTTGCTCAACCAAGACGCAAAGACGGGCGAAAGTGTATATCTGCAAGATCTGATCACGGTGCCGCCCAGTTTGGCGGGGTTACCAGCAATGTCTGTGCCGGCTGGCAAAGCAGAAGATGGATGGCCAGTGGGGATGAGTGTGACAGGTCAGTGGGGAATGGAAGGGTTGGTGTTTGGGTTGGGCCGGGCGATTGAAGGTTGGGCGAGAAATCTATAGCACATGCCATGCATACTAATATGTTCTATGATGATACACCGCTGGAGATATAATTGTTTGCCAGCTCTAGCTTGATTGTATCCAGGATTTGTTTAGACGCAGCTTTTGACGCTTGCAATGCTTGCTGCCACTGTACTATTGTCAGGTGTGCCCTCACACACCGTCGTTTGACTTACTTCTTCTCGGGAGAACTCTCCTTCACTTTCCACCCATACCAGCTCCGCACCCTGCTCTCCAATCCCCTTTCCCCAAGCCCACCCAAACCCGAATCTCGCCCTCGCCCTCCTCTCTTCTGCCGCCTCTGGGTCCATCAAGAATTCTCCCTTGGTCCCGAGAGCCACCGCAACGCCGATGGGAAGGCTCTTGATGGGAACTGACCCGGCCGAGAGGATTGACAATGTTGTCGCATTCAAGGAAGCCGCCCGAGAGGCAAACGTATAGCTGTTCGCGCTCAAGGGCGACACTTTCCTCTCTTCCAACACACTTGCCGGGATATAATCCTCTTCAATATCTTCTCTGGGCCATACACCCTTGCCCTTGCCTTCTTCAGTAGCCACGATACTCCCAAATCCTCCGGCAGCGCCCCCGACAACGCTCGGTGCCGTCAGGCCTTGGACCACAATCTGCACCAAGCTTCTTGGGAACTTTTCGAGCTCGAGCACGCTGGTCGAAGAAAAGATACGCTCAAGGGTGGTGGTAAGGGCACGGGACGGGGTTGCGCCAGTGCCAGAGAGGGGACGATGGGTAATCTCGAGGGTAGCTTGTGTGGGGTTTTCGTCTCGAAGGCGGACCTCTATGGGGCCGGATGTGGAGGCAAGGATAGCGTCGGAGCCTGTAAAGAGTCAAGCAGGATTAAGAGCTTGGGGTGAAGGCTTACCAAAAGCAAATCTTCCGGATCCGTCTGCGCGGTCGAGCTCGTTGATGGAGATGTGGACAGGGCGGAGCTGTGAAGGAGAGCGGCCATCGGGGCGAGTGGAACGGGACATTATGCAGATCCCGCAGAGTTGTTTGAGAGTCGGTAGGCGATGATATATGCTGTCGCGAGTACGATACTTGAGGGGGCGGTTGAGACAGCGAGAATTGCCAGAATGGTAGAAGAGCGCACAACGATGAAGATGGAGATGTAATCGCGGACGAAATTTGAAGCCACCTGGAAGCCACCTACCTGTTTTGACTTGACTTCGTTCACTTTTGCATCCACCTTCTTATCCGATTCATCCATCGTCCATCGACTCAATCCTACCTCATAGCGCATATAATATTATATTTATACACTGCCGGACCTTCACCTCCCCCACTATCCGACTCCCTCTTGGGCATACGGCGACGTCAAGAAACCCTGCGCGTAGTGGTCGTAAATGAGCCGACCTACAACCATCTCGATATCTCTGCGCTACTCAATCGTGGTCCCGTTTCAACTCATCAGGAACTAGCTGATACTCCTCTCCCTGCTCGCCTTGACTCACTTGATCTCGAGGGGAAATGCCGTTATCTAATCAAGAATATGACGCCTTCTGACGACCGCAGGACATGTTCGACCGGCTATGTATCGGCGTACTCGTCGACCAATTCACAGGCCGCAGGTCAGATGGGGGTGTCGATATTGGCTGAGGCGCTGCCATCGGTCTGTCGCCAGCGCATGCAAGAGATCGTTAGTCCGTCTTATCGCCTTGCTCCTTCCGATGCCTTGCCGACACAGCTCTGCCAGCTTGATGCCTAAGCACACCATGGTCGACAGGTCAGGAATAGGTGTCTGATGACACATTCGGGCATCCCGAAAGGCCCTTATAACTGCAGCTTCGTACTGTGTTTCTCCCCCGCCCTTCCCTTCAATCTATCACAACGACCACCGCTACTCGGACCATTAACGACCTCACTACCCAGATTGGCACCCTTGGCGTGCGAGGCAGTACACAGCCTTTGCCGCGTAACCACTCCCTCGACAAGTGGCAGAACTTTGTTGTCAACCCCGCTATCGGACAAGAGTTTGGCAATGACCTTCAGCTGTCCGAGATCGTACACGCCGAGAACAAGGACGAGCTTCTGCTTGACCTGGTATGGTCCTTCCACTCTTCTCTGTTGTATATGGCTGACCGGATCCCCAGTCTCCCAGCGAGGCGTAGTCTTCTTCCGAGCCCAGGATATCGGCCTCGAAGACCAAAAGACATTGAGCAGGAAGCTCGGAGAGCTCTCAGGCAAGCCCCAGGACTCCGCCCTATATATCCACCCTCTCACCCCAAAGGATTCTGAGAAGGATGACCAGATCCTTGTGTGCGTCTCTGCCCCTGCTAAAGATATAGGACTGACTTTTGTCCGCAGCATCAGCGCCGAGAGACGCAACAAGCGGGCACAGGTAGAAGATTCAACCCGCTTTGCTTCCAAGGACTGGCACTTTGACATCACCTTTGAACCCGTTCCCAGCGACTACTCTATTCTCAAGGTGCGTGTATCTTCCAGATCGACCCCGAGTATGTGTTGACGTCAACAGATCCACACGGCCCCTGAGAATGGCGGCGAAACTCTTTGGGCATCTGCTTACGAAGCCTACTCTCGCCTATCCCCCGAATTCGCAAAGTTCCTCGAGGGCAAGGAGGCTTTACACGAAGCTACTTCTTCCGACAAGTACGCCGAGGCTGCCGGCATCACTCTCAGGACCGATGTGAGGGGATCTCCTCTCAACAGTGGGCCGGGGTTGAGTGCCATCCATCCCGTTATTCGTGTTAGTAAGTACCCCACTCTGGGAAGGTCGTATAGCCACTAGGCTATCTGGGGGAGATATACAGAGAGGCTTTGGAAAAGGCCAAGTAGTACGGGTAGATTAGAGAAGTCCAAGAAGAAAAGAAGAAAAGTTGAACAGGTTGAACAGTTTATGCAAAAGTTGTAGCAAGTTCTTCGCACTGAGCATAGAAGACTCTCGACTTCCGCCCATTATAGTCGGTCACAGTCCACAGAATGTCATTCCGTAGTGCCGCAGAATGATGTGTCAGAAGGCAGAGGGCAAAGGTCTTTCTGCCTCGGCGCCCCGAAGTTTTTCCTCCCTGCTTACTTCCCAGTGTCGCTTGGCGAGTCTCTGAAGAGTCGAAGACTGATTATGTGCAGCTTTTTTCTGCAGGCCTTACAGGCACGAACACAGGTACACGAGGATGAACACATGCACGCCCCACATGTCACGTTTCCGAGTCAGGGCGCTCCCGGTGCCTCCGGGTGAGCGCCATTTCGCCGGATCCCACGGACAAGGGACACCACACAAAACATGTTCAGCTGTGGTGTTCGGCTCTCGCCGGCCGTGCCCTTACTTTCTATTCTCCTCATTCGTCGTACGTCCGGTATGCAGCTGGGACTGCGGGTGTGAGGCATGAGAGTGAGGCTGTTTGTATCACCGCCTACCGGCAGATATCCTCCATATTTCTCATCAAGTGCTAAATCTCTGATCGTACCGTCGCTTGCCGTGAAAGGCTCATCAGGCTGCAGACGGCCAGACGGCTGCAATCTGGAGGACCGGTTGAACAGCAGCAGGGTCAAAATGCCCCTCAGCGCTTACTATTGTCTATATCCAACCGAGTTGAGACATTATCCGTCCTGAACTGTATGTGTTGTAGGAAAGCAAGCAACAGGCGCGACAGTGAGTACAAGGACCGCGAATCATACAAATCTTCATGCCTCCAAACGACTTGCAGGCGTACCAGTCGCTGCTTGATCGAGCATTCTTAGCAATGCGCAGCCCCGCATCTGTATCATGCCCGCTATTCAGCAGTTCTAAGACATTTCATGCTCATCTTCACGGGATGCAGATGCCAAAACGCCACCAATTAGTCATGAGTCCAGCAGCCGGTGCAGCCGGCCGGCATGTCAGCGTGTAGCAGGCCTAGCAGGCGGCAGGTACAGCAGGGCCAGCAGCCAGTGCAGGAAGCAGCTGATAGTCTCAAGTATGTGATAGCAGTACAGGTACAGTAGAGGCTGCACAAGATTCCAGCGTCCCGCCGCAGGCCGCAGAACGCGTGGAAGCAGCTCATGGAAGACAGTCCAAGAAAATAGCTGGACCCTCGAGAAAGATTGCGGAAGCTTTGCATATAACCACTTGGCCTTCCCTGCTCCCGAGTGTAAGCCCTGCAGGAGAGTACTCTTGGTGCTCCTTCCTCATGCGGCCTCACTTAACGGGAAAGGCAGCCTTCCAAAACGTCCTCCTTTCCATTGTCCTTCTTCTCCTCCTTCGTCTTTTTGCCTAAGGTCCGAGACAGGCGGGCCCTAGATATCAGCCGTTGACATATCCTGATGATTAAATGCTCTGCAAGTGCTTGCGCGGGCCAATCCGTGGGGGTACGACATGTCAGCGGCCAGTGGCCCTAGCGGACGGCAATTGAGCCTCTTCCGGCCGCCTCATCCGACCTTGTCCATCCCGTCTCTTTTTGCGCTTTGGCTGACATTGCCTTGGAGGATCAGAGAGAATAGAGACAGAGACAAAGGCAGACAGCCTGATCCTGAATTCATTCTTCTTTGGAGGAGAGAGTATAAGACTCCCGAACGTGACGTTGTTCTAGAATCAGTCAACACCGGCGGGCGGTGTGCCAGCAGAAGGAGAGCCTCTGCTTCTTTGACTGGACCACTCTTCTTTGGCGCTTCTTTGGGGCATCAGTGAGGGCTCCTTCCCGAGCCTCGCAGGGTATATAGAGCGGCCACACCTGCCTGGAATTCCCATCGCCCCCTGTGTCCCTCACACTCTTTTCTCTCGTTACATACCACCGCCTGTTCGCTACTAGTATCGTCAGCAATCCGTCAACACTCGAATCGTGATGCTGTCCTTCTACATCGTTCCTTTTTTGGCCCTCGCCTTCTCCCTTCAGGCCGCCCTCGTACAGTCAGCTGCGACCTGGCTTGGTTGTATAAACTCGGTCGGGGCTGCTGGCACTGGCTACAATATAGCCACGTCTGCTGCTTGCATCGTGAGTCTCGCTACCTCCAAGAATCTGTCGTCAGTATATTAGCTTACGACGTCGACATGCAGGCGCAATGCTCAGGCTCCACCTACGCCCTTTTCATCGCCAAGGCCGCCTCATTCCCGACTACCAACTGCTACTGCACCTCCAGCGACATATCTGCCATCAACTACCTGTCCTTCAGCACGACTGCAACCACCTGTGCCCCTATCGCACAAGCTGCAGTACGTATCTCAATCACCATCTGTTATCTTCCACTTGGGTCATCAGCTCACGTGAGACCCTTCCAGGTCTATCGCACCGACACCACCTTCACGTATCAAGGTTGCGCTGCTGGGGCCGCCTTGAACATTCTTGGGGCCACAGCCACTGCGGTCTCGGCCCCCGCGCAGTGCCTGTCTCTCTGTGCCTCCTACCGCAACGCATTCTTCAGTCCTCTTGGTGTGACCTACCAGTGTGTCTGTGGAGACCCGACGCTCAGCATCTCCTTTGTGGCGTGTACGAGCGGGCTATACTATGTCTACACCCATCCGGCTGATGCGGCCGCCAGTGGGCTGGCCAGAAGGAAGAGGCATCTCGAGGTAGAGGAGAGGATGAAGAGGTCGCAGATGATCAGGGAACGAGGTTGGGACTGTCCGAAGGGTATGCAAGCGTGTAACGTCAAGGGTGCTGCAGACACCTGGGAGGTGGGTTGTTCTACTTTTCAATGCAACCAACGCTGACCTTCGGTGCTAGTGCATCGACCCCAAGTCAGACCTCGAGACCTGCGGCGGTTGTGCTTACGGCGACTACATCAAAGGTCTGAACAACACCCCCTCTAGCGGCATGGACTGCAGCACCCTCCCCGGCGTCTATCGAGGTTCTGTTACTTGCTCTGACGGTAGATGCGTGGCATACGCTTGCAAGCGGGGCTGGACTCTTGAGGGCGGTATCTGTATGAAGAGCCTGACGGTGCAGCCGTAGACCAGTTGACAAAGTATGCTTCGAAAGGACATTTGGGTTTGAGTATTATAGTTACCGGGGAGAACCCCATGCTGCTTCTCTAGCCTTATAGTGAGCCACGCGCGTTAGATATATTGAGATTTGGCTGTCGATAGATGGGGGAGAACAATGCAGTCATACATGAATGAAGGGTTTACTATCTGCTAGAGAATTTTGTCAGCGCCATGATCCAGGGTCTTGAGCACTACGTCAGATGATAACTTGCCTAGTCGTGCCGTGTTGGCAATTGGATGGGAGTGTAGTCATTATACATACGGATGTTGCGCCGATACTGCTGCACGGCGCTCATTGAGGAGCATCCCAGGATACTCCCCTGTCCGCCCCCTCTCTCGCGCCACCTGCCAGACCTCCGATTTCCGGCTCGTCTACATCCAATTTACCCAGCTCCATTGCATCCGCATCTTCCTCCTCTTCTTCCATCTGCCGTCTGATCGCCTCTTGTTCTTCTTCGTCCCAATCCTCGACCTCTCCGCCCTCTTTGACGTCTTCGTCGTAGTAGGCATCTTCCCTGTCGCTTCTGGGGAAGGGGCCGAAGGGGTTGGAAGTAGATGCGGGTTTGTCAGAGACGTTCATGTCTTTCATGAGACGCTCTAGCTGGGTCTTTTTGTCGGCTTCCGACTGCGCAGCGCGCTCGGCGGCTAGACGGTCGAGCTCGGGTTTGTAGTCGGTCTCGTACTCTTGACGTGCCTCTTCAACGGCGTTGAAAAAGTCGCGCATCCCTTCACCTGTCATTGCGCTTACACCGACCGCCTACGAACCGTTAGTGGACGACGATTACTGCTTGTGGAAAAACTCACTCTCAGATTGTTGTAGAATTCTTCCAGAACCAGACACATGCTTCCCATCAAACTATTCACGTAGCTTCCCTCTCCGTGCTCATCTCTAGCCTTGTCGTTCAGTGCCTCCTGGTACTTCTCAAAGTCCGCCATCCACTCCAGCGCAAAATCGTGTGGTTGCACATCGGTCTTGTTGAATACAAGGATAAAGGGAAGCTTTGTCTTGTACAAGATGGAGCAGGCGTAGAGCATATTGGACATGAAGGTGACGGGAGAGGCGGTACGAGGGGTGTCGATGATGTAGGCGACAACTGTGGGGAGAGAAGAAGCGATGGCATCGGTTATGATTGCGCCTGAGGCGGACCAGGTGAAGATTTCGATCTGGCCAGGGGTGTCAACCAGAATGTGGCTGTAAGGATCAGCACCCGGTCTGCCATGAGTCAAGGTCACTCACTCTACAGTAGTAGCACGTTTCTCCACAAAACCAAGTACCTGGTCGAATTTGGTCGTGAACAGATTCAGAGCCGTCAGGATACCTCCGTTTGGTCCCAAGTTGTATTGTTTCATGACCTCCTTGTAGTCGACGGTATCCCTAATATCGATGTTTGCTTGGTAAGGCATATGCGAGACCGCGGGATCGAGATTCAGGATATAGGGAGGGGTGTTTTTTGAGTGGAGATGAGAGTTGAGGCGTTGCATGAAGGTTGTCTTGCCCTATGCAGGACGTTAGATACAAGGGAGTGGAGGATTGTAGACGTACCGAGCCTGCCATTCCTATACACAGAATGACCACGGGTTTCTTTTCGGGAGATCCTTCGGCAGGGGCCGTTTGCGTTGATTGTTGCGCATACATGGCGGTAAACGATGCAGTTGTTTCTTCGAGAGAGTGTTCAAAAAGTTAGTTGGTGGAATATCAAGCAAGTCCTCGAAGAAAGAGTAAGCAGGCGGCTGCCTCCACCTTAAGAAAAGGTATTATTACGTAAGGGCGAATGTATATGTCTTGAACAAGCGCAACGACGCGAAAGTAAACAACGGTGAATCTCTCATTTGCTTTTATCCTCGCACTCAAATACCGCCATCGCCTTCCCCCCCTCAATCTCCCCCCTTCATTCACTATGGCAGACGTCAACGAGAAAATCGCGGATCCTAAGGCAGAGCGCCGGGCCTCCACGACGCGCTACCTCAAGTTGAACCGCCTCCCAACCCTGCAAGAGGTTCTCGACCGAAGGACAAGACCGCCTCTCGACTTGTTCTGCTTTTATGTGCGTACTTGAGCCCGTATTGACCAGCCACAGACTGACGTATGGATGGGCGATTTTTATTGGTGATTTGATGGCGACGTTGAACACGGGTCTGTGCACGCTGCAACATGGACACACAGATCTTTCTGCAAAGAGAAATGTCAGAGGACGCGCTCGACTTCTGGCTCGATGTGCAGCAACACGAAAACCTCTGTAAAGCATACTTCAAGGTGTGTCATCTGGTCTTCACCAAGAACAAGAGCTCATGCAACGCAGGACCTCCGCCGCTCTGGCCGTTCAGTCCAGGATGAATGGCCGCAATTTGCCGACTACGCCCGCTCCAACGGCTCACACTTCTCGCCTCTCCTCTCTCTCCCTTCCGAGCCCCCTTCTCCGAACCCGACGTCCCCTAACCCGCTCTACCCCGTCTCCCCCGACCAAGCTGGAGACTTTGATCCTTCCCACTCGCCGCTGAACCCAAGCGGTAGCCGCGGACGGAGGGACACCGAATCACACGGACCCAACCATGGGATGACTTCACCAACACCGAGCCAGGGAGTAGGCGCTTTCGGAGAAAGAGCGCAGAAAGAGGGCAGGACAAGTCTGGCGCCTAGCCAGGGGGCCGGGACTAGGAGTGGGAGACGAAGAAGCAAGGCCCCCACTGTCATTGCTAGAGACAGGGCAATCGAGAAGCAGGCGTTACAGGAAAGCGCAGAGAGGATTTTCTACCGATATCTCTTCGATGGCGGAGAGAGGGAAATCTACTTGCCGTCAGTCCACCCTCTATCAGTTTGTCAGATGAATCAAACTGACAGTCTACAGTCCCTCGCTACGTGTTTACAACTTTCCCGAATCCATTGAGGGCGAGACCTCTCCCCTCATCCCCGACCTCTTCCACGCCCAAAAGATCTATGTCTTCAAAGCCCTCGAACAGGACGCGTTCCCCAGGTTCCTCCGAGCCAAGGCTTTCGCCAATCTTACACCGTTTGGCAGTGTCGTCAGGCTCATTGCTGGGCTGTTATGCCTCTGGGGAGCCTTTGTTTTGGCATTCTCTCTAATCTTTTTGGACTGGAAACCACGCTTGACGCGTTTGTGGGTGCGTACGCGGTGCCCGTCGAGATCTCTCATTGACTCCTTATAGCTCATCCTCCCGTTCCTCTTTGCTTTCATTCTTCTCCTTTCCTCCTACTACTCCCTCTCCCCCTTGCTCTTCCTTCTCAATCTCTCCGAGACCACACCTTTCCACTTCATCAGCGTCAAGGAGCCGTATGTGCGCAAGTTGGTGGCTATCCGGGCGGGTATCATCGTTGTGGCGAGCCTGCTGTTGACTGCGATCTTCGTGGTCATATTCACAGTTGTGCCCGGCCATCGACTTTAAGACCCTGCATCCATGGTCCGGTGGAGGACAGTGTATACAAGGTGGTGTGTTTGACAGTGGTTCTGGAACAACTTATCATATTTTGATCATATTGTGCTTTCGGTATGGGTAATTACAGTCGTTCCAGTCTGTGTATTATCGGCCCATATCTCTTGACATGACCCTCATGTCTCCCCTATACTGTACATAGCCGGAGTCCAAAAGAGCGAGTAACGAGTAACGAACCTGATGAATCTTCTTATGTATCAAACACGGATAACTTGAAAGTGTGATACCGAAGTGCCACAATTGTATTTTGGTACCGCCCGATTGTGGCGACTCCAGAATTTGTTGTTGTTGTTTTTGCCTTTCGCTCTGCCTCACTTAAACCTGTCGTCAGCCATCCGCCAACGCTCTTCCCCCAGCTTTTTCTCATCATCGGGTCTCCACTGACTGGATTGTGAACGAGCCGACACGTGCATCTGCCTGAACAAGGCTGCAGTACGCGTCTTTGTTTACGCGACGGCCCACTCTTGGAGTATCTTGTTGACGCGCCGGTGCTCATAGCGCACCCCTGACCTTTGCCGTCGAGAATATTGAAGTACGCGTCTATGATCCCTTGACTGTCATGCCATGCTGATTGAGCTGGTCACCGCAGAGGCAATCCTGGAACCAATGGCACGCACCCGCAGATCACTCGTCGCCCCCGACTCCCTTCCCCTCGCTGTGGATCAGCCTCCCCGCCCATCTTCAGATTCCTCACTCTCTTCACCACCTCCCTCCCTTCCTCCTTCGCCCCTCCAGGTGGCCCCTCTACTGCCGTCTGCCAACAGGCTTACTCGGGCTTCTCGCACGCTCTCTTCGCTTCCATCTACACCCGACCCTACTTCTGGCCCCAGTATCTTCCCAGAAGGCCTTGTTGGCCATAGTTCCCAACGGGAGAAGCCAAGGCGTAAGTTCTTTCGCCAATCCAAAGCTCGGGCGCTTCAACTACCAAAACGAGGGAGATCGCCCGCGCCTGTGGTGCCCATGGAGAAGATCCTGAGAGCCTTAGGGGATGGCGAGCTGGAGAAGAAGGAGGGCCTGAGTCTGAAAAAGTACCCGCAAGACTATGAAGAGGAGAAGGCAAGCAAGGGGAAGGGCAAGAAGAGGGCAACACCCTCCGATGAAGATACAGCCGAAGAAGCCAAGCCAGCGCCCAAACCTCAACACGTCACCAAAAGCTACCTTTCTTCGGGCCTTTACTGCCAAGAAGAGAAACCAATCACATCGCAGACTCTCGTCGCCCGTGTCCTAAAGGCAAGGGAAGAAGAGAACAAGGCCGATAAGTTGAGAAAGGCGGAGGAAAGGAAAACGAAGGGGCGCAGAAGTGAGCCTATGCGACCGACGGGGGAAGGGGTGAGGACAACGAGGGCTAGAGTCTCTCTCTCGTCTAGTGCCCGACCTCCCCAGATGCCCACAGAGTTCGATCCAAAGAATAATGTCAAGAAGGACTCAGTGACAGTCCAGACTGACCGGCCCATCCTGCCTCCCCTTCCCTATGATTTCGGCTATACGCTCTTCTTCGGGAAGCAGCATGATTTTGAATTACCTTACAATATCAAAGAGGAATTCGCAAAAGGGGTTCTGGATGGAAAGAAGAAGCCTGATGGTTTCACCAAGATCCGAGCGAGTAAGCCAATCGTGTTTCGTAGCGCTTCGTGAGAATCTGACGAATAGCAGATATATATCCCGAGCGACAAAAGATTGCCTCGGATATCAAGGCTGTCTGCAAGTGTGATTCCACGTCAAATTGCGGCGAGCAATGTATCAACAGAATTATGAGCTATCTTTGTGGAAAAGGGTGTCCTTGCGCCGAGAGGTGTGAGAATAGGAGCTTGAACAGGCGAAAGGCGCCGAGTTATAAGGTCACTTATGTGAGCGACCTTTCGTATTCATCCTGGGGTCATCACTAATGGGATATTGACAGATGGGGGCGAGAGGATTCGGGATCGTGATTACTGAGGACGTGTCTGAAGGTGATTTTATTATGGATTACCGTGGAGAGGTTATCGATCTTGAGTGGGCATTTCGTCTTCCTTCCTCAGATCCGCATTAACACCACCTAGTACCTTCCGTGATCGAATCTGCACCACATACAGACTCACCAAGAATTACTATGCCCTCTCATACTCCCCCTACGAAGTCATCGACGCAGGACTCAGAGGTAACGACGCGCGCTTCATTAACCACGGATGCGCGCCAAACTTGGAGGTGAGAAAGTATCAGACCTTAGGGGATGGCTGGGAGGAGTACGAGGTGGGAATGTGGGCATCGAGGGATATCAAGAAAGGGGAAGAAGTAAGCTCTTTCAAATGGCCAGACTGCTGGGCTCTTGTGGCTGACAGGACTTTACCAGTTGTTTTACGATTATAACTTTGAACATTTCTCAGCCCAGCCTTTGGGCTCTCAGACTCGCTGTGCGTGCGGTGCACCCAATTGTACGGGCTACTTTGGCCGGCGTCCGGCTCAATCCTCTACGATGCCCGTCGCCTCTGAAGAAAGCAGGGGACAAGCACCGGAAAGCTACGAACGCGGACAAAGATCCGGGAAACCTGTACCCTCGAAGGGTAAAATGGGTAGACGTCAACATTTGCATCCTGTTACATCAGTATTGGCCTCGGCATCTCGATCCAGAAGAACGGTGGTAGTTTCTGCCTCCACTCGTTCCGCCCCGTCTCTCATCAGGAGCAGCTCAACGTCGTCCAACGATGTTCCTCTCAGGACACCAGAGCCCATCATCGTCGAAGTTCAGCCGACCGATGACGCTGTCCAGGAGAGCGCAGATGGAGATGCCAGGTTGCTGAAAGTTGGCAGGAAGAGGAAGTCTGCGCCTGTGCCTATCGGGCAAGAAAAAGGAGGTGAAAGAGTGATGAAAAAGAAGAGGTCGTTTATGGTACCTTCTGTTGTTATCACGACAGCATCAAAGCACGCAGTGAATGGCAGTGCAGAGGATCAACAGGGAGGGCGACGGCGGTCGACGCGAGGGAAAGCATAGTGTTGTACATATATATAGAGAAGGGACGATTCATACCCCATGGACGACATCATCGTTGGTAGACTTTATATCTACTTCTGTACCTGCAGTCTTCTTCTTTCTATTGTAATCCCTTTTATTGACGACTACTCACGTGTACGAATCCGGAGTTTGAAGCGATGCATATCATCAAAACTAGGCCCAACAGAAAAACCTGAACAAAAAGTAGCCCTCCAACAGAACAAAACACGGATGACCAAGATCAATCAATTACTCTTCCCAAGTAACATGGGCTATTGGTCTCTCCCCAACTCCTGACCATTCCCAAGTTTTCCAGATCTCGCCCTTCACCTCTTGCTCCCGAACAGTCACATTCGCATTGCCTTCAACCAGCTCCACCACCTTCTCCCACATTCTCGCTTTGCTTCCACCGAGCGTTGCTCCCTTGTGCGGCATTACAAGGTCACGCAGCTGGTCACGAGGAATGAAGGGGTTCGGAGTGGATGCGGGATCAGTGTAGTGTAGTTGCTCTTGATCCTGGATGCGTCTCAGAGCAACAGAAGCCAGGGATGCGGCACGATACTTGTCTTCTTTGCGGCGGCTGACTTCGGAGCGAATGTAGGCGATGAGAGTGAGGACGGCAGCGGTCGCTGTGCAGTGTTAGCGGTCACATTATCTTTCATATGGGCGAGACTCACATCCAAGCTGGCTCTTCCATCTGTCAAGAAGATCGGCAGCTTCGAGTTTGCCGCGGCATACAAGAGTCAGGTCGGTGCGGGCAGCGGCATAACGAGTGACGTTGTTCCTAGCACAAGGTCATTTCCATATCTTTCCTACGCCTAGGGGACTTACTCGACATCGATCGAAACGATCAAGTCTTCATGTTCGACCAGATCTTTGATCGCAGCCTCGAAAATCTGATCAAACTCCTCCCTGCTGACTCCCTGTCTCCTCATACCGGCATATTTTTCCCTCAACGCTTCCTCTTCCTCTCCAAACCTTTCACCATCACTTCCTCCTCCAGTACCTTCGCAGATCACGTCACCCCTGTGTTGCGCCAGAGAGCTCTCCAGCTCTTTCGCCATGCTGCCTATCAATCGCTTCAACCTCGTATCGGGCTTGCACACTGGTGGGAATGCGCGCGGTCCAACGGTCGGAAGACCATCGACCAAAGGGGAAAGGAAAGCAATGTAGCTCGGTGACAGCAAATATTCGGGCTCACATGCGACTATCTCTCCATTGGAGCATTGCGCATGCGCCGGGCAAGGTGTACAAGCGAATGGCACAGGAAGGAACGGGACAAGGGGGAGGTTGGACGTATCGCATTGTATATGCTTGGCCTGATCTCTATCTGTCGCGTCCAACCTCGCACGTTCTTCGAGGCATTTCTCTGCTGCCGTACGGGACGACAGTCGGGAAAGCGCAATCTCATTTGAGCTGTATGCAGTGTCGCAAAAGCCGATAGAGGAGGATTGAGATTTGAAGTTGGTGATAAAGGTGAGGAGGAGTAAGAAGAGAACCGATAAAGGAAGAGTAGCTCGCGGAGCAGGGACATTGTGTGTGATTTGGTCGTTGACGCGGGTTGCCAACGACTTCTCAGTGTCGGTTGCTGCATCTGTAGAAGTATGCACAACCACCTGGGCATCTTCTTGAGCGTTTCGAGAGATCTGGTTGAGCTTGTTTTGCACTTCATGATTATACGCCACAGCATCATCAAGATCACCCTCGGCGAGTCTACGTTTGACCTCGGAAGGCGGTGTTCGCAAATTCTCCCTACTGGGGCCCATTCGGCGAAGAATACCAGGAGGAGTGACGGCATCTGAACCTGGCTCGGAGTATCGTGGTTGATCAGGCTTCCGGGTAGACGTAGCGAAACCAATCGACGACTTTCTCCTACGTCTTGCTTTCTCTGCAGCCGCCTCGCTACCACTTTGGAAGGGGTTGAAGTCAGAAAAGGCAGGCTCATCCCCGGCGGATCTTCTGGGTGTTCTGGCGGTCTTCTTCTTGGGGGTATCATCCCTTTCGCTTTCTTCGTGGAGATTCTCCATGACCTTGATAGCGGGCTCGCTCTTTCTTGCGCTTCGAGGAACTTTGGGGGTGCGAGCAGACGTGGGAGGTTCGGTGGCGGGTGTGACAGGAGTCATGGAGGAGCGGCCACGAGTCGTACGCCGAGACTGTAATGTTTTAGCACGATACCATCAGTCAGAGTGTACAAACATACAGGCGTGGGAGCAACCTTGGGAAGCTCATCTTCAATTTTTCCATCGACACCTTCATCGACGTCCTCCACCTGGATTACCGGCTGCCCGTTCTTCTTGCCTCCTCGCCTGGGCGTCGCCTCAATCTCCACCACTGGGACGCTCTTGGCTTTCGAACGTGATCTTTTCGCAGGTGGTTCAGGAGTTACCTCGGTCTGGTCCGGTAGTTCAACATCTGTTGATTCGGGCTCGGCGGTCGACCGTCGTGAGGACCGACGGGGACGCTTGGTGGGGACAGCAGGGGTCTCTTCCCCGGCATCGGAAACGGAGACGATGCCTGCGTCAGAAGGTACGACAGCGGCTGCTTGTCGTCGCAAGGCCTAAAGGTGTGTTATCCATGTATCTCGCCATGAGCTCTCGGGACTCACAGAAGCTTGACTTGCGATATGTGTCTCGAATTCGCGCACGAGCTCATCCTTCTTGATCCTAGCTGAATATCCGTGTCCATGAGCGAGTAGTACTGATCTGGTGATGGGTCAGTATGGGGGATGAATACGGATCGACCGAACTTGCCGAAGCTGCGGGACCTGGACGTATTGTTAGCGGGATGTAAACAAGTCGACATGTTGAGTGCAACTCACTGTGAGCTTTGCCGGGTTGAAGCCTGGGGCCAGATACGTCTCCGGGGGCGGGGCGGACATGGCAGGGACTGTCTGGTTAGTATTTGCGGCTGAACGAAAAAGAAACCAAAGAAAGAATCGCCACTCCCCTTTGTTGTTGTTTATGACGAAACCACACACGCCTATTTTTCATCGCCTGATTTTTCCATTTTATCCCAGTGCTGTTGGTCTTAGACAGCTTGCCCCCCCCACGGCGCTTGCATACCAAGTAGCGATGCCACCTACCTGCATACTGCAGTATAGCCTGCGAGGTGCCATATAACTGTACACGTGCACTCTGAGGAAGTCTTATGAAACCAATCTTGGGAAAGACATCAATCAACTTCATCCTCGCATCATCACCACATGCAGGACCCAACGTCTGAGATGGTGGCCAAGACGGAACAAGGGTTCCAATGGTAGTATTGGGGTAGACACACCCGGTGACATTTCAACACTCCAAGGGACAAGCATAACACTAGAGCTGTTTCTTCAGCTGCTGGCTCTGGTATCTCAATCGAGCCCGTACACGAATCCGACAATGCTGTTTCTGCATCGCACTATTAGGAGACACCGTTTCACCGAGATGGAGAGGTGTGCGATCTGATCTGGACATCATCCCAGTGTTGAAGAAGCGTCGGTTGGAACCAAATGAAGAGGAGAGTGATTTCTAGGAGTGCATTTTATTGTATTTATCCTGGCGCGCGTTCTATTACGCGCTCGGGCCACTGCTTTGATACTCGACAACAACTCTGCCACTCCAGCTGCTGCGTCTCTCCCGTCAGCCACCCATCCAGCCACCCCTGCCCGTTCCCCACCCCATCCCCACCCATCGTCATGGCCGCTGCTGTCGCATCCCCCGGCGAAGAGATCACCGCTGGCTCTTATGTCGGATTCGACTGTACGCCCAAAGTTCCCCTGTATGACCCGTACCGAGCACAGCTGATCAGAGATACCCCAAACCTTCACCATCCGCCCTACAGCCATCACTCGCCAGATCGAGCACAAGTTCCTGAAGCGTGGTTTCCAGTTCAATATCATGGTGGTCGGTGCGTGGCCCGTGCTTTGGCCTGGGAATGTCTTGCTGATCTATCTGGCAGGACAAACCGGTCTCGGAAAGTCCACCCTCATCAACACTCTTTTTGCCTCCCATCTTGTTGACTCTAAGGGTCGCTTTGAGCCAGAGATTGCTCCTCGCGCGACTACCGAAATCGCTGCTCAATCCCACGGTGCGCTACTCTGTTGGCAGTCGCACCTTTGCATCGACGCTGACGGCTTCTAGTCATTACCGAGAACGGGGTCAAGCTTCGGCTCAACATCATCGACACCCCTGGCTATGGTGACAATGTCAACAACGAAGGATGCTGGGATCCCATCGTCAAATACGTTGGTCTAGATTGTCTTCTCGCCTTTGCCTCGTGCTCACCTCGAATCAGATCAAAGACCAGCACTCTGCCTATCTCAGGAAGGAGCTTACTGCCATGCGAGACCGACACATCCCCGATACCCGTATCCATTGCTGTATCTTCTTCATCAACCCCACAGGACACACTTTGAAGCCGGTATGTTGTGCACCGTCATCAGAACCAAAGCTCAAAATCCACTCAGATCGACATTGTCGTCCTCAAGAAGCTTTCCGACGTTGTCAATGTTGTCCCCGTGATCGCCAAGTCTGACTCCATGACTCTTGAGGAGCGAGCGGTTTTCAAGGAGCGAGTAAGTGTTGTACAGGGTAACACAGTAACACTACTAACCGGTGTAGGTCATGGCCGAGATGCAATACAATCAGATCAGGATGTTCCCCTTCGACTCTGAAGAGCTCGACGAGGAAGAGCTTACTCTCAACGAGCGGGTCCGGGTCAGTACTTCGAATACACATCTGAAAAGAGGCTGACCTACGTCTAGGAAATGCTCCCATTCGCGGTTGTCGGCTCTGAGCGAAGCGTCATCGTTGACGGTAAACCCGTCCGAGGAAGGAAGAACAGATGGGGTGTCATCAATGTGGAGGATGAGGCGCACTGCGAGTTTGTCTACTTGCGAAACTTCCTTACCAGGTGAGTCTTCATCATGTCATGTTTGTCATCAGCGGCTGACTCTGCCCAGGACGCACCTCCAAGATCTCATCGAGACCACCGCTCAAGTCCATTACGAGACCTTCCGATCGAAGCAGCTTCTTGCCCTCAAGGAGTCCTCCACAAAAGCTCAACAATCTTCCATCTAATTCTCTTCTACGTCTTTTTCATATCTTTACAGAATCCTGGGCCCCTGTACCCTCTCAACCTCAACCTTCTTGTCTACTAGACTTTTCTCCATCTGTCTTATTACGCGCTTAATGACCGTCATGTGAATTATTGACCCTTTCTCTGCGTCATCAGTCGAATGAGCGGCCCCCAGCATCATGAGACACCCGGAAGCCGCCTGTATGTCAGACGACGATAAGCTACACGCATACTGCTATCACCTGCTCCTTACGAGATATGGTAGACAGTCAAGACAGGAATGCTCTTGATCTTGTCCGAAAAGATCTTGGAGTGCTTGGTCATGCTTGATCGGCGTCGCGTTGGGGTTGCGAGACGCGGGAGGGCCGAATTACGTCCACCGATTATGTAGCGAAATGGCGATACTCGTAATACGGTACTTCAACTCACTACATCTTCTTGACTCTTCCCGCTCTTCTGTCCAGTGCCCGTGGGTCGAGTACATATATGAGACAGTCTTTCCTGATTTGCGACTCATGGTCTCCTCCACATTCACTCAGTCTTCACTCAACGTCAACAGAGCGGCGCCGCCGCTCTCGCGGAAGACTGGCAACAACAACAGAACAACAATCATTTGGATGTCCTTCGTCCTCTCCTCCCTCATGCCGTTATAGAAAACACAACACAAACACGTAATGATCAACGCCTGGGAACGTCGGGCAGCCGCACATCTATCTGCCTCAAGCCTCAATCTTCAAAGTCGACAACCTCGACTTGCCCGCGACGCGGACGCGATGCAGATCATTTGAAGCAAGTGTGTCATACTGAAACCTCTGATGCTTCCCAAGAATATGCTAATCTATCAAGTAGCCCATTATATATGCTGACAACGTATAATCGTACAGCGCAATTTCGACTTCTTCTCTATAGTTTTATGAAAACCCAGCCACCACTGACCCAAGAGGTATATGTTATTGTACAGATTCGTGATGACTAAAGAAACAGGGATACTTTCAAATGGAGCCTAAGTGGCTCATACGGGCTAGACCACTGGCCCGCCAAAGTAGCTCAACCAACTTCGACATTGACGGGAGGGCTCTACAGTTGAACGGTAAGAGACCTGGAGCAAGCGCCGTTATGGAGAGTCCAGCCGTTCTTGCAGGCAAATGCTTGGCAAAAACCGCTAGAACATGTAACGGAGCCGCGGAGAAGACCGGGAAGAGAAGAGCAGCTGAGATGGTGGTCAGCCAGTGGATTGAGAGATGTGCAGGAAGAGGACGCACTCGACACCGGTCGCAGCAGTGCTGTTAGCGCCCTTGACGTAGTCACCGTGAGCACAACCACCACAGCTTTCGAGGTCAGCCTCGGGATCCACGCACTGATACCTTTATCAGCACTCTGCATTTGAAAAGAAGAAGTTAAAGACTCACCTCCCAAGCATCGGAAGCACCCTTGACATTACAAGCCTTCATACCCCTCGGACAGTCCCATCCCCTCTCCCTGATGACCTGCGACCTCCTCATCCTCTCGTGCTTCTCAAAGTCTCGCTTCTTCTTGGCCAAGCCGCTAGCTGCAGCAGCGGCAGTGTGGGAGAAGGTGTAGTAGTTGGAAGTGGTGCAGGTGTTACTATTGGTGGCGAGCGTACCAGAGCCACAGGCACAGGTGTAACCACTGCCAAAGAGGTTGGGAGTATAGAAGGCATTGGCGTAGGCGGCACACTTGGTGAAGCAAGCAGCAGGGCTGGCGACAGTCCCAGAAGTGGAAGAAATGATGCCGGTGCCGCTAGAGCAACCTTTGAAAGTGAAGGAGGAGGATGTACGGTAAACCTGTATATGTCGGTGAGTACTGTTCTTATACAGGGATGAGCGAAGAATCGATCGGACTTACAGCAGCTTCAGCACCGGCAGTACAGGTGGTGGTGGTGGAGTAGTCGTAGTCGGTGGGGTCAATGTTGGCAGAAGTACAGAGACAGTTGTTGGTAGGGTAGTTGAAACTTTTGGTGATGTATAAGGCATAGGTGTTGGACGCGCATCTGGTCTACCTATTCGTGTGAGCCAGTTTCTCTCGAAACCCGTGAACGGACACTCACGATACAAGCAGCGGCTGACGTTTGAGATGATTGAGAGCTGACTGTAGTGAAGATATGGGTGATACAGCCGAGGAAAGGGGACTCGGCAACGACAAACGAAATGGAGGAGAGACAGACGACCATTAAGAGGGGAAGAGTGCGGAGGGCCAACATTCTGGGCAAAAGTGCAGGAAGTTGGTTGGGTCAAGAGAGTGGGCTCTGAAAGAGTGTGCGGGTGATAGCTGAGCTGACGCCGACTTGTAGGTAGTACGGAAAGAAGACTACGAATGGCAAGAGACGGCGGGAGACTGGTCTGACGAGAAGAGAGGGGAGAGACCGCGTTCTCCTCCTCTTTATAGCTTTCGAATATGTCGGCATACGATGCCAAGCTGATATTGCAGGAAGGGAAGGATCCGGGGACTGTCTGACCAAGTGCAGGAAAGTGCAGGAAACCGCTTTAGTGACAGCACTCTGTCTCATTCGAAAAGTTCAAAACACGTCCTGCTGGAGCGTGGAGGTGAAGTCGCTCTTCCGTAATCTTCCCATCCCTCCCCCGAGTGGGACCTGTCGATCCTGTCAGCGGGAAGCACAGGTGTGTCAGAACCCTGGCCAACCTCTCCTCTTGTGCCTCCTGCTCTCACTTGGAATCTCGCGAAGAAATTGAGGAGGCCGAGGAGAACGGCAAAAGATGGTCTGAATGAAGGCGGGCCGGAAGCGGGACGGATGATCATCCTTGAACATGTCGCACTTCAAGCCGGGGCTCTGGCTATGGACTCTGTCTCGCATTTGAGGGTGTGCGCTACAGACGGGAGACGAACATAGTGCAGCTGTCGAGATGCCCCGCGGGCGCAGGCCGTGCTAGCCGAGGGGGGCGAGGGACACGTCTCTGGTTATCACTGAAAACATGAGGGCCATTATCGCTTTTGAGAAGCCTGAAAGGTTCACTATCTAGTATCATATGCCGATAAAGAAGCATATCCTTGTACGTGATGTCCTGTACGTAACGTGGCCCGCGTGGGAGGCCGCGCGCGCTTCCCCGCGCCGCACACATTGACCATGAATGGGCGCTTCCAAACCTGGCACGTCCGGTCGACTCGGTATGTCTACTCGTACAGTACACTACTGGCCAAGATCCTTCGCCCTTTGCATACAGCGCATGTCTCAAAGAATCGCAAGGCTCGAGATCAAGGTTGAGGACAAAGACAAGCCTGACCTGTAATTTTGTCGAAGATCTATCGTCTCCATCCCCTCTCTCAGAGTCAAGCAGCCTGCCATCGAAAGCCCCAAAGGTTCCAGAACGCAGAGGCCCACGTATCCGCGTACAGCTAGAGTGGTCTTACATAACCGAGATGGATAAGCTGTGTGATTGCCGATGGGAGGCGAAGGATGCATAGGAGTGAAAGGGCACTCAGCTGCCTCCTTCCGGTGTCGAGCGCAGATGTCATCCATGCCCGCGGTGGACAGGCGCCTGACGAGTATCCTGGATTCTAGCTATGACCTGTAGTAACCCTTTTTCAGCCCCCGGCCCTTCTGATGATCTATGCTGTTCGGGAATGGACACACTGTTGGCGCACGGGAGGAGAGGCCGGGAGAGGCTTTTTCGGCGGGAGAGAAAAGTGGAGGTTTTGCCGCGAACCGGCCCCGAGACCTCATGATGGCGGGTATGGGCGTATGGCAGGCACTGGAAGTGTCCCTGGCATGTGGAATGCCCGATCGTCATGCCTAAGGAGAAAAGCACCGCACAGCGTTCGACCATCCATCCCAAGTGACAACTCCGGAGTGCGTGGGTGTGGTGGTGATCGACGTATCGACCTTTCCTTTCCAGTGTGAGTTCACTCGGCCACACAACGTTCACTCGAGGCTGCCCATGTCCTCTGGCCGCTGGCATCTCGACCTGGCCATGGAGTCTTGTCCCAAGCGTCTTTCAATAATCTCATGCTCGGCCCGCCGCGGTCGCGCCCCTGAAACCTGGCCAACTTACTGACATTGCACTTATTGAAACATACACGACACGGAGATAGAAACTACATCATAATCGATCTTGAGCAGGAAAGAGGAGGCTAGTGATCCTAGTGAGCCGAAGAAATGCACGTGAACCAACAAATGAGGCTCGGGCTGTCTCGAACATCTCAGATGTTACTGGAACCTCGTTGTCTCTCGAGTCTGCCATGCTGCATGCTGTCTCCTGCTGGCCCTGCTGGCCTCCTGTATCCTGTAAGGCCTCCAAACTGGCCATCGGTGTCAATCGACCTATCATCTGATATCTCAGTGACGCGTCGACTGCGCGAGCAGTCAACCAACGACTCTAGCAAGCGTCTTGGTATGCACAAATATGCCTCAACGGAACAGTGGCTTGCACGTTACATAGAACCACTCACAACTCCGTCCGTTCTCGGTGCTCAGGGTTTATTAGTGCTGGAAAGCTTTGGATATATACATCGATATGGTCACCGGGTAACATATACGCCGGTATTGTCACTCGGCACAATAATATCTGTCGGTAGATGTGACCGCTAGTTGTCAGTATAGTCACCCTGTCCGATTCCCAGTCGGCGACTGCTCGTTCTCCAAGCCCCAGACGCGAAACTACTCCTGTATACGGAGTACTGTAGACAGCCGAAGGTTGTGTAAGACTGTCTTACTGAATGATTCAGCTTTCTGGGGGAGACTGGCAGGTTGCTACATACTTTTGAGTACTGTCGTCACTGACGTTTCAACAGGAGCGACAGTTCATGTTATCGATTGCCGAGTCTGGCTGGGCAGCATTACCCGTCAACTAGACCAGGTGTAAGGTAAACTTGGAAGACGGCCATGGATGCATGCCTATACATACATATCAGATGTAGCTGGAAGCTGCAAAAAGATCCGGTCAGACGGTCCGTGCGAGTACGAACCCGAAGGAGTCATCGTTGACAAAGAGTGCATGGCAGACAGGCAGAAGAAGAAGGACTGCTGCTCATGGAAAACATCAACTACTACGATGAACCCGCAAAAGCAATTACCAAGATATCATTAGCGGAAAAGTGGTATGTACAGAAGGAAGCACAAGTCTTCAAGCGTTCTTCTAGAGTTGGCTGAATCATTTCTACCCCTTGTATATGTGAATTCTAATGAAGGAAGCGGAAGTCGAGTCTGTTCTGCGTATCAGCGCCCCATCCTCAAAATCAGGGTATCACAACTCACCTCTTATTACCCTTATCGCTAGTACTTTTCATGTACTCCCCCTTCTCCTCCGCAGTATATGTGTCCCACACCTTGGCCTTCTGCTTGTTCCTATAGATGTACCAAGCCTTGGCAGCCCAAAAGTTGAAGATGGCAACCCCGGTGATGCCAGCGAGAACCTTGTTACCTTTGTGGTAGTATGGGGCATCGGTGGGCTGGTAGACGTTGGAACTGATCAAAGACGCCGATTGAACAAACTAAGGTATGTGTGTAAGTGCCATGGGGACGCAGCAAGTGGTGAGGGAGACTGACCATGTTGTAGAGACTACTGGCGACAGTACGGGTTCTGACACTGCCGGCATTCTACAAAAAAGTCAGCTTGTGATTCTTCGTACGAAAGACGGTTCTTACGCCACTGTTCATAGACACGATAATCGGATGACTCGACTACCCCTAATCAGCTCGCCTCCTTTTTCCACTGTCAAAATCCACTCACAGGGTGCGAAACAGTCAATGTGATCAACACCCACTTCACCCACCTATTCAAATCATCCGGGGCATAGATAAGTCCGACGATGAACGGCAGCATCCAAATTGGGTTGAACGAAGCGATGATTAGACGCTCGTTGACTCTCTTGGAAATGTAGGCCGGGATCAGGGTGAAAATGATGGAGATGACGTTGCCGGGGATAGTCATGAGGTTGGTTTGGAAAGTTGTGAATTTGCTGATGATAGGCTTAGCGAAAAAGGCTGGAGGATAAGACGGAGACTAACAGAGCTTTGAGAGTGAGGGTATAGTAAGTGCTGATGGTGTTGGGCGCGACGAATGACGTGATACCAAGCTATCATACATCAGTAACTTGGACTTTCCTACTTTAGCCTCGACTCACAGCGTATAGGGGCCAAAGGTCATAGTCGCACAACGATTCCCAGAATTGCTTGAGGGAAAGTCCTTCTCGATTGTGCACTGGTATCTTGTAAGTGCGCCGTTGAAAGAATATGGTGAGGGAGGGACGTACTGTCCGACTTGAAAGGGTCATCCCGAAGGACCTTGTTGACAATGATAGTCTCTTCCCGTCTACGTGATCATATATCAGCTACGCTCCTTGAAGCTGACGAGAAAAGGGACGTACTGGGTGAACCAGCCTTCTTTCCTCCACCATTTTGCGGTCTGGGTGGGACTGGCAGGCAGGTAGAAGGCAGCCCAGAGACCGACTAGGAATGTGATTGTCCCTTCAATGACGAATAGCCCTAAGTGAGGTACATTAGTATCCAGGTAGGTACGCCGGGAGGAGTAAGAGGGGACTTGCATTGCCAGCCTGCGTATCCGTGAACGCCTATGTATCATATCAGCTGCCTGGGGGGACAATGGGATGATGGGAACGCACCTCGCATCTGTAGAAGACCAGCAGCGAGGAAACCCGAGATGATGTTGGTCATTGTCAGTGCACACCAAAAGTATGAGAGACGGATAGTGAGTTCGGTGGCGGCTGACGAGAGGTACAGTATCAGTGTTGTCACCGGGGCGCGAGAAGCTAATGTTGCCTTACTGTAGAAACTTTCGATTGGGAGAAAGAAGGAAATGATTGTCAGTACTACAGCGTGGACAAGAGGATAGGCGCAGCTCACTATGACAGACTATGCAATATCAGTATATCGTTCAGCTTTCCACCCGGTGACAGGATAAACTCACTAGAGAATGGTATCGGCAATGAACCTATGCCCTTCCGGTCAGCTCACAAGATCAGAACATCCAAAGCGAGAGACCTACCCTCCCTCAATCAAACCAAGAAGAGCACGCGTAGCGTAGAAAGATTGGGGTCCTTTGATACCCATTTGGCCCATTGCGACGGCGGACCAGGATATCATCTACATGCCGTGTCAGCTTGGGAAGTGAGGATATGGAAGTGAAATTACTTGAATGGGGATCCAGACATCACTTCCGAGCTTCTTCGAGACTGGGTGCACAAATCAGTGATGGAGACGCGGTCGGTATGAGTGAGAAAGAGCTTACTCATCTGGGAAGGAAGCTCAGCGAAGAGAAAACAAAGGGAGAAGATGGTATTGCCAATGTTATCTGTAATGGAGTCAGATGGTGGTCGAAAGAGAGGCAACACAAGAAGCTCACAATTGGCAGTGGTCATACCGACATCACTCAACATGTCGTCGGACACGGCGTTACCGAGCTAGTGGTGGTGTCAGCGCTGACGCTATCACTAGCATAGGTGACTCACGTTACCACGATCAAGCTGCAAGGCAAGGAAACACAGACAAGCAAAAGACATGACCTTCCAGTCTGCAGGCAGGTCAAAAACATTGTCACACAAAGTGGATATCCACTTACCAAGTTTCCTGCTGAGCTTTGTCTCTTCTTCTTCGGTCCACTCGGCCTTGGGGTCCCATCGCTTCTTACCCTCGTAAGTGTCAGGGGGCTCATAGAACCTATAGTTGAGCTCGACCTGCGAAGCAACCTCGAAGGCGCCGACATTCTCGCCGTAGAAAGACTCCTTGTCGTCGGCGCGCTTGGAGTCTGGAGATGACAGGGCCTGGTCGGTCGCCAAGGGACCGTTGACGGTGACGATGGCGACCACTGGAGCTACGACTCGATCGCTTATGACTTGTGGATGATGCTGGGTGAGGAGACTTGCTGGCTTTTCGCCCGGTGTATTATTGGTAACATGAAAGCCGCGGGCGGGGGACGGCGGCGATGGCCGGAGCACCCCATCGCTCGCCATATGGGAGATAATGGGACGGAGGATATAAGAAGAGGGAATTCCAGATATCCCCAGCTATTCCAGATATGGCCCAGTGATCACCAGTCGCCATCCCCTCGGCCTCCCGACCGCCACAGCTCTGCCACACGCAGCACGACATCTCACCCCATACGACGTGCCATCACAGGACGGTATATACTGCCCACGTTCACCCTCCCGTCTCCCCAGCCACCATGCCCGTCGCCACACCTCACGCACCCCAGCCATCTCTTGTAAACACCCTCAAGGCCAGCGTCTACCACGTAGAGCACAAGGAGCACAGCGAGGAGCCATTCAACCTCCGCTCATTCGCCCACTTTGACTCGGCCCCCTCCATCGGCACAGAGTTCCGCGAGTTCTCCAAGGATGGCAAGCCAGTCATCGATATCCGTGACTTGCTCGGCGACGAGACCAAGATCCGCGCTCTTGGGCGACTGGTGTGAGTGCTTCCTAACAAGTCATACTGGGCTGACGAGGACAGCTCGGAGCGAGGCGTCGTCTTCTTCCGTAACGCCATCATCACGCCCGAAGAACAGCGCGTCCTCATCGACACTCTCGGCCGTCTCGGGGGCAAGCCCAAGGACAGCGGATTGCATATTCACCCGCTTACTGCGACCGCCAGCAAGCTCGGGGACGACGTGCAAGTCATCTCGAACGAGTATTCCCACGACTTTGACAAGGGCGGTATCAAGACCAACCAGGGTGAGATCTTGAAGCGCGAATTCGGCAAGGACCTCTGGGTGAGTGGGAGCTTGTGAAACTTGAAGATGGGAGGCTCATGGAATTGCAGCACTCTGACATCACGTTCGAGCCTTACCCTTCCGACTATGCCTCTCTCACGATCAGGACGTTGCCCGAAGTCGGCGGTTAGTTCCTTCCTTTCTGCCCATACTCCAATCTGACTCTTTCCAGGCGACACTCTTTGGGCATCGGCCTACGAAGCATACGATCGTCTCTCCCCCCTCTACCAAACCTTCCTGGAATCCCTCACCGCCACCCACGCTGCCAAACAGTTCATCCCCGGCGCGATCGCCCAGCGCGGGGACGCCTTCGGCCAGCCGAGGGGTCATCCCGAGAATGTCGGCACAGAGCTGGAAGCCGTGCATCCTGTTATCAGGACCCACCCATTGACGGGATGGAAGGGCCTTTTCGTCAACAAGGAGTTTACGAAAAAGATCAACGAGCTCACCCTGCGAGAGAGCGATACGCTTTTGGATTTCTTGTTTGAACACGTCTCGTCGGTGCGGCGCGTCATCGGCTTTTATACAAGACCAAGCTGACGAGTACACAGAACCACGACCTTCAAGTGCGATTCCGCTGGGAGAAAAACTCGCTCGCGATCTGGGACAACAGAATCACATTCCATGCTGCTACCAAGGATACCGACGGGATCTTGAGAATCGGTACGAGGTCTGTCAGTGTGGGAGAGAGGCCGTACTTTGACCCCAAGTCGGTTGGGAGAAGGGAGGGGCTTGCAAAGGAAGCGGCGGGAGATGCTGTCGCCTGAGCGTGTAAAAGATGAATGAAGACATTCGAGCTGTATCTAGGACCAAAGGCTAAGGTTGTACATACCAAGCATGAATTGTAGTATTGTTGTGCTTTTCACTGTGACCAACGACGGATGACGATGACTGAACATACGCCTCCAAAGTGATTGTGCAGGTGGACAACAGTGTGTCTGAGAGGGGCAGGTTGGTTGTGATTGACTACACTGGCATCACGGAGAACCAAAGATGGCGACTATAGTCGGTCACTTGCGTGATGACGAGCGATAGAGTGCTCTGGCTGTCCATCTTCTCACTGTCACTCGGCCTATTTCCGGCCATTTTCCCATTTCGCCTGCGGATGCCCGAGCAGATACAAAGATTATGTATAATCAATTATTGCATCATCCGAAGTTCCTGCATGGTTACAGTAGCTAGCGATTATCTGGAATAAATGTGATTGTTTCTCGGTATGGTGCGAAGATGCGGACGTCCCCGGGCCATACAAGGGGCTCGTGATCCTCGTGATATATGCACCATGGCGGACTCTAGTAGGATCAAGATGTCATGTAACGTGATCGCCAAGAGCCAGCATGGGACAGGCAGTGCAGGCAGCCCTTGCTGACGTGGGGTCTTTTGGTAATGCGGCGCAAGTCCCGCAGAACACACTAATGCCAACTAACTAAGAAGTGGGAGATGGGTCCAACATGTCTCCTCAAGCTCCCATCTAGCTCTTGCAACCTCAAAGTACCCGGGCCCAAGGAGGGTGATTCTGACAGGGGATGAATCTTAATAACAGCGTTATTAACCTTGGGCCCGGGTACACTTGGCTGAGCTCTTCCGGATTGTGGACAGTAACAAGAAGACTTCGTTATTCATTTCGCATGCTTTTCAACAATCACATTACCAGTCCACGCTCCTTACTTCTTATCCACTTCTAATCCTGCAAAGGGTATTCATCCGGTCCGACCACATACGCGGCAGGGAACAATCCTTCCTTGCCATTACATGTCCCCTGCCACCAGTCAGGGTCGATCTTGTTAATGTCGGTGATATGGTCGCCTTCGGCGAATGAGATTTCATTGTCTTCACCGGCTTCGTAGCTAGAGATATGTTAGTCGGCTATTTTCCAAGAAGGGGCAGACTTACTCGTAAGCCGCGACCATGTACTCTTTCTGTGCAGCTGGGGCAGCAGCAGCAGGTGGGGGAGGGGGTGGGGGAGGAGGAGGAGGAGGGGGAGGGGGAGGGGGAGCCGCAAATGACTCGGTAGTCTCTACAGCAGGTGCTTCTCTCGATTCGACAGCAGGCGCGGAAGATTCGACAGCAGGTGCCTCTGTAGGTTCGACAAGCTCGCAATAGTTGGCAGGGAATAGACCTGCTTTACCCGCGGGGTTCACTCCAGACCACCATCCTACGCAAAGTCAGCATGCTCACCAACCATGAGTCCAGTCACTTACCCTCATCAAGCTCTTCAATCTGAGTAATGATTTCGTCTTCGCGAAGATCAATCTCGTTGTCCTCCGCAGCTTCATAGTCGTACAGCACCTTGGCCGTCTTGCCAGCCACTGCAGTCTCCTCAGCGACCTTGGGCCTCGAGTCGACAGGGATGGGTGGAGGTCCAGCTGGAGGGGCCTCTCCAAGGGTGAGATCTTGCTTGAGCCTACTGAGCTCTTCGATCTGAGGGTCCGCAACGGGTGCTGGGGGTGGGGGTGGAGGAGGAGGAGGGGGCGGGGGCGGGGCTGGAGCACTGGGGGCGCTGGGCTCATCTTCCACGACAGGTGAAGGCCTGAAAGGCACCGCAGGAGGAGGGGGAGCAGGCGCGTCCCAATCATCCTCGTCCTCTTTCTCTTCATCAGAGTCGGGAGATACAGGCCGGGGGGGCACAGCCCTTGTGGCAGGAGGTGGGACAGGTGCAGAAACCTTGGGCGCATCCCAGTCATCGTCATCCTCTTTCTTTTCCGCGGAGTCGGGCACAGCTCTTGCGGGCGGAGGAGGCGCAGCAACAGCTGGGGCGCCCGTCACCGCAGAAGAGATCCCCCCTCTAGAGGTAGCAGCAGCACCAGCGGCAGCACTGGCCTTGTCCTCTTCCTCTCTCTGCTTCTTTGCCTCGGCTTGTCGCTCCGACCACGTCAGCTTCTTTCCACTGGGCTGAGGAGCAGAAGGCGCGGCAGTACCTGCGCCCGAAAACGCAGACATCCTGTCCTTGATGCTGGGCCCCTTGACGGGCGCCTCTTCCTCGTCGGGCTGAGATGCAGCAGGGTTCCATCGGTCGGCGAGTTTACCAGGCTGGAGCTTGATGGGAGTATAGGCGGTACCGACAGGGGCAATACGGTCGTCCTGGGTAGGCTTGGCGGGCTCTGGCTCGGCTGGAGTGTTCGCCGACATGACTGCTGTGGCGGTGGGCTTGGCCTCTTGCTTGATAACGGGAGGAGGGGATGGCTGTCGGAAAGGAGGGGCCGGGGCAGCAGGAACTCTTGCCGGAGGCGCAGGTGTCGGCCGGGCAAAGGTAGACGCGGGGGCAGGGACTGCTGCAGGCTGTATTCCACATCAGCATGTAGTAGAGACATTGAAAGAACTACATACTTTACCCTGAGAGCCTCCAAGGCCTTGGCTGGGTCTGTAGCTCGGCGCGGCTTTCGGAGCGGGCGCGGTGGTAGGCGTGGACGCATGCGAGATGTACTTGCTTCCCGAGGATTCCTGAATACGCTTTGTGATGTATGCCGGAGTCACATCGATCTGCAAGCAATTGTTAGAGACGCTCGGGATGGGTTCCAGCCACATACATCAGACCTAGCCTGGATGACAAGGTGAGCACCTCTGAGGAACTTGTCCTGCACCTGGGCTGCGTGGGTGACTGTCGCGCGTCATGGGTGAGCCAACGTATGTTATATGGGTTGGGTGAAGCTCCTTACAGTACAGCCCCTTCCTGAACTCGGGCACACCCTCACCACACCAGGAAACGAGGACAAACTTGTCCAGCTTGCTCTGCCAGGGTGTCAGCTCGGTCACTCATGGTTTACGGGGACATACGCTGGGGTCTTTCACTCGGGCAAAGGCATACTGGATACTAGGCGCGTCTGATTAGCAAGGATCATAACTGAAGGCTGCACGTACCGGCCATCCATAAACTCCTCTTCGAGGTCTTCGAGGCCGGAGCCGGTAGCTTGGAGCCTGAGGTCGTTGCCTGACTGGTTGAAGAGGGCCCAGTCGTAGTCGGCGGTGGCATCCTTGACTGCGTTGTAGGCGGGGAGGATGTCAGGGTCGTTGAAGGAGATGGACATGGCGGTGGATGCAGAAGAGAGATGCGACAGGTGCGATACCACGACCTCACGGCGGCGGGCGCCGACTGCAACAACAACACGCAGAGGAGATACTAGCCACCGCCCTCGCTGCAGCCCAGACGCCCATCACAGCCCCGCCAACATGTCACGAGAGTAAGTCTCGACTCATCATTGTGCAGCACCAGACTGACGCTTGGACTAGATGGGCTTTACGAGTTGCGTGAGTTGAACAGCGGACACTCGAAGCCCGCTTTACTAAACCATCATAGCCTGCTCCATGACACTTTGTTACAGTCCGCCCAGGAGAAGGCGGCGGCAGCTGCCAAAAGCCATGCCAGAGCCCAATCCAACGCCTCCCTCTCTAATATATCCTCCCCTCAGTCTTCTTCCCAGCCATCAGCATCTGCTCTTGGCATTGACTTTGGAGCTCTCCTCAAACGCGATGCCAAGTCACCGAGATATCCGGAGAGAATGATCAAGGGGCTTGATGGGCTCCTGCAGCGAGTTGCTATGGGAAAGGAGACAAAGTGGGTCGATTTGAGGCCACATGTGTGCAATGCTGACGACTGCTTAGATATTCAGACGCACGATTCAGGCGAACGATTGCCCTCTTTTGGTCCTCCAATTGGCCCGAAAAGTCTTTCCAGAGGCAACTGAAAGAAGACAGGCGGGTCGAAGATCTCATTCTATCCTTTACATCAGTGTCCGCCAAATCGTTAAAGAAGGAAGAGGGTCTTGGAGATAGCGGGTGGAAAGAAGAACTCAATGTTCAAGTATCGCTCTTTATCGATATGATCAAGGACGCTCTGAGCGCTATCAGCATCAGCTGGTCCTCTTCCGAACCCCTTCGCCAGCGACTGGAACAGTACCAGACGTCGCTGCGGTCAGCCCCGAAAGACAATGGAGATCTCTCCAGGAGCAAATCCAACAAGTCGGTGGCGAACAGCATCGGGGACAGAAGTAGCGTGGCTGCAGTGCCTGAGACGCCAAAGTACACTCAAGGAGAACTGACCAAGGTGGTGGAGGTCTTGTATAACTGGCCAAAGGATGAACTTGACCAAAAGTCGGATGAGCTGCGGCAGACTTGCACGCCCCAGGCTGCAGTCAACGACTTTAAAGTGGGTCCTGCCTGCTCCGCTTGCATCAAGCTGACCATCTACAGACTATTTTGAAGCTCCTCAATACCGAAAAGTCGTACCCGTACAGTGCTTCCGACTTTTTGACTCAGGCCAAATGGCAGACCTGGCGGGGCCAAGAAGTCTCCACCCTCTCCCAAGTCATGCTTCTCATGATGCAGGCAGACTCTTCCTCTCCCGACCAATCATCAACCTCCAGTATCACTTCTCAATTCGAAAATCTCAACCTCGACACATTTACCCCTTCCTTCACATTCATCCCTCCAAATGCTCGCGAAACATACCAGCAGATCTTGGAGAATTGTCTCAACGCCGACCTGGATGCGTTAGAAGTGAGGCCGGATGATGAAGAAGTGCCATTGACGATCCTCTCGGAGAATCATACGTTGCTGTTGAAAGAATGTGCCGAGAGATGGCGGTTGACGCCAGAGTTTTGCTCGTGGGCGTTCATGGATGCGATGATAGGACTGTACGAGGCAGGCGATGTGCCAGTTGATTGTGTACTGGAGGCAACTTCGATGATCAACAAGATGCAGGTGGATAAACCTAGCTCCGAGTGGGCGGCGCCCGAGGTAGGTCTTTTGCACTTGTAAGGTTCCTTCCAGGCTGATACTCGTGCAGCTGGAGGGTCTGAGTAAAGCTATCAACAGGCGGGATGGCTGCTTCTTGTCATCTCTGATAACCACAGTCACCCAAGCTGGGTATCTTTCCGAAGATTTCATCTCTGCTGTCAACAACTGGACTACCGTCAGTTCGTCAGGTAACCAGCTCCCGCAAGCCAAACAAACACTGGAACATCTTTTGAGCTTGGTCAAGAGTCAGGCCTCAGATCGATATATCGATGAGGCGGTGGACAAGATTCGGCACGAAGGCTCCAAGACGTATGAATTCATCATGCAGATGGCTGCTTGGGTCGAAAAAGAGACCAAGAGGAGCTGTAAAAAGTTTACCGAGTCGCTCAGCCCGTAAGTCTATCTCAAGCAGGGCGAATTTTGCTAATCGCACGCAGCGATATCGACCTTGTCGAGTACATACTTGACACGCACTGGAATATTTGGCTCCACGACCTCAAAGACACGCTCGATCTCGTCCCTTCCGAGGCTCGTCTCGAAGCATTGGACGACGACTTTATGCTCTTCAACAAGGCTACCAAGCTCGACGAGATGAGACATGCAATGTCGGGCGGCTATGGCGGACACCCAGTGGCACCTGCCGACCCACCGATATCCTCGCTCTTCCATAACACTGTCAATCTGTGGCTTGACTCTGTAGGGACAAAGACCAGGGGATGGGTTGACTCGGCTCTCATGGCAGATAATGTGAGTATCCGTCTGCGCGATTATGCATTGGCTGACCACCATAAGTTTGAATCAACTGTCGAGAATGGCCCATCGTCCTCTGTTGGGGATCTCTTTGACTCGCTTACCTCCGCTGCGGAATTCCTCATGGACCTCAACTGGCCAGACGAGCATCAACTCGCTGAATACGTCACCCGCTTGGCCCGTGTCATTGGGACATGTATCAACGACTATTGCACAACGTTGGAGCAGTACTTCAACATAGCTATGCGAGCAGTCGAAACGAGCCAAACGGAAGAGAAACAAAAGGTGTGGATGGAGAAAGCAAAGGCTACGTTAGCCTCGATGCAGGGGGAGAAGAAGATTCAGGCCTTCTTCAACTTTACTCCCGAAGTGAGTCAAATGGATTCTCCACATGCTGTGCTGACTCTTACAGTCTTGTGTCAAACTAAACAATATCGAGTCGGCTCGTCACCGTCTTGACCGCCTCTACACGCTCTTGCGCGTTGACGAGCTGTCCAAATTGACGTCCCCCGTCAAGCCTGCGAACAGAACGCAAAGGTATCTCTTCACCGTCAAGATCGTTCTGGCAGAGGGTGTCGTGTTTGACAATGGTTCCGGTGCCCGTCAGCCTGATTCATTTGTAATCTTGAGTGATGAACATGGCAAACGACATCACAAAACTCGTACTGTATACGACGACTCGAATCCCAGATGGGACGAGAGCTGTGACGTGATTGTCAACGGAACGGCGTGGTTTATGATTACCGCCAGACACCGGAACCTCACGGGAAAGCACGACCTTCTCGGCCGGGCTTACCTTCAGTTGAACCCAGCGGATTTCGAAAATGAAGTATTGAAAGACATCCTTCAGCCGCTAGACACGAGGGGCGTCGTGCTGCTCAGAATCAGTATGGAGAGCGAGAGGGATGATATGGAGTTCCACTTTGGAAAGGCGTTTAGATGTCTGAAGCGGACAGAGTCAGATATGGTGCGGTTGTTTGTCGACAGAGTAAGTCTGCATACCTTCATTTTGATCAAGAGTTGACACGATATTGCGCAGATGACTCCCGTCCTGCGGCACACCCTATCTCGTGCAGGAATCAAGTCCGTTCTCAAATCAAACAATCCCCAACCCCAAGTCTACAATGAAGCTCTAGGCAAAATCTCAGCAGTCTACAAATCTGCTATTGGTACACCCGACTACAACATACCCGCTCCTCATGATCACACTCGCGGCCGAGGCCCCTCGGACGAAGACATTGAAAGCGCCATCCATCCCTTGTTTGATTACCTGGATACCAACATTCATACGCTGGCAAGCACTCTGTCATCGAATGCGATGCAGATGGTCATGACCAAGCTGTGGAAACAGATATTGATGACGATCGAGGGGTTAATTGTGCCTCCGTTGTCAGATAAGCCTAGTTCGATGAGGCCGTTAAGAGACGCGGAGCTGGATATCACGCTGAGGTGGCTCAAGTTCTTGAAGGACTTTTTCTATGTCGGCGGTGATTCCAGTGGAGTGCCGATCAGTATCTTGCAGAGCCCCAAATTCAATGAGATACTGTCGGTGAGGATATATTACGATTGGGCTACTGATGATCTCATGGAAGTGAGTTGCAATCCTCGTCAAACAGAGACGTTATTGACCTTGATCAGGAATGTGTTCGAGGATTCCAATCGACTCTACAATATAGAGCCACGAAACGAATGAAGTCTGTCAAGGCTCAGCGTAATCTTGGCACCATCAAGGCAAGGAAGACTGCGAAACGGAAGCAGAACAAGGATGGTGGGAATGCGGAGATGATCATGCGCATTTTGAGGATGAGGTGAGTCAGAGAAAGCTTGCCATTGCATCTGAAGCTGACAATGTTCAAGACCGGGTACCCAAGAGTTCTTGGCGCAGCAGCTCCTGGCCATGTCGATTGTCAAGTTGAGAAACTCGAAAGAGATCAAATAGAGTTGCAGACCTGCAACAGATACGTCTCTTGGACTTTTGACTTTTATCTGTAGTATTGCATACCTATATGTATGATTTATAATGTGGCCTGATAGAGTGGATGGTTTGCGAAGCATCTGTGCTGTAACACGCCGACGCTGGCAGAGCGGACAACTCATCCTACATCGTCGCGATAAGGATAGCACAGTATGCATAGAACAACAAATATCAAGAACGGCATAAACGCATCTAATCGAGATCGGCCACCTCAAGGGCCGGAAGCTTGTCCCCACAAGTCTCCCAGTTTTCGTAACCCATCGCTACAAGCTCCAGCTTCCTCCCGGCCTCCTTCAGATCGTCGTTTACGATAACGACGTCGTGCTTGCCCTCTTGGGCGTAAGTCACCTCGGCCTTGGCAGCATCGAGCCTCTTCCTGATAGACTGCTCAGTCTCAGTGCCCCTACCAGAGAGACGCTCCTTGAGCTGAGGGATGCTGGGGGGGGAAACAAAAAGGAACACAGGAGAGAGAGGGGGCTCTTGGAGAGGAGCTTTAGCCTTGAGCTGCAGAACGCCTTGGAGCTCAATGTCGAGGATACATCGACGGGGGTGAAGGGCAGTCAAAGCCGCAAAAGTGGTCCCGTAGCTAACCCATCGAGTCAGCACAGAGTCATGCTGACCTGTCGTTTTGCACTCACCAGTTACCACCGAATTCTGCCCACTCCAGGAACTCTCCATTGCCAACCCTGGCCAAAAAGTCCTCCTTCGTGACAAAGTAGTAGTCCCTTCCGTCTTCCTCCCCAGCTCTGGGCTGTCGGGTTGTATGGGATATGGAGAAGCCAAATTGCCCGGGGTGCTTGACAAAGAGGGTTTTGAGGAGAGTGGACTTGCCAGTGCCGGAGGGGCCGCACATGACAAGTGGCTGTGGGAGCGTGAGTGGTGCGCAGGGGCGCGGAACGACGGACTTACGCGGTTGATGACGGCGGGATTGATGGGCTGGGAGGACATGGCGGAGAGGCGGCGGAGGAGGGAGGCGGGGCGGAGGGGGGAAATGGTGGCAAGGCGGGCAAGACCGGAGGCAAGAGAGACAAGGATGCCGAAAAACAAAGTTTGTCACCTAGACGTGTCGAAGTGTCCCGATCCAGATCTGGCCCAAAGCGTAAACAAAATTAGGTTCCGTTGCGATCGTTGTTGTGTCCTTCTGAAGTTGTGCGGAACCCATCATTCTATTTCGACTTGTACCCGGGTCATGCCAACCCCGAAGAAGTGACATAGCACGTAACCATTATTACATGGAAAGATCGCCCCTTTCTTCCGCAATTATCTCCGAGCTCCCAGGCCTCGCCCGTGCCGTCTCGCCCCACCACCAAAAGAAAAATCGCGTTGAGACACGAAAGTAAACAAAAGAAATGATTCTGCTCTTGTCAAGAGTGAGAGGTCCATCGCCCCCTACCGAGCACGATCGTCAAAAAAAGCGTTTGGAGTAAAAGTAATAGTTGCAAAAGGTATAATGATGACTAAATAGTCAAATGACAGTCGGACTGATGATGTTATTGAGAAGGGTCTGATCTGTATATGTGATACTCTTTCAGTTGCCCCTCTTACTTCTAAATGTATTGTTGCTTGCGGGGAACGGCAGCCGATGAATGATGATAACTAACAGGATGATGAAGATTCCCCGCAAAGACTCCTTGAGGAGCCAATGACCTAAAAATGCTAGAATGGAAACCGGAAGATGGTGAAAAAAACAGTCATCAACATGCCATGAAATGAAAAGAAATATAGAACCAGATGAAGATGATGAAAAAAGAGAATTGGTGAATGGGCATACACAATAATGATTTTAGGCGGCTCTCACGACCCAAAAAAATGAGGGATGTGATGAGGGGGGAGCGCTTCCAGCTCATGCTCAAACTCAAAGTGGTCGTCGCAAGAGCTCAAAGAATAATGGGCAGGATGGTGACTCGGGATAGGGACAATGGAAGAAAGGGCCTGGCTCTACTGGCCGCCAAAGTTGAAGCCTCCTTGGGGAGCGGCAACTATCGATAATGTCAGACAAGAGATAGATTGAAGAAAGGAAATGGACCCACCATCAGTTTGGAAAGCGTATTGCCCGGAAGCATCAACCGCAGGGGCAGCAGCCTCGGCCTCCTCCTCATCGTCATCGGGGAAGAACTCTACAGCAGTTGTCAGCAAATGTGTTTGTGTCCTAGGCTTACCACAACTTACTGTCCATGATGTAGAAGCACTTCTTGTAGATCTCGAGGTTCTCGTGGTGTTGCAAGTTGTGGATAGCAACCATACCGCCGGCTTCCTCGATGAATTGCGCATACTTGTTGACGCCTCCAGGTCCAGCGGCATCCTTGTCGACTTCGCCAACCTTCAGGATATTCTCAAGACCGTCAAGCGCGACCTGGATGATCTTGTTGTCCATGGAAGTCAAGAGGTCACACATGGGTTTGATACAACCCTGCTGGACGAGGTATCGGATCTGGTTGGGTTCTTGCAGACCACCAGAGGTGGCGTTAGAGATGGCCCAGCAAGCTTCCTTCTTGGTCTTGAAGTCAGCGTTGGCGAGAATGTTGATGAGAGGAGGAACAATGTTGCTGCGGAATGTTAGCCTGTTGCCAAAGGTGAAGACGCTGTCGACTCACGCGTCAATGATGGATTGAATCTGCATGGGAGAGCCAGCAGTGACGTTGGAGATGGTCCAGCAAGCCTCCTTCCTAATACCCTCCTTGGGGGAGGACAACAAGCTCAACAGGGCAGGGAGGGCACCGGAGGAGATGACTACCTGGGTTTGGAGGTCGTCACCAGTGACAATGTTGCCGACAGATCGGAGGGCAGGGGTCTGCACGCCGGTGGAAGGGTGCATAAGCAAGTCAACCAATCGCCTGCAAACACCAGACTCAATGACGGCCTGAATCTTGTCATTGGAACCATCAGAAAGATAAGAGATGGCCCAGCAAGCGTCGATCAAAACTTCGTCATCGAGAGAGTAGATGAGCTTTGTAAGGACGGTGAGGGCAGGAGAGATGAGGTCCCAATCGGGCTGAGGGTTCTTGCCACGGCAGAAGTTGCTCAATGTCCAGGTAGCGTTGCGGATCATGGAAAGCTTGTGGTTCTCGTTGAGAAGACCAAGTAAGGGCTGAAGAGCGCCCTGCGAGAGGACGTAGTCTCGACACTTGGGAGAGTCACCAGCAATGTTACCAAGAGCCCAAACACTGTAGATTATGAGCCTCGGATGGAGAGAGGTGGGATTCGGGGCGACTCACGCTTGCTCACGGACATCGAGAACGGAAGAGCTGAGAAGGTTGATAAAGTAAGGAACGGCGCCGGCGTTGATCACAACCTGAGTGTGCTCGGAAGTACCAGAGGCGATATCTGCGGCATTGTCAGTAACAAGTTGTATTTTGTTACTGGCACCACTCACTGGTCAACGCCCAAGCAGCCTCGAATTGGAGCATAGAGTTTGTGCTTGACAAAAACTCGACAAATCGGGGGACAACGCCGCATTGGATGACTCGGTCAATCGGGGGGTTCTTCTCCTTGGAAAGCAACCTGAATCACATCAGATGCGCCCTTCAATTCCTTGCGTGCTCTCGACTCACTTCCTGAACTTCATAGTAGACTCGAGTTGAGCATCGGCGTCGTCACTGTAGACGGCCTGGAGCATGGCGGGAAGAACGTCCCCAATGGCTGTGGCGTCCATGCCGGATTCCTCGTCAGACTCGGTACCGTCCTCGTTGACAACATGTTGGAGGTTTCGTCGCTTGGCAAGGTTCTCCTCTCGCTACAGAGCCCCATGTCAGCCTTCCATCGGCTTGTTCTTCTATCGAAGCGGTTTCCCGGTGGAAGCACGCGCCGTCTGCGGCCACTCCGGAACCGATTCGTTTGCTACAATCCTTACCTTCTGACGACGGATTTCAACCTGCTGCTCCTCTCTGCGACGACGGAGCTACATTGGAGGTCAGCTTGCCACCAGGCGGTGTCCGAGTGTGGGCGCATACCTCCTGGGCGGAGAACTGAGTCTTGCCCTTGAAGTTGTTGCGCCTGTGGTCGAGATTCCTGGACTCCATGTTGGGTGATTTTGGGAAGAGAGATGGAGAAAACGAGAAAACAAGTGCGAGAGGTGCAAACATCGGGCGGCGCGTGCATAAAAGAAATAAATGGGGGGGTAAATAACACATTACATAATCAGACGTCACTCCTACTATTACAAGCAACAGCAGCAGTAATGCATGGAGGGACTACAAAGCATTCCTCACAGCATGGGTCGAGAAACATCCCCAGGTAGACACTCCAGCCGCCCCAGGGAGAGGGAACACCGCTCGAGACACGACGACAAGGAGCACCGCTCAAGGCATGGCGACAGAGAACACCGCGACAAGCATCGCAAGCACCGGGACGAGACCGAGGAGGACCGGAGGGAGAGGAAGCGCCATAGGAAGGAGGAGAAGAGGCGAGATAGAAACGATGACGGGCTGGAGGTACAGGACGACGATCCAAGTATGTGGGTGGAGAAAAGCATCGATGGCACTGTAAGTACAACGTCAGTTGCGTTGATGGTCATTGATAAGATCCACAGGAGGCTGTATCCAATATCCCTACTACCGACTCTCTCCCTCTAAAGTCTCACATATCAACCTCGGAAGCACCGCTACCACCGTCTACTGCTTCAGGATCTGCCGCTAGAGAAAGAGACTCCTGGATGCTCGAACCAACGGGCTCGTCAGCTTCTGCCCCTCGGGATAGCAGGGAGGTTCCTCAGAGCGCCGATTTATTTGAATCTATGGGAACGGAGCATCTCCGAAAGGATCCCAAGGCCGACCAACCAGACCCCTCCAAGGCAAGCCGATCTTATTCATCGCAACGTGCTGTAGCTGATATCTCGTAGCTCGCTGTCCACGCAAAGTACGAACTCAATAAGCAGCTTCTTGACGGAAAATCTGTGGACGACTACGAGACAAAAGAGACAAAGGTTCAGTTTGGCGGTCCTGGATCTCAATGGCGTATGATGAAGCTGCGACGTCTCTACGAGCAATCGGAAGAGCAGGGCAAGCCTGTTGAAGAGATCGCATTGGAGAGGTACGGCTCTTTGCAAGACTTTAATGAAGCTCTCGAAGAGCGCAAGTACTTGGACGACAAGGAAGAGAGAAGGAAATCTCGCCGTGGGCCAGGGGGTCTCGCCACTCCCACCGGTGGCTCTACGGGTGCGCGAACGCCCGACACGGGAAAGAGGTTCATGTTTGCCAACCCTGCATCGGGCGACGAGTCTTTTGGAAGTCGCCCGAGTTCTCGAGCAGGGTTCCGCAAACCTGGAGAGGACCGCGATCAAACGCCCAATGGTCGGATTGATCTGCTCCGTCGCGAAAACAGTGGCGGTGGGACACCAGGTGCTCGTCCAGGCGCTAGCGGCATCACCAGCAGTATGGCCATGTCTACCCCGGTCCCCAGTGTTTTCACGCCGACTGCTCTTACTCGCTCTTCAACCCTTCCCGACACTGGCTCGCCGGCTCGAGACCCAACGGCGTCCAAACCTCCTCTCTCGACGGAACAGCTCAACAAGCTTCAAGCTGCAGTGCTTCGAGCCAAGCTCATGGATGACCCCAACGCAGAGAAGATGGAACATGAATATGAGCTCGAACGAGAGCGAAGTGAAGCTGCTGCGAATGGCGGATTGTGGTCTGGCGCAAGTGACGGTGGTGTGCAAGGGCAGATGGGGAGGATGGACGAGAAGGGGCGAAGAGTTGAAGTGCAGGTGTTGCCGACTCTGGACGGGAGAGGACAGCTCTATGATGTCGGTACGGGCCAGGCCGCCGAGGTAGAACTTGGCCCAGGCAACAAAAAGAAGAAGGTCGACAAGGTAAGCATTCTCTCAGCACCGACTTGGATTTATCGTTGACAGCATCAGTTTGAAACTCGTGACAAGCAAGGCAATCTTCTTCGGTACAACGCCGACGACGATAGCCAATCTCTCGGCGAGCTCGTCCGTCAGGAACGTTTCGGCGCCGGATCCAAGGATCAAAAGGATATCGACGCCGAAATGGCGAGAGCGATAGCCACGGACGGCAAGTTCCAAGATGATCTGGATTATATGGACGACAATGCGGAAAAGCTGGCGAGGAGAAAGTTGAAGAGTGATGCTCTGAAGCGAGCTTTCGCCATCAACGGTCAGTAAACTTTGTATGCTAGTAATATTCTGGCTGATGATTTGCAGATTATGCGCGGACAAAGAAGGCTCTTGACACTTGTCCGTTCTGCTATCAGGACGATCGCCCTCCGCAGACTGCTATCGTCGCCCTCGGTACTCGCACATACTTGTGCTGCACCGAGACCGAGGAGCTTGTTCCTGGTCATTGCTTGATCGTCCCTCTGCAACACCATCTCAGCATGCTGGAGATGGAGGATGATGATTGGGAGGAAGTACGAGCAAGTCCCCTTGATCTCTGTCGTGGTGTTGAGCTCACCAGTAGCAGAACTTTATGAAGTGTCTCATGAGGATGCACGCGGACAACAATCAAGGTGTCATCTTCTTTGAAACCATCACCACTTTCAAGCAGCAAAAGCACTCCTACATCGAAGCTCTCCCCGTCCCTGCTCGACATTTCGGCAATCTTCCCGCCTACTTCCGGGAATCCATCCTCGCTTCGGAAGGCGAGTGGACGCAGCATAAAAAGTTGATCGATTTCTCAACCAGACCGGGCGGTTTCAGGAGGATGATGGTGCCAAACATCCCGTACTTTATGGTTCAGTGGGATTATAAAGGTGAGAAGGGATACGGGCACGTGATTGAGGGCGTGAAGGAAAGTGGCAGTGGCGGTGGCGGTGGAGAAGATGAGGAGGGAGAGGGGGACATTGGTGGAGCTGGCAAAGAGGACGAGTTCCCCAAGTAGGTTGAGCCTTATCAAAATCTTTGGCTGCCGCTGACTATGACAGATATTTCGCGCAAGAGATTATCGGCAACATATTGGGGCTGGAGCCTCGAAAATGGCGTAAACCTCAAAGAATAGCTGTAGGGGCCAACAAGGAACGGGCGAGGGCTTTGGGGACCAAGTTCCAACCATATAATTGGACTGTTGGTAATACTGTATGAGTATGCACCTCTTGAGAAATTCGTTCATCATGGTCAGAGAAATCAAGCAGCTGCTTTGGAAAAAGTTTGGTATGAGCCACTCCACTCAGTCTGTAGGCTCAGAGGACTTATGGACACATTTGTATGGAAAGCCAATGCAATGATCTGAGAGAGCAACAATGAGACCATCCATCGGACCCCAACAAGCCCGCAATATCTCCCAATACATACGTGTACATTCTGTGAATTCCCTGTGGTTGTTCTTGTTATACAACAGGCGAGCTGGCTCTCAAATGCCCTCCAAAAACGCGGCGTCATGTCCCAGGACTTCTGTCACCCTCCCCTCTGCTTCCTCATCCTCCGCATCGAGACCTGTATCCAGCCCCACATCGTCATTGACCACATCAAACATCCCCATGCCTGCATTACTCTGTCTTCTTGGGCGCTTGGCCACCGGAGTCGCAGCCCCGCCTGGAACTTCGGAAGCCATTCTTTTGCCAAGGCGGCGGGCGCGCTGAGATGAACCTTGTTTCTCAGACTCAGCCATGGCAGTAGGGGCAGAGGGAGCGGGGGGCGGTCCAGGGGTACCAGAGGGCTGGGAGGTAGAGGGGCCTGGGGAGTGGTACATCCAATTGTTGGCGGCGTCGTTTGAGAGCCCACTCGATCCCGGGGGACCAGCCAACTCAGGCCTCGAAGATTCTCCGTGAGAGTTACTGGCAAGCTGCGAAAGCGCTGCAAACGTCGTCATATACTCCCCTTCCCCCTCCAATGTGATTGGAACCGACCCTTGGCCGTTGTCGCCTATACCAAGATAGGGCACGTATATGCCTTCGAGGTGGGAGAGGTCTATACCAGAGTTGATCTGAGCGATCTGTTCATCGTCGAGGCGCTTAGGGTACATGCGAGCTTTGGCGACGTGGAGCAGATGACGCAGGCGGGTGTATGGAGGTGTAGAGAGAATCTCGGCAAGAGTTGGCAAACCCTCGTCCTCGGCAGGGATAGGAGGATTATCGTAAAGCCCCTTTGCCCACTCTGGATACATGTCAATGGCCTCCTGGCTGACATGGAACCTGAAAAGGATCAAGCCAGGTGCGCCGGACAGAGGGAGACCATTGGCATCTTTCGGGCGTAGTGCTGGGGGCTCTGTCCGCATCCAAAGCTCGGGAGGCAGATGGAACGTAGGATTTGGCTGCTTGGGCTTGCCCTTTTTCTTGGCTTGCGCAATTTGGTCTTGCGAGAACTCGTCAAGCAAGATCAAAAGATGACGGACCACAGGCGATTGCCACCATTGGTCCAAGACTTCATGAGCTTCTCCTGCCTTGGGGCCGCAAGCGAGCCGGCGATACGCCTCCCAAGCTTGCAGGGAGTATTGCCTCTCTGGCTCAGGTCTGTCCGAAGTGGCGGTCGAAAAGTCGATCGTGAGGAGGGTGCGGTAGTGGGCGCGAAGACGACATGCGTTGAGGGGGGACTGATCAAAGTTGCCAGTACGGCGCATCAGAAGTGACTGCTGACGACGGTAGGTGTTTTGTTTGCGTCGCGAGAGCTGATCTCGGTGGACTTCACCTCGTTTGAACGCTTCTTGTTCTTCCCAACGTTTCTGGACATTTGTCAACTGAGCCCAGGGTCACAAATTGACTACTTACCATCAACCTAAGCCAGTAAATGTTCATCGCCTCCTTGATCTTGGGCTTGTCGACCTCCGCATCACCCTCCACCGCCGAAGCCTGCCATGCGTCCCAGACATCCTCCACCACCTGATCCACAAATGGCCTGACGCTGTCTGCGTGCACATCTCCTTGAAAGTTGGGCCTAAACTCAGAAACGCCGTTGGGGCTCTCATCTGCAGAGAGCGGACGGGATTCCGGGTCGGGCAAAGTCCGGTGGCCTTTAGATTCGTAGTTGGAAACGGCGTACTCGACTCCAAGACGGCGATTGGCCATCTTGTGGATCAAATGCTAATCGCAGGTGTCAGCCAGACACGAGGACACTATCGAAAGGCATACCTCAAGCTTGAGAGACCTCTTTTTCCTACCCTCGCTGGTCGAATTGCCCTTCAAGGAGATACTCTTGATCGGCTCCGTACCCCCGCCCGTAAACGTCTCTGGGTCAATGATAGCAGCAGCAGCAGCCTGGGTAGCAGCCTTGCTCGGCCTGCCTCGACGAGGTGCTGATAAACGTTTGACAGGACTTGGCTGGTGCGCTTCAGCCGTATGTGACGCGCCAGAAACGGGGGCTGGGGTAGGCGCAGTGGCCGTGGATGCGACAAGCGCGTCGTGTTGAGCTTTAAGTGCCTCGTAATCGGTTCGCAGAACGACGGGAGATGGCTCAGAGTCGAGGCCGTCGGGGACTGTTGCGCGGTCAGCTAGCATACTATGACATGATGACTGCACTTCTTACATTGCCTCGACAGGTCGACACCCATCTCACTCGCCCTGATTTGGGCCGTCAATTCTTTGAGCATCTCCACCTGTCTCTTGTTTCCCTCCTTCAATGCCTTTAGATTCTGCGCCAAGCTGTGGATCGCTCCCACCCCATTGAGCTCTTCCAACAAGCCGCTGTGGGCCGTGGTAAGTTGGAAGAGCACCGAGAGGGACCTCCGGATGGCGACATTGACCACGTTGGTTCCGCTGGCGGTATACGAGTTGAGGGTCTCTACGGGATCAGCCTCGCGCGGCTCGCTGATAGCGATATGATGCTCGTCGCCCGCGTCCGCGTCTGGCTGGCCCTCGTGGGTCTCGCCCTCGGCGGCGGCATGCTGGTGGTGGCCGGCGTTGTTGGGGTTATTGATGACGGCCTTGAGACTGGCGATGAGTGCCTCGGCGGTCTCATCCTGGATGGGGCTGTCTATGTGGTCATGCTGGGCGAGGTGGAAGTGGCTGTCCTCCATGGCGGCAGTGTGCGGGGTGGACGTGCTCGGTGGAGGTGAGAGGAGAAGACGTTGTCGATAGTAGGCGTGCAGACTCAGAGCAAACGGTGGAATTAGGCGGTGATATCGCGTGTGGCTTTTTACGTGCCAAGTTGAAAGGATGGTTGCAACTCAGAAGATGGTTGACAATGACCGTCCGTCTGCTGGGCATGCCACTTGTGCAGCTGAGCGTCCATGCCGTATTCCACTGGCCTCGCAACCCCGGGTGCATGCAAACACCTGTTCGTGCACCCACCTCCCAGCCCGCCGTCGAGCGAGTGATGTCACCGCAGCAGAGATGCTATTCTTGTCGTCTTGACGCGATCCAATACGCCGTGCTTCTCTCATCCAGCCCACCAGCAGCAGACCTCCACAATGACCACCACATCACCCCCTCCCAAGGGAAACCCTGCCAACGCCCCCGCCACCCCGTTCCCGAAGCCGACTCAACCCCTTCCCGAAGAGCTCGGTGCGCCGCTCGAGGATTCTTTGGACCATATCGTGTCCAACTCTAAAGCGGTCAAGGGATCGCACAAGGACCAGCTTGCTCGTCGGTATAAGATATCTGAAGGTGATGGCTGAGTGCTCATAAGAGACATAGCTTCCGAGATCAGGGAGGATGCTGTTCATTCGCATGGGGCTGCCGCGAAGAAATGGGTCTCCAAGTTCTTCCCATCTGAGGAAACCCTCGATCATGTGAGCCCATTCCGCCATGCACTGGACTGTTGGCTGACTACGCCAGCTTTTCGCAGCGCAGCACATGGGCAATTATGTGATTGACAGGGTATCTGGAAAGAAGATATTTGAAACCATGCCCATCTGTAAGTTGTCATGTAACTTGCTGGTCCGGGCTGATTTAGTACTACAGATGTGCGCATTGGCATGCATCTGTTGTTTGTTTCTGGTAATAGTTACATGTCCTACAAGTCTGTTGAAAAGCTTCTGCAAGACAAGTCTATCAAGCGTTGGTCATCGTTATACCATGACACACACGTGCTGATGTATCTGCAGAGGGAAAGACCTATGACCGAACCGGACCTGATGTCCGGGAACACATCGAGGCATTCATTGCGACCTATGATCTGCCATTGAATGAGTTGTTGGTACAAGACCTCGACCAGTATCCCGTACGCCCTTTGCCACTGCGATCTCTCTCCTGAAGCACCTTTTGCTCACAGTGACGTAGACGTTCAACTCTTTCTTCTCTCGCCGACTTGTCCCCACAGCCCGCCCCATAACGGCCCCCCACGATCCCACGATCGTCATCTCTCCCGCAGACTGCCGAGTCACAGTGTATGAGACAGTCGACCTGGCGAAACAATTCTGGATCAAGGGCAAACAATTCGATATCCCCTCGCTCCTCCTGGGCGACGAAGCTGAGCAGGCAAACGGCAAGGTCGGAATTGGAGAGAATACGGATGGTGGAGTCGGGGAGTTGGTCAGCGATTACAAGGCGTCTTTGATAATTTCCAGGTTGGCCCCGGCTGATTACCACCGCTTCCATTCGCCGGTCGAAGGCACAATTGTGGGTATAAAAGACATCGAAGGGGAGCTGTACAGTGAGTCGCCTCATCTTGCCCGCGTTCCGAGACTGAAATTGGGTTTCTAGCCGTCAATCCTCAAGCTATCAACGAAGATCTCAACGTATTCACCCTCAACAAGAGATCTGTTTTGATCATCAACGCCAACCTCGGTCCGGGACGTGAAACAGTCCCTGTCGCTTTTGTAGCTATCGGCGGTATGTTTCCGTTGCCCCCCCTACACCACAGCACAACTGACGCCATTGCGATAGCCATGCTCGTAGGCAGTATCGGATGGTCCAAGACTCCTGGACAGAAGGTTGCTAAAGGCGAAGAATTGGGCTGGTTCCAGTATGGCGGTTCTACTACCATTTGCGTACTCCCAAGCCGGGCGGGATTGCAGTTTGATGCGGATTTGAAGGAGAACAGTTTGAAGCAGATGGAGACGCTCGTCCAGGTGGGAATGGAGGTTGGTAAAGTAGTACCAATCGTCCCGACTGGTGCAGCGAAAGTTTAGGCGGGATGGTGATAGTGGGATGAAGGAAAATACAACATATCATACAGTAGAACTAAATACGTTTCTGCACATGCTGTCAGCTAAGAGAGACGAGTTTCCGATTGCACACTTACCTGGACAGGATCTGAAACAAACACTCGCTCTATTTCTTTCCCTTGGCCTTGGCGCCGTCCTTGCCTTCGCCACTATACAGGGTCAGCAACGGCACTCGACAAAGTGTGAAAGCGACATACGCTCCAGCTTCTCCAACACTACGCATGATCGTCAACTTGCCCGCCGAAGCAGCATTGACCATTTGCTTTTCGATCGAGTTGTTGATTTTGCAGGACATTTCCTTGTTCTGCGCCCTCTCTGCAAGTCTGGACTTGTCCTTGGTGGGAGCAGCAGCACGACGTCCGCGCTTGGTCTTGCCGACGTCTTTTCGAGCGGAACCGGATGATTTTCCTTTGGCTTTGATTGATTTTCCAGCGCCTTGAGCCATTTTGTGTGATTGAAGAACGAGTAGATGGATCAAAAGCTCAATTAGAGGTGTCTCGTCGATTTGTTGTTGCAAAAGATTTTGGAGCAGCGGTGAGCTCCACCTTTCCACGGTGCGGGGTCTCCAGCATGGCATCTTCACGGCATCATCACACCTTGCTGTTGTCCAACTGTTGTCTAGCCAATCATCAAAGTGCCCTTGTATCGGAAGTATATGTGGAGATGCCGAGCCTCCACGGATGCGTCCTTCGTCGGCATATCCTTCTTACTGTACCTCGTCATATATAGCAGCGAGAAAGCTCGCGATGAACCATCTTCACTACCGCCATGATTCATTCACCAACTGGCCTCATACGCCAGATTATTTCCGGATCAGCTGTACTAACAGACAATCCAAGCATCGACTACAAGCTTGTTGCATACGTGTCTGTGATATCCTTCGCAATCATTGAGATATATGCCAAGTAAGTTTCCCGAGAGCGCCTGAGCGGACGCTAATCTGCCGAACTCGGCATGTAGCTATCGCCAACTGCAAGTCTTCAAGCTCACCACCCCCGCGATATCTACCGAACATCCCTTTGATGAAGCGTCATTCATAAAGTCACAGGCATACAGAAGGGATCAGACTCGAGTGACAATTGTCACTCTGCTTTTTCGCAATGCCATCGGTATCCTTCTCATCTGTTTGAACAAGTCGGCTTTGATCTGGGAGGCTACGGGTTGGGCCTTAGATCAGGCAGGTATAAATTCGACACACCTCGTAAGAAAATATTCATCGACGGACGTCCAGCGTGGTATGGCTTGTGACAGGGACTTGAGACAGCGACGAGATACATAGTGTGAGGGGGCAGCTAGTCTCTGCAGGTCGGTGATCAGTGGCCACACACGGAGAAAGAGAGGACGTCCCGGGGTGCGCACACTTCTTGTTCTTCAGCTTTTCACAAGAGTTCTGCTGGTGGTCGGGATCCCTGCAGTAGGGACACAACTCCCACGCTTCTCGGACGAAGCGCCCCAGATCAGACAGGTGGCGAGGACGAGGAGCGTCGCCCCACTCTCGCTTGTGTCGAGCGCCCCACTCGGGAGCAGGGATTGCCTCGGGGCGGCGAGTGGAGGGTGCCGCCCTGGTACCTTGATTGGACCAGGCGAGACGCAATGCCTGAGCCAGGGGGACCTCGGCAGAGGGCGGAAGAGAATGTTGGGCGGTGGGGGCCTCGTAGGCGGCGCTGAGATGGAGGTGGGGCTGGAGAGGCGGCGGGTGGCGGAGAGGGGCGGCGGAGATGTAGGCCATCGATCGCTCGATTTCCTCTGCCAGGGCACACGTGTCGTCGAAGACCGTGATGTGGTGGTGACCTTGGATGCGCATCTCCGCGAGTAGGCGCTCCCGGAGCTCAGGCTTGAGGCCTGCCTCCCAAACGCAGAGACAAGCTGGGTTGTCGACCTCGAGCTCCAAGGGCTCCAAGGCTTGACGGTAACGCTGGTTGAAATCTCGTACCGCTCCCGTCTGACGCAGGGCCACCCATTCTTGTACCAGGGCTGGAACGCTCCGCTTCGGCACGCATGAGCTGGAGGGAGGCATTTGGGGTGCCAGAGGTGGCGGGAGAGTGGTAGAGTTGAGTGGGTGGGTCATTGTTCTAATTATACGACAACTTGTCACGCTTGGGGAGTGCCCTTGTCGTGCTGAAGAGAGTTTTGTTATAAGGGGCAAAAACCTTTTCGTTATTGTCGCATATGAAGAAGAAGAACTATGAAAGAAGACTCTGATATGTGTATAAACGGAGAGCACGGTCCACGAACACACAGCTAATCTACTTGAATGAACGAATTACACAGATGACTCCTTTAACTATGACACCTGGAGCTCATGAGACTGACCACACTTTACAGATGCTCAAATGTATATTATGGGATCTTCTCGGCGGCATCCTCACAATGCTCTTGAATCACCCTCTCGACTTCTATAAGGATGTAGTGGTGCCAGCGAGGCATGACCGCAAAGAGACCACCTCCTTGAGCTGGTTACGGGCTACCGTGGCCAACTATCTCTGGCTGGTACTTGTTGGCGCGCCCTCTGCCGTTGGGGTCGCGTGCTTTTGAGAAGGGCGAAGACGGAGTCATGCCTGGCTTGATGCTATTCATGTGAGTGGCTTCTCGTGTATGAAGTTGGAGTCTCCGCTCTAAGCACCTTGGGCCATAGGATGATACTTCAAATATTGTTTTTGACGGTTGTACCGGTTGTTGGCAAGCAGTATATAGCTCCATCATGATTCCCGGGGCTTACAAATACTTTTACAGTTACGTTGCACTTTAACAACAAAAAGGCCAACCCTCTCCCTCCGGGAGTACTGCACAATAGACTGGAAACCCTTGCCCACAAAACTGGCTTTTCGCTTGAGGGCTTGTACGTTCTGTGTGATAAAAGCACAGAAAGCACGAGAGGCGGCGTATCTTCCCATGGCCCGCCTTGGTCGAGATGGCGAAGGCTCCTCCTTGATCGCGCATTACTAGAAGATTATGAAGTGGATCAAGTAGTAGCTCTGGCTGGTGAGCTTGATGTCCGCTTGCAACGATAAAACAGTACTTACATTCCCTCTTCAGCCCGGACGATCGGTCATTGGTACCACAGCCATAACTTGAAATGCCTCATAATGCTCGAGATCAATACTTTCACCTACCTTTCTCTCGTTCTGAGCTTCAGGTCCAGTCGAGCTTTGCCATTGACCTTTGGCTTCAACCTCGACGTCTTTACTCCCAGCCAAAGGGTGGTGCCGGCTTACATCACTTTCCAGCTGGCACAGACTGTCTTGTATGGTGGAGTACATTTGTATAGATGGCTGATCTTCTCTATGACTAGAAGGTGTGCTTCAGAAGCGGGTGAGCACATGTTTGACAGTGTCCCATGCGCCTGACTGATGGCAGCCACTACGGGCCGCGCGAGCATGGCTAATAGACGCGTTTGCCGCTGCCATGGCTGACACCAAAAGCCTGAGAACGGCTCTCATCAAACGTTCTTCGGAAGAGATTCACCCAATTTGCACTGACTGGCTTTATGTCATGGTACAGCACCACAGTGAGCCCTGCCTAGCCGAGAGATTAGAAGCCCTGGACCAGTTGAGTGAAGGAAAGGTCGATGTGTCGCAGAAAAAGAACCTGTGATTACAGCCGCCAGAGCGGTGTTGGTCTTACCAGCTGCCATGGAATGAATAGCACACTTCTCCCTCTCATTCTTATATAAGTGAAGTGCGGGTGGCATCTGGTCAGTCTTGTACATACAGTAGTATCATAGACTACCGACCACATCGCGGCGACATCCGCCTGGCGCATGAAGCTGACACGTCCATCTCCATCATCAACTGATCATATCAAGCAGCATCGCCAGGCATATCCACGCCACCAACCGCGCCCAAACGCCCCCTGGGCACCCCCGACAATGAACTTCAATCCCCTCAACCTCCTCCCCCTCCCCCCCACATCTCTCGACCCGAAACCCATCCCCACAGCACTCACCGTCGACCCCTTCTCCGACGCCGTCTGGGTCGGAACATCCTCTGGCCTCGTCTCTGCTCTCTGCTCGCCCCTCACGTTGACCAGGAATGTGCAGTTTCCAGCGCACGGGTATAAGTCTGCGAGGGGCGCGGGCTTTGGACACCCGGCGGTGAGCGCGGTAAAGGAGATACGGGTGACGGACAGGGATGTATGGACATTGACAGAGGGTGGTATTGGCGGGAGAAAGAGGGGCGGTGCGCCAAAGTGGACAGTCAGGTGAGTACTAGTCAGGAAGAGGGATGGTCAATTGGGTTGACAGGCATTGCAGCGAACCGACGCGTACGCTACAGACCATGGCGCCCAACCCGACCAATTCCCATGAACTCCTCGCAGGTGGCTCCGGCTCTCTCCTTCTTGCCAATACGGCTCGAGGCGAGATGGTCCGCACGATCGACCACTCTAGCGCCGTGGTGAAACTTGCGCCATTACATCGAACTGTGCTCGCTGCGGGTCTGTCGGGACAAGTCACGGTGCTTGATCCGAGAACCGGCTTCAAGGCGGCTCAGAACGTAAACTCGGTGCAAGCCCATGTCGGTGGACTCAGTGGGGCAGATGTGCAGGACAATATCGTTGCGACATGGGGGTGGACGCATTTGCAAGGCCACCCCATGCCCGACGCCCACATCCGTCTCTACGATGTACGAGCCCTACGACCGCTGCCCCCCATAGCGTTTCCTTCCGGCCCCGCTTTTGTTCTACTCCACCCCACATCTTCTTCACACCTCGTTGCTGCGTCTCAACAGGGTATGCTTCAAACGATCGACATGTCCCAGGGCCCATCTGCCACTGTGTTCCAACAGCTGGACATCACCTCTTACCTGACTTCCATGGCGTTGAGCTCGAGAGGCGATTATTTGACTTTTGGGGATGCGGATGGGCAGCTCCATGTGTGGACGACGCAGGAAACAGGAGAGAACGCCGCACTGGATGAGAACGGCGCGCTGGCCCTGCCGCCGTTCAATGGGTATGACGGAGTCAAACCCGACTGGCCTGACCCCGTGGAACCTCCTCCCGCCATTGATTGGACTAGCAACACCCCTCTCAATGTGGTGGGTATGCCATACTATACCGAGTCCCTTCTATCGAACTTTCCTCCCGCTTGTTACGCCACTTCAACTTCGCCGCTATACAACCCGCCCCCAACGATACCTTCTTCTGTATTGTCATCGATGAAGATGGTCGACTTTGTTGGGTACGCGCCAAATCCCAAGGAGCTCAGGGGCAAGCGATATGTCCTCCGAGCTACGCCGGGGGCCGAAAATAGAGCAAAGGGGAGAGGCCGGGGAGGTCATAGGAGAGACAGCGAGCCGAGGTTTAGAAGTGAAAAGGAAAAGAATGGAAAACACAGCCTCAAAGATGAGGAAGATGGTCTCACAGGAGACGGAGAGATACCAAAGTATTACAGAAAGGTGGAGATCAAGTATTCCAAATTCGGAGTCGAAGACTTTGATTTCGAGTAAGCCATCCCCATCCTGTACGAAGCACTGCTGACCATGGACAGGTTCTACAACCGCACTCAATACTCTGGTCTCGAGACAGATATTCTCAACTCATACACCAATTCCTTACTTCAAGCTTTGCACTACACCTTGCCTCTACGGGCAGTAGCCACTGCTCACATCTGCGTCGACTGCAAGAAGGAGCATTGTATGCTTTGTGAAGCTGGGTTCTTGTTTAGGATGTTGGAAGATGCCAAGGGCCGTAATTGCCAGGCCAGTAATTTCTCGAGAGCGTTCAGTGCGACTAGTCAGGGTGAGTATGGCGTTTGTCATGGGTGCAGCGGCTGATGTATCATAGCGTACGCTCTTGGGTTGATGGACGACCGCCAAAATAACAAGTCTACCGCACCATACGGCTCCCTCATCCAGAACTTTAACCGCTGGCTTCTTTCGAGTTTCAGCACCGAGTCTGTCATTGGCGGCGAGACTTTTGACATCCGAAAGACCAACGCGGCCGGCGACAGTGAGGTTGCTGTGGAGAATCTCTCAATCAAGAACAAGCCTTCTGCCATTGACCAGGTTCTCGGTGTCGAATTGACGACTACAAACGTGTGCAAGAATTGCGGCTACACGACCTCTCGCCAAAATACCCTGCACGCCGTCGACCTCCTCTACCCAAAAAAGGTCAACCACCGCCTCACCTTCCCCGACCTGCTCCGATCTTCCATCCTCCGCGAATCATCCAACAAGGCCGTCTGCCCCTCCTGCAGAGCCTTTGCTCCCTTGGAATCCAAGCGTTCGTTGTCATCTGCTGCAGAAGACGATTTACCGCCAGTCATGTCGGTTAATGCGATGATGACGACGCCGGATGTGTTTGGGTTCTGGAAGGATAGGGATAGTGAGAGGATGAAGAGGGAAGGCAAAGAGGGAGCAAGGTTTTTGCCGAGAAGATTGGTATTTAAGAATGGCGGAAGGGGGCTGGAAATAGGGAGAGATGGAGATGGTGTGGGGTATGCGGTGAGGTCGATGGTTGTGCAGATCCAGGACTCGGCAGAGAATGCGGCGCATCTGGTATCTTATGTCAAGAGTGAGTTGATCGTGTGTGACGATGAGCCTGGCTTACGCGCGACAGTACCGGCGACGGAAAAGAGTGAACCGCAATGGGTCATGCTTAATGACTTTTTGGTGCGCCCAGTGTCGGAAGCAGAAGTATTTTCCTTCCCCGACCAATGGAAAGTTCCTGCGGTCATTATCTTTGAAAGGGAAGATGTGGATACGCTTCTTGATCTTGATAGACTGCCAAAGGGGCTGGACAAGGAGATATTGTTCAAGGATGTTTCCATCGCTCGGTACGTTCTTGTTTTGAAGGAGGGCAAAGCTGACCGAGAGTAGGAATCGCAAAGAAGATATTATCAAGCACAAGCTTTTGCGGCGAGACGAGATGCCTCATCGAGGATCATTGGTTGCCATCGACGCCGAGTTTGTTGCTCTGCAACAAGAAGAAATGGAGTTCCGGTCGGATGGTACCAAAAATATCTTGCGACCGTCGCACATGTCTCTGGCGCGAGTGTCAGTGCTGCGGGGAGAGGGTGAGATGCAAGGAAAGCCATTCATCGATGACTATATTCATACGAGCGAGGCTGTGGTGGATTACCTGACCGAGTTCAGTGGAATCAAGGGTGTGTTTGGAAGCTTGACGTGTGGCTGTAGCTGATTATTCTCAGCGGGCGATCTGGATCCTAGCAATTCGCCGCACACGTTGGTTCCACTAAAGGTAGCTTACAAAAAGCTGCGACTATGTAAGTGCTCTATAGGATGATTAGTGTGATGCTAACGCCACACAGTGGTCGACCTGGGATGTATATTCGTTGGACACGGACTGTCGAAAGACTTTAGAACTATCAGTGAGTCGCGCCGTGTGCCCGAGTTTACGCCTAACCTTCTTCAGACATCTTTGTCCCGCCCGAGCAGGTGATGGACACTGTCCTCATCTACACCATCCCCGGTCGTCAACGTAAACTGTCTCTTCGATTCCTCGCCTGGTTCCTCCTCCACCAAGACATCCAAACAAACTCTCACGACTCGATTGAAGACGCCCATTATGCCCTGCTGCTGTGCAAGCTGTGGATGGACCACGCTTCGGAGGGCGATATCGCGTTTGAGAATCTGATGGAAGACATCTTTGCTGAAGGAAGGAGGCTTGGATTCAAGCCACCTTCGACGGTGGGGCTGTCGGCGGACCTGCCAGTGTCGCCGGGGAAAGTGGGGGCAGAGCCTAGTCTAGGGGTACAAGCTGCGATTGCTGCTGGGCTGGCCACGCCGCCGTCGAAAGAGGCGCTGAGCTTGTCGTATACACCGGCGGGCAGTCCGAGCGCGAGAAGGCAGTGAAGGGGTGTGTTTTGGGTTATCTGGGTTACTGGGTATCATCACATGTATAACGTGTCTCTGCGCTGTGCGGCATCTGTACATCTTGCACAAGTTTTCGGTCTTGTCGAGTCTTGAGGACAGAATCCGACATCGGGCAGTGAAGGCGGGGAGTGTCGGCAATGGCCGCTGTTGAACGGCCAAAAACCGAAAAGGTACAGGACGGAAGCAAGAAAGCGCAGCGCTGGGACGGCCCGTTTTGGCAAGTATGGGCCATTTCGGGAGGGCAATCGCTGGCATGGGGCCGAGGGAGAGGGGGGGGGAGGGGCGGGGAGAGGGGGCAGGGGAGAGGGGGACGGAGGGGACAAGCGATGCAGACTGATGTTGCAGCCAATGGAGACCCGCGCATTGAAGCCCAAACGAGGGGCCAGGGACGTACAAGGCGGCGGCCACTTGAATCTATCTCACTTACACCCTTGCCGTCTCTTGGCTGCGTCTTGAAAGAGCATGTCCACACCGACAGCATTAAAAGACTTTCCTGCCCCTGCCCCCGTCTCGAGCACCGTCCCTTCCGCCCCCGCCCCCGCCCCCGCCGTCCCCTCCGCTCCGCCCCCGCCCCCGAGCTCGTCCAGACCGCCAAGAGCAACCTCGCATCGTGCACCCATCACAATCAACACCGCCATCTCTGCCCCGAGCACGCGGACGCACCCGCTCAAGCGCCTGTCGATAGACCTTTCCGACCAGTCCTACTCGCATTCCACCTCTACAGACGCCTACACGCCCATCACCCCGACCCAGGAAAACGGGCATATAGGCATCACGCGCCGGCGCCAGTCCATCTCGTCTCCCAGGGCAAAGTCCAACTCGGTCGAGATACCCCAAGGCAAAGTCCGCTCGCCGGGAGCTAGCAGCGGGTTTTCGTGGTTGTCAGGAGGCAGACTCGGAATCCCCCACACCGAAGACAAGGCGTCTAAGAGCGACGACGAGAGAGAGGAAGACGATATAGACACGCCCAACTGGAAGCGGCAGGCAAAGAAGGGCCCCATACATCACAAGTGGGACTGGGGAATGCCGACTCAGATGGCGAACCCGGCTGTCGATGTCACCCCAACGACGCCCCTAGAGGGCGACCAGACTACGCCTCTGGTCCAGCCCATCAACCTTGCCTCGTCCTCCCACTCCCATTCCTCTGCCGGGTCGATACCCAATCCCCTATTACAACCCCTACCACGAGATCCCAACAACATTCTGCCTCTCTCTGTCGGGTCTTCCCCTTTCGCCTCCCCTGTCGCATCGCGCGCCCCCTCGCCGCATCGCATACAGGATTTTGCGTCCATGTCTAGCGGTGGCATCTTGCCCGGACCTTCGTCTGCCCCTGGGCCGTTTACCAGCGTGTCGGGGTCTAGCCCGCGCACCTCCATCTCAACCTCTTCATCGCGAATATTCAACGGCCGGTCGGGCAGTCGAAGCTCGGCAGAGGACGACGAGCTGAGTCCGCCCTATAGAAAATACAATCCCCACTCGTGGTTTGCTCGGTCACAGGCGCCAGTATCGCCCAAAGCTCCCTCAAATGCACCCCGTATCATGCGGTTGCCTTCCACTGCGCGGCTGTTGCCAACGGGCACCCGACGATGGGGGTGGTTGCTCGAGTGGGCTGGATTCGGTGCCCCGCCAGATTCGCCGAGAATAAGCGGGGCGAGGAGAAGCGAGAGGGAGCATCTGATGGATGGTGGTGGGATGCACAGGGGCAAGAGAGGGACAAAGAGAGTGCTTGGCTCAAAGTGGATTGCGAGGGTAATGGTGTTTATTCCCACAAGCCTGTGGAGTATTGTGAGTGTTTCCGTCTTTCAAAGAGGTCGGACTAACCATATTGCAGACCCTGTTCCTCGTGGCTCTAGCCATATTTGCCGTCACGCTCACACTGACACTCAAACACATCCTGAATCCAGATAAAGAGGCCTTACCGTGGCGGCAATACTGCACCTCCTCTTACCCGACCCTCTATTCGTTACAAGACCCCTCACAAAAACCCATCTCCGTCTCCCCCGACCATGCCTCACACTCGCATCCCATTCCCACCAACTCTTTTGCCTCATCTTCCACCAAACTCACCCTTACTCCGCTCACCCCCTCCCACCCCACATGGCCGTACCGGCCGCATGCTTCGCTTCCGTACTCTCATGAGACCGCCCAGGGCGAGCTGGACTCCCTCTTGGCGCCGGTCGGCGTGTTGCTCGGTGTGTTTACGACGGATGCTGGGCTGGAGAGGAGACAGATGATCAGGCAGAGTTACGGCAGTCACTGGAGAAGCAGGAGGGAGGGCACGGAGGGGGTGAGGGTGAGGTTTGTCATGGGTAGGCCGAGAAAGATGTATGAGAAGGCTGTGCACTTGGAGATGGAGGGTGAGTCTGGTCGTCCAACTTGAGGTGTGGCTTACTGACCCAAAATAGCGTTCAACGACATTGTTGTCCTCGACATTGAAGAAAATATGAACAGCGGCAAGACTCACGCCTTCTTCTCTTGGGCTGCTGAAAACGCCACCGTTCCGGACTGGCAATACCCCCACCATCCCCGCGAAGAAGACATTGACGACGGTGAATCTGACGCGGAGAGAGAACGGGGCGGTAAAGCGAATGCGCCTATATGGATGGGGGAAAAGAGGCCGGACTATGTCGCCAAGGCTGATGAAGATGCGTTCATCATGCTCGGAGAACTGGAGAAGCGGTTGAGAGTCGCTCCGAGGAGCAAAGCCTTCTGGGGATGTAAGTTTGATTCGCACTTGTCTGGGGCTTGGCTGATCACCGACAGACCTTGTCAAGAACCAATTCATGGCTGGCGAATGTTATGCCTTGACGTACGACCTTGTACAATACATTGCCGCTTCTACTGCGCTCAAGACGTTGACACGAGGCAAGGAGGACAAGCTGGTGGCCAAGTGGATGAACATGCACCCACAGAGAGAGGAGATTGTATGGGTCACGGATAGATGCTGGATCTATGATCACCCAAAAGCCGGCACCGTGTAAGTCAAGCCCCTTTTCCGCGTGGGCTTTGATTGATAGGACTTTAGCTACTCGCACGGCTTCCTCTACCCATCTGTGGTGTCTGAAGTACGAACAGAAAATCGCACAGGCCTCTCCCCGGCTGTCATCGCTCATCGCGGAGGGCATGATGCTGCCGACGCCTACTCTACAGTTTCCAAATTTGGCGTCGCCTACCATCCTTTTGCAGACGACATGTCTGTCACTGAACAAGTCGAAGCGCTCGTCGAAGGATCGCCCCTGTCACGTTTACGCGAAGAATCCCACACCTCTTCAAAACATTCCTCTCAACAGACATACTCCAAAACAGAGTCGACTCGACACAAGGTTGACAGGCTATACAAGGCCAAGTCGTCCAGGGTCGAGCGGTTCTTGGGTGATCAGGATGAGAGGGGAGGGACTGTGGTTGTGCATTACATCAAGAAGGCGGACTGGTTTGTGGAAACGATGGTGGCGTTGTTGGGGACTGCGGACGAGCAGGACGTGTGGCATAGGGGCGTTGGTATGGGTCTGAGCGCGCTGGAAAGACGGAAAGGAAGAGTAGCAAAGCCCAAGAGTGAAGGGGAGAGAAAGGTGCAGGTGGGCAAGAGCCCAAAGGGGCTGTAATTTGACACCGGCTTGTAAAATCTGGCGAGTGACTAGTCTGTCAATAGCTAGACTCGTACCATCCTGTAAAGTAAAATAACCATGTTTGTGCCATAGCCATTGTGATGACAATTTGCATAAAACACGATCAACTTGATGTTTAGCCGGTCGAGACGAGGAACAATTGATCAAGAATGGTCGTGCATTGTCAAGAATGTATAGAGTTGTGGATGAATGCCAGCGAAATTTAGTCCTCAGACACTCCACAGTAAACTGGTGCGACAAGGGTGGATTTCGAAAGGGCAGTCAGCTTCCAGTCCCCGAAAGGACTGAAAGAAGACACAGGTTGTCTAGACCTAATCCCTTGATGTTCCATTACGGCTAGTAAGATCGCTCTCGTGGTATAATCCCGAAGGATGGAGAGGACCTAGGCAAATGCGTATGGGGAGGACGGATGGGAAGGTGGGGTAAGGGGGCCAAGTGGGAACGAGACGGAATTTGGAATGTGATATAGTTACTTGCATAGCTTGAGCTAGGTGTCGAGTCGCTGGTGAAGTTGAGAGAAGGATTGTACAGTTCAGAAAGAGAAATGGAGATATATTTATACTCGAATGGAACAACAATTTGGTGAAGATGGCGTCTTACGTGGATATTGATAAGGGATGGTTACGTACTGAACGCGTGACGCGTAGATCACAATTCAATTCAGTTGCAACAGAGTCAGGCATAGATGGCAACGCAGAGCTCTCACGGAACGCCTCGACATCCTCAAAAGCGATCATATTATCAAAACGGTCACATCTTCTTTCCCGCCTTCCCGATCCGACTTTGATCCGTCATTGCTGTTGGGCTGGACATCTTGCTGGGTTCAGCGTTACATTTGAGATTCAGCTGTAAGAAGATCAAACCATAATCGTCTCAAATCTGACAATCAACTGTATAGACCCTCGAAAGTGTGCCAGAGTTGTTGCAAGTGGACTAGAAGCAATTGCGAAGAAGATTCCAAGGTGATACAGCACTCGCGCACCTATGATGAACATGCTGACTTTGTGCACCTTCATAGGCCTGCTCTATCATGTCACAGTCTTCTCAATCTCAAGAGGAAGAGGAGTCTCTACAACAAGCTTCCTTCAATATCCGCCCATGTGTGCCGATATCGAAACAGCTTTCAAACCACGCGCTTGATACTGTTCCCGAAGTGCCCCCAGGCCTGTCTACAGAGCAGCAGCCTGATCTGGAAGGACATGTAGACCAGGGGAGGGAGTCGTTTGCTGGATCTATTAAAACGAGCACCTTCTCTGAAACCCAAGAAAGCGCTATAGATTGGACTCAAAAGCCGAGGCCGTTGTCCGAGAGTCTCAATTCTGCTCCGCCTTTGTCTCCCGTCGCTGGAGAAGGTGCTTTTGAGGAAACACCGACCTCGACAAAGGCTATTGATCCCCAGCAGTCAGATGAGGCTCGGCCCACGACTGTTGCCAATGACCTTTCGAGAAGCGAGCCCGCGAAAGAGGCAAACGGGGCGCAAAACGACACCGCGGGTTGGTCTGCTCTAGACGTCACTGTCCGGCCCCAATCTTTGAAACCTGTTTCACCTCCCACCGAAAAGACCATGTCGATGTCCGCCCCCGCATCTGATGACCGAGAGGCGCCTGCTCTGATATCTCACCCTGTCCCTGGCTCGCCAGAGTACGATCCGGATCTCAACTTTCACGAGCTCCAGGGAGACCCAACAGACACCGAAGAACCCCCAAACGTCCCCACTCCAGAACCCTCTCAGCCTGTCGCGTCTCCAAGAAGACTGCGCGGGGCAGTCTCTGCCCCGGCCAGAGTCACGACGCCGCACCAGACAATGTCGCCCGTCTCAAAGTATTCATCTGTCAAGAGCAGATCTGGCGGGGGCGTAGGTGGACCTGGATCCAAGACCAAGGCGGTACACTCTGCCCCGGGGTCCAGCAAGGGGTCTGGTCTAGTTGACAGGAGTGCAAGAAATACAAGAGAGCCGACACCGGAAAAGGAGAGTTTTGAGGACTATTCGTTGCCCAAGAAAGAGAATCCCCAGAACTATCTGCGCGCCTTCTTCAGCTCAAACTCAAAGTTCGGCGAGCAGGGCGGCGAGACGGGTGAGGGCAAGAACAGCACAAACAAGAGGGTGGAGTTGCAAAACGCAGAGGCTGTCGGGGACGTCGGAGAAGATGAGGGTGAAGGCAGTACAGGCAAAGACGAAGACGGGGGTGATACGATCGATTGGGGGCATAGCTTGGACAGCAATCGACCTCGGGCGAGTACAGCAGACTATGATAACGCCCCTGGTTCTCCTACCCCGACTCGGGGTCCGTCATCAGGTCCTGATGAGCCCGAGTCTCCTCTACAAGCAGGCCCAATCAATGGTCTCATGTCGCGTACGAATCATCCGCCATCGTCTCCCTCGACTCAAAAGTCATCATCCCGACAATCTACTTTTCAGCGCTCGTCTCCTCCGCAACCGACGAGACGATTTGGTTTTGCGAATACACATTCGTCCCTCAACGAATCTCAATCCCAACCCGTCGTCGAAGATGAACCTCTCTTTTCGTCCCAGGTGGTCTCGCAAGAGATGGATCTGAGGGGCGAGAATGAAAACTTCAGTCAGATGTCGGCGGCTTTTCCGGCCACGCAGATGCAGGCGCCTTCTATGACCGAGAGCAACAACGATCCCAGGTCATCTTCGAATGCGAAAGAAGAGTCTCTCGAGCCTACTCTCAAGACTGATGGGAGCGAGTCGTATGAGCGACCGGAGCTGGAGGCGACCTTGAGGGATCCTCCTGATCAGCCAGAAACTCAGGCAGATGAAGCGCCTACTGTGCCCACTCCGCCCCAGCGTACTATGACTGTACCTCTGCATCGAACGCTGCAATACAACTCGCGCCGAAATACTCCTTCTGCGTCCCCTCCGGTAACGAGAGAGAGGACGCTCGAGGTACCGAGAAATCGGCTGCTTCAGCGGCGAAAGAAAGGTGATGAATCTGGTACCGTGTCCGCCCACGCGTCCGAAGCTTTCTCGGCACCAAAAACACCCGTTGCCGACCAAGATCTCGCCGACTCATCTGCTGCGAGGCATCAAATTTCTCCTGCCAATGGCCTGCTGCAGGTACCCACGCCACAAGGGAAAGCCATCGAGCCGTCGCCGAATGAGGCGTCACAGGTTGCTGCCCTGGCGGAGCCAGAGCATGAAGCGGAAGTGCCCACTCAGGTCGAGAGCGATGGTCATCCTATGGACGTTGATGAACCTCCTGTGTCGAATCCCACTATCGCGACGGAGTATTCTCACTCGCCACCCATCTCCAACGAGGCCGCTCACGAACCTCCGAAAACGCCAGCTCGATCATCTTCCCCTGATCCTTTAGATCAACTACACACAGCTTCCAAATCCAAGTCGAGAGGCAAAGAAGCTGCTGTCGACATCTCGCCTGATCCTGGTACCGGCTCCCATACCATCAATCACGACCATAGTGCGCATACCAACGTATCTTTCCCAACTCAACGTCCCACACCCAAGACGACTCCTAAAGCGTACAAACGCCGCGAACGTAGGGCCCCAAAGATATTTTCACCGTCAGAGCCCTCTTTTGACCGCGATGCCGGAGAGAAAGATGAAGGGGATAGCGACAGCAGTTCGGCGCCGGAGGATACCGAGGACTTTTCATTCAGGCCCAATGTGCGAGAGATGAAGGCTGCAGAGACCAGGGCGAGGAGGAGCTTGGGGGGAATGTCTTCTACTTCTGGGGCCGGCCCGTCAAGGCTGGGACGGGCGTCTCAAGCAGGAGATTCCGACTCACGGTCAGATCCGGAGCAGGGCCGACCTGTGAAAAGGAGAAAAGCGACACGGAAATCAAAAAGCTCGTCGTCGTCGTTGACTGATGAGGAAAGCAGCTCGGCGCCGGAAGATCCTGAGGATGAAACATTCCACGTGGTAGGCAAGAAGAAGCCAAAGGGGAAACAGAGAAAGGTCAATGTGGCAAGCAATAGGGGAACAAGAGGCAAAAGCCACGCCGGCAACGAAAAAGAAAAGGTCGTCTCTGATCTTGCACGGGTCAAGGGTGGCCGGATGACTCGAGGAGGCAAGTCTTCTGTTGGGTCATCCACTGTGTCAACCCCTGCATCTACTCCTGCTCGAGCCGAAACGGACGATCCACGCGTCCTGGCGTACTATGATCGGGCATATTACCCTGCCCGTGTTGTGGGTTCCACTTCCAAAGGCTACACAGTCAAATACGACGACGGTGACTACAAGGATGGTATACAAGCTAATAGACTCCGACAATTGGTCCTCCGCAAAGGGGACGCGGTCTTACCGCATCCAGTGGATGTCACAGGGCTGCTGGAGAGGATGGAAGTGCTGTGTGACTGGAGTGGTGATAAAAGAGGTGTCAAGTTGAAGGGGTACGAAAGCGATAGGGATGGGGACGGGCAGTTTCTGGGATTTGTAAAACTGAAGCTCCTACGCATCCCGGCGCGTTATGTCGAAGAGAATTTTGATGATAGGCTCTATGTGCCCAATACACCCAACGTCGACACTCCCAACAAGGTCGTCCGCCACCCCTCTCCTAGAAAGAACAGCAAGCACAAAATCTTCACCGGGCTCGCCTTCATCTTTACTACCGGTACCGAAGAAGGTACGGAGGGGCGCAATGCCAACGAACTCAAGGAGCTTGTGGAGATGAATGGTGGGGTAGTGTACAAGTCGTGGGAGCCGCTATTTGACAAGATCGTCCGAGAAAAACTGGTGTCGCCGTATGTGCCGTTTGTGGTCGCCAGTGCTACGAGACTCGTCATGACTTCAAAAGTGATGATTGCGCTGGCGAAGGGGATACCAATATTGTCTGACAAATTTTTGGACGACTCTATCAGTCAATCATCGGTTCGTTGATTGGCTCCATGAGATGAACCTCATTGATGAATTGTAGCTTGTCAGATGGCAGCCCTATCTCTTGGCTACCCCTCGATCAAACCACACTGGCTCAAGTATGTCACAAGTCGTCGACCGGCAATGGGGAGCGGCCGAGTGGGAAAAGGACCACGCCTTCCACGTTGAGAAGCCTTTTGGGGGCCTGAGGATACTATATATCATCTCAGACAAGGATGACATCGACGTATGCCCACAGTCATCCTTTGCAAAACCAATGCTAACACGTCCTAGAATCTGGCAACGACTTGTCTTCTCTGCCTCGGTACCGCCGAAGTCGAGAGTATCAAACTCCCTCGGGTAAAAGACGCTGAGAAAGCGCTCGACTCGTTGACAGATCCTAAATGGGACTATATCGTGCTGGATGACAGGAGCGTCAAGATTCCTTCGTACCTGAGCGGAAACGAAAAGATGACGAGCATCCTTTGGTTGAAAGATTGTCTTGTATGTGTCCTTCTCCCTTGTCAGATCAGAATGTCCTAATTGTTGTTTAGATCATGGGCTCGGCTCTCCCACCTTCGCTTGAGAAGGGTACAGAAGAAGAAGCGAAAGAAGAAGAGTCCAGGCGGAAGAGAAAAGACGAAGGCGGTAACAAGAAGAAGGGCGGTACCGCAGGGAAAAGAGAGGAGAAGGAACCCCCGAAGAAGCGACAAAAGAGAAAGTAATAGGGTGTTGTTCGCCTTTTACATCGTCTTCTCGGGGTGCGTTGTTTGTGAAAGACTAACAGTGTTGATGAAGGCTGATCTTAAATTCTTCTCTCCAGCGGAATGTCGTATAATGCATATGTAATGCACCCTTGCTTTTTCACATTACAGCCTCCATATTGTATCAAAGATCCTTCTTTCCTTCTTTGCCCACCCTCGCCACTCGCTCCTCCTCGTACTTGTCCATAGCCGCCAATCTTTCGGGGAGAGTGGGGTGGGAGTGGTGGTACATGGAGTACAGCCAGTCGCTATGGGGGGACGAGAGATTTTTGACGTGGAGCTTGATGAGAGCTTCGGCGAGTTCGGCCTTCTTGCCAAGGCCGACGGCAAATTCATCTACCAATCAAAATCAGTTCTGTCTCATGAGGGAATAGGCGCGACGCACCAGCTTGGTACTCGTACCGTCGAGTCTGAGCATTCAATAAGAACTTGACAAACGCGTCGGTTGGCTCCAGGACCAATTGGAACAAGATGAACCCGATACAGAACGGCTGGGGGGCAGTGACAGCGAGAGAGGGGTTAAAGCCGAAAGCCGAGTAGAGGGAACGGTTGTTGATGAAGATGGAGAAGATGGTGAGGGTGAGGAAGAGGTGAACCTGAGTTGCGAGGAGAAGCTTTGTGGGGTGGGTGAACTTCCAGTGACCGAGCTCATGCGCTATTTTACATGAGCAATTAGCCTATCCAGTGGAAGTCTGGACATACCGAGCACAGCAACGACCTCTTCAGTGGTGCTATCCTTGATCAAGGTGTCATAGATGACAATGTGCTTGGACCAAGGCAAGCCGTAGAAGTAGGCGTTGGAGTGGGAACTACGCTTGGAACCGTCGATGACGTAGAGGTGGGTGAGAGGGAAGCCAAGTTCGCCAGCGAGGGCTTCGACTTGGGTTCGGAGTTCACCCTCGGGGAGGGGCTCGAGCTTGTTGAATAAAGGTTGAACTGGACTTGTCAATACGACATATCCGTTGTTAAAAAAAGAGGGCTCACTGATGAGGGGATAGACAATCTGGAGGGTCAACTGGATACCGACCAAGAAAAGCATGAGCCAAGGAACAAAGGTTTTTCCAGTGTACTCGATGATTCGCAGGAATCCAGACAAGACGGGGAGACCCAATGCAGCCACCAAAGCGTACGTCTTGAAAGTATCAGCGATCCAGAGACCCTTGGTGGATTTGTTGAAACCGTGCTTGGACTCGATAACGAAAGTGTAGTAGTACGACCAAGGGATGCTGGGAAGGGCGGTGGTAAGGGTCAGAATGGTGACCCAGACCAAAGATCGGACAATCTGCGGCCATCAGCGTGGTCTCTTTTCAGAGGATCAACTCACGACCCAATTGGTCCCGAGACCAAAGGAGTCGACAACAGTTCCGGAGACGTCCCACAGCTTGGCGTAGAGCCCAGTCTTGATCAAACCCCACCCGAGGAGCTGGTTGAAGACCACCTGGGCGAGGAGGTACCTGGTCTTGTCTTTGCTGTAGACTTGGGCCTTTCGGAAGGTTTCATCATCAAGGTGGCCCTTGAGAGCTGGAGGGGGAGCAGGGCGTTCGTAGCAAGGCAGTTGTCGCCGCCTGAGGTCTGTGTGAGCATACAGTCCTATATTGGTTCATGAACTTGCAAGATGTAGACTTCAAAGCCGGTCTGTATCCAGGTAGAGAGGATGACCAGGGCCTTGTAGTCGATGGCGGGGGTGTCGGCCAGGTCTGACAGCCTATCTATGACCGAGTTGAGGGCGGCTACTGGAGAGAGCGACATGGTGAGCATGCGTTGTGGGAGACGAGAGAAGTGGAAGCTCTGCCAGCGCATCCTGAGCGCATCCATTGTTCTTTGCATCCTCCAACGTGGAACTTTGTGAAAGCTGCTGACGTAATGACTGTTTACACGCCGCGTATGTATGTATACAGCAGCTGTGCAGGGAGTCCCGCAGTGCCCCATGGATCCCCACGCCGCTGCCGCCACTCAGCTGGCACCTACCTGCCCGTGTTCTGCAATCTCCCATGCTCTTGGCTAGGATGGATGTTCTTTATCAGCAGCACCGAGATTGAGATCTGTTCCTCCAGGACCTTCTGACCCTGCGCCTGCTGCCCAATTGGAACGGGGCGCCGTGTCTTCTTTACGGGATACTTACTGTAGTTGAGAGCACGCACTCACCCACTGCTCTGCATCCCGAAAGATTTCTGTTCGGTATTCCGCAATAGAGTTTCTCGAGTTCTGCTGAATGGGACCCATCGGCCCGGTTAGCTGCATTCCGGACTTCTATTGTCACTTGATTCCTGTCTATCGACCGTCCTCATCAGCGCCTGTGTTTCGACATTCCCTTTTCATTTTCATCTTCATCCCTCTTCTTCCCATCTAAGGTACAGTCATGTCGCTCGACAACGAAAAAGACGCCGACAAGGGCACATTCATCGAAAGCCCGCGCGACTCGGCCACCCCCATCAAGCCCGGCATCATCACCACTGATAATGTTCCAGACGATGACCAATCCTTCGCCGAGTACGTTGCAAGGATGGACCCGGATGAGCTCAAGGCATTCGAGAAGAAGCTTCTGAGGAAAGTAAGTGCATATGACTTTTGAACTTGATTTCTACTGACTTTGCCCACCCTAGCAAGACCTCCGGCTCATACCATGGATGACGTACGTATATTGTCCTTGTGGTTGTGGCAAAGCTGACAGTGGTATAGACTTTTGTATCTGGTGGGATCACGAGTCGCAGGCATATGCAGGAATAGCACTGACCTCATTGCCCTCCTTAGCTGAGTTTTATCGACCGTGTCAATGTGAGTGGGGATCAACTCACCGAAAAAAAGACTCTGGACTGATCAGATCGCAGGTCGGAGCCGCAAAGCTGGTCGGTCTGACCGATGACCTGGGTCTCACTTCTCTTCAGTACTCTAACGCTTCCATGAGTAAGAAATTACTGTCCCTGCTCATTTCGCGACACGGACTCACTGTTCCCCAGTCTTCTTTGTCCCCTACGTTGTCTTTGAAGTGCCAAGTAACCTTCTCCTCAAGCGTCTGCGGCCCTCCGTTTGGTTGCCGTTCACCATGGTCTGCTGGGCCATCTTCCAGACCACTATGGGTCTTGTGACAAACTATCATCAGCTCCTCGCTTTGCGGTTCTGCTTGGGTCTTTTTGAGGCTGGGCTCTTCCCCGGATTGAACTTTTATCTGTAAGCTGACTTGCCTAATAAGGGTCCCACGAGCTGACTGGTATTAGGACGGGATGGTACAAACGTGACGAGATCAACAAGCGAACAGCCTTCTTCTTCGGCGGTGCCGTCCTGGCCGGGGCTTTCGGTGGAGTCCTCGGCTACGGTCTTTTTCGTATGGACGGTATTGGCGGTAAAGCCGGCTGGAGCTGGATCTTCATCATCGAAGGGCTCCTTACTTTTGTGGCCGCTGTTGCGAGCTTCTGGATGATTCACGACTGGCCCGACTCGGCAAAGTTCATCACTCCCTTTGAGAGAAGATTCATTCACTACAGGCTCAAGTCGGAGCAAGGGTTGGCTCAGTCGGGAACATACAATAAGAGAATCGTGAAGAAGGCTTTGTCTGATTGGAAGGTGAGTTTGAGGAACACGATTTATGACAGAGGAAAAGAAGCTGATTCCATGGCAGGTTTACTGTTTGATGTTGATGTACATTGGTGCTGCCGAACCCCTGTACAGGCAAGTCTCACTTGTGTTTGAGGAATGGAACGCTGATGTCTCCACAGTGGTTCGCTGTTCACGCCTACCATCATCGCTAAACTGGGCACATATACTATCCCCCAATCTCTCCTTCTCAGTGTCCCTCGTAAGTCTCCATAGATTTCCGCGGACCAGATCTGACTAAGGGGTGACATAGCGTATGTGTTGATGTCTATCACTACGATGGGAACTGCTTGGCTCAGTGACAAGTACCGCCGACGAGGATTCTTCTTGATGGGATGGTGCGCTGAGTCCCACTTGACATGTGATATGAAGCTGATAGGATTAGGTCCCTCGTGGGCGCTATCGGATACTTGATGCTCTTGACCATTCCTATCCGTTATCCCGTTAGTGTTCTCCTGGTGCGAAAGACACAGTTAGCTTACGATCGTAGGGTGCACTGTATTTTGCCGTCTTTGTATCCTCTGCAGCTGTGGGTCCTCTCATCGCCACTACCATTTCTTGGTGCCAGGGTACTTGGGGCAACCACTGTAAGTCATCTCGCTCTCTCAAGAAGCCAGATATTTACGCCTGCTCTCAGACAGAAAGGCAATCTGCATGGGTATGGTCTTCTCCTGCGGTAACTCGGGCGGCATCGTCTCCTCCCAAGCATACCGCAACAAAGACGCTCCACGATTTCAACCCGGCCACGGCGCTGCCTTGGCTTTCTGCATGCTCAACTTCACCATGGCCACCATCCTCTACTTTGGTCTTCGCCGAGAGAACAATAGGAGACAAGCGTTGTACGGGCCACCTCCACCACCAGAGGAGGTGCACGAGTATGACAGTCAGGAAAGCTTGAGGAAGTGGGGCTTAGAAGGGATGTCGAAGGAAGAGCTGGTGGAGTTGGGTGACGACCATCCCGCTAGTCGTTATATCCTATAAGCTGTGGATACGAAAGGAAAAGTGGAGTTTGGAGGTATTATTGAACTTTTTTTAGGGGCCTCACTACTGTACATATATTATCCGATATAGGGTAGATCATCGGAATTGCGCGAATGAATGAAGTAGGTGCTCGAGGGCGACCGGAGGTGGGGGTATATATTACCGAGCATTCCTTGTGACGATATATGAGGGGCAGTCCATTGATTCAATGTTCAGCTACAACCACCGATCAACAAGCTTTACGAGTACCATACAAACTGCCCATGCACTGCTTCCCTCGAGTCCGACAGTCACTCAACCTTCAAATCGCCACAGACGAGACATCTTCCACGTCATCAGATTATTGATCTCCTCGAGTTTTTCAGAGTCTGCCTTGTGCGCTCTTACATACGCATTCTCTCAGCTTTCCAAGTGAATACACATCACCGGCCTGACCGGAAGCACAGAATCGAGCATGAGGCTCAAAATATCCCTCCTGCCGCCGTTTGAACAACAAAAATGCCTCCTGCCCGTACCAGACGACATCAAAACCATCACCCAGCTCAAAAAGCTCCTCAGCAAATCACTCTCCACCGTCGCGTGCACTGCTTCCTCACCGAAGGATCTGGTTCTGGAAGTGGATGGATTTGAACTGCTGGCGGGCAGTGGGGTCGAGGTGATCGAAGCGGGGGATGTTGTTTGGTGAGTCTCTCATCAGAGACGTCAAGGGTACAGCTAATAAAGCCGAACAGTGTCCGCCTGGCCCCCGGCAGCTGCAAAGAAGCTGCAATCAAGAATGAGAAGAAAGAGAAGGCAAGGGAGAACGGAAAAAGGAAAAAGAAAGATAGGAAGCGAAAGCAGAGCCCCTCACTTGAAGATCGGAGGGGAGAGAAGAAGAGGAAGGTGTCGGAAACACCTAAGGTGCAAAAGTCAGTTGTGAAGAAGACCCCTATACCAGCACCAGCTCCTGCTCCCGCACCAACTGCACCTGTGCAGAGACCAAGGTCGCTTTCTATATCATCATCGTCCTCCGACAGCTCATCATCATCGTCTTCATCCTCGTCAACTTCATCGTCCTCTGGCTCGGATGCCTCCTCCTCGTCGTCTTCGTCTTCGTCGTCTTCATCATCTTCCTCCTCGTCTAGTTCCCCAGAAAGCGAGCTTCCAACAAGTAAGGCTACCGACGATCTCAATGTGTTTCTCAATGCCAGGTCCGTCCCCATATGCCTCGTCGTATTCCATTCCACAACTGACGTGACTCTGTGACTGTATAGCACTTCTACCCCCAAACAAACCATTTACCGTCCCATCGAAGGCATAAAGTCCATACAAACGCCGCCCTCTGTCCCTGCCGTCCCACCCGGCGAAGGCAAGCAGAGTACCCAGAGTCGCAACGCCCGCCGGCGCCTCGCCCGGCAATACAAACGCGCCGCTGAATCCCAAACCCTAACACCCAACGGTAATACCTCTGCCGCACAGTCCATCATTGGAGACAACACAAGGGGACAATCGACATCCGGGTACATTTCCGAAGGGAGGGCCGATGAAAGTCTAGTAGCGGGGGCTGGGAGCGGGGACTTATCGATCCCTGTGCCGGAGGGTATGGCGAACAGAAACAAGAAGAAAGGGTTCAAAAAGGAGATGGAGGGAAAGAGGGGGGTGAAGACTGTATTTGGGGAATCGGGAGGGGCACATGGTGAGGCCTCGTTAGCGGCAGGGAGTCAACCTTCGTCCCTTGCCACAAACCCAACGATCCCGGTAGCCTCTGGAAGCCGATTGGGGCACACATCTGTGACGCAGAACTCTGAGAGAGATTGGACCCAGGACGGTCTCCCATACGGTGATCCCGAGGAAACCCAAGCACAATCTACCACCAACACTTCCAGCGCACCGCGCAACGCCTCCTTCAATAGTCTGCCGAGTAATCTGTTCATAACGAGGAAGGAGTTTGGGACGGGGTACTACAAGCCGTTGAAGAAGGGGAGGGACTATGAAGTACGCGGGCAAAGTGAAGGTGGTGGTGTAATGGAGACTGAGGAAAGTACTGAAGTGGAAACCGAGGAAGAAGTACCGGGGGAACCGACTGGACTTTCTGGTGGGGAGACTTTCATAGACGGGGCGACAATGTGGGAGACTGTTGAAGTCAAATTCGATGGCTACAAGGTTCTGTCGGACCCCGCGTCTCTCAAACCTGGAGACTACCTGACATACAAGGTAAGTTTCTGAGCTGCCAAGCGCGATATAAGTAGCTGATCGAGAACAGGAACTCATACTCGACCCTTACACATTTTCGCCCGAGCTGCAGCTGCGCATTGCCAGGGTTGTCTCAAAGCAGAATGGAAAGGTAGAAATGGAACGGCTGCAGCGGGCTGTGGAAGATGGGTACGAAGAGGAAGAGGCGATGGAAGACGATACAGGTGAAGAGTCAACGCAATTCACTCTGGATGTGGAAAACGCCAAACTAAATAGCTGGAGACTGGTGGCATGAGCTATCAGCATGGCATGATATAGCATAGTATAGCATCATGATGTGTAATATGTACAAGAGACGTGTGCGCACCCAGGCGCTCTTTTGAACAGGTCGTTTCTTTGTACAGGATCTGTAGAGGTCATCGTTGGCGACGGAATAGATTTTGGAGTGGTACAAGTGTGTAGCGAGCGAAAGCTGGTGCTGCTACCAGCGACAGGCCTATTCTTGCAGGTAATAGCGCCTATGAATGACTATCAGCCCTGTACATCGAGGGAGCCTCCAACGTACCTTGACAAGCACATACGCGGCCACCGCGTCTGCAACCTTTTCAGCAGCTTTCGCCCCTCCAGTCTTTACCGAATCCACTGCAGTCTCCCCGCTACCCTCAACCTTGTGCTCTTGCTTCTCGTATTCCAGTACACCGTACCTCCTACCCACACGATCGACCTTCGCGACCCCTTCCTCGTACCACTCTTTCACCCAGCGTTTCCAGCCTTCTTTCTCTTCTTCGTGGCCTACTTCAGATACCCATACGACTAGACCAGCACCGACGCCAAAAGAGGCAAAGAGGTAGTAGAATCCGAGGACGGGGAGAATGGCGGTGAGCTCGTGCAAGGCGAGGAAAGAGAGACCGAGTGATGGTAGAGGGACGCCAGTCCGCTGGGATAAGGATGTCAGGTAGGGGGTATAGCGGTCCAGCAGGGAGGGTGTAGGTGGTTTGGGAGGGGGGCCGGGGGGCGTTGGGGCCGAGTATGATCGAGTGAATGGGGTGGGGGTCGGGGTGGGGGAGAGACGGGCGATGTGCCTGCGGAGCATGCTGGCTACGGGGGACTGTGCGCTGCTTCTCCTGGCCACGTATATGTATGTTGATGTTGAATGCCGAAAGTGGAGGCACGCCCTTAGGGTCTGTTCGGATAGGATTTCTGGATGGGATGGAGGCTCCATCCAGGGTCAAAATCGGCCTGCCCTGAGAGGCACGGGATGGGATGGTGGTCGACCGCCATCCCGTTCCTGGCCGGGTTACCATCCCGTTCGGCCAATTTCGACGCGTTTGCTCGTCAGCTCGGCCATCCCATCCATTGCCCCTTTGGGTAATTTTCCGCGCCATCCCAGCCGCCATCCCGTGGGTCGCAAAAAGCGACCCACGGCGCCTCTCGCGGATGGCGGTCGCGGGATGACGGTCGCTCGGCGGCCATCGCCGACAATACCCCTCCATCCCGCCACCGCCATCCCATGCGGATTGCGCCGCCATCCCATCCCGACGAAAATCGTAGCCGAACAGACCCTTATCGGTCCCCATATTTAAGCCCGGGGACGCGACGAATCGAAGCGAAATCAAAACAAAACATCAACAACATGCCCCAGCTTTTCAAGGTTCCTGTCCTCATCTCCTACTCCCAGGCAAGAGGCATATCTCGCAGATCCATCGCATCAACGTCCCTCGCACCAGCACCGAAGAAGAAGAGAATGGCCCTCACAACCGACGTCAACGTTTCCAAGCCCATCAAGGATGATGCTGCTGCCCCAGCTTTCGGAGCTGGCGGAAAGCCTTTACCTCCCCCTTACAAGTATGTATCATGTAGCACAGGCGCTTGCGAAGCTGCTGGCTAAAGCTCATCATCATAGGTCTACTGGCAACGAAGCGCTCGATACGCTCGCCTTCTTACACATGCTCGAGCAGCTCAAGGTAAGGCCGGTGGCTTGCTCCAAGGAACGTGTAATGATGTTCTTCTGCATAGGTCCAAAAACGTTCTGGGTGGATCCGCGAAGGCGTAAGTGTCTGATCAACCAGTTTATATTATACTTTGCTAATCTTGATGCAGGTTGAAGGGGCCGAAAGGTACATCTAGGTCATTTCTGCTGGGGGGCCATGACTGACATGCTCACAGTATTTCAGACCATATGTGCCGTATGGCGCTCATGGCCATGATGGTACCTAACACTTCTGAACGGCCTCTGGACATTCCTAGATGTGTCATGGTCTGTCGCTCTGCAAAACGACAATTCGTAGCTGACCCACAGGACAGATGGCTCTGGTGCACGATCTCGCTGAAGCTTAGTGTGTAGAACGCTCAGGCCATGAAGACTCAGCGCAGAGCTGACATGTGATCATAGCGTTGGAGATATAACCCCTGTCGAAGGCGTCCCAGTCGAAGTCAAGCACCAGCTCGAGGAGCAAGCTATGGACTCGTTTTTGAACGAGATGCTTGGTAGTGAAGGGAACAAGGAGGCGAAAGAGAGGTTCAGGTCTTTGTTTGAGGTAAGCATGATTGATGTCTATCCGCACATGCTAACATCTGGCAAAGGAATATGAAGCTAGGGAGACACCAGAATCCAAGCTTGTCAAAGACCTTGACAGGCTCGAGCTTGCTCTCCAAGCGGTAGAATACGAGCGCAGTATGTACCTCCTCCTCCCTCCTCACCACCTGCTGACAACTTATAGCCCAAGAGGTTTTGACCCTTGCTCCCTTCTTCAGGGGCTCCATCCCCAACCTCGAACACCCTGCCGTCCGGTCCTGGGCCGAGACCTTGATGGAAGAACGCAAGCAGCTGTGGGAGTCTAGGGGTCGTGGCGAGCAGGAGCAGAGAGAGTTGGAAGGTGCCGTTGTGGGGGGCAAGGTGAAAGCTGCCGGTGGCGCTTAATCTAATTCACGAGATGATGAGGGTATAGACATCATGTTGTTCTTTCTCATGTATTATAGGGCATATCTGGATTGCATGCCGTCGTTCTGTTCAACTTGCTCGTTATACAAACAGGATAAGAGATACAGGCTGATCTAAAAGTACAATCTCTGTGCAGCTGATTGAGCGGTTTCTATGGGGCAGTACGGACACTTGACATCCCGCCGTCTGGTAATATGTCAGTCAAGGGCGTCGGCAATGGTAAAAGTCACTCACCCTCCCTTGAGTAACCTGTCAAAGCTCTCTGACGCGACAACGTGTCCACAAGTCATCATCTTGGGAGGATTGCTCTCCGTTGCTTGCTCCTTTGACACTGGACACACAAAAACAGAGTGATATCTCCTGGAAGCTGATAGCGGCACTTCCATCTAGTCTCCTATCAGCTTGATCCTCTCAACTCTGAACAATGACTCACTGGTAGATCTGTCCATTGCCGCACATGCCCCAAATGTTCGCCCATGACCCTTCTCGCCTTCTCTATCACCATGAGGGCACCGCCCGTCGAGCCGAGGTCTACAGCGACCGAAAGAGGATCCTCTTTGGGCCATTGATGGAGTCGATGGAATTCTAGGCGGAACGAGCTGACCAGGGCTGCCAAGTCTGTAGCGTCTTCATCAGAAAGAGGATTTGTGACCTTTGTTTCGCCTTTCGAATCAGCCATTTCTATGTCTTCGCTCCGTCTCGGAAACTGGTCGTATAACCGCGAAGTGATCATCTTCATGACTGGCTTTGTCGGCAGATACTCCATCATATGCTGCCTCGCATATATTATCGCTTCCTTCTTGTCTGCTATGCTTTGGAACACTGCTCGGTGGAGATAGTAGGGCAAGCTTGAAGGATGGGGAGGCGAGGCGAGGAATTGTTGGTTGGTTGCACACCATTCCAGCGCGGGAGTGAGATTGGAGGAGAGGATGGAGGCTGTGAGGAATTGGAGCTGAGAGGCCAGAGCACGCTGTTCCTCTGGAAATTTGAGGGATGTCTCCTGTCATATTGTCAGATATCATCGATGCAACCTCGGATCTTACCTTCTCCAGAGCTGCGACGGCATCCCACAGACCTCTCCGCCCGAGAGAGTCGAGCACGGCCTTGTCTAGAGCCACAGAAGCTTCTTCATCCACAAACAGATTCGGACTCTCGTACGCTTTGCTGATGACTCCCAGTGTCGGTGGGAAGGTCTGCTTCCTCATCAGCGTTGTCGCCTAAAGCAGTCTCGATATCACTTCACCTTGTCTACTGCTTTCCCAACATTCCCCAGTGCACCATACCAGCCTTTCAGGCCCTTATCTACTTCCTTCTTGCTCTTCTGGACTAGCTTCTGCAGGTCCACGACGACGGTCTTGGGGTCATCACCCGAGAGTATGCGCTCTTTGGCCTGGGCGAAATGGGTGTCGATAAGCGCGTGTAGAGGCCCGGACGATGAGGTCGATGTCGAAGAGGACAGAGACTCAAGCGTGTCGAGTGCTGCGACAATGTCCATGGCTGCTGAGGATGTCCAAGATAGCGTTCACGCTACCAAAAGGGTCGCCAACGCTGTCATCAACAACTCGCTCGTCATCCGCATTCCGCGCCAGTTCGAGCCTTGACATGGAATTTAATTCTGCCGCCCATCTTCTCTTGCGGCGAGATTTGTTGTTGCTCGGAATTCTTCAATCCTGCTTCAATCGTAGCTTTGCCTGACTGTCCTCTACCACTCCTTGCTTCTCCATCCATCGCCTAGAACCTCGAATTAATCCTCTCGGATACCTTCGCCCTCCACGAACGTCTTTCAAAAAAAGCAGCAAATTCGCCCACCCAGCCAGCTACTTTAACAAGATCTACAATGTCCCAGCCCCAGTCCCGCTACACCCAACAAAACCCCAACCCTCTAGTGGACAGGAGCGTCAAGGTTCCCGAGGTCATCCAGTACATCTGTGGTGGTACGTTTCCATGTTTAGACAGAGGAGGGAAAGAGAAGGGCAGAGGGTAATGGGTGGGATGCTAATGTCCATCCCAGACTGTGGTGCCCAGACAGCTATGCAGCCGTCAGAGTTTATCAGATGTAAGGAGTGTGGACACCGAGTCATGTACAAGCCCCGGACGACAAGAAGTAAGTCAAGACCGAGAGGATCGCTATAAGAGCGGCGCTGACTAAGAATAATCGTTCCTTCTTGTTCTCGCCATTGCAGTTGTAAGTCTCACCTTATCGTATATCCCACGCCAGAAGAGGATTGTCGCTGACTGCTGCTATAGGTCCAATTCGAGGCTCGTTAGTCATTGGTCCAGGTTGCTTGTAAGAGAGGGATAATCGTATTTTTTGGTCTTTGGGCGCTTTGCCCGTGTATGCATAGATTCACTGCATCTATCGCTACGTGCGGGTCAGCAACCAGTCGGCGACCTTTGGTGCCATACAGCGCACCACATCTTCGTTATCTCCTAGCAGGTCCAGAATGCAGTCGCCAGCTTACATATCTTTTCCACAGCTTGGCATGTGCCCCAATGATCATCTCTTTCATGTGAGTTTACGGTCAACCAAGACCAACTCTCACTATCGAGCTTCAAGCTCCAGAATGCAGGCAAACTTGTGGAACCTTGTGTCAAGCGACTCTTACTAGACTCACGCTTGCGTTTGCGTCCTCCAAACACTACCGTCGGGATCAACAAAATCGAAAGCCGAAGTGCCGATGTAGATCCTGATGGAGAGAGACTTTGAGCGCACTTTCAATCAATGGGGGTGAGGAGTATCGATTGGACGTTTGGGCTTGGAACCCTGCTGCGAACCTCGCGGCCATTATATGCCACACAGGCAGCGCTTTTATGTCGTGGCTCTGATGCTCGTGTCTAGTGCTCACCTCTTCTCCTCACCAACATCCATCTCGACTTCACAGTATGGCTTGTTCTCCCTTCTGAATCTTCCACCACGCCACAAGTAGAGACGACACCCTTCGGTGCACGCCCCTCAACCGTCAGGAGTACAGTTACTCCTCCTCATTTCACCTATCATAACTCACGCTACGCATCCGCAATGCGCAAACAAAAATACTAGAATGTAGATCAGAAACAGGGCTGTCTATCGGTACTAAATTAGAGCTGTATGCATGACAAAAAGTGGCGTAAAAAAAGCAAAAAGTAAACTGCTCCGGTGAGGGTCGAACTCACGATCTTCCGATTGAAGTGTGGAGTAGATAACAGTCGGACGCCGTAACCAACTTAGCCACAGAGCACTCATGAAAACCTTGTTTTTAACTTATTTCTAAACTGTCTAGATTGCTAACAGACGTGACAGACGTGAAATGACGTGAGGCGGCGAGGCGCAGGATGGGTTACTATGTATCGCGGCGGGGCGGGTCTACAGCAAGTAGCATATCATTTGTGCGTGATCACGTACTTACCGATACTCACGTGGAAAACACATTTGTAAAGTAGGGTTTCAGATCGAGTGATTAATGGGTGAATGCGAGTTCTTGTCGCTGTAGAGAACTTATCCGCCGCTTCTCTTCTCAGGCCACTCTTTCACCGGTCTGGGTCGCACGCCGCTACTGGAAGGCCCCGATATTAAACCTAAAAAAGCTGATAGCAAGAGTACAAAGCAGGGTCACATCCTCTTCTCCTCAAGTCCAGCTCGTTCTGCCTTTGGACGTTTCTTCAGGCGGTCGCAGAGAGTGAAGGCAGACCGGGAACAACAACGAATAAACCCGGTGCACCGGCCTGGAGATATGCGACTGTACGTCATATTTGGTTCCTCAACTTGGCAATGAGTCAGTAAACGGTCAACGCGGTAGGCGGACAGGGGCATGAGCTGAGGAGGACCTGTAAGGGTAGGATAGGTGAGGCGTAACCTAAGGGCGGTTACGTGGTGGATCTGACTAGGGGCGCCAGATGTCGACCTTGAATAGACTGGAGGGATGAAGGATGGATATAGGTGAGGAGGTTCTTACGAGAATACATCGATGAGGGAAAAGGATACGGAGACGCGGCACGATGTATATATGGGAACCTCATCTCGCAATCCAGCCTACGCATCCCTGAGACCATAGCAGCAACCCTAGTCACCGAACCCTGCGTCCAAAGTACACGTCACAACATCTGTACCAATCCCTTACACTCCCCCCGGTCTAAAACTGAGCGTCCACGCGAAGATGGGGTCAGATAGAATGGGCAACGATTGCTTAAGGGTAGCAATGGCAATGGAGGAAAGATGGGGTGGGGTGGAATGTGGGTGGTAACAGATAGGTATTGGGAATTGAGGATCGCGACATGACAAGGATTGGCAGGTAGGTGGGGAAGCGGCGGACCCATGGAGTTGTAGGTGAACATTGAGAATCGGCTGTAAAGAAAAGGTAATGTAAGCAAGGGTAAATGTCGAATAAGGGTACTACACCAGGCAGGTTATGATATCTTGGGTTGAAAGGGGGTTGTTTCAATTCGAAGTAAAGGTCAGATCAAAGTTACGGATAATTACCTCGGAAACAACCAAGGGGCCCAGGTAACAAGGATCGAGAAGGAAGAAAAGAGCTTGGGCGACCTGCGCCTGCTCGATCTGCTCGCGCAGGAGCTGAACATAGCTCGTTAAATTCGCGAAGGCGATCGATCACTAGAGGCGCAGTCCCGGGAGAGGTGGTTACGAATTTGTCTACTAGGCCTGAGGGCCCACAGACATGGGAAGTCGCAGCTTGGGTAGCTGGCGGACAGTGGTGGTGGTGGGTTGTCGCAGCCTGGGCGGCTCGCAGACGTGGAGATGTGGTGAAGGTATGTCCCGGCCGGATTGGGCGCGCAGACGTGGAAATGTGGTGAAGAGATGTCCCGGCCGGATTGGCTCGCAGACGTGGAAATGTGGCTCACAGATAAGAGACAACCACGGCGGAAGATGGGGACGACGACCCTTGTAAAAGAGATCGCCTGAGGAAGGGATAAGGGCGGGGCGAGTTGGCCAAACTCGTGGTCCGCTAAATAGCAAGCAAGACTGTCAACGGGGCTGCAGACCCCAGTCCTGCGAGAGGAAAGGTGGGGAGAGAATGGGTGGGCGAAGGGGGATAGAATGGAGCAGGTCGTGGCAAGAGAATGGGTGGATGGGTGGGTTTTCGCCTATCAAAGGTCGAAAAAGGATGCCAGTCCTGCGAGAGGGAAAGAGGGGAGGGATTGGGCGGGTGGATGGATTGAAATGGGGGGGGGGTCGTCGCAAAAGAATGGGCGGATGGGTGGGGTTTCGCCTATCGAAGGTCGAAAAACGATGTATTCTTCTGTAAGGGTAGGATAGGTGAGGCGTAACCTAAGGGCGGTTACGTGGTGGATCTGACTAGGGGCGCCAGATGTCGACCTTGAATAGACTGGAGGGATGAAGGATGGATATAGGTGAGGAGGTTCTTACGAGAATACATCGATGAGGGAAAAGGATACGGAGACGCGGCACGATGTATATATGGGAACCTCATCTCGCAATCCAGCCTACGCATCCCTGAGACCATAGCAGCAACCCTAGTCACCGAACCCTGCGTCCAAAGTACACGTCACAACATCTGTACCAATCCCTTACAGGACCAAACACCAGGCCACGCAGGCGACGGACGGGTGGTGTTGTCAGCTTGCGTGCTAAATGCCAGTCAGCTGCCACATTCGTAAGAGCTGCCATTTTCCTGCACATCCAGAAGCAGTCCAGTTTACGTAGGGCTTGAGAGCACTAGAAACATCACGTTGCCGCGCCCACACAACACGGCGGAGAATGAAAGCGAACAAGAAGTTCCCAGCGCACCTGACTGGGCGATTCGTTGATCGTATTAGGGTGGCAAACTGTGTGTATCCCCTAAAAACGTTGTTCCAAAGTCTCGAGAGGAGGCCGGCACTCCGGCAGGCTGATAATCTATAAAACCCAAACGCTTCATCTCCTTCTTTGCCACCCACCCTTTACAAGCGATCATGAGTTTCATCCCACTCTTGACCACAGGACTCAAAGTCTTTGCTTGTTTCTGGGCGCTTATCACCTTCTCGGTAGCTGCTGCCTTTATTTCCAAAGCCAATGATTTCTGTAAGCAGTCTTTTTGGCTGAGATGGGAATTGTCAACTAACACCTTCAATCACAGTTGGAAGCAGCTATGTACAGGCGTGAGCCTTTTCTATCGGCCCGTCCTCCAACACTGACATTGACGAAGGACAAAGCTGACCGCTGGAAATGCCATCATTGCTGCTGGTGTGCTCGCCTTCTTGTACTTTTTCGCAGTGAAAGCACATGCCGTTAGTGAGGTGATAAAACACTGACGATTCTGTACAGTCTGGTCTTGACAGTCGCAAGCCCCAACAACATCTTCATCTCCGTAATGCTGGACGCCGTCTTTTTGGGTGCCCAGTTCATCTTCTTCTTGGGATCTGCCGCTGCGTTGTCCACTCTGGCGGCATTGACCCGCCGATCTGATATGTATACCTGGGCCAAGTAAGCGCAGCTCAAATCTTGCCAAGTTAGCGGCTAACACCACAGAGATTGGGCGAAGCCACACTTGGTCTTGCTTGGGTCATGACGTTCTTGGTGAGTTCTTCTCTCGTCACTCGTACACGTCTAACATGATTGAAAAGCTCTTGGGAATCCTCGTGTTGGAAGTCGCCTACACCCTCACCCACTTTGGCGGCGGGTACGCCACCTGGCGAACGCCCTTCAATCAGCTCGTGGCGTACGGCACCGGTGCGCATACCAAACATCACACGCCTGCAGCGCCCATGGCCACCGTCAGCCATGCTCCTACGGCCACTACTGGCACCCACGCTCCTGGATCCCACATCTCACCGGGGGTCGGTACAGGCGTCAACGAGCACAACTACCAGTTGGCACCTCCACAGCCGCGAGAGGCAGGGGGTACTCATCTTGGTACAGTAAACCCGACGGCTGCGAACCGAGTGTGAGAAGAATTTGAGAGACTGAAGTGTGACAAGTGATTATAATGGATATGACATGGATAAGTAGCTTCAGGCGATCCAGTTAGTAGGGACGGAATGGATACTCTACTGGTCAATAGACTTGTGACTTCTTTTCATGCTGACTTTCGAATCCTTCTTCCTAGTGAGCGCCCTCCCAAGCAGAGGGGTCCGAGTATGGAAGGAACTGCCTGGCGTCAATGGGTGTATGACCACCGTTCAAGAACGCTCACCTTTCCGTCCAATGTAATGACAACGCGGTCGCCCTTGGGATCCTTTTTGCGCTCCAACGAGGTACGGAAGTCTGATAACGTATCAGCTCGAAACGATGGGATCCAAAGCACTCACCGATAGCAGACATGATGCCGTCGCCGAACTAATGCGAACATTTCTTTAGTATGCTGAGATAGACTCTGTAGGAACGAATTCACCTTCTCTTGGATCAAGGCCTTGTACGAGAAACCGTAGACAATCAAAGCCTCATACAGCCTGTAGAGCACAGGGTCCTATACGCGTGTCAGTGCCCACACTCTGATTAAACGGAGGTATATTGTGATCTACCTTGGGAGGGAGGTCGATTGTAGCACCTCGCAGGATGAGCCCCGGTACTCCATAGTTTTCTTCGCCCTTTCCGGAAAGGCCTTTCAGAACCTTTTCATATATGATCTGCTCGTCCCCAATGGCTGTTCTATGATCGGACAGCTGGTCAAACAGTCCCTGTCCACCTAGAACATTGAGGATGGCGTTGGCCGTCTCCTCGTTGGTAGTAGCCTGGCCGTAAAACAGGGCGGTTGTCCAGACTTCAGGCTTGCCGATACTTTTAGCAATGTCGTCGAATGTCTTGCCAGTCTCCGACTTGGCGGCAAGGATAGCCTTGCAGTGGTAGGGAAGGTCGAACATGGTGCTGTGTAGAGAGGCGTTGGAGAGATGGTTTCGATTGTCACATCCGAGCAGCAACAACGTATGCCACATGATCCAAGAGCGTCATATCGGCTTCTTACGTAGCTTCTTCTTCGGTGCTCCGTAAGTGCCTACGTAATCACGGAATCAAATGCCATCACGTCGGCTTTCGCCGTTCTGCTTGTTGACGAGCGATGAGCTGGAAGTTGCCCCATCTGCCTTGTCGCTTTCCACAACATTCCTCGAGTATTCTGACAGTGCCAGAGCTTCTTGATAGCTCTCTAAAGGACAATGAGAGTCTCTCCTATCATTGCCTTACCCGCCTTATTCCTCTCCCTTTCTTCCCCTGTCCTGGGAGAGCCTTCTACCAAGTCGGCTACCCAAATCGCCCAGGATGCCAACAGACTATTGGCCGAGGGATCGTACTCTGCCGCTGCTAGGGCGTATGGTGAAGCTATAGGTGAGTCAATCTATATACAGCGCGGGCACATCTGACTGTGAACTAGAGCTGGACCCTACAAGTTATGCCAACTATTACAAGCGAGCCACAGCATATCTTTCCATGGGGAGACACAACGCAGCCTTGGATGACTTTGACTCTATACTGAAGCTCAACCCGGGATTCTCTCAGGTGAATAGCTCCTGTGGCCTTTTGTCTTTATTTGGAGACTAACGTAGACATAGGCGCATTTTCAGAAGGCCAAGATCCTGGCAAAAGAGGGCGAATTTACTCAAGCGCAGGCCGAGCTGAAGGTGTTTGGAAAGAGCAAGAGCGATCCGGAAGCGGATGAACTGGTGAGTTCTCCCTACATCCTGATGCGAAACGTTGCTTACTCGTTGAGTAGTTGCACCTCGCCACGGTTGGTGAAGCTGCGGAAAAGTCGGCTGTCCAGGCTTCAAAGCAGAAGAAGTGGCAAGTCTGTGTGGACCATTCTACCAAGGCGCTGGAAGTGGGACCAAGTTCCACATCGCTGCGGCAGCTGAGGGTTGGCTGTGCCACCGAGCTTGGAGATATCAACACGGTCTACGGTGATTTGACGTGAGTGAATGTCCCATGCTGGACAGCTTTGTGCTAATATCAATCATAGACGTTTAGCATCTCTCAACCCTACCACGCTGTCATATCCCGTCCAGCTTGCCTACATTGCCTACTTCCTCCGCGCCTCACCGCAAGCGACCGCCCACATCAAACAGTGTCTGCATTACGACCCCGACAACAAGCCCTGCAAGGCCGTCCACAAGATGCTCAGGCGTCTCGAAAAAGAGACTACCAAGACTCGTAACTTTGTCGAGGGTGGCAGTTTCCGACAAGCCATGAAAGTCCTCGACGGTCCCGAAGGTCTTCTCGCCCGATTTGAGGAGGAGCTCGCCGAGGCTACAAAGTCCAAAGATGGCAAACCTGCCTATCTCTTTCCTCAGCTCAACCCTGTCCCAAATAGCGACATGCGGCTTGAGCTGTACGCATTGGCATGTAAGGCTGCTGTGGGAGCGAACGACTTTGGGAAGAAGGGCACTTTCTGGTGTGAGCAAGTGGAAAAGATGGACCCGGAGAATGCGGATGCGATGGTGCTCCGCGGTGAGAGGCTCTTGAAGGGCGAAAAGTGGGAGGAGGCTGTCAGGATGTTTGAAAAGGCGTTCGAGGCGTCAGGAAGGAGCCAGGATGTAAGTACGACTTGGTGAACAAGCGCGCGACGTCTCACACATTTTGTTTAGGTGCACGGTCGTCTTCAGAAGGCTCAGCGATTACTCAAGGTTTCTAAGCAGAAGGATTATTACAAGGTGCGTGCATGTTTACGGTGATCTTGGCAGATGCTGATTGCCTATAGGTTCTTGGGGTACCTAGAGACGCTGATGAAAGGCAGATCAAGAAGGCATTGTGAGTTGCTTGATAGAATGATCCGGCCTTCACTTATGACGCGATTTCAGCCGTAAAGCTGCCAAGACGAACCATCCTGATGTCGGCGGCTCTGAACAGAAGATGGCCGCATTGAACGAGGCGTACGAGGTTCTTTCCGACCCAGGTGAGTACACCCAACGTTTCGTAGACGCCCACTGACCAATCTGAACAGAACTGCGTCAGAGGTTTGACAACGGCGACGATCCCAACGACCCCACATCAGGACAACAACAGCACCACAATCCCTTCGCCCACCACGGCGGCGGCCATCAGTTCTTCCAGCATGGTGGATTCCAGGGCTTCCCTGGCGGCGGTCAGAAGATGCACTTCCAGTGGGGATAGATGGTAGATCAGGGGACTGCAGGGTTAGAATGTATATCATCGGTCATATCTGAGCTCTGAGCACATTTATCCTAGAGATGGCAGTCTCTTGACAGTCATCAAAGGGGGAGAAATTGAGATCAGAGAGGCAGTCGGCTTGTGGTACAGTCAGGATTAGCTAGTTTTATTTCACAGCATCCCGGATACAGTTTCAGGCATAGAACGCAAGTAGAGGGGTTTGGAAAGTGTCTATAACGCTGTCCCTACCAAATACACTGGGGCATTCCCAAGCTCGTTCGTGAATAGGCAAGCAACCAGACGTCTCGAGCACCTGGCAGAACGCAGCAAGGAACGCCAGCCTTGCTATTCCAACGACAGTCCCATTGGCTGTTTGGCTTTCAGCGACTCCTCACTTTGGCCAGGTACATGTCTCCAAGCACGCGCCGTATGTCCTTGTATCGCTTGTTAAGCGCAGACAGTCGCTGTCTTTGCGGTTTCTGGGGAGGTGGTTCGAGCGATGTTCCTCACTGCGCTCAGGCGTTTCCAGCAACTTCGACGTGGGAGTAGCCTCAGCATATTCACTCTGTCAACTTCTGATGCAATGCATAGAGTTGGGATTTGGCTCGCATGGCCCGCTGAAGAGCGTATGCATTGTGGGCCCAGACCTATATATTAGACCTTTGTATTATAGTAGTAGTAGTAGTAGTAGCTATAGGTACGAGCACAAGATCTAATCTTTACGTAAAAACCAGAACAATAGTAGACTAACGAAGCATGCGCAGGACCACTTTGTCCCCATTCTTGTCGCATCATTTCTCTATTCTGCCCCTCCTGATGACCTCGTAGACATCGACATGAGCGGCGCGCAACACGACAACGACAACGACTCGCACAGCGGGTGGGACGACGAGTACCAGGATGCCTGGGTTCGCGCCAAGTTCGACTTTGACGCATCAGACCGCGGTCATCTCACTTTTCGGGCAGGCGATATCATCCAGCTGCTGAGAAAGCTCGACACTGGGTGGTGGGATGGCATCCTTGAAGATACCCGTGGATGGTTTCCTTCGAATTACGTCGAGGAGATATCGGCGGACGACTTGCACCAGTACTACGACGCTGGGCTCGGCTATCCGTCACAACAAGAGTACGAAGAGGGCAACGCTGGATTGGGCGGAGATAGAAGAGGAGACGCGATAAACGCGGATGATCTGCTGAGGGGGAGCTGGGGAGATGACTGGGGGGGTGCAGGCCTCGATCAGCTGGCACGGGAGATGATGGAGAACGACGAAGGAGGCGAGGATGGCCTGGGGTTTATGCTGGAGGCGCAGAGACGCAAGAACAGCAACAACGGCCTGGGCATTGACTTGGAAGAGTTTGGAACCGGAGCGTCTGGCAGCCGTGACGAGACCGCTTTCAAGCCCACTCAGACAACCCGAGCAGCTCAGAAGGCGCCTGACACGACGCCTAGAGTGGAGCGTGAGGACGCTTGGATTCCGTCTATAACGCCTGATGGACAAGTGAGTGCAACTCTACATAGCGATGGCACAAACTGACATACGACAGGTATACTACCACAACACTCAGACGGGCGAGGACTCGTGGGAGCTGCCCATGGACGATGCGTACGAAGCAGATGATCCCTACGCCCAGACGGACGAACAATTCTTTCACAACGTCCCATCTTCTTTGCAGGAAGATATATTCAAGAGGTCCGTGGAAGATTCTGAGTCAGGCGAATTTGCTGTGCCACACAGTCACGCCGACTTGCCCTACCCGTGGATCGCCAAGCTTAGCGACGACGGCCGTGAATGGTTCTTTCATAATCGGCTTACTGGCCAATCGCAGCGCGATCAGCCACATATTGGCGACGCAGAGAGCCTTGCCGATATGGGCCTTGGCTTGTCCCGCATGTCTATGATTCAAGGACCCCCGGCGATTCGCAAATCCCTTCTTCTGCAACGCAGAACCGTCGAAGATTGGCAAGTCAAAACTTGCGATTCCCTCCGAGCAGTCACCCAGCCTCCAAATCCGCCGACACTTGGTATTCTTGTAGAAGTCATCTATGATGCTCTTCGTGAAGTACTGGAAGCCACTGTCACAGGTTCGGCTGCAGAGGAAGAAATGTCTCGCGCCATTGACCTTGGATCGGAAGTTGGCCTGAATGCCGCATTGGATCGCGAAGAGGGAGCCATTGAAGCTGTACAAGCGGGCTACCAGGCCACTCTGCAGTCTATCCGAGACCTTTTGGCATCTTTCGGCTATGTCGGTCCTTTGGACCCGATGGAAGAGCTTCCACGACCAGCGTGGACAAGCGACCTGGCCCTGGTGGGGTGTGTGGGTGTACTCGGCTCTGTTGTCCATGCAGCTGTGACCTCCAAGCGTCAAGCAGAGTCTGGACTATCCGTTTGGTCCGAAGTTTTGCGGGCTGCCACCAAGCTCAAGGACGTTGTCAGCAACTACTCATCGCTGCTCTTTTCCGGCCAGCTTACTGCGGCTCAAAGAGACGAAAAGGAGGGTAAACGTGTGGAAGGCTGGCTAGGTTTCGACCCCCTAAGCCTGGGAGAAGCGTTGGGAGGGAAATGGGGCTTCGGGAGAGAAGACAAGGGCTATCGGGTCCTGGATCAAGCAGCCGTTCTGGATTGTCAAAAGGCAAGGGTCGAGTCTGATGTCGCTCTCCAACACCTCGAAAACGTCTCTAGCGAAAACTTACAGACGGCGGTGCTTGAGGCTCTCAGAGTGGCGAAATCGTTTGACAAGATTGTTGCCGAGATCGACATCGCAAGCCAAGTGGATGTCGATGGAGATGTGGGAGATTGGCCGAATGGGGGTGCGACGAGGGAGGATGACCTGCAAGAGTATGCGCACCTCGTTCACCAGGCCAGGCTCGCTTTGATGGACCTGGATCAAAGCACGAGAGAAGTCAACGAGTGGTCTGTGGCTATCCTGAATGCCTTGTCGGCTCAAAGAGGTATATCTGCGGAACTCGAGAGCCTGACAACCACTCTCACCACCGCTTTCCGCGCGCTGCCGACGCTCCTAATCATATCGCGCGAACAACGTGCTGCCAACGAGCAAGGCCTCATCCGCGGCCAAATCGGCATCAGGTCTCCAAAACATATCGCCACATCTCAGCATACCCGCTCGACCTCCCTTGCTTCAACCGCTTCTCGTGGGTCTCGACTGTCGGATCTGGTTCGGCGCAAAGTCAGAGGTCTGGTGGACGAGCCAGAGATTTATGGCGATGCTTATGAAGCGCGGGATCGCCCAAGCGAGATGCCATCCTCCGCTTCTCAGAGTCAGGCATCTTTGAATAACAATTCTGGAACACGCCGTACAAGCGCTTCCAGTAGTGTGTCTTCCCTCACATATCAGCCCACCGAAAGCGACGGGACAAACTCGCAGAAGGGTAATCGCTCGAGTATCCTTCGTGCATTTAGACGGGGCCGGGCCGGGTCGGACGCGCTCGATGGTTCAGGAAAGCAGGCTCAGAAAGCCCCCTCGAAGAAATTGGCCAAGCTGTTGGGCGAAGACATGTCCGCGATCCCTGTCGTCTCTGTGCCTCCACCACAAGGTCAGCAACAGCAAGGAGGTGGGCCGTTCAATGTGGGCTTGCCGACTCAGCCAGAGACGCCGTGGTACATGATGGATGATTACGTGCCCGGAGAAATCATCTTTGATGATAAGGGGGCAGTGAAAGCGGGCACATTGAGGGCTTTGGTTGTGCGTTTAACATCACACAGTATCACGGGTAAGTCATGTGTTTGACAAGGGAAACTGTACTGATGATTTGTAGATACGCCATTCTTCCAGGCCTTCCTCCTCACATTCAGATCATTCACCGATCCAACAGAGCTTTTTGAACACCTCGCAGACCGGTACTACCTTCCTACTCCAGAGTCTCTTGTACCCGAGCAGTACGACGAATGGAAGAATAAGAAGAAGTGGTACATCCAATTGAGGGTTGTCAATGCTTTGAGGCAATGGCTGGACAAGCACTTTGTCAGAGAGGCAGATGAGGAGATTCTGGACAAGGTGGAATACCTGGCTTTGAAGATGCCAGGGGAGGACACAAAGGCGGAATTGATGTCGAAGCAATTACTGCAACTTGTTGCCAAGCGCGTAAGTTTGGTCTCTCTTCAAGCCCAGACTCAGCTGATCGTATCCGCAGCGTCAAGGCGACCCAGAGCAGATATTCCCCGGCACATCCGGATCCCTTCTCTCTCCTCCGGCTCCTCTCGTCCCGCGAGTCTCTGGCCGACCGCTCCGAATTACAGACATCAACCCCATCGAAATCGCTCGCCAATTGACAATCATTGAGTTTGCCATGTTCCAGAAGATCAAGCCATCCGAATTCTTGTCGAAAGTCTATCAAGATGAGCAGAAGAGCATGCTGTTGGCGCCAAATATTCGAAAGGTCATCTTTACGGCGAATGTGTTGGCGGGATGGATCTCTATGAGTATTCTGGCACACAAGGATCCGAGGGCAAGAGGGGCTGTCTGGAAGCACTGGGTGCAAATTGGTGTCGTGAGTGCACACAGGATTGTGACAAAGAGTCGACTGACGGTGGTCCAGGAATGTCGAAACCTGAACAACTTTTCGTCATTGGCAGCCATCACTGCTGGTCTCAATTCTGCGCCCATCGCGCGTCTGCGGCGGACCAGGGAGCATGTCAGCCAGAAAGTTCTGGCTACCAAGGCGGATATCGACAGGAATATGGATTCGTCAAGAAACTTTTCCAACTACAAGGACATGCTGAAGACCGTCAACCCGCCTTGCGTACCGTTTTTGGGTAGGCCATGGGCCACAATGAAGCTGAGTGCTGCTGACTTGTATGTGCAGGTTTCTACCTTACTGCTTTGGTCTTTATCGAAGACGGTAACAAGTCCTTTATCAAACCTGGCGCTCCCACACGAGGCAACGCTGTGCCTCCCTCCAACTCCTCCTCTTCCATATCCGCCCTGGCCAGCGGTCAACCGCCAAATGCTAACCCTACTAGCGAAGAGACCGTCATCCCCACCAAACCACTCATCAACTTTTTCAAGCGGTCCATGTCTGCCGAGATCCTGCGCGATATCGCCCAATACCAATCACAACCATACAGGCTGGCGAGGAGTAGGGTTGTGCAGGATTTCATGAACGCAGAGTTTGAGCGGGTGCATGACGCCCCAGATGCGTGGGAGCTGAGTCAGGAGCTGGAGCCAAAGGAGAAAGATGATGAGAGAATAACGAGAATGCTGCACGATTCTGTAAGTGGAGACCATTGATCTTAGGGCCGGGGGCTGTGATGGGCTGATGGCGGACGCTAATAGGGTTTCATATAATGTACAGGGATGGTAAATGTCATTCAAACGCTTTTGTCACGCATTGTCACGCTTGGTATCGCATATCACAATCAGGATAGGAGAGGAGAGGGAAGAATGTTGGGGGGTCATTTGGGAAGGCATGGGGTACTTTTTCAATCTTTCAAAACAATCTTCACGTCGTGGTTCGTGTTCAATATGGACTCTTTGGGCTGCACCCCTATCTTCCTTTCTATCACTGCATAGGTAATTTTGGTTCCTGGTCTCGTCCCTTGTTGATTTTCTGTGTCTGTTCGGGGCCTCTCACCATGTATACGTTGTTACTAGGCCATCCGTGCGCTTTCGGCAGATCATGAGTTCATTAACATTAGATCCAAAGTTTTGGAATCATCATGATAGCGCTTTTCATCTCGTCCGCCTTCACCGATGCTATTGATGACTCGGATCAATCGCTTCGACCTCTTCTGGCAGCTTCGAGACATTGCTCCTCGAGTCCGACCACCCTGATCACATCGACACCACCGTTTTGCAAAATGCGCACACCCTCGCATTGGACATAGTCTGGCGGTTCTTCAACACCCTTTCGCAGACAGAAGGATCAGCGCTAACTGGGGAAACTAAGAGAGGAACTCACCAAGAACACTGCTTGTACATGAGACTGGACGAGCTCCAGGGCACAACTCGGTCCACCGGATGTTCTAACAGAACAAGGCTCCATGGTGGCATAACATACCGAGTCCTTGAGAACATCTTCGAGGGCAGGGAAGTGATGTTTGGTATCATCATGCCCACCTAACAGATGCTCCCACCTCGTTCTTAGATTCGCGAGCGCATTCGCCTCTGCATGGGTGTTTCCAGGGATCTGTCTCGACCATCCCTCGCCTAGGATCAATCCTGTCGGATCAGAGATGGTGTTATTGGGGAACGCTTGGAAGTGGTGGATAATGTGCTCGAAGAAGGGAGACGAGGAGGGGAGGAAGACGATGGAGCCGACATTGAAGGCTGTCGGTGATGGGATGCAGTTGAAGGTGAGCTGGAGGCAATGGGACATGAGCTCCAGATGGAGACTGTCTAGACGGCGTTGTCAGCTCTAGAAGTCTACTGCTTTTGAGAGGGCACGAGAAGTGGACTGACCTGTGGTGGACTTGAGCGGCGTCTCTTGAGATGCAGCCATGGTTGCGTATCAGCTGCGACAGTATCGTCAGTCTTTTACTCGCTGCCGGCGACGAACAAGAAAACGTAGTGGGCGACCTCCACCTCGCGTAAGTGGGGGTACGTACGGAAGCAAACAGATGAGTCACCAAGGGGGCCGAGGCGTGCCACAGTCGATTTGCAGCCCGAACTTCGTTTGCTGTGGCCGAAGGCTATCTCGATTCTCAATTCTCGTTCAATCGCATTCCCGCTTTCTATTCCTCTTCTCCATCCCCCCCTTGCCCGCCGCCCCTCCCAGCGCCCCCCTCTTCTCCCTCCCCTCCCCTTATAATCGCTCGCCCAGACACCGCCCATCACCGACGCTGGGGTGACGCAGTCCCGCGGGACAAACATCACTGTTTTTACATTCCACTCTCGATCTTCACTTCCATCCAGCAACAACCACGTGAGGTGACCGCCGCCCACCATGGGTACTTCCAGCAAGAAGGCTCCCCTCATCCCGCGGTCGAAAAAGCACAACCCCGGCTGGTTCGACCGCAAGATCTCAAAACCCCTCTCCACCTTGTCCCCGGGCAAACTTTTTGGCCGTCGGCCCGTTGCCAGCAAACCTCGCTCGGTGTACATCAACGAGCAGCTGCCAGAAGAATGCTACGACAAGAAGGGCCGGATCTTGAAAGAATACTACTTTCCCACGAACCAGAACGTCACATCCAAATACACTATCATCACATTCTTCCCCAAGAACATGTTTGAGCAGTTCAGACGTGTCGCCAACTGTTTCTTCCTTGCCATCAACATCCTTCAATTCTTCCCCAAATTCTCCACCATCTCCCCTGGTCTTGTCATTCTTCCATTGATCATCGTCCTCGCGATCACCGCCCTCAAGGACGGGTACGAAGATTTCAAGCGTCATCAGGCCGATCATAAGACCAACAACGATGTCGTCCATGTCCTCAGCGGCGGAGGTTATGAAAATCGCAACCCCATCGAGGGCAAGAACAAGACGTTCATTCCGCACATCCCCCTCCCCAAGCGAAAGTCGAAGAAGGCGAAAAAGGCGGAGAAGGCGGCTGCAGAAGCGGCTGCAGGTCAGAGTAGCGAAAACTTGGCATCGGCAGCACCCGGCGCCGAGCCGCGCGGTGAGGATACCTTGCACAGGACCAGGACCCAGGTCTCGACCTGGGGTGACGATCCCGAAGCGGGAGATTCGCCCGGTGAGCTTGGATGGCATAGGACGGCATGGGAGGATGTCAAAGTGGGGGATTTCGTCAAGATCTATGAAAACGAACAGTTCCCAGCTGGTGAGTCGATCTCGTCAAGTCAGTCCGAGAAATGCTTATATTGTACAGATATCATCATTTGCGCGACCTCGGAAGAGGAAGACGTCGCCTTTATCGAGACGAAAAACCTCGATGGTGAAACCAATCTCAAGTCACGTAACGCCGTCCCAGGTCTCTCTCAGTACAACACGGTCGAAGCTTGTCTCCATGCCCATCTCCGAATTGATCTGGATGCCCCCGAGAACAACATGTTCCGTCTCAACGGTGCTGTTGTAAACCTCGACGAATTCGATGACCAGGAAGAACATCCGATCCTCCCCGTCACTCTTGAAACCACTCTGCTGCGAGGCTGTGTGTTGAAGAACACTGCCTGGGTCATCGGAATCGTCGCCTACACGGGTCGCGAGACCAAGATCATTCAAAATGCCGGTGCTACTCCCTCCAAGCGAAGCAAGGTCGAGAGGCAGATGAACCCTCAGGTCATCATCAACTTGGTCATCCTCGCGGTTATTGCCACTGTCTGTGCGATCGTAGATCACGTCAACGAGGTGTCTTGGTACAGCGATCAGGCATATTGGATGCTGTATGCCGATACTGGCGGTGACAACCCTAGTATCAACGGTCTCGTCACGTTCGCAAACGCCTTCATCACCTTCCAGAATATCGTCCCCATCTCCCTGTATATCTCTATCGAAGCGGTCAGAACGATTCAAGCTGCATTCATCTACTGGGACAGGGCGATCAAGTATCAGAAGAATGGTGTGACTACCAGGACCACGGCGAGGAGTTGGAATCTGTCGGATGATTTGGGGCAGATTGAATACATCTTTTCGGACAAGACTGGTGAGGTTTCGCATTTCGTCATTGGCTATGCTAATCTCGAGTAGGTACCCTCACTCAAAATGCGATGATCTTCCGTCAGTGTTCAGTCGGAGGCAAAGTCTACACCGGAGACGGTGAAGCCCCTTCTCACCCCGTCGTCGCCCACCAGCACAAGCCTCCTCTTCGTCCTAGCGAGGATGAAGGACCGTTCTCCAACACTGCCGCTTCTTCCTCTGACGAGTACGACCCCAAGAAGGAAGGCGAGGACGAGCCCAAGGTTGTGCTTCCGAAGGAGGTCCTCGCGCCTTTCCACGATGCTCAGCTTGACAAGGATCTCGAGGCGCACGAGACTGAGCAGTCTAGGATTCTTCATGGATTCTTCTCTGTTCTCGGTCTTTGTCACACTGCTCTGGCTTCCGAGCCTGAGCCCGGAGTCATCGAGTACAAGGCCCAGTCTCCCGACGAAGCTGCTCTCGTTCAATCCGCTGCCGATGTCGGATTCGTCTTCCGCGGTCGTGACCACAATATCCTTCGCATGTCAACCCCCCTTGGCGACGAGCCCGACGAGTACGAGCTCCTCCACGTCCTCGAGTTCAATTCTGCTCGAAAGCGTATGTCTGTCATCTTGCGCAAGATGGACGAAGACGGCAGGATCTTTTTGCTCTGTAAGGGTGCCGACAACATTATCTTCGAGCGTTTGACGCAAGACAACAGTCAGAGGGAGATGAGGGAAAAGACGGACAAGGACTTGCAGTACTTTGCTTCCGAGGGTCTCCGTACCCTTTGTCTCGCCTACCGTGTGCTCGACCCCGGACACTATGAGGCTTGGGCGAAAGAGTACCACAATGCCACTGTCGCTCTGGAGGACCGAGAAGCCAAGGTTGAGGTGGTCTCTTCGTCTATCGAAAAGGACCTCGTCTTGCTAGGTGCTACCGCCATCGAGGACAAGCTCCAGGATGGCGTGCCCGAGGCCATCTCTGATCTCAAGCGTGCTGGTATCAAGGTCTGGGTCGCCACCGGTGACAAGCTGGAAACGGCTGTCGCCATCGGTTACACCACCAACCTGCTCACCAAAGACACCAACTTGATTGTCGTGCGAGAGGGAAGGCACTCGATTGCGGATCAACTCAGAGAAGCCCTGGAAAACTTTTTCGGAGAAGACGCCGGGCTCCACAGGTCCATCTCCAGGTTCAGTGTTCGACGATCGACCGAGGCTCCCCGGCTTACTCGTGTCAATACTGGCGTGCAAAGTTTGGTCGGAAACGATAATGGTACTCGACCTGGAGGCTTCTCTCTTGTTATCGAGGGTCACGCCCTTGCTCACTGCTTTGACGACCAAGAGACAGAAGCTCTCCTCCTCGCGCTCTCCACCCGCTGTACCACCGTCCTTTGTTGCCGAGTGTCGCCTCTCCAGAAGGCCCAGATCGTGCACTTGATCAAGGACAATCTCGGTGTCATGTGTCTCGCTATTGGTGACGGAGCCAACGACGTCAGTATGATCCAGGCCGCCGATGTTGGTGTCGGTATTTCTGGTGAAGAGGGTCTTCAGGCTGTGAACTCCGCAGACTATGCCATCGCCCAGTTCAGATACCTCAAGAGGCTCCTCCTCGTTCACGGCCACTGGTCTTACTTCCGTAACTCCAACATGATTCTCAACTTCTTCTACAAGAACATTATCGGTATTGGAGTTCTCTTCTGGTTCATGATCTACTGTGGCTGGTCAACAACATACGTCTATGCCTACGTGTACCTGCTCTTCTGGAACGTGTTCTGGACTCTCTGTCCCGTCATTGCCATCGGTCTTTTCGATCGTAACATTGACGACGAGACGCTCATGGCGTTGCCAGAGCTCTACAGTACTTCCCGCAAAGGCAGCTACTTTGGTACTCGACGATTCATCTACTACCTGATGGAGGGTGTCTACCAATCTGCTGTGGTCTACTTCTTCATCCACTACACCTACCTCACCACTACCACCAGAGGGGATGGTTACGAGGTCTTCATGTACGAAATGTCGACCACGCAGGCCATTGCTGCTGTCATGGTGGCCAACCTGTTCTCTGGTCTCAACATTGAGGCTTGGACTGGCTGGGTTTGGTTCGGTGTGTGGGTTGGTCCATTCCTGATCTGGGTCTTCACCGCCATCTACTCTATCATTCCCCCATCCTCCTTCGCCACTGGCGTCTATGGTAACGATGTCTTCTTGTTCCGCTCTGCGGCATACTGGTTTGGCTGGACATTGACTCTCGTCATCGCTTTGATGCCGAGGTACTTGATCAAGACCATCAAGCAAAATATTGTTCCCAACGACGTCGACACCATGCGTCTTGTGCGAAAGTACCACCCTGATATCGACCTCTACAACCACCCAATGCTCGGCGGCAAGCTGTCTCCCAAGGACGAAGTGGGAGCCACTGAAGAGCTTGATGATTACAGTGAAGGGCGAGAGTCTATCCAGATGAACAGCATGCGGGCACGAGACCATGGTGTGTTTGGTAAAGGTGACCGATACGGTGATATGGAGACGGGTCTGGCTAGGAAGAGTATCGACAACCGAATGGGGGTCAGGGGCAGTATGGAAAGTTCCAGATTTGGTATCGATGGCAGTGCGAGAGGATCAACCGTCGACAGTAAGTGATATGTGTGCTGTCATAAAAGTTGGCCGGGCTAAAATTGATCCCAGTGTCCACGGGGATGGAGCAGCCTCCTTCTAGAGGTTACGGGTTCACCATGGAAGAGAATGGCGTTGCTGTACGTGTAAATGATATTGATACTCTCAGAGCTGACCTCTCTCAGATTCAAAGAATGCAATCCCGACTTTCTCAAACGTCCACTATCAATTCCCGTCCTCGATGGGGACGCCAGACCAGCAACGCCGACCCTACAGCACCCCCCTTCGCACCGAAGAACCCATCAGGCATGTCTCGTATCCGAGAACGTGCCGGTACCATCCTTTCCAGGAAGCGAGCCGACACCGGTGCTACCTCTGGCAGCGGCGATAAAACTGCTGCGAGCCCTTCGAAGAGTCGGTTCCTGTCACGGCGTAGAGGGAGCCAATCTCAGCAGGAGGGTGCTGGCATAGGATCACCACTGAGATCTGGCACTGGAAGCTCTTGGGAGGCTAGAGAAGGAGAAGAAGCGGCGTTAGGCAGAGAGCTGGGTAGCGGGCAGAACATGGCGCCGCCAGAGATACCGCGGGTGTAAGCAATGTAAGATGCAGTGTCGAGTTCATATCAGAGAACTTTTGGATTGTCATATACCCTTTGATGTGCTGTCGGTCCTAGCATGGAGATGGAGATGCTGAAGTGCGCAGTGCAGAATTCTATAACGTTTTTTTAGCAGGCATATATTTATAGATCGAGCTCAAGGCATGTACGATGTTGGAGCCAGACATTTGCTAGTCCCACTGTACTTGTTCACCCAATGTTGTGGCATACGTGCTCTCACAGTTGCACCTGGAAAAAGCAGCAATTCATATTCCAAAGCCAGGACTGTCCGGTTGCGAGCCCAAAGTGATTCATAGCGCAGGTATATGCTGTATAGTACATACAAAGAGAGAAAAAATAAAGAAAACACTGTCCCAAAACACTCCCTTCTCTATAAACACAACTATCGCCTGTCGTTTGTTCCACTCTTTCTCTTTCCGGACAACATCCACTTGGGCCTGGTGATGGGGACATGCCTATCACTTTCGGACGCCTTGGCCAACCTATTGGGAAGACGCTGGGCAAAGGCTTGAAGCTCGTTGGCCTTGTCGTGTTGACCCATAGTAGAGACACCACCAGTAAGACGGTTGGTACGGGGAGCACGAGTGGTAGCAAGGGCAGCACGCCTCTTGAGTTCCTTTCTGTCTCCAGGGGCAACCTCCATCTCCACATCTCCACCATCCATCTCCACATCCATACCACCCTCCTCGGCGGCAGCCGCGTCCTCCGCTTGAGCCTTCTCCCAAGCCTGCTTCTTCTTGGCGATCATCCTGGCGGCACGCTTCTCCAGAACCATGGGATCGTGGCCCGCAGCACGCATACCCTCGGTGAATTCTGTGAGGGAGACATGCTTCTTCTTTCGGGGGATGATGGGACGGTTTTGGAGGTGGTTCTTCTCTTGCGAGATCTTCTTGATGGAAGCCTTCTTGGCTTTGATTTGCCTGGCGGCGTCTTGGAACTCTTCGCCTTCGGAGTCGAGCTGAAAGATGTAAGTATATGCTGAACGTTTCTGAGAGGATAACGCACCATTTCCTCCTCATCGGAAGCGTAGAAGCCCTGGTTCTCCAAAGCCTCCTCCTCTCGCTCGAGAGCATCGAGCTTTTCGAGAATATCGGCATCGATAAAGTCGGCAATGTTCTTGCCGTTGATAATCTCCGGCATGACATCGTACTTCCAAGAGTCGTCCGCCAACAAGTAGTTCTCTGCGGTATGGAATCAGCGACTGCCTTTGTATCATAGGATAAGGAAACTTACTCTTCATGTCGACAGAGTAAACACCCTGGCCAGAGTGGTCCAACTCTTGCTCGACGTCCCGCTCCAACACCTGCCTGTCGGGGTTCTCCTTGTCGTACTTGACCCTGCCCTTGACCGCGTCAGGAATGAAGGGCTTCCTCTCAACGTCGTCTCGCTTTTGAGGCACAGCAACGTGGATCTTGTTGGCGACCATCTCGATCCTGGAACCCTGGAGCTTGACCTCGACTCGGTGGGCGAGGAGAGCGTCACAAGCAGTGTTTCGGACGTTGATGACACCTTCCTCAGTGTAGGTGGAAGCCTCGACGACGATGACGGACTTGTCGGAGAGGATGGTGTCGACGTAGGAACGGTTCTCGGGAGAAAGGTCGTCAAGTCGAACGATATCGATCTTGTTGATGACGAGAACAGTGGGCTTGTTCTGGAAAAGGGGTTTGATGGAGTGGAAAAGCTTGCACTGCAATCGATGTCAGCACAGATTGTTTACGATATTGACCGACGTACCTGAGCCTCAATGGTATAGCCACATTGCTCAGAAAGGTCCATAAAGTACATGACGGCACTTCGAAGGTGCGCCAAAGCAGTGATGGACTGCATTTCAATAGTGTTCATTTCCTCAAGAGGGTGGTCAAGAACACCAGGGGTGTCAATGACCTGCCATCTGAGGTACTTGTAGTCCATGTGACCAACGAAAAGGGACTTGGTGGTGAAAGCGTACTATCGAAGTGTTAGTAAAGTCGGAGAATCGACTATTAATGACTCACAGGCTGAACGTCAACATCGGCTCTGGTGATCTTGTTGACGAAACTGGACTTTCCGACATTGGGGTAACCGCAGATAAGGAGGGTTCGGGTGTTGGGGTCGATAGCGGGCAACCTGGATATGTGCTGCCTGACCTGCTCAAGGTACGCCAAGGGGTCCTTCTGCCTCTTCATGATGGTGGCCATTCTACCCAAAGCAGCCTTCTTCAACTGCTTACATCGGTAGAGCGAGTCACCGAACTTGAGGAGACGGCAGTAGTCCTTGGAGACTTGGGAGATCAAGTGGCGGGCAGTGTTGATTTGACCAAGAGCAAGCTTGTAGTGGTTCTTGTCGTAAAGGACGTTCAAGAGGGAGGAGAGGAAAGGGTGAAGGTTGTCGAGGACGGGAAATTCAGAGACAATCTTGCCGAGCTTCTCGTCAAAGGTGTCCTGGGTGAACTTGACCTTTCGCATGTAGACTGTAGAGCGTGAGCGGGCGATGAATTTGCAGAAGATTGCGCGTACAGTTTCTGATACGAGAGATCTTGAAGTTCTTGTGGATAACGGTGGGGGTCTTCCTCATCGTGCTGTTGAGGACGACATCGATAAACTCTGCCGAGGTGGGCACGGGGGTGATCCTCTGGAGACCGGCGACGGACGACATCTTGCGGCTTCTTTTGCTTCGTTGAGAGAGGAGAGTGGGAGGTGGAGGCGCTTCCTGGACTTGTTCCGGGGAAGGTTTTGTGCAGGAGAAACCGAAAATATCAGTGACAAAGGGCCCGCCGTTCTGAAAATCTTTGTATGTTACGTAACGGCGCGCGGTGACTGCCACTCACTTCTTTCTTGCCTCCACTTCGTCGTTCTGATCTCTGCCTATGTATGTATGATCTGCTCACCATGCTGCAGTAGATGACGTACTACAAGCTCAGAGATCGCGGCTTAGCCTATGTAGATTTGGGGCAGGCAACAGCGGCGCGATTTGTCCGGCTGCATGTCATCACGCTCGTCCCCTATTGAGCATCCGGACGCCCGCTCTTTGATATGTATATGTACTCTAGCATCGGTTCGATCGGCGTGAGGCAGGATCAGGCCCTTTTAACAGCTATAGCGGGGCAACTATTAGGGGACACGTTCGTTACCCCAGCTCGCCACCGGCCGGTCAGTTGCGTGATCTGCACAAACAACCTCCACACTGATCGCGGCGGTGGCCGCCATGTATTTCTGTGGCTGCGACTACAAGCAATGGCTGTATCGGGCTTTCCTCTCGCGTCAGCACGTTCTAGCGTGCCCCATACCCCAACTGCCCCCTGCGCGTGCGCCGCGAACGCTCGACCTCGATCTCCCGGCCACCAGCTATCAGTGGTCATTTCATTATCTCACATCCCGTGCTGGAAAACACTCCGTCACCGCAACCGTCCACGCCTTCCCAGTGTTCGCCTTCTATACCACGACAGATATACTCGAAGGCTGGCATAGAGATCATCTTTAAAGCCTGAGCTTGCCTGTATTATCAACACCAGACAGCTGCATCTCAGTGATCACACTTGTTGCTTGTCCTGCGATTGTCACCGGCATCACACCTGGCCGTGCCCCTCCTACACACCAAGCTTGGATCATCTATCGGCCCCGACAGCTAACCAGATACTGCCGCTTTACCAACTGAAAAACACATGGCGCCATTATCACCTGACATCTCGCCATCCGTCTCTCCTCTCTCGAAGGGTGGCGTTGGGCCACCGCACGAAAGGATGGACGGGATTGACGAAAGAAGCGCGAATTCGAATGAACGGAACGAAGGTGGATTGAGAAAGGGTGAGTGATTGGCATCTTCTCCGTCTTCCATGAACCGCGAGCTCGCCTTTAGTTATCACGCGAGAGAGGCGTTGTCCTTTGTGGGCTGTTGATTATTTCCCATGAGATACCTTGGATATAAAGATCAGGCGGAGAGATACAACCTCTCGCTGTCTGTTCCAAGCTGCACCTGTCACACTTGTTGCTCGTGCCCCTGTCCCTCTAGCACACAACTTTATTCTTGTCTCTGTGCTGGTCGATCTGCTTATCAATCAACCGGAGCCCGAGTCTTCCGCCGTATATCAACTGACGATCTTAATTATTATTCCCTGATCAACATCATGTCTCTTTCCGACACTCGCATACTCCCCAATCTCTACGACGCTCTTGCATCCCCTCCCCTATCTCCCCAACCGGCTAAATCCCGTACACGTGTTTCACCTGTGACCACCCATGGGTACAACACGCCTCTCACGTCGATCTCTCCACGTCCTGGCGCCACGTTCAAAACTGCCATCACTGTGGATGATACTCATACGCCAATCTCACGACCCGCTCTTAACGGCGCTGTTACCGACTTGGCTGCAACAACAATCACCCCAACCCCGGGCACTTTATCTATAAAATCATCTATCCCTCGCTCTTTTCAACCCACTCAACAACCCCTCGCTCTCCTCTCCGACCCTGCCAATCATACGTCTCTTGGCGAACCTCCTCGATTGATCTTGCACAACGAAGCAGACTCGTTGACCAGAGAACGCAAAGGCAAGATGCCTGTGCTTTCGCATTTGCTTAGCGTGGGGGATGGGCGTGTGCTTTGCTTGGCAGCAGATGAGAATTATGTTTATGCGGGGTGCCAAAGTAGCGATAATGAGATCACTGTGAGCAGTCCACATACTATTTTGGCCACAGGCTGATAGCATGACAGGTCTTCTCCCGTTCAAGCCTGCAACCGAAATACAGGCTGCTGGGTCATCAAGGCAGCGTCCTTGCTCTCTTGATCATACCCGAAAAGGACTGGCTCGTGAGCTCCAGTAGTGAGTCCGCACTTGCCGAGTGACTGCATCCGAAATGCATTTTGCTGATCAGTGATTGATGGTGACAGGTGCTGGTGATGTTAGGGTAAGTCACTCCTTCATCTGTTTTGCATCGTGCTGATGAGGTTCATAGATATGGTCCACGGAGAGCCTTGATCTGATCTACATCATTCATCCTTGTGATGACACTTCTGGCGATATCTACTCGCTTGCCTGGGACGAAAGAGAAGGCGGCACTTTGTACTATGGTGAGCAAGTCGTTCCTTTCTTATAATAGAGCTGACATATGGTAGGCTCTCAATCCAACTCTATCGAGTGGGTCAACTTTTCAGGCGCCGGTTCTTCTCGCCATCGCACAATCTCCGCCTCTGCCGCCAGCTCCATCCAAGTCGTCAGCAACGGCGACGCCTCCCCTCGCTCTGCTCCTTCTCAACGCAGCGGCCGGTATAAGCCCCACAAGTTCTTTGACAATCCCCCCGACGGTGCTTGTAGCGGTGTCTTCACACCTGCTTCCATCTCTGTTTCTGGGTGCAATACGGGCAGGACAAGTGTCTCGCCCAAGGTTGATTTGGATAGAGTGGATGATGGCTTGCTCCGGCAGACGCAAGCAGCGACAGAGATCGAAACGGCAGCCGAATCGCGCCTCGCCTTTGCGCACTATGGCTATATCTATGCTTTGCACATTGTTTCCCGACCCAACGGGCGCACGTGGCTTGTGAGTGGAAGTGGTGATTCAGATATCAAGATTTGGGAGTGTGAAGCCGGAGGAGGTATCTCTCTCGTTCGTCAATTCGACTCTCTATCCGGCGGTGTTCTCTCCTTCGCCTACCGCGACGACCTCCTCTACGCTGGTCTACAAGCTGGCGAAATAGGAGTATGGGACCTCGAAACCGGTGCCCGCATCCGTACCATTGAAGCGCACGAAGACGATGTCCTCACCATGTGCGCGCTGGGCGGTGATGTGTATACTGCAGCGGCAGACGGGAGGATCTTGAGGGTCAATGAAGAGTTTGATTGTACCGCTGCATTCAGGGTACACGGGGGACCGGTATTCGACTGTGTGGTTATACCGACCCAGAAAGAGGATGGGTGGCAGCTGGTAACGAGTGGATGTGATTCTTATGTCAAGGTGAGTCTTTATGTTTTCTTGCTCTGATATATGCTGAAGGGGTGTTCAGATTTGGCAGATCGAGGCGCCCAATGTGGGGCTCAATCATGAAGAGGTTGACATGGGGAATGAGGGCGACGTGATGCTTTACGCTTTGTCAAAGCTTGTTGCTGTCCCCACTGTTAGCGACGACGCTCACCGCGAAAGGTCAGTTTTTATCTCACGCGACTAGATGTCGTCGCTCATCTCTTTCACGTGCAGCTGCCGACAGGGTGCTCATCTTCTGAAGAAGATCCTCTCTCAACTTGGAGCCACATCCGAAGTCGTAAGTGCTGGTGTCAACGAGACTTTGTAATATACTGATCAGAGGACAGCTTTCCGGTGAACAAGGTCGCAACCCTCTTGTTCTTGCCACCTTCACCGGTAGAGACACTGGCAAGCCCCGCAAACGTCTCCTCTTCTATGGTCATTACGACGTCCAACCAGCTGTCGAGGAGCGCTGGGAGACCAATCCTTGGGAGCTTTCTGGCCGAAACGGATACCTCTATGGACGAGGCGTGACGGACAACAAAGGACCGATCATGGCTGTTGCCTGTGCAGCGGCAAGCTTGCGACAGAGGAGAGAATTGGACGTAGATCTGGTGATGATCGTTGAAGGTGAGGAAGAGGCCGGTTCCCGTGGCTTTGCCCCTACAGTCCGCGCCCATAAAGCCGATATCGGCCATATCGATGCTGTACTCCTCTCCAATTCTACATGGATTGACGAGGAAGACCCTTGTGTGGTATTCGGTATGAGGGGAGTGGTCTATGCCAATTTGAGTGTGGAGAGCAAGGAGGAGAATCTGCATAATGGAGTGGATGGAGGTGCGACGGTAGAGCCCATGTTCGATCTGGTGAGGGTACTCGGAGGGTTGTCGGACGCGAAAGGTGTCAAAGTGCCCGGTTTCTGTAAGTTGCCCCAACCGCAAATGATATGGGCTGACACTATTGGCAGACGACTCTGTCCGACCTGAAACACCTGAAGAAATGTCTCTCCTCCGAGACGTCTCCGCTGCCTGCGGCCGACCTCTCGAGGAACTCATCCGCGTCTGGCGCCAACCGTCCTTTTCTATCGCCAGCATCAACTCTTCCGGGTCCGGCAACAAGACCGTCATTCCAAGAAAGGTGACGGCGGATATCTCAATGAGGATTGTGCCGGATCAGAGTTTGGAGAGTATTGTGCAAGGACTGAAGGAGCATTGTGAGAAGACTTTTAAGAGCTTGGGGTCGACCAACAACTTTAACGCGAGTCATTTCTGTCTAGTCTTAGAAAGCTTGCTGACGACTTTACAGGTCCAAGTCACACATACCGCCTCCTGGTGGCTCGCGTCTCTCGAATCTCCCTACTTCAAAGCTCTCGAGTCTTCCATTCAGGACGTATGGGGTGTCAAGCCGCTCAAGATCAGAGAAGGCGGCACCGTCCCGACAGTCTTTTGGCTGGAGAAGGAGTTTGGCGCGCCGTGTGTCCATTTGCCGCTGGGTCAGAGCTCAGATGCGGGGCATTTGGCGAATGAGAGGATGCGGTTGTTGAATTTGAGGTGAGTCATGATTGCTGCGCAGTGCCCCAGGTATGAGTACTGACTCGACGTAAAGGAATGGTAAGAAGGTGGTTGAGGCCTACCTCACGAGATTGGCCAGCGTTTAAAAGTACATACAGGGATGTCGCATAGGACACAGGCTGAATATTCACATTGTCATACACTAGCATACTGCATGGATCCCGCCAATATGTGAAAATTTTCATTGAACATTACAACAGATACATTTTCTCATCTAACTGATTTCCCTGATCAGACTCGACACAAGCTTGGCAGCTGGATCAGGGTCCTGCCTTGCCATCTCTGCCATACTCAACAACTTCTTCACGCCAACCATCATTTCGCCCGTACCGCCTTGCCCGAACTTGACCTCTCTCAGCATGCCGACAGCCCGAGCCTGATCCTCCGCGTTATCGAACAGCTGGACTTCTCTAAGACATCTTTCGACGTGTTTGAGAGAGGTGATAGGAGCGATGGGAATGTCGGTGTCAAACGTGGACAGGACGTCCATGTCGGAGAGAATAGAGCGATTGGAGGTGGTGGCGAGGATAAGAAGACGGCGGCCCTTGGGGGGTCGCTTTCCAAAGAGGACCACAAGAGCTTGGAGGACACCGTTGGAGAACCGGGGACCGATAGGGTTCCAATCTAACAACACGTTAGCGTAGTCCAAAAGCAACATGACGCAACGGAGGACATACCCAGCAACCTCTCTAGACTATCCACAACAATGACACTGAGAGGACTCTTGTAACTATCTGAAAAGACCTTGTGCAACTGGGCAATCTTTTGCGCTTCGTTGTATCCAACCATCGTCTCGGGAGATATGAGTTTGATGAAGGGGAAATCGGAACCCATTGCGATAGTAGCTGCGAGAGCAGTCTTTCCTGCACCAGAAGGACCGTGCAGGAGAGCAGAAACGAGAGGGGTACGGTCGGATTTGCGGACTTGCTCGACAAGGAGCTGACCGTCGTTGAGGATTTCCTATAATACTGTCAGGGCGGAAGTCGGGAACTATGCAATAATTACTTACGTTGATTCTGCTGGAGTAATGAATGATGCCATTCTGAACGACCTGCTGGAGTTCCTCTTCAGAAACACCAAAGGCAGCCTGCACTTCTTCGAGAGCGTGCATAAAGTCGGACCGGCCAATCTTTATGTTTTCGATGCCCTCGAACGAAGCTACAGTTCCAACCTGTTTCCGTCAGCGCCCAATGCCTTGTCCTATACATCAGAACTTACCTTGACATGTCGATTGAACGCAAAACTAGTCGCACTCTTGGTCAAACCACCCAACTCTGCACCCGAAAAGTTCTTGGTCAACGCCGCCAACTCTGCCAGATCTACGTCATCATCCAACACTCCATTGTTCTTCATCTTGGTCGTGTGGATGTTCAAGATCTGCAATCGGCCTTTCTCATCAGGTAACGAGATTTCGATGTGAACTTCCAATCGTCCAGGACGGAGGAGCGCCTCGTCGATCATGTCCATTCGATTGGTCATACCGATGATGAGGACATTGTTGAGCTGGTCAACACCGTCCATTTTGGACAAAAGCTGGTTGACAACGGAGTCGCCAACCCCCGTGCCGCTGTTGGTAGATCCACGCTGTTTACAGATAGCATCCAGCTCATCAAAGATGATAATGTGGAGTCCACTCTCATCGCCCTTCTCCTTTTGCTCTTTCTCGGCATCGGCAAAAAGCTTTCGAATATTCTCTTCACTCTGACCGACGAATTTGTTCAAGATTTCGGGACCGTTCACGACCTTCGGTTCTCCCGCGTTGAGCATCTTGCCGATCTGTCTAGCCATCAAGGTTTTACCGGTACCAGGGGGACCAAATAGCAAGATACCCTTGACATGTTGGATGCCGAGCTTGTCGACGAGACCAGGTGGGAAGATTCGACTGGCAAATGCTCGACGGAAGATGGCGGAGAATTCATTGTCGAGACCACCAATGCCCATATCCTCAAATTTGAAGTTGGGAGTGAGGATCGCATTTGTGGGACCACTAAACACTTGAGATCAGACAATGTACATCTAGGAGAGATGGAGACATACCGGTTGGAGCTGTTCTTCAGCTTCATGTTACTGTTCGGCTCCTTCACCCAGATGATCTCAGTCCCCTCCATAATGATACCGGCGCGTCCATCTTCCCCATCAAGCGTAGACACCTCTCTCACAGTAGCCTTTAGCTCGTGTCCTCGGTAGTCGAACACGAGCGGCTGCATGGGTGTAAGAGGCAGAGAAGGGAAGGCACTGATGAATGCGGCCGCCATCTCTTCAGAGTCAAACAGATCTTGGGTTTCCTTGCGTTTGAGCCTGAACCCGATTTCGAGCTGTGCAGAGCTGGCCCAGTCGCCATTTCCAGGTTGGAAGGGTTCAATGTCCACTTCTTCGCCGTGAGCGGAGAGACCGACCCATTGTCGAATGTGTCTCGAAGGGCCAACAGTCCCTCTGGGAACACCATTGTCGCGGCTAGAAAAGTTGTTAGCAGATATAACAATCGACGATAGATGGTACGCACCGGATGCCAAAGGTGTAACGCCCACGGACCCTTACAAAGTCAACATCTTGCGGAAAGTCGCCTGGGTTGACGATGAGAAGATTGCTAAGGGCCAAGACCTCGGAGGGACAGGGAGCAACACCAAAGCTTTGAAGGGTTAGCAAGACTAACGGTTGATACTTCGAGAGCTCACACTCCTCTCCCAGAGCCTGTCGACTGTTGCTGGTAACCTCTCTGCGGCGCCGCCACCTGAGGTTGGTAGCCATACTCACCGCCCGAAGGCTTTTCGCTGTACTGGCTAGCTCCTCTAGGGGGGAGTCCAGGGTGCAATTGCTGAGGCGTCCTCGCCGGGGACTGTTGATATTCTTCTCCATATGCGCCTTGAGACGGGTATTGTTGCTGAGGTGCCGGGCTCTGTCGCGCTGGCGGTTGGGGCGCGTAGGAGCTGTTGTCCTGGATGGGCTGGTAGGACTGGCCTTCCTGAGCGGCCCTCCTCGCTGCGGGTGCGTTCGGGTCTTGTCTCTTGAAGAAGGACATGGTGTTGGAGATGCAGATGAGAAATGGTCAACAAGATGGTCAACTGCATCGAATGGAGCGACCGCGTCGTCATGCATGCGGCGCCCCCCGCCCATGTATTGAACTCTGACTTTCCGGCGCATGCATTACTTTTCTGTGTACATCCACATGCCAGCACCCATCGGCCATGCGCAGCGACGAAGAAGATGACGAAGAAGAGTTCTACGATGAGAACGAGGAAGACGAGGTTCGTGCAGCGGTACAGAGCATTTCGGACGGCCGCTGACATGTTCTTAGGTGAATGCAGATGGCGAGGAAGAGGGAGAAGAGTAAGTCACAATGGAGTCAATGCAAGGTTGTATCTGACAATTATCATAGAGAAGGATCCGACGACGACGGATCCGAAGAAGATAACGCCGAAGACGAAGATGAGGATGAGGATGAGGACGAAGAAGGCGAAGATGAGGAAGAAGAAGAAGGTGGAGATGAGGAAGAAGACGGTAGCGAAGATGAGGGCCAACCCATGGACGTCGACGCCCCTGCAGAAAATGGCGAGTGCCCAGTGTCCCAGCCACCACAACCAGCAAGATCAGCCACTCCGCCCCATCTCGTCCGCCGGTCCTTTCTCAAACCTGCATTCAACCTTCAATACCCACCCCGCTCTCTTTCGGTCGAGGTCGTCGCAGGTATCCCACTGCCCACGCCTATCCACTCGCTTGGATCCTCCAATTGCATGTCTTATCTTCTAGCAGGCGGGCAGGATGGGTTCATCAGAGCGTACGACTTCTGGGGGACCGTAAATGGAACGCAGACGATGACTGCCCAACAAAGAAGTGTGGTAGGTCTGGGGGAGACCGTCAACAAGGCGGGCGTGGCCAGGGGATGGTGGACGAATGAGGTCGAGGGAATTGTCGGGGGCACGTTGGCCAAGCGACCTGAAGCAGTATACAGTATGGCTTGCGAAGGAGATGCCTTGTGGACGCTAGCGGGGACGCAGGTGAGTAGATCGCTTATATACAAGCACTACTGATGATATTCAGTCTGGACCTATAAACCTCTACACACTGCGGCATTCCCCGGGACATCTGGTCCATACTTTGAAAGGGCATACCAATGTCGTCTCTTGTATGACGTTGCTGCCGGAAGAGAAGAGCTTCATAAGTGGATCCTGGGACGGAACAGTCAAAGTGGGTGCCCTTCATTTCTATGAGGACGTGTGCTAAATAAAGCCTCTTAGGAATGGGATTTGAATACGGGCCAGGCAACCCGCTCTTACCCAAGCCACAAGGCCCAGATATCTTCTATCGCTCTCCGTCCCACCGGTATCTCTTCCTCCCCTCCTTCCTCTCCGGCACCCCAGAAAGACGAAGATGGCGAAGAGACAGGAAATGGTCTTGCTGCCAACATCAATCTCTCGGTTGGGCCCGACTTTTTCCAAAAGAAAGACGGCCCTTCAGAAAACGAAAATAGTTTAGACAAAGCTAGCGAGGGCAAGAAACTCAGTGGGGAGAGTGGTGATGTGGATATGGCATCAGCTACTACACCCAACTCTGGAGCTGTCGACTCTCTGTTCGGCGACGAAGCCTCCGAGTCTGAACAGCCACCCGCTTCAATTCTACCCACCAACGAGCCTCCTCCTTCTCTGCCTTCGCCAGACAAACCAAAAACGCTTGGTCTCGCACTTCCGGGTCAGCGCCCAACCATCACCATTCCGCCTCAACAACCCCAAGCTCAATCCCGAGGTCAAAACCAAGTGTCACAACAGATACCGCCGGGCCCACCTTCAGCACCGCTCTTCAAACCCCTTCTTCCCACCTCAGCCAAACAAGCTGCTGCCAATCACATCCCAGTCCTCAGCCCTGCTGGCTACAAGAACTACTCGGACGATGTATTGTTGACGAGTTCGATGGATGGGCAGTTGGTATTGATTGATAGACGAGTACCCAGCTATGAAGGAGCGGGGTCCGGTGTAGGGAGATTGGTGGCGGGGGAGAAGACGCCACCTTGGTGTATGTCTGTGAGTGCCCTGCATTGCTTCTATCGACTTGAGCTCACGATATCATAGGCGACATGGCTATCAAATGGGAACCAAGTCCTCGCAGGCAGACGTAACGGCACAGTCGAAGTATGGGACGTCCGGAAAGGCTCGAATGCTGCCAACACCAATATCCTACGGACACTCCGGACACCGGCTGGATCTGGACCTATCAGCTCTGTTGTGGCGTTCCCCGATGGACAACATATAGCCACGTACGTGTTGCCGTTGGCATAAAAGTGAACGTTGAGCTGATGGAGCATAGGTCTTCTACGGATAATCTGAGACTATGGAATGCTGCAGAGCTTTTCCAGCCTGAGGATTCGATCAAGCGTAGTAAAGGCAAAACGCCGTTTAGAATCATTGCGGGCCATCACGGTGGTACCATATCATCTATGAGTGAGTCTGATCTTACTCAGCCCAAAGCCAGTCAATTCGGGGAAAGCTGACAATGATCCATAGTCGTGGACTCGACGTGCAGATTCCTAGTGACCGCTAGCGGAGACAGAGGATGGGGCGGTGAGAGCACGAAGGCAGTGCTGATCCATGAGATCAAGTGGTAGACACATCTAGGAGGGTGTTTGGTCGGAGGCGGGCGAGGTTTGACACAAGCGTTCTCTGTTTTGCATGGGTATAATTGCATGTAACTTTCTAGTAGCACATTGAGTCGCAATACTCGAGTACTTTAACAGATAGAGCTCTGTACGATTCTTCACTAGGTCCAAAGCCGACACGGCCCTAGTCCGAACCACTTCGTGGAAACCTAATGCGCTGCCTATCATGTCATATATAGTGACATGCCATATCCTTCACAAGACGGCTTAACCAAAATCTAACTCTACAACGGAGGAAACACGGCAGAGCGTGCTTGGGCGGCCGGGAGCGGATTCCGCTTTCTCCTCGCTGGTCGTTGGCTGGTCGTTGGACGGACAATGAAATGAGATAGTGTCTTTCACATATCATCTCTATCATCTACTCTGCGTAATGTCTGACGACGACCTTTTCGCCCGCTTTGCTGCTCTCCGTCCCCCTGCTTCAGCTCCTTCTTCTCCGCCCCTGCATACCGTCGAAGCTCAGAGGACGGTCGACGAGGTCGCCAAGAAAGCTCGAGAGGAAGATGAGGAGCTCGAGAGAATCGCTAGTGGAATGCCTACTACCTCTTCTTCTGATGTAAGATCAGGGAAAGACGAGGATGATGATGAGCTGGCCAAGCGGATAGCAAGGCTGCGGGGCAATGAGGCAGTGGAAGATGAGGGAGATAGTGGTGAGCAAGATGTATCGTTCTTCTGCATATGTGACAGGGCATGTCTGATGCGACTATAGATGGAATCGTTTTTGAAAGAGATATCGGCATCTCAGCACCTACCCACGGCGAGGGAAGAGTCGGACGAACAGATGATTGCCCGCGCTTTTGCGAGTGTACGCCAAGACCGCCTGCGACCTCTCTCGCCAGCCAACGGCAGCGACAGTGGCCAGGAATACGATGGCCCTTCGGAGGAAGAAGTGATCAGTCGAGCTTTGGATGAAGCCAAGCTGGATAAAGACAAACCTCCCCCATCACCAGATATTGGGGAGCAAAAGGAGATACCGGGTCTTTCATTTCCCTCGCTGCCGAGCCATGTGCCACAAGAGGAAGATGTCATGGATGAGGGAGCGAGACGCAGACTGGAGCTGCTTATGGGCCTGAAACCTTCACCAGCCCAAGTCGGCAACAAGTCACAGCTCCCCAGCGTACCGAAGACGAAGCCGACGTACGACCTGCCCGGCTATAATAGTGCACGAGACGAGGACACGGATACGTGGTGTTGTGAGTGGATATCTGCTTTCAAGTCTCCAAGCTAAAGATCTTCAGGTATATGCAGCAAGGATGCGACGTTGCAGTGTATTGACTGTGACGACGACCTCTACTGCGAAGAATGCTGGAGAGATGGGCACGGAGTCGCTGAAGGGCAGGAGAGGGGTCATACAGTGAAGCAATTCAATTGGGAAGGTAAACGACCTGTCGCTGTATAGAAAGATATAATCATCATAGGGGCAGTTGCATGGGATGAATGTACAGTCGTGGTCTAGTTCTTCTTCTGCTTCTTGACTGGATACTTGTCAGCTCTCGTTTCTTCGCATGCAAACAAACTCACCTCCATACTTGGACCTCGCAGAGATCCTCCCGGCGACACCGTTCAAGTCCATCGTTCCTCGCACAATCTTGTATCTGACACCGGGCAAATCCTTCGCACCACCACCCCTGACAAGCACCACACTATGTTCTTGCAAGTTGTGCCCCTCACCAGGGATATACGCCGTGGTCATCATACCGTTCGAGAGCTTGACTCGGGCAACTTTTCGAACGGCAGAGTTGGGTTTACGGGGCTTGGTAGTGTAAACTTTAGCGCAGACAGCCTTCTTTTGGAAACAGTCTTGAAGAAGAGGGACTGAGGATTTTCGCTTGGAGGACTTTCGGGCACCGCGCATCACTACAGGCCATCAGATTGAGTTTCTCTAAGAAGCAGGATATCACTCACCTTGGTTGATAGTAGCTTCGCAACGGGAGCTAGAAGCAAAGCCTCTCTCCGATCTCAGTAACCTGGCCGATTGTGACGGGGCGACGGCCCTGCTTGGCAAAGAGGCGATAGAGGGAAGGGTGGGTCGGACGGCGAGGCGGGCAAAGGCCGCTGAGAGGGATAGCAGCGATCTTGTGGGATTCATGTCGAGGACGGCGGTGGCTCAGTGGGCTTATGGGAAAGAAATGGGCTTCATAGGACACGGCGGATTCGTCGAAAAGTCGCGAGTTTCAATAAAGACAGTGTTACGTAAGACGACCGAGTTGACCTCCACCGAAGATTTCTGAAAGTTGCGATGAGATGGCCCTTGCCTGCAACTTTGCAACAACAACTACAGTACGCAATGGACGGCGACTTCATCCCCCTCGAGGGCACCCCGGCCCCTTCCAAGAAAGAACGCAAGGAGAAAGTCAAGTACGTCGAACAAACACAGCAGCCAGCAGTCCGCTGACACTCTCCAGCCACACCCTCTTCGTCTCCTCTCTTCCTTATACCGCCACTTCCACCGACCTTTTAACCCATTTCTCCTTCATTGGCCCTGTCCGGCACGGATTTATTGCCACCGATAAGGAGTCTGGCAAGTCAAAAGGTGTTGGATATGTCACCTATTCTCTGAGGGAAGATGCCGAGCGGGCGCTTGTGGAATTGAACAACAAAAGCTTTGGTGGAGGAAACAGAAAAATCAAAATCATCTTTGCTGATGAGAAGGTGAGTGCTTGGCATGCCGTGGCTCTGGTATAGCTAATGTCTTCTGCAGATGTCTTTGAAAGAACGCAAAGCTGAGATCAAGGTCTCCAAACCCATCCCCGGCCAAACCGATAACAAAGGTCCCTCCGACCCTAACGCTATTCGAACACTTGTCCTCTCTGGTCTCCCTACAGGCATCACCAAGGCTGTGCTTTGGAAAAAGATCAGAAAGACAAACGACAAGGCCGAAGTCGTCTACCCTGTTGAAGCGGAGGAGGGCGAGGAGAAGCCCGCAGAGGATGTTGCCCAGGTCTTGTTCCCTACACACGGTGATGCTCTCAAAGCCCTTCCCAAGCTGCACGGTCATACTTACAAGGGTTCCGTTCTGAGTTGCGTACTCAAAAAGCGTTTGGAGAGGTTCTCGTCCAAGGGCGATGGAAAGGCAAACAGTCATGCCGGTCGTTTGATTGTCAGAAATTTGTCTTGGGACGTGAGTGATGCGAATTCATGTGTATATAATTGCTGACTCTGTAAAGACCACTGTCCAGGATCTCCGAAAGTCTTTCCTCCCTTTCGGCCCCATTCACTCCATTGACCTTCCTACCCTCCCGTCCAAGCTCCCTCCCTCCGACGACCCATCTAAACCCCTTCCTCCTCCTCGTGCTCGAGGTTTCGCTTTCGTATGGTTCATGACCAAGCTCGATGCCGAGAAGGCTATCGAAGGCGTCAACGGCAAGGTGTTGAAGCAGCCTAAAGAGGGTGAAGGACGTGTGGTCGCTGTGGATTGGGCTCTGAGTAAGGAGAAGTGGCAGGAAGCGAACAAGGACGAGAAGAAGGAGGAGAAGGAGGAGTCGGGTTCCGAATCTTCCAGCTCGGGATCGGGCTCTGATGAAGAGTCTGGATCCGAGGAGGACAGCGATGAGGAAGAGTCTGGAGAAGAGTCTGGCTCTGGTAGCGAGGAGGAGGAAGAGGAGGAGCCCGTCAAGCCCACTCTCCCTGCAGTTGACGTCGGAAGCACCCTTTTCATTCGAAATCTCCCCTTCGAGACTACTGAACAAGAACTCACCGACCTTTTCCGCTCTTTCGGTCCCCTGCGATACGCCAGGATCACTATGGACAAGATGACCGGTCGATCCAGAGGTACGGGATTCGTGTGCTTCTGGAAGACGGAGCATGCGGAAGCTGCTATCGAAGAGTCCTTGAGAGTCGCTCAGGAGACGGGTGCCAACAACATCCCTGTAAGTAAAGGCGCCGTGATACATGTTTCAAGCTAATTCAGTATAGCTCGGTGGTGGTCCTTCCAAAAACCCCTTTGCCCTCCCCTCTTTGCTCACTGTCGACCCCTCGTCCTCTCTCGCTTCCCGTCTCGTCCTTCATGGACGAACTCTCGAAATCACCCACGCTGTCACCCGTGAGACCGCCACCCAGATGAAGGAAGACGGCGAGCGCTCTCGTAACGCCGCCGACAAGCGAAACACCTACCTCATGCGAGAGGGTGTCATCTTCCCCAATTCGCCCGCGGCCGAGGGTCTGCCAGAGGCCGAGGTGGAGAAGCGTCAGGCGAGTTTCAACTCGCGAAAGACGTTGTTGAGGGGTAACCCCAGTCTTTATATCTCAAAGACACGATTGTCAATCAGGCAGTTGCCATTGTTTGCGTCGGATAGGACTTTGAAGCGATTGGCGATCCATGCGGTGAGGGAGTTTGACAAGGAGGTCGCTGAAAGTAACAGGGAAGGCCTTGCGCGAGCCGAAGAGATGGACGACACCATGAGTGCCACTCTGGAAGGCAAGGACAAGAAGAAAGGAAAGAGCAAGAAGGAGCGTGATACCGTCGTGATCCAATCCAAGATCATCCGCCAGACCGAAAAGCTGGATGCGGTCACCGGCCAGGGCAGGTCCAAGGGCTACGGTTTCCTCGAGTTGCGCACCCACAAGGATGCACTCAAGGTTCTTCGTTGGGCCAACAATAACCCCGAAGTGGGACCACTGATGTGGGAATGGTGGAAGATTGAGCTCAAAGACTTGAAGGAACGTGCTGAGAAGGGTTTGGTGGAGGCCAGGAACAGGGAGGAGGAGGAAAAGAAGGCGGCATCAGATGGAAAGATGGAGAAGCAGAGCAAGAAGGTGTTGGAGTCTGCTGAAGATCTCGAGGCGAGGTTGAAGAAGCTCGACAACAGATTGCAGGAGGGTGATGACAGGAGTGGCGGAGGTATGAGGGCCGGCAAGACACTCATCATGGAATTCAGTATTGAGAACGTTCAAGTGAGTTTGTTGTGCTTTTATTTGATGTGATGCTGACGTTAGAAAGGTTGTCAAGCGCCGTGTTGAGAAAATTGTCACTCAGAGAGGTGAAGCCAGGGACGACAGGGGCGGTAGAGAAAGAGGCGGTCGAGAGCGTGACGGCCGAGATGGCAACAAGCGAAAGCCCGGCGTCATTGCCGCCGAAGACTCTGACGACGACGAAGCCCCTCGTGCCAAGCGCTCAAAGCCCGACGACAGTTGGAAGAAGGACACGCCCGGTGGTGGCAAGTTTGCCAAGCGGGACGCGCCTACTGGCAAGTATGACAAGAAGGACCGATCGGGGGGCAAATTCGAGAAGAAAGGTGGCAAGTTTGATAAGCGAGACAGGCCTGGACAGGTGCAGCCTCGCCAAGCGGGTAGAAGGGGCGAGGAGAAGAGTGTGGATCAGGTTAAGCAGGCCGTCAAGGCCAGCGAAGCCGGGGAAAAGAGGGGCATTGAGAAGCTGGGCAGTCAGCTCGGTAGTATGATTGGCAGGAAGAGGAAGTCGCGTAAGGGCGGCAAGTAGAGTGTTACGTTGGATTTGTTCTCAGGGATCTCATGCATTGTCACTATATTTATAGAGCACCAACATGTCGGTTTTATGGTGATCGTTGACGGCTAGCGAGTAGAAGATCCACCAAACCCAGTGGCTCTTCTCATCTCGCCCGGCGGGGTTCCCCCAGCTCTTCTTGAAGGACCAACTCCTCGATCCCAATCGTAGTCGTCATCCCAAAACCTCCTCGTCCTCGTGTTCTCCACAGGTCCTCGTCCATCCCCAAAGCCCCTGTTATATCTACCCCAGGTATCCTGATTTCGATTGGCCATATATGCGCCTAAGCCGCCGGTGGCAATACCCGTCCAGAATCCTGGTGTCCAGGTTGTAGCTCGCGGAACCTGCGTAGAGTCTTCGGTGTACTCTTGCTTGACGTAGGGAGGTGGAGGTTGTCCAGAGTTGAATCCTGGTCCACCGCCACCGCCACCGCCCCCACCCCCACCTCCCCCTCCCCAAGGGTTGTATCTCGATAGAGGAGGCGGAGTGTGTCGCGGAAAATACTTGGCAATAAGAGACCGGGCGATGGAGTAGAGGATGACGAATGCTATCAAGTAGAAAGCGATGTTGAAGAGAGAGCTGATATGGCGGTCTGCCCAAACAAACTCAGATGCGTCTACATGGTGGGACGATCGCTTACCGAATTTTGATGGCATATGGTCGTAAGGATCATCTCCGTATTCCAGCCCTTTGTTGACTTTGAATAGGTCATATGTCAAGCCACAAGAGCCTACAGCAACGAGGTCAGCAACGCGCATCCTCGCTTTCCATGGTTTACTCATACCCTGCAGAACGTTGGAGTCGCCCGCTCGCGACCAGCCCTCACACGATACGTCCACCTTGCCCAACCTTAGATAGGATGGTATGTCGGTATCGCACTATTCATAGCGTCAGCGTCCACTATGGGTCCACATTGCATTGAATCCACCCACCTTCCACTGAACGCCACCTAGTCCATCATCTCCCATGTTTGTACACTGTACCACGTCCGGTTGGTAAACTCTGCACCCTGGTCCATTGCAAGTGAGTTGAGCTACAGTGGCGAGCGTTAGCTGGTTGGCACTCGTATGACTTGATTGCACTGACGAATCGGATCAGTCCTCCGCCCCAGTGTATAGCGATCGGCATAGAAGGTGAGTGTCTTTATGGCCTTGAGAGGCACTTTCTTGGCTGCGACCATGCTGGAGTTGTCACTACCACTAGTGAGCAATGCGGTTTCAAAAGTCTTTCAAGATATTTGAAGGCCGCTTCGAAGCGTCAACGTGGAATTCGCCACCCAAAAATGCGCTCCACGTCGATATCTTATCTCAGGGTCCTCGGAGCACGGCGTTTGCTGGAATCGATCACTTTTCGAAACCACAATTATTCGCGTTCAGCAAGCACTGTTGAAATGTTTGCTACATCTCTGTACCACCCGCAGTATATTATGCAATGTATATGGCGCCGATGTGGATCGTTTAAATCGGTACAATGGACGTTAAAGCCCGGTTTAAGAAGAAGAGAAATAGAACCTTATGCAGATACAGTAATCTAGAGAACGTTGACTCGGGGGTAGACGAGCTTGGGTCCGATCTGGCCAACACACATCTGACCAAGCTTGTGACCAATCTCAATAGACTCGTCAAGGGTCTTGCCCTGAGCGAGAGCACCGAGGAAACCACCAGCAAACATGTCACCAGCACCGTTGGTGTCGACAATCTGGTCGTCGGAGAGCTTGGAGACGGGGTAGGTCTTGGGGTTCTCGTCAGAGAGGCTGAGGTTACCAGCAGAGCCGGAAGGAGAGGAGGAGGCGACGAGGGTAGAGTCGGCACCCTGGGTGATGACGACGACTCGGGGTCGAGAGCTGTTGGTCTTGGGAAGGGCAGCAAGGGCGGCAGCGATCTCCTTGACGGGAGCGTCCTAATCACAGATTTAGAAGACTACGACTGAGAGGGACGATTGACTCACAGACATGCCGGTAGCGGTGGCGTAAGAAGCAGCCTCGCTTTCGTTACCAATCAAGACGTCAACGTGGGGCAAAAGGGCCTCGAGTTGGACCTTGAAGAACTGAGGGATGAAAGGAGCAGACAAGTTGAGCACGACAATCTTGCCTTTGGAAGCCGCTGTCTTGGCAATCTCGAGAGCAGACTCGACACCGTGGGTGAGGAAGAAACCACCAATGTAGAAGTACTTAGCGCCGTCGATGAGTTTGGCGACCTCAGGGGTGGAAAGGTGAGAGGGAGTGAACTCCTCGGCAGCACGGAGGGTGGTACAGAGGGAACGGTCGTGGCCGGAGAGAATGACGGCACAAGCACCAGTCTTGGAAGTAGGCTGGACCTGGTAGGCGGACTGGACACCCTCGGCTTCGTTGACCTTCTCCAGGGTCTGCTTCAAATCGTCGTCACCGACGGAGCCGATGTAGGCAACAGACTTGGGGGGGAGAACGTACTATGTTATCTGTTAGTGCCTTTCCATGCAACGTTCAACGTATCTTACAGAGGCAGCTCGGGCAGCGTTCTGGGCGGCACCACCAGCGACATAGGTGACCTTGGCGTTGGCAACGATGTCGTCGTAGCTGTTGTATCGTCAGCTGTATGAAGCCTCATCCCCGTCTAGTCACGTACATGCCCATGTGCTTCTCCTCGGCGAGGATAGCGTCGTTGGCCTTGAGGTCGTACTTCTTGAGGTACGCAGGTCCCTCGTCGGGGTTGACCTGGATATCAAGCTGGACCGTGCGTCAGTCTTGTGGTGAGGTGAGGCATGCTAGGGCTTACCAGGGGGTTACCGATAGCGACGACGATGGGAGAAGACATTTTTGATATGGATTGTTTTTTGAGAATTGACGATGCTGATGCTAATTAATTATACGAGGCCACTTAGAACGCACGTGAACCAAAGAAGTCACTTATTTCTTTCACGCGCTTTTCGCCTTTTATCCCGCCTCCACTTCCACCGACTTCTAAGTTCTGAATCTGATCTGAATGCATGCATGTCGCTCACAGGGGCAACCAGCATGTCGCCTCTAATGTTTCTATCTATCTACAACCACTTTTCAACTACGCAAGAAACCCAGACTCGATCCACGCCTTTGCCCACAACGCAACCAACTCTGGCCCAACCTTCTTCACCTGGTTCCTCATCGTCTCCGACTCTTCCCTCGTCCTCTCCACCTTGAACTCCAACTCTGGGATATCATCTCCGCTGCCAAACCTCGCTTGGTAAAAGTCGAGAAGCTTGTATGCGGGGTTGACGGCGACGTCGGGGTTGGATTGAGAGAGACGGGCGACCCATTCGGTTTGTGGGACAGTGTCGAATTCAAGACCGCCAGCCGCTAAACCGGCAAGGACGTCGGACCATGATGTCAAATGGGGGTTGATGATGTGATAGACCGATGCCGAGGATGGTTTAGATGCGAAAGTCGTAGAGAACACAATCTCAATGATGGTGGAAGCGGCTTGGTCGACGGGCAGCCAAGAGGGGGCTTCGCTGATCATGGGAAGGGCATGCAGTTCGTTGACAGACTTGAACATCAATGGCCAAGACTCGGTCTCGTTCCATATGCCGCTATTATTCTATGTCAGCTCGTCCCACGTAAAGCAAGACACCACTCACTTTTCAGTATCACCCGCAAGCTGCCCAATTCGCAACACCCCACACCTCGCCTTTGTCTCCTTCCCGGCCCTTTCCATGATCTTTTCCACCACCCACTTGCTCCGGCCGTAACCCATCATAGCTGTCTCAGCTTTTGCCGGGAAGACTTCCGTTACCGCCACATCCGATGCCAACTGCGCACTGACAGAGGAGGAAAAGAAGAATGCAGGTTTGACCTGACCAGGAGCCTTCAGTGTGAGGTCGAGCAGATTGAAAGCGCCGCGAATGTGCTCGTCGAACGACTCGACGGAAATGACAAAGTTGACTGGCCAGGCGTTGTGGATGACGGCAGTCGCTTCGTTCTTGAGATACTCATACAGCTCGGGGGAAAGACCAAGGTCCTCACTGTTGACGTCGGCGGCGTAGGAGACGATCTTGGCCTCGGCAGCGGGGGTCAGAGTACGATGTCGCTGAGCAAGAGAGTCTTGGAGTCGTCGGAGAGAGTCGGCGTGGGATTTGGCGCGAGAGAGGCAGATGACTTTGCTGACGTCGTGGCGACGAGTCAACTGATCGAGCAGGTGGGCACCAAGAGAACCAGTAGCACCAGTAAGAACCACAACTTGGCCCTTGCTACTGATAGTCTCAAGTTTGCCGTTGCTGGTCGGGTTTGCAAGGCCAATCTCCCTCGCCGGACTGACAAGCTCCGCGTCTCCCTTGATCTCTTGCGCCACCAGCTGCGTGGCGTAAGGGTCGACGCTAAGTCCCTTCTTCTCGCCGATCGGAGCGAGGTCAACAACAAGCTCCTCCTTGCTCAACTGTCGAGCATAACGATCCACCATATCCCACATCTTCGCGTACACCTTTTCAGGGCTCTCGTCAGCCCCACTGCCTTGTCTGGCGTTGAACAAGTACTCGGCGAGCTGTCCGACGGAGGGGTACTCGTATACGATGTTCTGCCCAATCTTGGCATTGCCGAGATCGAGAGTCTTGGTGATGGCATTCTTGATCCGAGTAGCTTGCAACGAATCGATACCAAACGAAAAGAGGTCGGTATCAACGCCAAGCTCTGCCTTGACGTCTTCCTTCCCTGGCGCCTGGGTCTTCTTGTCGGAGATGGTGGAGAGGATGGTGGAAGTGAGGAACGACTCGAGCTCGGGTTTGGTGGTGATGTTCTTTTTGGGCTCGCCGGACCCGCGCTCGAAGCGTTCATAGATAGAGTCGATCAGGTCTGCAAACTTGCGATAACATGCCGGGCGGATAATGGACATCTTGGTCGCCTGTTCATTTCTGTTAGTTCTTTCTTCCCTTATTCCAGAGCGGAGGTGCGTACCACAGGGATTTCAGTACCGTAAGGTAGAATCTCGACCATCTCGGGGAGGATGCGCGAATGGGTAGGGGCGTCGGCGTTGGCTTGTTCAATAACGTGCCAGACGGCGTCGAGGAAGGCCTTCGGGTCTTTGCCGAGCTCGGCGCCTTGCTCGGACGGGAGAATGAGCGCGCCAACTTGGGGTTTGCCGTCGCCGAACACGATACACTCTTGGATTAGAGGCGAGTGTCCCCTCTACGCAACCCATCAGCCTCTACACCCCCACGTTACACTATGCACTCACAATAGCCATCTCGATAGGCACAGGATTCGTCTTCTCTCCCAGAAGCATGTTCAACGTATCATCCATCCTCCCCAAATACTTGAACCAGGTCGGATGTTCGGGATGCTGCAACATAAGGTCGCTCGTACACCACGCATTGTCCGACGCCCTATTGCTTGTGACTTTACCGGGCCAACCGTCTCTGATCACGACCTCAAAGGTGTTGGAGCCTTGGGGGAGGGCTTCGAGATATTGGGCGATGGGGCCTTCGTTTCGGAACCAGTTCCAGCCTTTGTCGGTCTTGAAGTCTCTGAAAGAGGTCATCACTGCACCGCACTCTTCAAGCCCTCATCAGTATCTTAACATAGTGGTCGACGGATGAAAGCTCACCGGTAGATCCGTAGATGGAAACGAGGTTAACTCCGCCCTCGACCAACCTATCGCCAAGGTTATCCGGGAGAGCGGCCCCGGCATAAATGACGGCAGCAGATTTGGCGAGCGTCTGAATACCTTCATCCGTCTCGGCTAAGAGTTTGAGCACGTATGGCACGGCGTATTGCTGTACAGGGGGAGAAGGTGATTCGCGGATGACTCGGCAGATGTTGACGGAGGTGAGGGAGATGTTCGGGGGCATGATGGTGAGGGGCTTGCCGTGGTATAGACATACAAAGCTGCGATCTCGATCAGCAGGCAACCTTGTCCAATATCGAGAAACGTACGCGGCAATATGACCAAAGGCGTGGAAGAGAGGCAGAGCCAAGAAGGTGGATACGGGCAAGAGGCGAAGAGCGTTGGAGAGGAGTGCATAGTGAGTGATTGCCACGGGTTTCGGAAAGCCGGTCGAGCCGGAGGAATGTAGGATGGCGACTGTGCGTCCGGCCTCTTGCTGGGGCGTCAACCGGGCGGGGTAGGGCGGAATGTCTGCTTCTCGAACACCTTTAGGGCCCCAAAGTGGAAACTTTGTTTCTGGGACGAGCTGCGATGGAGGTTATGTAGTGGACGCGAGGGCGAGCTAGTGGCGAACGTACCCTGATGTCAATGCCTTCTTTCTGAAGCAAGTCTCGAGCTTCATTTGCGGTCGCCTCATACTTGTCCTCGTAGATGAGAATCTCGCTCTTGGTGATTTTGCACAAATGAACGATAGCCGCTGTCGAGTTGTTGGTGGACAGAAGCAGTCCAGCCAGCCCGAGCTTGGCAAGAGCTGCCTCAAGGAGGGTCTCGTTGATCGAGCTCGTGGTGAGTACCGCAACGATGCGCTCTGGGGGCAGGTCCCCGGTTACGACCTCTGGCTGGATCTTGAGCGAGGCGTAATGGGCTGCCAGACGATCGACTGCCTTGGAGAGATCCAAGTACCTGTAACGTGCGTGTCAGGGACACATCCTTTACCTATCAAAGGCGGTACATACGTGAGAGTCTGCAACTCTTGGCCAAACTCTGCAGCACCGGTGTGGACAGCAGGATCATCAGGCTGGGTTTCTGTGGCTTGTCAGCGAACATGGACGTGGGGACAGGTGGCGACCTAACTAGCTTTAAGGGCGATAAGCTCTGTGACTGACTGTGCTGCAAGGACGGGGGTGGTCATGGTATAGGAGGTGTTGGGGGTGTAGCATGGCTGTGGGTATTCTGAGTATATATATGCGGCTGCTGATGATGTGAGTGGGATTTATCATGTTGCGCCGCGCAGCAGACAGCCGATTCTGTGCCTGGGCGAAACCACACCCGAGGCCCGAGGCTGACATGATTGACTTGACTTGATCATCATCATATCAAAAGAGAAGCAACCGAGGAAATCGGTGAGTGTCGAGTGGGGTGCCCCAGCGACTAGTTCAGGGAGGAGAAGCGCCAGCGTATTCCTGGCTCCTGGCGCCTCGATATCCACGGCGGACAACGGGGATTCTTCTCTCGATGTCATCCAGATCGACTGTGTGGCCGTGAGTCGGGGGTCGGCCAGCTTGACTACGAGTTACGAGCTGAACTTACCTGCAGTGCCTCCTAACCCCTGTACCCTGCCCTGTCCCTTGCGGGCTCTGCTGGTAACATCATGATGCGTACGACCCGGATCATACCTGCGACTGATGCAGCATGCTGCAGCCTGCCGGCTGACAACGCTGTCTGCAGGCTGCACGTCGCGAAGTGTCACCCTCCAATCTACAGTTACATATGCAGCATCGCCCGGAAGGCCGAACAGGACTTATTCGCGCGCTCCCCCACTCCCACTGCTGTCTTTGCCTCCACTTTCCTGACCATCTCTTTACTGCATCAGTATCGCAAATACCATGTGGCTCGTACTCGCACGCCACGGCCAGACTGAAGAGTAAGCACACCCCCGTCCAGACACCCGCTCACCGCCTGCAGCAACTTACACGGCATCATCCAGGGCCACAAGGATACCCCGCTCAACGACTGGGGGCGCTTCGAGTCCGCTCGCCTGGGTCACGCTCTCAGGAAAGTCGCCATCACAGAAGCATACACGTCCCCCCTTTCACGAGCGAGCGAGGTATCTCGCCCGATAACCCGTATAATCGTTGTGCTGATATATCCACACAGACTGCAAGCATCGCACTCAGACACCGTCCTGAGATCACCATCCACGAGCACCCCGGGCTCAAAGAGCGAGGTCTTGGAAGCTGGGAGGGTCGGAGCCCACCTCCTAAAGAACCTACGCCTGCCGATGCGGAAGGCTACGAATCGTGCGTTTTTCGGTGCGGAATCGTCGATACGTCACTGAACCCCTGGCATCCGTAGCCTCACTCTGCGTTCCAAACTCTGGTTTGACGAGCTGCTCAGCACTCATATCCCACCACCACCCCCCCCTACTGAAAGTCAGCACCGCCGTTCCGTCCAAGACGCCGACACCATCTTCGTCGTCTCCCACGGCGCCTGGCTCAGCAACTTTCGCCGCCTCCTTTTATCCCCTGCATACCACTTCAAAATAGACAAACACTGCAACCTCAAAGCTCACTGTCTTAACACAAGCATATCATTAGTTTATTGCGAATATAATCATGCGAAAAAGAAGTGGACAGGGGTGGTGCAGATTTGGGCCTACGTGGAGCATCTGAGGGATGTTTTGGAGAAGGAGGAAAAGGTGGGGATTGCTGATGATGTGGGTAGATGAGACACGTAATAGTTTCATTGCGAGCGATTGTGTATCCCAGTCTTATGTGAGTTGCTTGGTGTCTCTTGGCCTTGGCTGATTGTTCTCATAGGTAGCCTTATATGCATTGTGTGACCTGTCGCTTAGCGATTTGCAGCCGGGGTGATAAATCTGGTCTTCCGGGTACCGTTCCCTTCGCCGCACTTATGATCACCTCAGGACATACAGTGAGTCACTGGTTTCTCCTCGAGGCTACCCTTCCTTTGAGCCTTTGACTCTGCGTCTGCTCCCTCGTTCTTTTCTCCGCAACGAGCTCGGATCCCTCCTCACTTTGGAGTTTGCATATACCAATTCTTTGACTTGACTTCAAGCCCCGTGAGGCCTCAATAACCATGCGTCTCATTCTAACTCGACACGGCCAGACAGATGAGTGCGCACCATCCATACTCTTCGCAAGGGGTGCCGCTGAACCTCGTCCTGACAGTAACGTCCGAGGCATAGTCCAAGGACAAACAGATACCCCTCTCAATGACCAAGGCCGCCATCAATCCGCTCAATTGTCAGAAGCTCTCAAGCGGGACCATATCACCAAAGCATACACATCGCCCCTGTCTCGGGCTAGCGAGGTAAATCATCTACTATCCTCCACACATCCGGGTGCCGTACTGATCTATACAGCAGACTGCAAAGATCGTACTGGCATACCATCCCGACGCTCCACTCTACCTGCAGGACGATTTGAGAGAGCGCGGTCGGGGAAGCTTGGAAGGGCAGGTATGGATCCCGGGGACGATCATTCCGGATGATGCTGAGAGTTTTGACGAGTGGGTATCCCCTCTCCAGTGGCAAGTCAAAATGAGAAGGCTGATGTCTGAGACCAGCTTTACTCGGCGCTCAACAGACTGGTTCGCGAAACTCCTCGACGCTCACATTCCCCACCTTCCTTTCCCTGAGGAGGCACCTCCTCTCTTACGAGACCCTTTTCCCGAATCTCATCATTCGACAGAAGACGTCATTCTCATCATCACGCACAGTGAATGGCTTGAACAATTCGCCGCAATAACCTGCTCCTCTCTATACTTCTTCGGACAGACCGAGAAGTGCGACATGAAGGCTCGAATTGTGAATGCGAGCGTTGCGGAGGTCAATAGTGTGTATGATCATCAGGAAGGTGTTTGGAAGGGGATGATTGAGGGGTGGGGGGCTGTTGGACATCTCTCCAGGATGGGAGAGAGTGACTAGGGTGGCTGGACAATAATACGAGCTGTGGGCCGTTGAGGGAACGAAAAGAGTCGTGTCTGATTTAGCTGGAGAAAGTGTGAGTCGCGTGGTAAATGTATCGATCTCAGTAAGTGAAGGCAGTCAAGTCCTGTATGCATATCATGGTCTCATCCGTGTGAAAGTTCGCTGCCGTCAACAGTAGTGTCATGACATGTCTTTACGGAGTTCGCCCTTTTCCCTTCTTTCGTAACCTTAAGCAACATGGAACACGCTACGCTCGAGCGAGATTCATGATCATTCTTGAACATACAGTGGACCGTACCTCTGACGCCTTCACAGAGGATGTGTTCTCCTGGTCTTTCCTTTGACCGAGCTCCCTTATCCCTGTCTTTTGGTGACTCGCCGGTCCTCCACTTATTATAAGGTAAGTTTGAACATTGTCAAACTTTGTATAACGAACAATCCCCATGCGTCTCATTCTAGCTCGACACGGACAGACCGACGAGTGAGCAGGTTTCATGTTCACAAAAACTGTCGCTGAAATCTGTCCTCCTTCCTCTACTAGTAACGTCCGTGGTGTAATTCAAGGACATAAAGATACTCCTCTCAATGATTGGGGCCGTTTTGAATCGAAGCGTTCAGCAGAAGCCCTCAAGAAGTACCAGATTACCGAAGCATACACATCACCTCTTTCTCGGGCTAGCGAAGTAGGTATTCATTCTCACTCAACATCTTCAGTTCCGTGTGCTGAAACAGGGCTGTAGACTGCGCAGATCGCCCTGGCGCACCGCTCTGATATCCCAATATGTTCCCACCCGGGGTTGAAAGAGAGATGCCTGGGTACTTTGGAGGGCCGAAGGAGAAAGGAAGGAGAGACTGCCCCTGCAGATGCGGAATCCAAGGGCGCGTATGTCCTCGAGTTCCGGGTAGGGTTTTCCGATGCTGATGCTCCTGCGAAGCGTATCTATCAGGATGAGGCACTGGCTCGACAAGCTCCTCACATCCCACACCCCACCACCCCCACCCCTCGGCGCCACAGACCAGAAGGGGCATTTTAAAGATGACACTGTAATACTCGCCGTCTCGCATGGAGGCTGGTTGGGGGTCTTCCTTCGCACAGTTATCTCTCCGGCATACCACTTCAGGCCGGGGAAAGGATGTAATCTGGATGCGCCGCTTATGAATGCGAGTGTCACGGTGATTGACTGCGAGTATGATCAGCTGGAAAAGAAGTGGAAGGGGGTCATTAATGTGTGGGCTGATGCGAGCCATCTGAAAGATGTGATGGAAAAGGAAGTCACCGAGGTTGCTGATGATGTTCGTTGAGAGGCCCGACTTGGGATGCAGTTATGCGATCCTCTTTCTCGTACTAATGTATGTCAATCAGATGTTCAGATGCGAGAAGTATGTCATTCGTTGCACATACAGCTTGTGGTAGCTTGCATAGTTTAGGTGCATGGCAACGCAAGACGTAGGTACTCTCGTCCTCGTGGACTCCGAATACATACCGATGACATATACCCTTCGCGCCAGACGATCTGGCCACGTCTCTTGTGACACTTGGTAGTACCGGAGTAGGCATACTGACTGACCACAAAGGAAGAAGGATATACTTGATATTCAAGCGCACGTTCAATCGGCACATATATTTTTGGCGATTGAACGTTGTCAAAATCATTGCCTTCGGGCTCTTGCTGTATATAATGGCCGACTGCCAAGGTCCTAGACCGCCTATCGCTTCCAAGTACTTCTCTTCCCACTGCCCTCATTACTAAGCTATCTATCACTCTACCCAGCCATCTCTTGGACTTACAGAGGAGGATTAACGGGACGATAAGACACCACCACGCGGGAAATGGGATGACGGAAGTAGTTTGTCGTCGTCGAATGATGTATCCAGTAACAGCCGTATGTGAATAGTTCTGAGCCCTTGAGTCTTCTGACCGGGATTTCACGCTCCGAACGACATACTACGGAATCCTCCATGTGCATACCTTTCATCTTTATCTTCCATTTTTTGCCTCCTGCCCTTTGCCGCCTTCTCCGCCCATTGTGTTTTATGACCATTCTATACCGTGTAATTATTCCCCCCCATCAGTTCAACTCTCCACGGATTGCCATAGATATCATAGCATGAGACTCATTCTGGTTCGACACGGACAGACAGACGAGTACGTGTGAGAAAGCCGATTGAGGACCTCTGCTCACGTCAGCTATCTGTTTGCAGCAACTCCCGGGGACTCACTCAAGGCCACAGAGATAACCCTCTCAACAGTCAAGGACGTCTAGAGGCAAAGTATCTGTCAGAAGTGCTCAAAGATCAGCCTATCATTACAGAGGCGCATACATCGCCCTTATCTAGAGCTACAGAGGTGACTGATAATAAGCTCAAAAAGATGAAGGTTAAGTTCGGTGCTGACAATGCGGGGAGCTTGTAGACAGCCGACATTGCACTCTCACATCACCCCGGCGTCCCGGTCTACCCTAGTGCCGGGTTGAAACAGCCATTCTGGGGCAGTCAGGAAGGTCGAAGACGCGTACAAGGAGTAAATACACCTGCTCCTGATGACGCTGAAAGCCTGAAAGAGTATGGTATTTGTCTGTCGGAATGTCTCATACTGACTCTCTCTGTGGCCTTACTGCCCGTACAGTCAACTGGTTCAACAGGATCCTTGACGCCCATATGTCCAACCTCTTTGAGGCATATGTCCCCGGATGCGAGATCCACGCCAACCGTCGGCTCCCATCATCGGGAAACGATGCTGTCATCCTTGTCGTTACGCACGGTTCTTGGCTGCGCAACTTCCGAGACATCCTTCTCTCTCCAGCGTACCACTTCCAGGTGGGAGAAGGCTGTGATGCAACAGTGGATCTTTCAAACACTAGTGTAGTAGTGATCGACTGCGAACATGATCAGCACCAAAAGAGATGGGTGGGGGCGATCAATAACTGGGGCGATAACAGACACCTGTTGACGTTATCCACGGATGTGGAGAAGATTTCTGTTGAATGATAGATCATGAATGACGTGTTGTTGGTTGATCTTCTTCCAAAAACGTATCTGCGCTACTGTGATCGTGAACGTTCCTACATTCAACACAATAGCGACACTGTGGCTAAGCGAGTCACATATGAAGTATTGCAAATATGCGTCTATCACTAATAACGACTCCTTTATATAATTTTGGAGTCCTTCTTTTTACAAGAAGGACCTTCTTGGCCACTGCCGAATAATGAGGTCATCCAGGGCAAGCAATCGTCTTCATCAACAGCATGCGTTTGCATGCTAATACGGAATCAGTCTACTGTTGTCCTCATAGTTCCGATAGGATGGTAGTCGTACTGAAGGTAGATCATCAAAGTATGTAATCGCCCAGGCCATCGCAGCAACATTCTATTAACATATAGCAGCTCTATCGGACTTTCCCCCTGGCTTCTATCTGCTGAGTTGCGTCTTCCTGGTATGACGAACTGTCTGCTTATGCTGGAACACTGCTTCATGCTCGTGATATCGCTGATCATTCTTCACTTCTCTTCAGGTGGCTTCGATGAAGCATACCCAGCAGCCTCTCTTCTTCTCTCATCCCTGATCGCATCCAGAACGCGTTGCCGAGACTTCATTTCCGAAGCCTATAGTGTGGCAGAACATCATAGTAATAGTACCATTTGGGGTAAACACCTCTTTATCATAAAGCGAGGAGATAGCACCACTTACCCTCGAAAAATCCCACGCGCTTCCAGAAGGTGCCCATAAACTACTACCCCAAGTCTCACCTGGGTTCTCTGTTACAGAGGCCATAGAGGCGGCTCTTGAGTTCAGAGCAGGAGTGTTACTGTACCTGCGATTTGCATTCAAGGCATGGGTAAAAGCGTAGGCGGTATATCCGCTAGACGCCGGTGTAGTGATACCGCTAGTGCTGGACCGGCTGAGAAACATGATAATGCGGATGTCAAGTCTGGTGGATCTCGAGTGGGCCATATATATCACAGAGCCGTTCTCGAGTACTCTGATTACGCGGCCGTTGATGACGACACAAAGCAAGGCTGGCGGCGGCGGCACCCCCGGTGGAACAAGATGCACTCGCTGTCGCATGACCTGTTTATTTCGGGCAACGTCTAGAAGCCTGGAGTCTCTCGTCCTCTTGCGGTTACCGAACGCAATCAGAAGAAGTACAGCCACATATCTGGCGGCCTTACATCGAGACCCTTTAGCTGTATGCTCTGTATAATGCATCCCCATGGCGCCTCATGGTCATCCATCGCCGCTCTATCTCATCAGCCAGATGTTGAACGACAGAACCGGGCCACAGCCGGACGGGATCAAATCCCCGTCATAACAAATCTCCCTCTCCCCTCTCTTTCCACCTTGACTTCCCAAAACTTTGAATGCCCCCATTCATCCCCCTCCCCGACCGTCTCCCCCCAAACGGCCGCCTCCCCACCCCGCCCCCCAACTCACCGTACACCCAGCTCCCTCTGCCCACATACGGTGCCCCGGATATCGACCTGTCCATACCCCTCAGCGCTACTGCCGACTATACTCACGCGGGAGGAAACAGGAGAATGTCTGATAATGGATATGAGAACGGGGGAGGAGATGGGGGGTATTATCCTGGGGAAGAGACCCCGCCGGCGGCGGGGGGAAGCTATACCCCTGCCGAAGAACCGAGCCGGAAAAGACCCCGGACTGAAGGGGAAGGTGCCAATGGGAATGGGTCGTATGTACCCAGACAACGTGCAGCAGAGCACCCTCCACCACCACCTCACTCTAGTCAACAGGCGCCAATGCCTGGACAATCACCGCTGAGCGGCTCGATATTCAATGTATCGCCGCGGAATCCTTTTACGGCGGTTGTGGGGGACTGGTTGCTCAGTGTCGCCAATGGGCATCAGAATATCGAGGTGAGGAGGACGATAGAGATAAGAATGAATGACAAAGAAGGCTGATAAGTATATAGATCGAGATCAAGTTGGGCATGTTCCAAATTCCCTCTCAGGCAGGCCAGCCGCCTCGCCGTATCAACCTACCATCTCTCAGTGAAATGAGCAAGTTTGACCCTATTCTCCTCTGCATCTGCAAACGCTGATGATGAAGTAGTCATCCCACCTGATTACCCTATCGGCTCATTCGTCTCCACTCTTGCCCCTCAACATCACAAATCCCTCAACAACCTCCTCAACCGCGCCGTCGAATCCCAAGCTTCTCTCCCCCGCGATGCCGGCCGTATCTATTTCAAACGCTCCAGACTCGTCGACTCGTTCTACGACCTGGGGAACGAAGGAGGGGGCAAGGTTCGGGTCAGTAGGGATATGAAGACTGGGGATGTGGTGGAAAGTGTGAGGAAGAGGAGGGTGGGGGATTGTAATGTGTATTGTCCGGGGTCGGCGTATGACCTGAGGATTAGTGTGAATGTGGAAGAGCCTTGTATGTGGGATTAGACCTAGAAAGAGACAAAGCTTATGATGGCATAGGTGAGGTTCCGGAGGGCCAGCCAAAGATTATAAGAGAGAAGGATAGAGCTTGTTATCAGCATCAAGTCTGTCGGGTCGACCTCACATCCGTCAACACTTTTGTACGTCTCTTCTTCCTCAGGCGTAGCTCATTCACTGACTATTGTACAGGCCAAACCCTCGGACGCTCAATGTCAACCGACGAGCTCTTTCGAACTTGAAATTGAAGTCTTGAATTGCCGGAGATTGTTGGCAGAGGGAAAAGCGCAGAGTGATAGGTTTGACGAGATGCTGCAGAATGTGTTGGATAGCGCGAGGATGTTGGTCAAGAATGTCTAGTGTTAGCATTACATGGATTCCGCATTTTCTTGCTCCTTTCTCGGTAGAAATTCTCAAGCTGCAACACAGGTGGAGACCGATCAAGATCGCATCTCGCTATAGAATACCCGATAACCCTACACCCAACAATCTCAACCAACGACCTAGTAGTTGGCAGCCTTCTTGGCGGCGATGGCCAACCAAGCAGAGTGCTCGTCGTAGGGGGTGAGACCGGGGGCGATGATGGTCCAGAGGTCGGGGGACTGGAACTGGTAGGTCTTGGCGAGGGCAGCGATGGTAGCCTTCAAGAAGTTACCCTGGGTAGCGGTACAACCCTTGGACTGGGCTATGGGAGAGTAAGTAATAGGTCAGAGTGAGAGCTATGCAACGCACTGTAGCAGTCCTGGATACCAGCCATCTGGAGCATTCGCTTGGAAGCGGGGGCGGCGACGATACCGGTACCTCGGGCTGGGAGACAAGTCAGTTCAGGCACAGGACGCGAAAAAAGCAAAAAGGACATACGGGCAGGGATCAATCGGCACATGACGGAACCGCTCTTGCCGGAAACCTTGCAGGGAACGGTGTGAGGCTCAGCGATGTGAGAACCCCAGTAACCCCTTCGGACGGGAACGATGGCGAGCTTGGCGGCGATGATGGCACCTCGGATGGCGGTAGCGACCTCCTTGGCGGCCTTGATACCGAGACCGACGTGTCCGTCAAAGTCACCGACGGCAACGAAGGCCTTGAATCGGGTTCGCTGACCGGCAGAGGTCTGCTTCTGGACGGGCATGATCTTCATGACCTCGTCCTTGAGGGCGGGGAGGAAGATGTCGATGATCTGGAACTCCTTGACGGGGAGGGAGAAGAGGTAGATCTCCTCCATCGACTTGATCTTGCCGTCCTTTACCAATCGACCGAGCTTGGTGACAGGGACCCTACGAGAGTGAGATTGCGTCCCCTTTGGCATGTCTCTCACTCACCATTCCTTGTCCTCCTCCTTCTTGCCGCCTCGTCGGGGACCCCTTCGGCCTCGACCACCGGCACCGCCACGACCACGTCCGAAACCGCCTCGAGATTCAGCCATGTTGATGAATGAGTTTTGTGTTTTTGTTTTCGCGAAGGCGGGAGATTGAAGGACGACGCCACAGTCCGGCAAGCAAAAATCCCATACACGGTGAAGCGGCATTTGCCGCCCGCCCGGTGTTTGGCGGGGATACGGGGGTGGCGGGTGATTACGTCAGCGGGAGTGCCTCCACTCTGCTGCTGCCATCTACCTTCGTTCTCGTCGGGCCGGCAGTGTCGAACGACTCAAAAGAGCACCGCCAGAACAACAGCTCAGACACCCTGGACCTGCCAGCATAGCATAGAGCAAACCACGACAGATGGCTGCAAACGGGAACAGCTCCAGCGCTGTGAGTCTTATCTGCCCCGACAACCTACAAGCTGACATGCGCAGATACGGAGGAAGCTTGTCATTGTGGGAGACGGTGCTGCAGGAAAGACCTCGCTCCTCAACGTCTTTGCAGTCGGCCATTTCCCAGAGAGCTATGTGAGTCCCCTGTGCACCGTACTGGAGATGCATGCCTCGCCTCAAGGATCTTGGACCGTGGCTAACTTTAGAATACATAGGAACCCACAGTCTTTGACAATTACGTGACAGAAATCGAGCTGGACGGTAAGCCGGTGCAGCTGGCTCTATGGGATACTGCGTACGTCCGCCCCTGTGCCGCTCTTGCGAACCAATCTTCCCGCGTGCCGCGTGAAAGAGTCGTATGCTGACAGCGCTTCCAGGGGCCAAGAAGAATACGAACGTCTGCGCCCACTTTCATATTCCAAAGCCCATGTGATTCTCATAGCCTTTTCTGTCGATACCCCCGATTCCCTGGAGAATGTTACTCAGAAGGTGAGTCTTGCTGTGCAGGCCGCGCATCTCGGAGAGCGATGCCGCGCCTGCCGTTGCCCGTCTGCGTGTGTGGATGGCGGCTGATTTGCATCGCGTAGTGGATAGAAGAAGTACGGTCGATCTGTGGAAAAGCTATCCCCGTCATCTTGGTTGCTTGCAAGACAGATCTCAGAGAGAAGGCTATCGCCGATGGGACCTACACTCCTCAGAGATTTACCGATCGCCAGACTGTACGCCCTTTCCCTCATTCCTCTGCAGTCTCCTCTGACATCTCATGTAGGGCCAAAAGATAGCAGACTCGATAAACGCCCGCGCCTACATCGAAACCTCTGCTCTCCTCAACCAAAATGTCGACGACGTATTCGAAGCCGCTACCCGCGCGGCTGTGCTCGTGCGCGACCAGGGGCACGGGGGTGTGGGGGCGAGCTACGACCGGTCTGGGAATGGTACTGGGGACGGGAGCGGGGGCAAGAGCAAGAGGGAGAAGGGGGAGAAGGAGAGCATGTGTGGGTGTTGTGTGATTGCTTGATTGGCTGCGTTTTACAAAATCGGCCTCGCATCCACCTAGAACCTATCCTACGATCCCCACGACCCACTTACCCCCACGACCGACGGCCATGCGCCCACCCGCCTTTCTCCTACCCTATCGGCGTCAGAGGAAGAAGGAAAAACACCCTTGATGGGTCTCTTTTGCATGATATTCACGAAGTAGTATGATTAGCTTTTCCCTTTTAGTCTTTGACAGATAAATACATCCTTAATATTGGTTTCTCTCATGGTTCCCTTCTCTCCCTTTCTGCATAATCTCGATCGTTTCCTTTTTCTTTTCTGATTGTTTGCGTATAACATAGGTTGAAGTGGAAAACAAAACAAAAAAAAAAAAAAACACACATGATCTGGTATGACTCCGTAGAAGCATGAATTGTAGATGACCCCTATACATTTAGTCTGGCGGTCCTCCTTCTATCGACACGTCAGCTTAGCACTCTTACGTCCAAGAGTCCATCCCTCGACATCTCAAGGGCCAAACTGGGGCCAAGACTGAAAGAAGCAAGTTGAAAGAACGCAATGACGTAATTGGCGGATACCGGCGGCAATGGCCGGTCGGTGCCTTTGTTGACACCTCCACTTTTTGTGGCCAACTCTGGCAGTTGCGGACTGGTTGCGGATAAGGGATGGAAACAGGCCAGACAGAGGAAAGAAATGAGGATTTGGGAGAATCTTTCCTCTTCATCTTGCTTTTCATCTTTGAGAAAGTGAAAGCTGTATTGAGCTGTCAAACTGCATACTTGGTGAGTATCAGGCATCTCTTCTTGTCGACGGTCATTTGGATGGTGTCAACTGACACATTGAAGAGAATACCTCCTTGCCAGCTTTCAGCACATCTACCCCGCACCCCTTTTGGTGCAAAAAGACCAATTATGGACCCTACACCTCACAATAACGAGGTAAGCCCACCCTTCTCGACCTCTTGTACAGTGCAGCTGACTTACGCTCGTGCACAGAGTCGCGATATCAACCCATTCAGACGAGCCCTTCGCCACCCCCCTCCTCACGTCCCTCGAGAGCCAAGTACATCCAGCCCCCAGCATATGCCCGTTTTCCCTTCTCCAGAATACCCCGAAAATCTCCTCCGGGACTGGTCTTGGGATTGGGAGGATACCATGAGTCCAGATAGCAACCCTCATATGTCCTCCCACAGCGATGAGACGTCTCATGAAGTAGACTCTATAGTCCGTCAGCAGTCCAAGCTGGAGTGCATGCTGCTGACCGCCCTCGACGACCTCTATGTTGCTCAAATGTTTGAAGACCTCCTTTGTCAGCCACCAAGTCCTCGCAGCGAACACCGCCCGACCAGAAGCCTGCTCGGCCTCCCCAACGAGCTTCTCATGATGACGTTCAACTGCCTCCCAGTGGAACAGATCGTCTCCCTGCGCTCGACGTGCAAGCTCTTCGCCGAGCTTACCAAGTCCAGAGCGCTCTACAGATCCGTCTTGGTGGACCAATTTCCGTGGGCTTCCGACGACCTTCAGGGAGTTTCAGTGCCGCGCTTCTACACCGAGTACATCTTGCCTCATATCCGCCATCTCACCGTCATTCTTCCGGATAATGGTTTGAACACTATCCCCCACCGTGGCATGTTCCAAGCGATGGACTGCCAAGATGGAGTGTGCACCCCGTCATTCATCTACACCTTCCTGGATTCCATACCCTGCCATCAACTCGAAACGCTCATCTTCCCCCGCTCGGGCTTTCTGGTGATTTTGGACATTTGGGCCAAGTTACTGGCACAGCAGAGGCATTTGCGAACTGTCAATCTGTCTGGTGCCTGCCTAGACACTGACTGTATGGAGCTGCTGAGCGCCATGAACCGACTCGAGCACCTCGACTTGAGCGGAGTGCTGGCAGTGGATGGGTGGGAAGACTTGACAGAGGCTTTCGTTCATAGTGAAGCGTGGAAGGCTATCCGCTACATGGACCTTTCGGCTTGTGTCAATATTGACAAGGTGGTGTTCAAGGAATTCCTCAAGTCCCTGCCCGTGTCTTTACGATACCTCGACCTATCCGCATTGCCTTGGGTCGATTCGTCCATGTTGGAGGGTGTCAAAGTCTGGGGTCGTAGGGATGGGGACGGGGTACGCGAAGGTCCTGTGCAGCTGAGATGGATCGGGCTGAAAGGGACAAAGGTCAGCGAAGTCGACCTCTGCACGTTGAATTCTCAATGGGCCAAGTCCAAACTCCAAGGAATGGAAAGTCTCTCCCAGCGTGCGATCAAGGCGCTTCAACTCAACAAGCAAGAGATTGTAGACCAGTACAACCTCGAGCTCCTTCAGGTCGACCACGCCTTCACACCTTCGTTCAACCGCGCCCATTCGGCTTACGACATTCACCATGGGCGTAGAGACATCGGTCACTGTCTGTCCAAGATATCCGCTCTCATAGAATGTCAAGAACATATCCAATCATACGTAATATTGGAAGGGTTCACGGAGGAGGCTGAGCAGATGATAAGGAGCCGAGTGGAAGATGACGCAACGCGGTACCTTCGGGTATGGTCGGATAGGGGCGTCGTGCTGAATTGGAGGTATGAGAGGTGGAATTATGCGTGTCGTTTGGGTGAATTCCTGAGTAACGTGGCGAAGGTGGATTAGTAGGGAGATGGTAGGCAGCCGCTCGTACTCATGATTTGCTGGTCTGCGCGGAGGAATACGAGTAGTGTATGTTTTCTGTCTGCATCAAGATTGATTATATTTTATTATTGCCCAGTATGTATGTCTATATATTATAAAGCATTATCGAGTCCCGGTGATACCCCGTATCACATCCTTCAAACTTCGAGGGCAGGGACAGCCGCGACAGGAGCCTCGGCAGAGATGGCCTCCTTTTCAGTAGTAGGCGTCGCAGGCGCCACTTCCTCGGGACGGCTGACGAGCTGGCTGAAAGAACTTCTCCAAGTAGCGTAAGAGCCGCCAAAGTTGAGAAGGGCATATGCGACTTGGAAGATAAGGATACCGAGGATCTTGAGTCATGTTTAGTAAACTGTCGACATGGTAGCGTTGCTAAACTCACAAGGAAGGTCATAACCCAAGCAATACCGAGAGTAGCTTCGCCGAGCCTGTCAAAAAAGTCAGTGGAATGCTCAGCGTGTTGAAAGTCAGACTCACTTCGCCCAGGTATATGTGTCATAAGCTCGTGCCAGTGACGCCAAAGTTGAGAGAGTGGCGGAAGAACCCAAGAAGAAGACGAAGAGGGCGAACAAGCAAATGGTGTCGACCATGACGGAGACACAGATGTTGCGGGGGCTGACAAAGGTCAAGACCAAGCTATCAAAGGAAACGACTGTAAGCATTCGAGTAGGGAGGCGCATGAAACTGAGACTCACACCAGCATAAATTACAGCCAGGCGAGGACACCAGCAGCGATGAGGGCGTTTCCGGCAGTGAGGTGGGTGCTATAATAAGAGTCAGCCTTATGCACGAGCCACTAGTGATCACATTCAAAGACATACCTCCTGACATACTTGCTTCCGCCAAGCAGAGTGACTGATACCAGATGTCAGCTTGGATAGTCCGTTCCCACCCTATGAGACACTTACAGAAGTCATCTGTTTTGGCAATGAATCCAGCGGCCACGGAGAAAGTGAGGGCCGCCCAGAAGCAGGCGAAAGCTTTGAGACCGGTTGATACGAGAGAAGCAGAGCTCATGGCGGTACGATTTGGGAGAGATGGGTGGCAAAGAGAGGTTTGTGTCGTATCTGGACAGACCATTTTATGCCCTCCATCTCGCTTTCATCTTCCGTGCGCTCACAATCTGTTGGGGATATCAGAGGACATATGGGGAAACTTTTCACCAAATTCGCTCGTTAACGGTCGTTAAACCGTCAGCCTTATGGTGCAGACTGCAGGCTCCCCCTCAGCACGCAGTCGCTTAAAGAAATTATGGAAACGCCTTCCGGTGCCTGAAGCCGGTCTGACCAGAGTTGGATGTTGACGAATTTGGCGCCTTGGATGTCTTTCTGCACTTGTTCCTGTGCTCTATCATATCAGTGGTGTAGCCGTATATCGGGCACCTGTCAAAGACAGCCAAACGAGCAATGTAATGACATGATGGTTTTCCGCTCAATTCTGCTCTTGCTCGAACAAAAGAACGACCTTTTTTGGCCTGAGGGTTCAAGTAAGGGACGAGGAGAATGAGCCCCTGCCCCGGGCCGCGTATATTCTTCGCGTCGTTCGGGTGTTGTCGGGTGGAGATGGAATGGGTCATGAGCTTTGAGTCTGCTGCCACCTGCACGGCTGCACCTGGCTAGCCATGCAGCCACCTGTTGTCAGCCTGCTGTAACCTGTCACTTGTCAGCTGTCGATGGAATGCTGATTGTGACCCCATGTGAACATCAAATGTGTGTCAAATCAGCACTGCGTCCGCACATCTGTTGATTGTAAACGAACGTAAATGAACAGAAGAAGTGCGATGGTGCTGTACTTCTGTACTTCTGGCTCTCTCTTCTACGACGCTCTCGCTGGCTGGAATCTTTTGCTTCATGTCAACGCCGCATATCGTCGTCTCCAGTTCATGCCAAGTACACAAGAAGTCGTAAAAATAAGACAATAATTACAAGTACAAAGTCATCTTGGTTTGACCCATCTCAGATCATTACACCCCCAGCCGGCTTTTTGTGCCCTCAGGCAAACACTCTGCTTCCACCGCTGCCACCACTAAAGCCGCTCGATGCTCGGGCCCTCTCTTCCAACTCCTTCAACCGCTTGAGTTCCTTCTGTCTCTCCTCATAGGCATCGTAGGCATATACGATCGGCTTCACTTTGGTGAAGTCGTCTCCGAGCAGGAGAGATTCGTCCGAGCCCTCTCCGTCAGGCAGGCCATTATTGGAGGATGGGACAGTAGACCGAGGATCAGTCGATGTAGGATTGAACATGTCGTTGGGATCGAAATTGTCTATATGAATCAGCAACAGAAATGAGTGTTTGGAGTTCGACTTACTATCCTCATCGACAACAGCGCGCCTCTTCCCCAAAGCCTTTCTACTGGGCTTGAGGGGTATTTTGGGAAGATCATCGCCGTCAATCTCTTCACCATCCTTGCCGACACTCGATTTACCATTCGAGTCACCCGTTCCACTCCTTGACGGCGCACTTTGTGATCCTCCATAGGAACTGGCCGTAGCCCCCGGGGCAGGTGTCTGGCTAGGCGTGGGGACAGCTGAAGAAGGTTTGGACGGGTTGGGCAAAGGCCTAGGACCCATACGCAGTTTGGCACCCCCGAGAGGGCTGACCGTTCGTCCGGTGCTCGGCGAGTTGGTGTCTCGGGGCGCATAAGGTAGATGATGTCTATCGGGTGAGGGGCTTCTGGAGCCAGCCGGGGCAGCGCTGCGGAAGGGATTGTTGGACTTGAGATTTCCTCCTTGGGGCGCCGGCTGGACAGAAGGTAGAAGGGGCGCAGGCGTAGGAGATGGAGAGCGAGAGGATGATGCCGCGCCAGAGGTCGGCCCGACTGAGAGCATTTGCATCTGCTGCTGAGCAGAATGTTAGCCGCGTTGCTGCTTGCGGAGGAAATACTTACACCACGATCCATCCTCGTCTCCTTCTTACTCCTTTCTCTGACCTCCCGAAGTTCCTTCTCGTCCACCGCCATCCTTTCCAAGTCATCATGCTGCTTGATAACCTCTGCCAGCATCGCATGTGTCTCAAATAACGTCGCAAGCGCGCGCTCTTCCAGTGTGGACTCTGGGCCTTGAGTGTCGGCAGGGGGGCCGTCGTGAATCACCAAAGCCCCAGACTTACTGAGCCTCTCGCGAGATTGCGAAGCCTCCGCCTGTGCCCAGTCCATTTGGTTGGTCAGGCTCGTATGAGCATGAAACACCTTTGGATAGAATTCTCTGATGACAGGCTTGTACTCCAGCTCCTCCGGCCTGGTGTAGAGAAGTGCTTCCCCAAGCAATTTGGCACTTTCCTGCGCTGCCGTGCACTCTTCTTCCAGCCTGCGGATATCTTCGGAATGGGACGGCAAGTCTTTATAGCCAGGCCCAGCTGCAAACCCAGGACCAGCATAATTCCGAGGAGGGCGAGGGGGAGGCGGTAAGGAGGTTGACTGAGAGATGTGCGAGTTGTGTGAAGAGTGGGATGCAGGGGCAGGGTGGACCTGAAGATTGGCCATTTGTGAAGTGGGTGGCTGATCCGGATTGTGAGAATAGATGGGATGATCTTGCGGCATCGGCCGGCCCTGTAGTCTTGTCAGCGCACCCCCGAATGTCGTCTAATACAACTTACAAAATCTGGCTCTTGAGGCAGCTTGACCTTTTTCCACAAATCTATCAAGCCCCCGCACTCCTTATCCATCCCATAAGCATAGGTCAGGTCCGCCAATATATCGGTGAGAAGCTTCTTGGTCGAAAGCGACACTGTAGCTTTGGCAACGGGCGTCGTAAGGATGGGTTCGAGAGCTTGGACGAACTTTTTGTTCGTAGCATGGGCTGGACTTCTGTCAGCTTAAGCCTCATGGGGTCGGGACGTAGACTCACTCTTGAACCCCTTGACCGTGATGTTCCTCATCAACACAAACCACACCTTTCCCGCGCTCCTCCGCTGCATCTCATCACCATATTTGAGCTCTTTTCTCAGCGCCCTCGCCGCTTCTTTGGCTATCGACTCTCCTTGCCCAGAGTGATTTATACGATCACAAACTTCATATATAGCGGGTGGCGAAGGGTCCGGAGAGGTACACAGTATTTCTACATCAACATAAGTCAAGGCCGCATGGTACCAAAAGACACAAACTCACGGATGGCTGAAGCCACATCATTCACTTGGGCCGCCGCCGCATTATCCCTCCTGCTGAAATCCAGCCCTAGTAATCTCCCTTTTGGTTCTTCTTCATTCTGGCTGACATTTTGACCGTGCGTCGATGTGGACAGCGAATCTATCATGTCCAGACCTCTTCCGTCGCTGCTGCGTCTCGCCTCGTCCACCGATTGCCGCCAGTCACCAACAGCGTTAGGCTGCAGAGAGACGGACTGCATCAAGCCATGGCCTGAAGCATGGCTCTCTGCTTGCGCCTTTTTATTCTTCTTGTCTGACGATTTGACCGTAATCCCCCAAAACTTCTTCTTCCCCTCTTTCGCTTTTTCATGATCGGGCGGCTGCTGCTCTTCTCTAGGAGGCAGTGGCAGGTCTTTGTCACCGTGCATCTGGTCGTCGACTGGGATATGAGGATTGGGGAGATCAATGGGGGTAGCCCGTTGCGGTTGTTCCCTCGAAATGTGGTTGGGCTGAGTCTGGGGAGTTGGCGTAGCGGCACCACTGGCGGGTGTGTAGGGCCTGGGTGAGGGGAAAGTCGGGGGATTGTCCGTGGACGATAGCGTCGAATAAGTGTGCGCCAGTGGGGATCTCGAGTTTGCTGGTTGCTGTTTCTGTAGTTTCGCCGCCGATCCGTCTCTTGGCATGGCATGCTGGGTGGCTACACTCTCGTTCTGGTGACCGTCAACCCGTGTGGTCATCACAGGCGACGAGTAACCCCTCTCTCTGCCAGACTTTCCTTCGTTGCATTCCCCGCACATGGCATTGGGCGTAGTAGACTGCTTCAAACTACTCTGTGAATAGCGCATATGGATGGGGTACGGCGGTCGTGATGTTGGGGGCGTTGGGGGCCGAGCACCCGGCGGAAGGAACATGGGGGTGTGAGTCGATTGGCTCGATGGAGAAGAGTTGACTGATGAGTGTGAATGCGCATAGCTTTGAGCTTGGCTTTGGTGGGAGAAGGAGGCATTGGGAATAGGTAGAGCGTGCTGGGGGTAAGTGCCTTCGTAGGCAGCGCCAGGAGCCCCTCCAGCAGCACCGCTTGCGGTAGGGACATTAGTCCACCCATCTGGTGATGGAGAGGACTGGTACCCCCGCGACGTTCGTTGCCCAGGATGTATGGGCGGGGGTTGCTGAGGCTGCCCTCGCCGTCGCGAATCTCTTGACGCCGGGTCCTCAGTCTGAGAACGCTCTTGATCCCGGCGCTCTTGCATCTGCTTGATCTCCAGCATGCTTGGAGCACCAGAAGAGCCCTCCTTGCCCTTCTGTCCTATCGGTGGCGGCGTCTGCTCAGCCCTAGCATCGCTCGGAAAGGGCGTCACCTCCGTCTGATGGTGCATACCAAAGCCCCATTTGTTGTGGTCGTGATGTGGTGTATGCTGCAGTTGTTGCTGGGGAGAGGGGTGCTGTTGAGCACTGTCGTAATCAGAAGACTCTCTTGCGGCCCCGCCACCGAAGAAGGCAGCAATGCTCCTCCCTCCCTGGTGGCCCGGCGTCGACCTGCCCGAGGGAGGGTTTGACGGGGGCTGTGAGGACGGCGGAGGGAGAGGGTCCACGAGGGGGGCCTTCTTGAAGATGCGCTTCATGGATGCGCTGGGTCGTTTCTGTCGTGGCTGGTCGTGGGTCGCAGGAGGACCACAGGAGGAGGAGGAGGCCATCTATCGAGCAGTCGTCAACAACACCGCCATAGCTGTGCCTGATTATGTAACATGACAGGCTGCTGGAATTTGGCCGCCGGAAAGTGCGTGGTTTGCATGCTATGGATACAGCAGACAAGCATGCTGCCAACCCCAAGATGGGAGTCATTCTGTGACTTTGTTGACTGTTGAAAGACTGCTCAGCACTTGAGAGGTCGTCGCCAAACGCGGTGCGCGTTCAGTAATGCAGCGGCGTGTACGTATAAAGCCTTTCGACGACTGTTTAGAGCAGATTATCGTCCCCGTATGCCTAGGGGCTTGGGAACCAATGAAATCGTATCCTGCGGCCGCTACATGCGAGACGAGGAGTGTCGAAGGGTCATGGTGGTGCTATGACTATCACTCAACATGGACTGCGCAAAAAGGTGCTTTCTTGATGCGATCGCATCGCGTCGCGTCGATACTGCGGAAAGAGATTGCTTACATAAAATGGTACAAGTGCTCTCTTTATCGTCGTTCAACGTAAACCCCAACACTTCAATTATGGTAATGGTGAAGCCCAGGAAGCCTCCAAAACAACCAAGCATCAAGGCGGCGATATATGCAAAGAAAGTAGTGTACTCTTCTGTATGCGACGGCATGTTTCCGCTGATCGTTGGTGGGATTCCGCCGCAGGGTGTATAAGTTGGAAACAAGAGACGATTCCCAGGTCTCATTTCCAAACACGTATCTCATTCTTGTTTCTATCACACCTCTTACTGCTCTTAGTCTCAAAGACCCATCAATCGCATCATCGCTATCACTTATCGCCATGTCTAACCATCGTCAGCATCTCATTGCTTCGGCCGACAACGGTACCCAGCCAGTCAATGCCCCAATCGGGTCGAGCGGGATGGAGCTTGCATCACACAGGTATGTCCATGAATCCTCCCCTATTTTGAGAGGGAGTGTTGACCAAACCAACAGAAACGCCTCATTAGCACAACAGGGTGTGATGATGAAAGGTTGGGAAGACGCGTCTGAACAGAAACCCACTCTCAACTCTGACTTGTCACTGTCAGCCCCAGAGACAGCTCTAGCCTGCAGGGTTGGGTCCCACCATCGATCAAGTTCAGCGCCCCTTTATAGTCGAAAAATCACCAATCCATCCGTTCTTTCTTTCGAGAAGGAAGACAGCCGTTTGGTCGACCTCCCACCCGAGCTCCTGATGATCGTCATGAAGCACCTTCCATTGAACGACATCATTACTCTGCAGCAAGTGTCTTTCCGGTTTCATCAAATTGCAAAAACCGCCGGGGCACTTCTCTATACTCACATTAAACTCGAGGTCCCGAAGGCATACAAAGGCCGACACATTCCCATTTTTCTCTCAAAGCACGTCTTGCCCCATGTACGAGGACTCGACATTCATTTTGTGGACCCCTTCAGCTATCTCGACAAACGAAGAGACAGTTCAGCACACGACAATCTCCTACGGGGTATAGGAAACGCGGTGCCAGAAAACCATTTGAGATCCTTTTTCCTGAATACTACTGGTCATACACTCCATTCGAATCATTTTGTGGACAACAGCGACAACAAATGGATCCAGTACATCCACAACAAGCAGGAAGAGCTTCGGACGCTACGCCTCGGAGGCGTCGACGTTGGCTTTTACGATCTTTCGCTGGCATGCTACCAAAGCTTGAAGATCTCGAATTGGGCCCTGTAAAATTTTTCTGGATCGATATTAACGGTTTATATCTGTTTCCGTTCGCGTTCGAAGGAGGAGGGCGGTGCGAGTACTGGCCGAGCCTTCGCAGGCTGTCTCTCCGCAGATATTGTCCGAGACCACCAAAGTTTTACAGATCAGTCATCGACCACCTTCCTCCCAAACTTGAAGAGCTCGTGCTCGATGGTATCCACGTTCCAGAGGAGCTGACCATGAATGACATTGCACAGATTCAAACGGTCACCCTGGGATGGGACGGTGTTGCAAGACCAAACAGGCTACGGGTGATCAGTCTGAACGATTGTCGTCTGTATCTGGGAGAGCTCCTCAAGTTGCAGTATCATTGGCTTCTGGCTCGCATCCATGCCCTCGACAAATTATCCCTGGAAGAACGACGGGGATACGATATGCCAATCATCAGCGTCGGCAATCCTTCCGCTTTCAAGAAGGTAGCGTGGTGGCAGAGGTATTACGACAACGCGAAGTTGGATTCTGCTTCCCATCGGGTGCTTGCAGCGCAAGCAAAGCAGGTGATGGCCTTGTCTGAAGTTGACGAAGAAGGTCTTACAAAGGAGGTCGTGCTCCAGCGCTAGCGAATACACCAGAGGATTATATTGCTGTATGGCTGCGATATGCCCCCTACAGTGGTATCATGGCTCCATGCGAGAAATAAATGGCGACAGATGGTATGTGTACGCATGTAAACCGATGTGAGAATTATATTGACCTGTGTACTTCAGAGAGAGCTCGCGTAGCGAGAGGTGAACTAGATTCGCAGCAAAACAGTACCGCCGAGGCGAAGTCAGCGGATGAGCGGTGTAAGGGATTGGTACAGACTGGTCAGTAGGAGGAGACGTAGTGACGTGTACGTTGGAACGCAGAGTCTGGTATTGGGTTGCCGCTATGTTCTCAGGGACGAGTTAGGCGCGGAGGCGAGAGGAGGCTCCCCGTACATACATCCTGCCGCGTCTCATATCCTTTTCCTCATAGATGTATTTCCGTATATTCCTCCTCACCTTTATCCATCCTCACCTACCTCGCCTGTCCCAGGTCGATATCCAGCACCCATAGTTGGATCCACCACGTAACCGCCCATAGGTTACGCCACCTACCATCACCCTTACAAGCGGCCATCAACATCAAATCGATCACAGCCGCAGAACGACACTTTGAGTACGCACACGACATGATAGACTCTACATGCAAATGAAACAGAACAACCTTCAATGCCACCTCATCCTCAACATCTTTCTCATCACCGCTGGCCGCGCCACCATGATCCCCGCACTCAACGCCCCCAATGTCAACAGCAACTGCGCCTTGTTGAAGCTATCTGACAAGATGTCAAACGTCCCGGCTGGCGTCAAACCACGAGTCAAGAACAAATCTTGCCCCCATCCGAATACAAGTCCTGTCGATTCGACAAGAGCGGGGGAGGAGAGGATATTGGTGATGCCTTGGAGTGGGTAGACGTGGGAGATGACTTTCCGGGTGTCGATAGGGATGAGGGGGTCGTAGGAGATGAGGAACTCTTCCTTGTCACGCGAGGATGGTTTTCCTACAGGACGACGGGGGTCAAGAAGACGGCGGGCGACAGATGTGATTTGATTGCGGTCATTGATAACTAGTTGGGTATTAGCACTGGAGTAGATATATGTAAGACTTACTGATGAGCTCTTTGGGCGTAATCCCGGCTTTGGATGTAGTAAAGCCCAAGGTTTTGATTGCGGTGGGAATGATGAAAGTCTGAGCAAACACTTGAATCTTGTGAGCTTCAAATGTCGACAGGGCTGGACTACTCATGTGTCAGCTCCATACCTGACCCTGACATTGATGAAGGACTCACGTAACACCCTTGTCCGCATCTTCGTAGATCTCCACACTCGCGATCCTCCATCCTCCTTCACTCAGCCACGAATACACCAGCCAGTTCTCCACCATGGCAACCTTGACTCCCCCTCGTTCCTTCACGCCCTCTATAGCTGTCTCATATACCACCTCCCCAGAGACACTGTCCACCACATATACCTTCCCCTGTCCGACAGGTTCACCCGCTTGCAGAGGGTTAAGAGCTTTAGGGGAAGAAGGCGTGAATGTAGAAACAACGAGAAGATGGGGGTTGAGGTATTTGTAAAGGGTAGACTTGTCGCCGAGGACGCGGCCAAAAGAGGCGATGGCGGAGGGCTGGAGAGGTTTCGAATCGATTATCCGCTCGTGCTCTGTGAAAGGACGAGACCACAAGAGCGTGGAGGTAAAGGCAGAAGTGCTTTCGGGAGCCTTTGGTCCAGCGAGAACATATCCCTTGAGGACGGCGCCGTCAAGGTTTGTTGAGATGGTGGTGTAGAACGGCTTTCCGCCCTCGGCGATCTGACCCACCACTGTCTTGCAGCCTGGCCAAATGGATACCTCGTCCTTCTCATTGACCAGACCCAGCACCCTGATACCACTCCCACAGTTCTTGTAGATTGTCGCAAAGACCTCCTTGACGACTCCTTCAAACAGATAAGTTCCCTTGGGAAGGCCTGTGGTGGGATGCACATCGCCCAAGACTTTGCCCGTGTATGCTTCCACGTGGAAAGCAACGGTAAAGGAGCGCGTTTTCGTAAACTGAGTGGCAACCACGCCCAGGATCGGCGAATCCGTTTCGCCTTCTTTGACCAGGTCTACTGTTTCAACCTGAATCTCCGATCCCTCTTTGGTTATAAGCCCAACATTCACTGACCAAACACTTTGTCCGTTGGATGAATCAAGGGCCACAAGCTTGCCATTGGCAGTGCCAACTACAAGCAGCTTTTGGAGACCGAATTGGTCGCGGTGGAGTCGGTTCTTGTTGAGAGGGGTAAGATGGAGCGCAGAAGAGTAGGACGCGCCTGTGAGCCTTTTGGCAAAGTTGATCAGGTAGCCAGGAAGGTCTTTGAGCGCTTCGAGGTGCCTGACAGACCGGCCTACGAAAGACTCTTCTCCAAGGATCTCCCGTACTTCTTCAACCTCAGGTTCGCCCAAGTCGACGAATTTGGCGGCGACCACGTCTGCAAGTGCTTCTTCCCTGACCCAGAGAGGAAGCGAGTCAAATTGGGAGCGAAGGATGGCAGATGCCGAGGTGGTCAAGACGAGAGAGGGCAAATGCTTGGCGTCGAGCGAGGGAGAGACGGCGGCATGGAGGAGAACCCCATGAGAGAGGTCGTCGTAGGGGAAGGTGAAGCCGGAGGTGATGACATCGGTGGAGGTGAGGTAGGGAATGTCGATTGTCTGGGCAACAGCGATCTACAAGGCGTCAGCGAGGAATGCAAGGAAGCTTTGAGAACTCACACTCATAGAGAATGACCAGTATACCCGGTTGACGATGACGCCGTTTTCGGTGACTGTGCCAGAGTAGACAGACTCGGATCGCTCAGCCGCATCTGCTGACAGCTCAAACTCCTCAATCTTCTTCCCTTCCTTTACATCTAGCACCTCGACACCCCCGTCTTCACGCTTTCCAAGAACGATTCCCTGCTCTCGTAGCCCGACGTCGATGATGGATGCGTAATGCCTGCCATTACCAGGGAGCAAGTCTTTGATCTGCCCAAGCGACCCGTCTTCGTGCACGAGCAGGCTTCTGATTCTTCCATGCTCAAACCACACCACCTGTGCCCCTCCAGGTTCGGCAGAGGAAGCGATCATAGCTTGTTCGGGGATCTGGACGATAGAAGGCACTTGGCCAAAATCGCCTCGGGGAATGGGACTGTCCAAAGCGATAGTCGACGTGAGCAAGCTTTGGACGGCGAAAGAATAGTGCAGGGCGAGGATATGGATAGAGTTGCCGGAAGGCCGGATTTGTTTGAACACCATGTTGGAACCAGCACTGGGAGAGTCCATGCTCCAGAAGATTTGACCGTTGTCATGCCTCAGTCTCGTAACGCGTCGTCCGTCGGATAGTATCACCCAGGTAGCGGGCGCGCCGTCCTCTTGTTGGGGTACAAACGCAGCATCGGTACCGAGATGGACCGGTGTGCTCAGCTGAGAGGTGGCGGGAGGAAGGAGAGGGTAGTGCCAGAGGAGGTGGCCGGTGGAGAGGGAGAAGAGACGAGCCGAGGACGCGCTTGGGCCGGAAAGGAGTAGAATGGCTGCATGGGTAAGCGGGGCATGGCATAGCAAGTGATGTTCTTACTGTCATCTTGAACGTGGAATGACACTACAGGGTCATTGTCTTCCAGCTTTTGTCTCCAAGCTACACCAGTCAGCATTATGCAGGCGACGCGAAGACTACTCACCTATGTCTCCGTTCTCGGCATTGATTGCTGCCAAAACATTGTTTTTTGTTATCAGAGCGACTCTTCCACCTGAAAAGTTTGTGCGCTCGATATACAGAGGCGGCGTCGGGGTCAACAATGGCTGCCCAATATAAGGCTTGTGCCAGTCAACGATGCCCGCGAGGTTGTCCTGGAGCGCGAGGGCGGCAGGAAGGGCGGCGACGAAGAGGAAGGCCGTGAGAAGAGACGATATCAAGGGGGACCCCTTTGCTTTTATCAGCATGTCGCTGTCATATGTACGCTTGGAGCGATATATCATGATGATGCGCAAGGAGGTGGGCGGTGGAGGTCCCGAGCATGGCTGACGGGGGGCACCGCCAATGTGCGCTTACGTACGAAGAAGTAATATAAAGAATGATCGTTGAAAGCATGTGCATGGGCAAGAGTTCTCAGCAGTGCATGCATAGGTCTTGGTAGTAGGGTACACGCAGCAGACATGTGGTGTTAGGAAAAAAACATATAGCCTCAGTCTGGCTGGCAGGGAGTGAAGTGGTCCATGATAGACCCGATTTCTCCTGAATACCACACAATGCTCTATAGAACAGTCGTGTATTCTGCCTCTACATGAGCTATATAGCACTCCTGCTGCATATCCAGAGTACCCCAAGTCTGCTGAACCTGCCGAATGCGGTGGTTGAGTGATTCGGGGATTTGCGGGGTTTCCCGCCAGTGTAAGCGAGGGCTGTGGTGTGGCGGTGTGATCACGCTTTCGCTGTTGTTGCGTCCACGAGCATTCATTCTCCCCATCTCCGCCATGTCGCACGCCGAGCAACTACAGACACTGCAAGCCATCTTCCCAGATTGGGACGAGCAAGACCTCCAATTCACCCTTTCCGACGCCAAGGGCAACGTCGAAGATGCCGTCCTCATGATCTCTGAAGGTAAGTCGTACGCGATGTCAGATGCGGGTGGTGTCTCGGGGTATATCGAGAAGGTCGAAGGGAGCATATGACCAGTGAAAGAGGACCGGGATCAGTGCGGGCAGAATCGCGTCGTAGTTTGCTGGAAGTAATCTACCGGTGCCCGCAGAGATGGAATGGTGTGGTGGAATTGAAAAGAGTCACCAGGGCGATATCAACATTGCCTGGTACTGTGTGCAAGTGTAGAGATCCCCGCAATGGCCCTCAATATTGCCCGTACTGCTGTCACGAATAACGCTAACGCAGTGTGCTCTCAGGTCGCGCCCAACAATTCACAACAGCTAGCAAGAAGAAGGCCGCCAAGCCAAAGGACAAGGTCCTCTCTAGCAGAAACGCAGACACTGGAGGCTGGGGCGATGCTACCGTAGAGACCGGTTTCGGCAAGCCTTCAAGGGGCGGTAGGGGAGGTAGCAGGGGCGGGCGTGGTGGACGCGGTAGTGGTGAGTCGCTCATGAAGATCACCGCAGTGCGTGGTTGACGCATTGTAGAACCCATTCGTGGTGGCCGTGGTGGTGCTCGAGGAGGACGTGGTGGTGCCCGAGGCGGCCGAGGTGATTTCTCCAATACCGATGGAGCCGCCCCTGCCTGGGGATCTTCCAACAACGCTGGAGGCGAGTCATCTACCACCCCCGGTGGATGGGGCGAAGCTGCTGCTGCCGAGCCTGTCAAGGCCGACGAAGGAGCTGGAGGCTGGGGCGCCGAGCCTGAGGCTCAACCTTGGGACGAAGCTCCCAAGCAAGCCGACGCTGTGCCGGGACAGAGCAAGGGCGACGACTTTGCGAGCTCTGGTGGATGGGGCGATGCCCCGGCGGCCAAGGAGGTTGAGAGCGCGGCCAATTCGAATGGAAATGCATGGCAGGCAGAGATTGACAAGCCTGTGCCGGTCGCTCAGCCCTCAGCACCTGTGGCCAAGCCAAAGCTGACCTGGGCCCAAATCGCAAAGTACGTTGCGGAGAGTGTTCTATGAGTTTCTGCTGACGTTTCTGTAGGCCCGCTGAGAAGCCCAAGCCTGTCCCTCCTCCCGCTCCTGTCGCCCCCGAGCCCCAACCCGAACCCGAGGCCGAGGCCACAATCACCTCTGATGAACCTGTCGCTCAGGACGAAGTCGCTGTCACCCCCGAAGCCCTCCAAGACACCACTCCCGAGCCTGTTGGCGCCCTCGGCGATGCGCCTGCCCAAGACGAAGTAGAAGCTGAGGCTGAAACGGCTGGTGCATCTACCGAGGCGCCCGCCGAGGAGCAGCCCCAAGAGTTGTTGCCCGAAGAGACCGCTCCTGCTCAGGCAGACAAGTGGGAGACCGATCCCGCCATTGCTGGTTCTGGTACTCAAAATTGGGCGGAAGAGCAATCCACTGCCGCCCCTGAGCCCCCTACCACCTACCAGGGTCCTCCCGGTTTCAGCACTGTCGCTTCCAAGGCTGCTCCCGGCGTCCAAGCTGGCCTCAGGTCAAACTCCCGTGCCGCTCAGCGATACAAGGAGGCCGAGGGTCAGGGTGTCGTGCTCCCTGCCAGTGTTGGCGGCGTTGCTGGTGTCGAGATGCAATTCGGTAGCTTGAGCTTTGGTGGCCTCAATGGCGATGGTGTGGACTCTCCTGCGCCGGAACCCAAGCAAGAGGCTCCCCAACAAGCTGCCCCTATTCAGGCTCAGCCCGCTGCTTCTCCCGTCGCCCACACTCAACCTCCCGCTCCCACCCAGCAACAAGCCCCTGCGTCCACCGCTTCTCAACCTCCCGCTCCCCTCTACCAACAGCAACAGCCCGGCTACTCTGCTGCCCCCACACCCCACCAGACCCTCCAACAGCAGATGCAAAACTACCAATACCTCCAGCAACAACAGGCTCCTGCCCCTGTCCACTCTGCTACCCCCGAACAACACGCGGTGCAGCAGCAGCAACAGGCTCAGAACCAATTCTACCGAGGGCAGGACTACTACAGCCCGATCGGCTCTCACGGAGAGCAGGCCCAGCAGCAGCAACAGGCCGCTGCCCCTCAACCCCAGCCTCAGGCTTCCAACAGCCCTTACGAGCCGTTCGGTGCTTTCGGTCAGCAATCTAGATTCTTGGGTCAACAGGCCAACCAGCACGTCGCCCAGGGTTCTGATTCCTACGGCGCTGCTCAGAGAGTAAGTCAACTGTGTCGTGCGAGTCCATTGCTAATCATTTGTAGCAATCGTTCGACTCTTATGGCGCATCTGGCTACCCTCGACCTCCAGTGGAAGAGCCCAAGCCTGCTGCTACTCCTTCTCACCCTACTGCTGGGCAGCTGCCTCACCAACAGAGTGGTTACTACTCTGGCATGGGCAACATGGGCTACTACCAGCAGGGTCCTTACAACCCTTACTACCAATGTGCGTCTATTCAACATTGTAAGCCGTTTGCTGACATTGTATAGACGGCCAAGCCCCTCAAGCCGGTTTCCAGCAATACTACCCTATCGCCGGCCGAGGTGTCTACGGCCAACCCGCTCCTCAGCCTGCCCCCGCTCCTATCCCTGCCAAGCCCCAGGCGACTCAGTCTCCCTACGGCGGCCCCTCCCCTTACCCCGCTTTCAACTCTGAAGACTCTGCCTTCGGTGGTCTCGGTCGATACGAAGCCAAGCCCGCTGGCGCTGCCCAGCCCAACGCCGCTGCTCAGACTCCTGCTCAGTCCGGTTCTGCCCTCGGTGGCTCTTATGGCTCCCAGGGCTTGCACGGTTTCTTGGGCATGAACAACACCCAAGCCGGTGCTGCTCGTCCCCAGGGCGCCCCTGAAGACAGCAAGTACGGCGGTGCGTCCTCCAACCAGGTCGGCACCCCCAACGTGTCTGCCGCCAACCCCTCCGCGCCCAACTCTGGTATCGCTGCTCAGCAGGCTCAGGCTGCTGCTCAAGCTCAGGCTATTCAGCAACAGCAGCAGCAGCAACGAGGCCCCTCTGCCGCTGGCCAACAGCAACACCAGCCCCAGCAGGGTGGCTTTGGAAGCTACCCTTACGGTGGCGGCTACGGTGGTCAGGACTGGGGACAGTACGGCGGGCACTATGCCGGTAGGGGTGGCTACAGTCAGTGGCAGCAGTAGGAGGTCTTAGATCTGTGACAGTGCAGTATTGCAGCAGGTCAAACAAGAAGAAGATAAGAAGAGGAAAGGGAGTAATTTAGTTGAAAAATATACTAGGCCTCAACGTGAAAATTCATCTCGGCTGGATCTTTGATCATCAAGTTGATACTTCGTATTCTACGCATCCTTCTTTCCATTCTTTTGCATCTCCTCTTTTCACAACACAGGCATCGTTTCAACCTTTCCCCCAACTCAAGGCCAGAATGGCCATTATACTTATACAGATGTAATCGTCAATTATTGATTCATTGTCTGTCATGCGCTCACTCTCGAGCGGATGGATGACTGGGCGATTCATATAGAGTGACGATTATCATTCACCGAGCTCTACCTAGTATCTTGCGGACCCAGCTTTCATTCTCCGTCGTACCGTCATCAAGCGCGCTCTCCCTGGCCTCTTTCAGCCCTTTAATCTCCTTATAAGTGACGCTCATGCCTTCAAAGCCTTCCCATTCTCCACCCTCCCTGGTCTGTATTGCCATCCATCTGCAAGCTTCAGCTTCGAGCTCGCACTTGATACTGCCCCACCAGTTGGAGCCTCTGCAGTTGGGTCGGTGAGACTTGAGATGGGCAGAGAGCTTGTCAGCAAGGGTACTTAAGGTTCTGAGTTTAGGAGCCAGTGGGGGTTGCTACTTTCGAGCCTGTAGAACATGACTGTCCTCCCTCTATGCCCTCTTCTTGCAGTGTCGTCGACTGGTGAACCGGGGGCGCAGTCATGGAAGGGCGAAAAGCAAAAGTCATGAACTGGCGCCTATCTGCAGGCGTCGACGCGAAGTTGGAGATATCTTCAATGTGATAGTACAGGATGCTTTTGTCCAGGTAGTCTCAGGTGTAGACGGTGTGACCGCGTCATCGTCATGATGAGAAAAGAGAGAAGAAGAGCCGAGGAGAGGAGTGTCTGTAGATCTTCGCTGTGCGCGGGCCGCTTCGTGGCTTGCAGACATGTTTTTGGGGGTATGAGCTGGCTATGGGTACAAGTACAATATCATTATATATCCGAAGGCAGCCGAAAGGTTCATACTGCTCGATAAACTATACCTCTCCGCCACGCCTGTACGGGTTACCTTCGCGGTAGAGGGTTCCTTCCATGTTCTTCAAGGGAAGCTTCTGCCATCATGACTGACTGTGTGTGCTAAACAGACATGCAGCTGCCCACAGCGCTTGGTCTCCGCTGGAAATGTTGCCAACTACAGAAGAAGAGACAGGTCACATGAAAGGAGCGATGTTGGGGACTGTGACTGACATTGTGGGTCGCACGATTAGACCGGTACTGCATGGAATAAGAATGTAAAAGGGTATAAGGGCACTAGAGACTGCTGCATCATCTAGCAGTGCTAACAGTGCAGGCCCGCCGTCTCGTTCAACCTGCCCACGCAATGCCCACGCAAAGAATAGTGGCGGTGCGGAACCAAAATGTGTAGCGTGCATCCCCCCATTTAAGGGCCACACAATGCGTGGGTGGATTTGAATCCTTCTTCTCCATCTTCTTTCCTTCATCCCTATTTCCATTCAACAAACAACATGGCCGACAACATCAACGATCTCTACGGCGGTAGGTCATCCCGCTGGCCGCTATCACCCCACTGACTTTCACAGACTTGGACCTCGAGGACCTCGACGCCTCTCAGCTCGAAGAACTGGTAGAGCCGCCAGAGCTCGACGTCGCCCCTTCATCCACTCCCGCCCTTTCTCACACCTCCCAACCGGCCCCTGCGCAACCTCAAGCTCAGTCTTTCTCGCAACCCTCCGAACAGCCTGCTCAGCAACATCAATTCGGATACAATTCTTTCGATCAGCAACAACAGTCGGACGGCGCCGGTGATAGGATCAAGCCAAGTGATATGCCTGATGAGGGGTTAGTAGTCTACTCTTGTTCCCTATGCTCTCTATTTTATCGGTTCCGTCATCTGGAATGACGTAGCGGAGATGCGCTTGCCGTAGACGAAGTTGCGGCAGGAAAGGAACGTCGGGCACGCGCGTTTGGTGTCGCGTGACGCACCCAGTTTGATAGGTCGCTATCGCGTTGCCATTAAGGCCGCTCGCGGCCATAGATAGGCCATAGCCAGAGTAGGAGTATCGTAACAGTGTAACGTACCCTCCTAGACCCTTTCCCCCTCATCTTGTGTACTTGTCGTAATAGAGCTGAACTAATAATCTGTATCCTTCATCTATAATCAATCGCTGTTCCCTCTATCGTACTGGATGCCATGCACCGCACTCCTCGGCCAACCCTTGCCTCTCATGTTCTCTCGTGACCGTGTCTTTGACAAAACAGTAAGATGTTCATCGGTGGTCTGAACTGGGAGACAACAGAAGGTTGGTCAAATTCGTTTGTAGCTGTTCATACGGATACTGACATCATGTAAAGATAGCTTGACGACGTATATGGGGCAGTTTGGTGAAATTGACGCGTGTACCATCATGCGAGACCCTTCCGGGCGCTCCAGAGGCTTCGCGTTCTTGACCTACAAGAGCCCTACGAGCGTTACCAAGGTCATGTCTCAGCCCCACGTCCTCGACGGCAAGCAGGCAGGTCGCCTTTTCACCCCACTGACTGGGCTGACGTCTCCTCAGATTGACCCCAAGCGTGCCATCCCCCGAGCCGAGCACGAGCGTACCGCCAAAGTCTTTGTCGGCGGTCTCGCTCCCTCCGTGACCGGAGAGTCCCTCAAATCCTTCTTGTGTCAATTCGGCCAAGTCATGGATGCCACCGTCATGTTTGACAAGGAGACTGGAAGGTCGAAGGGTTTCGCGTTTGCTACATTCCAAGATGAGGACAGCGTGGGCAGGGCTATGGCGGCGAGTGGAATCGAGTTGGAAGGAAAGGCGGTGAGTTATCCATCTTGTCAGTGATTGGAAATAGGCTGACGTTGAATTCAGATCGAGATCAAGAAGGCTCAACCAAGAGGTACCGCTCAAGGTTCAAGATCCACCTACCAGCAGAACCGATTCGGCGGCAATCAGCCCAACGCCTTTGGCGGCGGTATGGGTGGCGGCTTTAACGGTGGCGGTGGCTTCGATCCCAACTCTATGGCTATGATGTACCAGAACATGATGAAGCCTGCAGGTGGCATGGGTCAGTGTTTCCTTCCTTCTCGTCGACACACTTTGCTGACTGGTATCAGGCAACATGATGGGCGGCTTTGACCCCAGTGCCATGGCTATGATGTACCAGAACATGATGAAGTCCATGGGAGGAGGCAACGCTCCGGCTATCAACCCCAACATGGCTATGCGCTCGCCAAACGATTCTGTCTCTTCTGGAGCTGCGCCAGGCATGAACAACATGATGGGGATGGGTATGGGTGGCATGGGAATGGGCGGGATGGGCATGAACATGGGCGGGATGGGGATGGGTATGGGAAACATGATGGGCGGTGGAATGAACAGAGGAGGGGTATGTCTGCTTTTAACCAAGATTATGAATACGTGCTGATACTAGTGCAGATGGCCAGCCGACCTCCTAACGCTCCTCGTGGTCCTGCAGCCATGCGAGGTCCTCAGCAGGGTGGCGTCACCCCTCAGGGCCCTGGAGCTCAGCGATACTCTACCCAGGGCAACGCCAGGGCCAGACCTTACTAAGCTTTCTAACGAAGCTCTCATTTCTTTGTCTCTTTGGTTCACTTTTCGGGTGTCTTCAAATTGCGTGTACTGGACAGAGATTCTGTGTAGACGAAGATTGCAGTGTAGGATGTAAGGATGCACAATATACTATATCGTTATGATCGGAGCTCTATACGTCGATGTGCCGCGACCTGCTAGGATCTCTCACAGTGGCTGCGCTGGTATACATGGTCAAAATACCGTACACCGTTGAGCATGACCAGGACGTGTTTCTGATAATCGATACCCTTCTTCTCGATATCGATCAGCACCTTTCGATGAGACGCCCGCAGGCCGTAAGCATCATCCCCCTGAATATGCATGTAGCTCGAGGATATGGGTCTTCTCAATTCGGATGCTTGTAAGAGTCAGAGGATGCTGTAAGAGTCCAGAGTTGTCAACATCATCACCACTCTCATATAACAATGTAACAAATTTAAGTATACAACTCTCCGTAGTTTAGTGTGGTTTAGAGCGTCAGACTGTAATTGGTTAACATACTCATATCTGAAAGTCGTGCGTTCGACTCGCACCGGGGAGATTTTTTTTGCTCTCTTTTTCAGGAGCCTTTATCCTCTCCATCAACCGGCGAAGCCAAGATGTGTTTCCATGCAACCAATACTATTCATTTTTTGGATCATTTCGCAGTCGGGAGTAACATTGGCGGTGAAGTGCAGCAGGGTGCCTCAAGTTGGCGACGTGGTCATGGAATGGGCAGCTGCCACCATGAAAGCAGCTTTGAGCATTGCAAGAAATTTTTTTAGGTGTGTTTTCTGAGTATGCTTATCAGATTAAATTGTTCACCTTGTCACCCTCACCAGTAGGGAGTCGCGTTGTAGCGAGTGTTGTCCAAACGCTACTGCACCTCCTCTTGTCACGGGTTGTCCGCTGCTCGTACTAATAAACAATTTGCATGATGATTTTCGGCCTATTGTCTGCCAGATATACGTGTATGATGGTCTTTCTTCGATCCTCCTATTCTTATTGAGGCGACATCTTGCTGGTTACTCGTCTTTCGCCACGGTCGCCTCTCTCTGCTCTCGCGCTCCGCATGCCTGTCAGGGGGCTACCTTCCTTAGGCTATGCCTTCAGAGGTCGCCGAGGTGTAGAGACGAAATGGTCTGAGAACTCGAAGTGAGTGGCCAGACCAATGCCGAAGGAAGATAGCGTTTGTGCGAGAGTGTTGAGTGAGAGAGAGTGTGTGTACTAGAGAAGACAACAATAGTGGATCGACGGAGTATCTACTGCTATGGAGACACGTCCTTATATACCCTGG